TTTTCACGCATTTCATTGATTAGTTCCTCTTCTATATTTGTTTTTGTATCAAGGAGGATATGTTCATGAAAGATTATCTTGTCATCTAAGAAATCTAAATTGAAGTCAGTGAAGCTTTTAATATTTGTTATTTCATCTTTTCTTGGACGAAACTTGGGATGCAATTGAATTTCACTAGATATTATATCTGTGGATTCCTTGTAATACCAAATTTTGTCACCAAAATCTTTGATCTTAATTGGAATTTGTCCTTGAGTTAAAGCTAAACTTGCCTTAAATCCATCAAAATGAGTAAGATCAATAAACTCAATTTGATCTTCATCAATTTCTTTACAGAATGTTACTTGAACTATTCCCAATGAATCTTTATCTTCGGAAGAAAAAACTTTAACCTTAATTGCAGAATGATTTAACTGTTTTTGAATGTATCTCCTAGGATTATCTCTTATTAGTGTTTCAAGAAGACTGGAGTGTTCATTAAATATATCACACATTACTTCAGTTGTATGTCTCAAAAGATTATTTGATTTGTTCTCAAGGTATTGAAACTCTCCAGCTGCTTGAAAATCTGAGTAAACTTGTCTTCTTGTTCTTTTAGATTTTCTATTTTCAAATTCTTTTAGTGCATATTCAGCAAATTTAGTAACGTATTCATCATAACTTGGAAAAGTATCACAAGCTTCTTTAGTTTTGACGAAATCGGAGATTTCTTTATCTTTAGATCTTAGGTAATCAGCATAACTTGGAAGCAGTAAACAATCATTTTTAATCTTTGAGTATTCTTCATAAGTAGGTAATGGAAAAGGTTTAGAAGTGTCTTCTAAACTTTGATTTGCTTCTAGGAAGCTTTGCTTCCGCTTTGTCGATCTTTCAGATCTAAGAATCTTTGATTTAGTAGATCTTTTGATCCTATTGGTAGTATTCGAATTCACAGAAGTAGTAGTAGTATTCAATAATCCTTGTCTTTCCATTTTTTCCTTCTTTCTCTTTTCGAACTCTAGATATTGCTTCATTTTTTCTTCTCTTCTCTTCTCAAATTCTTTACGATCAGCTTCGTATTTATCTCTTACTTCTTTGTCTTTTTCCGTTTGGATTCTATTTCGATCCTTTTGGATTTGTTGCTCACGAAGTTCTCGATCCTTTTGGATTTCTCTTTGTCTTTTATAATATTCTTCTCTTTCTTTTTGATACAATCCTTCGGATCTAGGAGTCGAAGACTCTGCATATTTCTGAGGATTAATACTCATTTCTTGAAGACTAGGTGTTGATGTTAGTGCTTGTGGTGTTAAATGAACAATGTGTTGACGTACTGCAAAACCTTCTTCACTAATTAAGTGATCAAGATTACAATCTCTCACAATTTTGTTTTTTTATTCAAACTCAGAGCAATCTGATTTTGACTATTAATCAAAGACCATTATTCATTATTCCATCTAGTTTTTCCAATTGAAATATATTGACAATTCTGGGAAGTATTGACATCCCAAATCATAATTTCATTCTTCTTTATTGGACAAGAACCATCCTGATATTTACACTCTGACATATCTGCTAACACATTAGATGGTCTACTTTGGTTAAAGTGAGAATATACCTTAGTCTCAATAATTACACAATTCTCTTTGTAATATCTTTTGCTTGTAAAGAAACTAGTAAATCGATTAGGATAATCTACTTCAACTTTATTATTAGTACTCCACAATCCTCCAGATCCTTTACTCAATGTGCCATATTCACATTTCTTATTTGCAACCCATTCTCTACATTCTGCAAGACTTATACTTCTATGATTTAATTCCTTTTCTACTAGATGCTCATATCCAGAAAAATCTGTATACATTGAAACTTCACTAACTAATTTCTTACACAATTTAGCATCACTTGAGTATTCAATTATATTTGGTTTGAAGACCTCATAACTTACTACCTCTGATTTTTCATTCAATTGTCTATGGTAATTACATTTGTGTAATTTTGGTAATTTAAAGTATTGAACTGGAGCATCAGAAGAACAAATTAGCGTAGCTAAAATATCATAGTGAGTAAATGTTAGAAATAAATAGAATTGCAATAGATTCATTTACTTCAGAAAATTTATTTTAAATAAATTGAAAAATTATCCTTTGCAAGTTGAAATTCTCAAGATAAAAATGACAGAACCAAAGACCTTTGGAAATCCTAGATCCGCAGGATTGATTGAAGCTGTTGATAGAATTTTGATTGTTGATAGTCCAATTGTTCAGGATACTTCAATTCAAAAAGAAAATTTGATTAGCATATTTCCTTCTAGTGGTAGTAGTTTAAATCAACATGGAGAAATTAATTTTATCATAGAAACTTGTGATCAATACCTTCTACTACATAAATCTTACATCTACTTAGAAGCTTCCTTGACTAAATTAGACTCTGCAGCACTTGCTGATGCAGATGAAGTATCATTAACAAACAATGCTCCAATGTTTTTATTTGATAGAGCAACTTATAGTATGGATGGTATGCAAGTTGAAAATGTCATTGATCCTGGAAGAGCTTCACTTATGAAAGGCCTCCTTACTTATTCTTCAACAATGAATAAACAAAATACTTTTGGGTGGATCCTCGAAACAAAGGATATCATGAATTATAAGATAAATAAATACACTAAAAAAATAGAAAAAGGTAACCTTACTTTTTTTGTATTCCACTGACTCATATTTTTTTTGGATTCTCGGAGTGTTACAACAAAGTAGTTTATGGAAGAAAGCATCAACTATCGCTCTACAGATCTCCAGAAAAATAAGAATAGTATTACTTCAACAGATCCTACTAAATTTACTGCTAAGATGACTATTAATAAACTTCAATGGATAATTCCTAAAATTATGCCTAGTCTTGAGATGCAAAACAAACTTCTTAATTTATTTGAAAGTAATAAATTAGTGCAAATGCCTTTTATTTCTAGACAATTTGAGAGTTATAATATTCCAAATGGTAATAGAGAATTCACTTGGAAACTTGGAACAAAATATGATAAAATAAAATACCTTGTCATAGCTTTTCAAACTGCTAGAGATAACAATTATCTGAATGCTGCAAAGTTTGATAATTGTGGGTTAGAAGAAATTTATGTTGAACTCAATAGTGAAAGGTATCCATATGAATGCTTAAAAATTTGATTTTTGATAAATTTAATGCAGTTCAACAATACAATTTTGCTAAAGAATTCAGAAATAGTTATTATGAATCAGTGAAAGATTATATATTTATGGAAGAGGACGTTTATTACTACTATTATCCACTTCTAGTATTTGATGTATCTAAACAGAATGATAGAATCATTGCATCTCGACCTGATGTTACAATAAAAGCCAGCTTCGCTAAAAACATTGCTCAAAGTACTAAATGTTACTGTCTGATTCTATCAGAAAATATTGTTGAAATCAAGGATAATAGAGTTAAGGTTGTCAGTGTATGAATTCACAGACACTTGTAGGAAGCTTACTTTCGCTGAATCCGTAGGAGACTCTTGAAATACACCTAGATTATTTTAATAATTGAGTATCTAAAGACTTTTTTGAGTTTATGATTTAAGATCCTCCTCTTTAATCCAAGAATTAAACTTATCAGGATATCCATACCATTTAACAAATATTTCTTTTACTTTGTTTCTTGTTCTACGTTTCATCACTTTTTCGATTTTATATACTTCACTAGGGTTATTATAAAGTGTAAGTTCTTCTTCATAAAACTTTCCTTTAATTTCCTCATCTGCTAAGTCTTTGACAGAATACATTGTTGGCCCCTTTAGGGAAAGATGAACTTCAGAAATCTTGAATTGTTCAGTACTCCAGTTTGGTAAATAACCTTTATCAAAAATAGCTTTATATTTAGTAATTCTAACGGTATCACCAATTTTGAATTTTGTAGAATTTTCTATTTTATTATTAGATTCACCTTCTAATTTCGAAGGAAATAAGTTATTATACACAATACTTTCATTTTCTATTTTTTTGAAGCCTGTATTGGAGTCATTTTTTTATTGAAGTGTGATAATGATTATTATATCCTTTAACAAGGTCATCAAGGATATGAGTCCATTTATGATTTCCTTGATGAGTAAACAATGAGCAATCGAAATTCTGAGAAAACAGTCTATGTAACGACTTGAAGAATCTTCTCCGGAAGGGGAAAAAGTGAATAATCATTTGATTGTTGTTATTTTTTGTTATTTCATGTTTGTTGTTATTTCATCTTCTTGTTTTATTTTGAAAAACAAATATCTTGTTTGATTGAAGCCAAGTGAAAAAAAGTTAATACCTCAGGTGAGGTAGCCATGTTTGGGGGTTCATGGCTAGGGTGGAAGTGAATTCACTTTCTAGTGAAGACGTCCATTTTCACTGAACGTCCCCCATTTCACAAAAATCAAATAAGATATTTGTAGCCAAAAAAATTTTAACTTCTAAATTATGGAATTGGTTTACTGTTTCAAATGTAAAAAAATATACTGAAACAAGTCTTAACTCTTCAAAAAAATGTGTCATTTTAAACAATTTTTCAAAAAATGACCAAAAGGTCGAAAAAGTGCGTTATAAAAAAATGTGGTCGAAATCCAGTGGTCGAAATGGTCGAAATATTGCGCTAGAACGGTGAATAAAAAAATGCTAAATAAATGATCTTTTCAAAAAAATCTTAAACCTCTGACAAATTATGATCTTGAAGAACTTGTAAAATTATTAAAGATAAGAAACTTTAGAGGAATCTTCATGAGAGATACTTTACCAAATGAAGGAATTAAAGAAACAGAAGTAGGTATTGTAAATTTAGACACGATTAGCTGATTCCGATCAGAGGTAAAAAATTGTCATAAAATGATAATAAAAATGAAGAAAATGAGAACAGTCATACTACAATTAAAAGACCAAATATAAATTAACCAAAGAGAACCAAGTATTTCTAAAAGGAATAATTACCGGTCATGGTTTTAAAACTGTTGCAAAGCAATAAAAAGTGTTTTATTTATTTTACTGCATCAATGAAAAACAAAGAATTACATGGAGTAATAATCAAATGGAGGACATTTCGGTATTCAAACAAACTACTTAATCAATTTCTCTACATTGGATTTAACATCGCGAACGTATCGATTAAGATCACCACTGACTTCTATCCTTCCTCCATTTTTAATAATAAATTGTTCTACCAGAGATTTAGCCTGTTCAATTTTTTGTAGCAGGTTCCATTTTTCGATCGCTCCATTAATAATTTCTTTTCTTTGTTCTATTGTCACCCTCTTCAAGACATCGGAGATCAGTCGAGAGTTACAGTTGTGTAGCGCATTCCAAAAATCAGAACATTGATCATCCGTATGCACATAATCATCCTTCGGAATAACCCTAAAATAAAACAGGTTATATTTAGAATTTTTGAAGATTTTAGAATTTTTAACAAAACAAAAATTACCAAAAATCGACGACAACTGCGTCTCCTTCATCGGTTTGTCCGTAATTTCCTCCGTTTGTACCGACGTCCTCCAAACGCAGGATGAATTGAAGAAAGTCCACAAGGATCATGGCGTTGGAATTCACGGTTTGTGCCGTCAGTTGTTTTGCGACCGTAAAGTTGATCTCCTCCGTTGCAATGTATAGAGCTTTCCTGGTATCGGTTATTGGGATGGGAAAATGGACTTCTCCGCCGACTTTGATCAACGACAGCAACTAAAAAAATATAAATTAAAAACAGATATTATAATATAATAAAATGTTAGTTTTGTTCAATTAATTCAATAGAATACCTCGTATACGTAAATTTCCTGAACGAATGGCCGATTTATGCTACTGTATCTATTCGCAATGGACAAGGATGTTGAACGTGGGCCTCTCTGGTGGCATTTGATAAAGAATCGCCGACGCATGCCAGAAAACTTGACTTCACATACGTTGCCAATTGACGTCCCTTCGCTTTTATCTAAAAACGAATTTTATTAAAATTTTAGAGCTTAAAAAAGATTAATTGAAGCATAATGTTTGTTAAAAAAACAAATAGTATTCATATCAATATAAACATTATATTACCAGTAAATTGGATCGAAAAATCCGACAATTCTCCAGAATGCAGGCCCAAGAAGTGTTCACGAACGGTTCCTGTAAAAAATATTTAAAAAAAAAGTAAAAATTAACTTAGAAAATATAAGTAAATACTTACTCTGAATCATATCATCGTCTCCTTCAAGCATTGCACAAACTTTTTCGAGATATTCCTTCCATAAATTATATCGGTCTCCGCAGTTATAACCATGTTCAACTAATTTGTCCGACAGTTTCAAGGCAGTCTTGCATAAAGAAGTTTTATAAGAACGACGTCCTCCTTTTTTAGTCCCACTCTTTGCAGCATCGAGAAATTGTTCCCAAATCCTTTCATCAGCCATTTTTTCTGAAACAATAAATCGTTAAATTGTAGTGATGTAGTTAGAACTTTAGACTTGTAGTTAGGACTTAGCGCGCCAAACAAAGAGTATATAAGGCCTGCCAAGATGCTAAGCGACGCTCAGTTCTGTTGTCTTTAACTTTATTTATCACTCTCTTAATGTTTCTTGTGTTTCTATAATAAACCTCTAATGGTAGTAGAGTGTGTTGATAGCGAGTAACTTTAGTAGTAGAGGAAAGCGAGAGGATATTAATAAAGTGAGACAGAGGGACTGCGTGACTAAATAATATTCGTCAAAATAAAAATCAAAATCTCTTAGCAAGTCTATTCCGTAACAAAAAGTTGTTGAAAAATATGAATCCTAACATCTAGAATTAAACACTGTTTTAAAATATAATATAATAAAATTGGAAAGAAAACGCGAACTACAGAAGAAAAGGAAGTCTCTTTTCTATTCACCACAAAAGTTAATGGAAGAGTGCGATGCTTCCTCTGCGTCTCTGGTCACGCGTCTCTGCCTTCCACTCTAGCCTATCGCGTCGCGTGCGCCTCGTTCAACTGTGGCAAACGTGTTTGTGCTCGGTCACAGTGAGAAAGAGAAAAGAAGGTCACACAAAGAATTCGCGTTTTCTTTCCAATTTTATTATATTATATTTTAAAACAGTGTTTAATTCTAGATGTTAGGATTCATTATTTCAGCTGAAAACACGAAGAGAATCGGCTGAATCGCCGAAACTCCAACCTTCATCCCACCATGACTAATGCATTTTCGATCGTTTTATGGAACACTTTGTTGTTTTTGTTGTCACTCTCTCTTTTAGGACATATCTCGTTATAGATGGATTGCACCGGTTTTCAATCATTTTACGGATGTTTTTTTTGTAAGTACATGATTTTCGCCAAACACTGACTCACTTTAAAAAATACATATGTCAGGTCTTTTTTGAAATCCAACTAAAATGACCGGAAGTCTTTTGGAATGACGAAACGCTTTGATTTTGTTCAAGTTCAAACTGTTTCTCCATCCTGAAAACACGAAAATACTAACAAATGAATAGTTCTTGTGTCATGTCTTACGACTCGGATAACAGACCAACCATCGTTATCAAGGACGCTTAGTGCTGGCAACATAGAGGGGGGTGCACTCAGAAGTGGGCGGAGTCGTGGCGACCGCGCCCACTCCTTTGGCCGCCTTCTTTTCTCCCGCCAATTACGCTCTTCACACTCATTCCGCTTTATTTTTTCCGACGATCCGATCCAATCTCAATCAAATCATGTCCACCAAGAAGAAGAACCTTATCGTCAAGCTTCTCAAGTTTGTCGGCCGAGGAAGTGAGTTTTTATTTCATTTTTCTTTATTTTGTTCATGATAAAATTTCTCATCTTAAAGCCAGAAACACACAAAAAAATACTGATACCTTCAAATTCAAATTTTGAAACTTTTTGATATTTATTTTGTATTCATGAAGTCCAGCTAAAAAGGTACATTAGGGAATTCTCTTCCGAAACCATTTGGAAAAATAGGTTAGGATTCTTAGGTTCAATTTGAAACCCTTCTCAGAACCTGTCCAGTTTTCAGAACATTCAAAAATGTGAAAATTTCAAAACGAAAAATCGAAAATTTTCTAGTTTACTTTTGAAACATTTGTTCTACTGGGAAACGTGAGTATAGTCAACTTTTTCCCTCTAGACTCCGAAATGTTAGTTTAGTCGTTGTTCATCTAGCCTTACTGTTTGGCACGTGCTTCCCTGTGAGAAAGCTCGTGAATATCGATGACTTATGTTTGCGTGTTTGTTTATTTCTGGTCTACGAGATAAACGCAATGTTTCCTTCTTGTTGTCAACAAAAATCTTGAAAACAACCTCTTTTTGCAGACCAAGTACAATCCTCCAAGACGTGCCTCGCGCAGATTTACGAGGAGAGGAAAAAGCAACGCCAAAGGTTTTTTATATTTTACTTATTGGGACTTTCGATCATTTTTCTTCTTCTTTTTTCTGTTGGTGTTGCTTCATTTGCAGTGAAGCCATCTGCTGCCCCCGCATTCAAAGAATCTTGAATTATTTAACGGCCGCTTAAGATTCCGAATATTCCAGCTCCTCGGAGTGACGTAGTTCCCCTATTCTAGCAGGTGTTCACGAGCGTGAACCATTTTAGATTTGAATAATTGAGTTTCCAAGTCCTTTTGAGGCTTAGCAGATGTTAAAATGACTTGAAATTGAAACATTTAGTTCATTTGCAAGATCCAGAGATTTGCAGGTCTTCCACGTCGTCGCATCTGTCGCACATCGAACCGATGCCAACGATATTCGAAGAAGACGAATACGCCGCCTGCGAAGTCTGCGTCTGAATGCTTCAACTCTCCAGCTTTTCATAACGGGTCCTGTAAATACTACGTGTCCATCTTCCTTTTATAATTATTATATTGTTATTACTATCAGCGGGTTCATTCGTTCCAATGAAATTCTTACGATCTATGGTGTTTTTTGTTGATCGGCTATTCGCAATCTTTGGTGAAAAGAAGGTGGCGCGGAACGAAAAGAGACTTGTTTCTCTTTTACAACAACCGAAACTGCGAAAAGTAAAGCTTCTTAGCGGCACTCCAACGCCTGTTTCTTCTTTTCAACTCTCGCCATTGCGAACATGCATGGCCAAACTATTTTTGGCGTCACTAAGCCCGTATTTTGAAAATGTTAGATCTTCAATCCAGTTTTTCAAAGAAATTTTTCGAAAGATATCAAAAAGATCATGAGAGACGTGAAAACGACATTCAGTAAGCGACATTTTTCTACATGAATAGAATAGCCAAAAATTTCATTTTTTATAGTTCTGCGAATCGTCTTATTCTCTGAAAGTTCTTCACAATAAAATACGATGATTTCAGAAATTCAATTTTTTCTCTGCTAAAACTCTTCACCGAAAAAGCCACAAAAACTGCATAGATAATTTGTTAGTTGCAAGCGAGAGCTCGAATCGGCGGCTTCAAAACAAAAACTCTGGAGGTGAAAAATCTTCGAAATCGAAATTCCCCTGTTTTCCGAACTATGAGCCGTGAACTTCAAACCCTAAAGTTTTGTTTCGTTCTTAGCTTGAACTTGAGCCTGACTATTGTTGGAAGTGTGTCAGTAAACATGATAACTTATTCTTGGACTTGCTTTTGCTCCAGTATTGACGAGCGATACTTGGGTTGACGAATGCTGTTGTTCAGTAGGCTTTTCCCATTAATACCAAGTAGAAAGAATTTTTTCTCAGTGACTTTTTTCAGTTTTATTCTATGAAGTTGACACAAAATGAAATGGCAATATCAACATTAATCATGCGGAAAAGGAAAAATTTACATGTCAAGGCACTTAAAGCGAACTTCTCACTCTAAAAAGTTGGCAATGATTGCAAAATATCGAATTCAATATACAGAGTTCAAACAATGGTTTCTCTACGATTGGACAGCGAAAAACAAAATTGACGCCTGAAGCTGCAGTAAACCGAAAGAGTTGTTTTGTCTAGGAATGTTGTCAAAAAAACCTGTCAAATATACAAATGGTCGAATCAATTAGACATCTCTTTCGATCATGGAAATCGGTCCTTCGAGGTATTTGGCCATGGCGCGCAGCTTGGCCCGAACCATTCCAATTTCCGCTTTTTTGCTCGCCTGAAAAATCTATTCTTGTCCTTTCCTCAGCACGTGGCGCCGATAAACTGTTTGAGAGTTTGCAGGTGACACAAAGAGGGCGAAGATTAGTCAGTCAACAGATAACTGGCGAAACTTCATTATTTTCCGACCCTCTTTTTTGAAGTCGCCTGATAAAGAGCCGGAGCCAAACAAAATGATAAAAGTAGAGGACAAAAAATTTTAAAATCTATCAGATGTCTAAGAAAACTGGCCGTTCTATCAACCGTTTTTCCAACAGACAAAAAACTTTGAAAAAATGGCAGAGCTTCAAAAATTGAGAAAAAACTTGCAAATTTCTTTGTGTATAGGTTAGTCAAAATTTACTTTTCAATTCATCAGGGTGGGTTATATCTAACCTTATTTCTCTTTGTATCATCGCTAATTGATGTTCGCAGAGAGATAGAGAGTCAATCACATAAATTTTTGCTTTTTTTGCACTCTTAGGAATTGTAAGGGTAGCGATGAATAGATCATAACTACTTGCCAAGATTCTTCCCGAGTAGTCCGGAGAAATATGAGAAAGTTTCGAGTAGTCTTCACAAGTATCAGAAAACTTTGCAAAAACTGATTTTTGCATCGAACTTTTCCTGCTTTAAACTAAGAGTAATGATAAAAAGTAGCAAAGGTTTTTTTGAAGTATTTGGAAACGAGGAACACACTCAGAGAAAAGATACCAGGAATTACAACACGCTTTGCCCTTCACTTGTTCATTCGTCTTTTTTTCTTTACATTTCCGCAAATGGTACAAATGGTTTACACTTCTCATCTGTTCTCTTCAACATTTAACGCAAAAGTAGTAGCAGCTCGTATTCGGGGAAATGCACACAAGGCATAATCGTGAACAAAAACAGCACAACGAATCAGGTAAATGCAATACACAATAAAGGTCACTCAACCTATATATTTGGAAAACTTAACAACTTCGAACAAATAGCTTTTGATTCACTGAAAAAGGCCAGAGTAGTATCTGTGCAAAATCTCCTTTTGGGGTATTGAAGCTTTTCAGTTTTTACTGTCAATGCTATACAGCTTTTGAAAAAGAAAAGTTTAGCTTCTAAACTTAAAATTTGCGCAGATAGCGGCTATCTGAATTTGATTCTCCATAAAAAGTTTCACTTTCTGCAGAGAGAAAATTAACTTTATGAGCTTAAATAAAGTGTCCTCAAAGAAACAAAAAAAAAACCGAAATCCCAGGAGAGCCTTTTAACGAGCATTTTTAGCGTCCAAAAGAATGACGCGTTGTGGTTCGTTGAAAGCTCAAACTGCCAAACTCAGTTTTGAAAAAGCAATAAGAGTAGTTTTCAAATATCTCCGTGGGTTTTTCTTTCTCTTCGACGGAAGAGATATGGATGCTACATCAGAGAGTTATTATATTAAGCCAATTCAGCTTGTCCATCTATTTTTGCCAGGAAACGTCGTATCAAGCTTGAGGATTCCTTTGTGTGAGGAATTCTGACGTACACCGAGTAAGCCGAAATTAATTAGTTAATAGTTTTCAAAAATATGAAATCAGAGTTACAATATGGCGTCAAAAAGGACTTTTTTCTTCGTCTGAACCCCTTGAAGTAGTCTTTCATGATCGAAACTTTTGATCAAGCAGTTTTTTTAAAATCCTGCGCTTTCGATGACGTTGAAATTCACTTATTCGAAAACTGACTAGATTCAAAAGCAACACTGTCCGAATTTGGTTTGAGAAGCTTTTAGAATTCATTATCGTTGGAGTCGGACTTGCGGCTCAAATGTTCAACATGCCGTTTAGAAAAATAATTAGTGAATTGACTTTCAAATGACATCAGAAAACTATTATCTCTAGCAATTTATCCACCAACTACAGTAGGCGAAATGGGAGTTCGACTCGGCGTATTGATGAATTTCTTTCGAAAACTGATTATAATTGGTTAAATTACTTTTAATTGAACATCGTCATCTGCAGCCACTTTAATTTCATCTATTTTTAAAATGGAAAATTGGAGTATTTTTCGAAATTCTATAAATTTCTGATGCGTGTTCCGATTCCCTCTCCACCTCGAAACCCATAACTAATCAAGTAATTGACCTCGTAAGAACATGCGAAAATATACGTGTAACAATGACGCACGTCATCAGAAACGAAACCTGTTTATGGTCTTCGATGGCTGAGGATCAGAGCTGAGCAAGGCGATAACAGCCTTTTTGGAAAAAGAGAAAAACGTCACGGCGCGCTATAGACAAGGGCAATTATTTGGCCCCAACCTGTTTTCAACAATTCACAACTCGTCGCAAATAACAATAAGATATTTGCAGAATGTTATACTTTACCATTCGGAAGTTGAATTTGATGACAATTCCTCCAGAAGAAGAACACTTGACGTTGTTTTTTGTTTGTTTGTTTGTTATTTTGATAAGCCTGACGTCTTCAATGACACCATTTTAAAATTAAGAAGTTCGAAAACAGTTTCCGAATGATGTTTCAAAGGTGATTTCGTTTGAATAATGAAAATCAAGAAAAGGATGAAAAAATGATAAAGAAAACGTTTTTTCACTGCTGAAGGAAATCTAACTCATTTATAACTTTCTTTGCAAGTGGTGAAAGTGTGCTCTAACGAATAAATTGGCTTGTCACGCCTTCTTTCAGAGCCTAAAAAAATAGAAAGAATGAGAACAAAAAGAAAGAATGATGAGAGTAGGCTTGCCAAACACAAAAAATCTGAACTAGAAATTATTCAAAAATCACCTTTTTTCCTAGAATTTCTAAAGATTCATTTATGAACGCTTATTCAAAGTTTAATTCAAAGCAACATCAAATCTGGAACAAATTGACTTATTATGTGTGAGAAACAAAAATATGCCTAAAAATTTAGTAATTCTATCTTCTTTCTGAAATTTGGCTTTGCTTATTTTTCGTTTTTTTTTATATTGCCTCAAGAACCGAGAAAAATTCAAACCTTGAGGGCTAACAGCATATTGGCGACGGGGGCGATTCCGATGATCCCCTCGTCCATGACGATTATCGATTCGTTCAGATCTGAAGTTTTAGGAAAATTTTGTAAGGAGAGTAGAAGGAGATCGTACGTTGTTTTTTTTTTTGAGAAGATTTTCGTAACGAAAAATTATTTAAATGCAGCATTCGCTATAAAAATAAGAAAAATATTTGCACCTCGTCGGTCGAAACACGCCCAGATGCTCGAAATCCAGGTGGGAGAGACCTCCTCGCCGCTTTGTCCGAGCAAAAGTCCTTAAAAATAAAAAGCTTAATATTTAATTTGTGATAATATATATATATATATATATATAACGCAATGGACTCTGAACCGAAAAATATTGAGAAACTTAGATTTTTTGTGCTTTACTAGCCGCCTTTGAGAACTTGCAATTTTCCAAGCAACGCATTTTCAGTACGAAACTTCCCTAACTCATTGAATGTTGCTCACCCTCTTTGTTGAACAAAATCGCGCTGGTAACTTCATTGGTGTTGGCTTGCTCCAGGACTTGAATTAGAGCCTTTTGTTTCAACATCTAAAAGTTGACTAGACGATTCAAACAGAACGAAAAAAAAAAAAACAAAAAGGTAGTTGGATTGTCGAATCCATGAAAAAAGGAACCAAAAAATTGAGCGATTTGAAATTTACTGCGTAAAAAAAACAAAACATTGGACAACGTATTAGAGATCATAGGTTAGTTCAGCGACGGAATCTTCGGTTACTCGGTCCATCTGTGTTGACAGCTCATGTTCGCGCACACGTAGTACAGCCTCATTTCTTCCTGCAAACATTGCATTAACAAGGAAATTCGATTGAAACGATTCGAAAACTCCTTCAAAATTCTTTTTTTTTTTCCGTAACTGTGAAAGTATTACTTTTATTTTTATTTAATATTTCTGGGAAAAAAGGACCTCAGCCCTGCGAGTTTGCGCCTGGAAAAAGACAGAAACTGGATGAGTGCACTTGGGACACGGATGGTCCTCCGTTTTCGGCAAAGTCGGGTCGTGGATCACGTCCGCCACGATCTGCGTCAGTTCGCTGCAATCAGTACAATGTTTGCTGAGGTTTGTATACGTATCAAAAAAACTTTCTCTCCAACACAACCTATTATTGTTGTACTTGACATTCAAGAAAATAAGGCTGGTTTTTTATTTATCCTGCAAAAGTTTTCATTAGAGAACTTCCTTAGAGAAGCCCCGGATAGAAGGAAAATCGAAAAAATCTAAAATGCTAATAAAAACCATTTTCGTATGAATAAATTATTATTATTAATCATAAACCCGAAGAATGATAATCCCTGAAAGATGTTTTATGAATACTACAAAAAAAGAAAAAAAGAAGAAAATATCAAGGTTTGCCGAAGTACACAAAAGATAAAGAGATCGAGCCTTTTCAGCCAGACTCTCAACAATTTTGACAATCAAAAAAACTCACTCGACTTCGTGCATCAGCTTATTGACGTAAATACAGGGGTTATCGGCCAACTGAAAGAGATTATTTATACAAACAATTGGAAAAGGAAGATAGAAACCAACCTGACGATGTTCGCAGTTACGACAAGCGTACATCAGAACGCGGCTTTCCTTGTCTTCGCGCGGGTACAGCATGTTGTTACTTAAATAATTGAAAGTTCAAACAGAACAGTCCAAAAACGAACCATTCAGGACAGAACTTGATACCTACAAATCCTGGACCGCTCATTGTAAAATAAAATGTTTCTGCAAAAAAAAACTATAGAAAAACGACTAAGAAGCCCTTGGATCCAAATACAGCAACGTAAGAAACATTGTCCAAAGGAGTAATAAAAAGCGAAAAAGAATCAAAATCTTTATTCGTATATACAAATTAATCATGTACATCGAGGATTATCCTCGTCGGTATTAAACTATATTAGGCTCCCATAAATTCTATAAAAAAGAATCTTAAACTTTGTGCCCGGAGAGAAAAAAGGAATTATGATTTGTTCGAGAATTCACTCGTCCCAGTCGACCCAGCCGTCCTCCTTGGCTGCGGGAGTGTCCGTAGAAGGTCGTGGCGTCAGAGGACCAGTTTCATCTTCGTCATTCGAGAGGATCTCCTGCAACAATCTCTAATCATTTTTTATTTAGAGAAGCACATCCTGCAATTTCAAAATTTGAAAACCTTCGATTTTTTCGATATTATCGAAATTATTTTCGCTAGAAAGATAAGCTCAACCTCAACGTTTTTCTCGCTGCAAACGCTCCAATCGGAAGACTGGGAGGGGCTGGTGGGCTCCTCGACGACGACGGCCGATCCTTCAGAAGTCGGTGTCGATTTTTTCGACGAAGGCGTGCTCGTCTTCTTCTCTATAACTATACTGCTCAGCCACCCTTTCACAAATGTTTCTTCACCCTTCTCAGCCGCTTTCTTGGCTTCCGTGTCCACTTTGAGCACGTCGGCACAGAAGGAACTCTTCAATTCCTCGTCCATTTCAGCCATTTCGACGGCATAAAAGTAGCGTGCCCAGAAATCCGCGTTGCTCACAGTGGCGGGAACCTTAAAAAAACGGTTGAAAGTTGAAAACGAAGCGAGAACTTACAAGAGTGGCAAAAAGTTGGCGCATGTGTGGGTTATTGGCCAGCAACATGTTGATCTCGCCATCATACTCGTCTATCCTGCAAAAATTACAAAATTTCATGAAAAGTAGGTTTGATTGGGATCTTAGGTCAACGATCTGAGTCATTCAAAATCATTTTTGGCTTTTCTTACACGCTCAATTCCCTGATTTTCCATTTTTTATCTATTTTTTAATGAATGAAGCCTTCTAGTGGAAATTCTAGTCTGATTTTTTTTAGAACTCAGCGTCCTATTCTTTCGATGTCATACAAAGAAATGAATGGAGGTTGGTAAAATGAAAAAGAAAAAGTTTAATTTCATAAAATACATAAACTGAACGTTATTTTTGCTGAATTTTTAAAGTGTACATGAATAATAATGAGCAAACCTGAAACGATCGAGCCAACGGGTGAAGACGTCGTCATTTTTATTTTCGTTGGTGTAAGTAAGCTCCGAATTCTGGATCTCCGCAAGCTTCAACTGAAAAAAGAGGAATTAAAGGAATCTAACAGTGAAAGAGTCAGGGCAAACCGGCGAAATAGCGGTTTTGCGAGCAGGTTGGGGACGGATCGCCTCTGTAATTAGTTCCTCGTCTCTAGTCGTTTCCTCCATCGCCAGACTCTTGACCGTGTCGCTGACCGTGCCGACGAAACTCCGCACCCAGCCGAATCCGACGCCGCCTTTCTCGCTTTTCTCCTCGGAAGCCTGAGGACCCCATTTACTACTGCCTCACGAAAGCCGTGATCTATATTTTTTCTGAGCAGCTTACTTTTTTCGCTAAAACATTGACTTTAAATTAACAAATTCGTTGAGCTTTTAGAACGATCGAATCAATTACTCTATACGAAATTTAAATATTTTTTGGATGAAATAGTTTTTTCAAACAAAATTTAAAAGAAAGACTGAGTTGAAACCCCAGTTTCGCCTCCGGGAAATTCCTTGGTTTCTTCTTCAGGCGTCACCAACTTCTCGAGCATTTGCGCTTGTTGCTTAACAGCATTGGCTGCCGTACCGAATCCTTGAAAAATGAGGAATTTCAAAAAAATGGGTTAAAATGAATTTTTTTCTATTCAGAGAGCTAGAATATCTTCAGATTTTAAAAGAAAACTTGATAAACTAAAAAATAAAAATCCCAATAAGAAAAAAAAAATATATATATAAACCTTCTTTCGCAGCACTTGCCAAATCAGTCACTTCTGCCGACATGGCGTCGGTCAGTTCAGACAAGTCCTTCTTCACCAAATCGAGTGTATTCATCGTCTTTAATCAATTGGAAGTTCATGAGTTCACAATTTCAAAATCAAAAACTTTCTCCCTGGCACTGGAAAGAAAAGAAGCGCCCCATGAGGTCCCCTGGTTGAGCCACGAACTTGCGCTGGAAAATCTTGGCTGCTCCGGTTGAGACTCAGACGTGTCCTCCACCTCTTCTTTTTGTATCACCTCTTTTTCAGGGTCCATCTAGAATCCGAATAATCTTCTTACCTTTAGAAAATAAAGTGTATCGATTGGAAACTAATCACAAAGAAGATACATAAAGATACGAAAATTCCACGTCAGGGTTGAATTTTTTTCAACATCCTTTAAAAAAAAATAAAAATAAAAAAAAAGGGATTCCAACTCATTGCAGTTTCCCTATTTGACCAAATCATTTACACAGCCTCAATGGAGAGTTGAAGAAGGGAAAGTTTCATGTCATGTGACCTTCAAACTTTATATTGAGTAGAACGAAGATATGTTTTTAAAAAAACCGAGTGATATTATCGATAATAAATTTTCTAAAAAGATTATATATACCTATTCTGTAGAAGTATATTTATGAATTTATCTGAGAAAACACTGAGGAACTTTAACTGCAGCTTCGTTTCGGAACAACGCAAAGTAATATTTTATGTTTCAAAAAACATAAATATTCCTGTAGATGTAAAGCAAACAAAATCCTTTCTTTTTCATCCGCAAAACCGCGTGATGCATTAATAAACTTGACGCCACGGGCCAGATGTGACGCATTTGTTGAAAAAGATATTTGGAGTGAATACTTGGATATGGTTATAGCCGAAGAAAAATCAGCAGACCTTTGTATAGGAGTACAAAAAAACTAAGAAATGCATTTTGTTCAACATGTTCAACAATTATCCTAATAAGTTCAGGGGAGTAACGTTTCTTAAAGGAGTAGCGTTAACTTAAAAGATAACATACTAGAGAAGAGGTTATTGTCACATGTGACTAGCCGGTTCCATTATTTTTTTAGCACTTTGAACATATAAAAATTGAAAAATTATAATTCAAGAATAAAAAAAGGAATTTCGAGTGTTCTGGGGCGGAGCGTCACGGTCGAAAGAAACAAAAATAATTGTGTTTTGCGGGCTTGGCCTTTTTGAGATTCACGGCCGTGCGCTTCAATTGCAGCTTTCGACCTTTTTTCCTTTTTTTTCACTCGGTCAATAATTCTATATTTTCTATTAAGACTAGTTTTTACAGGGTCAGAAGGATGTGGATTTTCGGCTATGGTTCTTTAATGTGGTACCAAGATTTTTCCTTATGAGCGGGTGTGCGGGTTTTTTTCGTTTCAAAAAGCGTTTTTCTGTAAATAAAAAAATGTTCCAAAAATATATGATTTTAATTGATTAATGTTAAAGAATTTTCTTACAAGTATAAGATTTTTTTAATTGATTGATGCTGACGATCACTTTAACTTTTGTAAGCTTAACATTAATTTGCACTTTTGGATGTAATATGAAAGCTTTTTGAGTCGCTCACCGGAACCGTTCGAAACTTCGCCCGCAGATTTTGGCAGAAGAGTCCAGATCACCGAGGAACTCCGGAAAGTGTGCGTTAATCTTCAAACTTCTTGTTTCTCTCATTTTTGCAAGGACTTTTTTTCACTAACACACACGAATCGGGCAGGGGTATCGCGATAGGGTCAGTAGTCTATTAAAACTTCTGAAGTCTAACGAGGGTACCACGGTTATACCATGCAATTATAGAAAAATGCGATAGACTTGCGGTATACCACTCAGCTATACCGGTAGAGCTTCGATAGTGCTGAAGTATATACCGGAGGTATGACGATGAACATGTTATTATACCATCCTGATCCATTTTGAGATATATGCTTGGAATACTTTTTTTTACCGGACTTCGAATCGTCTATGCAACAACTTTCTTAATATTTAAAATATGGCTCAATTTTTCAAACGGCATCGAAATCGTTTCTCTTTCAAAGAACATTATCAATGTCGTTCTTCGTTCAAAATAACACCTCAAGAGAAATTTCTTTTTATTTTTTTACAGCCTGGCCGAACGGTGACTCTGGTACCAGAAAAAGACGCCGTCGTCTGGGGAATAGCGTTCAAAGTTCCAGAAGAACATGTCGTCGCCACTAAAGCTTACCTGGATCATCGAGAAAAAGCAGGTTACGAGGTTCATTTGATGCGATACGAATTTGAAATTTATCGCTAAAAGCTTTTCAGAATGTTAGCGTTATGTTCCAGCCAGACGATCCAAATATTGAACCCTTTAATGTTGAGGTTAAATATTAATTGAGTCCTTCCGTCCTACAGTGTTTCTCAAGGTTTACATGTCGATAGACGCTACTAGTGAACACCATGCAGGTCCCGCGAATATTGATGAAATCGCAAATATTGTGAGAAACTTATTGGGTTTTCGGGCACCTAATGCTAATTTTTGAGGTAATTCGAAGTCACGGACCTTCAGGTCCGAACATTGAGTATGTTTTGCGGGTTGCTTTGATTTTAAGAGAAAAGGTAAAGTCATATTTTACTTAGTTCAGCCAAGGCTTTCAGGGATCTCATGTGCCCGACGAACACGTTTTCGCGTTGGAGAAGAGAGTTCTCGAACTGAGCAAAGAAAATAAACTAGGAGTCGAAATTCTTCGGAAATTGGGGTATTCAGAGTCAGTTTTCCTTTACGAGAATCAAAGTTATTAATTTTGATTAATTTTTTTCTCTTTTTCAAAAGAATTATTTTTTTCATAGAATACACGAATAATTATAAAGGGGATTCCAGAAATCGTGATAAGAAAGAAAGTGGAAGTAAAGGAATTGTAGCCGAATAGGAAGGAGCAGTTCGCTCTGTGGAAAATATAAATTTTAGGATAGTGGCATTTTTTTCAGTTTAAACCTTGAATTGGAAGAAAAAATTTCTTAAAATTCTGTCAAAAGCATAACATTTTTCTTTTCTTAGTTTACACGCTATTAATATTTTCAGCATTATTTTTAATATCAAGAAGAAAAAATTAAGTCAGTTGTTTATATTATTGGTATTAATAGTTGATGCATTTTCTGCTTTCTATCGTTTTAATTAATTTCAATAAAGTTAAAAATCAAAATCAAAAAAAAATTCGCGTTCTTTTTAGCACCGGAATGAGAAGTACCTTGCATAAAATTACATCGATATTTATTCAATTTTAAAGTATTTTATTTGAACCGAAAATTATTCTTTTGATCTTCCCATCAGTTCTCCATCTGAAGCTTTTCAGTTAACCTACCTCATAATACCCAAAAAGTAACCCTAATCTTTTTTTTCAGAATGGGAGATCTTGCCGAGGCCGTCGAAAAATGAAACCACCATTTCCGACAATCAATATGTTTGACTTTTAGCTAGGTACCTGTGATGATAGGAAACTTTCGCCACAGTATTTGCTCGCATTTCTTTGGGCACTCCAAGGCGCGTTCTCCACGAATCGATCGATGATTCACTGTCCTCGCGCTTGTTTTTCTGGTCTTTCCTGCCCCATTTCAATTATTTCTTGTTGAATTTCTTTAGATGATGAATATCGGATGTGTGTTGTCCTTTCACGCGATAAACATTTTTTTCTGATTGTTTCACAATTTTTTGTTTCTTATAGTCGTTATCATCGGCTTGCTACTCGAAAAAATTACTTTATCTATTTTCACATCATTTTTGTTTTTTTTACTCTGTTCATCGCAACCTTCGAACATAAAAATACTACAGTGGGACCAGAACCTTTTTTGCAAACTTCCTTCTTAGTTAATTAAAGATCTGCTTTCAATTATTTTTTAAACCAAGCGGTGGGGATGGTAAATGTGTCGGAGTATATTTTTTGAGAAACAATAAAACTGTCCTCGAAAAAAGAAAATATTAACATGTCTCTAGAGAGCTGTTTATACTTTTGCCATGCGGTCACGGGTTTATAACCGGAAAGACTTAGTCACATACCACCTTGAACGCCAGTTTTCTCCTTTTTTTTCTGCTGTCGACGTGTTTTCGTTTCAACCTTAACTAAGTAAAAATTTAGTTTTATCTTCATTATCGGAATTCTAGGTATAAAACTTCAAAACTGATCCTCTCATGAACAACGTCGACCCATTAAACGCACAGGTTTAACTTGAAATGTTCTGTTTTCCCAAATGGATCGCTTTTAGGGGGATTTTGTACCTCAAATCGTCGGCGTTGATAACTTTGGACACAGAAGGAATGAAAGCGCAGATCTCAGAGTCGTTGAAAAAGAATCCGAAGTCCTTTTGCGCAAATATTCCGGAGGCGCTTTGAGCGATCGTGAGTTGGTTTTCTTTTTTTTTTCCTAAACGGATGCATTTAGCTAAGAACTAAGTCCAGAATAGGTCAATTTTTTTTCGAATCTCAAACTTTCGAAGTTTTTAACCTAAATGCCTTTTTTCCTCAAGCACATTAGAAAGTAAAAGATAGGACAAAAAATGAGGATATTTTTGAGATGTATAGTATATCTATAGCTCGCTTGAGATTTTATCATATTTAAAAAATCGCCTAAAAAGCGTACGAAACAGAGGTTTTTAAGTCTGCTGTGTTCCAAGTTAGCGGTGAATGAAGTATGTGTGAAGTTTAAGTTAGAAAATTTTATGTGCAGGTTTTCAAGCGTTTTTATGAAAGCATCTTTTTTCAAGTCTATTTATTATCTGATCAAAAAATTTGATGATTTAAAACTGTTTCGATTTTTCGTATTTATTTGAGGAAACTGTGAAAGGCTAAACATTTTTTTATCATGAAATTTAAAAGAAAAATTTCATAACTAACAGTTTGTGGGCGTCAAAGAAAAAAATCGTACTATGTTTGATGACATCTACGGAATATCTGGCCTTATGAGACAATAAATTTTTATCAGTTTTGTATTTCCTGATAAAAAAGATAATTTTCAGCACCATACGTCGCGAAAAAGAAACTGAGTTTATCACGCAATGTCAACCTTCCGATTCGAAAGGTACTAGAAAAGCAATGTTTCATAATCATGATTTTTTCCAGAGTTCTTTTGAAATGCAGCATACGAAAATTGATATTTCACCCGTGACAGAATCTCCGCTCGGAGAGACTTTCAGGTGAGAAAGTCAATAAGAAATAAGTTGCATTAGAAAAAAGTTTAGAAGTGCGGCCGAATTTCCGACAGACGATTCGAATGAAGTTTCTTTAAAGCAGAAAGAAGTTCTCACAATCCGAATATACTTGTCCCGTTGTGTGGATGACGAGGAGGACGAAACGGAGGAAAATGGTTTGTGAGAACTTTTTAGACGGAAAAATGATTCTAAAATTCTGCGTAGACTTGGCTCACCATGGATAATCAAATCCAAAGAAAGATCAATATTCTTATGGTTTGAAACGAAAATCAAACTTGATCACTTCAAAAATCAAGTATTAGATATTTTAAATATAAGCGGACTTTGAAAAAGTTGAATAAAAAAGAAGTTTTAAAAATTATATTTCGGCTTTTTCTTTCTCTTTTTTCAAAAACGAAGGTTTTCCGAGCCAAAAAATTAATAATTTGGTTTTTTCCAGTTTCTGGAGTGCAATTTGTGATCGAAGGAGGTAGACTGGCCAACGCGGAACTTCTGCTGCGGCTGATGGCCAACCAGTGCAAGATCCCGGCGGACGTCGCCTGCGAAGCCTTCGCTCTTTGGATGGTCTCTTCCCAACTTGGTATCACCTTCGCTCCGTTAAGACAAGCCTTTTTTTTGATCTCCAGAAGTTCAACTGAAGCCTCATCACAGGCCTTACGAGGTTCGCTGTGGCTGGAAGGCGTGCCTCGCGAGGTTCGCCCCTCTGGAGACTGACGTCATCATCGAGGAGCCTGTGCTTTTCTTCCGCCGAAGTGTCCATCTCAGCGTCAGTCGAGAACATCAGGTATCGGAAAATCATCTGATGGTTTCTCTCATATTCGACCTTTATGATGGGGAAAAATTACCCTCAGATTGTAGAAAAATTTTTTGGTCCCGTTTGAATCCCTAAACCTTCTTATTGCACTGGATAACTTTTTTATTACCTTATTCTTAATTTTTCCTCATATCGAAAGATAATTGAAACAAATATAGGTTTCTTCCGATGTTATATATTGAGTTTTTTTCTCCGATATATTTTTTTCTTTTTCTCAGTTGACTTTTTGGCTATAACTTTTTTTTCAAAGATCTATTGGGCAACTTTTGACGCAAAATCGGGAATTAATGCAAAAAACTTAGTTTCTTGAAACCAGTCTCATTCAGAAGTTTGATTGCGACCAAAACATGTATTTGGTTCCCTGACAGAACTCTCGACATTGAAAGGATACCATAAGAGCGGTTGCAGATCATCGGGTCCTACCCGGAATGCGCAGAACTGCTTCTTCTGGACGCGAAGACGGCGCTACAGTCGGACCGTCTTCCGATGGAGGCCGAGGCCGCCGCCCACATTGCCGGTCTCTCTTTCGCTCTACAGTATGGCGCCTTCAACGAGAAACTCCACAACATAGAGTTCATTCGGTTGGATGACGTCGTCCCTCTTCCGAATGACTAACTCTTCTCTTTTGCAGGAAAGCAATCGAGGCGCATCTGCCCAATAGTTTGTGCAAACAAATACGTGGAACCATGATTTTCGGCAAGGCGTTCAAGGGTTCAACGTGAGATTCTCGTGACCTTTAATCTTTTTCAGTCTTATTTGTAGAACCAACGAAGAACGCCTAATGAAAGCGTGGCAACTTGCTGGCTCGAAGGAGAAATACGAGCTTGAAGTTGATATTCTGAAAGCGTTATCTGATGCCTCCTCATGTTATGGGTTTGTTTCAAACCATTAGCGAGCGCAAGTTATATTTCTTCAGTCGTTGAGAAGTTTATAACAAAATGATTCTAATCACCTTAAAGTTTTTACCAAATTGGAAGTTTGAAATTGTTTCGGAAAAAAAAAAATTATTCTCCATGAGCTCAGTTTTTTTTTGTTTTTGAAAAGGTAGGGTCTCTCAAAAAAGAACCGTTTATGCTATAATTTTGGCACCTTGGAAACGCAATGAGCCATTAACCACTCTTGCGAAACAGGATAGTTTATGATATATACATTAAATTGGTTTTTTTAAGTTGAAATTCATCCATGTCTTACCTTAGCGTTGAGTTAGCTATAAACAGTTTGTTTGTGCATTTTTCAAAAAATGAAGTTTAAATTTAGTAGTTAAATCTTTTATTTAAGTTTGTCATTTCCAGAAGCGCCTATTTCTATGGAACGATAGAAAGGCCTTCGATTTCCCCACTGAAAGACCTTGGAAAGTTTTTCCAAGCGGTCACCGGCGGCGGACTGTCGGATGTTGAGGTTCGAGACTCTCCTCAGAAAAAGAAAAAAGGGAAACTTCAGGTACGAGTTGGCGTCAACGAGGAGTTCATCACGGTGTTCGACCTGGAGAAAGAAGAGATCCTTCTCGTGCAGAAAATCGAAGACTGCACTTGGCGACGCGTCGACTGCGAGATCGACGGCGATTCCGAGTGCGAATCCCAGCTTCTGCTCCATTTTCCTGACGAACAAGTCAGCAAATCTGGAATCAATATTGGATCTACAACGTCTTCTACTCGAACGAATCTTTTGCAGGTTTGTGGGGCTGCATATTTCTGGAAAAATGATAACTTTCTTCGAATGTTACGCAACAAAAAACAGAGTGGTTTTAATCTTGCCATGGTCCTTCTACTTGAAGGAATTTTATTCACAGTTAATTTTTTTCCAGCTTCTCAGAAAAAAAATTTCTTTTTTTTTTCGATTTGCTGGGAAACAGCTTTTCTATGTTTGAAAGTTGAAGACCGAAATAGTTCCTTAACACATCTTAAAATTTCCTCTTCTCATCATAATTTGACAGAACTACTCAAATTCAGATTGTTCTATTGTTTCAAAAATGCGGATATTGACATAATATGAAAGGTTTTACTTTTCTGAAGTTGCAGAGCACTCAAAATATATAGAGAAATGCTATAAAAAGTGAAATCATCAAAATATTTTCTCTCAAGATGTAGCAATCCTTTAATAACACTACATTTTTCAGATTTTCGGAAAACAGGTGGTTCTGGTGGAAGTTCTTCTCAACACACAGAGATCAGTGCGTGAGAGAAACCTCGACGAATTAATCTCCCCGGTAAGTTTTTCAAACGAGAGTCTGCTGTTTTTTGAACATTTCTGGGCTTTGGTCATCAGGAATTTTCATGAGAAAAAAACTGAGTGTATGTTTTACAGGAAGACGCGGTGGGAGAACTCTCGGACTCTTCAACGTCTTCCTCGCCTCCGAAGAGCTACCACTCGACGACTTCTAGCGGCTCGAGACACAGCGCCGTCTCCAGAGCCGCCTCTTTCTCCAAATGCAACAAACTTTGCTTGGCGCGCTTCGAAAACGGAAAGTGCGTGAATGCTCGTGGAAGCCTCAAAAAAGTCTTCCAGCCCAACAACAGCTCTGAACAGAGTGTCTGTTGATCTGTACTCAACCATTCTCCTGTCTTGATTCATCGAAAAGATTAGCCTCGCTTCACTTAACGGGTCTATGAAAATTAAGCTTTGAATATTGATCTCAAAAAGAAATTTCTGAAAATTTAGCTTGGAATCCAAATTTTGATCAAGTTTCGTGTGGCTGAAAATTTTCTTGAAGTCTTTTCAAATTTGAATGTCAAGTAATCGCTCATTCCTCGCCCCTAAAGGACGTCATTGTTAGTGGCATTCAAAATCTGAAAGGACTATATCATATGCAGACTTCATTCTCTGTGCTGAATTTTCGTGGACCTGATTCCTTTCATCTTCAGCGAGCTTTTTTGCTTTTCATTACGGGTTGCTTTGCTGGAAAGTCAGTTGGACTTTTTCTCACCTTATTGACTGTGCTGAAATTCAAAAATGTACCTTCTTTTTTATTGCTTCAGGCAACTCTTCCAGCTCTTAATGTAAAAATAATATTTTGTTAGCCTTTTGTTAGCTTTTCTTTCTGTGTAATTAGCGAACATTCGGTTTGATTGTATAGCACTATATACATTTTAAATAATCTAATTCGTACGCATGTTTTCATTTTCCCGGTGTCAATACGATTTCGACTCATTACCTTTTTTTCAAATTTTTTTAAAGAAGGCTCTTCTTCTAGAAAATGTAAATAGTCATTAAGTAGGTTGCTTGAGCAGCCAATAAATTAAGCAACAACGGATAAAAAAATAAACTTTTTTTTTCTCCAAATGGGAGTTTATGTAAATTCAGTTTGTGGATGGGGTAATCATGAAACCTGAATAGAATGATGTGACGATCCCAGAAAGTTTTATACGCCGATAGTTGGAGACAAAGCAAAAAAAAAACTGGGATTAGTTGGCCGGAACGCTCGTCAGCTTGTTTGAGCAAATTTCGTTCCGGAGCCCTAATCTCTTGTTGGAAGACCATGAAAGTGTATGGCTTACTTTGAACTACTTCAACAGAAGCTAGTATAAAAGAAAGAGAACAAAATAAAGTTCGACATCTCGTTCTTTAATGTGAACAAAAATTGAAGGAAGCACTTATCAGCTACTCACCAGGGTCAGTCATCTTATTGTCCATTACAGTAAGCGGCTTACTATTTAGTAAGTTTTTTACAGCTAACTCTCATACTTTCTAGATTCAAAAGAAGCAGGCTAGCCCGGCTGATCTTGTCTGATGAGTCTGGCTAAAAACTGGCTCGCTTGTATCTGCGCTCTGATGCAATATTACTGTAGTGTGACGTCATCGCCTGCAAAAAAAACCAATCCAATTTTTTTTACCAATCTTTTCAAGTTCGATGTTTCGCAGCTTTTTCAGTTTTCGCTTTCTATTGTTTTTCTTGAACTCGAACTGATGGCTTCTTAGCGACATTTCTCACGAAAAAATCCTTGGGGAAGAAGTTTACGGCATTTTACAGAATGCATAAAAAAAGCTTTGAAATTTTGAACATTTTCCACATGAGTGAAATTTTTCTTCAAGTTTAATAGATTTAGGCTCTGCATTGAATGTTTAATTTTTTTTTTTCTATACTTATATTACGCAACTGTATTTTTAATGAACCTCGTCTGTTTTTTTCAATTTACTTTTTTTTCTTTTCACTTTTAAAGAAGTGAATAGGTTGAATGGAATATCTCTTGATGAGAGTCTCTTTTTTCTGTTTAGGTTTTTTTTTCGCGAATAAAGAGTCAGTAACAATTTTTTTGGGTGCTCCATTCAGTTTTTAAGGAATGATATATGAAACTTTGAAGGGTTTTCTGAAGACTGAAAATTTCGACTGTAAAAAATAGTTGACGCGAGCCCAGTGTTGACTTGATTTTCAAAAAAATGGGTAGACGTATCGCGAGCCGAATCGCTCTCACGCGACTCGTGACCGCCGGCGGCCGCCGATTTTCTCTAGAATGTTCGCGTTGTGCGCTATCTTTACGTTTGCGCTCACACTCACTAGCCTTCGCACTCACACTTGCTGGGCTGCCAAGTAGCCGTCTGCGGCCGCTTCGCTGCTCTCCGTTCCTTCTTTCGAACTTTTCCAGCAAGTCCGAGTTGATCCTGTACTTGCCTCACGGCGTTCTTTTGACGACGCCCCTCCCACAATTTCCGTAATATTTGACGTCTTTTGTGCATACACAGAACGACGCTAACTCGCATACTCATTAAATTCAAAAATAATTTTTTTCCTCGAAAAATAGCGTTTTTTCAAAACTATAGACGTGGAAAAAATCGATCCTTTCACAATTCCTTTTCTAGTTGACAAAAAAACATTTGGGTGAAAGTTTTTCTTATTTTCTGAACACTTTCATACCTTTCACCCTCAAAATTGGTTGAAGTCCTTTTTTTTTGAGTGAAACGTGGAGTTTTGTGCCGAAAATGACTTATTGTGGTTCTATGTGTCTTTCCCGACTTATTGAAAATTGAAAAAAAAGTTTTCTTTACAGATTTAGTTTAGTTCATCCACCTAGTGGTATTTTTTTCTCCTCTGCAACATCGACATACCATTCTGATGTTGCGAAAATGAAGAGATTGATTGATTCAAATAAAAAAATTTAATTTGACACTGAGAATGTTGCTGAAAGGCTTTTTGCTTTAAAGGGAGAATTTGGTCAAAAACACAGCAGTTAATATTGAAAAATTGAAAAAGTTCCTTCGCATTTTGCTGTCGCAATAAAAAAACAATTACCGTAAATCAGTACAAAACAGATAAAGATACAGCTGAAATAAACATGAAAAATCACGTGAAGCACTTGAGCAACAAGAAATTCAAATGTTCGCGCGCAAGCTGTCTACCGTAAATCTAGGTGGAGCAACCCTTCCAAGCCGCTCCACATTTTCAAAAATTTTACATTTTCTTCCACTGCGCAGAACGCCGTGGCCTCATTAGAGAATTGGGCCGGTCCGGTCCAAGAACGGAGTAATTCTGGTTATATTCTCGCGGGTGTCGACTCTCAAAACTTTTCAAATAAACAAATTTGAATCTACCGTCTCCCAGCGACTTTTTTCGCCTTCACATCTTGACATAGTCAGTTCAATATGTTCGTGTCTAGGATTGTAGCTTAGCTACCAATTAAATATTCATGTTCTTTTCGGTCATAAATTAAAAATATGTAGGCCATTGTCCGCTGCGATTCAAACATCAATGTTATCAGTTCCATATCTTTGCAAATTCATAGTCGCTTTTTTAGGAAAAAGCTTCTGTCAATCATGTGTTCATTCATCACTAGCATGATTATCTTATTTTTTACTCCTACGAAATAATTTGAGAGAGTATGTAAGGGTAGGCGAACATTCTCATTGTTGCAGGGGCTTTATATTTCTCAGGCGTTTCTGTTTTTTGATTCACGCGAAACATGTGACTTTGGCTTTTAAATGTAATCGCTTTAAATTATTTTTTTCTCCTGCTTTATTGTTCTCCACCGTGTGAAAACGTGTCATTTCTCTTGCACCATCAGCTCACTGAAATTATTCCATTTCCCCGCTGGAATCATTCACTCTTCGTGTGGTGAGAGTGACCAAGATTCGCTCTTTTTTATTGAAAAGAAAAAAAAGATGGTTCGACTGGCTTGTAGGTCACTGCATCTCGTTTTAAACGTCCAGCCATCGCGTCTTTTCTTATCTTCCTACAGTAACATCTTGTTGACAAAGTCGGCGCTTTTCAGAGAACAAAATCTACTCTCAAACCTTCGTCGTCATGGATTCCGAAACATTCACCGTTGAGCAAGGATTTCATCTCTTTGCTCTTCACCACAAGTGGGTGATTTTTCCATCAAGAAATCAAGAAATCTCACTTTCTATAATTATTCATGAAAGTCTTTCTAAATTTATCTATAAACATTTCATTCAAATCAAGTTTATTTTTAATTGAGGAATGAAATCGAAGTGAGAAAATCGAAAGGAGAGAAAGATTTGCTCTAGACTTATTTGTGTTGCTCATACACCTTAGTGCAATATTTTTGTGAAGCTTCATATTTTTTTTACTTCTTAGTCTATGGAAAAAAAGCTTGAAAAAAAAAATCTTTTTTTTTTGTTTCTTTTTTTCTTTTTTTCTTTTTGATAGTTCAAACAATAAATTTGATAACACTATGGTATATATATTTCACAAGGGGTGTTCGAGCAGACAAGGAACTATTTTTTTCGCAGGCAAAAGAACAATTGTCAACTGGAGGTGGTGCTGGAACTGTCAGCTGCCGTGTGTGAGCCGCAGTTCCGAGCCGGTGAATGGGTCGTGCCATGCGATGTTGTGGGGTTGGACAGCAAAAAAGCGAAAGTCGTCAAGGTCAGCTCGGAAAAAAAAACATGAGGAGATTGAGAAAAACGTCTTCAGATCCGTTTCCATCCGTCTGTTGAAGAACTCAGTCGTGGGGACAAGGCTGTTCGCGAGGCCGCTTTTCGTGATTCTCTCAAGGTTTGTTCCTGGAGAGCTGCCTTCGAATTATGCTAATGGAACGCAATTTGGGAGTTTTCATAGTAAAAATAAAGGAGTTTGGGTTCACTTTTGCACACCAGGAACCAATAATGAGAATTTTTCAAAATTAAAGGCTGAAATGACCTTGAATTTTTTTCTTATCAGGGCAGGGTGCTTTTTGGCCTGACTAACAAACTTTGCGTTCTTCGAAACTGGGAACAATGCATTAAAATAAAGATTTTGGAAGTTTTATTTTTATTAAATTTTTATTCTATTTCAAAGAAAGTATTAATTGCTAGTATTCTATTTTTTTACTGGATATAGTCTGTTCAAAAAAATTTTTCTGAGGTGTTCCAAACGTTTGAATATCTATAGCTCGAAGTTCAAAGAAAAAAGGTCCTTCAAGTGCCCTCGTCAGGATTTTTAAACTGACTATATTCCTACAAATTCAGTTTCTTTTGCACATTATGCAAACTCGTCCGAAAGAGTTTGCCTTTTTCCCATTCTCACGATCTTTTTTTAGTACATCGACGACCTTCTGGAAGACTCTGTTTGGACAAGAAAGGAAATCGACGTGAAAGACCGTTTTGAGGAGTTCGTCGAGAAGATTGCTACCTGTCTAACTACAAATCGTGCAGAACTTTTTTTGACAGACGATAGGTAATTCCTCTGCTGTACGAAGATCGAATCCACGATTTTTTTTTTGCAGATTAGAGCTGAGTTGGTTCTGTAAATGTGGTGAAAACTTATCTCCTGCGTGCAAGTCTGACTACGAGGCTTTGATGGGCTACATGGCCCTCAAGTCGTACAGCCACGCAATATCCACTCATGTCTATGGTTTATTTGAGAACCTTCGAAGTTATCTTATGCATGAATTGATTCAAGAAGAAGCTGAAAAGACCTGCGCCGAGTTGCGTTTTGGCAAAAACGAGAAGAATCGAGTTCTTTCCAAGATCTTCGTTAGTTCCGGCACTCTCTCTGATGGAACTTTTGAAGAAGCGCTTCAAGTATCAAATTGGCTGTTTTCTTTGAAAAACCTCATTTTTTTTCAGATGAACGAAAATGTTTTGAAATGGACTATTCCGAGAAATGTAGATAATGTAAAACTTCCTGTTAATATTCAAGTGTTTGTGGGCGACGGAAAAACGAGAAAAGAATTGGTAAGTTGATAAGAATGTTTTCCAATCGAATTCAAATGGGCTAAGAAAGTTAAATAATTCAGAAGTTTAATGTTCCAATTTCTGCGTGGCTGTTTATAATAGCATAGACGTACTTTTGAAGCAAAAAGCCATACTCAATGATTTTCGAGAAATGAGAATTTTGCGTTTTTAAGGACTCCAGCAAGGAATTTGAGCATGAGATGAATAGAAAAAAAGAAAACGCATATAGCCGCGGATCGTAGTTTGTAAATCCTATTTTTGTATCTTCGTTAGGTAATCGCGTGCGTGGTTGCCAATACAAATTACATTCTCATTTTATTATTGCCAGATTATTTCCAAGCCACAAATTGACGTGACTGTGCTGAAAACATCTCTGGACGCCTCCCTTTCGGAACAAACGCGCTGCAAGGCTCTCAAAGACTCGCCACGCATTCTGAGCCTTATTCGTCCCCCTGGAGGTCAAGACGAAGAAGTTATCGTTGAGATGACCGAGGTTCATATTTCCGGATCTGATAACACGAGGAATTTTTCTCTTCAGCCTGAAGAGATGCCAGTTCTTTCTCGAGTTCTGATCGCTGCCTCGGAGCCGCTCAACGTCAACTGCGACGTCTTCAGCTCGGACACCGAACTCGCTTCTTCTCCTGCAGAGTCGATGGATTCCGGGGTTTCTCTTTCTCCTTTGGGCTCTCCCTGCGGAAAGATCTACGCCAGAGGTAATATTTTCCAAGAAATTCCTTAAAACATTCAGCTTTTAGATGAGTATCTCCGTGAACGGTCTTTCAGCGAAAGTATTTGGTGTTCCAATGGGCTTAAAGGTATATTGAAGAAACCGAATCGCTGGGATCGACTTGCTCGGTAATTCATTCAGAAATCTCAAAGGAGATAATTCTGTAGGTCGGTTTCGGAGTGTCATGATGGGAACTCCTCGCACGAGTTCCTCTCCCGTTCTCCGACTTTCGAAGCGACCGACGAGGAAGAAGGTTACCTTCATTCATTTTTCAGTTCAAATTCAATCCTGATGATTTTTGATTACTGTTATAAAATTCAAAGAAAGGAATTATCAGACAGTTTTTTTTTTGAATTTCAGAGTTCAACTACAAAAAAACATTGAGTTATTTCTAGAGAAAGACGAGGGTCGTAGAAAGAAGCGAGTCTCGTTCAGCAGCACAGTCCAGGAGCGCAAATTTCGTATCGGCCAATGCATCGGTAGTCAGAAAAAGAAGAACCAGAAAAAGAAGGAGTCGCGTCTGCGCAAAGAGGAGAAGCTCCGCAAGAACAGCGACGGCTGCGACACCTCTTGCGACGAGGTATTGGCTCTTTCAGTTGGGAATATATCAAAAATTGAGTCATTTAGTTAACGATTCTGAAAAATTAACCTCTACGAGAGAGATTTTTGTTGAAAATTCGAGAAAAAATTTTATTTATTGTAGGGAAGCTGCGTGAACCTGTCGAAAGAGGACCTCGTGTTCGAAGACGCCGAGAAGCCGGCTCGCAAGTCGAAGCACCTCGACAGCGGCTTCGGCGACGACGACGACGACGTTCCCGAGAAAGAGTGGCAGAACGCCGTTCGCCGCGTCCGCGCCGCCAGTCACTAATTTTCCCCCTTTTTTTCAGTTGGATTGTAATCAGATTGTTAGATAGTTGTAAATATAGATTGTTGTGTAAATTATCCTTCTCTTATTATTTCTCCCACGCTTGTGAATATAACTAGTTTTTTTTGTGTACATACTTTAAATTATGTAATTTATTTCCCCTTTGTTATGTTTGGTTCTTACACCCCAATTTTCTAGTTTCACTCGCCTTTAGAGATCCTTACGGTGTTGCACAAGCGTGTGATCTTGAGTTTGTCTAGCTCCTCAAAAAGATACGTTGTAAATAGTTCTCGGTTTATTTTTACATAGTTTTATGTGTTGTTAATGTTTTGCTCCAATCGTCGCGGCTTGAATCTGTCTGGCCTATCTTTGCTCTCTGCATCTCTCAGCTTCCTTGTTTTTATCTATCATTTCCATTTTTTTTTTATGATGAGAGCCCAGACAAACCGGAATGGTTCAATCCAAGATGAAAGAGGTTCAGTTAGTTTTTTTTTCTTTGGGTGCAGGTGTAGCCGCCTTTTTTCTTAGCATAGCAGCTTTTTCCTTCTGATATCGTTTCCCCTCTCCATACGTGTTTTTTAAAGTTCAAGTAACACTACTTCCTTACGTTTGGTCGATTTGTACAGTTGAAATAAATAAACGAAGTTCTGAAATGGAGTCGGGACTACTCACGAAAGTTGCCCCGGAAGTGTTTACCTAATGGCGGCTGAGGCCAAAGTCAACACTAGTGGAGCAACATGTGCCTCGACAGTGTAACGGCCTATAATTCTTTCCTCATTTCGAACCCGAAGTCTTTACGATCACTCGCATCTAAGTCGTTCATTTTGATCCGCCTCCTAATCGGTTTACATTTCCTGGCATTCCCTCGAAATTGAAAAAATCGCCGAGTTTTCAATTAATTTGGGGAATTTTCTTGCTTTTTTCATATACCGTTCTCATTTTCGATTTATAATCTGTTGATCTGTAAAACTGATATAAATTTCGTAAGAAAACTACAAAAATTTTTACTGTCTCGCCAGAAGCTTCTAGAAGTGCGTTTCGCGCGAGGAGTCACGTTTTTGAAAGAGCAGCAGAAAAAAAAACGCTGTAAAACAGATTTTTTCACTTTTACTCTACTATAGTGGAAAAAAAAGACAGCGAAAAAAAACAATTGAAGCTTAGACTAAGCTGCTTAGTTGGTCAAAGTGATCTACGCTCTTTTGAGCCGTAAGAAAAAAAGACAATCTGGAGGGGAATGGGCTATACATACTCTACTGCAAGGCGAAAACTGATGTCTTTTTTATTCGAATGATTCATTTAATCAATAATCTTCACTTATGAACTGCTCGAATATATTGACTTTTTCCTCTGTCATTCATGAGTGGATCTTTTTGAACTAAATGATGCATAATATAGTATACAAAAACTTCACTTGTAGATAATATTTAAAGCGTGAAGCTTGAAATGTTGTACAAAAACATCTATATGCGCTTTTAGGTTGATATTTGATTTTTTACTTTGAATAGGTTCGAAAAAGTTTTTGTAGTTGAATTGAAAAACTTTTACAATCAATCGTCGAACTCTTCGGGATGTTTTGACAAAGACGGCTGTGACTCACGGAAAGAAAAGGCGGCGATTCTTCTTATCTCGCTGTCCCTCACCGTTCAATGCCATTCGAATGAAAAGAAGCCAATTCCCCTCAATTTTACCGAATTCTCATCCCTTCCCTTTTCCCTTACATTTTTCAAATTTTGCAACCTAGTAGGAATCCACTCCAAACTTTTCGTATACAAAAAGGCTTCTCTCACCTATCTTCTATTCGTTTTCTTGCGGTTTTAATTATCACGTGACCAACTTCTTTGGAAAACCAATATTCGTTTACCATGTGTGAAATCAATATCAACACATTTTGCCTGTCCAGATGGTCAGAATTTACACTTTGCTTTTTGAAAACTTCGATTCTTCCTGATGCTGAGGTCAAGATGCGTGAATTCAACTATTTCAGGTCATTCAACCTGTATCTAGGATTCCCACATCCATCTCAAGTGATAATCGCGCCCATTAATTATATTCCGTCTCCTTCAAAACCCGGTTTTAAGAGATTTGAAAAGAACTTGGGGCCCGAGTTCCGAAGATGATGCGGGGCCAGGTGACTTCGCCGCCCGTCGTCGTCATGAGAAACTCCCAAGGTTTGAGTTAATTAAAAATTCAAGTTACCTTTCGAAAATAATGAACAGATTATTATGGAACTTCAGGGACGAGGGTCAGCCAAAACCTCCAAAACCGGCATTCGTACCATGCTGGCGTCCACGACAGTGATTTTGGCCCGATGGGCCTTCATTCTTATGGCGGTTCTGCTGAATGCGTTTTTGGAGACCCAAATGCAGCCTACATGGTTCGTTTCGATTTTTTTTTTTTGGCTGAACATTCGCACACGGCGAGATGGTTTTTTTTCTGCTTGAAGTTGTTCTATTCTGTTCTGAAATCCTAACCGGCTGTAGTTCGTGAAAATCTTAGGATGAAAATTTGAAACGGAGAAATCTTGAAAAAAAAAAATTATTTTGAAACCAGCTTTTAATCGAAAAGGCGCGGAAAGAATCGCCCCCTAACTGAAAGACATATATAAGAAGATATTTTTTTTGAATTTAGCTCGTCTAAACAACCAAAAAAGGATTTTAAATTGAAAATTAATCTTCGGCGTTTTAATTCAAACTAAACATATATACGTTTATATTTTGAAATAATAAAAGAAATAAAACAAGAAAACAAAAAAGTTTCGAAAATTTGTTGGCTAGTTGCGCTCTATCGCGATGTCACTTGGAGCATAGTAGGCAGGAATGGCGTGTTGCTCCGCCGGCGGCGTTCTTTTGACGACGCCCCTCCCACAATTTCCGTAATGTTTGACGTCTTTTGTGCATACACAGAACGACGCTAACTCGCATACTCATTAAATTCAAAAATAATTTTTTTCCTCGAAAAATAGCGTTTTTTCAAAACTATAGACGTGGAAAAAATCGATCCTTTCACAATTCCTTTTCTAGTTGACAAAAAAACATTTGGGTGAAAGTTTTTCTTATTTTCTGAACACTTTCATACCTTTCATCCTCAAAATTGTGTCCTTTTTTTGAGTGAAAAACGTGGAATTTTGTGCCGAAAATGACTTATTGTGGTTCTATGTGTTTTTCCCGACTTATTGAAAATTTAAAAAAAGTTTTCTTTACAGATTTAGTTTAGTTCATCCACCTAGTGGTATTTTTTCTCCTCTGCAACATCGCCATACCATTCTGATGTTGCGAAAAATGAAGAGATTGATTGATTCGAATAAAAAAATTTAATTTGACACTGAAAATGTTGCTGAAAGGCTTTTTGCTTTAAAAGGAAATTTGGTCAAAACACAGCAGTTAATATTGAAAAATTGAAAAACAAAAAAAGTTCCTTCGCATTTTGCTGTCGCAATTAAAAAAATAATTACCGTAAATCAATACAAAACAGATAAAGATACAGCTGAAATAAACATGAAAAATCACGTGAAGCACTTGAGCAACAAGAAATTCAAATGTTCGCGCGCAAGCTGTGTACCGTAAATCTAGGTGGAGCAACCCTTCCAAGCCGCTCCACATTTTCAAAAATTTTACATTTTCTTCCACCACGCAGAACGCCGTGGCGCGCCAGAACGCAAATCGTTCCGAAACGCAAAAAAATTGTTCGAGAACAAAATGTAGTACTCTTTTGGAGCAAATTTCAGCGTCAATGAACACGTTTTTGCGTTTTGGAAAATGTTCCATTTCTCCGATGAACATGCCAAAATCTTTTTTTTTGATACCCTTTTTAGTTTTCAAAGTATGACTCTCGCGATGTACTCCCAATTTATCTATAAAAGCTGATACGGCTCATTACATTCATTAATAATTTTTTTTCTTTCACTCTTACCTTTTTGTTGAAAATTTTCACACTATCGGGTAACATAGAGTGTGCATATACACACGGAGATAATGCTCGACCCTGGTAACAGCTCGAGTTTCACAGTGACAGCTGCCGCTCTTACTGCCAGCGGGCTAAAATCAGATGGACAACAGCCTATTCCATCTTCCTCGCTTTACACACACGCATTTGCCTCGAACATTTTTCTTGTTTCTTTTTTTTATGAATGGAATTTTCTATACGAGTGTGAAGTGCGTCCAAGCAGCCACTCTCCTCGCGCGGGCTGTAGTTTTTTAGTTAGTGCGATATTTTTTTCTTGTATTGAACAGTGCTAGTGCCGCCGACGTCGCGACAGAAATCATTTTGTTCTTGATCATATGTTCTCTTTGTAACTTTCCGGTCACTGTAGAAGGTCGAAATCTTTTAAAACTTGTGAAAAACTAACCAAAAAGTTTCTTAGAAAAAAACGGATCTAAATTATGTAAAGAAATGTACTTCAGACACTTTATAATTTTTTTTCATGGAGGAAAATTTATTGTTTTTTTTCTTTCAAATAAACTTTTGACGATTAAGATTCGGAGTTTCATCAGCCAAATTTTGATAGGCTTCTCATAAATAAAAAGATGGAGATAAGAAAGACAAGCTAGATGCTTTCTCTACACCTAGATCAAGATGATTATTAGAAGGATTGGTCCTAAGTTTGTCGCGGCGATCCTTTGAAGTGGCACAAGCTTCTGCGGGTTTAACGAGGCGATTCCACCTCCGTTTCTGGTTTTTTCTGCGACTGCCTGACGCTCTCCGCACACTCGCAAGGCACCCCCCGTCCGAACGCTCCTAGCCATGTCTATTGTGGGACTCTCTTCCTATCGATTTCTGCTTCATAACCACCGGTTATATTTGACCTTTTATGTCTACTTAATTTAAAACATTAAGAAAACCTTCATCAATGCTTTTTCCGATTTTTACTTCTGATTGTTATGTCTCTGAAAAAAAAACATAGTCAAATCTTCAACCAGTTTTTATTATTTTGATTTTTAAAAAAAAAGTTCTTTTTTTCACTCATTTGATCTGTTTATATTCTACGTTTGATGCAACTTTGGAAATGCCTAATAAATAAGCCTAATTTAAGCCGCGCCTTTTTAAAAATCATCTTTAAAAAAATTATGAAATCTTCATTTATTCCTTGTGTTTCTAATCCCGATTTGCGCTTATTTAACGACGAAAAATGAAAAATAAGTATATTTATTCAAGTTAAAATTTATAAAATGTTGATGGTAACTTTTAGGCTTTTTTTGTTGCTATTTTCACTTTTTCATTCGGGCTTTTCATTTTTCAACGCTTTTTGAAGGCTTAAAATCTGTATGACTTCCATAGAAACTTTCGTCTAACACAGCATCAATATAACTTGTTTTCAGTACGTAAAAGTACTACGAGAAGAGCCATGCAATAACAAACGTCGGTCCGCCGTATTCCCAAGTTGGTTTCCTTCTTATTAGCCCAATGGGATATTTTTCATCAACTGCTTGATAATATTTTGACAATTTATTTTTTAACTAAACAACTTTTCAGGGTTAGAAGTGGTTCGTGAAGGGACGGAGATGTCGGAACATCAGAATTTTTTCGATTCTTCCAGAGGGTCACTTAATATAGATCCTATGCAACAGGTATATTCTAAACATTGAGAATGGTGCTATCGATTTTCATGGTTCAAAAAGAGCACCATTCAGTTTTAATTAAGCGTATGTATGCCTATAAAAAACAAATATACAAATAAACTAATTCAGCAGTCAAGCATTTATATTCAGAACTTTTCGAACATGAATGCATTTTTTCATTTCTTAATTTGAAAAAAAAAGTATGTTCATTTTTGAACAAATTGTGTAATTAAATACAAATTGTATGATATAATTACCTAAATCTCGAGGTTTTTCTTTCAGCTTTCCTAGCAAACATGAAACATTTTTGAGTATTTTAAGAAAAGAAATTAGATAAAACTTTATCCCAATTTTTTTACATTTCACGCACAATTTCTTTTATCAAGTTATTTTTATTCGCCTGAGAGTTTTCTTGTTCCGGTTTACTTTAGTGATCATTGATTACGATGCTTTTAGACCTTTTTGGTTCTCACGAAACGAGTTTTTTTTTTTTGAAGTTTCTAGTGATAGAATCATATTTAAGCTTTTTCCTTTGCTTTCTTTTTATAATGGGTAGTTTGTTTTTGATCAATATTTCGTTCTCGAATAGGGACATGATGTGCAATCGGACAGTCCCCGGGGATCGACAATTAGCGGCTCCTCCAAAGGAGATTCGCAACATCCTCATCAGCATCCTCACGTTATGCCTCAGAACAACGGTTTTTTTTCCGTTTGTTAGATTAATAATTGATAATCCTTTCTTCAGGATTTCCTATCCACGGACAGGTTCTGGTGGACCCTTCTACGGGACAACATTACATCGTGCCGCAAAGCGCCTTTTTCCAGCCAATGCAGCCTATGTACTATCCGCCGCCACAGGCCGCGCCCATGTTCTATCCTTATCCACCTCAGCAACAAGGTACTTCTTCTTCCAAGCCTTTTCTGAAAGTCGCAAAGAAAAGTCCTTTTTCCACAAACCTTTCCTATGAATGCTTAGAAAGAAGGTGTTTTCAAAGCACTGGTCAATTGACGTATCCACAAAATTCAGAAGAAATTTCAGAGGAAATTTGAAACAAATCAAAAACAAGTGAGAGAATAACGAAAATGTGTAGGTTATCCCATGTCGAACGGCTCAATGATGGGACAGTACGGCGCCGGGCGAAGTCCGATGCTTATGAACCGACATTTCCCAGTACCTCCTCGAAGTGTTGTTTCTCAGCCGCAGGACGAACGTCGCGAACCTGAGTCATTCGGTTCGTTATAAATTAATCAAAGGAATTTTTTTATCAAAAAAGTCTTGATTTCGGTTTTCCTTTTTTTTTTGAATCTAGAGACTTCTGAAGAATGTTTGGTGAAATTCGGGAGATATCCGAAGTTCTGGTTTCAAGTTTTATGAAGTCATCAACTTCAAAAGCTGATGGAAAAAAAACCGCAATTATCCATTTTATGACTTTCACTTGGAATCCTTCTTTTCTTGTCTTTCAACGAATTTTTCAGACGACCCAGCGCCGCCATCGCCATCCTATCCAACACATCCGACGCCTCCACTACGCAATTTCCCCACGCCGCCCTTGTCGACCGCTTCTTTGCCAACTCCCTATAGGTTTGAAACAGTTCATTTTCCTTTTTGGAATGAGTTATTTCTTGAAGACCTATTCAAATGCAGTCTCTCGGAGAGAACATGCAGCCGGACGATCCAGAAAGTGGATTCCGACGCTCCTCGGCGCGGAGTAGTCTGGAAAGAGCTGGACCAGCTGCGGTTCAGGCTCAGGTCAACGACCGGAGGCCGCAGAAATCGGAAAGAACTCCTTTATACGGAGGTCCGCCTCCCTGGTGGGCTCAGGAGGCCGTCGATCCCATCAGCTCGACATCCGACGTCGAAAGGTTCCGTCATATTTTTTTTTACACGTCGTATCTGTAAATTTGTTTGAGTTTTTACATCTTAGTTTTATTTTAATCAAGGTCATCTAGCCAGCAGGGTTGCACGGAATTCCGTTACCCGTCTTCCGAATAAATTTCTCTTCCTTAACCCGTGTTCTGTCTTTCTTTAAAAAAAATTTTGTTCCTTAACCCGTGTTCCATCTTCCTTGAATCTTAGTTTTGTTCCGTAACCCGTGTTCCGTCTTTCTTGAAAAAAATTTTTTTGTTTTCCAGCTCCTAATTTTTTTAAATTTAAAAAAACATTTTTTTGATAGGGAAATGCACGTTTTTCGGTGTTGTGAGTGACATGTTGATGAAGATGATTTCGTCTAAATATCAACTGTAGACGGGTCAACTATTCTCTCAACTCCAATATCAAAGTATCTCTGCTTCAATCGAAATTCAACAAGTTAGAGAGACTCTTCTCTGTGTCGGGGCTGATAGTCTGGCTCTTGCGAAAGAGGCTTGAAGCTGCTCGATACTTTGAATTACACCAAAGTTAAGTCAAAGGTTACGAAAGTTCATTGTGATTTCAATTGGCTACGAAATTCAAATTTCACTGGTTATTTTTTGTTTGAAAATTTTCACGTTACTCTTTAAAAAATTTTCTTTAGTGAATTGGTTTGGATAGTTCTGGTTTAATTCCACAGGGTATTTCGCTTATTCACCATTTTAAAAAATTCTTTCGTGCAAACCTCTTTTTCTCTCTCTAAAGTTCTTCTGTTCCGTAACCCGTATTCCGTCTTCCTTAAAAATTTTTTTGTTCCGTAACCCGTCTTCCTTCTTTCTTTTTTCAAAATTTTCACTTCCGCGCAACCCTGCTAGCCAGCCGTACTTTTCAATAGCTCATCATCTTTTTATAATATTCAAAAACATATTTATGAAAGTTGATTTTTCACATTTTTTCAAGTATTTGAGAGTGGATCATTCATACAAAGTCTCAAGTTCCTTCGTTTCTTTTTCTTAATTACCCCTAAATTACTATTTTCTCTTGTTCAGTAGTCGCCGAACGTCGCCTCCGATGAAGGTGACGTCGAATTCCGACAACGAAGCTGCCCGACCTCCGCCCCGCCCTGCAGTTCCGCCCGCAAGACCTGTGCGCATGGACTTTGACTTCTCCGCGCCCTCCGTAGAAGAAAAAGTGCAAAAACGTTGGTTTTGATTGTTTTCTTTTATTGTCAACGCATGGCCAAAGTGTTGATTGATGTCGGTTGAATGACTTCGAGTGTAATGATGATAAAAAAAACGGACAGAAATCATATAAGCAGAATTTTTCTCATGAGAGAGAGAACGAATGAATTTTATAAAGCTTTTTATTAGAAGCGAGAAATGGAGTTTTGATCAATGGCTGAGCTTTTTCACTTTAAGATTGAATATATGATGAAAAACTAGGCTTTTCGATTCAAAAAAACAATTTACTTTTTTTTTGAAGTTTCTCTCTTTCTGACGTTATTTGTTTGCCTATAGTGTAAAATGCTTGAAGAAAGATAGTACGGCTCAAAAATATGGAGACACTTCCCAAATTTAGGTTTTAAAAAACCTGTCAAAAAAAGTGTAGCGTTTTTTTAATTTATAAATATGAGAAAAAAATTTTTGTAGTATTTTTCTTTCAGAAAAATGTTTTTGGGATATCTTTAGACTTTTGAAAAGGATATCAATGAGACCACAGGAAGAAAAATCCGAACTACTGGAATTTTTTTTAAAATGTGAACTTATGAGGAGCAAAATTTGTTGATATCGGACTGTTTCCTTGTGTTTGGGAAAAGTACAATACCACAAAAAAGTACTTCCCACGTAAATAAAGTTTCTCGGATTTTTGTTCCCATCAGGGATCAGCATGTTTTTCAACGGCTTTTTCTTCTCACCGTTTGTTTTGTGGCGTTCAGCTGTCCTGATTGCATCCAAGTCTGTGCGCATGGACATTGACCTGGCCACCGTGGTTCCGCAAGAAAGTCCGCCTGAGAAGTCCAAAGGTCTCTCTGTCTTCACGCGGTCTTCCCTTTCTCTTGTCTTTTTCTCTCCGCTCCATTAATCAACAATGAAAGTTGATGTTCAGCAATGCCGCGAGCGCCGGCCACCGCTTTCACTGTGAATTTTGATGACCCCGAGGGCGATGTTTCTTTACAAGACGCTGCTAGAAAATCAGTTCAAGTTGGTTTTTTTTTTTCCCGTAATAAGAGCGCTTTAAAGGGTGCAAAGTTATGAAGTATAAACAGAATCATTATATTTGATTTGGCCTTTGAGCGAGTCTTGAGCTTTGAATAAGAGAAGAAACGTTGAAAATTTTTTAGAGGAAAAATTTCGTAAAATATTTGAAAAGAAGCTCATAATTTTGGTCCAAGTTTTGTTCGAATTTAAAAAAAAAAAGGGCTGAAGACCAAGTCAGGAAAACATCTCATTTTCAGGCTCGTCGAATTCTGACTCGTCGCACTGGTAACGTCAATCCAGATGCTCCCACGAAAACGACAAAGCCAACTCGAGAGTCTGCTCCTAATGCACCTGAATTTCCGGAAAACAATACCAACAAGAGATATTTGCTCCATAAACTATTGGGTTTTGTGGACTTTGTGAAACATTACTTATTTTTGAAAATTGAAGGAAAGGAAGACGGTGAGGGGCCAGAGGGTCTAGATTCGGCAGGAGGCGACGTCGATCGGAAAGACACCGACAACGTCTCCGAAGCCGGCACATTCGTTATCGGTTTCTCGGCTCTTCGATTTTTTATTTTCTAGAATGTTTTCTGCAGACACTTCTACGCGTCAAAGTTGCATGCCTGCGCACATGATGCCTTCGCGGATCGTTGAGGATTCTGATGCCACCGACGACTCGAGCAGCGACTCAGAGTCAGAATTTATACTCAGATACTTGAATGTGATGCTGGAAATGACCATGAAATTCATTTTTAAATTTAAAGTTGGATGAAGTTTTGGTATGAGGATCGTTACTGTGATCCTAATTTTATTTAAAATTATTAAATTTCCTGTTATTTCACAGAAGCTCTGTTTTTTTCAGCTCGGAAGTAGCACCTAGCTCAGCTGCTGCCCGAGAAGTAGCGCCTTCGACGCCGAAGTCTGACCAGCGAAGTGGGGATTTTCTGAAAGAGCTAGCGAAACTCCGACAAATGGCTGGCCTTCCACCGGGCACTGCTCTCGGCGGAGTTGCGGCAGCTCCTTCGCGAGCGTCCGAGTCGACAAATAGGACATCGACGACGCGAGGCCGTGCAGTCGGGGTCCGGCCTTCTGGAGGAGCGACGACGTCGTCGGCTCGGTCGGTTCAGCCGCCTCCGCTTCCGCCACAAACCGCCCCCTCCTCCGCTAACTCTGGTCATCGGTCACGAGCCATGCAGCCGTGCCCCGCCGCCGGCACTCCCAATAACCGCTTGAGGTTTTTCTTCTTTCTGACAAAGCTCTGAGAGAATATCATTGGGTCTATGAGAGTTCAGCTCAGAAAGAAGAGATCAGAAAGATAACAGGAGAAATCAAAGTAAATATATTTTCTGCTTTCAAAATTTAGAAATGAAAATTCAGAAGTTTAAATAAATGGATGACAAAGAAGAACTTCTTATTGAACTTCTGCTTGACTCGTTAAGTTTTTCAGCCGAATTTTCATAGACCCAGGTCCATCTCAATTATGGGCTAGCACAACTTTTATTTGTCACTTCTACTCTCTCGGGAGTTTCTTTAGGGGAAAAAACCACTTTAATTTTCACTCGCACTTCTTGACCTAAATTTCATCAAGAAACTGCACCTAACTCTTTGTCGAAGATTAATGTACATGACAGATCGAAGGGATGGCGCTGCCAGAGCGAAACGTGCGTAAGACAGCGTTTGAACATTGCATGATTGTTTTGCTTGGTTCAAATCCAAAGCGAATAACTTGCGACGTTTGCCTGCCTGTTTTCTTTTTCCAATACGAGTTCAATAATCTTTTTTTTCCTTTCCTTTCCTGCCATCGGCTTGCCTTCAAAAAGTTTTGCTCTGCGATCCTTTTATGAACTTTCTGTTGTTTGTGAGTGTCATTAATAGATATCGTATGTCATTTTATACGATTGCATGATCCTAATTCTGTTTTAATGAAAAATGGTTGGCCTTTATAGTCGAGGCGATGGCGGCCGTCTCTCTTTGCGATCTTCGGCGGGTCTTCCGGCGGCTCCGATCCCAGGCAGTCCTCAGCTTTCTGGGAACAAAAGGCCGCCTTTCAGAGCCGGTGGGCCGACTGGTCGTATATCGGTTGGTGCTAAACATGAATGGCGTTTCAAATATAAAACTTTCCTTTTTTTCAACAAAATCAGGGACCGTTACAAGAAACTGGTAAAATCGTTCAACAACCTGAAAATGATAAATTGCTCAAACGTGATCTTTAGGATTCAAATTTAGTTATTTCTTATACAAAACCTGCTTTTATTGAGTAGATTCATACACAGGGTTATGAAAAATTTTCCCATCGATGTGTGATGTCAAGTATTTTTTATTTCTTGGCCAAACCTTAACCACTTTTCTTCATACGGCCTCTGACAGTACTGAATAGAAAGTTTTATCAAAAAAATCAAGAAAATTTTTTTGAGTTTAAAAACTTTTTTTAAATTTATTATATTCCAGTTGGGTAATACACAACAGCAAAAAGAACATGAGATGAACGCTTGGCTTCGCCGCAAAGACTACAATCCGATGAAAGCGGCCGCCGAGGCGAGAAAGGCCAAGGAACTCAAAGCGAGGTTCGTTTTCATTTTCTGAGAGAGGATGATTTAACACACGTTCTCCTATAAACGAGATGAACTTTCAATACCGAAAAAAGTGTTTAGTGTGGTAAAATGAACTTTAATTTAAGCTCTAGTGATGCCGGATCTTTCGATGATCCCATTCAACGGTGAGACATTGTCGTGATCGTTTTTTCTTTGTGCTGATTTAGAATTCATTCTGATCAAATGTAAAAAGATAATATATGCAGAGAGGAGCAATTCGCGAGCAACCGGTCCATGTCCTTCCACGTTGGTCCTGCACCGAATTTTCTACCTTTGGTGAGTTCTAACGGAATTCAATAAAGCTTAAAAATCAGAACGTTTTAGAACTGGGGTTTGAATTTTTAGGTGCAACTGAAAATATCATTGATTAGGAAATTGCTAAACATTTTACTATTTTTTTTTTTTTTGAATAAAACTTGTGTTTTTTTTTAATTTTTTAACATTGCGTTTACATCCAGAGGCACTTTTCTCATTTATTATTTTTTTCAAGATGTTATGGACTACAACGAGAAAATTATCTGCACACAGATTTCGACTTCAGAGAGATCGCAGTGGGTCAAGACTGTCGCGCAACCGATCGCAAGAGTCGCTCGCCGAAGACGCAGCGACGCAGGCGAGCCAGCGATTAATCGCTGAGTATTCGCGTGGCGTCGTATCGGACATCAGTCGCCTAACACAACAAAGCAATCGCCCTGGAGCCAATGTTTGTTCCGTTTTGGTGATCTGTCAGATCTCTTTCAATTTTTCCAGAAGCTCAGCGGCCTTGCTCGTGCCGTCGACATGCTCTCTCAAAAGTGCAAAAAAAGCATCGAGCTCATTCGGTAAGCCTTTTCTCCCATCTTTTTTAGAATCCATTTTTATTACCTGTTTTTTTTATCGGCAGTTTCAAATTCTTTTCGAAAACTTCAAAGTGGTGTTTTCAATTGAATAATTTTTTGAAGAGAAATAGTTTGTTTGGAAGAGAGAACAATTTTATCAAATTTTTGGAATAAAGTTCATTTGAAAGATTCAATGCGCAGTTGAAGTTGAGCTATTTATATATTTTCGAATTATTTCCTGAATTCAAGAAAAAAGCTTTTCTTGAAAAATGTAAAGCCCTGAATTTCAATATTCCTTTGAATTTTACCATCCATTTTTCAGATCCCAAAACAAGGGATGCTTGTCAGTTTCGGTGGAAGACCTTCTGTCAGCGGCGGCGGAGCCCCCGAGAGTGAACGAGTCGCTGAACGAGCAGCTCGAGAGGCTCTCCGACGCGTTCGACGCCGTCCAGCGCTACTTGGAGCAGTACTCGCTCGACGGCCACGACTCGCCTGTCCCGCAGCAGTTCTACGAGGAAGACCTCCATTCCGCCGTCAGCGCTTTTTCCAACGCGAGGTCAACTTTTTTAACACAGCTTCGTGGACAGTCGAAGAAAATTCGAATGAAAAAAAAGCGCTCAAAACCTATAAACTTGATGGGTTGACCCATGAAATAATCATGAAGGAAGAATATCGAAGTTCTATTTATTCGTCAGGTTTTCACTCAAAAATTTATTTTTTGTGGCAAAAGTCTAAGGATCAATATTTTCAATAGAAAACATGAAACTTCCTAGAAAACGTAGCGTATTTTCAGTTTGCGATCGAGGTCGAACTCCAACGAAGGTCCGCCTTCGCAATCGTCGTACAGATCCAAGATCCTCGCCCATTCAAATGCTAATAAAAATTAGAGTGAATTTATTGCTTAACTTTCTTATCAGATTTAATCTTTTGCCTTTTTTCAGCTCAAACACTGAACTTTTGTGATTGAATCATATAATGCACCAATTGCACCTCGGGTTATTCCACACGCTTTTTCGTTTTTCTTTATTGCTTTTTGTCATCAGTGTACATCTCTAATCCTTTCTCTAGTCTTACTCGATTCCGTTGACATAATCTGTGAATTTGCAGCTTATATTCTATGTATCAAAACACAACTCGATTGCTTTCAGTTACTAATGCTGTATGTATTTATCGTTCTGACATATTGGTGTCGCAACGGTTCCGTTTGCTGGTTTCTTGCGAGTTTGTATGAACTTCTCGTTTGCCTTTTCTCCTTGAATTTCTGTTTTATAAAGATTTTTATTCATAATATTTACAAAAGTTATTTGCGTCCTGTGTAGTAGTAATAGGTGGTGTAGGGAGACGTACCACAATTGGTGCAGCCGTTTGAATACGTTTGTCCTAAAAAGCTGTATTTCTTGACAAAATCGAAACAGAAGCTAACCGTTGTTGTTGTTAGGGTAGTAATAGTAGGTGGTAGTCTGGCCATTTGAGTTTGTATTTGAGGGATAATAATAGTAGGTTGTTTGGCCGTTGGAGGGAGTGTAGTAGTAAGTAGTTCCAGTGTTCGAGTTGGAGTTGTACGAGTTGGAGTTGGGGTAGAGGTAGTAGATCTGAAAGTTGGAGATTGAGACAAGGAGTCCTTCAGAAAATGCTCACGTAGTACGCGTTGGCAGTGGAAACGAGGGCGAGGGTCAGAAGAAGGCTGAAAATACTTGGGCTTTCTCAGGACATGTCAGGATTCTTCAATAGGTGGATGGAGATTTCCAGATTTTCGGGAGGGTTCGTCTTAATGTGAAACGGCCACGTTCTTGGTTTTTCCGTTTTGAAAATATTCATATTTTGTCAAATTATTGCGAAGAAGAAAACAATTTTATTAAATAGACATAATAGGTTCAACCTTCAAAGCTTTTTTTCGTCATAACTCAATAGAAAAAAATTCTGAACGAAATTTTTCGTGTTTTCTATTCATTTTCTATGTAACCAAAAAAGAACTCTTGCAATAGCCTAGAAACTTGACGCGCTTGTCACAAGGTTGACATAGTTTGTGGCTTGCTCGAAGCAAGTCAGACCAGTCCGAGATCGAGAGAAGACTCACCAGAGAAGCTTCATGGCGGATACGGTAGAGGAGGTCGTAGGGCAACGGGTTTCAGACTTCGGCACGGCCAGCGCCGCTTTTATACCCGTTTCGAGAATGGCAGATCACAAAATACGTGTGCACAGTGGTTTGGTCTGAAGGACTCCCGCTGCGCCGAGTTTTGACGCACTTTTGCCGAGGCAAACAGGAGGACCCTGGACGTGGTTCCGAACTCCCGTCGAGCTTCTTCCGGGCAGCCGATGGAAATGGCTCGCATCGAAAAAATCTGGAAAGTCTAGAGTCAGTTGTATCTTCCGAGGTCTCTCGATTTCAACAGGTTTCGATCGGAGTTCTAGATCAGAAACTTTTCGTGAGCCGTATTTCCAGTTATCAATATAGTTTTTCTTGCTTAACCGAATGTTTTAGGAGAATTTATCAAACAAGGAAAAAAAAACCCACGGCCTTTTCTAAAATGAAGCTCGTGAGGATTGGAGCCAGTTGCAACGTTTATGAGACCATTTGAATTCCTACGTCTTCTAAAAATCTTAGCCTCGCCACAGAAAAAGAAGTTTTCTTTCCTGACTTTTTTTCGAACTCTGAGGAGTTTCGGCTATTTTTGGAACCATAAAGGCAGAAAACTATATTTTTTTATAAATAATCTTTGTGATAAATGTTTAACTAAGATGTGCAAGTAACTTTTTTTTCCATTTTCCCAATCGACGCTAATCTATTTGTAAATGCAAATCATCAAATATCTGTTGAATCAAGCTTCCATTTTCTTTTTGAATCTTCAGGTTTCTTACTCCTGGATTTCCTGAAGAATACGCTTCGAATACTCGAACTGGACTAGTGCTTTCGAAATCTACTCAACTGTTTACGCTTTTATTAGTTCAACCCAAAAACAAACTTCTTTTATTTCTGTTTATTTTTGCGATCGAGGTCAGTTCCTATTGACAGAAATGCTGGTCAATAACGAGTGAGTCACTAGAGAACCCAACTTCAGCTTGGAATTGCCATCTCGAAAACTTGGGATAAGATGTTGGTCAAGAGTTGAGCTCTCGTAGATTGCTGTTTACCTGGGGCACAGTTTCTTCTCACTGGGACTATCTCTACACCCTAATAGTAAACAGTTTTTCCGTCTTTTTTCTGTTGACAGCAACTCTCCCAGGGAATCTGCGCCGTCTACGAGTAAATCGATGAATCACAAAGCCGCAAAAAACTTGGCCGAAAAGTTCGAAGAAAAAACAAATTTGAAATCAAAACTTGAAGAGACACGTCACATCGTGATTTCTGCCTCGAAGCTTCTGATTTTTTTGTTTGGAAAAAAAAAGGTTGACAAATTTAAGGCTGACTCCAGCTTTACAAACTAAAAGATTTTTCATGGTATTTTTGCGATTCATTCGCAGGAAAGCGCTCATAGTTTTTCTCATTCAATCCTTTATTGGAAGGAAATTTAAATTCGAATGAGCTGTTCATTTAGTGCAGTCAAAATGTAGAAAAATATCAAAAAAGTTGGAAAGCAAAGAAATTTGGAACGAACCATGAGTTTTTCTTCTTTATTTGATAGTTTAATCATGTTTTTTCAGGAGCGTTATACTAACGTATTCATCTGATCCCAAAAATAATTATGAAATTCTTCCATGAGTTGAAATGAGGCTGCAAAGGTCTAAAGAAAGTTTGAATTGTCGCGCCTATCCGCTCGGACCTACGATCACCGAGTACTGGTTGAGGTGTTCTTGCTTTCTTAATAAGATACTAACAAGAACAAACTCATTGTTTCTTGATGAAACAGCTAAAATTTGCTTTCAGGTATTGCTCGGCAATTTCTAGAGGGGCTAACGAGAAGACTAATTTAGAAGTTTTACTGAGAAGAGGCCAATCATCATCCGAACCCATCCATTTTCACTCCGTGTATTTTCTACATTCGAAGTGGTAGCTCTTTCAATCGGCCGAGGCTGCCCTAGAGAGAACACGACGTCCGTGCCCGAGCCCCACCATCACCGCCGTGTCCGTACCCGCGAAACTGAGGGATCTATTTTTGGAAGAGCGAGGCGAAGGACCGTGAGACCATGCTTTCAATTCAATCAACTCCACGTTTCGACTTCTTTTTCGCCATAGGCGGTGTTAGTACCGCTCAAAAGAGCTATTTTTTCACCGCCAAATCGATTCCATCTGACTAAAACAACCAATAAATATTGATTGATTGGTATTGAAACGAGGCTTTTTTTTTGCTTTGGTTGATATTCATCCGAACCGGGCGCGCCATAGCTCAACAGGTTGTGTGCCTGCCTACGGTCCCCACGGTCACAAGTTCGATTCCCGCCCCGACCCAACCAAGGGGTTTAAGAAATGTTGGTAATGGGAAACCACAGCTTCATAATCCCCAGCCGTCAAACACAAGGACGGATATGTCGTTCGGTGAGATTTCAAGTCGTGGCACACAGACTATACATACGGTTGAAAACTGAAAGGACAGAAGTTCCTTCGGACTTGCTCATTCGAACCTAGTATATATATATATTAATTTTTTTTGAATGGTTTTTTTAATCAGAGAAGACGTTCGACTCTAGTTTTTTTCAAATTAAAAAAAGTTTAGTTTGCCCTGTGAAAAGAAGACAGACTTTTTCAGACTGTCTGAAATCTTACTAAAACGGAAAAGCGTAATCATATTCCGCATACAACGAAACTATCACATAGCTTAACATAGTTTGCTCTTCTGAACTGAACTGAAAATCGTAGACGTGATTTTATCAGATCGCGTCAGCCGATCGCACGATCAGATCTCACGAGATCCATTGCAACCAGTTCACGCTCATCGGACAACACGACAGCAAAGCAGGAATTTTGTCGGGGAGCTTGCCTGGTTGACAACTGCAGGATCCCGGTGCGAGCCCAGGAGATCTAGTGTAGATCACCCGGCTCAAACCAAATCGGCAACCGTCCAAAGTTTCCACGATCGGGCACAGTGCCCTCGCTTAAAATATCGGATACAGTGTATCCGAAACTTAAGCGACAGACAAGTTGTTTGTAAGACAGAGGTCGTTCATGTTTAAACTTCATGTGGAACAAAAGAAAGTTCGATCACAGTGGCCTATCGGGGACTCGTAGAACTCACCGCAGATGCACAACTTTCCAGTAGGGACGTCTCCTAATCTGTCGGAGGGATACTAAATTTCTTATTTTTTAGAAAAAAAAAATAAGAAAGAAATCGGACTCAATATTTGATTCGCGAATAATAACTTGAAATAAAAATTGATGTGGTATTTTCGTCGAGACCGGCCATTTGCATTTACGTGTCTGTTTTCAGAATTAGCTTAAGCGCGGTCGGTTTGAAAACTTCTCAAATTTCAAAAAATTTCCGTTCTTCATATTGGCGAAACCTTCTCCCGCTTTTTTCTGTAAAAAATCTGTTCAAAATAGAAAAAAAACTGTTCATTAAACTAGCGGTACAATTGAGCAAATGAGAAGAAAAGAATACCCATGATTGGAAAGCCGATTGAGAGAGAGACGTGAGAACCCAGAAGCCAGAATCAAACATTTTTTTCTGGTTTGAGCTTGACATGAAAAAAATGCGGTGGGGTTTCAACTGCTTCAAAATACTCAACAAAAACTTTTGAAAGAAAATTCTGCCGCTTTTTGAGAATGAATGAAATTGTTGAATTCGTGTTCATCGAACTTCTTCTTCGTGGTCGATGGCAGAGATGTCGCTCGTTAAGATCGAAGAGTACTGCCTGAAAAAATTTTCAATAAAATATCTGATTTTTTTTCCCAGAGAATGACTTTCTAAATATGGGAATGCAGATAACCTGAGCGGAACGGCGAGACGTGGCTGCTGCAGAAGCTGAACAGATGTGCTCCGTTGCAAATCTGCCCATTTCGGACGTGCTTTAGCCTCGTTCAGTCTGCAATGAGAGTCAATATACGAAGTCGTTTTTTGATGAGTGCAACCAAAAAACAACCAAACTTACACGTTTCCAATGAGCAAATTCAATCCAGAACTGTTTTTTGTTTACTCTAGTTATTATCAAATTTTCGAATTTTCTTTCTATCTAATCTAAAAATGAAAGTCCCCAAACAAAAGAGAAGCCCTACAAGATCAAGAAAACCGTAGGGTTCAAATTCGCCTGAGCTTCCGTGAAGTTAGCGATGCTCTCAGGGCAAATATTTGACGATAGACTTTCAAGTGTGAAGCAAGAGGTTCGGGGCAGCCGTGGCCGAGTGGCTGAGTTTAATTCTCTCGAAAACGCGCGACTGGCGGCACTTTTTGGTTCGGCTCCACTCTACGAAGAGAAGACGTACCGAGAGCAGTAGGCGGCCAAAGACGTCGACGGCGGACAACGATGGTCGACGCCGACGCGGAAGACGTGCTCGGCACAGGCGAGTTCGCAGTCCGGATGCACCGTCCACCAGGATCCCGCCTCGTTCATCACCAGAAAGTCCTTGCGCGGCTGCAAACCGTTCGATTTTGAACTTTTTCTCTCAACGAAAGGTTTCTTAGCCTGGGAATTATGATTACATTAGCCCGGACACACTTCAATTTACTGCATAGGAATCCTATTCATTCAGAGTACCGGAAGTTCCAGCTTCCAGTTCGGTTCTAAAAGATCTGACAACTAAGAAACACATTTCTAAATTTTCAGAGAAACCAGTGGCCCACAAAACTTTTCATAAAAAACTTTTTTCGTTATGATTATATTCCAATTTTCTGAAAACTATGTCTGTTTCGAAGCAAAAAATTTCACAGCTTGAGCTCTCTTTATTGAAGCTATCATATTTTTAAACCTTAGAAAAAATAAATAGATTTTCTTTCTTCGACAAGAAAAAGAGTTTATAGAATGTCGATCAAAGTTCTCGCGATAGAGCAGCCTTGATCAAGGATTTCATGCTCCTTCAGCTTCCGTGCTGATGTAATCTCCCAACAGCTGTATCTTCAATCTTTTTTTTTCTCTTGCGCCTTGTTTTCTTTCTCGCAGTTACTTGGCGTGGTTATCTATATATCTAGCGAAAGTTTAGTGTAATAGAGGAAAATATAATTTTCGCAGTAATGCTGCAACTGGTTTCCACTGGTAAATAATTTTTTTTTTTCTGACCGAAACTCCTCAATTATAAAGAGCCTTCAGAGAAGGAAGTTTTTTTTGTTCCGAGTGATTTTTGTTAAACAGAATACGCTCGTGGGATCGCACCGAGGAAATTCGATACTCTGCGGTTGTAATAAGAAGTGTAGTTGTTCTGCAAAGGTGATAGCAAAGCGAAAGTTCATATTCGCTGGAAAATATGAGAAACGGAACCGGAAAGTTTCACTTAGTTTGGACTTCCTAAATGAAACTCGTTTTTCAAAATGGACTCTCCATTTTTTTCCGAATGATAAACTCAGAAAACTGGGCAAAAGCACACAAATAAAAAACTAAGAATTTGTGCAATTTCAAAAATTTAATCTTATCTTCCAATGAATTCAAATAGAATAACCTTTTTCTCAATGAATCTGAGTAATTTTCTTTTTTTGATTTTTGCTATTTCCCTGTTTTTCGACCCAATTCACACATCTTTTGTCCGATAGGTCCGACCAAAACATACCCCCTGCGCCTCCAATACAAACTCGAGCATTTGCCGCAGTAACATTTCCGAGTTCCAGGAAACCAACAGAAAAAGAAAAAAAACGGTAGAGGAAAAAGCTTGAAGAGCACACACACGGCTGAGCAGACAAGCGATAGACGGAAAAGAAAGAAACAAAAAAGAGAGCGAAGTTCGCGGCTTATTACAATGGGTGATCGACAGGAATTGAGAAAAAATTAGAGCATGAGCTCGGCGAAAACGTAGTTGAACCTACATTTGGGGTGAGGACGCGGACGAAGACGATCGAAGAGCTGAGACAGTGTCGAATGGACTGTCGCCAATGTCGACCTGAAGAAGACAACGGGTTCTGCAACTGAAAGACACAAAGTTTATTGATAGGCTGAAGGAAAAACTACCGTCTCCTCGAAGATCTCGAAAATGGCGTTGAGTGGCAAGGCGCGGTATTCTGAAGTGAGAAGCGTTCGAAACAGCCAACACACCATTGAACACTCGCGAGCTCTCCTCCTCACTGAAATTGTGCTCATAAACAGATTATTAGGTATAATGAAGTTGTCAAAACAGCTTGGGGAATTCCCACTAACCCACAGGCTTCTTCTTGGGAACTGTTTCTGCAGCATTCGGATCTGGCAAGCCTAGCAACAGACTGCCTGAATTCGCGTCGCTCTCCATCGACGCCATTATTCCCGCCAATGATGAAGAGTACGACGAAGCGTCGACGTCATCGTCGAAAAGCGACGATGAAGGCGATTGGGCGGCTGAGTCGAGGGCGTCTGAAGGTAAAAAAAAAGTCCAATTCGAATAGATTAGGACTAAGATGATAGTTGCTAAAGTTATTTCAAGGAAAAACTTATAGAAACACCATTCAGATTCTTTGATTCGAACTTTGAATTTCCAGATTTCAAGATTTTCGAGTTATCTAGGTATCACAACTTCATGAAATGTTTTTTATTTTAAAAAATAAACTGTTCGGACGGTCTGAAAAACTTTTGCTTCAAATTTTCCTTGTTCGAATGCTAGAAAGAAGTTTCGAGTAAAATAATAAACGATAAAACAAACCTCGAACCGACATTTTCTCGAATGAAGCGTAATAAACAGCAATATTGAATGCAATATTGAGTCGGAAACTTTTAATTTACCGGAATCGACAAAATTCACCTTTGCGGAACAACGCAATCGTGCACCCAAACACGCATAAAAAAATTTAAACTTTAAATATTGAAATTTTTCAAAAAAAGCCTAAATTTTTCGGCGTTGAATTCAAAACCGAAAAATTAACGTTTCAATAACGCATTTTTTTCATGAAACTTTAAATCTTCGTTATGCTTTCTCCCAAAATTTCTATTTTTTTTTCGAAAACAAGAGAAACAAAATGACGGTTTTAAACAGCATTTTACCACATTTTCTTGAAGTTAAAATCAAATCGAACTTTTCTATTTTTTTACAAGATTTGGAATTTCAAAAAAAATTTTGATGGCACAAAAATTATAATTTATATACCACTATATATGTATACCAATTCCACGAAACGATCACCTAGTTTATAGCTATTTGCCCTTGTAGTCTGAACTTTAAATTCCGCATGTGAAACTATATCGAGGAAACAATTTCCTAAAAGATGATAATCGATTTCCTCATCTTTAAACGCAGTTAGGGCGATTATAAACCTGTTCATCCTTATTTTCTCATCTTTCTACTATTTGAATGAATATGTCGATGAACGGACCGCATAATTCGTGTTTGAAGAAAGAAGGTCCGTCGGCAAAGTTCCAGGGGTCGTCATCGATGGGCGAAGCGATCGCCGACAACATCATTGACATTCCCGGTTCCTCGTCCATTTTGCTGTAAGTAATATTTTTAAGGAACTGATAAAAAAAAATGGAATCTCCATGACGACCGCCGGATGAGAAAATGTTAGTGTTAAACGGAGGAATCTTAGTGGCTCTTTTGCCATTGATCATAGAGAAAAGGCCGAGAGAAAAAGAAGAGGAGGAGACTTGGAAAATGCGTCCTCGACTTTGATCTCTCTGCTACCTTTGAAATTTCATTAAATCAAGAAATAATAATAAAATAAATAATTTGAAATTCCAAGATTTCAAATCAAAACTTCAAATCAAAACTTTTAAAATATGAATATAAAATAAAAGATAACCAAGGACCATACGATTTCCTCGCAAAAAAAACCCTTTGAAGAATAGAGTGAAGCATAAGACAACTTATTATTATTTCTTGATGCTCCCAAATGATGAATATTTTCGAACTTCAAAAAATATTTTTTGGTGGAAAAAGCTGGGGAAATTTTGTTTAAGATCTTTTGCGGAAGCAGAATCAACAAATCTCGACTGCCAGCGGAACGAGGAACTTTTTAGAGAAAAAAAAATGGAAACAGTTGGCTCAGACTCGCTTGAATCGATAGATGTTAGGAAACTTTTAATAACAGCCGCTTTCTAAGAAATGGGAGTGGGAGAAAAACTTTCAAAACTATTACGTCAGTCTCGCTTCATTGATAATGATTAATGGATGATAAGAGCGTTGCAAAAAGAACAAAATGAAAGTTGAAAAAGTCATTCAGATCAGCTTAAACTGAAAAACTCAGATAGAACTTGAAAAAGAGAGATTTGATTCAGTTTTCAATTTTTTTTTCTTAAAAACCTAAACCTGTGTTTTTCAAACTTTATGATGAAAACTCAAATTTTCTCTGAGCTAACTTATTGTGGAGGCTCTTTACAATCTGGTACAACCCGTCTTCAAAATCCTGAAAAGCTTGGCCTCGTCTTAACCCAAAGGAAAGTAATAGCTGATGGGAAACGCCGCGGTCTGCGGATCCAAAGTCAGGAGGACCTTCAGTAAGGTCGTTTTGAATGTATAAATCCCGATTTGTTGCAAATTAAAAGAGGAAAAGTCAACAGAAGAGGTTTTTTGCGGGACACTAGCAGCGAGGCGGAGGAAACGGCAGAAGGACGAGTTGGCGAGAAGAAGAAACGAAGAAAGCGCAAAGAACGAACAGCGGCCGACAAGGGCGGAGGCGCCGCAGAACAGGTGGTCTCGAGGTACTGCCAAAAAGAGTTCATTCCATTCCTATTGAATAAAAAGTACTTACTGACGGTTCATTCCTCTTGAGACGTTTTTCCCAGCGCTGCTTCGAAAATTACTGCCGAAAAATCTTATTTATTACAAACGCTAAGTTAGGATGCCTGAGCCGTTTGAGGTTTCTTTCTATGGCTGAAAGAAATCGGCTCTAATCTTATGTTGAAAGTAATACTGCCAAAAGGAAAGTTTTTTATCTGCGATTTTGAGAGCAAGGCTGACTGAAGCTTCATTCTAACTTTTCTGAAACTATGATTAGTTTTGGTGGTTCATATAGTTCATCCTAATTTTCTGACTTGCAAAGTAATACAGTCTTCCATTGAGCCAAAAAAAGCACTGCTCAAAAACTTGAAAAAAAGTCTAAGTAAAGAAAAAAATATGAAAGATAATAGTTCTTTTATTTCTAACTTTTCTTTTCAGTTTTTTTTAAAAGTTATAAGTTCTCAAAGCCCCCCATGTTTTCTCACGTTGCCGCAAATAATTTGCCCCGCAGATTCCTTATCAAAGTACAAAAAGAGCTTCTGTATCCTGTTGTTAAAAAGTGCGAAATAAAAAAAAAACAAACGAATTTTTCCAAAGAAGAGATTTTCGAACATTTAAATTTCACGTACTAAAGGCTACAGTAGCTTTGAACTTAAAAAATTCAACCTTACATCAGAATAGACCTACTCACTCCTTTCAATTCTTAAAAAATGAAATAAGAAAAACCAGGTTCAAAAGACAAAGTCTTAAAATCTTGGTATGTTCGCCTCCAAAGATCGAACAGTACAGTTAAGAGTATACCATCTGAAAGGCTTATCTCGTCGATAACCAAGCGAAAGGGCGAGTCTCAAACAGTCTGAGAGGACGTTTTCTTTTCAAAGACGAGATTTTTCCACCAGAAGCAAACTAAAAAGTATAAAAAAACATCAGGGAGTGAACAAGAGCGAAGAAGGAAGAAGAATGGGTGCAAAAACCAAACGACCAAGAGAAAAACAAGGGAAAAATGTCGGGAAAAACTTCCAAATGCGGAAAAAAAGGCAAATGAGCACTTGTGGCGATTTCTCCACGTCTTCACGTTTCACGTCTCGGCACCTCCCATTCCAAAAATCACGCAAAGAAAATAAATGTACAATTTTAAAAAAAATTTGACGTGGAAGTTTTTTTTTTTCACGTTTTTCTCTTATTTTTCAACGCAAAACCAAGAAACGCAGAACTCATAAGTATCAACTTTATTTCAAAAATTCTCACTCTTCGTCTCAACGAAAAAAAATTATCAGAATGAAGGACACAAAAAGAAAAAACTCAAAGAACTGCGCCTGTGAAGATCAAAAATGAGAAGTTCAGAAAGTGTCAGCGCAATTTTATTTTCAATCTTCTTTAAAAAAAAATCTAGAAAAGCCTAATATAAACGAGTTAAAAATAGTTGAGCTTTTTTGAAGACCGCCGAATCATTTATCAAACAAATCAAATTGCCGTAAACTATTTTTTGCCAAAAACGTACGTCAAAGGAAAGAGACGCAGAGGCACTGAACGGCGATAAGACGAAAAATCAGAGAGCGGATGGATGGCCTTTCGCCGCCTTTTTCCCATTTTCAAAGAACTTTTCCTGTCTGTTTTCTTCCCCGGGGCAAAGTTCGTTTGAATGTGGGAAAATATTCATAATGGAATTTAAAACAGAGTCAGAAAAGGAAAATTGAAGTTTTTGAATGGTTTGAAAATTTCAGGAGCGAAGGGGGCACCTTTCTGCACTGAAAATGTTCGGTTCTTCAAAAAAAAAGCAAAAAGAAAAGAAAGTTCGTGAGCAATTGAAAAATAGAGAAGATACCTCACCGTTTTCAAAGCTTTCATCAAGTTAGAAATGATGGGCAGAAGCGAAATCTGAAAAAGTTTACAAGAGGCGGCTCTCACTCAGGTGGAAATAAGAGAATGGCGTTCTGGTGGCTCCGAGGAGCCTTAGTCTGAACCTGCGGACGTGCAAAACGGAAGATTTTTTTTTTTGAAAGACAGTTTCAGAGAAGCTCCGCTGTGACGTCAGCAGGGAGTACACATGGCATCCATGACGTCTTTCTTCTCTGGGCCCTCGGCCAGAGAACCTATTTCTCAAACTCAGTTCAAGAAATTGAAAAATTTCAAGTCAAAAAATATATCCCCGATTAATTTTTCCAATAACCTCGCATGGAGTATATCAAAAAAAGAAAATCTTTCTACGGAGGAAAGGATTGGAAACCATTTTTATTTGTTCCTACTGAAACTTTTAAGAAGTCATTTGTAGCAATTTTACTTTGTTTCCCACGAATTAAAACGGTTCGAATTTTCCGCGTCTCCTTTTTTCAGCGGCGTGTTAATATCATGAAATCGTTTAAAAAATCGTGGGAAAATTTGAGTTATTTATGGAAAGTACTGTAGTGACAAAATTCGTATACACCTTTTGTTTTCACGTTTGCACAGAAAGCGCAGAACTCTACGACCTTTTTAAAAGTTGAAATGAAAGTTATTTTTCTCCTTCTCTCCAAATTTTATTCGGATTTCCACATTATTGCGGCAGAGATTGTTTGTTTGACAATTTATGTCATATTAATCAATGTAACCGGTTTACATGTATGCTCACCAGTTGACTTCTGCATGAGCTCTTTCACCAAATAGTTGTTTGTTTTTTACTTTATTTGAGATTTTAAAAAAGGTATTATCTACAAGTGGTTTTTTGTTTGTCTCGGGTCTTCCCTGATAAAGAAAATGGTTAATAAACAAATTTTGCAGAAAAAAATGGACAAGAGAATAAATATCGAACCTTTGTCCGAAAAAGACAAAAAAAAAATTGAGCCTTTACCGAATAAAAATGCTACATAAGGTAATACTGTACTTTTCCGATATTTTGAAAAAAAAAATCTTTCTTTGTAGAAAAGAACGCGGAACAAATATGATCTTCAACCGAAACGCGCTTTGAAACATGACGAAACGGACATTTGTTCTCGGTTTGCGGTTTGAAAGGTTACTTTCCAAGCTCAAAACGCTGAAAGAGCTCTATTTGTCGGCTTTTCTCAGGTTGTATCCTGAAAGTTTATCTCGGTCTTCTTTGATCTAAAAAATTGTCTGTTCGAGTATTCATGTATAAAAACCACCTAAGAAGGAAACTCCCCTTTTCTCAGAAATTTTGAGGGAACTTTAACGTAAGTTTGGTTTTTTTTTGTCGCTAAAACATTCTACTTCTTTCCAGTCTAAGTATTTCCGCTGAGTTCTTATTTCTTGTCGAAGGTTTCTGCTCAGTTAACCTTGAAATGGATTGTTTCAACTAGAAAAATAAGTAAATTTCGAGTCAAAAGAAGCGAAATTAGCTGATTGTGGAAACTGATAGGGCCTCTGCTACTCGTCTTATTTTTTTTTTTTTCTCGTTCGTTATTCCTCGGTTTTTCTTAATATGCAGATTGTATCCTAAATCCCTTCTCTTATTCTTTATGTAAATAATATATTTTTCAGAGACCTCGTGAAATGTGTTCAAATTGTTTTCTTTCTCTTTGATTTCAGGTTTTTCTAAGAACTCAGTGACAATTTTTTTATACGTATAACTTGTCTTTGATGACTAACTGCTCCCATGAGATTTGAAAAAAAAAATTATCTACACAGTGGAGCTCAAATATTGTTTCCAGGTCTCAAAGCTGAGGCCGAAGCTGCTAACTTTTGTCTAAAATCTTTTTACCCGTTGCATTTTTGATTTTTGATTCTCATTTTTGAAATAAAATTAGATTTTTATTTTTTTAAAAACTTCTCTGAAAACTTTCAAAAAGAAGGAAAACAGTTATCAATAAATTTTCAGCTCAGCACTCAAATTTTTTTATTGAGCTTTCTCTTCATTTTTTTCACTCATTGTTCTTTTTTTAACTGAAAGTTCAGAAAACCGTAGAAACTGTAAAAATAAACTTTGTCGAAAACGCAAAAAAAAAAATGAAATTTTTGTATGCCGTTTCTTTTTTTTTAGAAATTCAGGATGTCAGGAAAAAAAACTAAAGCGTAGGTGGAATTTCCACTTTTTAACGTTGAGGTTTAATTCAAGAACTCGTATTCATTTGAAAGTTGTCATATCGATCGATATTATTTTGCATCACGCTATATGAACTGATAAAACATCATGCCGTTTAGCTTTGATGTTGCAAAAGATTTATTTTCAAGCTGACCTAAAATTTTCTCTGGCTTTTTCGATTCACTCTCGTTTTTTTTCATGATCTACCCTAATACTTTTTTATCATAGTAACTTCCCTCAGAAAGAAAGCCAAAAAGAGTAATTTATGAGAGAAAAAAACGTGATCTGTAACTTTGGACCATGCGATTTTTAACTCGGAGAAGAAAATTCTGGCTTTCCACCTGCGATCATCACAGCTTTTCATTTTACGGAGACTCGAGACAAAAAAACCTTTGCGAAACAATGACAAACTACGTCACAGACAAAGATTTCAAGTTTTTAGCACTAGATCAGTCCGTGTCGGCCTGGCCCCTTGGCCGAGCACTCAAGGAAAGACAAAAGTTTTTTCGAAAGTCGGCGAAAAGAGACGCGAGAAGACCGTGTTGCGAGCCGCTCAGGAATTCTTTCGCACACTCGAGGCTTCATCCGAGTCCCACCAGGCGCTTCCCTTTTCGCCACGTCTTCTGGCTCCCACGCTCCACCGTTTTCTTCCATCTTCTCCCTTGTGTGTGCTCTTCTCTTGCTTTTTTTCCCGGGAATTATGGTAAAATGAGGTTTGAAATCTAGATTGAAAGAAAAAGTTCAAGTTTTTTTGAATTAATCGGAAACAGAAACAAGAATGCAATCCGTTTCACTTTTTCCTATCCTTCATCTTGGCAAACGCTTCGAAACCCGCAAAACATCATTCAGACTCATTTCATCCTTTTTGAAGGTTTCCAAGAGAAACTCGAGCTCAGAGAAGATATTAGATCTGAAAAATCAGATGAAAATAAAAAGCTCCAAAGTTCTTTTTACATTGTTTTTTCTGAGAAAATCAATTCAAACGTAAGCTTTTGGCACTGAAGGCTTGTATCTCTTCAAGAATTTTCTTGCAAGAACGTACTATTCCGTCGAAAATCGACTAGGAAATCATTTCTCTTTGGAATCTCAGTTTTTCTTCCTGATTTCTACGTTGAAAAAAAAGAAATCTAAGCTACTGATAATTGCTCAATTAACTATTTTTTTCAAAAGAAAAAAAGTCCGATCGTCAACTACATGAAGAAGTTCCAAGTGAATCTCCCACATCGTGTTCCTTAATTTTCCATTTGCGGAAATCCTGCCTCACAGATGTTGTTTTTCTGAAATTTCCTCTTTTCCAGGCAAATCGCCGCAAATTTAATCTAATTACTGGGCAATGGAGAGTAAAATTTGGGCTGAAAAAAACAACCTTTCATTCTGATTGAATAGCATTGTTTGTTTATTTTTTTCGAGAAGGTTTTTTGTCTAGAATTTCGCCACAAGTTGAAGCACGTAGCTGCCAATTTATCGTATTCATATATTGAATTCATGAACAAAACATTGGCGATCTCATGGAATGACTACTTTTTCTGAAATTGAATAGGGCAATTAGATTTGGACGATCATAATACCTTTCTAATTAGTTTATTAAGTTCTACGAGAACAGTGTTCGCATAATTCAATAGAACCAGAAATAAACTTCTCCTCGTGTAACCACGAGCTCTGGAGAGAATGGAGTAGATTGTTCAGAAAGTGAAGAAAAAGCTAGCAAAAGGAAATGCGGCCTGTTTGTTGATGTTTCTGTTTCAGCTTCCACAAAATCGGGAGAAAAAAAAACCATCGAACCATACCAATTTTTACCTTAGGAACGATGTAATTTCATCGATTTTGCCAGTTTTATTTTGAGTTCGTTAATCTTCTCTTTTTCTGTAACATAATTATCGAAAACCAGACTTTATAGGATTATGAAAATATTTTCACTCCTGTCAACAATTAATATTTTTTCGGATGTGTAATGAAAATGGCAGCTAATCTTGCCGTGCCTCTTTTGGCGGGGGGCGGAGCCTCCGTTTCAGCGTATATCCATTCTTAGCTCCACCCCCTTACGTTTCGTTTCCAACCTCGTTTTCTTAAAAATTTTCATTCGAGTCTTCTTTTTGGGCTTCTTTCTAATAACAGTTGTTTGTGAAATGTACTAGAGGCAGAAAACAGACAAAAACCAAAAATAGTGTTTTTCAATCTGTATTTTTGAACTGTATTTTTTTTGAAGATTGTTTCAACACAGTTTTATTATTCAAATCTATCTTCATCGCATTTGTCTTATTCTTATTTTTCTTTTTCTCTCTTCTTTATTTCATTTATCCTTTGAAAAAAGCTATCTTTCCTATTTTTGAGCGTTATTGGTTTTTGCAAAAAAAGCTGAGAATTCAAAAATTGGTGCTTTTCTCGATCATAAAGGGCAATTAAAAAAATGTGATTGTGTGGCTTTGCTTGAAATTCAAAGGAAATGAAAATTAATAAATAAGGAATCGCTTGAAGAAATTTTTCAAAACTGCGAGCTCTTGACATGACGATTTGAAAACGTTTCAAATAATACTTCGTATTTTATGTTGACAATCATATTTCTTGCAACACGAAAAGTGTTTGTTTCGTTTCAAGTTTTCAAACAAGTTTTCGTTCTTTTTATTCTTTTTCATTCTTGATTTCTCAATGCGAGACAGACTTTTTTAACCATGACAACATGGTTCATTTCCTTAACACTAATGCAGACTTCCTCTACATTCAAAAGAAACTAATGCGGACCTTCGTTAATTTATGTTTTGATCGTTGGAACTGCTAGCAGTGAACCAGCATTTTCAACCCTTTCAGTTCAATTCAGTATTCTGGCAAAATAATTTCATTTCCCCGCAGCTCATAACATTTAAATGGAGCTTGCAACTAATTATGATGGAGAAAAACGTAAAACTCCCCTAAATAAACATTTTCGAACCACATAGTTCAAAATGAACGGAGAAAAAGCCTGTTGACAGCTTCTTTAATATTTATTTACTATCCATCTGCAAGACAAAACAAACCAAACCACCGATTGAAATCAGAAATGAATAAGTTAACTTTTTTTCAACCGATTTCTCCCGCTTTCACAAGTTTCTAGCGTTTGTGACTCGAGAAATTTGAGGAAATGTCCAAAGTCCAGTAAGAAACCTTTTTGAAAGCCAATCCGAGCTTCCCACATGATTCCGCCAGATGAGTGGCCTGTTCTCTCACAAGAACTTTCAGTAATTTTCTTTTAATTGTGACGAACTCTATTTCGAAAAAAATTAAATTTACGAAAAAAATTAAAATTCACAGATTTATCATGAATGGAGAGCAATTAATTACGTTGCATTTATTAATAGATCAAAAAAACCGAAATTCTCTGTCAAATCATGGAGCAATCTATATTTTTTTGGAAAAATATCTTCAATTACCAAAGTTCTGAGAAAAAAAGTGAAATACTCCAAGAAATATAAAAAAATGGAAGTTTTTTTATCGTTGAATCTTGACTCAATCATTATTGCTAATTGAAAAAAACTTTTACTGGGGATGCATCTTTTGAAAACACAGAAAGGAATCTACCGAGATCCAGAAAGAAATTCGCAAAACACTATATACAGTTTTCAGAATCGAAAACATTGGTGGCATTAAAAAAAAAGAGAAAATTGGTACAATTGTTTTTCTCTCTCATTGTCTTATCGTTCCTTTTCTCAATTCGAAATCCTCTCGTTTTCGTTTCATTTCCTTTTGAACGCTAGAAAATGCGTTCTTTCTTTCTTCAATGTACAATTCATTAAAACTTTTTTGAAAACGACCACTTCTGAAAACCGTGATTTTTTGAACAGATTCTCTCGAATAAAAGTGGGCTATAATCCGTTTTTCGCGACTTGAAAGGGCGGGACCTCTCTGCGCCCTCCTCGTCTCTCGACGTCACTCTCATGTTTACGTGCTGTTTTCATGTTTCTCTGACCTCGTCGGTGAGGGAACAGAGAGACGCAGACATTCGAAAACTGTCAAGTCGCGGCAAACGGACTATACAGACTTTTTCCTGAAAAACCTGAAAGTTCGAACGCGCGAAATGTTCATTGGCACTATCAATTTTTCTATTGTTTCGAGCATTTCTAATAGTATACTTGTGCATAAAGATGTTTTTATGTTATTAATTCACCAATGAAACCAGTCCGAGCTCTGTTCAATAAGTTTTACGGCCCATAAACACGCTGGAAGCCAAAAAAAGAACTTTCTTTAGGATACCTAAAATTTTCCGGTTAGTAGCACTTTAAAAAGTGAAACTCAAATAAAATGAGACTTTCAATGGGAAATACGGCCGTATAGTTGCAAAAAAGACGGTCTCTCTGATGTTCTAAATATGGATCCCCTCTACAAAAGTTTTAATCAAGTCAACAAAGATATTGAAAATTATTGAAGGCAAATCCAAAAGCTTCTGAAGTTTTAAGAAATCTCATCCCACTTGTAAAACCTTCATATAACATATTTTAAGGAAAAGAAGTCAATGAAGTTATTCTGAAAGCATTCAATTCGCGTCAAGCGTTATTCTGACGTTAGCAGTATCTTCTTTTACAGCGCATTCTTCTTGATCAAACTAGCTACACGAAATCTCGATCTCGAATCAGTGACGAATAACTCGATTCGTGCCGTTCTGGTGCCAATCTGGCGATGAATAAATCATGAATCTGTTGCAGAATTGCATTTATGGAGGAGCAAGAGGTGTGGAGCGAGCGGCCCTTGTCTCTGGAGGACCTCTTCGCAGGATCGTCGCTTCTGACAGTCGCCTTCTTGGCCACGGCCCTCTACGTCATCATGCTGAGCATCATGCGCAAGCAGGACAAGGTGAGGTGCCACTTCCTGACGCCTTGAGGGACGTCTTGGCGGAAATGTGGCAGGAAACTCGATGTGATATTCGATACACAGTGTGACGCTGCACTGGCTCTGCAACACGGAGGCGAGAAAAAAAAAGAAACGCGACGGAGAATATTCAAATAGTTTCTAGCGCATATTTGGGCCGTGAATTTTTCATGCACCCTTCTTTTTTTGCTCTTCCTCTTTCTGCCGCGTTTTCTTGAGAATAAAAAAGTCCTGTCCCTGGGGAAAGACAATCTTTTCGACTTTTGCCGTCTGGCCAAAGTTTAGCCAAGCTTGAATCTCTCTTTTTTTGACCGAAAAAAACGCACCTGGCGTTCAAAAATGCTCAAATTGAATGACGGAAAAGAGGGAAAAGTCGCAATTTTTACGAGTCAAGGCGTTCAGAGGAAACTTTGTTGCCAAAAGAGAAGTCTAAGCAATGGAAAGTTTAAAAAAAAATTGCCGTTAAGAAAAAAATAATCAATTATATTTTTTTGAGAAGCGTTTTTTAAAGGCTTTGGTAGAAATGTCGAGTTTGTTAAACTATAACTAAACTTTACTTTGGTTTTCATAAAGGTTTTTTTGTTTAAAAAAAGTTCAAAAAAATATTTTTTTGATGTTTTAACTCCATTTATAAAAGCTTGCTAGTTTGTTCAAAGAACTTTTTGGAATTCAAGCGGTTTTTATGATCAAAACTATATTGAGACATTCCAAATGCGACCACTTCGTTTCAAGTCACGGGATGACTTGCCGATCGGAAACAACATCGGCTTTACAGGAAGTCGTGGGCTACCGATTCCTGTTCTCGGCAGGCTGTGCCGACGTGCTGCTGCTGTTCAACTACGGCGTCTGGCCGGCGCTGACGATTCTCTTCAAGTCCGAGCTGATCCCCAAGTCGCTGCGGCACTGGCAGCAGGTTGGTCTCGACCCGTGCTCCCAGCAGCCGTCGATTGCAGCTCTACCTGGACTGGGCGTGGTTCTCGATGGTGTCGCACTACTCGGTGGTGAGCTGGTCGAGGTGGATGGCGATCCGACGGCCGCTCGCTTTCCGCAACCAGCCCCGCAGGACTTCCTACACTCTCTGTGGCCTTTGCTACCTTCTCGCCCTAGTCGTGGTTGGTGTTCTCTTTCAATTCTTCCGGCTTTTTTGGCACTCTTATGCTTCTCCTGATAGATTGAATGACATTTCATCAGAAAAAAAAAACAAAGAAAGAAAGAAATCCAAGACGAAGAAAAGCATTTTTCAGCTTTTCCTACAGCAGTAGTATTATGGGTCTTTTAGGATCCTAGTGGACACTGAAATTTGTTCTTTCTCTATGTTTTTTGAACTTCAGGGAAATCTGTTGTGAGTGAAGCATACAGTAAACTTCATATGAGCTAGCGATTAATTTATGACTATTTAGGCTTAAAATATCTCTATTTCCATCGTTCCGGTCGAAAGTTTGCCTCATCAATCAGATCGATCATTTGTTTTTTTTTTTGTTTTAGTCATGAATGTAATCGATTAGACGGTGAAAAAGAACTGTTAAAGCTGTAACAAACGACTGCTACTAGCGTGTTAGAAGTCCAAATGTGTAGTTGATCAAGTTGGACGCATGGTCCTTCGCATCATCTTCTGCGCTTAGTGATAAGTTTGAGGATCCGATTTCAGTTATACTTTCCTTTTTATGAATAGCCTTTTTGCAGGTATTATCGACTCACTTCCAACCGTGGTACGTGACCTTCTACTACGAGCCGTCGTCCTACGGGATGCTCGCTGAAAACTTCCCGTTGTACCTGTCCGGAGGCCAATCCGCAATGTTCCTCGCCTGTCACTGCACGGCCATCCTGCCTCCAATCGTCTTCTACACGTTCGTAAACAAACCTCTGGACCAGACAATATTTCCTTGTTTTCTCAACTATTTCACTTAAGTACACATTGATTAGGTCTTCAGAGAAAGTTCTCTGCTGAATCATGAAATAATTAAAGAGTTGTTTGGCGGTTCGCGAAACTTTCGTTGATCAAAAACGGCGAGTAGATCACATCGTCTTTTAAGAGATAGTAGTAGACAAGTTTTGAGCATTACGACGAACAGCTGTTTCTCCATGTGGGAAGAGTACGGCGCCCAGCTTGTCCAGGGCTGACGGGCGTCGGATTAAATCTCAGACAATGAAGACCGACCACGGGAGGTGGAATTAAGATAATGTTCTACGAACTTCCTTGAAAGTTCAATAACGCATAATTTTTAAAGTTTTCCTATCACTTTTCTTCTCAGATGGTCAATCGCCCTTCTCTACAGCCGAAAGAAGCCAAAGTTGTTGGTACACGTGGCGCAGAACAACATTGAGAGCAGGTAAACTTCAATTTTTTTGAATATGATTAATGGAAAAATGGGGAATATTGATGACAGAAAGATGCGTAAGTAGAGTAGAGAAAGGAGAGAAAAGGTTTAATCGATAATTATGTCATTGATGTGGTTGGGTAAAGTTTTAGTGTCACAATCTTTCCCTTACAAAGAACCTCAAAAACTTTGATCGTACTATAGTCCGTCCGCCGCGACTTGACAGTTTTCGAATTTCTGTGTCTCTCTGTTCCCTCATCGGCGAAGTCACAGAAAAGCGAAAATAGCGCGTCAACAAGAGAGGGTTGTCGAGAGACGAGGAGGGCGCAGAGAAGTCCTGCCCTTTCAAGTCGCGAAAAACGGACTATATGAATCAAACTACTTTCAATTCGTTTCAGTCAAAAGAACGGTATGAGTTCAGACTTCTGCTGCCCTGTCTGATCAACGTCGTGACTTTTGTCATCGGACAAGTCGTGATTACGGTAGGAACAGGCGAAGGCAAATGGGCTGGGTATACGGTAATGCTCCTATTTGCCGCCAACTCCGCGATGAACCCCTTGCTACTCCTCATTTGCTCCAAATCGATACGGTAGGCTTCTGAGTTTGTTTTTTTTTCCGAAATAAATGTTTTGCAGACAACAAGTTCTTGACGCGCTGGAGTTCTCCAAGGGTCCTCGAACTACCCTTTTTGAGAAAGAACAGCTGTTATAGGTACGACTTTCAAGTTCAAATGAACTGAAAAAGGAATTTCACTTTGGGGATTTCGAAAAATTAAGTCAAACCTTAAAATACATATGTTTCCTACACTCTGGAATCAAATCCTGTTTCATGTTTTTGGTAAATTAAAAAGGGAACAAAAATTTTTTAAGCGATAAATTAAATAAAAAAAAATAGTCGAGAAAGAAATCTCAATGAGATTTGATAAATTGGTCTATGTGATTCTTAAGAGTTATATATTTTCATGTGAAAATCTTAATTTTGCAAAGTTTGAGACTGATTTGTAAAATGCATTAGTCAGAGAGAATAATCTTCTATAGCCTGTGTACCACGACTTGAAATTTCACCAAACGACATTCCGCTGTGTCGCTGAGCGTTTTTGCGAACCTTGGTCGCGCTTTTTATTTTTTTTTTCTTTTATCAAGGTACTCTACTTTCATGTGCTCCCACAACAATAACGATCAGTTGAAAGCGTGACCTAAATTCGAAAGACGCTTCGCGAACACACGCAGCGGAACAGCGGAATGTCGTTCCGTGAAATTTCGAGTCTTGGCACACAGACTATACAACAAAAGATTATATGGCTTCTCTCTTTTTATCGAAAAGGGTGGCAGTGGAAAGCTTTTACAGACCAGAAAGACTTGAAACAAGATATCAAATAAATAAACTGGGGGTTTTATATGAAAGAGTTTTTGTGTAAATGCAGGAATAATATTAATCAGCATAGATTTATTCACTGCATACGGTATAAAAATAGTTAGTTAGAATAAACACAAGATAATAATGCAGTAAAAAAAAAACCAAAAACGCGATTTAGCCCGCCCTAACGAGTATACTCTGACCCGGAGTTAAATAGGAATTTTAATTTTTAACTCTAACAGGCAAACGGGAAGGAATAGATTTGTAGAAAGCGGTGATTTCACTACTACACAATATTTTAAGGCTTCTCAGTTTCCTTTCTTTCTGAAGAATTGAATGATCTCACAAACCTTCAGAAATCAGAGAGGCTATGAATCACTCTAATAATTGATGATTTCACTGAAAATAGAGTTGAAAGTTCGATTGAGCACCACAATTTGCAGAAACGAAGCGAATTCTGCGATGGAGTCTTGCGTGACGTCAGAGAAGCCAACGAGACGATACCTTTTCTTGACCTTGCCTTCTTCCACGCCACCTTCCACAGCTCTTTGAATCACGGTTTTGAAAATGTTCAAAATAAGCCTCTTTCCCGAAATTTCGAAGTTTAAAAGTGTCAATCTAGTCGTCCAGTTCAGCTATGTGTAGACTAGACTAACCATATTTCTTTTTTCTGTAGGTATTTTCATAAGGCTTCAAGCTTTTTTTAAAACTAGTATTTATTGAATTCAACTCCGACTCAATCTCATTAGAAAGCAGATTTACTTTCATTTTGGGGGCAAACAAATCTGGTACTCCAGCTTCACTTATCATTCCAATTAACCAAAAGTATACTTTTTTTCACGAATATCAAGTCATGGTTTCATACAGCGATGAAATCCACTTTGATTTAGACAATTTGAAAAAATTTTGCTCTGAAATCTCTAGGTGAAGAAGTTGTTATAACCTAAAATAACAATGAAAACGTCTCTTCTCCTCGAGACCTTAATAAAAACTGCGCGTCCTATTACACAGCGAAGTTTTTTTCGAAAAAAACTTTAAAAATATAGATCAATTTATATTTTTTTAAAAACATTACAGAGCAAAAAAAGCGCTAAATTCCTGGTGAATTAAATTGAGCATTTATTTCCCAAGAACGATCTGCGCTTAAAAAAATTAAATTATTTTTTTCAAACAAAAATCATTTCAAAAAAATCAAAAACGGTTCAGGAGTACACTTCACGCTCGTGAATCATTTTGATCCAAAATAACTATAATCCGTGTGATTTACTGGTTTTTTGAACATGTTTATCGGTGCTATTTTGTCCGTTTCTGTTGAAACCCATTATCCACTTTTGACGGTTTTTATAGTCGCATTTCCTTTTTTCTATCGAGTTCAACCCTCGGGTCATAATTGTTACGCGTTTTCATTTCCCCCTCACACGTCCCATTGATCTCATTTTGTCACTCACTACAAGGCCAAATATAACCTGTTGTTGCTCATTGAATAAAGAGTTTTTTTTTCAAACTCCTGGTGGGGCCTCAGAAAAAGAGATTTTTGGATTCATATAAACTGACATGAATTGATAGATGCTTCTGTATAGTTCCAAAAAAATTTAGTTTTGAAGAAAAAGTGAAAATAAAAAATTCATTAGAGTAAAAAATTGTTTTGAAAAGTCTCCGACTATATTTTTTTAGATTGAAACTTTGACTAAAACTTGAGGACCAAAAAATGAGCGGAAACATAATTTTTCAGCTTGTGAAGCCTCAAACATTGGCAGGAACTGAAGCATTGTTCGAAACGGTGAAAAGCAGAAACAATGCTAATAACTAATGAGAGATCGTTTTCAAAACGGAGAGACACAAAGAAGCAAAACAAAAAATCAATTCGGGAGCGCGTAATCGTCCTTTTGCCAACAACTGGCGGGAAATCAAAAATTCTTTGAGCCTTTTTTTTTTTTGAAAAACCTGAGATTTCAAACAGTTGAGCGAAACTTTTCGAAATAACGTTATTCTTGCAACAAAACAAGAAAGAAATTTCTAACTTTGTGGTTTGTGACTTCGATCCCAGGTGAAACTTGAGCGAATGAAAACCGATCTTGAATGTTTATTTGAGTTTCGGGTGCTCAGAAAAGAAATTCAAATACTTTTTTCACGTTCTAAACTGTTCGACTGCTATTTCCTTTTTGAAGCCTTTTCAAAAAAAAAAATTCTGTGGAGGTGTAAATAATCTTCTTTTTGCACATTTACTTGCTAATGTTGTCAGGAAAGTTTTTGATGCAAACTGACTAATTTTTTGTTGAAAACTTGGGAAGAGGTGGAGAGTTCAGGGTTGTCCTGTGTCTCTTAATACGTTACATAGGAACCTACATCGAAACACCATGAAAAGAGATAATCTATTTCGAAAATCAAGCAAATCTGAGCTGGATAAAAGCCCTTCATTTCTTTCCACATTCCAAGAAAGTCTTAGTTTCCGAAACCAAGTTGAGAGTTGAGAAAAAAAAAGACAGCTCGGTTTTTTTAACTTTTCTCAAATCTCTCGTTTTTTATGAGAGAATCAAAAAATCTATTTCAAAAATCCTGGTAAACATTCGAAATAGTTAATAAAACTGAACGTCTAGACGCGTATCACTGTAAAGTTTCTTGTTTGTTTTTGTGTGATAAATAAACGTGAACTTCTCCAAGAAAAAAAAACCCCCACTACAAACCACAGAAAATACCTTTTTTTCCGACCTTATCACAGATAAGAAACAACCCTTTCTCGGTGGGCGTTTTTAAACCGACGACTGATTGAAATCGGTAAAGGCTTTCAGACTTTTTGAAAAAAAATATTACCTACGAACCCCAAAAATGAGTCACTCTCCGCTACCTGCTGAACGCCGTCAACTTGATATTATTTCGACGCTCCTCCCCCAGGAAAACAACGCGCAAATCACCGACGATGTGTGTTTTTGAGTTTTTTTTTCTTTGGCTGGCGATTCGCGTGCTTTTGTCGTGACCGGCCAGTCACTTTCCGATTCGATTGCTTTCCGTTTAGACCATTCAAACAATGGAAATTATAATTTTCCCTTTTGGATAAGCTTTATGAATCTTCTTCACTCTACTTGAGACTTTGATGAAAACCTACATGTTTGGTAGTTCAGGAGATGGTGGAAGCTGGGGTCCACGAGGTCTTCAACAAGCCAACAGAACGGATTCCTCCGTCGACACCAACTTTTCTAGGACCTTTCGCAATTATCTGCAGGTACCTTCATTATTGACAAAATTTTTATGCTTCATTTTCTGTTGTAGCAGTTGAATATGATCTAATGAGCTGTATAGGGCGAGTAGTAACTCTTTGGGCGTAAGCCGTTTCGGGTCGGATAGGCTCAAAAAAAAAAACTATTTTGCAACTGGACTTCTGAGAGAACAGATCATCTTAAATTTAGTTCACTGAAAAATCATATTTTCTGGAAAAACCAATCAAAAAAACTCCACGAAAAGAAATCGCTACCTTCATTATTTTTTTTTTTTGAACTCTTTCTATATATACTGCAATATCAGTTGCTTCGGAAACAAAACTCTAACGCATAATTAGATAATTTAAAAATAAAAGTCTGTTCCACGCACATTTTTTAAAGGCCTTCGGATTGAAAAAAATCACAAAAAAACAAAAAAATTTTTTTGCTATTCAAAATCTACAACTTTTCTCTCAAAGGTGTTCTTATCTAAAGCTTCAGAAATCGGGCCACAAACCACAATCTTCTCCTCTAGACATTTCCATAATGGTTTGAGTAAATATTTGCAAATCCTTCTATAGAACTTTTCATCGTTTCTTCACCATCAAAACAATGAATTCTGCTCATTTTTCATAGATTGTTGTGGGTCAAACTATACTTAACCCTCAATGTATAGCTCGTGGAGGACCTAGTTATCTTTCCAATCTTGATTTTGCAAACCATTGAGATTGGAAAATGCGAGAATCTTTCTTAATCATAAAGTTGGGAAGAAAACTTACAGATTCTCAGGACTCGATGGCTCACGATTCAAGAAAGGCCAAATGTTCACTTTCCGGGCGATCCTTTCCCTCATTGCGGTCGTGGTTGTGGTGACGGGGATTGTCGTCAAAATGGGCTCGCAAATGTTCTCAGACGCCAAGGTATAGTTGCCAACCTTGAATGAACCAGTGCATTTTTCGCAAAAGTTTTTTTTTCCAACAGTAGAAAAACAAAATGTGTCTCAACTGACCTCGTTGCAGCCGCTGTCTCTGCGATGGGCCGAGACCAATCTTCTGGGATTCATGGCGCTTCAGTCGCTGTTCGGCGCCATCTGCATCATCGCCTGGACCAACAGCGGCTTCTTCGATAAGTTCGAAGAGCAACTTTGCCGCGTCAGAGTTTTGCGAGTCAGTTAGTTTCGCATGTCAAACAAAACCTAGACCTTAAAATTTGAAACTGAAACTGTAAATGATTGATGAATACCAGACTCAAATTTCACTGAACGTTCCAGATAGCGAACGACGAGACGTTGGACGACTACAAGAAGTATCATCAGATATCGGCGATATTCGCGTTGCCGATCTTCATCGTCGCCATCGGCGCGGCCTTCTTCAACATCTTCTCCGGCGGCGGACAGTCGCCTCTGGTCGCCTTGGACCCGATCGTCAGTTTCTTCGCCGCCTTGGCGACGTCTCTCGCCCTCATCACCTACATCTCCGTCAACGTGGCTCTCAATCGCGAGATCGAGTACTTCAACAAGGAAATCGCCAACGCCTCCCGGTTCCAGCAGCTCACGGTCAGTCCGAGTTTCATCAAAAATCAATATTTTTCATTTCTCATCCACAAGTACTGAAAAGTTCGACTATCCTTTCAGCAGGAAATTATACCAGGGAAACGTTCAGAAGGTCTTTGAGACGTCTTCAAAAAGCCAAAATGAGAAGTGGAAGCGTTAAAATATCTTCTCAGCCTCCTTACAGCTTCTAGTTTAAAATGTGAGAAACGAGTGCGCTCGAAAATGAGAGGTTGACAAAAAATAGACGCGGAAATTGAGCTTTTCGGGACATTTTCGGGGGCTGTTTTCTACAATTTCAAATTCAGGAAGCCTTAGAAAGATGAAAGTTATCTGTTGATATCTCTTTTATCTAAAATGTCTTTATCACAACTTAGAAACTCAGAAAAGTGAGAACAAAAGAGAATTAATGACGGATGCGAGTATAGGCTGTTGCTTGATATAGAATAAGTCTTGAGGCACCTCGTATAGCACTGAAAACGGCTATTTTGTGGAGTCAAGTATTACTCTCTTGAACACCTAGATTCATAACACATTCTAGGGCCTAGAAAGTGTCATTATTACCTACGAATGAAGAAGAAGAAGGAGGTATTTTAATGTGACACAATCAAAAGCTCCGGAAATCGCTCTATTCAATCGATTGCAGCTACCGAAAGTGCTCAACACCTACAGCAAGAGACAGTCCGACCTCATCCAACTCGTCCGTTTTGCCAACGAAAATCTTCGTAAGACCTCAAAATACGAAAATATAAACTAAAAAGGGCCTTTTAGTCCGTTACTGCACTATTATTCCGATGTTCACGTTCACAGCCGTCGTCAACGGGGTTTATCTGGTCGGAGGGTGAGGTCTATCAGAAGAAGCATGAGTTGTGAGGTTCCGCAGGTTCCGGAGCGAAATCTCGGTTCTCAACATGATAATCGTGATCGGCTGGGTGATCGTGGCTGGCGGAGTCACCAGTGGATGTCTTGTCGCGCCGGCCAACGTCCAGAAAAATGTGAGACTTGAAAATAAAACAACATCAGAAAAATGTCAAAAGAAAGCAAGATAAGTTTTTTCCATAAAATCATTTTCTTTTTAGACTGATTCAAAACGCCTAAAAATTATTTGATGATGTGGCGATCCAATCAAAAGCAATTTTCTTCTTTGGAAAAACTTTTTTTCAACTTTTGCAAATCTTGATCAGAAGCTAGCACTAAGAATAACTGCCGAGATAAACGCGAGACACTGGCGGTACATTGACGTGCTCGCAAACATCTCGCTTTTTTTCTCGCGCCGGTATCGCATTTTTCTGGGCGCCAGCTCGCACTTTTCTAGGCGCGAGCTCGCATTTCTCTCGCAATTTGAAAATTTCCGAAATGCAAGATAAATGCGAGGTCGCGCCGAGAAAGAAATGCGAGCTCGCGCCCAGAAAAAAATGCGAGATCGCGCCTAGAAAAAAAGCGAGATGTTTGCGAGTTCGTCAATGTACCGCCACCGACCTCGCGTTTATCTCGTCAGTTATTCTTAGTGAGTATGTCCATGCAAAAAAAAATATTTTTCCAGAGTTTCTCTTCATTTTCTTATATCATGAATGATTCTCTGAAAATAATGAAAAGTTATGGAAGTACAAAAAAATTTTTTTGCTTTTTCGTGCATAGTTATTTTTGTTCTGTAAGGTTCCTTGAAGATGAAAATAGCCAAATCTAGAGTTTAATTGACCAAACGTTTCTTTCGGCTTCTTTATCATATCTCAATGTATTAAATACATTCAGCTTTCGCAAACGATCGACATCCTTCTCCACGACGACGTACTGCACTCATGTGGAGATGAACAAGTTGGTTCAACTTCCGAAGATTCCCCGATCGAAATCAAGAACTCAATGTTTGTTTGAGATGCGACACACGTACCGGGTGATGATGGACAGATGCTTGCACAGCAACGCCAAACTCTCTGTTCTCAACGCGTTCCACATCGACCACAACTCAGCACACACGGTAAGCGGCCCCTCAAAAGGACCGCCACTCTACCGCCATTTCAGGCGCTTTTCGTCATTCCCAACATCGCCATGCTACTCGTCATCATCAAGAAGCTTGGTGCGGTCTGATCGATCGACTAATTTAATAATTTCTTATAAATATTCGAATATAAAGACAATTCGAAAAATAAATAACTTTTCCAAAAAGGATAGATGGATAAACCGTGTTGGAGCTCGAATGAAGTGAGCAAAAGCGTCGACTACGTTTGACAGAGAAAACAGCGAAGGCAATAGTGAACGCGGGATAAGTGTCAATCGAACAAGTGTCATCAACAATTAGAAAATAATTTAATCAAACCTATGACGGGTGAAAAGGAGTATAACAGGAAGGAAGAGATTAATATGATTGCGGGAAAACAAAGGAGGAAAGCTTTCTTCGAATTGGGGAGCCGTTTCAATCGGAGTCACGTCAATTTTGAATGTGATAAGAATAATATGCAGTGGTGCGGGCAAAACCGAACTGAATCAAAAGAGAAAAGGCGAGGAAAAAGGTTCTATGGCCAATTTTGTCGCGGTGACACATTGACCATGGGTCCGGAGTTGGACAAACGCGACATGACTTCGCTCATGTCGTCCGCGTCTTCCGAAGCCTGCTTCATGTCGCCGAGAACACTAAAAATTCTTTTTCCCAACTTTTTTCTTGAAATGAAAGCTTGCTTTTTTTCATTGACTCTATCATTTTGGATCAACACGGCCCTTTAAATGACTCATGAGTTAGGAAAGCACTGTAAAAATCCCTTCTCCTCGAAACCCTTATGGAATTCGTGTATAGTCCTGGAAAGGTCCCGAAAGGAATTTTTTTTATACTGCACTTTTGTACAAGCTCGACAATATCGACCGAAACTAAAAGTATTTTTTTCGAGTGTGAGTATGATATCTCTGAAAAGGCATTTTTCCATTTAATCTTCAACCGATCTTTTCTACAAAGAGAACTTTCTTTTTTCTAACTTATTTTTTTCACAGATAAGCTCATTAGAAAAATATTTTTTCGCTTTCTTATCTCCAGGGTCTTTTATTGACATCATAAACTTCTCTAAAAGCAATAATATTTTTTTGGAGCTGTTTATTTTCTTCAGAAAAAAACTAAATTTCGATTTAAAAAAAGCTTTGATATAGTTACAAAGCGAAAAAAAGAATCAAACCGCGCAAATCGAGTCCATTCTTCGCTTCGAAGAACGTACATACTTTCATGCACCTCGTAAACGTAAACATTGCCCTCATTATCGCCGACGCAAACCTGGCGACCTGGAAACCAGAACTTCCGATGAAGACTCCTGATCTAGCAAACCATCGTCTGACCAGCAGACTTTTCTCAGGCTGCTGCCTTCTTTGCCGGGCTGCATTCGGGCGACTGGGCCCTCAGTGTCTTCGTTCAAGTTCCACAAGAACAACTGCAAAATTCGAAAATATATCTCTATCTATCGAGGCCCATTGCCTATATGTTCGTCAAGCCTTCCACTAAGAGCCAATGAAGTATATCGGTTAGTTATTTTTTTAATGATTCAAAAACAGCTCAAACCAATTATAAAACCGTTTACTAAGTTTCTTTCCTGTTTGGTAAGTATAGATGAACTTTTCAAAACCAGAAAACAAAAAAATTTTGTTCCAGTCAGTCAGAATTTAAAAAAATTTCGTTTTTTGAGTTACCGTGTAGATCTTCAAAACATCAAAAAACGAGTCGTTTTTTGTAAATTTTTAAATTTTTTTATTTGGGGCCGCTCTTATTTTTTTCTTCTTCTTCCTACGCCTTTGTACCGCTTGAGCAGCGTCGACGCCCCAAGTCGATTAGCCAAGGTCCTATCCTGATAATCGGTGGACTGGCTCGAGTGACATATCCGTCCTTGTGTGTGACGGCTGGGGATTGTGAAGCCGTGGTTTCCCACTACCCACTACCAACATTTCTTAACCCCCTTGGTTGGGTCGGGGCGGAGATCGAACTTGGGGCCGCTTCATTTTACAGAATCTAGAAAAACAGACATTTCCTTCGGCGTCGATGGAGGTGAAGACGGCGGGATGGACAGGCGACCAGGCGGCGTCGTAGACGAAGTCGCAGTGGGACTCGAAGGAAAACCGCAGCTGCGGATCTTTGGTGCTCCAGAGTTTGACGGTCCAGTCGACGCTAGCCGACAGGAACAAGTGGGAGAAGTCGACGGCTCCCGTCGCCCGGTGGAAGGCCACACTCGTCACTGGGGCGCTGTGGCCTGCAAAAGAGCTCCTTGGAAGACTGACTCCGCCTTTCTCACAGGACCTTAGATTGCCGACTTTCTAAAACACTAATCATATTGATCAACCTATCCAACTTCACCTATCTTTTCTTTGAAATTAGGCTACAAACAGAGCCGAAAAATCAGAAAGAAAAATCAAACTCAAACCCAGAAAGTTTTGGAAAGAGGAAAGTATGATAGGAGACTTTTCGAAGTATGCCCTCTTAAAAATAAACGAGTGACAAGAACTAATTTTCGGCTTCAAAAATGTGAAAAAAATGGCTGCAGAAATAAAATAAAACTAGGGTTTCCCATTTTTTCTTCGAAAGTGGTCTAAAGAAAAGTAGAAAATATCATAAAACAAAACGACGAATGCAACTTTTATAAGTTTTCATCATTCAAAAATACTTTTCGTAGGAGAAATGACCGAAATCATTCATCATTCATTTCCCGTGCTTATTTTAGTTTTCAAGAGTCATGAAAAACAAAAAATGAAAAAAAAACCTTCAAAAGCGGCAAACTCCTTGGCGGACGCCTGAGCGGCGCCGTGTCGACTGATAGCCGAGATTTTTCCGTCTTCACTACCAACGACGAAGTTGTTCATGTCAGCGACAGGAAATGACATCGTCATGCAGGGAATCTGGAGAAAACAACTTTTAGCATCGAAAATTTGTATGATTTCATCAAATTTGAACAAAACTGAACTTTAGTCGAAACTGATCTGACATCATTCAAAAAAAAAACTGAAAACCTGCTTCCCAGCCATATTCATCAGCTCCTTTCCATCGACCGGCTGCGTCAGATTATCAACGTTCCAACTGCACATCCGGCCGTCAGTGCTGATTGAAACCTACGGAAGAAATTTTAAGAAAACAAAAGTATTTGGAACGAACCAAATTATGGGCATTATTCGTTCCAATAACTGCCAACGAGTAAACAGGATGAGTGTGAGCCATCAAAGATAAAGGACTCTGGAATACAAATTGAATGGAAAACGGCTAGGATTCGAACAATATTGATTGGAGTCTTCTTATTGGCGATTCGGTTGTCCCAAACGCAGATTTGGCCCGAATAACATCCAGCGAGCACGAGATGCGCGTGGAATCTCGCGAAAGTCACCGATGTGATTCTTGATTGACAAGAAACTACGTATCTAAATCTCCAATTGACAATTTTTGATTTCAGAAATTCTCAGTGAAAAGTGTTAATAAACAGAAATATAAGTAACAAAATAACTTTTTTTAAATTCTCGAGTTTTTCATGAGAAACTTGATGTTCGGCTGAGAGTGTATTATTTTTTATTATTATTTTTTCCTTGAAAAACTATTAAAAAAACTATTTCGGTAACAACTTGATTTCTATTAAATGTATTTTAAAAAAACAGTTAAAAATTCAAGTCGTAGAAAAAGAAAGAATTTCTGAACAACTCACTCGGGAGATTCCTTTTTGAACTTGGTATTCCAAATGATAACAACGCCAGGCGGATCGATAACAGATTCGGGATCCTGAAGAACAAAGTTCATTAAGGATTTCGTGTTGAAAAAAATTAAATGGAAACATGTCCCAAAAATTAAAATTGTGTTTTTCTCTGTCTCAGAAAGTTAAAAAAAAAAATGTCGTCAGCTCCGTAGCAATGTTTCTCGAGTTGTTTATTTCTAGAAGCGAATAGCAAATTATGAGAAATACCAAGTCGTAGGACACAGCCATCAGTTCGGGATGCTGCTCGGAGAAGGTGATGCCGCTGATGGCCCTGAGAAGGAGAAAACAATGGATCTCAACGAAAAGGAAGGAACCTGTTGGCGGTCCACTTCTCGTCGGAAAAGACGCGGGAAAGACGGAGACGGTCATCAGAAGCGACAACTTCTCCGCGTTGGTCTCTGGCGTAGTCGATGAAGATGTCGACGGTTTCGGTCAGGCCTCGTTCCAGAACCTTGGACGAGTACTCGAAGAAGGCCTGGAAGTCGGCGCTGGCCAGGATCCGGTTGCGTTCTTCTTCGCTCAGAACTCGTGGCCGAGTATCTTCCTTCTCTTCTTCTTGCGCCGGCGTCTGAGAACCACAACTAGATCCGAACAACTTCTGCACTCACAGGTTCCTTCTGATTGGCAAAAGGATATCCGGGGAGCAGCTTGGCGATGTCGTCGTTCATGTGGATCGGCGACTCCAGGTCGTGGGAGTGAGCGCGACCTGTAAACTGTGCATTATCCTAGCCATGCGCTCCCCTAACCACGGAAATTGTCCATTCCCAGCTCGTCGTCGTAGTCAAACTCCTGACTTCCCATGCTGAACTCGCCCACGGAGAACTTCTCATCGTCCGTTTGCGTTGTTTTCGAGTAGATTGACTAAAAATGAATACAATTATGAAACTTTCAAAATTAAGCGTACCGCGTCTTTTAACGGTAATGTAAAAGACTGAACGGCAGAAAATTCAAGATTGACCATTCGGGAAGAGTTTAGTAACTGGGATGCCATTGGAGAAACATTACTCTGAAAGTTCTTTATCAATAAGACACAAAAGAGAGAATAAACCATGTCTACTGTGCCGTTGACTTTCTCACTAGGACGCTCGACGTTGGGTTCTGAGGGAATGCCAACTTCGTTGAGGATTTCCTCGACTTGGTTTGATGAGAGGCTTGGTCGTGAGTTGCCATTTTCCACCGCGGTATTGAGAAGCTCTCGAGTTCGTTGTTCTTGTGCTCGCTGGCGCTGGATCTTCAGCTCAGCGAGCTTCTGCTTCTTGCGCTCAAGTTCAAGCCGCCTCTCTTCTGCCGACATGCTGAAAAAATTTAAATAAATGAAATCAAATAGTGATCTTTTTCGTAAAAATGAGGGAAATCAATTAAACAAATAAAGAAAAAATATGACGCACAGGCAGCAAGAATTTTTCACAGATGCTGGTTCATGTTCTGCCTGTTCACATGTGTGAAGAAATCGACACAATAAAAAAATTCATAAAACTATGAAATTCAAAAATTTCGCAAGAAAAAGAAAAAAATGGCCTCCGGAAAAAAATTTGGGAAAAAGTTCGATAGGGCGCATATTAACCTTTTCCCGCGCAGAAATGTTTTTCTGAGGGATCCCTTGGGAATTTCCGGGACTAAAAAAATTAAACTTTTCGTAAAATTTAATCTGAATCTAAAATCAATGAAGTTCACAAGTGTGAAGCTTCGCGATTATAACCTGGCAAAAAGTAGAATAAAAATTCATTTTTTTATTTATTCTTCAAGCTACTCAAAGCGAAAAAAATTACACGCTTGTTAAATTACACACACACTTGAATTTCTTTTTAGATGAAAAAAAGAAAAAAATCTTATTTTTTTCTAAATGAATTTTTCAAAAACTTGTACTTTGAAAAAAATTAATATTTCAAACTGATCGAAAAAAACGTACAGCAATGCATCATCTCTAATATCCATCAGTATATATAAAAATGAATTCTTATTGGATTAACGTGAGCTTTGTATTTTTCTTGATTTGCAAAGTTCTTCATATATCAGCTTCGGATAATTTAAGTCGAGAAAAACTTAGAACTTGGATGAAAACTTGTCTATCAGAAACACCGCTCCAGCCTGACCTCGCGAAGGGATTCCTTCTGCCCATTCGTAAATCGAGTCATTATTTGGTCCTTTCCGTGATTATATCTCTCTAGATTCCCAACTTGGTTTTTATTCTTTTTGAAAAGAATTTTGGAAATGGATATTTCAATCTTGAAAATATCGCGCAAAATATCGCAATATCCAACCGGTTGTGAGTCGAAAATAGTGCGAGAGTAATCCCGCCCCGGTCGAGAATTCAACCTGCCGTCATTTTGATCAACCATGCTGATGCTCTTCATTCTTTCCACTTTACTCCTGTCTCTGACCGAAGGCAGACCTGTCGACAAAGAGCAAGTGTCTGCGCTTCTCGACGAGGTGTTCAACGCGAGTCGCGCACAAAATATCAACCAGGAATTTGTCGGTGGGCACGTTTCCCGTCTTTGATCTGGTTATCTAAATGCTGAAAACCGCTGCAGTGACGTACGAGGACGGGAACATCGTTATCGAATCGGTCAACTTTGAGCGGCCAAGTAAGAAAGAAAGAAACAGACACGACTATACGATTGTCCTTTGTCCAGGTGCTCCGACGATAGCGACGCGACTAAACAACGTTTCATGAGTTTGAATCAGGATATAGAGGTAGTTGTATAAATAAAACCGAATGATACAGTAGAGAACTTTGCACGAGTTTTTTATTCTACTACGAGAAAGCAGCAAGAAAAAGAAAGAAAGTTAGCGTCGTAGCCATGCCGTCGAGGAATGCATTTGCCGTAGGATCTCCTATAAATGGAGATTTATCGACTTGCTAAAAGAAGGAGACTCACCCGCCAAGCGGCGACGTCTTCAAGTCTCACGGGCTCATCTGGAGTCGACATTCCACTGATGGACCGTTCGAAAAGTGTCACGAGGTTGGCGATCAGCGTTTCTTCGCTCGTAGTCGAAGCATCCTAATGGAGAAAGTTGATATTCAGTTCCGAATTTCTGGATCTAGTGGAAATTATTCGCTTAACGCTTTTATCGTTTTTTTTTTCAAAATTGGCTTCGAAGAATCAGCGGCAGGTTTCTTTCTTTTTCATTAGAAATCTCGAAAGTTATCTCGAAAGTAAATAATCCTCCCTTTTCTTATTCATAAAAAAATTCTTCATGCACTTTTGGTATCTAGATGAAGGAGCCAGCTTCCAAAATTAGCTGCAGTTTTTCATGCACGTATTTACCTCGTGAGGTGTTGCCAGCTGCTCTAATTTAAAAATTCCCCGTCTAAAAAAAGATAAAAATTAGCAAAAAAACATCGAAGTATTTATCTACAAATTCAAAAAACTCTCGAACAATTTTTCGCAGAATAAAAAGGAAAAAAAAAATTATTTTTTATCATTGAAACCCACATCCACTTTTTGACTATCTTCGGACGGGCGTACAGTTGAAGCGGTCACGCAAGACTGCTGAATCTCAAATTTCCTGCTACGTTTCCCAAGAGACCGTACCTCTTCTTCGAAATCTTGATTTTTAGCCACCCACTTGGTATTGTTCGACCACTGGATGTTCCTAATGACGTCTTCAAACTGATAGTTTCTGGAAATGAACTTCATGAATAATGCAAGCGTGATCAAGCTACCCAGTCGTAGTCGGAAGAGGAATATCTGTGGGTTGGACTTGCTGAACTTCTTGCTCTTTTGCGGAAGACGCGACACGGAGAAGCCATTCGCACATCGGACGGCGCAAGCTCTAAAAAGACTTTTTGGAAAACGGTATATTTCATCAATTCAAAAGTTTCAATGCGTTTGCCATGAACGCCGCGAAGCTTCATCGGCGTGGAAAAAGGAGAAGAGAAAATATTAAACCAAAAAATCCGGAAAACAATTCCACAACTCAAAATGAATCAGAGAATAAATTAATAAATCGCGGAAAGTAGGAAATTCCCTTTACATTTTTAAATTGGAATGAATTTTTTCACTTCTGAGCCAATCACTTCATCTACATACATGGGTGAAAACCTTCTATTTTCTGAGGCCTAGGAAAAAAACCTCCATGAACTCCTTGCTGAGGACGTCGCCAGGCGCAGAAAGTTCAACGTCAGCCCTCGAGGATGGCCTCACGATTTCGAAAGACGACGCGCTTTCGGAGAAGTCGACGCTCTCGAACGTCGCCTCCATCTAAACTTTGTCCAGTTCATCAGAGAACTTTTGCTTTTTTCGAACCTCTTCATTCGATCTCTCTACGTTGCCCTGCTCAGAGGACAATTTGCTCAGCCAGCCGTCGACCTAAAAAAGAAAATGAAATTTTTGATCAATTAGACTGATCTACGAGATCAACTGGAGCCACTGGGACGACGGCAGGATTTCCGGCGAAGTACTTTTTCGAAAGCCAAATATCTTCATCGTAGTGTTCCAGCTCCATTGGCAAGCTGTGTCCAACCTCAAAATTTTAGTTTACTAGTTTCTGTTCATTGTTCGTTTAAAGCTCCTTTCTCAGAGATACTATCTGGTATCTTCATCAAAATGGTATCACACAGACCCTTTTGTTTCTTTTGAAAAAAGGTTTCAGACAGGAAAACTTTCAAGTAGATAATTAATAAAAAAGGGTGAACTGGTTAAAAATTTGCAACATGAAAAAAAAAATTAATTAGAGCGCAAGTGTAGGTAAGGCTCTCAATTTTCACTTTTTCTGCATAATTTTGAAAAAGAAAACATTTGATTATTCGGATTTATCTTACATTTTGTGATGAAATCGAAGATTTGAAAGATTCAAACCGTTTGCGGAGGCCTGCGTGAGCACTTGCGCCCGCTATTGACCTTTCCAAAACGGTTGAGTTGGTGGCGAACGGCCAGAAGATCGGCTTCAAACTCGACGCGGACGTCCTCCAGCTCATTGAGGTTGAGACCGTTCAGTCTAGAAACCACAAATGAAGAAGGTAGTGCAGTTGATCAAAACTCAGGCAGAGGCGCTATCGGATTAGCGTCTTTGTTTTGTCGCAGTGTTTCGATGGCTTGTTGACATGCGCCTGAAAATAGTGAAAAAGTTAAATATTTATGCTTTCCTTGAGCTTTGATAACATAATATCTTGAAGTTTATTTTACAAAAAAGAATGAATGATTTTGAGAATGAAAGGGTCTTAAACATTTTATATATTCTTTTCTTATTTCTATAGCTAATTTTATTGATGCCAATAAAAATTTCTTTTTAAAGTTTAGTAATACCTAAATTATGTTCTTAAAGTGGTCTGCCTTGAAGAAATATTAATAATTGTTCTACTTCGATGAAAATTAACCGATGTGTTGATATAAAAGCTTCTGTTTCTCAGCAATCTTGGCCTCCTTGGCACGATGAACGCGGCAGAGTTCTGCCAGAAGCTGTTGCTCGCGTGAGCGAACTAGAGAAATCTGCGCGGAAACAGCGCTGGCAACCTCGTCGCGAGCCTGAAACTTGTTGAAGAACAGCCAAGGGGGAGCTGGGGGACCTGCTCGGAGTTGGAACGAAGTAGGGCCTTCGTGGCGGCGATCCGCGTCGCGTAGTTCTCCAGCTGCATCAAACGCTGTGCGTGACCATGACTACTCGAGTTCTCACTCATTCTGAATTTAAATCCTTGCTTAAACCCGATACTTATTGGAGAAAATTGGAATTAAGTATAATATTGCGCGATAATTCGGAAAGTTCGAAGAACAAGGAGAAAAATGGCAAAAAGAAAAATAGATCCAACTCAGCCTAAACCCAAGAGCCGCACAACAAGTCTGCACCTAATATTGATCGCTTGATTGAAATTCCAGGTTGAAAAATGGAACTTTAAAGATCTACCAATTATTATAAATATTTTCAAATTATATTGGGAAGAAAGTAAATAAGAACAAATATGGAGCTTTTTCGCTGTCTGACAGCTTGATCTTGCAAAAAAATGTTCGCTAGACAGACAATTCTCACTTTTTTTTATTACTCCACAATAAAAAAATTAAATTTTGGTATTATAATTATAGCTGTCGCGGTAAAATAGTTCCAAAGACCTGTTTATTTCAAAAAAAAAAAACTTGAGAATAAGTTGAGGAGAAAACGAATGTAGTGCAGAACTTTCTTCTCCAGCCGACTCTAACTTTTTTTAATGTATTTTCGAGAACTAAATATTGGAAAAAAGTTACTACTACCCATTTTTATGCAATTTCAAAAAAAATTTCGAAATGTTTCATATTGAACAATTTGAAAAGCTTACGTGAAAACACTGACTTTCAAATGAAGAACTAAAAAGTCAACACGAAAGAAGACAAATTGACAGGCCGATAAGGCGGCGGCCAAATCAAATTTTTACAACGCCTTGCCTACATGAAAACGTCTACTATCGCCAAAAGCCTGAAGCCAGATGGGCGGAGTCGAAAACAATATCGGTACCGGGTGGACCACAGCGACATGACGACATCCAAACAAGGTGTCCGAAAATATTGAGACAGGGTCATGGTAACCGGTGATTTTCGATACAATTGCATGCTGGTAGACAGAAAAAATAAGTCATTTATTATCACATGAAGGTAGGCTTGTTTAAAAATATCGAGAAGGCAGAAAAGATGCACAGCATCACTTTTTTTTGTCGATTTGTCGGCGGCAGTCGTTTACAGATGGGGCAATACCAGTCTGGAAAAAATTGTTTAGAATTATGACCATCAATAAATTGAATTTCACGAAAAAAAAAAATCAACCCCCAGACCTCACTTTATCAGTTGCGATAACAAAAAGAAAAGTCACAGTTTATCACGAAAATTTCTGCGGTCAACGTATAGAAAAACAAACATAATTTTCCATCGGTTGATGATGAAACTAAGCAGGAAAACTGTCCTAAACAACTTCACTCTACGGATAATTGAAAAATGTGATTCTGATCTATGAACGGTTTAAAGATTTATTTTCAAATCTATTTCATTTAGTCTTCGTTTCTAATAATTCTTATATTTTCTTATATTTTTTTCCGATAGAGATTGAATTATTTGTTGGATTGCCTAAGGCGTGCTTTTGAAAAAAATTTCAATGAAACTACAGTGAGTCGTCAATACTATGAGAAATTTGAAAAAAAAAATAACAGAGCATAATAAGAACAAACTTCTTTACAAGTTGAAAATTATTTTATGAGAAAAATGTTTACTCAAATTCGCTACTTTCTGCTGACGTAGCTGATTTTAATATCATTTTGCAATCTAATTATTAAAACTTCTGACGCTCAAGTCAGTAAACTTCGCCTTCCTCTCATAATGACCATAGTGTCACTGGGGACGCGCCCGGTGTCTCCTTCCTTTTTTGCCTTTTTTCATATAAGCTAATAAATCCCTTTTATACCTCTTTTCTCATCATAAAACTTAGGTTCAAAATGAACTTAAATCATAAAACTAAACCATACCCTTTTTCATTTAGGAATTTTTCTTCGAAAACTTGCAGAAAAGTAATTGAAACAGATTTTAAAATTAGCACGGATGCTAATAATCATTATGCAAATGAAAACAAAACACTTGGAAGAAGGTTTTCCACTCAAAAGGCAAAAAAAAAAGAGCCATAATCGGGGCACGTCCCTCATCAGTGCATAAGATGTTAAGAGAGTTGTCTTACCCCAACAAAACTATTATTTCTGTTACACTGTTAACTTTAATGTGAGAATTAGTTGATCACGAACCCAGCCACAAGAGTGACGAGCGGATTGGGGAAACTGGTCTCGGGATGGTCGCCGGCGCAGCCGCCCATGTCGATGTGCGAGTACTTGATGGGTTTCTCGCTGTCGGTTCCGTGCTCGTCGATGCGGCTCGCCTTTAAATGCAAGATTCGGGATGTACTTCGGAAACTGGATGACGGACCATCTGAAGGAAGGCCGCCGGCGTCTGATGGCCGCGAAGAGTCGCCACCGAAGGTTTCGTGTTGCCTTGTCTGACGTCGGCTTGCGCGCTCTCTGCCAGGTGGAAAGCAAAGTCCTGAAGACCCAATGGTGAGAATTGAAACTCTTCTTTTTTTTTCTCAATCTGTTCAGTACTCTTTCGAGGAATCCATTTCATTTATCATGATTCATGAGAATGCATTCAATTCGATGTAACTAGCAGTTTTTTTTTAAAGAAAAAGCAAAAAATGGTAATTTTATGAATATTCTAAAATCTCAACCTGCTTAAGTTCTTAGTTTTCGGGAAATATAAGTTCAAATCCCCAAAAAAAATATTTTAAAGAATTTTGAGGGGTTTTCCTTGAGGCGTCCTTTTCTCAAAAATAAAGATTTTGGGTAGTTTGAGTCTTTCAGAACCTTCATCGGGTACACTCAGAGGTGGAGGATTGGATGGCAGCCCTTGGCTTGGCGGCCAAGCCAAGACATTTAGCCAAAAGATAGAAATGAGCCATTAATTTACGTGATCTTTGGCAACTAGGTCAAGTATGTGGCGATAACGCCCTGAACTAATCATTATTGATTTTGTGAATTTTGAATTTTTTTATTTTTCGCAACTGCGTGATAACGCTTTTAACTTACTGTGACAGATATTTCAGCAGGAATTTTCACTCCAACGGGTCAGTAGGCTACAATTTCAGGCTCACTAGAGAACTACTCGGACCAAAAAATTTTGAGATGCCATGAAATTGATGCAAAAGTATTTCATTTTGATTCATTTGGTTTCCAAAAAACTCACATGACAGAAAAATCATACTACGCCAGGCCACCTCGTTATGATAATTTTGATGAACCAATGTTCTAATTAAATGGCGCGCCGTAGCGCAACAGGTTGTGTGCCTGTCTACGGTCCACAGGGTTACAAGTTCGATCCCCGCCCCGACCCAACCAAGGGGTTTAAGAAATGTTGGTAGTGGGAAACCACGACTTCAAAATCTCCAGCCGTCACACACAAGGACGGATATGTCTTTGGAGCCAGTCCACTGATTATCATCAGGATAGGACCTCGGCTAATCGACAATCGACCAATCCGACGCCGCTCAAGCGGTACATACAAAGGCGTAAGAAGAAGAAGAAGAAGAATGTTCTTATTAAATATTTTGATTTCAAATCGCTAAGGGACTTCCCGACGAATCCCTTTCCGACTTTGTTCCCTTATACTTTTCTATCTACTTTATGTAAAAAGATTCAAAACGAAGAGTTTATCTAGAAAAAAAAAGTCGGAAAAGGGTTAGTCGGAAACTTCTCCGTCGGAAAGTTCCTAAAAATAAAAAATCGTTATGTTCAAATTTTTTATAACAATTAAAAATTCTGATTTCTTTGTGTACACAAGTTTCATACATTTCTCGAAACAAGCGCTTCTAGATGTTAGGGCGATTTCGCTTTACAAATGACCGTCGCGCCACGCTGACTTTTGAAAAAGTCATTTCTGCCTTTTGGGCGTTTATGGCTTGGCAGGCAGGGCGGCCAGTGGGCAGCCATCCTCCACCTCTGCGGGTACACCAAGAAATGTTCTAGCTTACTTTATTTTTTAAAAAAAAATCACTTTTCATTAGAAAATAACAAAAATAATGAAAAATAAATATTTTCGATTCCGGCTACGTTTCTGATGCTCTTTCAAAAAAATAAAATCGAAAATAAACGATTTCTTGATGATTTAGCTGAGATTCTTCGAGAACTGACCTCAGGCTGGAGACGACTGATCTCGATGGGCTGACCATAGACGTCTCCGACCTCCTGAATTTTCCGAGCCAATCCACTTTGCTTGGCCGGTCCTGAAGTTCAAGTTATTCTCAAAACGCTCGAATGTGAAACCATTATCCATGATGGTAGCGTAATACCCGTAAGAAAGAACTTCGTGTCCAGTGAGAGTAGCCAAAGTGAAAAGATGCGGGTTTTTCTCGGCAAGAGCCTGGAAGAGGTTTGGTTATTCAGAAAAAAGGGGAAGAGCGGTACCTGTTCCTTGGCCATGGTGAGAGGATCAAGCATTGTAAGACGTCCTTCGGCGTCCGTGTTATAAATGTGAATTCGCTTGCCACTGCGCGCCTTGATGACTTCGTCGCAGGTGTAGGCACGGGCTCCGATGCTGTTCCGCACCATACACATGTATCCAACAGCCTGAAACGAACACTGTATTTTTGAGAAGACGATACAAACAAAAAAATTGATTTTAGCATTGAAACATGGTAATTAAAAATAAATAATGAGTAATTAAAATTAGAAGAATGAATGACGATTAGTTGTTCCTTCTCTAGGAGCAAACTGTGGTCTAAACTCCTCAATACAGTTCTCCTCATGAAGCTCTTTAGGATTAATTCACGGTTTTTTTATTCAAATGGTTTCAAAACGTTATAATTAAGAAAAACTTTTGAAAACTGGCTTTCAAAGTTTTGCGTTCCCTCTTGGCCAAAAAAGTTATTTGATGAAGTAAGGTTCTGGAAAATTGAGAGCTAATGATTGCAATACCATTTCTTAATTTCAGTGCATGGAATGAAATTACAAGAAATCAGTTTGGAATCAAAAAAGATAGTCAATGATTTTTTTTTTCCATCAAGATTCCAAATAATCAACATTTCAGCCAATTTTCACAAAGAGAACGATGCTTTCGCATCGCTAATGCCTCTGAAAAGAAACCTTGATATTCTTGGGTTTCAGAACATCGAGAGCCTTGAAAAAGCCGGCAAGAACGGCAGATCCATACTTGTCGCGGCACATTCCGAACATGTGGCCGCCGGTTTTCAAGTCGCAGCCGCCTGCAAGCTTTCATTCAAAAACATTTTTTTCTTTTTATCATCAAATATTTTTTTTCAACTGAGGAACTTTTTGAAGAGATTTTGAAGAAGAAGATCGCAAACGATAATTTCATTAAATATTTAAGTTTCTTGAAGAAAAATTAAACTAAAATAGAAAGTACGAACTGTTTAAAATATTCCCTTAGGATCTGCTAAAAAATTTTTCACACTGAAAACGCTAATTTATTCTGTTAGCTTTTTTGGAACTTTGAAGGAAAGAAAGTCTAGAAAATGTTCAGTTTTTAACAAATTATCAACTTAACGTTTATGACTTTCTTCTGATGATATAAACATCTTCAAAGACGGTCCCCATGATCTTTTTTTACAGATTGCTTATCTGAAAGCACAATTTTCGATTCTTTTGCCGTATCTTTTTTTAATCGCATATCTGAGCTCGAGGAATCTTTTGAAACTTTAAAGCTTCCGTCCTGAAGAAGCAACCGAATAAAATAGGTTCAAAACTGAATATTTGGTTAGACTTCGCTTCCGGCCTCGAAAAAGTCGTAAAAAACCGATTGAATAACAGGATGTTATGGATACAAACCGGTGTCAATGGTGACTCCCTTTCCGACGAACATATACGTGTTCTGAATATCTCCTTCGCCGACATACTCCAACCGAACAAGACGGGCCTGTAGAGTCTCCAACTACAAAAAATACATGGAAAGGTTCACCTGATGTTCTTTGACAGTGTTGGCGCAACGGTTGACGGCGGCCATAAGAGGGAATTCGTTCTCGATGAAACTCTGGTCGTCAACCACGCTCACTTTGATGTTGCCGTTAGAGAAAGCTTGCTGAAGAGGAATCAATTTTCGTCGAAAAGGCAGTAGTAACAGTAGTACCTGAACGTATTCAGCAACTTTCGGCGGCGCCATCCGTTCTGGTCCGGTTTCTCCAACGTCGCGGCAAACAGTGAAAGAAGCGTCATAGGCCGTGACGAGCTCGTCCAGACGCTTCGAAGATTCGCTTTCTCCCAGCTGAATACGGAAAGTTCATTGAATGACTAAAAATGATCAACAATCGAACCTTCAAAAAGATCAAAAAGATTTTTTTTCACTAATCGATTCTTTACCCTCTATTATTTGTTTCTCTGTGGTATTTTTCCCTATAACTTCCTCTCCACTTTTCTCAGCAGCTTTGAATTTCTAAGCATAATCAATTTTCTTGGCTTGAAACGACGGTATGCGGCATGTAAAATGTATGTGCCAAGTAGTCGTGATGCGTTTTTGGCGCGGATCCAATTCCTAAACTTTGGATTGCTTTCGCATCTCCTCTCAACTAAATGGGTTAAATTAATAGGTTTTTCAAAGAAGGTTCAGTCAAATGAACTTGGATTCCACAAAGGCCGTTTCAAGCCAAGAAAAATGAATTACACTAGACACTACCCTCTTCAGTTTATTCGCAATTTTCCAGAGTAGTGTCTCTCCTAGAACCCAAGCCTTTGCGTTTACGTGAAAAAGAAAAAGAAATGTTTTCTTCGTTCTCTTAGATGACCATATTTAGCGAACATACGGAAAGGAGTCCGAGTTGCTGGAGCTTTTGAGTATTGTCCTCTTCACGGACGTTGAGTGGAGTGTACGCGGGAACGAGAGCCCCGAGAGCCGCCACGAGCTCTGCATGCGGGAAGCGCGGATTGGGCAGCGTCACCAGAAGAGGCGACTTCACTCCGGCGGAAAGAGCTCTCAAAACGCATGAGCTCTTTTCATAAGTTTTCTGATTTCTCTTCGCAGAAATTAAATTCATGAGAAAAAAAAACATTGATTTTTAGATTGTAGTTTTACTTTAAAGTCTTTCTTCTCCAGTTTTCTAACCCCATAAAAATCTGAAATCACGATCAAAACCGACGAAATAACTGATAACCAACTTCCTTTTCAAGCCCTCGTTTCCGGCACACCATAGAACAAAACCCACGCTTGGAATTGTTGAGATTCTCCGCCAAGCCTACGTCCCCCAAGAAATAATCGCCTATCGTCATTGATAAAAAAAAACCTCCGATATGAAGTTTCTGACAGAACCTTATCACTTCAATAATTTATTGCGCACAATGGCGCCTCGTGTTTATTTTTCAGCTTTCGGATTCGGCTTCGAGCGAGAATAATCCTCATAAACTTTTAAATCTCTCCAACCACTTGAAAGGCCGTCTTGAGCCAGAAATTTAGAACATTCAAGCGATTTTTTCACGATAACCGACGAGATTCTCGGAAAATCAAACATACAATTGGACGCCACGTTTGGCAGCCGCCTGATATCGCCGTACGTCATCGTAATCCCTGCTTACGTTTCCTGGAAAAATCATGATGAGAAAAAGAACTAAGAATGGGGTGACAAAGTAGTGATAAGAAAATTCAGGAAAGGATGAATTTTATTCGTTCTGTTTTTTTCAAACAAAGTTTTTTTTACAAAAAAATATACGAGGTATACGAGCTTTTTTTAATTAATTTAATTCAATTTTTTCAAGCCTTTTGTGAAAAGTAAAGTTAAAAAAACTTGAAAGTTTTTTTCCTTTTTGAAATTGAAGTTTATAAACCCGAAAAAAATATTAGAAAAAAAGCTTGCCAGTTCCGGAGAGAATGACGCGTCCTGAAGGAATGACGCTTTTTCTCGACTTGGAGCAAGGAAGCTGAACTGAACGCCCCAGAGTGCAACTGAAACGGAGCCCATTATCAGCGACCGCTGCGGCGATTTACAACCTCCAGGAAGTTGTTGACGGCGGAAGCGAGCGACGAGACGTGCTGGCAGGCCTTCAGCTGCTTCTCAGCACTCGCCACCAGGATGACGGCGTCAAAAGTCGCGTCGGCGATCGTGCTAGCGCGAACGATCTTCGTCGAAAGCAGCGATTGCAGTGACATTCCCTCGCCTCGGCTTCGCTTTGGTTTCACTGCGATATACGGACCCTTTAATCAATAAAAATAAATCCACGGGAAGTCGGAAATTTAAAAAAAGTCTGACAACACAATAACAAAAAGACAAACCAGAAAGTCTCAAGGTATTTCGAAAATAAGAGTAAAGAGCTCTTAAGAGTGCGGTTTCTTTTTTTCTTTTCTTCTTTTTTTCAAAGAATGAAAAATATGAAAAAGGATATATATATATATTTACACATTTTGAAGAACTTCTCATGGTGAGTTTTTTTCCAAATTCGTCTGAGATAACTGAAACGACATTTAAATCTAATTTCCGCGAATTATATTTCACTTCTCCGAGAAAAAACCAAATATATATCAACATCGAGCCATAAAATGAATTATGTCTGATTTGTGCACTCGAGATAGTTTTTGACGAATACGAGGAACCTGTCGCTGATGACAGGCGTTATCAGTAAAAACGAACGGATTGCTCAAGAAACTAATGATGCAAAATTGATGACAGCCACCTTAAGAAAGGCCAAAAGAGTCTTTCACGGTCAGATGTCAATTAGGGCACGAATTGGTTGAGTATATATTCGAAACGGCAATCAATAGGGACAGTTTACACGAATGCCGTTTCCGTTCCAAACAACCCCGGCACGCCCTCGGCCGTGTTCTATGGCACAATGGAACGCGGTCTTAGGTTCTTTTCAATTGATACTTTCAAAATGGATTTTTTTGAAAAGTTTCTTTATATATTTTTCCCTCTTCTCCCCGCCAAGAAGATAACTATTTGAATAAATTATTCTCTAAGAGGTTCAGAAAAGAATAGAAAGATCCATTTTTTTAATTAAAAAAAGTCAATTATGACAGGTATTTTTTATAAGTTACACTGTTTTAAGTTTAAAATCGAATATGAATAAAGTTTTTTTTTCATATTCTAATGAACAAGTCTCAAAAAAAAAAAATTAAAGGGAACCCACGATAGTTTCACAGAAAGACCAAAAAAGAATAGCAAACATTTTCGAATGAATCAGAAGATCAGGGAACGAGATCAAAAAAATGAGATAAAAAAATGAGTATGAACAAGAATAATACGCGAGCGAGTGAAAACGTAAAACTTCTTACGAATAATAAATAATCACGAGTCGTCAGGAGCGCATGATAAAATTATTTCGACTCCTTTCGTGTGATTTCAAACACTGCTTACCCACGTAATGATTTGAAACGTGAGCTATATTTGATTTATTGCCAATTTTAGACTGATTTTTTCGCACGCGTCCTCAAAATTAAAAAAAAAAAGAATAATGTTTCTTTATATAGGCCTAGTAATAAAGGTACAAACAAAAACATTAAAAGAGTTAGTGTTATAAAAAGGGGTTTTTTTTTAGCAAAAAAGCGACTGAAAGAAAGGAATACGAATTTCAAAAATCACGCTGAACAAACATTTTGAATTTCGAATGAATACAGTTTGGTTGCAGAAGAAAAAAAAACGAGGAAATGACCGCGAGCGGCAGGAAAGCGTGGGTTTTTTGCACGAAAAGCTCCGCCCAGAGGCTTATCGTCCGAGAGGCCGCCAAATAGACTTTTCCACGACAGTTCAACAAGGCGGAAAACGCAAGCGTTTGCTTTTTATCACTTGTCTTGCCTCCTCATTAGCCCTTTTAATGATAACGCTTTAAGCTGTCATCTGGACTTTGAAATTAGTGGAAACTTAACCTTCATACACATACGGATCAAAAGCAAAAAAGGACCTTTCGATTTGATGCGTTTGAAAAAAGCCTATCAGATCGTGAAAGTCATTCGTTTTTGAAGTTATTCATATCCTTCAGAAGTAGGTCAAAACTTTCTGACATGGAAACTTCTACTAAAGTCGATTTTACTCACAACAAGTAGAGTTTGGAATTTTTATTCTCAAATCCGTGAATGTAATATGGAAAATATGGAACATATAGTGGGGAAAATCAATGAATACATGCAAGATTTTTTGAGCAGTTCTTGGGAGCTCAGAGGAAGCGGGCGTTTGAGGAACTTCGGATGATGGCCGAAGAAGCCGAATGGACGAGGTCGCCCATTCCGACGCCGTTGGGCACGACTGACGCAGACGCTCGGATCTTGTTGCGCATCTTGGAAAGAGCTGAATTCGCAAGTTATTTCTGATGAAAATCTCGAAAAGGACCATTTTCGGCAATGTCGGCACGTTCCTCGGCGTCATCGAGTTGTGCTTGGAGTTGCTTGTATTTTCCTAGATTCGTGGCGGCGACTTCTTCCTGAAGTCAGAGGAGATGCTGAAAAATATGGCAAGGATTCTCACCGCTTCCTCGACTTGTCGCTTGAAGACCTTGAGCTTGGTCTGAAGTTTGTCGATGAGTTCGGTGAGGCGTTCCTGGTTCTTCTTGTCTTCCTCCAGCTGGAATTCGACCTCCTTGATGCGTCGTTCGGCCTTGCGCCAGTTCTTGTCCGTCTCCTGATGGCGTCTGAAAGAAGAAAAGGAATAAATAAGAAGATTTGAGCTCAAGAACCTCTGTTCTCCATCGAGTTCAGACTCGATGCTTCTGATGCGGGACTCCAACTGGGCAATGATCTTCTTGCCTCCTTTCAGGGCCGCCGCTTCAGCTTCGTCAAGTCGGATCTTCAAACTCCTTCTTACAGGTGCCCAATACCTTTCGAGGTACCTGCATTTCCTTGATCTGGATCTCGAGTCCCTTTCGGATACGCTCAACGTGCATGCTGTGCTCCTGTTCTTGTCGGAGTTCCTCGGCCAATCGGGCGGCGTCAGCAGCAGCCTGAATCATCCCAGTTTTCTTTACACACAAGTTTAGTCAAGAGGGGTTTTCAAATATTTGAGAAAAAAAAAACGCAGAAAAATGTGGAAAATACAAAAATTCTGAAAGCTCTAAAAAGCAACATTTTTTGAAGAAGCTTATGCAACTTGAAAAAAATTTTTTTCTCTGGTAAATGATCTTCCGAAATTTAGTAACTTGGTGAAAGTTTTACTACTTTTTTCATTTCGCCAGAATAGCTTCAAGACCAACCTTCTTGCCCAATTCGTCGGCGTTCTTGAGTTCAGCGAGGGCTTCGTCGAGGTCGGCGTGCATGGCCTGAAGCTCTCCCTCGAGCTTCCTCTTGACGCTGGTGACGGCGTTGAGCTGGTTGTTGAGGTCGTTGTTCTGCTCGCGGAGCTCGATGCAGTCGGCCTCGGCGTTGCGTCGGGCGCGTTCGGCGGCCTCTGCCTGGTGGGCCAGTTCGTCCTTCTCCGACTGCAGGATCGCGTTGCGCTTCTCCGAGTTTTGGAATTGTTCCCTAAAATATTCCTTTCTTCATATGATAAAGAATTTAATTTAGAAAACAAGCTTAAAAATTACTTAGTTGCGCTAAATCGATTTCTGGTCTGAACTTCTTAAAAAAAACCTTTTCAGACAAATTTATTGCAAATTTTAAACTTCAAGTTGAGAATAAATTTGATGTCAGTTAGCCAACAAACCTGAGCTCGTCCTTCTGACGTTGTTCGTCTTCAATCTGGAGTTGGAGTTCACGGACAGTCTCCATGTACTTCTTGATGGTCTTCTGAGCATCAGCGTTGGCGCGGTTGGCGTGGTCCAAGGCGATTTCCAAGTCCTGAAAACTCCAGCTGTCCCTGTCTTTTCTGTGCAGAACTGACGTTGATGTCGCTCTCGAGCTTCTTCTTGATGCGCAGAGCTTCTTCCTTGTGCTTGGTCTCGGCTTCGAGCGTCGCCTGCATGCTTTCGAGGGCACGTTGGTGGTTCTTGCGCGTGTTTTCGAACTCTTCTTCCTTCTCTTGGATTCTCTTCTCGATCTCCGATCTGATCTGGGAGACTTCGATCTGAGCACGGAGGACCTGAAAGCTTTTCAAATGAGAAAATCGTTTGTATCTTTGAGTTTTCATCCTTTTTCCTCCAGAGAAAGAATACCTTTTCCTTATACTGAGTTTTCAAAGCAAATTCAGCTTTAAGAAACTTTGATTTTTTTCAAAAAGAAAACAACATCCTTCAAAATAGAAACTTTCAGAGGACGATCTCTCCGATGCTTTCAGCTTCTTTGATTTTTTTTTCAAAATTTTTCCCAATGATTGAAGAATAAGAAAATTCATTTTTAGCCAAACTACGAAAATAAAAAAAGTTTTTTCTCAATTACACAAAAAAAGTTGCGAAAAACTTGTCAAAGACATTAAATTTGTGATACAAAACCTAGTCCAAGGCGAATACATTTCTTCATTTCCTCGATCTATTTTTCTGTTCAAAAAGGTCACCTTGCTCTCTTCAGCTTCCAAAGCAGCTTCAGCCTCATCCAAAGCCTTCTGGAGCTCTTCCTTCTCGTTCTCGAGTCTGCGAACAATCTTCTGCAGCTCGTGGACAGAACTAAAAGACTTTCAGATCACTTGAAACGCTCATAAAGAGCAAACCGTCCGCCTTCGCCAAGCTGGTCGGTGAGGTCCTTGACTTCCTGGGCGAGTTGCTTGTTCTCACGGCGAGTGCTCTCTAGATGCTCGACGAGTTCATCCTGGACAGTCTTGGCCTTGAAGAGGTCGGTGGACAGGTTGCGGTTGTCCCGTTGGGCGGCGTCGAGCTCGGCGGCGAGGTCGTCGCTCTTCTTGCGCCACTCGTCGATGATGCGGTCGAAGCCCTTTTGCTTCTTTTCGAGGGCCGCAGCATAGGCCGAGGCGCGTTCGACGTCGACTTGGGCGTCGTCGAGGTCCTGCATCAGCTTGTGGCGCGTCTTCTCCAGGGAGCCGATCTTGGTGAACGCCGTCTCGTTAGCGTCCGTCAGCTCTTGGACCTTGGCCTGCAGCTTGCGCCTGAAACAAACTTCTGTCTTCTGGATGAGAATAATCGGTCCTACTTGGCCTCCTCGATCTCATCAAGCTTGGAAAGTCCTTCGGACTCAAACTTGGCCTTCCATTGCTGAATCTCAGCGTTGAGCTTGCTGATCTGGCGAGTCAGTTCAGCCTTAAAAAAAAGTTTTGCCAATTGAAAAATAATTGATCTTAATTTCAATTCAAGTTTTTACTCTGAAATTTACAAAAATTGATTTCAAAGACTTGGCAAAAGGTTATTTTGAAACAATTTATAATCTAACTCCATAATTATTTTCCACTATTTTTTTTAGCTATCTTTTTCTGGAAAATGATTATATTTGTCGGCTGATCTTCAAGAATATTATCTGCAAAACTACCTTGCCCTCGCCTTCCTCATCAAGCTGTTCACGGAGACTGTCGTTCTCGTGCTCGAGGTTCTTGGCCTGAGCGGCCAAGGCTTGACGTTCGCTGAACATTCACATGGACTCTGTGTTCTGAAGACACTCTTACCGCGACTCCTCGTCGAGGTTTCTCTTGGATTCTTCCAGCTGGCTGACAAGAGTCGCCTTGAGTCTGTGCAAGCTGTTCAATTGGTTCTCAAGATCTTCCAGTTGACGGCTCAAGTCTCCGTTCTCGTTGTTCAAACGGTTCTGCAAAACTTTTCAACTATCATAAAATCAAGAAAATGTGACACCTTGATGGCGGCGAAGTCTTGAAGCTGCCGCGACTGCTCGTCGGCCTTGGTCTGCAGCTCGGAGTACTGGATTTCCAGAGTCTTGAGGGCTTTCTCAACGTCCTGGCGGGATCGGACCTGTAAAACAGGAAGCTCATCAACGATTCTCCTGATTATACCTCGCTATCAATGTTGGACGAGGCCTCTTCGAAGTCGCGTTGGAGCTTGGCGCGTTCAGCGTCGCTCTTGGCCTTCAGCTTCTGGACGGTCTCCAGTTGCTCGGTGAGCTCGGCGACGGCGTCGTTGTTGCGCTTGCGGATGGCAGACAGCTGCGTCTCGTGGTTCATGTTGTTCTCCTCGAGGTCACGACGGAGCTTGGCCATCTCGGCCTCGCGCTTCTTGTTGGCTTCCAGTTGGACGGCAGTGAGTCCACCTTGTTCCTCGAGTCTCTCGCCGATTTCCTCGAGTTCCCGCTGGAGCTCCGATCGGGTGCGGTCAGACTTCTGACGGTTGTTGCGCTCGTTCTCGAGCTCCTCCTCTAACTCAGAGATGCGTCCTTGGAGTTCCTTGATCTGGCGCTGGAGCTTGGCGACAAGGCTCTGCTCTTCTTCGAGTTTCGAAGAAATGTGGTGCAGATCAGCCTCCTTCCTGGAAACTCAACTGTTTGCAAGGCACAAAAAGGGATGAAACTTCTTGAGATTGTTCTCAATGTCCTGCTTTTGCTTGGTGATCTCGTCGATGTTCTCCTGGGCGACCTTCAACTCGCCTTCGACCTTTCTCTTCGACCTGAAAGCTCATTTTTTTCAGAGAACCTGAGATGAACTCTCTGTACTTTTCAATGTCTTGACGCGAACGCTTCTCGCGGTCGATGTTGTCCTCCAGGTCGTCAAGCTGTTGCTCCAACTTGCTGCGGATCTTCTCCATGTGGTTGACCTTGTCTTCTTCGGCTTGGAGGTCCTCGTTGAGCTTGCGGTTGACCTGAAGTATTTCGTAGTAGTTTCATTAATCGTTAAAGTAACCTCTTCCTGGTGTTTCTTCTCCTTGTTGAGTTTTCCGACGACCTCATCCTGGTTGGCCATCTCATCTTGCAGGGATCGGATGTTGTGGTCGCGCGACTGCAAATTATTTAGTCCAGGAACTTCCGAAGCGTTTCGAATCCACCTGTTTCTCTTGCTCAGCCTTGCGCAGGGAGAGCTCGAGCTCCTGAGCGTGTTTCTTGACTTCGGCGATCTCTTGATCGGCCTTCTTCTTCTGACGCTGGAGGTCTTCGTTACGCTCCTCCATATCTTGGAGCTTGTTTTCAATGTCGTTGAGCTTGCTCTCCAACTGAGACTTCAAAGCGGTCAGCTTGGCATTTCTCTCTTCGGCATCGGCGAGGTTGGCCTTCTCCTTTTCCAAAGAAGTGAAGAGCTGGTTCTTCTCTTCGACCAAGTCAGCCACCTTCAACTCATTTTCTTGGAAACACTTTAGTTACCGTTTACCTGAGACTCGAGCTGCTGTCGGCAGATCTCGCCACGAGCCACAGCTTCTTCGAGCCCCTTGATCTTCTCGGCGAGCTCTCCCATGGCTTCCTGCTCCTTTCCGGCCTTGAGCATTGGCTTGACCTTTCCGAACAGCTTGAACCATTCCCAAGTGCGGAGAGTGCACCAGGCACGGACGTTCCTCTGCACAATGAGCAGTCCTGAAATTATCCTTATTTTCAGTTTGTTATGTACGACTAACCAGTCTGCTGGTCGTGGCGTCGCTTAACGTCAGCCTGGGCCAAGTAGAATCTAAGATTAAGAAAAAATTAATTTCATTTTTTTTTTGGAAAAAAAAACCTGGCTCGAGATTGGAACATGGTCATGATCTTGGATAGGATCTCGTCACGCAAGTCTTCCAGACGAGCCAAGATTCCAGCCTTGAAGAAGATCTTGGTGTTTCCGATCTTGAACTCTTCGTCGGTGAGGTTTCCGTCGGTGACGAGCTTGTCGGTGATGCCGGTCGACGCCTTCTTGACGTCGGGGTCCTTGGCGGCGTCCGCGGCAAGGATGGCATACCTGAACGTGTCTATAAGAAGCAAGAACTTGGAAGGAGGCGCAACCTATGACGGAAGTCGTCGTAGAGCATTCTGTTGGGGAATCCTTTGCGGCAAATACGGATGCCTTCAAGCACACCGTTGCAGGTGAGCTGGTTGAGGACGAGGGCCGAGTCGATGACTCCAGAAGCCTTCTTCTCGTTGGGAATGATACAACGGATGAAATGAGGGTGGGTCTGGTAGAGCATGTTCATGAGGTTGTTGAGGGACTCGCGGTAAAGCATGGAGACTGTCATGAACGACGAAGACTTTCCCTTCTTCTTGGCGCCGCCGGTTCCAGACTTGGCGGCCTCGGCAGCCTCCTCCTGAGTCTGGTAGTCGGACCAGATGTCCAGCATGAGGTTCATGTCGTTGGCGTGCTTCAAAAGGGCGACAGCCGTGTCGTTGAGAGGATCCTTGTTCTTCTCGAGGAAGTTGGTGGCATTGTAGCGGACAGTGCCGGCGTAGTGGACGATGGCGAAGTGAGCCTCGGCTTGTTTTCCCTTCGGAGGCTTAGGTTTCTGGAAGTTGGGATGCTTGCCGAGGTGCTGGTCGAGCAGTTTCTGCACGTAGGTCATGTCCGTCGCCTTGGGGACGATACATTCTTCGTCGAGCATCGAGATGATACCCAGAGGCTGGAAAAAGTTTTTTATTTTGGTTTTTTATTGACTCTACCTTCTCAATGAGCTCGATACAGGCCTGTAAGTCAAGACCGAAGTCGATGAAGGTCCATTGGATGCCTTCGCGTTTGTACTCTTCTTGCTCGAGAACGAACATGTGATGGTTGAAGAACTGTTGGAGGCGTTCGTTGACGAAGTTGATCCAGAGCTGCTCGAAGGAGTTGAACTGAAAGTGATAACTCGGATGATACAGTTTTTTTTCCAATCCCAAACGTCGAAGATTTCGAAACCAGCGATATCGAGCACACCAATGAAGAATTTGCGCTCAATCTCCTTGGCATCGAGGGTCTTATTACATCTGAAAGCGAACTTTCAAAGTTTCAAGATTCCGTTTGGGACCTGCTGATGAGCCACTTGAACATGCGAGCGTAGATGGCCTTGGCCAGTCCAGAGACGGCCCAGTTGACCTGCTCGAGGTTCTGACCTTTGTTGACCCATTCAGTTCCGACGCGCACACGAGGCTTCGTCAGAGCCTTCAGAAGCTCTTCGTGATTGATTCCGAAGCAGTAGGCAGCGTTGGCGGCGTCTGAATCCCCTTAGGTTGCACGACTTCAAGGTTATCCTTGTCTGACCGTCTTCGCCGTCGGCCTCAGCCTGTTCTTCACGCGGCCGTTGCTTGAACTTCATCTCGCCCATGTGCATTATTCCGGCGACGGCGCGGTACAAGTCGTTGACCTCGTGGTCTTCGAAGCCCATGATGTCGAAAGCTTCCTAAAAGCCATCTTCAGATCGAGTACTTGGCTTGGATTCACCTGAGTAAGCCGCATCTCGTCCTTGTCGTCCATGCCTTCAATGGTGAGCTCGGCCTGCGAGCAGAAGTGATAGTACTTGATGTCGTTGGTTAGCTTCAGTCTTCCTACAAACCAGAAATGAGTATTTCCTAGGAAAAAAAACCTCGAAGAGACGGATCGTTTCCAGACATGATCTGGTAGAAGATGTGATAGCATCGTTCTCCTGCGGCTTGACGAACGACGCGAGATTTTTCGAGCAGGTCTGAATCAGTGAAATTGATAGTTTTCTTCAGACATTCTCACAGTGCTCGATGTCTCCTCCAGCCAGCTTTCCAGAGCCGGAGAAGTGGGTTCGGATGAATTTACCGAACCGAGAAGAATTGTTGTTTCTGACGGTCTTGGCGTTACCTAAAATAGGGTTTTTTTTTCTTTTTTGAAATGAACAGATTGATACCGAAAGCCTCAAGTACGGGATTGGTCTGCACGATTTGTTCTTCGAGAGTACCGCCCTTCTTGCCGCCGCCGTCCTTGCTGCCAGCCGACTGCGTGGCACCGACAATGGCGAAGTACGAGATGACTTTCTTGGTGTTCTCCGTCTTTCCGGCTCCAGACTCGCCGGTAATCAGCATAGATTGGTTCTCCTTGTCTGCAAGTCAGGAATCTTAGATGGGTCTCAGAAATGGAGGAAACCTTGAACCATGTTGCGGTAGGCCTCATCGGAGGTGGCGAACAAGTGAGGAGGCATCTCGTTCCTTCGCTTGCCCATGTAGTGCTTGATGACGCTTTCCGTGTAGATCGGAAGCCGCTTGTAGGGGTTGATCACCACGCAGAAAAGACCCGAATACGTCTGCAAAATCTTCTTTTTCGCAGTGTCATGCTCTTTCCAGATACGTAGATCATCATGTCCTTGTAGCGGTCCTTGAGGTTGGTCAACACGGAAGCTTCGTTCAAAAACGTCAGATTGGCCATGTCTTCGGTCTTGTCGAACTTTGGTGGGTTCATCTCCTGGCACTCATCTTTTTTCAGCGTGATCTGACAGATTAGAACTGAGCCTTTTTCTCTCTTTTTTTCCGAAAATACCGAGTTTCCCTTGGAAGTGATGACAGTGACTTGGTCACCCTGGGTCGACTGGATCTCGGCGGCGACGAATCCTGAAGTCAATTTTTTTATACATTGTTTCTTCCCTTTGGTGACGTTTTTTTAATAATGTATTATTACATAATAGTTTAAATCCTTATTTTGAGTTTTTTTGGTAATAAATTTATTCATCCATTATTCACACTCAAAAAAACTGTTTTTTTGCGCTTTTTCGATATACTTTTTTTTTCCTTTTCAGTCAAGATTTTTTTAGATTTCACCTTGAAAGTTATATAATGAAGGTCAACTGATTTTTTAGTTCCGTTGAGAATTTTTTTCTGATTTTACGAAATTCACCACTCAGCTCACTTTTTTTTATGGGTCTATGAGACCCCCTTATATCGAAATATGATTCAAAGTTCAGATTAAACTTTAATGAAAAAAATTACTGAACCGTTCTTCACGAAAATCAGCTTTAGGACCAGCGTTGAATCTTCTCGGTTTTTATCTTGTCAATCAATAACAAATTCAAAAAAAATTTTAGTTAAAACCACTTTATTTCGGAGTTGCTTCCACTTGTACATGTAAAGTTCATTCCTCTGCTTACTGTATTGCCTAACAAACGTTAGTATTCAGTTTGCCTGTCCCTGAGTTTCAGGTCGTCAATCAAGGAATGTCTCATAAATATCCCTCTCGGCGATCAGCAAGCGAGGCCGATTCCTCAAACGCCTCTCGGCGACCGAAAAGCCGTGCTCTCTGATTTGTTGTCAATTCAGTGGGCGGCAAGATCCTCGCACTTTACTATGCTCGTGAGGCATTTACAATACGATTGCACACGTTTCAGCGAGGCGAAGTGTAATCCGTCGCGGCCCACATCTCGCCTTTTTATATTCCACCGGCCGTCGTGTCTCGCAATTGTTTTCATTTGCTCCGGAAAGTTGCTGCTGCTCTCTCCGGAGCTGGCAGCACCGATCGATAGGGCATTTGTTACAACTGCCAAGGTGAGGAACGCCGTCGCCAGGAATAGAGACGGGGAACTCACTGTTCCCTTGGTGGTTGATCACAATAAAACCAGAAAGAACAAGACTTTTGCAGTGGGGCTTTGCAAGTACAGACAAGAAATTTTCCTCAACTGGGAAAGTACCGCGCTTTCTTTTCGATCCCACCTTTAAGCTTTTCAATGTTAAGCTCAACTATGTCCTTTCACTTCAGTCCTCTTGGAACATTCTGAGTCTTAAAAATAGCTGGTAGGTCAAAAGATCAGAACCCGTCAACAAATTTCGGTGCTGAGAATGATGTTTCTTGATCCTTCTTGCAGAGAATATTGTGAAACATTATTTATAATTTTTCAAAAAACTTGATACCGATTAAAAAATATCAGCATAAATTTGACATTTTCAAAAGATCGATCAAAATCTTGCAAACATCCTTTTTCTATTCATCTTTTTTATTTTCTTTAATGCCGTGTTCAAAGTAATTTCCGCGAAATGCAAAAATACCCGTTAGAGAAAGGAAAAAGATCACTAAATTTTGGAGAGTCAGAGATCATTTTGCATTTCGCGGAAATTACTTTGAACACGGCATAACATAATACTCAAAAAAATATTTTTTTGGTAATTAAAAATTTCCCAACAACTAAATTGAACAGAAGCTTGTCTAAAAAGCAAAACTTCAAAAACCAGAGATTTCTAATTATGAATAATTTGTTCGAATGTGCGAATTTTGACAAGGAAAAAACGAAATCGTACCATCCTCGGGGTCAGGAATCCAGCAGTTCTTCTTGGAATCGAACGGTCTGGCAGCAGAAGCGGCCTTTTGCTCCCTCGTGATGCCCAAATAAGGGAAGCCTGGGTCATTTTCGAACGCGTCCGGATTACCCGACATCTTGGCTGGAAAAAAAAAGCTTTCTTGCTAATTGATCAAGTTCATTTAAATTCATAGAAGTTCTCGAGATGGAGAAAACTTTGCGAAGAAATGAGCAATGAGCAGTTGAGCAGATCAAGTTGAGAAACGGACAGCTGATCAGACTCATTTGTAACGGCGAAACCTTTTCTTGACAAATACTAGGCAAAGAAAAAACAGCTTTTTTTCGCGAATATTTCTTCCTTGGATGAGCAAATAATTGCAAAAATCAAATTCAGAAAGAAAATGATAATAAAAAACTTTTTAATTTCGAAAAAAACCGAAAAGCTGGGCGAAACTGCAAAAGAGATGAAAAAAAGCTTGAAAAGTTGTGAATTTAATTTTTTCTATTTCATCAAAAATGTAGCTTTCGTAAAGATTTCCGATCCGAAATAAATAAATTTTGCCTCGGAAACAAAATTTACTGAAGGATGAAATTAACAAATGTAAAAATACGGCCTGGGCTTCAAGATGTCAACACGAAAGTTTGAAAGATTCTCAGGAGAAAAGTGGCTTTTCTGATATTGAAGTGGTTGATTCATCACTGTCTTTTCACAAAAAAAGCTCGAGATACTTTAGAGACGCTTTGTCAGTTTTGCAGCACTTTATTCACCCTGAAAGCTATTTTTGAGCTCATCTTTTGAGTGGGTCGTTTGAGTGTTCAATCAAAATGATTTTTCAAACGCTGCTTCTTCTGAAAAAAAAAAACTTCATTATGCTGAGATCCTGATTGAATGTCTGTAATGAAAATCAACTTTTTTGAGATCTTTTATAAAAATGTTCTCAAGCTAGCGATGGATCCTCAATACAGACTTCCAGGAAGTTGGATCTCATAATAAGAATTCCTTTTATTTCTGAAGAACTTCGTTTAAAAAAACTTGCAGAATAGTGAGCAAAAAATGGAAGTTTTCGGGTTTCTACAGTAGTCTCTGCACTCTAATCTGTAATTGAAGATCTAGAAACGGCGGAGAAGAAAAAATGAAAGGTGGAAAAAACGACTGCAGAAGTTATTTCAGAGGTTGACAAAGGGAACGGCCAACGGAAACGGTGTAGAGTGGCGATTTCTTCGAAAGCCGAGGGAGGTGCCGTGCAGCCGCGCCGAGCAACTGGTCACACAGGCGCCGCCTCCTCGAGCTCCGGAGAAGAGGTCGACTGCCCGAACAGCCAAAAACACACCTCGCAGAATGTCTCACTTCTTTTTTGATACCATGGAAAAACAGCACGTGTGTGGCGGAGGCGGCTCTTTTTCAGAGCCGACGGGTTTATGCATTCTGCAGAAATGGGACATCTGGAGCCCCGGTAGTAAGCAATAAAAAGTTGTAACTGAGATATGAGGAGCCGTCGCGCGAACCGCAAGGCTGGCATGAAACATTTTTTAACAACTTCTTATTGTTCGAATAGAACTAAGACTCTGGGAAACTGAATGGTAATGAAAAGTGCATATAAATAATCCTTGTTTTCTTCTCACATGAAGATCTCTAGTCTAAACTTCAAGTTCAAACACGAGAACCTAAAAAAAATTCTTACAAATTCAAGGTTTTTCGTCTCTTTCGAACCTCCGAAGCGATAAATTGTTCACCATCCTTTTTGCCGTGAAACATCCAACTAACCCCCTGAAAAAACAAATAATCTTCACTCGGACACATGATTGAATTGTACTTGAAAAACGAATATATAAATAAAATAATTCGGAAAAAAAACTCGATGCCCTTATGAAAAGTTAGTGATTTTTTTTGCCGAAAAAAAAGTTGGCCGTCAAAGAATCGTTAATGGTATTTACTAGTTCAACAGAACCATTGGAACAATTGGTATATGTAGATCTATATAATATTCTATAGAACTTATCATAAGTTCTAGTTGTTTCTTTTTCGGATAGCGTTGAAAACTCAGAAAGCTTTACTTTCGAAAAAAACATCGAAAAATTGAAAGAAACTATATAAATACCGATATATATATATATATATATCGGTATTTATATATATATATCGTTTTATGAAAAATATATATCCAAAAAAATTAGAGGTTAAAAATAATGCCGTGGTCAAAGTAATTTCGACAATTTCGAAATTGACGTGATATTCGTTCAAGATCAAGAATTTCGGGAAATAAACAAAATTGGAAATCCAGAAAGAACAAAAAAAGTTTTTTTTAATTCGACTTAAAGCAGTATCGTCAAGTCTATGTTTCGGTTCTTACACAAGACGGATATTTACATACTCTGAGAATCGAGGGCCGGCCCGTCCTATCGCCCTCGACCATTTTTTAAGCCCGACCTGGCCCGGCCGTGTTAGGGAGCCCTCGAGCGAAAATTGCCGGCCCGGCCCAAAAAGTCAAACTTTTTTCAAGTGGAATATCAAGCTTTTTTCAAGGACAAAAGCCACGTTTTTGCTTATTCTTACCCTAAATATCAACAAAATGATTAAAAAAGTTGTAATAATTTTTCGGTGAAAATTTTTTCAATGAAATTTTAATTTTTGTCGAAGCCTGGCCTGGCGTGAGCCCGCGCAATCTTTTTCTCGAAAATGAGGCTCAAAGCCCAGCCTGACACACTAGCCTGTTTAATTTATCAAATTGATCCTACTGAATTTTTAAAGCGCAAAAAAAGGGGATTGACACAGATAATTTTCTTCTATAGTCTGTTCAGATTTTGAATGTCAAGTCGTCGCCCAAGCTCCGCCCATAATAGTGCGATAGACCAATCAGAGAGCGAGCCATCCACAGAGCGTTTTCGAATGACGTCATTCTACTTGACATTCAAAATGTGAACAGACTATATACTGAGGCCGTCCTCTCAACTTTATCATGATCCTATCTCGTTTTCATTTATTATATTTTCTGAATAGTCAGTCAGTTTTTATTTTATTCAATGCAAAATTTTCTGCACTTCTCAACCCAATGAACGTTCTGTACTTAAGTGAAGTCGAATGCCGAGATGAACAAGTTGTGATTCTTGCACTATTTCTAGCGGACACGTGCCGCTCTGCAATATCAGTTGTGATGTGTTGACGGCGTTGCGGGCGAGTGCAGCCAGATTTTCCGCGAAAAAGACGCAGCTGATACACGGCGTGGAATCATGAAAAACAGTGAGAGGCCAACTGCCAAAGATCCAGCGACCACAAAGCGCCGAGAGGCAACTGTCGATTCCACGAATCTTGGTGGCAGCATCCAGCACCACACATCTTTCTTCTGCTTCTTGCACTTTCTCTTATAACTTCTAACAACTACTTTATCTAAAAAGGAAAAAAAAAAGCAAAAGTGAAAGCTACATTCGAAATTAATATGCTGGAAAAGAAAGAAATGCTTGGCTAGTAAAGTTCTGAGAAGGTGGAAACGACTGAGGCAGTTGAAAGTTAACATCTAGAAGAAACTTTTATAAGATCAGCAAGAGATAGAAGAGGTCGAATATCGAGAGTTGAAATTCCAAGATTCAAAAATGAAAAAAACACCTAAAGAAAACGAATCATAAGAAGAATAAAAACTAAAAAACACGATAGCCGTTAAATATGCACAGACCGAAAAAGTCTCTCGAAAGTCTCAAAAGTTTCCGAAAAGATGAATAATGTTTTTCTTTAATAAAGTATGCGAGAACCTTTCCTTGCAGCGAACTTTATACATTTCTCGAACATATTTTTCGGATGTTCTGAGCTTCGGTCACCAAAGAAACTGAAAACAAAATTTAAAAAAAAAACCATTTTTCGCATTCTTTTTTGAGCTTTGAAAGACATTCTGAATCTGAAACGGTTCTAACCAAATAGAAGAGTTTTCTACAAGTTATTTTCACAGGGGATCAAATCCAAAAGTTTGATTATTTGCAAATGAAAAATCAAAAATTTAAAGCCTAAAGAAAAGAGGAGAAAAACTGCACAGGATTTACAATTGAAAAGTTTGACTATATGGTTCACCCGGAACACCTACACTTCGTTTATACAAAAATACACCGTAACTATATACATTGTGAGAATACCTAATGATAAAAATCACGGATCGGTGGAAAATGTTTTGAAATCAAAAACCGTTCATATGATGTCCGAAGCAGTCCAAAACGTGAGAACTTGGTTTGATTTCAAAGCATCTTCAGTTATTCGGACATGCAACGGTCAGGCGTCTTGGGGAAGGAGTTCGATCACTTCGCCCATTCCTTTGGTTTTGCCCTGTCTGAAGATGATGGGACAGCCGGCTCGGATCGCCTCTGGCTGGTAGGCGAAGCGAAGTTCCACTCGAGACCATTTGCCTTGTTGCAGAGCCGTTCCGTCGATCATGCACACGGTCGCCGTCTGGCAGACTGAGCCGATGTAAACTGAAAATGAAGCCATCGAAAAAAGAACGAGGTCCGAACGAACCTGTGGCTTGGAATCCCTCAGAAACTCGAGTCGAACTGTACAGGAGGAAAAGATTGGCCACGAATCGGTGGCAAACCATCGGAGGGACGGCATTTGATGTCAGTACCATTCCCTAGAAAAAATAAATGAAGTCCTTTGAAAAAAATTCGGGTTCAAAACTGATAGTTTCAGATCTTAAACCATTTTCTTTAGTCAAATTAAGCCTATTGTTCAAAATATTCCAAAAATTGCAATCTCCGAATATAATAGCAATCGAAACAACTTCATCAAAAAAAAACTATCCTTCTTCTGCAGTAGATATCAAGGGTATTAACTCCCTGAACACATCTGCTGTTTTTCTAAAAAAAAAGCTGACCAAATGAGATATAAAATAGATTGTTTCAAAACAAAAAGTTCTTAGATTAACAAAAATGGAATTTTCTCCCAATTTATCATGCTGAAACAATTTTTCAGCCTTTACAAAACGAAATCTAGCGACGAACCCTTCTCAAGACGACGTTCGGGGGAAGAGTCAACGCGATGGAAGCGACTTCGCCAGGAAACACGCATCGGATGGGCTGCTTGCAACGGTAGATCGAGCCGATTTTCGTCTGAACACAGTCTTAACTTTCCTTTCATTTGAAACGGGATGAACTTTGGCGAAGGATCCGTCTTTCATGGGGCCGACCAAGACATCGGCCCCTTCCGGGAGCTGTCCCTCGGCCAACATTCCGCCGACCACAGTTCCTACCTGGAAAATGTGGTGATTCTGAGGACTGAGTGACTTGAAACGGACATGAGGGACGTTGTAGAGTTCTTCGATGGAGAAATGTGCGGGCTCCGAGGCGAGTTGGAGTCGAGATTCGCTGGTGCCGGCGGTCGACAGAAGGTTGAGCAGCGTTCTCAGAAGACGGAACCCTTCCCCAGTCACCGAAGAAACGCTCAGAATCGGCACAATCGAGCTCGTTTGCAGTTTTTGAGCCGCTCTGCAACTTTTAAATCCAACTCATCCTAAACCCAAATGGCGCAGAACAAGTCTGCGCCTAAATCATTTTTTTCCAGAAAAAGTTTTGGATTAGATTTTTTTTTTAAGAGCCGTCCAAATCAAGAAATCTCTTTTCTTCAGACCATCACGACTGGTCATTCTTGCAAGTAGACTAGAAAATTATGAAATTTTTATTTCGAAGTCTTTTTTCTTTCGCGAAAATTCAAAACAATTGAGTGTGTGAAAACAATCAATCGCATCAATTTATTCCTTTTTTAACAAACATTTATCATTTTGAGGTCCTCAAAATTACAAGTTGGTCGAATAAAAACGGCTTTTCGCCTTAAAATCTTCATGAAAACATTTTGTACTTTTCCGATAAAAGTCACGATAATTTATTGCTTAAAAACAAATTCCTGTCTAATTCCACTACTACATGTATAAATGTCATGATAATCTGAATGGCAGTGTAAATATATGTACTTGTAAACTGATAGCAACTTTTTTCTCCATGAAAACAGAAATTTAAACAAGAAATAAACGAACCTAACAACGTCCCTTGTGGTTTTCAACATCTTCCCATGCGAGGTCATGCCAGCCCGAGAGAGCAAAGTACGCACATTTCTCAGAACTCTGAAAAGGAAAAAAAAAACTTTCTACCCTGAACAAAACATGAAAATTACCCGCTAAGGGTTTCCTTGTCGACAAGATCTATTTTGGTGACAACGACAAAAAGAGGGATGTTCAAAGCCGCGATGAGGCCCAAGTGTTCGCGTGTCGTGGCTGTCGGACCGGTTTCAGCGGAAACCAACCTGAAAGAAGCTTTGTTTCCAGTATAGAAATGAAAAAGGGATTTCGAAAAGAAAAGAGACGAACAGACAAGAGAAGTGGGGACTGTAGCCGGAGAGGCCGTGGATCGTCGTTTTCAGGTACTTGGAGTCTCCGGCCAAGTCGATGAGCGTCACCAGCTTGCTCGACTTCTCCACCAGCTCTTCCAGTGTGTTCTTCGCATAGTTTATCAACTGCAAATTCCCTTTTCTGATTCGAAATCAACAAAAACGTTTTCCCATCAACGTTTTCGTGAAACAAAAAAATGATTTATCGATGAAGTTTTGATCAATCAAAATATTCCAAAAATACCTTCCCCTTATTGTCAAAGCCAATGACGTCCAAGCAGATTGAGCTCGTTTTTCCTGTTCGTACCTCATGAGGATACCTGAAATTTCATCATTCTTCCAGAGCTTTATTTAAATCATCATATTTGTAAAAAAAAACATAAGCTAAATTTTTTGATTCCATGATTATGGCTTTTTTTCAGAAAGGGTAGCCATTCATAAGTTTCAAACTTTTCAACCAAAACTTGAGTTTTTTCTTTACGAAAACTACATCTTCTGCAGCACAAGTCTCTCAAATTGGATAATATTACAATAAAATTTTGGATGAATGAAAAACTCTGACAAATTAAATGGAATGGTTACCTGAACAGGTTGAGTCGGGTTTTTCCGTTTCCATCATCTAGAGAACCTTGTGTCAAAACTCCGCAAAGCGTCGATTTCCCGACATCCAAGCCCCCGAGAACTGCTAATCTGCAGCGAAAAATATCAAAACCGAAACAAAATAGGTGCTTATTCCATTTACGAAAAACTTATTTTTGTGACATAAACAATTTTTTCCCTTTCTTAAACTGTGTGAATTAGAACAAAAAAAAAAATGAAAAAAATTGAAAGGTAATCTATTTTAAAGTCTTTGATGGGAATATTGATAAACGGTTGAAAACAGATTATGTGTGTTTTTGAAGACGAAAATAGAGATCCGATGGATTTCTCTAAATTTTCAAACTCATGTCATTTTAGGCCGCGATTTAGGGCTTTTCACAGTCGACAAAGGTGATGAAGGTTACCTGAGTTCGATGAATTGCTGGCTCTCCGGAACTTTCCGTACGAGAACTTCGACGACAGTACGACGTGCAGTGCTGCCTTTTGGAGTCACGTCCTTCTCGGTCAACTTAAATGGAAAACATTGAGAATATTAATCAAAGGTCAAGAACGGACAATGACCATGCTGGCATTCAAGGAATCGGCCATTGTTTTTCAATGTGAAAATGGATTCTTTGAGTTCCAAATCCGAAAGCCCGCTCATTTGGCCACCATCTTCCACTCCAACCTGAAAACGTTCCAATTCCTGGTGTACGAAAATAGAAAGAAACTTCGTAGATTGCTTCGCCCTGTCCTTCCCTCAGCCGCCATTTCATCTGGGTGATGAGGTGCTCTAGTCGTGGCAAAGATGGGTTTACGAGCTTTGCCTGTAACAACGCCATATTTCAGTTCAATCTTCATCAACTTTTAGTTTACGATAGTACCATAGATTGCAAAGATGTCAGCGAACCCTTGAATTTAAATATATACGTTGATATCCATTGAAATTATAAGTATAACTCAAAGAATTTGCAAAATACCTTTCTCTTCAAAAAAAAAATTGGTAATTGCCGTAAAATTGTATTCCCCACTAAATTATAGGCTCTTTTTTCGAATACTGCGCAGCAAGGATTTGTTCGACAACACTTTAGTCACAAAAAAATTAAACAAACTTTGTACTCAATATTTCCAAGTTCCATTTCTGGCGGCAGACGATTTTCCGAGTCAGAGCCGATCTCAGCATTTCCCGAAACCATGGGAGCGAACGCTCCGTCTTGTATTGACCTTTTCCTTAAATTTTTTTTTAAAGAAAGAAAATGCATTTACAAAACAACCAACCTTGTATTTTTATAAACAGCGGGATGATTTTCTTCGTCGCAAAAATGTGAAATCATGAAATCCATTTCGGCTATTATTTATATGACCTTTCGGTAGTACTTTAAAGCAGATCCTATGCAGCCCGTATTCGCAGAATCATCCGAGTTATTACTGAAGATAAGATACTTGTAAACATACGAAGGATGAAAGAAGGGAAAACGAAAGGATCGACTTTGGCGATTCAGAGACTCAAAACTGAGCGAAATCTTGATGAACAGCGAAAGTATCGAAAAACAGGCGGGCATTGACGTCAGAACGGCACAGACAAACTTTACACAACTTTTCAAGACTTACTTTGTTGTTGCAGTATTTTTTTTTTCTTTCAACTAGAGAAACTTCTTTTTGAATAAAAATTTTTGAAGATTCAGGCATCGCAATTTTTTTCATTTCAGTTTTTCGCGAAGTGATGCACTTCTCGAAAACTCACTAAAGTAAAAAAACGGAAAAAGAAAAAAACCCTTAGACTTTAAACATAGTTGTAGAAAACGGACTATCTAACAGTCAAATCAACATATAATTTATTTTTTCCTGAGAACTTTTTCCACTCAAAAGAAATTTGTCAGCGGAAAAGAAAAGTGTTGTAAACGAGTTTGTATTTCGAAAAAATAGACCCTCCGCGACGCAGCCGCAACGCGAGACACAATGGCAAACGAAGAACCGGACTTGCCAACGACACATTTTATTTCTTGGAAGCATGTCAATACGCTTCGATACACACAGTGATTGGCATATTCAACATGAACGAGGAACTTTTGAACATGTGTGTTAGAGACTAGGAAAGAACAGGTATGAAAGCATAAAAGTCTGTTAAAAATTTATCTAAAATCAGTTGGAACACCTAATAAATTCTGAAAAGAGATCACAAGAATGGCAGTTGGTACAGATTCGGGAATATATAGCAGATGGTCACTAGAATGAGCAATCGGGAAGTTTTCGAACAATTGCGCAACCTTACGTCGATTGCGAAATCTGATATATTAGGAACCTTAGCAAGAGGAAGTATAGCATATGATGTGATTAGGATTTTTTATATTTATATGAATTTTTTTTTTGACTTAGTAATTGACCTAAAAAGTTGGCATATAAATTCTGAATATCACAAAGTTCTATGGAACCCAGAAGCCACAAAGTAAAAATTGATTAAAAATGGGGAGCTGTCGTCTGCAGAACATAAATAACGTAGGAAGAGTTGACTTCGACGACGGCATCGACTTGGATGATCTGAAACATTTATTGATTAGAATGACATCAGAAAACATTCTCGAACCTCAAAAGAGTATTTGCCCGAATCGAGAGCAGTTTTGACAAAATGACAGTGCGATGTTAAGGGAGGCGTGACAAGAACAGAGAGAACAGAAGGCCGGCAACTTGAAAAGATACATCTACATCTGACCTGTGACGCATATTCCCTTACTTGCTTATAATGCTGAAAACAGTGTCATAGTACTGCTCCTGTTGTTCTGCCGAAGCGTTCTCAGGCAAATTGTAGTCTGCGAATATCCGATCAACAACGTAATAGTTGAAAAACTCTTTAAAAATATTCGTTTTAGCTGTAAAGAGCTGAAAATTCGACTTCTGTTCAGTTTGCTGCAAAAAATTTCATAGTGGTCGGCCTTGGACTCGTTGGTCGTTTGGAATTTGTTGTAGTTGATCATGGCCGTCGTGGCGCTATTGACCTGCTGAGTCATTCCGATGCAGAAACACTAAAATGAAGAAAAAAAAAGGCTTGAAGAGCTAGAATATAATTACATTGTAGTCTCGTAGAACTTCAATAAGAATTTCTCCCGACCCAGCCGTTAGATCCAAGACAATGTAGCTTTTTCCTAAAAAAAAAAAACCAAGAAATAATTTTTTAAAAATAATGCCGTGTTCAAAGTATTTGCGCAAAATTCAAAGTTATCCCTGACTCTCCAAAATTTTGTTATACTTTCCACTCTCAGACGTTATTCTCTATTTAGCTAAATTATTCTGAACACGATTTAACAACCAACCTTTTTCGAGTCTAGCGCGCCTCACAACTTCAAATATGAGGTTGCCCTTTCGAATCGTGTGTTCCAAGTAAGGGCGGAAGTTTTCCCATCTTAATGAAAAAGTTTTCCTTGATTTATTCCCATGAAATCAAAGGGAAAGCCAGACGAGCCATAGAAAATTGAACTTGCTTTACTTGTGCTTTACGAGCGGGGACCATACAATTCTCACTTTTTTACCTATCACTAATGAAACACCTAAATTTCGGTGATACGAAAAAAAAAAGTCGCGTTTTAAAATTCGCTGGCTTTAATTTCATACCTCCAAATTTCAGCCTCATCCAAATGCTGACTCGGACCTCGCTAACGCAAAACACAAATTAGGTGCGTTCGGGTGAAGTGATCACCAGAAATTCTCAGACTCGTTCATGGTGCGTCCGGTTTGCATGACCGAGACCCGAGTATATTCTATGAGCGAATTCGAAGACTTCTTAACACTGGCTACAGTTATGCTCGTTGTTGAAACTCTAGTTAACTCAAAATGTTTACTTGTACATTTAAGATGCAAAAAGTTTTTTTTTTTCTGGTTCTACAAGCAATGGCTGGCGGACTCAAGAAAGAGTGTTCTCATTTGCAAAATCAACTAACTTGTGGATGCGAAGGCCGACGTAAATGTAGTCCTTGGTGAACTCGACGATGACCATGACCTGGCCCGTGCAGGTCTCCTTGCTCCCATAACCATTCACGCTCCATTTCAATCGACCGTTACTCACGTCCTCAGCTTGTTTCACGATTACTTCGGGAAGAGAACTTGATAAAGACTGTAAAAGAGAAGGTTTACTTGAAACCGCAATCATTCAAGCAATTAACCTTTTTCATCTCTTGGTATAGCGGGTCCTCAGTAATAATTTCGATACAAACGTGCAAGGCATGATCTTCATACGTGACACCAGACAAATCGCAAAAATCGCTCCAATACTTCATTATATGTCGTATTTCATTGACGTAAGATATCCCATACATGAGTTCTAACCTCAGATCTTAACACTTAGATGAGTTTCAAATTGAAGAAGAGAAATTAATACCGGCGCATATGCGTGGCGGCCTTTGAACATGATATATCAACGCATTCACAGAACTGATATGCCGAAATGAGAGCAAACCATGCACTTGTTCTGGATTTGGACGTCCTCCAGCAAGCCAAGTAGTATGCGTTAAGTTACTCTTCGCCTCCAAGGGGTTGATCTTAAGATGATTTTTTTTGGTTAATAATGGTTTTTTTAAAGCCGAGACTCACGTGGAACTGACGTAGCGAATCGGCAACAAGATCTTTAGAAGTCGATGCATGAGTGACATAAAGTTGTACCTTTTCTTCCCTAGGAATGCGATAGGCACTTCTCATCAGCTGGAACAAAACACTTTTATTCGAGACGCTGATAATTGCAAAGAGAAACGAAAATCATTAAGCAAAAAGTTATAAAAAGGATGTTTTCAACAGAAACAAAGATGAGTACCGGAGTGAGCATCAATGATGACCTCTTAACGGATTACTCAAGCTTTTTTAGCAGTCTCTTAAGTGAACTATACTTTCGCTAGGCGCACATTCATTGGCGCTTTTCTTGATACGAAACAAGTTTTTGAACTTTCATGTTTCTTTTCTAATTCCATATTTTATTAAATTGTTCACATTCCGATTATATTTTATATTATTTTTGAAAAAGTCTCAATAATTTCAAGCGCTGGATGCTTGAAATTGCTTATTTTTATCTAATTCTCTAGTATGCTGGCAAATTAAAAAAATGTCTTATATTTTTTTAAGGCATTAATTTTATAGAAGTCTAATGAAGTTAATGATTCTAATAATGATTAGAGAAATTTAGTCAGTTTTTTTCCTTCCCGAAATGGAAATATAATCGAAAAAAACTAGTTTTTAAGCTAATTTTTTTATATCTTCTCGAAAAAAATTCAATTTGTATTTCTTTGTTAGACTTTCTATCAATGTTTCGAAGGTTCTGTGCGTTTGTTTAAAAGTCTGATTCAGTAATGGTGAAAGACAAAAAACGGAGGTCGGCAGATACTACACTGGCCCCAGTTGAAGCGACACCAACAAAAATAGAGAACGGCTTGACTCCAACAAAGATCATAACAAAAATAAATGGGAAATCTGTGAGTTCAAGCTGTTTTTGTTTTGAATTAAACTTTTCCATGCCCTAGCTTTGAACTTTCATTTCTTTTGATGTTTGTCGTTTTCAGATGGAACATACGAACGGCCACATCAGCAAGGATGCTGCGAAAACGCCCACCAAAGAAAAAGAAAGCAAAAATGATGATCGCACATTAAGCTCGAGAGTTGCTTCATCACAGTGATTAACTAACGAAAATTCCCATTAATTAAACGAATTTTCAGAGAGACTACAAAAAAGCAAAGCACGGGCGGTTCTTTGTGCGTACTGTTAACTCAAGGTATCATGGCCAACGACGAGGAAAAGATCAATTCCGTTTTGCGCAACGATAGATCCGACGTTATTCATGTTGGATATTTCTGATTTGATTTCAAAAAAAAAACCAAAATGTTGCAGAGCACACTTCGCGAGATCCAGACGATGCATCTTCTTCCATTATTGAAGGCCATTGAACTTCGATTGCGAACTCGCAAAGCAGTGAAGTTAGTAATTTCTGTATTCTTGTAATCTGTGCATTTTTCAGTATCAGACCATGGCTTCGCTGGTCTCAGGCCCTTATCTCTTTACATATGCCGTATCTTAGCTCTGTGAGTTGGTCATTTATTCATTTATTTTTTTGATGATGAGTGCGAAAAATCGCGATGCTTATTCATTTATTATCCTTGTGAGTTAGTTTTTTTGAATTCAAATATATTTTTTTTCTTTTTAAATTCTCTGTTACTTTTTTTAATTACCGAAAAAAATATAAATTTGATAAAGCGATAATTAGGGAAAAAAATGAGTTTCGTGGTAGATATTCCGGAAAAATGAAAGTTATGTTTGTTATTTGTTGAGATCTCTACTTGAAATAAGTTCAAAACAAAATAATTCCTCAAAAATCATTTTCCACCACAATAACGGCATTTAAATTATGATAACTGCGTAGAAACAAAAATGGTTTCGGTTTTTCCTATTTAAGAACCGACGTTGTAATAAATTAGAGAAGCAAATATTTTTTGAAGAAGTTATTCACACCCTTCAATTTTCTCCACACTTGCAGCTTCCTAATTTGGAGAAAGAAGTTGGCGGTTTACTTGCGTGGATGCGCTCCAGAGCCGATCACCAGAAAGAGTTGCTTTCTCTGCAAGGAAAACTTTCCATCATTTCTGATCAGGTTCATTGGAAAACTTTCTCTTGTTCTAACTCTCCAAAATTTCAGATTCAACGGCGCACAATGAAAGATGTTGTTCCTCAACAACCATTGATCATCTTTAATAATGGTTTTTTGGTTTTTTTTTTCTTCTTTTTCTAGTATGTACAGTAGAAGTATCTAGTTGAGAGATTGAGTTGAAACGAGAAAAATCAATGTATTTCTGTTTTTCAGGAAACTTGAAAAAAATATTTGGGTTTTTTTTCAAACTTTGATAGTTTTGTTGTTTTTTAACGACGAAAGCAATAATATCTTGTCAAAAATTTCACTCCAATACTTTCAATTCTTGGGCTTTTCAGGTTTGTTTCGTAGCCTTTTTTAAGGAGAAAAGTTTCCAATTTTTCGTTTAGCGAAGCTACTTTTTTGGTCGGTTTTTTTTTTTCAGTTCTCGTATTTCTAGTTCAAAACGCAAAAGATATGCGTTAGCTGATTGATGACCCGATATTCAGTACCGTAAAATATGGGTTAACTTTCCATTGTTTCGCCCTCTTTTCTCTTATCGCCGAATTATACTCCGGCTAATTTTTTTTTGGTTTGCACTCTTTTTCTTCTAGAGAACAAATTTGATGCATTCGAAAACTCGTTCTTTATCTATCTGTAGTGTTATTTTAAAAGCTCTTCGATCGCGCAGATTTTTCCTAAGCATCAACGCTATGTCTACAGTTAATAAGTTTTTCAGTACTTTTCTTAATCAGAAAAAAAAACGGATACACGTATTCAGGGTTTTGAAACAATTTGAAACTGTATGCTTTGACAATCTAATGGACTCGATACTTTCGAAGAGTTCTTGGTGACCTTGACCAACTGTTCTTGACCGGAGAAGAACGGGATAGTGTTTTTTGAAATTCACACAATAATTCTTTATTCTCCCAAGGTGGACAAAGCGAACCTTCACGTTGAATTGTTGCATAACTTGTATTTTTTTATCGTCATGAACCTGGCTTGAGTTGCTTGATTCCGTTAGATTTTCTCTTCACTCTGGTTGTGTTGGAGTAGCGACGTTGAAAACCGTTCTTCTTGACCTAAAAATTGAACAAAAAAGAGCCTAGTTTAAAAGTCGTCCTCTGTTTTCTATGTGAAAAAAAATTAATTTTATATCAATTTCAAATTTGTTCTAAAAATTCGAAAATCGAAAAAAAAGGGAGGCAGTTTTAGTAACGTCATCTCAATTTGAAATCCGACTTCCTGTTTTATTTATTTCTCGTCATATTCAATCAACTCTGTGAGAAATGTTCATTTATGGTATGTTTTTAAATTTCACCAGCCTTCATAAAATTGATGCATAATTTGAAGTTTCATTAAAACTTTTCAGGTCGTTTTTTTAATAGAGTTTTATTGAATCGCTGTAAGATAAATTCTAGTTTCCTGCTAAATTTTTTTTCCAGAGAAATTGAATTTTTTTATTATTGATTAAAAAACGTATTGAACTCCTAGAAAAATTCTTGCATTCTTACCTGTAGCCTGTTTTTTTATAAAAAATAATGCTGAAGCCCGAGCAATTTCGATTATTAGTCTCCTGGAATAAAAAAAAACATTTCCATCAGTTAAAATAAGATTTCGATTTCTCATTCATTTAAGATGTCGACTCGGATCCGGATGACCTGGAAAGCCTGGGTTCGGATGAAAGCGGCGAAAGCAGCGAAGAAGACTGGTGGGACGACAAAGAACTGAAGGGAGACGAAGGTGCGGATGGTCCGACACCCCTCAAATATTTTTCTTTCCGTTTCAGACGATGAATCTGAAAACGAAATAGAAGAATCCGACGGCGAGGACGACGACTCTTCTGAGAACGGGAATTTCGACGAGGACATGCAAGAGGCCGGCGCTTCTGGTTCCGAGGTTCGTTTTGTTTGTGGGATTGCGAACGAAATTCAATAGATGAAATCCCTCGAATTTGCTTTTCAGTCAATCAATATTTCTTCTTATTCGAGAGGATTCTGGTTCTTTTTCCATAAAAAGATGGGTAGTGACTCAAAAGATTGTAGAAGAATCTAAAAAGAGTTACTTTTGAAGCATTAAAAACTAATTTTTTTGTTTTAATGAATGGAAAGGTTTATTCCTAAAAAAATATTTGAGTTCTTGCTGTAAGGAAGTTTGAGTCACATTTTTTTCCGAAAAAAAGGAAGAGTATCAACTAAAAAGAAAAAGTTATTCAGAAAAAAATATTTTTTTGTCTCACCGAAGCTTGAAAAATAGGATCACATTGCCTTATGCCTTATGAAATTTCACCATTTTTTTTATTAAGACCTTTTTTGGTTCTCACAGAAAAGATGATATTTTATGTGAAATTTTGGCCTTGAACGGTTTCTTGACCTTAAAAAGAGAGTAAAATTTGAAAAAAAAATTGGGGCCGTTTTAAAGCGCCTTTTCACACTGATATTACTGAATCTCAGCCCCAGGCATAAATACACATAATATACCAAAGTGATAGATTCCGATTTAACTAGCCTTCTTATCTCTGGGTGTTGAGAGAGTTGTGGACAAAGTTTTAAATTGCCATACTCTACTTGGGAGTGGAAGCCGATGTGTTAGATTATAGAGAAAACTATAAGTAGGATACCATTCACTCATTTATCAACAGCTCTCCCGACTTCTTAAAATTTTTACAAATGTCGTCCTCATTTGTTCAAAAAAAGTTCTCTGGAACAATTGGAAAAAAAAGGCAACTAAATGAAATTACCTTTATTCACTAATAAAATTTGTGAAAAAAAAAATTTTCAGGACGATTCGGAGGTGGGAGATGAAGATGAAGACATGGAACAAGGATAAATGGAAAAGTTTTCTTTGCCTCAAAACATTATTTTTCAACACAAGTATTTGATCTTGTGCCTTTTAACCTTGTTTTGTTATGGTTTTTTTTCCTTTCAAAGTTTTTACCTATATATATTAATCAAGTTGAAAAATTTTGCCTTTCTATTTGTTACCCAGTTATTCGTTTAGTTATAACGGTCGTTGTTGCGTTTCTTTCATTTTGGCCCACTTGTTGAATTTGGCTGCGATGGGATTGGATATTACGGGGAACATTTATTTTTTCGGCCTTGTTGCTGGATGTAGAAGAGACGATTTTAAAGCGGTCTCACGCATTTCTTGTTTTAGGCCGCCCCAAAACTTGATGTTGTCGTGTTTTCGGTTCTCTTTTCGAATTACATATTTATTCTTCGCGATTTTCTGTATCCACTCCTACCGCGTCAACCCCCGCTCATTCTGTTTCTTCTTTCGTCATTACTTGTTACATTTTGAACCATTTGATAAAGTGGTTTTACGGTTTCCTCCGGGGTTATTGCCTCAAAGTACTTCGAACCGAGAAGTAATTTCAGTATTGGTCGCAAAAGAATTCAATTTTGCCATGAAATAAAATCACACGTGTTGAGACAAAATTACATTTATTTCAAAATCAACTTTTCATTAACCGACGTTCAATCATATTTCTTTCTCGCTCTCTTGTTTGACCTTGACCTGAAGAAAAGTGAGTTCAAAAAGTTTAGATCGGATAAAAAAACTTGAGGCAATTTTTAGATCTATCATCTTTCAATTCAGGTTTCAATTTTTTTTTTCTGAAAAGATTGAAATCTTTCAAGTTTCTGGTTCACCAGTCAAAAAACCATGCTTTTTTTGTGGAATTCCAGAAGGAAAAAAAATGAAATTTAAAACGAATGACTTTTTCTCTCTGAGGCATCTTAAGAGAAACTGTCCTTCAAACTACGAAAAAAACCAAAATTGGATGACTTAATGTCCTTAAAGAAATTCGGCGCATGCCATGATTTTTGGAAAGTTAGGCCTGAGAAATAGATTGGACGTTTGGATGAATGGTAATTGAAGGGGGAAGGAGGTAGCCGAGGCGGTTTTTCCGAGGGATGAAAGTTTTTGAATGCGACGCCAAACAGGCTGCGACATTCGAAATCGCCTCGGCCGTCGCTAATTTTAGTCCGCCTGGAATCCCATCGATCTCTCACTCCTTCCCTTCTTACTGTTTTTTTTTTGACTTGCCAAAAATCGGGAGTATTTTAGAGAAAACTTTAAATTCTCAAGGCGATTTTAAATGCGAAAACTTATTCTGAATACTACTTTTTAAAAGGTAAATATTTTGAAAAAAACATGAGGAAAAATTGGTATTTTTCCAATGACTTTTATCTTATTTTCAGAGGGATACTGATTTTTTTCATATATATGTTAGGATTTTGTTGAAACTTCAATAAGTGTCCAGAAAATCTCAGGACATACAAAACTTTATCTTATCAATTACAATCAATACTTCAAAACGTCTACGCTTCTCTGAGCGCGTTTTGAGTTTGAAGACAAGTTTCAAACCTCTGTCGATGAAATTGTATTCCCTTCAGGTAGTTCTGGTAAGAATCTGACGCTTCAAAATTTATTTAGCGCTTGAAGAAAAATGGTGGCTAGGCAGTCCTCATTCTACAAGAGAAGTTTATTTAAGCGTTTCAAAAATAAAATGAGCTCTGCTTGAAATGGAATGCTTGAAATATGTGCAAGAAAAACATGAAAATCACGATAAAATCTTTGAATGATTCCAGTTGGTTTTTACAGTAGGAATTGATACTTGCAAGCATATTCAGCCTGCTAAGATGTTTAAAGTACCGTAAAACTGAAAATGCAGTGTCAACACTTTTTTTGATTAAATTGTCTTACGATCTCTCAAACACCACAGAAACTTGTTGATGAGTCAACTAATACGGCTGACAATAAATAATTCTCAAGTTTCCCAGCTTTTTCCCATCTCACCTTGAAATTGGTTACGAAATCTAGTTATTTATGCATGACAGTTTGCGATTTGTAAGTGGAATTGCAGTTTCAAGTCTTGGAAATGTTTTGAGACGAGGAGACGGCTTCATCTTGAGGTTCATGGTTGAATTTCGAAAGTCCAAACTTCCAAACAAAGCAATTTACTAAATTGTTTTCTCATAAGTTCATTTTATATCGAATACTAGTCTTGAGAATAGACATTATCCTCAGTTCCAGATTAGTTTTCGTATAAAAAATAAGTTCTGAATTCCTTGGTTAGAGTAGTTCATAGTTTGAAGCTTTTGAAGGTTAACGGATCGTGAATAAGTGTCCGATCTCAACTTTCGAAATCTTTCACGGCTACGCTCGACTCATTCGTTGGCACAGCCTCTTTAAAAAATACAAATACCCATTTTTTGAAACTAACTCAACAGATTTCATGAAAGTCTCTTTTAAAGTTCCACTCGGTCAAACGCATAACTAACTTGAAGACTCGCGAAAAGAAAACTTGGTTTATTTAGGCCAATTGTGAAGGGTTGCTTGTATAGAAGGCCCCTGGAAGGAGTCGGGGCCAACTTGTGCAAAACGGCCTGACCTACTGAATATACCGGCCGGCGCAGCAATTTTAGTCGGCCTAGAATCGCATCGATTCGATTTCGTTCAGTTTCCACCATCCCCTCGAAATTCGGCGTCCGAATATCAAATCCGTGTCAACCCAAACGCTCCGCCCCTCATCCAATCTACAGTTGTTTCTACAACTGTTTTCTTAAGCTGATTCAAAAATCAAGTATTTCTAGGAAAAGTTTTCTTTGCTTTTTTCGCTACCGTCCAACTTTCAATTTTTTGTGTTATCCGTTTTTTTGCCAGTTCTTTCATTCTGAAGCTCAAGCTTCTCCTTTTCCTCACCTATTTTGAGCTTCTCTTCTGAACCTTGCCACATCGAAAGAGTTCACTAGCTCCTAAAAATAGTTTCTCTCACAGAAATGTTGGCAACGGGCCAGCCACACTGTCGACCAGGCCTCGCTCCTGCTCCCAACATTCCAAATCCGCGAAACGCTGGGAGAAAAAAGAGCAATCCGGTAATTTTTTCATCTCCCAGTTTCAGAAAAGTGAAATATTGTTTTTTCTGGAGGTACTTTGTTTCTATAAAACACGTTTCCTGGTTTTCTTTCAAAACTTCTTAATAGGATCTCTTAAATCAAATTCCCAGTCCTCACCTCAATTACGGTACTGTGAGTTCATTCTCAGCCTGAGTAGTTACTTTTTCTTTTTTAGAAACATTAGGCTTACTCTCAAATCTTCCGATGAACGAAACAATATTCTGAAGATACGGAGAGTCTAAAGTGGGAGGTTTTATGAATACTATGAAGTTAATATGTAGTTGATGAGGCGGTTTTGGTTGGTTTGGGACACGAAGAAAAACATTTTAACACGAATTTGCTTTTTTATCGAGAGGGGGAGGTCGAATTGAAATATCACAGTAAATAGACTAGTACTCCTTATTAAGCCTGATTTTTGCGGCAGGTTTTTTCGATTTTGACTGACTTTGTTCAAGAGAATGCCTCCAGTTTGAAGCAGTGTCTTGAATGATTTATCGGAAAAATGGAACGGATCTGGCCGTTTTCAGGTGTGGGACTTCTTCACGGACCTCAGGACTCACGGATTGGCGGGCGTTCGCTGTCGATTCTGCCACTGGGTGACCAATGACCGGAGTCCCACCACAATGAAGTTTCACCTCAAAAGGAAGCACGACACCGGTCCGTTTTCCGCTTTTTGTTCGGCTGAACGGCTCTTCTTTGCAGGACCAGGAGGACTTTGGGCCATTTGCGAGGAAAAGATCAACTCTCAAGCGCCGGCAAATTACGCGCCGCGCACCAAAAAAATGGTGAGAAACTTTTTTTTTCCCCGTCTGGCATAAACAGTTTAGTTTTCGGTTCTTGAAAAACTTACTGTAGAATCGCAGAAATTTTTTTTCTTTCTTTTTCAAATTTTTTTTCTCGAATAGAAATGAGCTATCCATTAACATTTTAATTCGTGAATCCAACGATTTGCCCACTCAGCAAGAGCCATTCAAATACTTATTGATGACTTGTTTGAACAAAGTGACGTGTAGGGCCTCCAATCGGAAGATTTGCTGATGAAAGCTTTGGCGCAACAATCCTTCGCCTTCAACCCGTTCGCCACCGCCGAAGTCAAATTACGAGGTTTTTTTTTTCGCTTTCATCCTTCCCGCCATTCGCTAACATTTGGGAACATCCAGATGGATTAGTAATATAAGCCGAGAAAAAAAAATATCTGTGACTGGCTTCTAACAAAAAAGTCATTTCACTCGAAGTTTTCGAATTCCCCGAATAGAAGGACCAATCAGCCAACTTTAAGGTACTGATCAGGCTTTTTCTATCATCTTTCTTCTCATCGAGTAAAATTTAGTAGAAAATATTTTAAACAAAGTTTTCTTTGGGAACTTTCAGAAAATGTTTCTTTTTAGCCCAAGACGACTTTTTGAGCACTCTGATCCAGCAAGCAGCTCAATATTCTGCGTCGTCACCGTCTTGTGTGAGCTTTCATAGTTTTTGATCTTCATTTTCTTCGTTTTTGTCATGGTGAAAATGAGTTTTCAGGAAGCCGGCCAGGAAAATGAATCGATAGCCTTGTCCGACTCTTTTTTCCTCGGGAAACTCAACGCTTCAGAAAACGGAAATGTGAGATTACTTATTCAAACTGGGCCATTTCGGGAATTTCAGAAGGAAGAAGACAGTTCGTCGTCTTCAGTCAGTGGAATCGCCGCCTCGAGCGAATTCCAACTCAGTGATGGCTCTAGTATTGCGGCCCTCTTGCAGGTTTTTCGATTTTCTCGAATTTAGAAAAAAAGAAAGATTTTTCTCAGATAGCGACAGACTCGGATCTGACGTTCACATTCAATGCGCGACGCGTTGGAGAGTACTGTTTCGAGTCGAATAAGAGAAATGTAAGATTTTCATTGGGCAATTAGGAGAAGAATTGAAGAAAAAGCAAAAGCTGAAATTCGAACTAACTTTTTCACACTTTTGGAAATATATGTATGAAAAGCTTAGGCTGACGTCAAAACAGTTTTTTTTATTCTTTTGAGGCATTAGATGTTATTCATTTTGTATGATATGGAAGTTCAACTTCCCAGAATCATGCTAACTTGAAACGTATGCGAGGTTGAAAAATTAGAAAAGAAAATCATTTAGGTGAGCAAATCTTGTAAAATTTGATGTGAATTTTCTATCTCCGGAAATATGTAAGACAAGCTAGTTTCTCGTTTTTTCACCCTAACTTTTGTTCTCGAAATTTTAAGACTTGACGTGTACCTCTTATTATCGATTTCTACATCTTAAATTTAGTTTACAAAGTAAATTACATCTCAAATCGAAGTCTTGGATCAGAGTTTGAGAAAAAGTTGGAAAGAGCGTCGGTAGAACGTCAGAACCTACATTTCTCTCTGGAATCCCAACATTTGCGGCTCTCTGATTGCTGACCACACATATTGGAGCTTTTTCGCAGTTATTTTCTAGCTCTTGTTTTCAATCTTGGGATAAATGAAAGAACCCTTCCTTGAGCAAAATTCAAGCAAAGACCTTGCGGCCACCAGAAATGAGTTTGAGAAATGAGAAATGAGATGAAAAATGAGATGAGAAATGAGAAACGTGTACTGATTTGAGGTTTCAGAGCCGAATGGTGGTCTTGTGCGACTGCGGCAACGAAATTCGCGTGGCGCAACGCGAGTCCGACGAAGAAGTCCGCGTGGAGATGTGGCGGAAAAGCGACTGGCTGCAGTTCACCTGGGCCGTCCGGGGCACCTGTCTTCATTTCCTCAAGTCTTAGTCTTTCTTCTACGGTTTCTCGTCTTTTTTTGAGTATATGAAGCTTCAGCCAAGAAATTTCTGCCAGTTTCCTCGGTCCCAGAAAAATCAGCTCAGAAAGTTCAGTTTAGGCATTTAGCACCAAGTTTTCAGCTTTGTTCGCTCTAAATTTTTTGGTGATGCGTCCTTTAGTGAAGAAATCTATCAACTTCTCAACTTTCAAAAGAGTACTGAGCTTGAATTCTAGGTCATTATTCCTGTGGGCTTCTTGGACTCGATTCTTCCTAGTTTTTTTTCAGTGAAATTAAATTTTGCTCCCGAAATTTTTTTTCATATCAACAATCATACACTGCTGACAGGTTTTCGAAAGAAATGTCCTCTTTGAACTAATCATCGAGTTCTCAATTAAATCTCCTGATATTCCCTGTTAATTTTATGATAAACTCTAGATAGAATCTCCTACTTTTTCGGTGACTATTCTGTTGGTAGGCCTTATCTATGATATCATATCGAATGCCTTACTCATTTAACCAATGAAGGTTCATGATCGGAGCAGGCCCTTCGATGTCAATCCCAGTGATTTTCCTTGGGTTTATAAATATCCTTCGAATCAACCACTTCAGATGTATTTACCTGTATGTATATTTATATATTCGCAGAGCTTGTTTCTCCGCCGCGCAACTTTCCTCAAAAATTATTTGTTAATCGCAAACTCCTCGCTGTTTTGTGCCGTTTCCAACATGCAATTGTTTGCTCCTTGAGAGAAGACCAGAACTGTCTTTTTTGATGCTATCATTTCTTGGAATTTCGTGTCCTGCTGAATAAACTTGACCCGAATCATGAAAATCAAAGTTTTATGAAAGCTATGGGGTTCCGTGTCTCGAGCTTGTTTGCTCGCCAAAAAGAGTCTAGGAACGCACCAACACCTGACCAATTTCTTATCAACTCTCGCCAAAAAGTTTTCCGGCTAATAATTGTCATGGAGAAAGTCAAGCCTCCGCCGACTTATGAAGAAGTTGTCGGGCCTTCGAAAAGCCAGAAGAATGGCAAGAAGCCGTTGCTTTTCGAGGACAAATGGAGCAAGTTCAGCGAGGATTTCCTCACCATCAAGTGCTTCTACTTCCCTACTGGACAATCAAAGGTTAGGGGTTTTTCAAAGATTTATTTCGAAGATTGAGATTTCAGCGCGTGAAGATTTGCGCTATTAAGGGAGTCTACTACCAGGAGCAAAAGTTCGTGGTCGACTTCAAGTGCAAAGGATGGGGAATGTCGCTGAGTCCCTGTTGGTGGGCTTGCGACATGGCAAGGTTGAATTTCGGAACTCGAAAGGATTGTATTTTGATATTAAGGAATTTGCACAGCGACAAATTCTTCAACGTGGTGATCGACAACGGCGAATCCACCTACAAAGGCTTCACCACCACGGACGTCGGCAAGTTCTTGTCTGTCATCAGACCTCATCTGCCGCGTGACGCCGTCATCAGCAACCAATTCCCTTTCTGAGTAATTTTCCTTTTCTTTCCCGGAAAACAGTTTCAAAGAAGTCGATACCATCAAAGAAGATTGAACTACGAAAAAACTTTGATTCAATTGAATGTTACCAGGTTTCGTGCAATTGTAAACTTTTGTGTAGAAATAAAATTCTTCAGGAAATGACCCTTCTTGTCTCGTGTCTATACTCAAGTTTTTTACCTCCAAGTATATTTTTGAAGGTAAGAAAAACGTCAAATTTGAGGTCAGAAACTTCGGAACAAAGTTCTTGGTGTGTTCGGCGTCAGAAATCTGTCAGAAAAAGCCAATCCTGAGGGAAAACAAACTTTTCTGCTTGTTTACTGTCAAAGTTACCGAAACTCGGCGGCACTTATGTTTTTTCAAATTTTTGCAGGTGACGAATGTTTGCCAAAGAAACGACCACAACAGTCACGTTGAGTTGGACTGAGATTTCGTCGGCTTCTTATTGAGCAAAGGCATTTATCCTTTTTATTAACTTTGACTCACATATCCATGAAGCTTAAGTTTTCAATTAAGAACTTACAAAAACGAGTTAACGATCAAAAAATGTTTCCACGGATACACAAGTTTTTGTCTTTTCCAGGAGCTCTAATTGCGTTGCTCTGAAGAGCACAAACGCCCTTCGAAAAAGCAAAAACTTGTTCAAGTTCTTCTGATTCATGCAAATTTTCGCACCTCAACTTAACTTGAATTATTGAAAGTTCTTATGCGATAAAACTGTTGAGCAAAAGTTAACAATGCACGTCTTTCATTATTAAAACCATTTTTAAATCTAAGCGCTCTAGATTCACGAGTTGTAAGTTTTTGTGAGTGAGACTTTTGAACTGCTGGGCCAAAAAATCAAAAAGGTTCATTTCACCGTTTTTTCTTCACCTGAAAGTCGTCGTCAAACATTTATGTATAAAAATGTACAATTAAAAGAGCACCGGAACATAAATACTTAAGTGCACTTGAGTCAAGCGAATTGAGGAATTGAGAATTGAAATATTGTACGTCTAGAACTTGGCGTAGATGAAGAGGAGCAAAGAACTGAGCGCGGCGATGATCGTTGAACTTCTCGCCGAGTTGCACAGGTCCTTGGTGCAGCAACACGCTTTGTCGTTGTTGTTTCCGACGCATCCGTCCCTCTGGAAGGTTATCTCATCACAATATAGAGTTCGGACTTGACTGTAGGATGAAAAAAGGCGCCTTTAATGAGATGCACCAAAAATTAACATGCAAAACTTCGATTATGAGATTGACTATAGAACCTTTTGACTTCTTTTTTTTCTTTTTTTGAGTCGAAAAAGAAACGATTCCAATCAGTATGGGCTTGCGAATGAATTGGGAAATAAAGAAGAAACAGAACGAACCACGCAAAGTTGAGCGGTTCCACAGGCACGGCCTTCAACCCAGGTCTTGTCGTTGTTGAAGTCGCGCTGCTCCAAGTAGCTTTTATAGCAGAACTGAGTTTCAATCGGGCAGTCGACCTGAATTTATCCAATAAATGTTTCTGAAAATGGGATAGTCTTTCAGATTAGGAATTTAACATATTCAGCCGATCCTTCAAGCGTTGAAAGGCAAAGAAATCTCATTTTTTGCTTTTTAGCTAACTTTCTACAGACGTTTTCTCTCACAAGGAAGGTAATTTGACTTTTTAATTGGGAATTCCCTTCAAAAAAATTGGCGAAAACACTCCTTGATGTACCAAATGAAGATCCTATAAATCTCAACCTGCACAACTTCCTCGTTTTCGAGAAAGGAGACTTCCAAGTGAGAGAAAACCTTCAAAATCCGTAGAAATTGACTAATTTTTTTTGACTAATCTTTTTTCTCTCTTATTTCTCGAAAACTAGGAAGTTTTGCAGGTTGAGACTAAGCTTCTTCTGGTACATCAAAAAGTTTTCTCGCCAACTTTTAGATAACTCTTAACCAAAAACTGAAATTACCTCCTTTATCAGAACTATTGCCACTTTTAAACTCAGATTAAATAATCATAAAAAAAACTGCGTCTACCTTTTCCCATCTCAACAATCTTATTGATCAGAACTTAGTCGTCTAATTAGTTCACCACTGCGGGCTTCTTACACTTGTTCCGTAGTTTAAAGAAAAAGATGATAACCTTTTTGAAACCTCGTAAACTCCACTGTACAAACTCAATATATTTTTCGAAAGAATGATGCCTTTTCCAAGAAATTTTCCCAGTTCTTTTATTCATTTATATCTTCAGTATTTTGTTGTCGGTCGAGACAAAAACTAACGGATTCCAAAACGAACCCAGGTCTTCATGGCACTCTTGAAGTTGTTGGTGCGTGTGTAGTCGTGGCATCGGAGAGCCCAGGCGGTCGGGATGATCAACAGCACAAACAGCACCGAAGAGGACGGAGTCATTGTTTCTGAACGATTCGCGAGTCATGGCGCGAAAAAATTAAGACAGCAGTTTTTATTTGCGCAGTTTCTTAGCCTTTACTCGTGAAAAAGGCAGGTCCAAACAAAATTGAGGGGATTCGAAGTCAAGTGCCCTCGGCACGCAAACACTTTTCCGACATACGATGAAAAAGGCGAATGAGGTTTCCAACTTGAAGCCCTTTTTAGTATCCATCAACTTTCGGTAACTGAGAATATAAAAAACTATGGAATAGAACAGAAAGCAAAAATATAACAAAAGTTGTTTTTCAATGGTTTTCGGCCAATAAACAAGCGACTGAATTCAGAAGTTTGTCTTGGAAGTTTGAAAGAAGTGACTTTATTTTTTGTTCAATTCATAGCTAAAAAGCCCGTAGGATAAAATCCGTTTCAAAAAACGGAGGTTCTATTGGGATTGAAAATCTCTTGAAGGGAGTGCAAATCAAAACTTGGCACTCAATAAAAGAATAAAACAACAACCGGACACAAGAATTGCTGAAAAATTTCGAAACTTCTAGGAGTGAACAAAGTCTGTAAGATGTTAAAAATTCGAGCTGAGGCGGAAAAAAGACGATTGGGGCACAAAATAACGAGAAGCGTGGTGTTAATCTTCAACTTACCGCGAGTTTATATGATCGGCGCGGCGGAGCAAACAAAAGTGGGCGGAGCTTGGAGCAAAAGTTGTGCTCGGCGAGCATGAAACTGTTTTCCGAGGGCTACACCCCGTCAATATTGAACCGTTCTACAAGTACTGTACCGAACATGCGAAAAACACACACATTGTTAGCTTTTTTCAGTTTTTTTGGGGCTGTGAAGTACGAAGCTATAAGCTCTCAGAGGAACTACTTCGAGGCACGAAAAAACAAAAAAAACTTTCAACAAGCGGTGTCCGCTAAACATTAATGAGGCTGAAAAAGAAGCTGGCCGTTGGTTACGTATATGTTCATATTACAAAATTGTAAATTGAATCGAAATGATAGAATATCATTACCTCAAATAATTGAAAATTGTCTTTGCAAGTAACTATTTAAAGAAAACATTTGGTTTCTGTCAAATTAGGAAAAAGCTCTCTTGAGGTTCCGAAGCCATTAAGTTGAATTGCAATTTTGACCCATTGAGTTTTTTCTCAGTTATCTTCCTGATTAAAACCTCTTTAATACGAAAAATACTCCACCTTTTCTATGGTTGACACAGTTACTTAAGATGGTTTTACGACAATGAAAACTTGTCAAAATTAGGTCTTATGAACCTGTGCCAACTGCACTAAAAACTGAAAAGAATCTCAAGAGTTCTCAGCGAATACTGGGATAGTTGAAGCTCCTTTTGGCTTTTACGGAAACATCTCCAAATTAGATTATGGCTTTGTAAAGACCGTGGCGCCACTTGTCGTGATTGGCTCTCCGAGTCGCAAAAAATCTTTTTTTTTCTCTTTTAGAGACGTAAAACTTCAATATATTCTGAATTTAGCAGAAAAAGTAACGCGTGAAGCTGAACCTAAACAAAAATATTTCAAAGCTATGGCTAGACAAGAATGGGTGGGAAGGAAAGAGAAAAAAAAAAAAGACCTATCGCATTTCCGTCTTATTTTTTCACCTCCAAAAGTTACACCTCGCACACTTTATTTTCAAAACAATATCCATTTCAAAAGTTGAGTCTTAGCTTAGTTAATAAGTGAAAAATTATGCATGAGCATAAAAAAGTCGGGTCTTTTTGATGACACAACTTTCCAAATTAGTTATTTTTTTCGGGCGGACATTGAACTACGGAAAAATGGAAGATTTTCGTAACTTCGCGAATATAATAGAAAAAAATTTTTTTAGAAGTAAAAAAATTCCAGGAAATAAAAAAATCGGGTTGATCTTTGAGACTTTGCTTTACGGCATACTTTTTTTCCGCACGCCGGAAGTTTGGATGTCAATTTTTTTAGAATTTTGAACTCTGAAAAATTTTTTTGCGAATGAAGAGATAGAATGAATAGAACGAAGCTTTAATCTGAAGCTTTTTCCAAATCTCGCAGCCTCGATTTGTTTACCATTTTGAGTATGGAAAATATTTAACATCAATATTATAATTTACAAAAAAAAAAGAAAGATAATTGCGAGTTGACGCTCGAACGAGCGCTGCTCACTGGAATGAAAATTTGATCTAGTTCTATTTTTCTCTTTTTTTTCAATAAACTTTTTCCAATAAAATAATTAAGAACAGTGTATTCACAAGATCAAGGTTTTAAAAGTGCAAAGAGGGATATCGAAAAAAGGCTCTCCGGAAGATAGTTTTTCAGAATCTGCTTATGCTGCTTTAAGCGTTCAATCAAACTGTTCAGGATCGAGTTTACCTGCTCAAGAATGCATAAATTTTGGAGAGACGTTTTAGATGAACTATAATAACAATGTACGAATGGAACACGGAGTTTGATGAATTTTTCATGTTTCTCTCCTTCGCATTTTCCAGAAAATCCACTTTTCTTTCTAGCACTTTTTCAATGATCTCGCGTCAGTCCTAATTCGAAAACATCCCTCAAAAGTTCAAAGGCCGACTTTCGGAACACGGCGTGAGCAGGCCTTTTTTGAAAATGAAGTACAGGACCATCGGAGGTATCAGATGACCAAGGGTCAGCAGGATTTCGAGCGCATTGTTGGCTTCTACAAACAGGCTGACCGTCGCCGGCCACTCAGTCGGCCCTCGAGCGTTTCTCGCGACGGCCGTTCGCTCTTTCCGGCTCCTCCTGCTCTTCCGATCAGTGCCATGATAGCCCTCGTCCTCTTCCTATCGCTGCCTCCAGTTTCTCTTCAAAACCCTCAGGATGTCCGTTTTTTTCATGAATTATTGTTTCTAGTCTTGAAAGCTGAAATTTTTCGGTTTGTGAATGCGTAAATTCGTAGGAATTGTTTTTCGAATGTTCTCATTAAGTGAAAGACCATGGATAACTCATGCAATTGTAAAATAGCAAACACAATCATTAATGGTCTCGAGGCGAGAATTCTCAGTTCTATTTGTATTTTTTGAGGTCGCATAAGGCTTACTGGCGGAAAGAAAAAAAACATTTCTCCTCAGATATTTATGGTCTGAAATTTTAAAAAAGGATATGAGCGCATAAATTGTTGAGACTCAGCATTGACCCAAAAAAACCTCTATTAAAACAAACGTGGAGAAAAAAATGATAACTGAGAACTTTTTTTATTTTTTTATTTGAAAGAAAAAAAGTTAAAATTCAACCTCATTAATTTTTTTAAGGGAAAAATTTAATTTTTTTCAGTGTCATTTCAAATTTATTTTTTTCATTTCGTAAACGGGTCTTTATAAAAAGTTTTCTTCAGTGTTAAAAAGGCCTGATCATCTGGTGGAAAGAAAAAAAGTTCCCGGAATGATATTATTTTTTTGACTTATTTAAAAGGCCCAGATCTAAAAATAGTCACTGCTCAGGCTCATAGGCAAAGCAGCAACGAAAAAAAAGTCTAAATTATTGAAAAAAATTAATCAAAGATTAGAATGTAATGATCTCTTTTTCAAACATTTGGGCGAGGAGAAAAAGAAACAGACGTCGAGAGCCCTTCTGTGTTAATGGAAAAAAACGGTCTTGAAAAAAATATGATTATTTTTAAGCCTCTTCCAGTACTTTTACCATCCGCCTCTTCTGGAATCGCAAGTTATGGATCTAATTCAAGAGTAATAACTATAAATACTTTTCCTCAACCACTTTTTTTTTCTCAGGGAGAAGAAGTTGATTCGATCGACTTGTACGAGACGGAGGCCCCTGAATTTGGTGTCGTCAACCCTTTGATTTTTCCCCCAGTTCCAACTGTTAGTTTTCATACTTTTGAAATGTTTTTTTATTTTAATTAACATTTATGTTCAGGATGGCGGAGATTACGGAGCAATTCCAGACACGCTACCTCCTCCGGAACCGACACTGGCGCCTGAGAAACCGGACAATTCCTATGCAATCAATTATTGTGACAAGGTATCAGTGATGATTATCTCCAGGGACAATAATTATGGAACTGAAGACTGAATTTCCTGACGAGTTGCTCGAATCCTATGGTCTTGCCCGAGCTGATTACTTTGTCTACAACACTTCCTGCTCTCACGTCTTCTTTCAGGTACACTTTGAAAGCGTTGATTCTGGGCTTGAACAAGTTTTTTAAATGTAACAAATTTAGCGAAACCGGGTCACAAACTAAAACTTTTCTTCGTACAAAGAGGTACAGTGATAAGCTGGAAAACCTGGAAATCGCTTTGAAAAAATCTATTGACTTTAGATTCGTTTTAATTTTAAATTATGACATTTAAAAGATCTTCTTGATTAGAATTCAGCTTTTCAGTGCTCAATCGGACAGACTTTCGTGCTCAAATGCTCTTCAGAAGATCAAGCCTTCGACAGCTCTACCGTTAACTGCAATTTCAAAAATGCTGTCAAAATCTGTCCGGAGTACGATCACGTCATGCACTGCAGTTGGTCGTTTTTGATAGCGATTATGACTCTGAATTGCAGCGGTCAAGGAGACGTGCACCGAGAACGAATTCGCGTGTTGTGCTCTGCCGCAGACCTGCGTGCACCTCAGCAAAAGATGCGACGGCCATCCGGATTGTGCCGACGGAGAAGACGAAAACAACTGTCGTAAGTATTCAACCAGATTTTGGCATTAATGCATTTTCTCAAAGTCTGTCAAATCTTTTTTAAACTAGTGTATAGAATCATAAATATTGAATTCTACAGCTTCATGTGCGAGAAACGAATTCGCCTGTGTGAAAAGCGGGAAATGTATCGAGGCGACGAAGCGATGCGATGGCGTTGCCGACGATTGTTTCGACGGAAGCAACCTCGATGAGATCGGCTGCAGCCGCAACACTAGTTCGTTTCCTTTAATCTCGACGGTTTCTATTAAAATTTTCAGCCTGCGTCGGGAAGTTCATGTGCGACTTGTCCCGTGGCGGCACCTCCTGTATTGAGTGGCAGCAGCACTGCGACGGAACTAAAGACTGTCTCATGGGAGAAGATGAAATCAATTGCCGTCTGTTGTGAAAATTTTTTTGAGCTGTAATCAAGCTTTCAGGTCAAGAAGAACGAGCCAAGTATCTTCTTTGTGAGAATCAAAAGCAGTCGGTCACGAAGACTCAGTGGTGCAACGGCGAAAAAGACTGCGCCGACGGATCCGACGAAAAATACTGCTACTAACTTATTCGTTCGTTTTTTTTTTATGTAAATAACTAATTAGAATATATTTAACATAACTTATCAGCTCACAGGGTCGAAGCTAATAAAAGATTTTTGTCTGAAGTTGAACGCAAAGCACAAAAGACAACAGCTGGAGTATTTGAGCAGCGACCGGATCCGAAGAAACGCATTTGCCACAACTGTTTCTTCAATGCTACTCTGCAGTTTTCTGTTGTTTGCCAGCATTTCCAGACTTGGCGAAACGCTGAAATGCGTTCAGTCGACGACTTATGAGGACAAAATGCTCGAGGCGCCAGTCGCCGTGGAATGTCAAGGAAAAGTTTGCGTCAAGACCATGCAGCTCTCTACACAACAAAGTAAGATAGAAAGAAATATGTCGCATTTGGATCTTAAATAATACTTTGTGAAATTGCAAGCTCGCAATCACAAATGGATCCTACTCGTGTCGAACTTAATGCTTAGAATACTCAACGCTAAAAATGATTATTTGACGGTTAGAATTCAAAAAGAACAGCTGTAAAAATTTTTTTCGAGCTGGTGATAAGAAAATAAACTTGAATTTAAAAAAAATTGCGAAACGTGCCGTCAGCCTATTCCTTATGTCAACTCATCTCGTTATTTCACCCACTACGCCAAGAACAAGTGGATTTTTGATTCTTGGTCTCTACTTGAATAAAAATAACTGAAATTCACTATGTTTTCTTTGTTTCGTCTTTCTACTTTATTGAAACTTTTCCTTTTCAATGCTAATTAAGCTAAATCTCTGATGGTTTTTAGATATTAAGATATTCCAGAAAAGAGTTGTTTAAAGCATAAATTGAGAGCTTGAAGAGAAAGGAGACTATAAATATGAAGAAATTCGAGAAAAATGATAACTGTTTTTTTTTCAAACTCGGAATGCATTTCATTTTTAATTCTTCGGAGAATTCGGAATCATAAAAATATTAGTATCCTTATCGTTCCAAATTGTAATAATTCTCCAACTGTGAACATCTGGGTGGCGACTTTATTCGTGCTCGAAACTGAAAAACGCAATTTCGAGAAAAAAAAAGTGAAACTTGTTTCAGACAACACAAAACTGTTGGCAATCCACCGAGAATGCTATGAACACGACCGATTTGGAGAGGAGGGCTGTACAGATACATATAACGGCACTAAGACAAGAAGGACGGGACCTCGACTCATCACGTGTTTCTGCAGTGAGGACTGGTGCAACTTCTGAGAAACCGACACTGATTTGTCTTGTTTATCTTTTTCCAACGGGTATGAAAATAAACTTACAAGTTAACTTGAAGTCTATCAACATTTCAAGTACTTTTTCAACACACCTTCATAAAACGTAAATCAATGGAGACTTATTTACTTTATAAGAAACGCCATTTGGGTCCGAAACAACTTCATTGTTCTGAGAACTTGATTGAAATTGAAGTTCCTTCAAAAAAGATTCTAAAACTGTGAAAAACGCATGACTCAGGAGAGTTACGCTCTGAATCCAACTCAATCGACTTTTCAAAAACAGGATGACAATTTATTCACACACATCGTTCTTATTTAATTTTTCCTTATTGGAAAAGCTGCAGCTTTCCTTTCTTTTTTTTCTTCTTCACAGATTCTCTAATTTCAATGATCAGTAATTAAAATAAAATTTTTTTTCTCAATTCCTTAACGGCTCTGACAAGCACTATTACGAAGTGAAAAGATTTTCGAGAGGCAAAGTGTCAGAAGCTGCCGATTTCGGCTGATCCAGGAGGAATAAGCTCGAATTAGGGGTTGTGGGCGGATGCGTCTGCCGCCGCTTATCAGTCTCTTTCCAATGCTTTGGATTTGGACGCTGCTCGGAGCCTTGTGTCTTTTGACAGAAAGCTCTCGGATCCTGATCTACTCGCCGCGAATGATGCAGAGCCACGTTAACTTTATGACTAGACTTGCAAACCTCCTTGCCAGTCGCGGACACAATGTCGTTTGTTTTTTTTTATCAGTGAGAAAATTTATTACAGCTCTTCATAGTAGATAGTAGGAATGACTTTTTTCAATCCAAATGAGGCTTCACTAGAAATTGAAACAAAGTTTTTAGACCGTAATCGACAGTATTCTGCGATACGATATTGAACATGGACTATCTGAAGACGTGGAGGTTTTATCAGTTCCGCAGGTAACAAAGTTTCAATTAAAATGTGAAAATTTTCTTGTTTGAATGTGAATGAAAAAGAGAAAGCTGTTTTTATGTAGTGACAAACGTCCTCAGATTATAGAGTACGTACCTCACGGAATAATAGCCTGCTGTACTTTCTCAAGGTTGTAATTTTTGAGGGAAAAGAGGTGGAGAAGCAGCTGAAACAAGGAGATGTCGCGAAAATATTGTGGGACTCACAGCCAACGCCAGAAGATCAAAGAAAGGTCAATCAAAAGAAGGAGCTTCATTGAAGAGAAGAGAAAATTTGAGGTGATGAACGGACTGGGACAAGTGCACAGAGAGCAATGTCTCTACTTGACACGGCAGGACTTTATAAAAAAGTGGAAGAATGTTCACTTTGATATCGGAATACACGAGATATTCGACACTTGCGGAATAGGTTTACTTCGAGTTGCTTCCGAAAATCTCAAGAAAAATAATTAACAGGAATCATGGCAGCAATTGGCGTGAATAAAACTGTAATCGTGTCATCGACAGTAATGATGGAAGCGGTCGCTATCGCCATCGGACACTATAGTCCAATCCAAGAGCCTTGTAAGTGTTATAACCTTGTAAAACTCATCAACTTCTTCAATTTTCTCAGCCCTGCTGTCGGATTATGGAAACAATCTGGGCTACCTGGACCTCATTCGCAACTTGAAGTTTCATTCGGCGTGGGCCCACTTCTTCGAAATGCAAAGCAAGCTGCAGGAGAAGACGTTCAAAGAGCTCTGGGGAGTTAGACAGACGTCAGAGGTTTTTTTTCTATATACATTAAACAACAAAAATGACTGCAGGATCTAATAAGACAAACAAGCGCGGTCTTTGTCAACACGGACCCTATCGCAGACGCTCGAAGGAGTTGGAGCCGAGAAGTTTATGACATTGGTGGCATTGCAATAGAAGATACAAAAGAGCTTCCAGAAGTATTAGTGTGGCCGGAATTTAAAACCTTTTTTCTCAGGAATACCTAGAACTAATTTCTAATTGGTCAACGATAGCATTGGTCTCGTTCGGGACAGCTGCTCCGTCGTACAGAATGTCAGAAACCAAGAAAATATCACTCCTAACAGCATTTTCAAACTTCCCTGACGTTCTTTTTATTTGGAAATATGAGAAATCAGACGAATTCTCCACCCAAACACACCCTAACGTCGTTTTCCGTGCTTTCATACCGCAGAACGATCTTCTAAGTTGAAATACATTCTTCAAAAAATTGTGATGAAAAAAATTCAGATCATGAGAAGACGAAGCTTTTCATTTCGCATTGCGGGCAAAACAGTATGCTGGAATCATTGAAAGCTGGTACAGAACTGCTAACTGTTCCCATGTTCGGAGATCAACACAGGTTTGAAAAGCGATTGAATCATTGGAACCTTTTCCTATGAAGAAATGCTCGCGCTGCGGAAGAGAACGGGCTCGTCACGAGAGTCGAAAAAAACGACCTGGGCAACTCGAAAAAGCTCATTAGCAAGATCAAGCTAATACTCGTGCATAAGAAGTCAATATAAGTTTTTCGAGTTATTTCAAAAAAAAAACTTCCAGAAACGAAAAAGCAAAACTGACGGTTAAGCGGAACCTCGAAATGGCGATGAGCTCATCCAGGGATCTTTTCGTGAGACAGATCGAGAGACTTATCGCGCTGCCTAATCCACCTAACTTTGTTAATTACCCTCGTTATTACAGTGCAGACAGTCTTTTAGGCATTTATCATCTGGGACTCTATGTTTCCGCGTTTCTAACTCTTTTTATTGTTGCAAAAATAGTGAAATGCGTGAAATAGCTTTGCATTTTTTATTTCCACTTCGCCTTTGAGATGTGGGCTCTTCTCACAGCTTGGTATGAAATCCAACTTCCTTTTTTTTTAAATAATAAATAAACTTTTTTATTACAACCCCTATTAAGAAAGAGAAAGTGGCGTTACAGGTTCTTAATGGTCGCTCTACTATCCGTAGTGATGTTCTTGCGGTTGACTTTCTTTTTGTATTTATTAATGGGACTTCCGCTAGGATTAACGATATCTTTCTACTTGTTTAGAAACTATCAGGTCAGGGGATTATCTGTAAGGAACACATTACGCTCCGGTAGAACTCCAAAAATTTTCAGAAGCAAAGATTCTTCTCGGGATTCAGAATAGGCGGTCATCGAGGATCTCCTCATCATGCTCCAGAAAACACGATCGCTAGCTTTCAAAAAGTTTGCTTGAGAAAATGTGGAATAGTGTGTTACGAATTAATGATAGTTTTTTGAAAATAGAAAAAAAAATTTGCAAATTTTATTTTTGCACGTTTAGGCTAAAGAAGAAGGCTGTCAGCTTGTAGAGTTCGACGTCCACGTCACAGCAGATGGCGTACCCATAGTTATTCACGATGTCACAACTTGTAAAATTCATTATTCAACTTTTAAACTATCACATAACAGATCGAACATCTAATGTGAACAAATGCGTCTTAAAAACTTCTTGGCAAGACCTTCGAGACACAAAGCTGAACAGTGTCAAGTATGCATTTTCTTTTCTTTTTTTTCTGAGAGTCTTAAAGAATTCCAACGTTAACACTACTTCACAATAAAAAGATCCGAAAAAGGTTTTTTCTTTCCACAGCAACATCGGAGGAAGTCTAGCAACGTTGGAAGAAGTAGTGGATTGGTGCAAGAAAAATGATATGAAAATGCTATTTGACGTGAAAGTAGCAGAAGAAAGGCTGCTCGGGAAGATAGCAGAAATATTTTCCAAAGAGAGACTTTACGAGACAGCGATTGTGTCGAGCTTTAACCCTTTGGTTCCTTATCGGCTAAAGCGCATAAATCATCAAATATTGACAGGTAATATGAAAACTTCAAGAGAAACAGTCGAACAGACTTCAGGGTTGACCTTGGATAGGTCGTACTACACATACGAAGACGACGACCGCAAGCTTCCGTTCGCATCAAACTCAATATATCATTGGCTCAACAGCTTCTGGGACGATTTGACTTTCATTAGTAATTGCATATTATCGGGAGTCAAAAAATTTTTTTACAGCCAGTCGAACTTATTTGATGCCCCGATTTCTAGGCGTTGAAATGCTTCTTATTAATTACAAACAAGCCGACGAGTAATATTATTGAGTATTTGAGAGCTCACTTAAATATTAAGAAGGACAATCGAAGATGCGCGCGATAATGGTATGGAAGTGGTTGTCTACACCGCAAACTCCGAAGCCGTTATTGGTTGGCTCTCTACACTTCCTGTATCTTTTCTCACAGACGTGCCTTTCAACGTGAACCATACAAAATTGATAAAGCCTTAAACCATATATCTATATCAACATCTACATACTTTTTTTTCCTGGAAAATTTTCGCGAAAAACGGTAACCGGATCAATGAAGAAACGTATGAAAGCCTATGAAAGATTGAAAATAACCTAATAAAGCAAAACTCATTCAGTCTTTTTTTTTATCGCTCGATTTCAGCTATAAAAAAAGCAGGTATTCTTAAACACATTCTTAAACAACGCTAACATGCTTCTGAGCTATAGAAAAAAAGTCTTAAACTTAAATTTTATTATATTTCCAGACATCAAAAAAACCTCTTCTCCTTTCTTCCGACTCTATTTTCTTTTTCTTATTTAAAGATTGGAAAAAAAGTAATTTCAATTGTAACAAATAGTTAATTATTAAAGAAAAATTGAACATTTTATGCTGAAGATTATTGTATTTTTTTGAAACTTGTTTTTCAAGGTTATACCCATGACGATCCTCATGAATTATTACAACGAAAAAATACCTTGCAAAAAGACATCAAAATGTCAAAAAACTTGTTTCGGGTCTCTATTGTTACGTAGTTGTCTTTCGACCGGCTGCGAGTGCCTGAAAAAATTTAGTAATCCCGATGATCAATGAAAAAAAATCATGAAAAGGGATAAATGTAAAAAACAAAAAATCAAATCAAACGCACCAACGTCCTATCCACATCAACTGTGATATATTCAATGTCAGAAGGTGTGGGACTACGTGTAGAACTAGCTGCGATGTTGACTTCTTGAGGCTCGAAGTAGTCCAAGTTACGCCGTTTTCCAATGACGTCGACAGACTGGAAAGATATATTAAAAGTAAATAATAAATACCTAATCGCCTAATCGTGAAAAAACCTACGTTAGCTCTTGTAGAAACGTATGCGGGCTTCTGTCGGATAGAAATCTCGTTGCTCGTATTTCTCGTTAAACTGTTGCTCCATATTCTGAAAAAACGAACATTTAAACGAAAAAATCCATGCTTTCTATAGTTTATTTTCGGTGGAACATAAATAACCGTCCTTGTGAAAAAGTTTCACGAAATTTGGTAGAGTCGGATAGAATTCGATTTTCGCGAAATAATTCTGAGCACGGCGTAACGGATCTATATACCGTACAGATTCAAAATCTCAGTCATTCTGAAAACGCCGAAAAGCTTTTCGAATAGTTTCGTGAAGCGTTCTACTTCTCTGAGAACTTTGGAAATGTATAAAATTTTTATTATTTCGAAATTACCATAGTCTTTTCTCATTTGATTTTAAATTATTTACAGTATTAATAAATATTTTTTTAAATGTATTAATGACGTATTCATCGAAAAACGAAACTTGTTCCAAAGGGCATCAAGGTTAACGCAAGATAATTGGCGGTATAGCGACAAAATTAACGCTAGATCGCGACGAAAAACCTAGCAGCGCTCTTGCAAACATCAGAGCGACATGGCGGCAATATGGCAAATTTTAGATATCTTAATTCTTCGGGATAGTGCTTTTTCAAAATTTCTTTTCAATTTTAATTGGATATGAGGCTTCTCTGTTGCCTTTTCTCAACTTCTAAATGACTGCGCAACTATACTTGCATTTTTTTTTATCAGTTGCTTTCCATTCTTCTCACAAGTTTAATGAATGCAACGTATATATAACAACTTTCTATATCACGTATTCTATTTAAATGTGAAAGAGAAAAGAATGAATAACTGAATAGTGCCACCAGAAAAAAAATGTTTAAGAAAAGCGATGCCGCGGCGAGAACTGTGCTAAATCACGACAAGAGCAATAAAATTTAGCGAAAAAAAAGGCGAAACTGGAGTTACGGAAGCCCTTATTGAAAATAGGTTCTAAAACAATAAATAGCAATATATCCATTTTTTTAAGGCGACATTTACGGGCGAGTTCAAAACTTCTGCTGAAAAAGCCCTAATTTCAAATGTTTGAATACGCACGTATAAATAAAGTGTCGAGTTAGAAATCGCCAAAATTACTTTGAACACATCTGATGAACGGCGTTACGCAATATTGCAATGAATGAAATGTTGAAAAAAAAACAATTTAAAAAATGTATCATTGTAGCAAAGTTGCGCTGCCGCGAAATTGCCTGCGCATCAGCTGAATATTGCACAGCCTACAGTAAATCATCAATCAGGATTATTCTCTTTTTCCAATAGCCAAATGATTGCTTTTGTTATTTTGTTAAATTTTTTTTATGGCGTGTTCAAAGTAATTTCCGCGAAATGCAAAAAGTATTCTGATTCTCAAAAATTCAGCTATCTTTCTCTTTCTCTGACGGCTATTTTGAATTTCACGGAACCACTTGAAACACGGCATTAGTGTCATCACCTTTTCCATAAGTTATAAAACGACAGTGCAGAGAGAGTAATTTTCGAAACTTTTTTTGTTATATCATATAGAAGACTGTTCACTATATCAAAAAAATTTCATATTAAACATTTTGCTCTTTTCCTTTTCAATTGAAAAAAAGCAAATGAAAAAAATGACTCGCGCAAAACGCCAACTTCAGCATTTACTTCATTCATTGAAAAATTAGACCAATTTCATAGATAATTCAGTGAAATTGTAACTATATATCTCTGATTCTTCAAGCTCATATTTCGCACTCTGACGGCGATTTTAAATTTCGTGAAAACACGGCTTCAGATTTGCATCTATGTATCAATTTTTGAAAACGATCTCTCGCCCAGTAATATGGATTATGATGCATTGAGAAAAAAAAAAACGCTATGTCGCCTGGGAGCTACGAGCAATATCGCACAGGCGCGCCTTTTGCGGCAACCTCGAAAATATCTTGCTTTTTTCGCTCTATATCTAATCTCATTTCGAAAAAGTTCTTCTTCATTTTTGATTCATTTCATCATGAAAGTCGAAAAATAAATCGAAGGAATGTTAATACTTCTAATTTAAAATTTTTGATAATCTATATGTCAGCGAGTTTTGGCTGAATTGCCTGCATCCCGCTGCGATACAGTCAGTTAATTTGGGGTCTCCCAGAGTATTCTTTTTGATCTTTCATTTACGTTTTAGTTGAATTTTTTCCCAGTTTTTCGCCGTTCTAATTGTTTTTCTACTTTCATAATGACTTTATACTAGCCGATTTTCCTAGCAATCCTTCAATTTCATGCCGTGTTCAAAGTAAGGTTCGCGAGGTGAAGAATTATCTTTTACTCTTCAAAACTTGGTTATCTCTCACTCGCTGGCAGCCATTTTAAGTTTTGAGGAATCCCAACACGGCATTACTTTTTTTGTCGTTTTGTTTTGTTTCGCATTATGAACGATTTATCAAATTTTCTCTATTTTTTTTTTAGCTTGAGGTATCATCGAAAATGGCTCGCGGACCGAAGAAGCATTTGAAACGTCTCGCAGCTCCAAAACATTGGATGCTCGACAAGCTTGGTGGCGTTTTTGCGGTCCGACCTAACCCCGGACCTCACAAACTTCGCGAATGTCTTCCTCTCAATTTGTTCCTGAGAAATCGGCTGAAGTATGCTCTCACCTACTTGGAAGCGAAGAAAATTCTCCGTCAGCGAATTGTGAGAGTCGACGAAAAAGTGCGCACGGATCACAAGTTTCCACTAGGATTTATGGGTTTTTACCGCTCTTTTAAATTACTGTTTTCTAATATATTCCAGATGTTGTTCGTATCGAACGCACAAATGAATCTTTCCGTCTTCTCTACGATTCCAAAGGTCGGTACACTGTGCATCGCATTACACCAACGGAGGGAACTTTCAAACTGTGCAAAGTAAAGGCTCTCCACACCGCTATTAACGCCGTTCCATACCTCACGACTACAGATGGACGTACTATCCGTTATCCTGACCCACATGTCAAGGTACCTCCATCTTTAGTCCACGCTTCAAAAATTTGTATAGGTGAACGACTCGATCGTGTATGACTTGAAGCATAACCAAGTTGCTGATTACGTCAAGTTTGAGCCTGGAAACTTGGCTATGGTTACTGGAGGTCGAAACGTTGGTCGTGTTGGTGTCATCGGTCATCGAGAAAAGCTTCCTGGTGCTCTCGATATCATCCATATCAAGGATTCTGCGGGGCACTCCTTTGCCACCAGGTTCGTATTTATTGCAAGGAGTTAAGAAGGCCGGGGACCGCGATGGTCGTAAAATTCCGGTCGAGGTTGGTTTAAAATTAGTTCGAGTTGATATTTAGAATCTCCAACGTTTTCGTTATTGGAAAGGGAACTACTTCGCTTGTTTCTCTCCCAAGTGGACGTGGTATCCGCCTCACAATTGCTGAAGAGCGTGACAAGCGCTTGGCGCAGAAGTTCAATTAATATTTTGTTGAATAAAGTTGTTGATTCAACTCCGCGTTATCCTACTTCTTTTTCCTCCGGTGGTCGTCTTCCAATCGTAGATTTGCGGGTTTGTTAGAGCGATCGACTGGTGGTGGAACTACGCCGTTTTTGGTACTAAATTAAGAAAGGTATTGAAACCAGCTTTTTGGAACTCACTGTTTGAAATCTGTGCTCCTCTCAGAGAGTTCTTCGTTCGAGTTACGGTCTACGTTGCTACTGGAATCGCTGAAAGCTTAACCTATTCAAATATTTCGTAGTCTTACTATTTTATAGTTTCCCCACTGCTTTCATTCTCTTCTATTACGTGTCCGTAGGACGATATCGGTTTGTTCAGGATTCTTCCACCGTCCATCTGAAATTTCAATCTTCCTAAACGTCCAAAGGTCGCAAATACTTACTTTGATGCTTAAAATTCGTTCAGATGCGGTTCCTCTCGTGGGGCGTCCTCTGTTTTTACTGGATAGTCTTTTTATGTCGCGTAAAAAATTTACCTTGGTGGAACAGGTGGTCCAAATGGTGCGCTGACGCAGCTTGCGCTGTCATCTTCTGTAGTCATATTTCTTCTCGATGACCCAAGTGAGGAACATCCAGAAACCGATGCTGTTTCATTAATCCCGTATAATTCTGGAGTCCTTGTTGTGGTTGGGTTTGGTCTGTTTTATCTTTCACCTGAACGAGCGCCCAGGTTTTGTTCTCGTGGACCAGAACGGCTTATTGAGGTACTGCTGAAGTTTTGAAGGTGTAAATAAGCTTTTCTCTCGTCTATCTGAAACTATAAGCTTCTGGTCGTATCTTACGACATTGTCTGTTAATATGTAAAGCAATAACATGATGGAATTTACTCTTCTATGGTCCGTCGGGATTTCAGTGATGGGATCAAGCGATTCAAAAAGAATTTTCCGATGCAGAAAGTTCATTCATCAACCCAGCCGGAACGCGATCTGAATATTTTTTTATGTAGAAAAAAAGTTATATTTTTTTCAGCTCGAAGAGTTAAAATCAATTTTTTTAAATACCTATTGGTTCCAGAAATTCTAAAGAGTCTGGTACAGAGGAGCCGCCAAGAGGTTCCAGAATGCAAGTTTTGCAAATTTCGTCCACCCAGGTTTTCATGGTCTGAGTTTTTTTTTTGGTTTTTCGTCACTGAGTTTATTTTTTCTTACATCTTCTGAGTCTGCGACGAAATAAAGCTCTTTCTGACTCTCATCTCTTGTCAAGCTTATCGAAAAAATCCATTGAAAGCTACGGTTTCCCGTGCCGCAATTGAGAGATGGATCGCTCAGGGTTAGGTGAGATTCCACCTGGAACGTGATAATCTCAACATGAAGTTCAATAAGAAAAAATTTAATCTGTTATTATGTAATATTATCTCACATTTATCTCCATTTCATTTCAACTCAAAAACTTACTTTGGAGCATTGGTCAAGGTCATAAGTCTTAATGATGCGACTTTTCGCTTCACTTTTGAATTCGAGCAGAACGTAGGAATCGCTCCGAGAGTCTCTCTTGTAGAGAACCATGTACCTGTTGCACCATTTCGCCTAAATTTAAGTAATGTTCAGCGTGAAATTATTCAATGAGAAAAGGATTCTTTACAATGAGAAACTGACACTGTTACTCATAACTTTTTAATCTTTTTTTTTTATCGAAAAGGACGCACCCCTAAAACTCTGGTTCTGCGACACCGCTTAAGTGACCCCTCAGCGATGATGTTCTCGGGAATAATTCGCATTTCTGAAGTTATGATTTGTGAAACAAAACCGACAGATTGAGCCAGATTTAGATGAGCTTTTGAATTGCAAGGTTGATCCTTTCCAGTTCAACCTATATGAATACTAAATTTATAAAATAAAGAATTCTAAGAAAAAAATATAAAAAAACATGAGCTTCCGATAAACTGGTCAAGAAATAGAATGAACTAATCAATTATTAATACCGTTTTTTCATAAATTTCAACTCATTCGTCCATATTAAAAGTATCGCGAAATCAACAAATCGGAGTAGTTACTCATTAGAAAATAGAGGTCGAGTTATTAAGAGAAACGTTTAATAATGATTGAATGAAGGTTGATAATAGAAGAGTGGTAGAACCTACGGGTGGAAGCGTTGACGAACGAGTGCTTAGAGAGGCTAGTGGCAGTGGAGGTGCAGAGAAAGGGGACAAGGTTTAGGCAGGCATTACTACATGGCGTCCGTCGCTTCTTTCTCACTGTATTGTGTAGAAATTATGGGATGTTACGATCGAACCTGGGTCGATAGAGTTGGTTGACGGGTTTCCCAGTTTAGCTCCGCGTTCCTTTTCGCTGTGCGCGTTTATTGCATCGAGTCATAGGACAGCCAGTACCAAGACGAATGAGTTGTAACTGAGATCCTCTTGCCCAGATGGCTTCATATGACAAATACATCTCTTTTACGATTTCGAAAATGTGTAAGAACTTGAGTTTCTCTATCACTTCTAGTTACCTCTAAGCGTAGAAAAAAGGTTCGAACGTTTTTGCTAGTGGACAGTGAAATTCAGAACTCTTTTCCTAATTGGACTTATGGAAAGTTTGCCTAAAAAAGAATGCAACAAAAGTTGAGGAACACAGTTTTCACTATAAATTTTAAGTGTGAAAAAAAAAATAGATTAAAGTGTTTTTCTAACCTGAATTTATCTGCTAAGATCTGTGAGTTAAAAAAAATTCTATTACTGTATAGCTTTTGGCAGAGTTGAAGTGAAACGAAGGAAAAATTTTGAACCTCAAATATCGTGAAAGGGTATCGCTATGAGGCATATCGAAGGGTCTGAAGTCTAACGATGGTATCAAGAGTATACCTCTGCGAAATTCAAGCATTTTTTAAAATTCGAGAGTTCGAGATAGACGAGATACATTCTCAAACACCTGCTCTACCAGGGCGGTGCAAACACTTTTGGAGCTCAGATAGAGCTGAACCTGTAGGACACACGGACATATTATTCGATACACATGATCCATTTTGAGAGGTATTCTCGAGGAAAAATTATAGTATATTCTCGATTCTTTTGTGTTGCACGATTTCCAAAAATAAAAAAATGGAAGTAATAAAAAAATTTTTTTATGCACAAATTTCTTATAAACATAATCTCTTTATAAACTGGGAAATGAGGTAATAGAATGAGTCTAGAATGGTTTCTCGGCGAGGAAAAGGTTCCAGTTGTGGTTGTCGTCGGCGATGTAGCCGAGTTTGTCGCCCCAACCACGGACCAGCGAGTCGTATTCTTTTTGCGAGAACTTCTGCAAAAATCTTTCAAATTGAACTGAAGTAAATCTAAATGAAACTAGTTTTCGTTTTCAAAATCTGCCATTTAAAGACAGAAAGGAAAAATGAGAAAAAAAAAAATGATATCTTTGAGCCAACATGAACGTTATCACATCAATGGGAAAGTTATTTTGGAACTGACAGTTCAAACCTGTTTTTTATTCAATTTTTATTTGAGCAGCTTGGTTTTCAAAACACATCTAAAACTGACGGAAAGGAACTCCTCCTTGTTGTCCTCGACGCGGGACCGCTCCTCTCCCAGGATCTCCTTGAACCTTCCCGTCAGATTCTCCGTGTAAATGTTGGTGAACCCAGTCTTCTTGGCGATCTGTCAAATGAGACTGAAATTGACTTCAATATTTTCCCACAGACTTCTTCAATCTGCTTCAGATTCTTCAGGAAATAGTGTCTCTGGGCGACGTAAGCCTGTGAACCACAGCCGTAAAAAAAGCCTTTCTGCCAGGAAAAAAAACCTTGAACTTCTCGCTGAGCTCTCCGTAGCCACAACCATACATGGTGATCAACACCTTGCCGCCGGGTTTCAAGGAATCCTAGGACAAAACTTTCGTATACCACAAAAAGAAAGGTTATTCGAAACATAGATCCTGGAAAAGAGGAGTTCCGTGTCGGGAATATGCTGGATGCAATCGCGAGAGAAGACGTAGTCGAACGAATTCGGCACGAACTTGTACACCAGCGCGTCAGTGATCGAATATCTATGAAAGAAACGGTGAAAAGCAGAGTTGGTGAGAGGAATAACCTGACGCGAGCGTCCTTCTCCTTCTGAACTCGCTCCAAAGCGACGGCCAGCATGTTCGACGACAGGTCGATGCCTTTCACGTGCACTCCAAACTCCTAAATACGTTCTGAAGAATTGAAATTGGACAGGAGATAACTTTTCTTTGACAAAATTAATGAATAAGACTCATTCAGAACTTATTTCGGAACAGCAAATCAATTATGGATTCATTGCGGTTCTCAAAAGTGTCAGTAGAAATGATTCTCAACGAGACCAAAATAGATTTTCTCTTCCTAAGATGGCTAAAGTTTCATCTAATTTCTGCCGAGCTTGGAAGAAAAAGCTCAGTTCAGTTTGGCTCCAGTTCATTCGGAAGGCTCGCAGATAACTTTTTTTTTATGGATTTATGAGAAAGATTCCTTTTTCGACTGGAAGAAATGGAATGAAACGAAATCTACAAAGATCTCTTTGAGGCACTTTTTTCGATACGACTATGATATTTAAAACCAACAATAATTCATCACTTTTCTCGCTGGAAAATGTTCAGAAAAATGGAAGAAACTTGTACGAACATTGGCAACTTGACGGGCGCCACCGCCGATTCCGACGCCGATGTCCAGCATCGTTTGTCCGGCACGCAAGTCTCCGAATCGCTTGATCACCTTCAAATTCTCTTCGTAGCCTCCTGTAAAGTAGGAGTTCTCATTCTGAAAATCTACATTTTCCAAAACCAGGAGAGATGAAGTTGTCGCCAAAAATCCACTCGTAGGCGTAAATGCCCGTGTCGGTGTACTGGGTCTTGTCAAGGAAGTCTCTGGAATACGCGATTTTCAAATATGTTTCGAGAAAGATACAACCTGAAAGTGACATTTTCACCGGTCGTCTGTGGGAACTCTTTCTTGGTGAATGACCAGTAGAAGTCGAGCCAGTTTTGGTGAGCCTGAGAATATTTTTGGTTCTTCTTTGCGGTGGCCCGGCCTCACACTCCAAGGGTTCAAAATCTTTGCCCAACCAAGATAAATATATCATTCAGATGTTAAAACGACGACAAGAATTAAAACGGTAGATAATAACAGAAAAAAATTGAAGTTATGTCATGAAAATCCGTAAGCTTGAAAACTTCTGTTTGGGGAAAAGCATAAACGAGTTTCATGGAAGGTTTGAAGCGAAAATCTTGTTTCAGGCTATTCAGAACCTCTGCGCTTTTCGAAAAATCAGAAATTCAACACAGCAAATTGAACTGAAATTATTGAAAAAGCAGCTCGAAAGACATCCTTTTTTCTGTATAGTCTGTTCAGATTTTAAATGTCAAGTCGCCGCTGAAGCTCCGCCCATAATGGTGCAATAAACCAATCAGAGAGCGAGCCATCCACAGAGTGTTTTTGAACGACGTCATTGCACTTGACATTCAAAATCTGAACAGACTATACATGAATTCGTGGCTACACAACTCATGATTCTCGATTTTTTCTCCCGGAAAACTGACGTAGAGGGAGTCCTCGACTTCCTCGACGGCGTACAGCTCGAGGCCCGTGTTTTTGCCGTCGACGGCGACTCGAAAAACGTCGAAATAGTCAGTCAGACGGGCGACCTGCTTGCCGTCTTGCGCATCCTCTGCAAGACTCGAGTTTCTTTTTTGATTGAAACTTCTGCTTTCCATTTCGAGCTCTTCGTTTTTCTTTTTATAAAAAGTCGAGTGTTAATTTCGTCTAGTGGTGCACCTTGTGCAAAAAATTGCGAAGCCAGAAAATTCATAACAAAAATGTATCTTGTTTTACGTAAAGCTGAAAAAATGAAAACGAAAATAAATATTGATCTTCTGTTCCACTTCAATTGTTTTCCACTTTTTTTTCCGTTTCTCAAACTTTAATTTCAAACTGAAACTCACTGAGATCTTCTCGAACGATGACGACGCCACCGAATCGGACCGCCTTCAAGGCGCTCTTCACGAATTCATCCAGCTTTTCCGGATGATTGACATTCTGAAAAGCTTTAGAAATGAAAGCTTTTCGGGTTGATCTGTGGAATATTCAGGGCTTGTCAAGTTCTTAACTCCTGTTGATGTCACAAACAGTCCCTTGAGCTGCATATTTCTGCACGGCAGATGGTGCTCAATTTCAAACAGATTTGACCGTGAAAAAAATGAGAGCTTTCCAGGTTGGCTCAGAACTCTACACGGATTAAAACAAATGTTTTTTTTTGGCGAATATGAAGATTTAGAGTTTCTTGTTGCAATAAGTTTAAGGTATTCCTGATAATCTTTTTAAACCTACTATGAATATGTTCTAAATTTTAATTTAGAGTTTTGGGACACGTTTTCCTACAGCTAGTTTCTGTTTGAATGTTTCGAAATTTGGCGCAATTTTTTTTATTCATGGTGAGCAACTTCATTAGAAATCAGTTTCGAGTGCAAGGCTCCATACTTTTTTTTTCCAAAAATTGTTTCCAAAAACTTTCTTTTCGGCACGCGCCACAACGTAATAATCAACAAAAAATTGCCTTATCGATAAGAAACTTGATTCATTTTCAGAGAGACGATCAATTGATAACAATGGCATGTTGCGGCCTTTTTTTGCGATCTGAAAACGTCCTTTGGTCAAATCAAATCGGTCATTTCCCCCTTTGATCGAACGATTTTTCTGTCTCGTAACACTCCGAAATTGCAAAGTACGACATTTTCTCGTATCGATGATGCAAGAAAACTTTCGCAATTGATTGGGGAAGTACCTTGGAAAGGGCCTTGTTGGCGATGAGGATGTCGAGGTCCGACAGACCGGCGAGCTGCTCGACGTCGTTGTGCGTCGACACGTTGACGTCTTCTCCCAAAGCCTCAACGAATTTCTTCCTGAAGTCTGGCGGAAGTGAGTTGCTCGTGAATGAATTTTTGATTATAATCTGAAGAAAATGCTTTCGAAATCTTCAGCTTTTGATGTTGGCTCTTCCCATTCCGTGTGATTTTCCACGCCCATCTGTCCTTTTCAAATGAGAAATCACAAACCATTCTCAACGATGACCTTATCAAGAAGCTACTGACTGAACTTCGGCAATAAAAAAATTTTTAATTTGGAAAAAAAGTTTATTTTTTTAAAAAGTTTTATTATTCCGTGTTCATGAAGGGAAATAAACCAATAGGTCAAAAAAATTTTTGAATCTCTGGGAAAAAAATTTCCGCGTTGGAGATCAAAAAAATCGTTTGATGGGGAAATCATTTCACCCAAACTTCCAAAAATCTCGAAAGTTCATAAAAAAACGATGGAAAGTTGGGTGAGAATCTCGAAAAAAATATAAATAGTATAAGATTTTTCATGAAAGAAGAATCAAAAATAAGTTAATTAAAACGCTTCGAATTTTTGGGTTTTCAAGAAACTTCGGGACTTGAGGGAGGTGGGAAATTATTTATTTCTTTTTTGAGAAATACAGCTGAAAGTTTATCATTTTCTGGCGTCTCACATCAAAAAAGCTGAATCAGTCTCAAAAATCCTCAGAATGACCTGATCTTCTTGTCAACTTTCTGAATTTTGGCCAAGCTTTTGATTTTGACTTCTAATTTCTCATTCGTCTGAAATTAATCAAAGAGTAATTTCCCTAGAAATGGTGCTCCGTCGCGAAAAGCACTCACGCAGCTTGGTCGTCGACGGAAACGACGGCGACGGTGGCGACGCGATGGCCGTCGAGAAGACCTCGGACGGTGGAGACGATTTGCCGCTCTGCAGACATACTGGCTGGTAGAATGGCGCACCGGCGGCCTCCCCTATCACTCATTTCTTTTTCGCTCTACCAGTCCCTTTTTTATTGCCGCTCATCATTTGCCAGGTTTTCAGTCCAAAAACTGTTTCGACAGCTGCAAGAAAAACAAACAGTCTGTAATCAACGCCTTTTTTAGAAAAAACTTTCAAAAATGAGCCCTGGGGTCATACGAATCACATTTCGAGAAACAATCCGAATGGACTTTCAAACCTTTAATTGATGTGCGTCTGGTAAGATCTCGCGTCAACAAAAATTTTTGGATTGAAGAAAATTATTGCTCGCATTAAAAAAACAGCAAACGGTTGTTCAAAAATTCTAAAAGTTAATTAATTTAGTCCATGCTGATAACTTGCTGACAGTATTTTTATCTAGGTGATAATTGAGAGAGTGCTTCTCGGTTCATGATGAATGGACTAACAATCACGATTCATGTTACCCCAGGACGATAGAACGACTTCAAATATTGTGAAATTGACTTTTTTTTTGATTGCTGCTCGACAATTGCATAATCGATACAATATTATTTACGACCAAAGTGTACAACGGTGGAAATATGTTAACGGGGACAGAAAGATATTCTCTGAACACCTAAAAATAATAAATCCATTTCAACAAGAACGCGTCACATGAAGCAAAACTTAGTTCTGGCTTTATCAAAGTGAGATTAAAACAAAACAAGACAAAAAATAAAGCGAAGTCCTCTTGTACAGCTGTTCTGTTTCAAAAATGCGAGTCCAATAAAGAAAATAATAAATTTGAACAAAGTTCGCAAAAAGGCAAATAAGGCCAGCTTCATAGTTCAAAAACAATAAACAGTCAACACGTAAAAATTTACAATAAAGTGCAAAGCGAAATAAATTTTCAAAGACTTTTCAACCGCTTGTGATGGGACCAGTCTAACTAGCGAGGCGGTTCGAAGAATTTGGGAAACGATATCGAAAAGCTCAGTTGAGGGAGATGGAAGCCGGATCCAATGGGCCGGTCTGTGGCGGAGGCGGCGGCGGCGGCGGAAGTTGCTGCGGCGGCGGGAGATGGTACTGCTGCGACGCCGGAACGCCTAGGGACCACGTTCAGATTCATTTCGAAACTTCATCTTTTTTACTTGAGAAGGCAGGACTCTGGTTCATTCGGACCTCTCGAAGGTCGCCCTTCTCGACCTGCGGTCGTTTCTCAACTCGTCGTTGCATATCATCCGGAATAGATGCTCTGCAAAACGGAGGCGTAGTAAAGATATGCATTTTGCTTTTAAGAAAAAAGCATAAATCCATATGCATATAACCTAACTAGGCATGTTTTAAAAAAGCGAAACCACAATCCGAAAATTTGTAAAAAGATTTGGCTATGGTAGTCTTGGAGTTTTCGAACTTTTTCATGAGCAGGTCGAAGCGACTGCGAGCAGCGTCGGCGGAGAGCGGCACCACAGGAAATGAGGAAGGAGACGAGAGCTGCAGTCCCAACGGCGGGTTTTTCAGGGCCCTCGGCGACGGCGCAGGTCTCGCGATGTCTCTGGGCAATTCTTTTTTCAGAGAGAAATGTGAGAAGATGAAAACTTTTTCTTTTTCTTGGCTCCGAAATCCTCGCCGCAGATAGTCGCTCTTCTGGAGCTGATAGCACCAGAGATGGGGCTAGGCGTGGCGGATGGAATGGTCAACTGAGGCGGCTTATCTCCTCTTAAGAGTTCTTGCTTCGATGGGGATCCAGAAGAGAAAAGAAATACTTGAACAAGCTGCTATCAACAGAAATGACGTTGTTCAAGTCGAGAGGGCACAGTTGCGTCCTTTCTTTGAAGGTGTCGTCAAGTTTCAGGAAGTCGAGAACTTGTTCCTGGAAAATGTCTGAACTTCAGTTATTCTTTTCATAACTTCAGTTCAAGAACGGTGACGGTTTCACGCTTTTTTTCCCGGTTGATCACAAAAGCTTCACAAGGAGACGACACTCACCAACAAAAGACGGAAAATGACTTTCTGCGTTATTCCGACACAAAGGAGAGCATGTTTCGAAACGAGAAGGTTGTCATTTGCGTGGCCAACGACCACAAGCCCGGTGGTGTCTGAAAAGGACTTTTAAATCAGAAAAGAAGACGAGAGTCTGACTGAGCATCGAGGATCGCAGGTCCTTAACGGCGAAGGCGTCATACCGTTCTCCTTCAGCTCCAACTACCAACAAAGTTGGACAGTAGGTGAGCAAAAAGTCGTCGTCGGCAGTCTGAAAATCGAGAATGGGAGAAAGAGTGTATAAAACTGGAAAGCAATTTTGGTCGCTTTTGCTTTATTCGTTTTCTTTTCTTCAATGTACGATTGGCTTCCTTTCATACACACATTTTTAAAAGATCAAAATGGTCTCTCTTCGAGTTTTTTCGAAACGTTTTGTTTTTCATTTTCATTTATAAGATTTACTTTCTGGAGTCATATATGCTGAAACTCACGCCGCGACGTCCAAGATCGCTCATCACAGGGAAGGCGAAGTCGATGATGGCAGAAACACAATGAACAAGTTGCACAACGCGATGGATGACGTAGGTCGTGAATCCCCAGCCGACAAGCACGATCCGAGCGTCGGGCAGTTGTTTCGCCTTTTCGCGCACCTCAAAACGGCTCTTTCTCTCTACTGTCCACAGTTCGCCTTGATCACCTTATCACAGACGATGTTGACCAACAATTCACAAACATCGGCGATCGAGGCGTCCTCTTCGTCTTCGTCTTCACGCAGACGGATGATCTCCGATTGACTGTTACCAATTTGTTTCAGCCATCTGATAGAGAAAATGGATGATGTGCTTTAGAATACAAAGATAAACTTGAAAATCGTCTCGTGGTAGCGCGCCTTGAAGACGAACTCCCCGACGGACATCGTCGGGGAGACAAGCAGAAAAACCACATCTGAAAGGCTTCGGACGGCGACCGTGCTGTTGAGGGAGTCGAGCTCTGGGTCGACGGGCTTCACTGAAACGTAGCTGCACACGAGTTGAGTCACTTCGGGCCACGGAGGCACGTCTTCTATCGTGCTCTTCGTCAGAAGTCCCGTGTAGGATGACGTCTGCAAAAGTTGGAACTTTTCTGAAGCTTCCAGCTTGCAAACATTTTATTCCGGTAGTATCTTATTTCAAAACGGCCAAAGTTGCAAAAAACTGATATTTTCTTTCCTGGTTGTTGATAATTCAAAAATTTTCGCCAAATAACTCAAGAATACGTGTAAAATCACGAGGGAAACGCGATAATTACTTTAAATAACAATTAATAACTTTCCTAACAAATTCTGATGTCATAAACATTGGAAATACGTAATGCGTAATTGATTAAAAAAATTTTTTTGATTGGTACCATTATTCAGATTGATCACCCAGGTAATATAAGATTTGAAAAAGCGTTAACCCTTAAGAAGTTTGAAGTTTTTTTGCTTAAATTATTTATACGTATAGAAAAAAATAATTTTGAAAAAAATCTTTTGTTTTTGAACTTGTTGCTTATTATGAACATAGACTTTTTTTCAAAAATTATTTTTTTCTATACGTATAAATAATTTAAGCAAAAAAACTTCAAACTTCTCTTTCCGGTATTCATACCTCCGGAAAAAAAAAAGAACGAACCATTGGTTTTGCGTATTTCAAAAGTACGAGGTAGGCGGACAAGAAATGCGTCGGAAGACATTCGAGGAAGAACTTGTGGACCCAATAGACACTTTCTTGGCGTTCCTACATCAAAAAATTGGAAAAACCATTGTAATTTCCAAACATACAACGTCAAACATTGTGAAAGCACTCTTCAGTTGCGTCGCGTTGAAAGTGGTCTTATTGTAAAGAACAATGTCGCTGAAAAATGAAATCGTTTCAAACTGCTTTTTTTGAATTTTAAAAATTAGAATTGAGGTAGAGGATGAAACAAAAAAATTTAAAAAAAGACGACTATCTGAATTTATAAGATATGAGGTTTTTCAAATAGTTAGTAAAATGTGGGAAACGAACTTTTTGAGAACATCTCCGTCGGTAGATGACATGGGAGTGCAGTCGACGACGTACTGCTCGGTGATGACGTTCAGGGCGCTGTCGAAAACGGCGCGGTGCATCTCCGGCTGTTCACTGGTCCTGCACACAAATTTCATGTTGACTCGATAGACATTGAGACACTTTTTCAACAGAACTAACAAGAAAAACCATCTTGATTAGGACTCTTCTTCAAATTTTTTAATGACGTGTTCAAAGTGATTTCCGCAAAATGCAAATTTATCTCTGACTCTCCAAAATTTAGTGATCTCTTTCGCTAACGGTTACTTTGGATTTCGCGGAAACACTTGGAACACGGCATAAACATTGTTTGAAGCAATGTTAAAAATGTTTATAAGCGTGATCTGCGCGAAGTCTTTAATTTTGATATTTGAAGCTTCAGAGTTCTACCATTATCCATCAGCCAGAAACGAGCATCTTTGAAAACTAACGTTAAAACTTTGAGCGGATAGTGAATGCGCGGGCTCGGTTTACTGTATCTAGAAAAGTTTTTACACAATTACTTCAAAAAAGAATCTCTAAAGTTAGAACTGAAAAAGATTTTCTTGAAGGAAGTCTTGCTCGAAATGGAAAAAAAGCAAAAGAAAGATAGATAATAAATTTGAGGAAAGAGGTCGTACGACTGTCACCATAAGAATCAACTCCCGTGCAAAGTTTTCGACTAAAACTTAAAACAAAATCTTGCCGCTTCACTCAAATTTGGAAAAAAAAAAACTGAAAATTTGTTTTTCGAGATACCTCGGGTTTTTTGTCAACATAAATATAATTGGAAAAAAACTTATAGATTTCTTAAAAAAGATAATTTTCTTCAATAAAATAAAAAAATTCCAAAAATTTATTTGGAATTGAAGGAAAAAAATGTTGTTTTTTTCTCATTCGATTTTTTTCTGAAAAATGTAAAACGTCGTTTTTTTCTCGAAATTTTTTTTGTAACTTCAGATTTTTTTGCATGTTCAACTGAAGTGGAACCCTTGGACTGATGTTATCTTGAAAAGTTCAATGGTTCGGTTGTAAGAAAAAGATGCCCAACGAACTTCTGGTACATGTCCCCGACAGTATAGTTACTGCCGTCGATGTTCGAAGGGCGAGGAATTGCGGCAGCGATTTTCTCGGCGACCTCGTTGGCCTCGCGGTGCATCTGCGCCAGAGAGCCCGTCTTCAGTCGCGGATCGGACGGCAGCATCCCAAACTTGGCGAACTCGTCGACGTCGTCCATGATGTCCAAGAATTCGTCATTTTCAGTGTCGCTCTGCACCTCGTCTGTTCTGAAAAGAAAACTTGATAAATTTGTGAAATTGGAGTGAGCTGATCGTGAAGATCATAGATCAGACATTTTATTTTTGCCCTTCACTCTGAAATGAACTGGAGCACCATTACTGATTATATTCACTCACGGCGCGTCGGTGAGGAATTCGCGAAAGAAGACGTCGTCGACGTGCTCCGGTTCGTTCATCAGCCGAATTCCGCCGGCGTTTGTTTCTCCGTCAAAACCTCGCATTCGCAAGTAATCTCTCATTTTTATCTATAAAGCTCGTGATTTTCATCATGGAAATCTGTTGAAGTAGATGTTTTAAATCGGCTGGATATGTAACTATGAGACTTGATACTTAAAATATTTCTCGCTTATATGCTTTCATTTTCGTGATGACCGACAAAATGAGGAAGAAGCTGAGATTCACCTAGTCTATGGTGCCATGCCAAAGTAATTTGGTTTTCAAAAATTAATAAAACCAAAATCTTTTTGCATCCAAATTTCTCAAAATTCAGGACATTCATTTATTTTCCAGCTATCGGTACTTCAAAAATCTTTCAATTCTTTGCATTGTTTTTCCAAAAACTTGAATTTTTTTGTTCACTATTTGTTTTGTAGCTTTCAACTTCATAAAGTAAGTTTAGAGGTACTAAAGTACCTACATGTAAGCTTTCGGACGAAATAAGATGAAGTCAATGAATTACAAACAGTTAACTTCAAAAACTCAAGCGCGAGGAAAAGTTGAAATGGAGCACGATTTGCTCTGAGCGGCAATCTTCACCTATTGTTTCCTTCCACTCAAAAGAATAAAAACTATTGCGAAATTGGAGAATCTTGAATCTTTTTTAGTATAAAAGTATCTTTTTCAAACCGGCTCAACTTTGGCGTTACGAATTTTGATATATCACAAAAATTTGTGAAGAGCCCTATAGTGGACACTTGTCTCACAAAAACAATAATTTCGGGCGAAACTCACCGTCTCACGCTTTTCCTTTCTCTTCTTCTTCTTTGGCTCCTTTTTCTCTTCTTTCCAAAAGTTCGGTGCATTGTCCGAAGCCTCATCACTCGAGTCTGAGGCGGGAAAGGTCACGAACAGTTCAAAACCGAGGAGTTTATAAAGAAAAAAGAACTCTTTCAGATAAGGTTTTTTATTTGCACGTAATCAAGCTGGTAAAACATAAATTTTCGTGTTTTCAATTTTTTTATTATCTAGTTATTCAGATGATCTGCAAAATGCAAATAGCCCGCAGAAAATATTGATACAGAATTTTTGAAAAAAAAAAATTTAGAACTTGAACAAAAATTAACTATTTCATTTTTTATTCTCGTGTCGTCCATTTTTCAATTTAAAATCAGAAACCGAATTCACAAAAGTAAAAACTGGAAAAAAAAGCTGAACAGTTCTCCTTTTTCAATTTATTGGACTCAATTGTTTTGGAAAAATTTTTTATGAGTTTCGAAGCTCAACATACAAACTTTTCCGTCCTTGTACTCTGAAAATTCAATTCGAAGCTATGACCTGAGACTGAAAATTGCGAGTTAAAAAATTTCGAATCTCAAAGTTGCAGACCTAAAGAGAAATAATACATCCTCCAGAAGTATACATTGATCTAAGTCACGGAATGCGTATTGATACCGCAACGATTGCTTTTGAATATACATTATACGTGTGAGAGTTTTCAAGCTTTCTGACTTTGCAGTTCGTTTATACCGAACTTCCTCACCGAGAGGCGTTTTTCTACGGCAAGAATCATAATCGATGTGAGCGTCGCGTATGGCAGCATCCATTTCGCGATTGAAGTGCTTTGAAAGATAATCCAAAGATTTTCGATGCGATTTGCTCTCGCGACTTTCCGCTTTAGATACTCTGGCCGCAGTTTCGTCGTCCTTCAAAAAAAAAAAACTCAAAAAAGCGTTTGGATCGTAGCCCAACGTGGAAAACGGCTGGAGAAGACGATTTCGAATGGGAGCCTTCCGCGATTTCTTCGCGTTTTTCGCGTTTCAGCGACGGATAAAGAAAATCGTCGCTGTGTTTCGTCGGGGCTTCACGACGTCTTTTCCGTGGCTCCCTGTGTGGAAAAAGTGGTTAGGGAAAGTTGAAATAATGATAAAAGATAAAAGTGCAACGAAATTCATGGGCTTCGTTTTTGAAAAATAAACTGCTTTTAATTGAACTTTGAATTCGAAAAATCAGAAGTAACTTAGAATTATTCGAGTCAAATAATAACTTTAAAAAAATCAAAAAAATCTTTATATAGTTTTGCAGATATGAAGTTGTGTTGACGATGAACGATCGGATCACATTTATTTTGAAAGAAAAGAAACTTTTTTTCTTCTCGTTATTTGTATTTTTTTATTTGAAAAGTAATGAAGAAAGGAAACGTACATGACGACCTGGTTCTGGCGCAACTTGGGCAGATCTTGAACGTGGACTCCTTTCAATTCGGCCTCCAACTTTTTCTCCTCGTACTTGCTCTTTATAATGCATATAGCCCTAAATTGATGTTACAAATTGTAGAAAAGAAAATAATTGTTCGAAATGGAAGATCTTCGTTCAGTTTATGAATAGCTCCATTGTCAGAATTTCTTTCAAAAAGAAAATTTTTTTAATAGAAATTTTTTTTCAATCATATAAAATGCTAATTGGGTGGTATAAAAAAACACCAGCGAAAAATTCAAATGGCGACTTTTTCCGATTTTTTTCATATCGCTAGGGGAACTTTCCGACGGCCACCTTTCCGACGAAACTTTTCCGACTTTTTTTCTCGATAAAATATTCGTTTTAAATTTCCTATATAAAGTAGGTAGTTGGTTCATGATTAAAAACACAAAAAAATAGGATGTAAATAGATGTCTTATAAACCGAAAAAAATATAAGGGAAAAAAAGTCGGAAAAAAATTTCGTCGGAAAGGTGGCCGTCGGAAAGTTCCCTAGCGATATGAAAAAAATCGGAAAAAGTCGCCGTTTCAATTTTCGCTGGTGTTTTTTCATACCACCGCTAATTGACTTGTATACCATTTCTTAAACTTCGTAAATAATACAATCTAAATTTTCTTTGTCTCATATCAGTAAATAAACTAGTATGCTAATGAAAACGCATGAGTCAATTGACGAAATCAAAATAATGATTTCCTTGAGCTTGTTTTCTGATTTGTATTCACGAATTTCGTCTGGAAACCTCCTCTTTCTCTCCTTATTGCTCATGATAGACGAGTGACGCGTTATTCCGTCGTTGCAAACTTGCAAGAGGAGGCGATCGAGGACCGCGCCGACGCTGATTCCCAAGTTCTCCCAACTTCCTAAACTCACAGAAGACAATCGAGAAGCTGCTCAATGAACTACCGTCAGGCTTTCGGAAATGTCCGAGGACAGGTTTCCAGGAAGGTTGGTAGCCAGGTAGAATGGCTCTGCTCAGGTAATCGCTCTGCAGCTTTTTCTTGCTTTTCGAAGTGGAAGGACCAGGTTCGTCGGTTTTCTCAGAACCGCCGGCCAATCTCTCGACATTGTCACTCGAATCGTCGTCCATCTAATAATTATTTATTTTTTCGAGATTTTTACAGAGTTCGTAGGAATAAAGATTCAAGATTCATAAATATACAAACTGAATTGGATGGAAGTTGAACTTGACAGATTCAATTCTACTGATTTTGCTCAAAGACTCATTGGCGGATTCATCGGGCTTCAAATAAAGTTTTTTTTTTCCGAATTGTAACAAGAACATAAAAAAATAAACCATCTGAAAACGCAATATTAAATATTTTTTTTAGTAAAGGAAAAAGAATATATTCAAGATGGTCTCTTCAGGGCAAAAGTGACCTACTCTTGTACAATGCGACCGTGAGAGGATTAACTAAACGATTTTTTTTTTCTAAATTCTATCTTACTTTATTTTTATCATCAAAATAGTTTCATTCAATTCGAAATTTAAAACTTTGAGTCTTTTCACAAACCACCACAGAAGACTAACCGGCGGATCGGTCTCGATGACGATTTCCTTATTCTCAACTTTCGGAAATTTGAGCTTGAAGCGAATTTTGCCTGGCAAACTGAAAATATTTTTTTTTTTTCATTGAAACAAAGCGGAAATACGTTTTGGACGTCGCATCTTCTGCATTGCCAGTGTCGACTTTATCCGTTTCTTCAACTTTTTGTGGGGAAACTGAAGGAGCAGGTGCAGATTTGTGAACGGCAGGGCCATCCAAAAAATATTCCTCATCAAATTTTCGATTTGGTTTGGAGACGCGACCGGAAGATCTAACTGAAAAATTGTTTGATTTATTTTTCCAATGAAAGTTCCATCAAACCAGGAGCGACATTAAGAACTGGAGTCCTCGTAGTCGATTTCGGTTTGGAAGACTTTTTCTCGACTTCGACCGAAGTTTCTACGGGCTTCTCAGAAGGGTCTGCCGGGGACGGTGTCCCCTCTTTCAAAGTTTCTTCTGGCACATCCTTCTCTTCGGATTCTTCCGTCGGCGGTTTTTGTTCCTCCTCCACCTCGGGCTTTGATTTGGCACTTTTCGACTTTCGTTTGGACTTTCTCGCCGGTGACTTGGTCTTCTCCTTATTGGTTTCCACGGCCTCGACCGTTTCTTCAGCAAGAGTTGAGTCAAGTGAAGAGCTTTCGTGCAACGGAGAAGCTGCTTTCGGGCTCAACGAAGGGTGATCGGGCTCAGAAGAAGGAAGATCCTCAGCAGAGGAAGGTGGTGATGGTTCTGGAGTTTGCGATTTGGTGGAAACTTCTTCAGTGGGCACGGCTGTTTTTTTCCCAGCGCGTGTTGGACCTAAATATTCGTTTTTCTTTTTCCTGATTGAATGGGTAGAAAATTGAAGTTTGGGAATAACTGTGAAAAAAAAAGTTGAAATACAAACTTTTTCGTGTTGATACATCAACGTGGGTATGAGAACACAAGTTCAAAAATTTTCTCTACAAGTTGACGAAAACTATGTAGATCTTTTTTCCCGGAGAACAAAAACGACTAATTCGATTAAAACTTCTCCAGCTATGAACATACTGAAGGTTTTTTCCCCTTTTAAGAATTCACTGAGAACTGGGCATAATATTCATTTATATACCGTATGGATATCCTGAAAACCTGCATTACTTTCTAGTTTTCGAGATCCAAGATCTCAAAGCTTCCGAAAAAAAAGTTATCAAGTCGAAACTTTAAGTATCTAAGAGATGACTAATTCAGTGCGCTACCGACCGAGAAAAGAACTACTTTTTTTTGTGGATCAAGCTTCCGTATAACTCAAAAAATGCAAACTTGAAACAGAAGACGTTTCCGGCTTATCCTCGTTGGGGCCAACTGACGGCTCATGGGACATTTGCCGAGACTTGCGACCTCTCGCACGACTTTCTGGCCCGATACTTCTAGATGTTTCTTATTGCTTAATTAAAAAAAAGACTGCAAACTTTCGTATTTTCTGGCGAATAGCCAGAGCCGACGACGGATTCGGAGATTTTTCGGTCGGAAGCGATTTTTCGCGTGAAGCCGACGAAGCAGGCTTCGCTTCTTTCAATTCCTTCATCTTTTCGGTCCGAACAGAAGGTCGTCCAGATCTAAATTATTATTACTTTTGATAAATCATAAAAGTCAACTAATACCTTCGGACATTTGCGACGGCACTCAACGAAGGAGAAAAAGTTGATAGAAAGTCTTCTTCTTCATCTTTCACAATGACCTTCTTCTCTTGTTCTTTCACAGGGACTTGTTTTTCTGATTCCTTCCGAGAAACCTTCTTTTCAGGTTCTTTGACGGTCGGTTTATTCTCAGGCTCTTTCTTTTCTGATTTCTTCGGGATGGCTTTCTTTTCCGCTACTTTTGGAACGATCTTTTCCTCCGATTCTTCTTTCTCCGGATCTTTCTTCCCTGACTTTCTCTTCACAGTTTCTTTCTTCGCAGGTTCTTCCGCCTTCGCTTCTTCTTTCTTTTCAGGTTCCTTTTTCCGAGGGGCCGATCTCCGAAGTTTACCTTTCGACCTAATAGAAAAAAAGAATCTCTTATTTTTTTCAAAAATTATAATAGTGAAACCTTCTTCCTTTCGGCGAATTCGCTTCTCCTTTTTTTCGCTCGGAGTCTCTTCCTGAAGATTCTTGTTTTTTTTGAGTGAAAAACGCACTGGACCAAAAAAATATACCAAAATCTTAAAACTGCAGGTTTTTGAGCCAATCAATACGTTTATTCCTCTTTCTGTGAAGCCAAAAACGACATAGAAACTTTTTTTGTTTGGTACTATAGATTTGAAACAGAAATAGACTGGAAGCAACAAAAGAATCAAAGTTGACCAAAATTTTCAAATAGGACTTCTATTTCAGATCATCGATTTTCTTTGGCGATCCCTAATTCCAAGTTCTTTTCAGCGGTGACATCTAATTATTTTTTTACTTAATCTCTCTCTACATGAATTATTTGAAAAGGAAGCAAAATTTTTTTAAAAATTACATATAAAAATTTGTGTACGTTTAGGTAAAAAAAAAAGGGTGAAATCGAACTCAGGAAAAAAAAAAGTTATCTGATTATATATTCAAACTCAAGAAGATTAAACTACAGACTGTTTTTGACGTTCAAAGTTTTCAGAGCTCAACAAAATCACATTTTCAGTGAAAAATGAGAAAACTGCACTTTATTTAAAAAAAAACGTCAACTCACTTTCACTTCAGGATCCTGCTCTTCAGGTACACTTTCCTCCTTCTCGAGAACTTCCGGCTCGGGTTCTTCGGAATGGCGCACAATGTCTGAAATTGACCGATATTCAACAATCTCAGGAGCATCGACAGGCCTGAGGCGTCACTGTCGAGCATGGGCTCGTCCTCTTCCGATTCAGTGTCATTTTTAGCAGAGGCGGTTCTGGCCGACTTTTTCTTGGAAGTAGTAGTCGTCTGAGAAAAACACTTTATTAGAGCTTCAAGCTACATAATTACCGGAAAACGAAATTTAAAAGAAGTTGCAGCGGATTTGCGGCGATCTGGAGTCGATTTTGAACTTTTTGGCGACTTGAAACGTTGGGAAAGGCGAGGTGGCGGCATAAAGGGCGCCGCGCCGATGTCCGACATCCTGACAATCGGCTTCCCTTCAGTTTCTTCTGAGTGTTCGATTATCTCGGTCTTTGCAAGATCCGACTAAACCTTCGTCGTCCGAATCCTCCACGTGCTCTTTCACTACTTTTTCGAATTCTTCTTCTTTTTCTTCCGTGCGCTTGATCTTTTTGGCTTTTTGGGGTTTTAAAGTCTAGAAAATACTAAAAGTTAGTTGATCCAAATTCTCAAACCTTCTCCATGAATTCTGGAAGCGAAAAATCGACAGCAGAGTCGCAGAGTTGCTTACGTAGGTTTTTACCAAAGTCGCTAAATTTGACCTGAAAAAAGCTTTCGAAACGCATAAAACGAAAGTTTAAAAAAAAAACCTTTGCTGTTTTTCTTTTGTTGAGAAACACTGGATCAGGCGAGTATCTTGAACATAAGAGATTATTAAACTAAAAAAGCAAGGATGTATCAAACCCTCGCTTAGTTTTTTGTCGCGCGCGGGGCTGAACGAAATCCGTAGATTTTGGCGTTGTGCAGTTAGACACTGATGGAGTGTTGGATTCTGCAGGCAAAGGGGTGCGTTCTCTGAAAACTTCATTCTAACGAAAGCAACTGAAATTGAGCGAACTTTGACTTTATTCTGGTAATTCGGCTTGTTTTTGCTGTTTCTTTTGGCGTCCCAGGAGTTGCTGAACGGAGACGTTTAGGAATAGTGGTAAGAGATCTTGAATGAATGAATTTTGGAAGTGAAAAAAATTATCAGAGTAAAAACCTCCTTGTAGATGAACTTTTACTACCTTCTGCACTCGTCGCTTCTGCGTTGAGATCAAGTTGCAGTTCCAAACAGTCCATCGCTCATGCGCTGCATAAGAAAAAAAAAATGAGAAGAGAGAAGACACGTTAAGAATAAAAACGCAGCGTTTTTTTTTTCGTTACAACCGATGCCAAGGCACTTTTTCTTTCATGTTAAGAAACATGTTCAGTTTAAAAACATTCATCGGACCGAACCATGACGGCTGAATTTATAAACTCCACTCATCATTCGTAAAACACAAAAAAACAATATGTAACTTTTTATAGAATCAAAATCAATCTTTAATTACTTAAAAAGATATTCAGTTTGAAATAATGCTTTCAGGTAAATAAGAAATAATAAAGAAGAAAAAATGAAAGTAGCATATTTTGATGTTGAGGCAGAACACTTGGTAAATGATGCATTACTGAAATATCTAAAAGAGCGGAAAGCAAAGTTTTTTCAGTGACAAGAGATTTTTTATATTGAAAGTCGAGGAAAAACTTTGCATAAAATGATTTACCGGTAACCAACGATTTTCCGTTGAAAAGAGGAAAATGGAAGAAAGTTTGTTTTGCCTTGTTAAAAGTGATTTCCACGAAATGCAAAATTATGTCTGACTCACTAAAATTTAGTCATATATCTCTTTTTGTAACAATTTCGTGAAACCATTTTGTTACAAAGCGGAAAAAAGAAAAAAGAAAATAAATTCGAAATAAAAAACTTCAAAAGCGGAGGCGCGAATTTTCATGGCATTAGCGCCACGGTGAGAGGCCACTTTAGAGGCTCGCATGCCCCTTGAGGCGCCACTCGCCGCGCGCACATAGAAGAATCGCAATTTTTTTTTTAAATTTTGTTTTTTTCGTCATTTTTCGAAAATATCTAATCAACAGAAATTTCTGTTGATTAGGTCTAATGATTATGTTGATTATGTCTATAGACAATACATAAATTGTACGAAACGCAACGAATGTTTTCGACATAATTATTATATTGTTTTGAAGCGCTTTTGGGGCGTTAATGAACACTCTTCCAAACACGGAATATGTTTCAAAACGTAAATTGCTCTCTTTTTTTTTGTTGATCGATCTAAAATATTTTATAATCGTATTTCCTCTTCAACTCTTTGCATTTACAGTCATTCGAGTTATCTATTTATCTGTAAACTCGCATAGCATTACTTGTTCAGTTTCTTAATTTTTGTTAAGTCGGATTCGTTTAAACAATTTATATAGCATGCTTACTTTGAAAGGATAATGAAAACCACAGTAGTGATTTTTGAAGTTTACATAATTTTTAAAGTTTGTGTACTTACAGGCTTTAAAAATGGCCCCGCCGCAGGCGTTTGAGGCTCAAAAAAACAAGTCACATCAAGGTAAGCTTGAATTATCTCTTATTTAATTGAAAATAACATTCCAGTTCACAAATCGGGCGGTAAAATTAAGAAGAAAAAGGAAAAAACAAAGGTAAAAGGCCACAATGCAAAAGCATTCACTTTCCAATCTGCAGTGGCTGCAGGAAAAGCCGTTCGGAGGTTCAAGCATCGACATTATTCCGGGAAAATTGGTTTTTTTCAGGGCTGCTGATCTTAATGAAAGGAAAAAACACACACTGATGATGGATAGGAAGCCCTTGGAGCCTCCACCAATAATCGTCGCGATTGTGGGTCCGAGCAAGGTTCACTAGAAGATCGAAGATCTTGAAATTCAAACTTTTCTCTCGTAGGTTGGAAAATCTACGCTCTTGAAAGGCCTAGTGAAGTACTATTTACGAATTGGCGTTGGCGAATTGAAAGGTCCACTTTTTCTCTCAAAAAAAAAATTTATTTTTTTTTTTCAGGTCCTATCACTATCGTTACTGGTAAAAAGCGAAGGATACAGTTCATTGAGGTGAAGAACGACATCAACCACATGATCGACATTGCCAAAGTTGCAGATTTGGTTTGTCAATCATATATTATATGTGAATAAGAAGATGAAAAACTTTGATAATTAATAACTGTAAGCCGTTTCTTTCAGGTTTTGCTCATGGTCGACGCCTCTTACGGATTCGAAATGGAGACATTTGAGTTTTTAAACATATGTCAAGTCCACGGAATGCCTAGAATCATGGGAATTCTAAACCATTTGGACCTCATCGATGGAATTTCCAAGGCAAGTTTTCCCAGCAGAGAATTAAAAAAAAAGTTGTTTTAGGTCAACAAAACGAAGAAGATTTTGAAGCACAGATTTTGGACCGAATTGTATCAAGTATTTTTCGATGAATTTTATTTTTCCAACCGCATTTTTTTCAGGGAGCCAAACTGTTCTACTTGTCCGGCATGATCCACGATCAGTACAAATCTCACGAAATTCACAACCTGGTCCGGTTTATTTCTGTGATGAAATTTCGGCCGATGATTTGGAAGGACGCCCATCCCTACATGCTCTGCGACCGTTATGAAGACACTACCGATCCGGAGGTAATTGAAAGTGAAAATTAAAAGAAAGCTATTAAAAATATTTTTTTGTATTTTTTTGTTGAGAAGTATTCGATTATTCCTTTCTCATGCAAAAACGGATTCCAGGAACTTCGCAACGACTCAAAGATAGACCGATCGATTTCGCTGTATGGATGGGTTCATGGCGCTCATCTGAAAAATAACTCTTCTGTCCATGTTCCCGGTGTTGGAGACCTTCGAATCACGAATGTAGGTTTCACTCAAAAGTTTCAAATAAAATTCAAAAGACATTTGCAACTTCTAAGAATAATTTCTTGTCGGTTTTTTCTCACTCTTCAAATATTTATATTTCTTATAAATTTTATGGTAATTCACCCAGTACAAAAAAAAATCTGAAACTTTCCGATCCCTATTTATCGCTAAATTTTTCACTCGATGTGTTTTTTAAACAGGTGACGACTCTTCCGGATCCTTGCCCCCTACCCGAGGAGATGAAAAAACGGGCTCTGAACGAAAAAGAGAAGCTCGTTTATGCGCCATTCTCCGGATTGGGAGGAATCATTTACGACAAAGACGCTATTTACATCGACACGAAAGGCGTTCAATCCATGAATGTCAGTTTTTTTTTTTCTAAAATTAAGATCGGAAGTTTTCAACAGCAAAAAATGAGTAGCTCTTAAACTTTGAAATGTGCTTTCAGAGGTCGTGATTATAAATAAGAAGACGAATAATAAAAGCCGTCAACTTTTCCTCTAAGTATTTTCTGAAACAAAGCTAGCGCTTTCTCCCTGAAGATGATTTTTATAAGGAAGCAAAATTATTTTTGGTTAAAAACAAGCTTTAAGCTTGCCAACCAACTAATTTTTCAAAGTTTTCGAAAATCAAACCTTTTTCCTCGAAGAGCCTTGCACATGTACTTTTTATTGTCATGGCTATCTGTTTTTTTGTTTAAAAAAAAAAAAAATATGTTGTGTTTGCAGAAAAAGCGCGGAGTTTTGGTGGAAGCGTTAGAAGGCGTACAAACGGGAATCGACGATAAACTGCGAAACTCAGAGCTTCGACTGCTGTCCAATTCGGTGCCGCTGGAAGTTGATGAGGGAATGGTTGGTTTCAGCTGATTGAGGAAATTTATTCTCGACTGAGACTTCCTTTTTCAAAAAATGTTTTTTTTTGTCGAAATCCAAGATCCTAGGTCGTCTCTACTGGCTCTGAAAAGAATTCAATCCAAATTAATACTTGGGAAATTTTTCAGTTTGACCGTAGTGTAAAATACGGTCATTTTTCAAGAAAAATACTTTTTGAAAAGGTTTTCAATAGTTTTTATTAAAAAATGTTTCTAATTCCATGAAATTTTATGTGAAATCATTGAGACAAAAAGAGATTCAGCTGAATTAAAAAAATTGACGCTGAAAATTCGAATAAACTTCCAGTTGCCATGCAAATGTGTGCTTCATAAATCTTTTATTTTTTAGGACATTGATGAAGAATTTAAAGAAGAAGAGGATTTTGACGATGAAGAAGAAGACTCAGACAGTGCTGGAGATGAAGAGGAGGAAGACGAGAAAGAAGGAAATCTCGGAGAATGGGACAATTTGGCGTCGAAGGCCCTTTTGCAGTACAAAGATCGTCCTCGCAGCAAGATCAGCTGGATGAAAACTGTTTATGGAGAAGGTGCCCTTTTTCAAGAAAATAGCTATTTGAAATGATTTCCACTCGAACATGGATTCATACTCTTCCAGGAAAAAAAAACTAGACAGAATGAATTTTTCATTATTTTTATTTGCTTAAAAACAACCATGTTTCATGCTCACTATTTTCGGTTTACAGAATCAGTTGGAAGTACGAAAATCACGGAGACACCGGAAAATTTCGAGGGTTTATTCGTTATTCGCAAGGAGAAAGTGAAGAACATTGTTGATCAGGTTTCATCGATTTATCTTTGTCCCATAAAATACAAGAATTGAAGGAAGACGGCTTCTCTTATGAAGTTTTGCCGTCTAGCTGCAGTTCCGGTCAGCAGTGGGACGAGCAAGAGGTGAGGAACAACCGAAAAATCGAGGTTCAATCGGAATTTCCTAGATGCGCGATTCGATTGCGGATTGTTTCGTGACGGGGACTTGGACAGAAGAAGACGCTGAAGAGGCCAAATTGAAAGGTTCAGGGGAATCCGAGATCTTTTTGAGAGTTCCTGGATAATTCTTAGAAGAGCTGGAGGATTCTGACGAAGATGAAGACGACGACGAGGAAAAGTTTGGAAGTGACGTCGGAGATGAAGAAGGTTCTGATGAGGACGAAGAAATGAAAGACGTCGACGGTTAGATTTTCGAAGAGTTATTTCCAAATTCACTGCTTGATTGAGACCAAAAACCGAATTTTAGTGACCACCATAAGTGTACTGAGAGCAGTAATATTTCAAATTTCAAATTGAAGAACCCGAATCGGCTTTGAGTAAAGCTGAAAAGGCGGCCAAGGAGCGCCGAGCAGATGAAAAAGTGAAACTGAAGCAAAAATTCAACGACGAGTATGACGATTCTTCCAAGTTTTACAACGAAATGAAGGTAGTTAACGAGACAAATTACAAAAAAATGTTAGAAAGATTTCAGAACGAGATGACCGCTCAAGCTGATCTGAACAAGAGCATTTTCGAGGGAATGGATGAAAACGAACGCGAACGCATCGAAGGTTTTTTGGAATAACAATTGTATTGTTTCACATCGAAATTCTGTTTGAATTCGAGGTTTCCGAGCCGGAAAGTATGTGCGAATCGAATTGGAAGACGTTCCGTGTGAGTTCGTCGAGAATTTCGATCCGGCGGCTCCTTATGTCGTGGGAGGGCTGCTTCCAGGAGAGCAGAATATGGGCGTCGTTCAGGTTTATTCACATTCCTGGATGCAAAATTAAATATTTTTCTTGGTCAATCGCTATAATAACGAAAAATTTTTTTAATTAATTTAGAGAGATAAACGAGGTTTTTTTGAAATCAGCATCGATAATTTTTGCGCTAGCCACGATAGATGGAAATTGATGTTTTCGAAATCATGAAATATTACATTTTTATTTGATAAAAAAGTTGCATCAGAAAATTTTCAGTGGTATCATATTCATCTTTGTGAAACATTTTGTCATTTTTTTTTTCTTAATTTTGTGGATTTTCAATACTCACTTTCCCGTTAAATGAACATGTATTAAAAAATCTGTGCTAGAAGTTGCAAACAGGAACCTATCCATCCAATCTTTTTTATCTAATTTCTCGTTTTCAGGTTCGACTGAAGCGTCACCGTTGGTTTGAACGTACGTTGAAGTCGCGTGATCCTCTCATCATCAGCTGTGGTTGGCGTCGATTCCAAACAGTTGCCATCTATTCAATTCAGGTTTGACCAAAGCGTTCGGAAAATAAAAGGAAATACCATGAATCCAAATTTTTTCGAGTTTTTTTCATTTCTCAAAACTCTTGCGAATTCTCGAAGTCTTTATTTTTCCTGCATAATGTTTAAACCTATTTGTATGATCACCATCTTTTTGAATACCCGACCCATTCTCAACGCGAATCAATCGTTGCAGGACCACAACATGCGGTTGCGGTTTCTGAAGTACACGCCGGAACACATGCATTGTCATGCTTCCTTTTGGGGTCCCATAATCGCTCAAAACACGGGATTCCTCGCTGTTCAATCCGTTTCTGACCAGACTGTATGATATCTTTTCTCGACTTTAAAACGTCCATCTTAGCCTGGGTATCGAATCGTCGCCACTGGAGGCGTTTTGAACCTCGACAAGTCGACGCAAGTTGCCAAGAAGCTCAAGCTTGTCGGAACTCCGGACAAGGTCTTCAAGAAATCGGCGTTCATCAAGGTTTCACGAAATGAAAAGCTCTAAAAAAAACGCGATATTTTGAGGGCATGTTCAACTCTTCGATGGAGGTGGCCAAGTTTGAAGGCGCGACGATTAGAACAGTTTCCGGCATCAGAGGACAGGTGAAGCGAGCTATTAAAGAGCCACCTGGCGCCTTCCGTGCCATGTTCGAGGACAAGATCTTGATCAAAGGTCCTTTTTTCAATCAAGCCTGAAGGAGTTATTGAGAGACTTATGTTATCTTTGATTCAATATTTTGATAATTAAAAGTTTATTTTTTTGCCAAGTTTAGTCTTCAGTTATTCTCAATCTTCATCACTTTACATCAAAACATATTAACATGCGTAATAAAAAGTTCTTGTATTTAAAATGGCGTTCATCATTTCTGGAGGGAAACATTAACGATGAACTCAATTTCCAGCTGGTGTTACCATTAGCAAAATTTTAATTGCTTGAGCAATAATTAATCGATAACTTGGTTCGAATATTCAATCCTCGTATAGGAATTCACAAGGCTCGCTGCGCTAGAAGTCGATTTTGCTTGTTAGGTGGAAAACAAGTCTATTTTGGATAATATTGAAACTTTAATAATTGAAATTTTTTGAAAAAAAAAACAGTGGTAGAGATAGCTAAACTGTTGCAGAAGAAAATCTATTATGAACTTTGCTTCATGTCTCATTCTCCAGACATTGTCTTCCTCCGGTCATGGGTAACAGTGCCGATTCCGCGGTTCTACACCCCCGTAACCGATCATCTTTTGCCGCAGTCAGAGCCTTGGAAGGGAATGCGAACCGTTGGAAAGATGAGACATGAACTCGGATTGAAGGCCCCTCTCAAGGAAGACTCCAACTACAAGGTTCTCGAAGTCTTTCTTGTCTTCTACTTGTTTCTATTTCAGCCAATCGAAAGACAGGAATTCGTCTCTGCTCCTCTCTATGTTCCTCACAAGCTCCAGAAAAGCTTGCCGTTCAAGATGAAGCCCATTTTCCACGAAAGAGATGAAGTGGTATTTTCTGCTAGTTTTTGCTCTGTAATTCGAATTTTACTTTCTCAGGAGGAAGATTCTTTGGTTACTAAACACTCGGCCGTAATTTTGGAGCCTGAAGAAGTGAAACGGAAGCGGATGATGGAAATGCTCAGGACTTTGAACAAGTAGGCCTTCGAAGATATTTCAGCCATTAAAGCCTTTTTTCAGAGTCGATAAAGACAAACGCGACGCGGATCATGCAAAATACGAAGAGAAGAAAGCCAAAGAGGTGACTCAGTAGGAATTTGATTGTTAGAAAGGAATAATTACAGACGGAAGCTTTCGAGAAGAAACGCGAAGGAAACATCAAATCGCGGAAGAAGGCGATCAGCCGCGTTCTGAACAAACGCGAACAGGCCAAGCTGAAAAGAGTCCTCGGCGCCTCGGCCTCCAGCAGTTGATCCAATCGGGAATTTGTTGATTTTGTTGTTTTTGCTTAGTTTTTCATTGTTATTGTTGCACCGAATGAATATTTTATCATTTTTTTGTGATTTTCAATCAACAAATTGTTCATAAACAAATTTTTTTATCTAAAAAGTTCTTATTTCTTTTTTTTTGAAAAAAATCTGCAGGAAAGAAATCAAAAACTCTTCTGAGTTTGGTCTTGAAATTTGTTAGCTAGAATTTAAGGTTTTTCAGGGGGTTTATATGTAAAAAAATTTGAAAAAAAGGTTTTAAGAACAGTTCTCATGAGCAAAATCGATCGAAGTGATTCATCATAAATAAAAACTAAAAGCTTACAATTTCATCACTTTGTATTCGCGCACAAGCTCCTTTTCAACTCATACTTTTTCTCACTTTTCAACGGTTTTGGCTGCTTATCTTTCAAAAGAGGATCAATACAAAAGAAAAACTTTGACTTTTGTATACAAAGTGTGTCTGTCAAACTGAAAGTTGCAGATGATCGGGTTGGAGTCTTGGTTCTCCAACTTCACGCAGTTCTCGAGGAAGTGGATCACGGCGGAATCTCTGGCCGACGTTCCGAGGCCCCACGTCGAATACGCCATCTGGAGCACGTTCAAGGCCGCCGAGTTGATGAGCGTCTTGGGTTGGGCTGCAGAAAAGGGACAAAACCAGTTCGAGGAGTTCAGGAGGACTTCTGGCCCATCCGATTTACCGGTTCTATCTCTGGAAGCAGCTCACTCCTGAGATGACGACTCCGAATTCTCACAAGATCATCCGGAGCAAGTGTCGCCGCCTGCAGGTTTCAAAAGCCGTCAGAATCAACTTGAACCTCGTTGCAGGGTCGTTTTCTGTTGGTCGGTCTTTTTTCGGCTCCTCTGCTTTCTCGGTTACAAACTCTTCAGAGTGGTCAATAGAAAATCGAGAAAATTGACTTGAAACTGATGTTTGATATTCAGGAACCACAGCTGCCGAATTGCAAAACAAGTGCTACGCCATCCGGTGCGACGGCCACGGGCTGACCATTGTAATTTCATTTTTTGTACTTGTGAGCATGAAGTGAAGATATATCAAGACTTTTAGTTTTTCTAGACTCTTCAGGAAACTCCTGAAACCAAAAAGCTTAGTAATGAAGGAAACTCGGAAAGCAGTAGAAAATGCACTTCACGCCTTTTTCTTTGTTCTTCGAATTTCAAAATGATCTTTTTCTTGTAACTCCAGCTACAAGCTCTCGAAGATCCCTAAATGACATTTCAGGACCGATGTGCGTTGGTGTGCGGCCTGGTCGGCTGGTACTGGCGGCGATTCCAAGGTGCCGTCGATGGAATCAACATCGGACTCGCCTACGCCTTGTTCAGCACCAAAGTTCTGGAGCCAAGAACGTCTCCGATGCTCCGAGATCATATCCATCCCGACCTGAGGTACAACTCCGTCGAGGCCGCCTCGGAGAACAAATCCAAACTCATCAAGTTCTTTGCTGAACAGGATCGCAAAAACAGTCAGTAGGAGGATAGGTTCTCATAGGGAAATCAGTATAGGATTCTTCCATGTAGTTGATTTATTGCTCGTTAAGAGCTATTTGAGCTTTTCATTTTAGAAATTTTTGCTGGTCTTTTAAACTCAGCAACTGGATACACCATAGTGGAGAATGATATAGTTATCTAGATTTAAAATAGATTTTTTTGTGAATTTTTTTCTAACAAAAAAATGTTTCAGTTCCATTAATATAATTTTTTTCACTTTTTCTAGCCTCTCGAACATAACGGGTTTTTGTTATTTTTTTTCTGTTTTAAACAACTTTAACAGAAAAAAAGATTGTCAATTTTATTAATAAATATTAGAAAAATTATTTGCATCGTTTCCTATCTCAAATCTTCTTCTTCTGCTTGGTCGAGCACGTTTTTTGAACCATTTTGGTCGTGAGATTGAAGTCGAACACCCATAAGTTTGCCACTTCGACCGCCGTCTGCCAAATTTCGAAAGACTTCTTGGCCGTTTTCTCGGAAACATGAGAAAGGCAATTCGCGCAGGGTTTCAAAACCAAGCTAAAGTAATCGATTTGAGCATTAATGTCTTTTCGGAGACTTACCTTGGTGAAAATGGCCTGAGAACCGACGGCGCTTCCAGTTGAGGCCAGGTATTCGCATCCGGCGGCGGCGGCTCTTCTCAGACTTTCTTCGACTAACCATTTCCCGATTCCTCTTCTAAAATCCATTTTATTCAACGATAGTTCTTTGACTCTCACTTTTGATAATCTCTGCTCACACATAAAACGTCGATTTTGAAAATTCTCTTGGCTCCGTTTGTCAATATCTGCAGATCTTCTTCTACCGTATCGATGAAGACGCTCAATCTGTTGGCGTTTTCGGACTTGTATGGTCCTTGGGAGATTTCTACAAGGTCTTCGTTTGTTTCGGAACACAGTTCAGAGAAACCTTCGGCGTAGTCTTTGTTGGGGTCAAACTTCCAAGGTATTGTTGATTCTACTTCCGGGTACTCTTTTATGGAGTTGAGGCAAATTGCAGCTAATGTCTGATGATTTAGGCATAAAACATTCACATTGAAGAGTACATACCGTTCCATCTAATACTAACATTGAGACTTCGGGATTGTTGAAGGCGACGTCACGGAGGTCCAGGAAAAAGTCGAAGACGTCTTCTCGAGAACAGCCTGGACATCGTTGCGAAATTATTAGGGTGTCAATCGATGAAAACTTTTTCATGAAAAAATCTTCTTTTCTTCCCTTTACCGGCTTTTGTTGGTCATTTGTTACTTTGATCTTTTTGTGACTTTGCCGCTGACAGAAGAGAGAGCGCAGACACGTCAGACTATTTGGATCTCTGGGTATTGAATGAGAATACCCAACAGTTTCGATTTCCTGTGAAGGATCTCGTCGTGAAGCTGTTACTTCAAACTTCCTGGGCCTATATTTCGTGATATTTGGGAAAATGCTATTCGTGTTGGAAAAATTGAAAGCGTGAAGAAAATTAAGCGAAAGCTGAACTGGAGCAGAACAAACCTAGAGCACCGGTGATGGGCTCAGTAACTCGGAAATGATCGAGAAGAAAGTCGTGGACGGCGTCTCGGAAGTCTTCGCCCGCTGGAACCACCTCCAACCCCTCCATCTGAACTTACTATTTTCTTAACGAATTTCTGAACTTTCAAACAGTGTTGAGCGAAGTAAGCTTCGAAAATCATGAAAAATGGCTTCCTAATCGAAGTAAAAGTCACTTGAATATTGCGAAGTTTCGAAATCTCCTATTTTATGCCAAAATTATCACGTGAAAGGTCTTTTTAACGAGCCTCGCTTGAGATTTTCGAGATTTACTGGGAAGCTCTCAATATTTGTGAAATGAGTAGTTTGAAATGATGTTAAAATCAGCTTGATAGGTTTTCTGGACACAACATCCAAAGATACTGAATCATTCCTTTTTTAAAAATTTTTCGATGTGCTGTGATTTCTCATCGATTTGTGTAAACATAACTTCTATGATATTTCTTCAAAAAAGGACATTTTAAAGAAATGATTGGATCAAAAGAAAAATATTTGAGTGGTCCTAAAGGAGATTCAGCAGTTTTTTTCTTGAGAACATTTGTGTAATGCCAGCCAGGTGTGAGCAACCGGAAACGAGGGAGAAGTTTCAGTTTTTTTTTTTCAATGGATTTCAGATTTCATTGTGAAAGCAAAGTCGGATGGAGTAGAGACAGAAACTTCCGAAAAAAAGGAAAAATGTCGGAAATCATTAGATGAAAAACTGTCAGACTTTTGGACGGTTCTACGAAGGGACGTTTTCATTTCCAAACAGAGAAGAGAAGAAGCTCGGAGGCCGAAAAAGGGGATGGCAAGTGTGGCGGAAGAGCAAGAAGCGGGAACAATTCGGAAGGAGCGGCGGCGGCAGCTGTCCCGCGAGAGATTTCCTCGGCGAGGACACGCAGCTTATGTCGCCATGCATTTCCGTGGATTCCCCCGCTTTGAGGTAATTCCGAATGCAGGATCGATCTCAATGTTGCCAATTCTTTGAATCCACTGGTTCTCTCGGAGAATAATAAAAACCGTTGTCATTTCAGCTGAAAGACCGACAAACGGGCTCACTAAGAAACTTTTGAAACAAGTATTCAGTTCTAAACCTACATAATGTAGGCGACATTGAAAAATAATCAAAATTAAACGTTTTGACAAAGTAGATCATATTTCTCTCTGTTTTGCAATTTTTAGGGTATTGGCTCAAGTTATTTTGTACTAGATGGAGACTCTAAAAGTTCCAACCAACTTCTTCATTTGGGAGAACAGGGAGGTCAAAGTAAATATTGGCGAACATGCTAGGTGAACTATTTGATTTTTTCTTCTCAAAACTACAGACTTTGTCATCAGTTTGGACTTTCAAGACTCGCTACTATAGAATCACAGAAACACGAAGCACGAAATCTGCCGTCCTTTGTGGGCAGACAACGAGTTTCACACGGGAGAAAGCTCATGAGAAACAAAAGCGCTGGTTTTATTTTCCTAAAAATTGACCAAGTGTTGTCTGCAAGAAAGAAATTATTTACTCATGGCTCATCCCTGGTGGATAGAAATTTTCTGCAATCAACTGTTCTGTGGATTTAGTCTTAGGAAAGTTGATTGAAAAAGACTGCCGACAATGCTTCAATATGTGATTCGACAAATTTGGTAGCGTTGAAGTATGTATAAAAGCTTCGTCAGCAGTCTCATTTAATGAACGTTGCCTAGGACTACATTGACAAAGATAATTTTCCGTAGAAGAAATTCTCCATTCATCGCGAACAAAGGTTTGAGTGTTTAAAAAACCAAATTTTTGAGACAAAAAAAAGAGAAAATGCAGAAGTGAGGTTTTTCCTCACTCCGAGAAAAGTTCGGTAGGTAGGAAGTGCGCAGAGTCCGAAGGAATGCGAAAAACGCAGCTGGCGGCAGAAGTCGATACACTCCTTTTTTGGCGCCGCGTGCCAATCGACGTCTTCAGCTTCTTCTTCGCACCTCTGTCGTCGTTGGGTCGGGGAGCATGAGAAATGAATGCCTCAGGGCTCGGATTGAGGCTATTCGCGGTTTCTGGATCACATTAAACATCTTCAACAGGGTCAAGAGATTTTTTAAAGATAAAATGGGTAAAAAAAAAGTTCTTACTAACGTGTTCTAAAATTCTTCCTCTCTAAAGGGAGTTGATCTTCGGTGGGATAAATCTACCTCCAGAAGAGTCTTCACACATTGCATCAACTGTCCTTTCCTTCAAAAAAAAAAGTTCAGCCCTTGGGCATTTCAAGATACGATTTCTGAACTTTTTTTTGATCAAAGTCATCTTGTGGTATATTGATATTATTTTTGAGAGAAAAAATCTCGCCGATCAAATTTTTATTTTCATTTTTTGATGTTCTTGTGGGAAAACTTTTACTGGAGAAACTGTAAGTCAGTAAGACGAATAAATAATTTTATTGATTGTTTCAGTTCATTTCTTTTTTCACAGCTTTACTTGTTAGAGCTTAATGGTCAGTGAATCTGACTGTCAAAAACAACTAATGCAATTTTAATTTAAGGCCAGAAGCCTTTCAAAACTTTCATACATGGCGCCGAGAGCGGCCTGAAGAGGCGTGGCGGAGAACTGCGCCTAAATTGCATTCCACTTTAAAATTTATTCCAGAACGCTGCCGAAGAGCCCTACATTTCTCTCTTCAATTTCAGCCTTTTTATTCTATTTTGCAGGATTTTAACAGTTCCTATTCGAGTTTTTGAAAAGCCCTAAAAGAGAGAAAATGTATAAAAACTTCTAAAAAAACTTAAGATTATGTCTGTTTTTTTATCGTGTGTTTTGTCGTTTTACAATGAAGCGGTGAAAGTGATTTTTTTGCATCAAAATGTAAATTTGTTTCTTAAAGATATTTGAGAGCCCTCATCGACTCTTTTGAAAAATTATTAAATGCAATCGAAACGATTCATAAAGTATCATATTCAATAAAAAGTAATTTTTTTGATTTTTTTTTCTTTTGTGATTCGTTCTTTCGTTTGAATATGTGTTTTCATTCTCCGTAAAGTATTTAATCTTCTAGAAGACAAAATGATGCGTCCACCGATCATTTTGTTAAAGGAGGGTACCGAAAACAAGCAAGGAAAGCAACAAATCATTTCCAACATCAATGCTTGCCAGGTTTTTGGATGTTTTAAACGACTTCAGTTTTTTTTTTTGAATTTTATATTGTTACCTTCAGGTTGTTGCCGACAGTATCCGTACAACTTTGGGTCCCCGCGGTCTTGACAAACTGATCGTTGATAGCAAAGGTTTCTTTGATCCTTTTGATAGTGATTCCTCTCTTTGATTTAATAGGACAAACGACGATCTCAAATGATGGCGCTACGATTTTGAAGCTTTTGGACATTGTTTTCCCCGCTGCTTCAGTAATGGTTGACATCGCGAAGTCGCAAGACGCCGAAGTCGGAGATGGAACTACTTCAGGTATGTTTGTACCGTTTGGAAAGTGATTGAAGCGAATTTTTAGTTGTTGTCCTTGCATCGGAGATGCTGAAGCGCGTGAAGCCTTTCATTGAGGATGGAGTCCATCCGCAACTTTTGATTCGTTCTTTCTCCAAGGCTTGCGAAGAGGTAAAGATTTTGAACATATCTTGGCATCAAAGAGTACTTTTCCTCAACTTAAAGTTTTTGATTCTAGGCTCTCAGCTACTTGAAAGAGCTGGAAATTAAAATCAGTGGCGAAAAAGAACTCCGCGAAATGCTCGTCAAATGTGCTGCAACTACGCTCAGCAGCAAATTGGTATGTTTATGTATATCAACAAAAAGTCTCAAAAAAGCTGAAAAAAGCATATTTTATGGACTTTTCTCAAGACATATCTTTCTCCGTGGGGCCGTGATTATTTATTTCTATGAGAAATGGTGAAAACTTTTTGTTTATATGGGGAGTCCAACAAAAAATTTCCGAAAAGCTCATAAAAAGTTTGTCGAAGCGGTTATTGTCATAGTTTGATCTTAAATTCTTCAAAAATACTCTGATGTTCCTTCTAGACTTTCCCACGTTAGTTAGACATAATGTTTCCAAATGATATCTATTCAGGTGAGCCAAGAGCGCGATTTCTTCGCCAACATGGTCGTCGACGCGGTGAATACGCTGGACGAGAGCCTTCCGCTCAGCATGATCGGTATCAAGAAAGTCAACGGAGGAAATTTGAACGTATTTTTAGTTCCATCAATATTGTTTAAAATTTTCTCATTCAGGAATCTCGTCTTGTAAAAGGTGTAGCCTTCCAAAAGGCATTCAGTTATGCTGGTTTCGAAATGCAGCCAAAGCATTACACCGGTGTCAAGGTATTCATTTCTTTTTGAAAATAGAGGGTCCATTTTTATATAAATTTGAAACGGCGATTAAGATTTTTTCCCTCTAGGTGGCGCTTCTCAACATTGAGCTGGAACTGAAAGCGGAGAAAGACAACGCTGAGATGCGTTTGAACACAGTTCAAGATTTCCAAGCTGTGAGTTTCATTGCATCTCCGTTCTTAATATCTAGAACTTTGACATTTCATGCGTTTTTTTTGAAGGTTGTCGATGCTGAGTGGAATATTCTCTATGAAAAGCTCCAAAAGATCGCTGACAGCGGAGCCAACGTTGTTTTGTCGAAGTTGCCGATTGGAGATGTCGCCACCCAATGGTTCGCTGACAGGTTTGATGGAAAACTTTATTAGTGAAGTATTTGAAAAATTTCGAGGCGCAAGTTTATTTTCCATGTTACTGTTATGTAGAAATAATAAGTACAGGACGACTTTTTTTGACAGTTTTTTTTATTTCTCTTAAATTTTGGAATTCAACCGCCTATTTTCGACATATGCGTATTGTGATGCGCCAACGGCAGCTTCATTCATTTTATCGAAAAAATCGTCAATTCAAGCTGGAAGGATTGCTTGTCTTTCATTAGCAAGTTAGAAATAGTTCAAAACGACGACCACTGTACTCCCTGTCTTTAAATAAGAAATTCCGATTAGAAAAAAATCTTTTTTAATTTTCCCGTAAAGAGTACATTCTCTTAGAACGTCAGAAACTTCTCGATTGCAGAGACATGTTCTGTGCTGGCCGAATCCACCAAGACGACCTCGACCGTCTTTTGGCGGCCTGCGGAGGTTCCATCCTGACCACCGTCTCTCAGATCGACGACAACGTGCTCGGCAAGTGCGGAAAGTTCTACGAGCAACAAGTTGGAAGCGAACGGTTTGTCCTCTTCTCCTTCTGATGATGAAGAGATATCTTCAATTGGTTCAATAAGCTGTTTTCAGGTACAACTTCTTTGAAGATTGCTCCAAAGCTCAAGCCTGCACTCTCTTGCTCAGAGGGGGCGCTGAGCAGTTTATCGCGGAAACTGAACGGTGATTTTGAGAAATTTCTAGGAATTCAGTTGACTATAGGTGCGATTTTAAAAATTCAATGGAAAATATAATGAAAAACAAGACAATCAGGGAAAGAGAAAGCCTATTCTTCATAATCTTGTATTTTTTAGCTCATTTCTTCGGAACTTTCCCATTGGATGAATTGAAAACTCGTTGAGAAAAAATTTTCATTGAGTTTTTATATGAATTTTATTTTTGTTTCAGATCTCTGCACGACGCGATTATGATCGTGCGACGCGCAAAAAAGAACGACTCCATTGTCGCAGGAGGCGGAGCCATCGAGATGGAGCTCTCGAAAATGCTCCGCGAAAAGGCGAAGTCCATCGCTGGCAAGGAACAGTTCTTCTGGCTCGCCTATGCTAGAAGCTTCGAAGTTGTACCTCTTTTTCAAGTCGCCATAAATTTGTGATTCTAGATTATCCCCCAGCAGTTGTGTCATAATGCCGGCCTCGACGGAACGGACATTCTCAACAAGTTGCGCCATAGACATGCTCAAGGTAAATTTAAATTCGAGAGAAATCGGTTTTTTCATAAATGATTCTTAGGCGAGAAATGGTCCGGAATCGACATTCACCGCGAAGCAGTTGGCGACAATCTCGCCGCCTGCGTCTGGGAGCCGAGCATCGTCAAGAGGGTTTGTTTATTTTTTAAATCAGAGTCGTTTATTAATGATTTTTTCTCAGTTTCTGTAAACTTTAAGAATCATCAATATTCTGCTTTTTTGACAACAAGATGGACAAAAGAGACAATCATTTTGAGAACTTTTATGTTTCTGTCCGCTTATCTGCATTAAAATTCACACTATTTTTTACGAAATATAGAATCGTTGCTCAATTTCGAACGATGTAATTGAACTGCTGTTCATGCATCAGAGCTTCCATGAATTAGGAATTTTTGGAGTAGTTGGAAGTTTCTTGTTGATGTCGTGTTCAAAGTATTTCCGCCAAATTTAAACTAACCGCCAAACAGTAGAACATGTAACTGGATCTCGGAGAGTCGGTGGGAATTCTGAATTTCGCGAAAATTACTTTTTGAGCACTGCATGAGTTTCTCTGCATAGGCACAGAAAATTTTGAAAAATTCGGGCATTCTCTCCTGAAAAAATCTCTAGAGCATGTTTCCTTATGGCGTTATATCAAATGCGACTCCTGTCAGCACAAAAGCATAGAATTTGGAATTTTTTACCTTCCTGACAGAACAGTCATTGTTTTAACATGGTTTCGAGGATTTCAAACTTTTTGCATTCTGATGTCCCTAGAGCTACCAAAAAATTAAAAAAGTCACTTTATTTCCACAGTTCGACCTTCTCTCTGGGAAACTGAATGTTTCAGAACGCGATAACGGCGGCGACGGAGGCGCTGTGCTTGGTGCTGTCCATCGACCAGACTGTGAAGAACGTCCGGACGCCTTCTGGCGGCCAGATGCCAGGACTTCCAGGCCAATAATCAACAGCCTCTTCTCCCGACAAACATTTTCCTTTTTTTTCATGCTTAATCTCCGGTTTGCTGTGTCCGCACCCCGATCTTTTCATTCACAAGTGTTCTCAAGTTTGCAATTTTCTACTTTTTTTGTTTGTTTGTTTTGTCCTTTTAGAACTTGTTGATTTGCTTGCTTGTTTCTTTTTCATTTCTTTGAAGAAAAAAAAATTAATTCCCACGAAGCTTTAAAACTTCAGAAAAACACATAAAAACAACAACAAAACGCATCGAAAAGCGAGCATTGGGTTACCAGTTTTCATAAGTATTTTGCGAACAACGGATACAGATTAGGGCAAAAAAGGCGAACATAAGGGAAAATATTAGCATGACAATATATCTTTGAGAAGGGACAAACTTAGAAAGAACCGGCGATGTCGTACATCTCTGAATTAAAAGGAAAAATCAAAAACTGAAAGCGAAAGTAAGTAAAGCCGTGAGCAAAAGCAAAGTTCGAATAAGGGAAAAAACACGGAGAAATGGGGGTTAATATTTTGCAAAAAAAAGGGGACCATTAGGTCCACGAAATTTGGCAGTGAAACTAAATTGGGAGCGGTTAACTCGTCTTTCCTTGAAAATCATCGGGTTATTGGATCATCTGAGCTTTCCTCATGCTAGACGTTGTTCTTGAGAAGCTGTCCGTCGCTGTGCAACGTTCTCCTGAAACGACCAATTTTTGTGATGAAATGCCTTTGAATCAAGGGAAAATGCAATCAACTGACTCTCGTTCGGCGACGTTGTAATGATCAGCCTTGTACTTGGTGCACCTTTGGCAGGTGTAAATGACCAGGAACAAAATCAGGAGGATGATCACAATGATCGCCAGGGGGAGGAGCCAGCCGTAATTACCTGAGAATACGAACTTTTTGAGGTTTATTAGGAATGGCCCAGGCTCACTACTTCTTCGAACTCAAAGATTTCCTAAAAGTTTGAGTCGATATATTTTTCAAGAAAAAAACGCATCGCTTTTCAAAATAAGAAAACCTCACCCCCAACTTGAAGCTCCTGGTCGAGTTTCAGCTCAAAGTTCTGCTCGAAGTTGTCCGATGTAACAGGGAAACTGTTCGTCGCAACGCATCTGAAATACGAAATTATAAGATCATTTTTCTGTGGATCCATGTAAAAGAATAAATTTTGAATAACAGCGTTAGTCGTTAAATTCCATAAGAGAAGAAAAAAATCTTATTTCTTTTTAAAAATGTCACATTTCGATTACCTATTTCAGAACTTTCTTTTAAAATTCAGAAAAAAAGCTTTGTATTTTTTCTCAGTATTTCCCAAATGTTTATAAACAACCTGTATTTGAGTTCTTCATTCCTTTATAGTTATATACTCTCTTCCTTTGAAACTTCACTTTTTTCTTCAATTATTCCTAATTTTCTAAAAATTTTAAAAGTACATTTGAAATTGAAAAAAAAAACTGTGTTAGTCGTTTTTTTTTCTTCTGAAAGCAATGAGAGCTGTCCTGGGACTTTTTTTTTCCTGAAAATTACAAACTCGGACCTGTAGAGGCCCTTGTCCTCGTCGGAAACGTCTTCGATCTGCAGCGAGTCGCGGTGGATGATGTGCCGTTCATCAGCTTCTGAGAAGGGAGTAGTTTCACTCAGGGAAGAAAAAGGAAGGAGACGGACCAACGGGGAACTTGTCCTTGAACCAGACGATGTTTGGCTCCGGATAGCCTATTACAGGACACGGGATGAACACCGTCTGTTTGTAAGTCGCCGAAATGGGCTCGCCCTGAAAAGTTTGCCAATTACTGAAGATTTGGACCAGGGTTCGTGGTTTTCAGAACTTGGACGCAAATTGACAAAAAGTTGACTTTTTGTTCTGAAAACAGTTTCAGACGGTCGAAGCAAGACATTATATGGAAAAAAAGAAGCATTCAAAGGCAAAGACTCTGAATTTTGGAACTAATTGGACTTTACAGATAACATACTTTTCCAGGCATTTTCATAAAAACGAAATTTTGAATTTGAGACTGTAAGAACTAGGCAACGATTTATTGAGATCTATCGCTGCCAAGTCTATTTTTCCCTGCTCCTTTTTCTAAAGGCGGCCGTACAATAATATGTCTTAATCAGTTTCAAGACCAAGGTCGAAATTCCCAGTTTCCAGCCATTGGACTGCCGCTATTGCCCTTTTTCATAGATTCTGAAAGGGGAAGAAAAGATTTTGATGCGCCATATCCAAAACTTCAGAAAATGCGTCTTTTTGGAATTAATAACCAAAAAAAGAAAAAAAGGTGAACAATGGAAGCCATCAAAGTACAAATGGAATGCAAGTACACCATTCATTTTTCCGGTCGGAAACTCACGAGAACAAGATCGGTCTCCGCATCGCCCATTTTCAAAGGGTACGAGTCGTTGTTCTTGACGATTGGACGAGCTGAAAATCTTCTCAACTGGAACGTCCGCATTTTAGAGATTTACAGTAAGCGAAGAGGTTGCCGAAGGTGTGATTTCCGTCGGCGGCGCGGATTTCACAACGATATTTTCCCGCGTGTTCGGCAGAAGATTTGCCAAAGTGCAGACGAGCGCGGTTCATCTCCACGTCGATGTCAGCCTGAATTTCTCCAGATGCAGCTCTTTTGGTGATACCTTTAAAATGAAGAAAATCATTTTTTTTCGCTGTATTTAAACCAGGCTTTTGCAAGGGACGGCCCGTCAGCCGATCGGCCCCCGGTCAATTTCTAAGCCCGGCGCGGCCATAGAGAGGCCTCGAGCAAAAATGGCCGGCCAGAAAGATTAAATTTTCTTCAAGTCGATTATCAATTTTTTTTTTCACGACAGAAATCATTTTTGCTTATTTTTTTACTTAGAGGTCAACAGAAACTATGATTTAACAAGTAAAAAATATTTATCGGTAAAATTTTTTTTAATGAAATCTAAAAATTTTTTCGAAGGCTGTCCTGGCCCAAGCCCGCGCAGCCTTTTTTTTCAATTAGCCATTTTTTCTGATGGTATTTCAATAATCTTTTCGAATGGATCATTCCAAATCGAAATTGCATGGAGAGTAGAAAACACAACCCTCAACATTTTTCAGAGTACACACAGCTGGAAACCGCAGTTGTGCGAAAAAAAAGCCACGGACCATAAATATTTTGTTGTCGGTCGGCCGAAGAAATCTTCCCCAAACGGTCCTCACAAGCTTTCCATCGAATTTGCTGGTCGCCTGGCACCTGCAAGAATTATTCAATACCAAAAACAAGCAGTTAAGAAGCAGAAAAGAGGCTGAAATATTCAAATCTCACGGATTTATTTCTGGATCAACATCATTTCGTGTACAGAGATAGCTTTGAAAGTCTCCCTTTTCGTGCGAAGCTTATCACGACACGATTCTTGGAATTCTCCATCATTTTTCAGAATCATATACTTTGAACTGATGGAAGGTTCGCAGAAAAACTCGACTTGGAAAAAACATTTACGTCTCTGTTGAGTCTTTTTCCCATAAAAATGTGGAAGAAAAAATCCCCGACCGTACCAAAGATCGTTAGTGGGCGGTCTTTCGGGGTCAATATCCGTGGAGAAGTAGTTCTCGCCCTTGATGATAATCGCCAGGTTCCCCATGGCGATCAGGTTGGTCTCTGCAGTTGCTCCAGCCCATTGCAGCGCTAAAACGTTCTATCTGATTGACGAAACGCCAAATTTAATGATATCAATACCCAGAATGACGGCGGTTAACACGGCCACACCCATTAATTGCAACGATCAGCCTCGGCGTCTGAAGAATGTTTTTATTTGTTGGAAATTCGATCGAATTGATCTCAACGACGCAAAACCGCGAAAAAATAGATTGAGAAACGAATATTTGAAAAAAATTGCTCAAAAATATATAGCGTTGAATGGAGAAAAAGAGAACTAAAATTTTTTTTTATCTAGCAGACGAAAAAAAAAATTAGGACACATGAATCACTCAATCTTGCTTTTTCTAAATAAACAAAAAAGCAATGTCTGATTCATCAAAAAGCTTTTTTTGCGATATATGAACGAGGGAGATAATAAACTGAATACTGAAAAAATTTGAAAGGATGCGAAGCAATTTCTACTAATTTATGAAACTATTGCCAGAGGAAAAACATGAAAGATGATATGAAGACCCCTGAGAAAATGAATAACAAAGTGGCCTTTTGTAACGTCCCCATCTGTTGAAGAAATATATGAAATGAAACAAAAAAATTATATTTTATCAATATATCTTATTATCAATATATTTTATATTTTATCAACTTTGAATAAGATTTTCAAAGCAAAAAGTAGTTCAAACAAGCTTTTTACACTGGAAGAAAAAAAGGTGAAAAAAAGTAAATTGATGGCCTCGCCGAGAGCGCCTCCGCGAACAGCTCACCTATCACTGACAGCAATTATCTCATTATGATGCTTTCAACTTCAAAATTATAGAATTTCATTTTTTTTTTGTTTTGAACGGTGCCACTTTTCACAGGGAGTCTAGTTGACCATGGGAAGCTTGAAATTTGGAAACCGGATGAAAAAGGGTAAATAATATAGCGAATCTCCCAATTTTTGTCTTTGACTCTATTAAATATCTTGTTCTTCAAGCAAAAACTTCAGAAATTGCGTCACTGCACTGCAAGAAACTACGAAACAAATGGCAGACGCATTCGACAACGAAAAAAAACAAACAAAAGTTAAAAGATAGGAGAAACCAGGGAGAAAGGAACACCGCAAAAGAAAAAAAAAACAGTAAAAGTAGAAAACCGGTTTATAGTTTAAAACTTTCAAAGGATTGTTCTGGAAGGGAAATTCAATTTGAGTTATTCCTAGCAAAGAAAACTATAAGCATACAGTCAAAAAAAAAAATTAAGTATAATGATTCTAGGGCTGGTAAAAAAAAAAGAAGAGGAATGGAAGTGTACTCGAGCTACTGCTGTTAAAATTATAGACAGCATTTCAAAGTGCTAAAAAATCCAAAATTCTCTTTAAGTGCGTTTACATTAATTCCTCCTATTCACATCTATTTGTGCAGCTCGGAAGTCCCCATTGTCTTTCACAACGTTAAGGCCGATTGTATCCAAACTGATCGCCTGCTTTTTTTCTCTCTATCACTCTGAATTTAAAAAAAAAAGTTTTTTTTTCAAAACTGTTTTGAACGTGTAGAACTACAGAAAGTCCGAAAGCGTTGTTCAGAAGTCTGAAGCTAAATTGGTTGGGAATTCGGAAACCGCCTGTGAAAGCCTTGTCTTAAACCAGTTCGATTTTGATGTTTGAATGAGAAAACATTTATTTGAGCCTTCATAAGCCTAAGAAACATATTTTGAAGAACTGTATTAAAGATCCAATCGAGAGAGAAGGAAATAACACTCGCTGTGGCCGATGGTGGGGCCGCATGGCTACCGAACAACATCAGAAGACGTGGATGCGGGAAGCCGATTTATGAGCACAAGAGCGCAAAAGATAAGAATGTTTGTTGTGGCGCGGACGCCTCGCCAGTGAAAAAAACTTCCATTTCAGGGCGGCTCTCGGCGCCGCCACACATCGACTCGAATGTGTGGATTGCAGTACGGCCTCACCACAAGAAAGACGCCGTAACACGCGAGAAGAACAAATGCCGCGACGGCCTTTTTTCGGCGACAACACAAGCGCCACGGACGACGACGTGACACATCCGGTGAATCATCACGTCTTTTTTCCCTTGTTTCGTTTCACAAAAACGGGCCTGGCAAAACAAAATACACTCAGAATCCGCCAAGGTATACTATGTGCGGAAGCTGAAAAGTTAGGCTACATGCATACATGAGCTCATCGTTTCTTTTTTTTTTTGGAAAAAGTCGGAAAAGCCAATTTTCCGGACAATGACTAGTGATTATTCATCCCTAGCTTGTCACATGAAAATGCACAAGATACTTTATACTTCTTTTTTTCGCCATCACAAGGCAACATTTTTTGAAAATTAACTCATTATCTGACATCTGTGAGAGGCTTAATTTAATATGGTTCAAACATCTTCAAAAATGTATCTGGGATCGTTGAGATGGCTCAGAGATCTTTAAAAATTAAATATACAAAAAAACTTGAAACTTCTGATATCAGGGAGCCTTAAAATGTTCGTTATTTGAAGACGTCGAATTCAAGTCAACTAAATCTGAGAAACAAGTTTTTTTTTTTGCATATTAGGATACGATGGTTGTGCTCACGAATGGACAAGCTATCGTCGACGTCTTCGGAATAAAAAACCCTGTCAGTGATGGGAATTGTAATAAAGGCAATTTCGAGTGCAAGAAAGCGTTTTCATACGAAAAAAAAAAGAGCCCTTAAGTATGCATTAAATACGCTCGACCCGGAATTTACGACTGACAGCCGACTGAAACGATTGGCCGAAAAGTTTGAATTATACGAACTACGCGCCATTAGTTGCCAAAACTTTCAAAGAAAAAGGTAAGAAAAGAAGAAAGAATTAGAGAATGATCTAATATTATCAACACCTATCGACTTGGTCGAGTACAAAAGCTTTGTACAGAAAAAAAAAAATCTAAAATAGTTTATCTGGGAATGAGAGGTCCATAATTCCATCTAAATCGTACCTAAGACGAGTTTGATAGATTCTAAATTCACTGAAAAAATTGGAACATATACTGATTTATATAATACTTGTGGGAAGACGCAAAAAATCATCCATAGTTGAAAGCGAGAAAAAAAAAGAAGAAGCTTATAAAAGGGCAAAAGTTGGAACAAAGCTGCCTTGTAAACGCGCAGGCCATTTTTCAGCGAGAAATGATTGACAACGAAAGGAGAATGAAGCAAAAAAGACGAAACGACGTCGGAAATGCGCACTGGCAGGAAAGAGTAGAAAAACAAACGCCCCGTAGAACATGCCGCACAAAGCTCACCCATCTTTTGCGTTTTTCGTTTTTTTTTATTTATTTATGAATGACGCCGAAGGGCAGAGAACGCGCAATTTGAATGATTTATTTATGGTTCGCACAGAAAGCAAAAAGGAAACCAAAAAAAAGCAATTTTCCTTGAAAGTTCAATTTTTGAAAAAGAAAAAACGAAAACTCCAATTAACATTTTTGTAACCCGTAATGCTCATTTATCTTAATAAGAAAAACATTATTGCAAGAAGTTTCTATAGAAATTTTCAAAATTTAGCATTTTGTAACAGTTTTTGTTTCATTCTCTGTGAAGAATAATTCGTAAACAAGAAAGAAAAGATGAAAACGCGGAGAAGAGAAGAATCATAAACAAGAATTCGTACATGGCCACGTCGATTCAGGAGAACGAGATTAGAAAAGGAGCAAAATAATAGGAGAATTCAATTCGGAAGGGTCATTTGAGCAAAATTTGCTACGCTCCGCAAAATTTAAGAATTACGGCTGCGTTTTCAGAAATTCATTTTGCATCTCGCAAAAAGATTCAAAAATGAGCCTTCGAAAAACGCCGAATAATGTAGAAACTCGCATTGAGAAAATGGCCATCTCATTTCAAACGCAGACGAAAATTAAAGAAAAAAAAAATAATTGCTGGCTTCATGAACAAAAAAATGCACATGCGCATAAATTTGAAGAAACGTGTTATTATACGAGATTATAATGATTTCCCAGAAGCGGTGCATGGAAAAAAAATATGAAAGAAATGCAGTAAAGCTCGAAAAAGAAGAAAAAAAAAAGGTGAAACGAGCACAGCCGCGGGGGGTTTTTATGAAAGGAGCGTGGTCGTTTGAAATTTGAATTTCGCGCGCTTTTTTTAACCGCTTGGGGCCGGCGCCAAAAGCACGTCAGTTTGAAATTCAAAGTTGACTAGAAAAAAAAATGAAAGAGATATATCTGTTAGAAGTTTCACATCGTCTTCGTGGTCTCGTGAAAATATTCTAAATTCATGATTTCCATTGTCAACGAGAAATTGATAAGATAACGAAAACAGCCGTTGTTTCTGTTAAAGCAGTTATCAGTAGTATAAAATTTTGAATCTTTTCATGGAACGACTGGAAAAAGTATTTTTAAAAAAATGAGAAAAAAAATATTAATATATTTCGAGTTTAAATAGTCAATTCCTTTCCTTTTTTTCACACCTCAATAGGACAATCAGCGGGAAACTTTTTTAATTCAGTCTTTTTTTTACAGTTTTTGGTGCTGTGAAAAATCTAGATGGTGAATAAAAAAAATCAAAGTGCATATAGGAAAAAAAGATGTTTCGCGTAGTGCAAGTGGGCACTGGGGACCGCCTTTTTACACTTGGCTCGCATGTGTTTTGCATGACAAAAACGCGAAACGATGCGACAATCAGCTGTGGTGGAGATGTCGCCGAGACATCCGATGAGTTTGACCTTAAAATCTATCCAATTGCACTAAAAACTCTGTTTTGTAGAAAGGCAGAACGCCGGGAACAGAGCCTTGGACGAGTCTACTATTGCCAAAAAATAATCCGAATGACGACATTTTTAATACGATTGGACATTTTTGAAAAAAAAGTGCTAAAAACGGCTGGGCGAACTGAAAGTGATGGATCGACTCGTTCTGCGTCGACGGAAAGCAAAACACGACCTTCAAAAAAGGTTGCAGGCGTGAAAAGTTGTAGGATAGGGCCATTAGCGATCTAATCTATCTTTTTTATTTTGAGAAACTCTTTCAGAGTTTTTATTTTTTTAGCTGTTGTATTTTAAGAATAAAATTTCCCGGAAGACACATTTGTTCGTTTTACCCCTTCTCCTCCTTTCTTGAAGACTCGCCCAGATCGGCATAATACATCTTGGGATAAACGAGCAGAAGTAATTTGGAACACCGTTTTTTGAAAGGAGCCTTTGCTTAAACTAAGGATATTCATTTTTTAAAAACAGAAAATAGTTTTGGATCACAATGATATAAACGGCGTCTAGTTCGGCCGAACTGTGCTGCAGCTGCTCTCAAAAACTAGATAGAAAAATGCTGCTTCATACATCGAGTTTGGTCTTTTCATTCTAAGTTTTTAGTTTCACTTACAATTTTTTTTTGGTAAAAATTCTAGCTTTTCCTAATAAAGCATTATGCCGTGTTCAAATTTGAACAAGTAATTTCCGCGAAATGCGAAATTGTCTCTGACACTCCAAAATTTAGTTATCTTTCTCTTTCTCTGACGGCTATTTTGAATTTCGCGGAATCACTTTGAACACGGCATTAAAATCGAAATATTCACTTTTTTTCTTTCTTTGTGTGAGAAGAAGCTTGTTTGTTTATGAACAAGTTTCAACTGAACGCAAGCTTCTCCGAGCGCTCGTTCAATCTCAAAATTATTTGTTTTTGTTTCGACGTGTTTTTCTTTACAGTTTGTGTGAATACCCTTTGCTTCTAAATTTGAGATAAACTACTGAAAAGGTTTTTTTTTTCTTTCCCTATTAACGCCTGTTCAAGGTGGTTGGTTGTGTTATGGTAATTGAGAATCTTTTTTTTTGGGAATGGCTTATTTATCCGTAGACGAATCGAAATCAGGTAATAGAACTATACCGAGCATATACCTCAAAACGGATCGGGATGGTATAATAAAACTTCATCGTCCTAGCTCCTGTATATGCTTCAGACCTATCGGAGCTCTACCGCTAGTGCTGAATGGTATACCGCAAGCCTGTCGCAATTTCCTCAAATTTTGCAAGGTTTGGACCGTGGTACATACCACCGTTAGGATTCGCACCCTTCGATAGACTATTGACTATCGCGATACCCTTGCCCGATTCGTGTGTCGAGACGTGGATTCTCTTAACACTTCCAGAAAGGGGTTCTTAAAAAAAATTGAAAAAAGGACGCTAAGAATAACTGCCGAGATAACCGCGAGACGCTGGCGGTACATTGACAAACTCGCAAACATGTCGCTTTTTCCTAGGCGTGACCTCGCATTTCGAAAATTTTCAAATTGCGAGAGAAATGCGAGCTCGTGCCCAGAAAAATGCGAGACCGGCGCGAGGACAGAGCGAGATGAGGAAATTTCTAATTTTGGAGAGTCAGAGACCATTTTACATTTCGCGAAAATTACTTTGAACGGCGTAAGAAATTTCGAAATTTTTTACGTATCTTTTGGACAGTGCTACGGTCAATATTGCGCCATCCGTGGAGCCAGGAAACTTTTTATTGATTTTTCTTTTCTGCAACTTGTTAAGGACACATTTATCGAGGTTTCAAGATAAGTTACGTCAAAAAAAGTGCACAAAATTTAATTTTATTACTGAAAAACCTATCTGAACTACCGTAGTACGACCGGCCGCCTTAAACAGGCGTTCAACAGGCGTAAACAGAAAATTTTCCGAACTAAAAATCAGAGTTATGATATCAGTTGTGTGGACCTACCTTACTTCGTATTAAAAATTATACTTCTATTGAATCTAATTTTTGAAATGATGGTCGCTTAGGGAATAGTTCTTATAGTTTGGTCCCAAGCTAGCATGGAATGGAATTTATTATGATGAATTTACACAACAAGTTTTCGAGAATCAAAAGTTAGATGCTTGAGGCATTTTATCGTAGTTTCATTGCATGACTCAGGGCCAGACGCACGTGGCGTAGGATATTTGGAGGATTTCGCCCCTGGACACGAGATGAGACGAATTTGGGAGGCCAAATCGTCATGGCAACGTGGCAAACTTCGGAGGCGAAAAGTCCGCCTTGAGCTCGTCCTTAGTCGTCATGATTACCCCGCCATTCAACGCCTTTTGATCGCTTTTTCAATAGGTACGTAATCCTCTTTTTTTCCCTTTTGCTTCTATTCTTTTTTCGAATGTTTAGTGCTTCAGTTAGCCTTCAGCATGTTCAGGTTGTCCCTTTTTCGCTTTTTTTTTGTTGATTTTTTGATGTTAAAAGTATGGCTTCCAAGGACTCCTAGGAAAGTCAGGAGGACTACACAAATGACAGAATATAAGGTGTTTGCCGGATTCATTGATGCGGAAGCCTCTGAAAGAAGTGGGCAAGGGCGAAAACTTCTTTTCACTATTGTTTCAGAGCGAAAAAAACGTTGTCATTAGTGCTTTTTTTGCTGAGGTGAAACTTTATTTTTTTATTTTTTTCTATATGAATAGTTTCATATTCAATTAAAAGCCGATTCTACGTAAGTTTTTTTGAATAAAAGCTGCAGCAGTAGTAATAATAAATTTTCTAAAACACTGAACTAAAAAAAGTTTTTTTCAAACCAAGATCTTTTTGATTTGTTCACAGATCAGAGAAAAAACTGGATATTGAAATGTTAAAAACAATAGCCTAATAACTTTTCCATTTCACAGAAAAGTCAAAATAAGCCATTAAGAATACGCGGACACAACTTCAAAACAGCAGGTGCTAACGAAAAATAGGCCAATGATTGAAATATGTTCATTTTTTGATACTTATTCGGCTTCTTATTTTCGAGTTTTTCAGGTCCTACGCCAGAAGCCTCGCTTCGAATATGTCTCTGATCCGGGCCCTTGACAAGCTCGACAGAGATGAAACTGCGCGAATCCTCGAGACCATGCCGGTTCGTCTGTTTTGAATAAACATATTTTGTGAGTCGGGAAAAGTTATTAGGAAAAATTCGAAAAAACGTGAAATCATTAAGTCGAGAAGAAACAAACTGTGAATCTCAAAAGAGCTTAGGGTCACAGTGTTTGCAGCGAGTTTTCAGATTCATACTTAACAATGCTCCTTTTCTGTTTCTGATTTCGAATCTGTGCTTGAAAATTGAAAAAAAAAATCTCTGGGAAAAGTATGGTCGCTAAAAAAAAACTTGACTCAACTTGACAGAACGAAACAATATTTCAAACAAAAACCAAAGAGAAGAAGTGAATTGCAGTCGGAAGTAAGCGTCCGGGACGAAGAAGACCGCGTCGCCCTGCACTACGCCGCCGAAGTCTGTGACTTGGAAACTTTCCAACGAATTTTCAATGAAAATCCTACCTTGTTAGATGTGACGGATAAAAATGGGTCAGCAGTATACTTTTGCTAGGAGTAAATAAAGTGAATTTGAAGACACACTCCGTTACTAAACGCGCTGATGGCTGGTCGCATTGATATCGCCGAGTTTCTGACTTCAAAAGGGGCCAACGTCCATCAAATTGACAAAGAGGGGCATAATGCTGTTCATTGGACGGCCGTCTGTGGACAGGTAACCAAAAACATCTTCCATTCATTCACGAGTTCTCCAGGTGGAAGCCCTCAACTGGGCTGTTTCCAAGGGCGTCGAAGTGAATGCTCACGATTCAACGGTTTTCGGGTCAAGTTATTTTCTTTCAACAAAGTCTTTCAGCAGAATGCTTGTCCACTTCATTACGCAACGGTGGCGGATGAAGTTCCAGCGGAACTTGCGCTGTCCGTTTTGGTGACTCTTTTGAAACACGGGGCCAACGCGAATTGTAAGGACAAGGACGAACGGACCCCCATTCTCTGGTGTGCGAGCAATGGTGAGGGGAGGAAGGAGCCGAATGAGTGGAAAGTCTCAGGAAATGTCCAGGCGATGAACACTCTGAAACAAGCCGGCGGCGACATGTTGGCCAAGGACCGCGACCATCTCGGCGCTCTGCACTGCGCTGCCAGCCATGGGTATCACGAGGTTCATTTTGAAAAAGAAATATAGAATTTCCATATTTTGAACTCAAAAAAATTAGACGAAACTAGACTTATAGAATGCGTCAGAGTTACGGAAACATCTCACAAAAAAACATAAATTTCGATTGAGCGACAATTTCTCTTTAAGAATAGGTTTTCAAAGTTTTAACTAGACCTTCTGATGTCCCTTCTTTTACTGCGTTCAGTTGCAAAGAAAGCAAATTTTTCATAAAAAAATTTAAAAAAAGTGAATCCTTGAAGATTTAGACAGAAATCGCAATCAGGAAACAGCTAGTCTCACCAGAAAACCGTCAGATTTTTTTCAAAAAGCTTTAAAAAAAGATTTAGAAAGCCTTTAAAAAATCTTTCAGGTGATAGAACTGGTCATGAACAGCATCTCTGCGAAGCATGTCGACGAAGAAGACCGAGCCGGCCACACGGCGCTCTTTTATGCCGTCACCTTTGGTCATTACGAATCCGCCCTCAAACTTCTTCAATATGGCGCCAATCCAAATCACCAAGTCAGATTTCCAGAACAAGACTTCCCTTCAAATTGAAAATGATAGGATCACCGACTGCGGACCCCGTGTCATTGTGCCGCTGCGAAGGGCCAGATGAGAATGCTGAAACTTCTGAGACAACACAACGCCTCCTTCGAAATCCAGAACTACAGAGGCGACATGTCTTTCCATGAAGCCGTGCAGACCGGCAGCAAAGGTTGCGAAACAGAGAGTCAGCCCCGATAAATGAAGAACATCAGACGTCGTCGAATGGCTTCTCGCCATGGATCCTTCAACTCTGGATGCGCCCAACCACCAAGGAAGAACTGCTCTTCATCTCGCTGCCGCGTCTGGTTTTTCTCTCGGAGTTTGAAAATATTTCTGACGAGCCGTCTTTCAGGAAATCTCGAAATGGTCATATTTCTCTGTTCGAAAAAATGCTTCGTTGATCCGTTGATGCTCTACAAAGTAAGTTTCAGTTCCTCAAGTTTTCACTATTTTCATCTTTTTTTTCCAGGATGTCATATATACACCTCTAGATATTGCCAAGAAACAGAAACATGAGGTAAGGGGAATCCCCGAATTAGGATGTTTCAAGTGAACTAAGGTGATCGTGGAGTATCTAACTCAGCAGTTCAACGCGCAGTCAAGCGATCAAATGGAGCCCGAAACCGTCCAAAAGTGGCGTCTTTCATTCGAAGAGCAGATAGTGCAAGGTGAGCTTTGAGATGGAATCAGAACGTGTAAGTTTCAATTTTCAGCCAAACTCGACCGAGTGAAAAGAATCGCGGAATCACATAAACTGGCTGAAGAAGAAGAAAACCCCAAAAAACGGAGTATCATTTCAGAAAAAGCTGTGAAGATCGACGCCGCTGTGAATACTTCAGTAGGATTTCTTTCTCAGTTATTTCGTTTGAGTTGAAAATTTAGAGCCGACAACTGAGCTCAGCCGGTTCAAGTGTTAGAGTCGCTCTCACCAAAGCAACTTCCACTACTCAGTTGGAAGAAGTCAAAGAGCCTCTCGAGGTATCTCTCAATACATGATTCGCCTTTGGAAAAAAATCATTTTCAGAAGAAAGTTGTGGTCAATGAAGAGAAAGCAAAACTTTTCAACGTCGATGAAGACTTTGAGGTTTCAGAGCTTAAAAAATCAGTTGAAGTCGATTTTTAGAACTTGCCTGCGATTTCCGATGAAAGCGAGTACGAAACTGAGAAAGAAGAAGAAGAAGAAGAAGAAGCAGGAGAAGAGGGGGACGTTGACCAGAAGGTGATGGACAAGGAGAATATCAAACGTCGTTCGAAGAGCCTTCCGAAGTTGAATTCTGGAAAGGAGAAGGCGGGAGATGGATCTAAGAAGAAGGATACGGTGAGCAACAAAAAGCGAGTTGAATTATCAATCTCCTCCGACAAAGTCAAAAAAAATGTCAAAACTTGAGGGAAGAAATTTTCATCAAAGGCTACATATTAATTTTTTTTTGGACTGGCCGGTACACTGACCAAGTTTACGATGCTCAACTGAAATCAAAATATTTTCTGTAATTCATCTGAAAAATGATTATTTTTCAGAAAACTAAAGTAATGATGAGGGTACGGAGAGAACCCGAGTTCGGGAACGACGTCGGGGAATTCGAAATCTACGAAGACGACTGGGAGCAAGTTCCCAACGTGAAAAGAGCCGTCGGTCAGCTTTTCCCAAACTTCCGATATTTTCAGATAGTTACAGGCAAAGACGCGAACCGGAAATACATCCACGAAAAGGCGATTTTCCAAGAACTGACGCATCTGAAACGAATGCAGATTCAGTACGGGAAAGTTCAAGAAAGGATTTTGGTTCGGTCGCTTGTCGCGAACTTCTGCAAGATGCACGGCTTGGATCCGGCCAACTTCAAGTTCCACACTTTTTACGCTTGGGAGAAATTCCTTTACGGCAAGTATTCATTTCTAGATGACTTGCGAGAAATGGTGGCGCAGTTTGGAAGGTTTCATCTTTATTCGAGAAAAAAAAATAGAGAAATGAAATTTTGAAGTGGCTGCATAGCAGATTTTTGATTATTGGCTCAATTTCTCTCAGAAAGTCGTAGATCAAGTTTTTTTTCGCTAGTTACGTTTTGCATACCAAATAAACAATCCTCCGTTTTCCAAGATCTGTATTTTTTTTCTTTCAAACTAACGAATCGATAGTTTTTTTCAGATTTTTGGGTACTTTATATTTTATTTTCTATCAGAAAAAAAGAAAAAAATTGGCGGTTTCAGAATAAATTGTTTTTCAAACTAAAAGAAAAAAATGCAAATTTGTGCCAGAAGTACTTCGTAGCGTCGTCGTAAATCTACGCGAAAGCCAAAAAGTCGTTCGCCTTTAAATTTATTTTTCGTAATTTCCTATCAAAGCAATGAGATTAAGGAAACTTTGCAGAAGCAGTTCCATTTCTTCCATTTTGAAAATCATTTTTCTTTACCAAAAAAGGTTACTAGGAAGAATTCATTTCATTTTATCTTGCGAATAGAATTTTTCAACTGCTTTGAAATACAGCAGCTCTAAACCTTCAAAAACTGCGCCAATTATTTTCTAGTCGGCTTCACAGCCGCGGCTTCTTTGCTTGCACGCCAGCAGCTCTCCTCATTTTCAGACGCGCTTTCAGAGCAGCTCAAGACCATCTACCTGGACGAACGGGAGAGGCTGACGCAGGCCCGTGGCGACGGCGACAAGTTCCAGAAGAGGGCGGCCCGCAGTGTTCCCTTCAACGAGAAGATGAAGGAGATGCGTCGGGCCTACAACGGCGGCCTCACGGCCAGCACCGCCGCCGCCAACCGCCACAAGAAGCTCTTCGAAGGTGGAAAACGCTGCGATTGCCTCGACAAGCACTTGCTTCTTCAATGAAAAATGTTAGGAAAACTTGTAGTTTAGAGAGAAGAGAAAGAACTTGGTAGTTATAGTAGATTTCCTTCTGGGAACTCTGTTTTAGTTTTTTAACTGTTTTTACTAGCCTTGATTATCCAGTCTGAGTAAGACTTGATTGAATCAGTAAATATTACTTCTACAACGAGCCAAATAAGTTAGACCTACCCTAATAAATAGTTCAATAAGGGATTCCATTTTAGGTTTTTATAAAATCTAGAAAAAGTCGAAAAATTGAATTTTGAAAAGATTAGCTCGATCTGGACTTTTTTTTCAGTAAAGTCTCACTGAACTTATCTAGCACTTGGAATGAAGACAGTATCTGAAGAATCTCTGTCACAGTTTTAGTAGCACTTTTGCGAATATAGACTAGATAGTTTAGTGACAAGACGGATCAACTAGATTCCACCTAGCCTAGCTAAAAATAGATTTCCTGGGAGAATGAGAAAAAGAGCATCCTGAGAAGCTTGATCTTCTCACTTTCTTTCGAAATTGCTATTCAAACTTCCAAATGTCGTCGATTTCATTGCCGTACTTCGTGAATAAACTCTTCCTGCTTATTTCTGTTTTAGTTTTGTTTGGATTCAAAGGAGTTAAAGTCGGACTCATCACTGGTTAGGAAGATTTGTCCGTTGCCCTGAAAGGCTATTTGATTTGAACAGAAAAAAGGTCGGACTTGGCGGCATCTGGGACGAATCGATGAGGCCGGCGGCTCCGTGAGCGTGAGCGCCGCCTTTTTTCCGCTTCTGTGAGCGCTTATGCTTAAGCTCAGCATGGCTCCTCTTCGTCTTTTTTTCCTGTGCCTTCAGATTTTCGTGCCTGATATGTCAAATTGAGTAGTGATTCAATGAATGAATCGCTTCTTTGTTCATTTCGTCCCAGGAGCTTCTTCTATGAGAAATACGGAACTCATCAGGCTCAGGAGGGAGTCTCGCCAAATTCGATTCCGTTCTGCGTTCCGTCGACAACTGTAAAAATACTAAACTACGTGTTCCATTTTTCGTGGAGGTCTTTTTTCTCTTTTAAGCGACGTCGTGAATATCTTTTTAAAAAATTTGAAAATCAAAAAACCCTCTTTTCACTGAAAAAATATTTTCAAAAAGTTACATAATTAATTATCTTCAAGCTCCTTCTTTGAAGAAGTCCGCCGTTTTGCAAAGATTTGCTCATTAATTTACAAAAAAAAAAAAACTTTAAATTGGTTCTCAATGAACCTATTAGGAAAAAGATCGAACCTTCTTTTTTTCTTAGTTGAGATGGACTTTTATAGACTTATTTCGTATTTAATCCTCACATTTGTAGCTCCAAAATATCAGAGCCGCCTACGCTTTTCTCTCTCTCTCTTATTTGCCATTTCATGGCAAAAGGAGCGAAGGAGGAAATTTTTTCGGAACCTTCCTCTTCAAGAAGCTTTCGTTCTTTAATCCAAACTGAAAAGAGTATAATCCTGAGCGGCTGGGAAACTTTTTTGGAAGAGTTCTGACTTTCAATCTTTTGATCCTTTTGTTTAAGTTTATCAGAGGACTGGGGGAAGAGTTTGAGTTTCAACACACCGGAAACGCGCAAAATCCTTTTCTGCACGCTAAATGATTAGAATGAAAAGAAACTGTACACACTATTAGAGGGTTTCTGAAAAAAATAATAAAAAAATGACTAAGAACCCGTTGAGTAAAGAAAAAGAAGTTCCAGGAAAATCAGAACACTTCAGATTTCGGTCGAAAATATTTGTAGAAGAAATAAGACGCTTGTGTATTCGTGCGTGTAGTTGCATTCTTGCATTTTCGCCTTGGAAAAAAATAATATTTTTTTGAACTCTCGAATGTGTGAATTTTCTCTTCAAAAAAATAACTAGACTCAAATTCAACTACTTTTCTAATTTTAAAATTGGCATTGAAGCAGTTTTGTTGTCTGAAGGGAAACTGCGCTGAACGCATCTGGATACATTTACGCGGGTTCAAAAGGACCTTCACTGGGTCTTCCGAACGATAAAAGGTCGCAGGAGTAGTATATCAACCTCCCTTGCGCGTTCGAAGAACCCAGCTGGCATTCGGGACCAGACTCTAGACGGAAATATTACTCAAACTAGAGCCGACGGAACGGCGTCGTTATTTTGGCGGGAGAAGTTGGGCAGGAGGGAGTCCCCTCGGCATTGTTTTTGGAGAGAAGATAATAAGCCTGGTGAAGACATGATATTTGGCGAGACTCCGGAGCCTCGCCCGAGTATCGACCGGCCTCCGACGTCTCTGCCACTTCCTCCCACGTTGAATTGCATCTAATTGTTGCCCCGGAGTCGCTCATTTCCAAATAGTTCTCTCTGCCATCCCAAGAACAATCTTCTTTCCATTGATTTTGGATCACTTCGAATATCTCGACCTTGTCTTCGTGGTCCACTTCCCTTTTTATTATCTTATCAAAGTTCTTTTCATCATTTTCTTTTCTCGTTATGAACTTCTTATTATTCTAGCTTTCTAGAACGAAAAAAATGAAAAATAAAAAAAGTTCTTCTCCCTTTTTTTCTCTTTCACGAATTTGTTCATAGATTATTTTATATTTTTGAAGTTTGAAAAATTAATTGAATTTGAGCCGCTACACTGTTTGGAAAAAATGGACTGTCAAGAAAAAAAAAAGAAATTTTTTTTTGCCTCGAAGATTTCCGTACTCTCTGAAAAAAACATGTTTGGCTCGATTTCCAAAGTTTCACTTCCAGATAACTCCTAAAAAGACCAATTTTCAAATCCTACCAGAAAAACCGGAGTTTTGCTCAAAGTTTTATTCAAAAAGTTTTGTAGAAATTTAGAAACTTTTTTTCGAATTTCTATACACGAAATTACACTCAATTGATAATCTGAATCTTTTTCAAAACTTTTTCAGAGATGCGAACCTCATTTTTACGGCCAAATTTTTCATTTTCAACAAAGAGTGGTCGAAAAAGTCATGGATCTAAAAGTTCTTTTTCATATTCCTTCGAAACGGAGGAGTACGTAAGCAAAAAAAATTGAATTTTCAAATGAAAAATGCTCTTTTTTGCATTGCCTACTCCCGTTCTGCTCTATGAATGTCTGACTGGTTCTCACCTATTTGCGTCATTGAGTTTTCAGCCGTGAAATTCAGTTAGTTGAAAAAAGTGGTTGCAGTGGCATTCATATGATAAAAAGTGATGTGATTGCATTTCGCTGAGCACACTGCACTATCCGTTTTTTGGTCCCCAAAACATAACTCCAGATAACCTTTTCATGTTTCTACTATCTGAAATCTGAAATTTGATTTTTCGAGATAAAAAAAATTTAAAAAGAAAAAAAGTTGAAAACTTCTCTCATGTTTTTCGGATTGTCAATGTGATATTTTTGACGGCTAAGCCCGGCTAACGTGAGCAACAATGGAGTTTTTCTTGGCCTGCAGCCACGGACCCGTCCAAACAAAGGATTTCGAGCTTTATGGCCTTTTTTCGAAAAGGGAACTCGAAGACCCAAGGGCTTCACCAAAAAGATCGAAGATTCTTTGTTCCAAAAATCTCTGGGAGAGAAATCCTCCTAGGTAACAATTCATTTATTCAAAGATTTTCGACTAAAATAAGAGTACTTCAAACCTTTTTTTCGAAAAATGTTCACCGGGAAATTTCTACACAAATCCTCAACGGAAAAATAAGCCAAGAAAAGTTCTAGCCGGTTAAAAGGTTTTTAGCTCAAATTCGTGAAAATTATAGCCTGGCTAATGAAATAAAAGCCGTAGGTTGGTTCATAGCAGGGAAAAACTGTTTGCACAAGGTGTGCTTGGCAGCGGAGTCTTTGTTTTGCGACCACTCGAAGCATTGAGCCGTTGCTCTTTTTGCATTTCCGATCCACTGATATCCCAGGAATCGCCGCGAATCTTCGCGGCAATCGAATCCCAATCTCATTCTCCTTCATCTTCCACCAATTGAGTTTCTATCATCAAAAATTGATATAGAAGTCACGAATCTTCATTCAAAACTAATAAAAATCCTCGACTTCTTCAACTCTTTTGGGCCTCATTTCACCTGAGCGCTGTTTTAAAATTTTTAACTCATGGTCCTTGCTTTCTGAGTCATCGCTAAAGATGAAAGAGCAAACCTTCCTTTGATCATCTTACAAGTAAATAGTTATCATCTTAGTTTTTCTGAAACCTCTTATCAAAAATTCTTTTTTAAAAAAAATTTAATATTTTTTTGAATCGAAAGGACAAAAAAATGAAAAAAACTTGAACAAATCAAATTTTTTTTCGATATCAAAAGCGCCTTTTTTAACTTGTTGGTTCTTGTATGAAATTCAATCACAAAACCATTTTATTGCTTTTATTTCCGCTTATTTCTGCAAATATCGTTCTTGCTGCTTTTCCGATTCCCACTGTAATTTGGACCTGTGAAAGGTTTTGATGTAGGAGCTTAGGCTTTTATTTATCCCAGAAGTCACTAAGTTTTTTTTTGTTTTTCTGACCCTTGTAAAAAAAACTTATTTCTAATTTCCAGCTCCATTATTGGCCAGCAACCCATCAACGCCTATTTGACATTACCAAAAAACACTCAGCCGGTTTTTTTCTGGACAGCCAGAAGCTGATTGGGGAAAAAAGCCTTGGCGTCTTCCAGCCTCAGATTTTTCTTCCTTCTTCAAACTTTTCTTCCTCCAGCTCTTTCCTTTCCCGTAACTAAACGTAGGGAACCTTGCAAATCCTTCTAATTTCTTGCAGTCAGCCTCCTTGAAACCCAAGAGTCCACGGCCAATTTTCTCATTTCCTTGAAACGCGGGTCTTTCTATATATATAACAGAACAACTCGGACAACTGAGCCACAGACGAATTCTTCTGGAAAATTATCGTTCAGGTTTTCTCTGTTTCATCTTCTTCAATTCGAAGCAGTCTGCGCTCTCTACTCCTACACAGGCTTAGTCACTGATCTTGCATTACGAAATTTAAAAAAATTACAGAATAAAAAGATTTTGACAAAAAATAGCTTCTAGGCACAGCTTTGAATGTATTAGTGAAACATAGAAGTTCTTGTTTTTTCCTAAAAAGTGGAGATCGTAATTAATTACTCATAAGATATAATATAAATAACCTTCAATAATAATTAAGAATAGAAATCTAAAAAAGGTTTTTTTTTTCCACTGGAGTAGACATTTGGCTTTTTTCATGGATATCTTGTCTACAGTTTTTGAAAGTCTCCTCTTTTGTTCTTCTTTTTTTACAGCAGCGACTTTTCTTTTTGCTGTCTTTCCTGAAATACTTATAGCGACGTCGTCGTTCGTTTCCCGATTTGTCGAATTTCCTCCATGTTCCTTTTTTTCGCGCTTCTGCCACGTGAGAGAAAAGACAAAAAAGTGTGGCGAACAGGCCAACACACAGCGGAGAAGGCGGAAAAAACGGAGAGCTGAAGAAATAACGCCTGGCTGAGCATTCCCGCTTCATTCGTTAATTGCGCGCTTCGGTTCAACGGCGGCACTTGCGAGCTCCTACTTCCCGTCCGGCATCAGCTCAGGTACGTCAAAGTCGACTCAGCACTCCTCATCAACCGGGAGGCGAAGTCAGTCAGACTGAAGCATAACCTGAAAAGTAGGTCTTCCCGACAGATCCAGAATTCGTTTAGAAAAGAAATACAAATTAATTCAATACGAACTGGTCTAGTAAAATCCTAGCCAGTGAGGGTTGTTTTGAAAAAATCATCTCTAGTCAAATCGCTTCAAACTGAAAGCTCGCCAAGAATGGTTCTACACGTCTCAATACTCAAAACGACTCGCGCAGCCGCATCAAAACTATGAAAACTTTTGAATCGCTAAATTTAAATTGGATGAATACCGCGACGTCTTGAGTCATTCTACGAATGATCATACTAATTCTAGCGTTGGCTTCTGTAGCTAATACTTCTTTCCCACGATATAGCTACGACTTTAAACAAAAATGGCTGCTTTTTACATCAAGCCGTATTGAACTTTGTCTTATTCAAGCCGGTTTTGGGTTAACCTTTTTTTTCGAAAAAGGTTTCTTCGAATTGGAAAGAATGGTTCCGATTGGGGAAAATGAATAATTTTTCTGCGTTTGGAGGTTATGGCCCAGAGTTTTCAGATGCTTTAATCTTAGGTGGAAGGATTTGATTCTAATAGAAAGCTTTGGAGCGGAAAGGACAGATATACTATCATTATCAAATTGTCAGGCAGTTTTGGCCCAGAACGCCTTTGCAGCTTTTCCTTACACATCTTCTCTGGAGATCATTAACATTGTGTTCTCAGGTGATAAACTGAACTTAAACACAAGGAAATGGCGAAGTAGTATGAAATATGAAGATTCTAGGGCATGACATGCTGAGCGTCTCTTCCTGTTTCTGTCACCACAGAGCCAAAGTTATTTTTTCTTCCTTACTTTTTGCGCTTTAATCTTTTATCGGATACAAATGTTAAAAAAGGTGGCTATTTTCAGACGGCGCCGGCGACGACAATGGCCGTCTTCAAGAAACTAAAGAAGAGCAAAGACAAAAGTGCCCCTTTGCCAGAACCTGAACCTGTCAAGCAACTCGATAAGCGCGTCGGCATGGACAGCTATCGGTTATTTCGCAATACTGAAAAAAAGAAATAGGCATTCGAAGTTTTCAGAGATCGCAATTAAAAAAAACTGATTCATTTATAAATATTTTAGGGTATCAAAAATAATTGTAAAAAAATTACGATCTGACGACCCTTGCGGTTTGAAGTTCTTCACAGCTATTTTTGACACCTTGAACCAGGCTTGTGCGTCAGACCGGGCGGCTCGGGCCAGCCTGGCCTGGGCTGTGGGCTTTCATTTCTGAGAAAAAGCCTGCGCGGGCTCGGGCCAGGCAGGGCTTCGAAAAAAATTTTGAACTTCATTTGAAAGTTTTCACCGAAAAATTATTTTTACTTGTTGAATCGTAGTTTCTCATAACTCAATGAGAAAAAATAAGAGAAAACATCACTTTTATCGTAAAAAAGCCGAAAAATACGACTTGAAGTAAATTTGAGCTTTTTGGACCGGGCCGGCCATTTTTGAAACCTTCCTAAGGCCGGGCCGGGGCTGTTAGGCGGACGGGCGGCCCTCGCTTTCAAAAACCAGTTATTGAATTTAAATTATGCTATTCTAAGATTAGTTTCTATGTGACGCATGTCGCAGTAAAATAACCTGGCCATACAATGTTAATCTTCAAATTTTCAGAGACTTCTTCACTCTCAAGAACTACTGGAAAGCGGTTGATCGAAAAAGGCAGGACTCGGCCCAAATATTCTTCAGCAAGTTCGTTAATACCTTTTTCAATTGATCTTCTTGGTTCTTCCTTGTAAAGAACCTTCTAAAAAAACGAGTAACGGCCCCGCTTTTTGTCAGCATCATAACGTAATAGACTTATATCAACGTGAGAACGTATTTCATTGCTCTTTGAGTTCATACCTCCGACAAATACAAAATTAGGTAGACGGGAAAAGACTCGTGTGCAGGGAAAAGCCTAATTGCCGCTTCGGAAACAATTTCCTCCCATTCTCCCTTTTTTCAATCGAATGGAGCAACGAAGTCAGAAATCGGTGGAAAAGAGAGATAGACCTTTTGAAAAGGTGATATCTTCTGACTCATAGGTAGGTGAGAGAGAGGAGTTTTTGCGGCTAAGCCTTTACAGAGGCTCGCGCCGAAAACCTCAAGCCTGACAAAAACTTCCGATTCCTTTTACCGCCTCTGATAAAGACCCTCGGACTATGACAGATCCTAGAAAAGAGAAACGAATTAAAGCGAATTTTCCTGAGGGCGCAAGACTTGCGTCACACAATATATATCTCTCTCACATGCCAAGGCGCCGTTTCCAATGGCGATACGAGAACGAAGGGGCGGCGCCGCCACCTCAAAGACGTCGCCGTCGCCATCCACACTCGCGAGCTGATTCGCGACTTCTAGAGCAGCCGGATGTTCGGCAAGCCCAGCGAAGCGACAGTCTCATCGCAGTCAAGCCAAACCAATGGGTTCCGGGGCCTCCAAGGACGTGAAGAAACCGCCGCCGCCTCCAGAAGAAGAAGCTCCGCCGCAACTCGACGCTCGACTGCCTTATCCAAACTTTCGAGAACTGTTCACGTTGAAAAACTATTGGAAGACGGTTAGGAGGAACGACAAGGACTGCGGGAAGTTCATGCTTGCCAAGTGAGTCTGACCAAGATCTTGGTTGTCTTGTCCCATCAACAAGGTATTTTTCAGCTGTTTCTTCGCTTTTTCTTCGTCTTCAATTTTCTTTGTCCTTATTTTTTCTCATAAACGTTCTAAACGTCATCTGCCACCGTTTAAAGTTGATTCAGAAGCATTCAGAAAGTTTTTTTCTTTGCTTTCTTAAGTTATGAACAAACTTCAAAACGATAATTATGAATACTTTATCGCACTTGATGTTGGTTATTAAACGAAATAATTCTCAAGCTCCAGATAAAACTGAGAGTGAGAAAAATAATTTTGCTATAGTTTGATTTCATTTGGGAAGTAACAAAAGCGATTTGCTATTCTGGGAATATGTAATTTTTTTTTGATGTTGAAACTCTGACAAATTTTTCTTGATAACAGGTTGAAAGTTAAAAAAAGAAACATTTACTGAGTTTGCTCACTTGAAGTTTGGCGAGAAAAGGAGAGAAAAAAGAGCGGAAGAAGACTTTATCGTTCAACTCTCAAACTGATTAAAATTACTCCTGCGGTTTTTTTCCTTCCACCAGCAGAAATCGGAAAGCCCCTCTATCAATTAACCTGGATTGAACGGTCATCGAGCAATGCCAAAGGTTCAGTTGGCTGGGAAATCTGAGTGAAACAGTTATCCCATCGATGGGAACTTCTCATGAGGCCTATTTTCGGAAAAAAAAAGCGACGGGTCTCATGTGACGCGACCTTGCAGGTACCTGCACGACTTTCCGGAGAACAAGCCGCTCTACAGTAAGCTGAAGAACGTCGACGCGGCTACGGTAGACGCCTCGTGCAGCGACCCCGCCTTCGAGACCATGTCCGCCAACTACCTCAAGGTTGGTTTGACCCAACTTTTCCCAGTTGTGAGGCTCGTAGAGCTCATCTTCAGATCCAGAGAAAAACACTAAAACATATATTTTCTTTATTAGGAGCTTTCAAGAAAGCAACTACTCGAATTTGAAAATTGTCTTTTTTAACTATTTCCATTTCTGGCACGCAAACATGTTTATGATGAGAAATCCAAAGGTTGACGTTTAAACGCAGGAAAATATGTGTTTTGATACTCGCAACAGATTGCCGGAGTTTTCAAGAAAGCATATACATATTCAACCCAGGTTGTACACATATAAATCTCTTCTCTACGCAAATGTAAGCAAATTCGGAAGCTTTCAGAATTTCGCGCCTGAGCCTCTTCTTTTCAAATTTTTAATTTTCCACTATGGAATGAAAGTATGCAATTTTTTTTTCTTCACTTCCTGATTTTGAAAGATCGGTCTTTTTTGCTCGAGTGCTACGAAATTGGATAATTCGTAGGACCAACTTCCCATTAAATTAAATTTGATTTCAGTTCGAATTCAGCTAATTGTTTGCGGAAAATAGAAGAAAAAAAAAAGAATTCTGTCTCGTCGGCCAATTAAAATATTTTCACGTCAAAACATTTCAAAGTTAATCAAAGATCTAAAAAAACATTTCTTTTAAAAATTTCATCTGTCAAATATCAAAAAGCTGAATGACGGAATAACATTCACGTGAGGTCATTCATTTAAGGATAATATTGAAAAAAAAATCCAACCGCAAATGTCTTGATGAAGAATTTCAGGTCTTCGATGACGTCATATCAGCAGTCGAGGAAAAGCCAGGAGACGTCCAACAAGCCTGCGACAGACTCACCTCCGTCGGCAAAATGCATCGAACCAAGGTTTTCAGCTTCTTCTTCTTTTTCTTCTTCTTCTTCACTTCTTTTTGGGTTCTCGAAAAAAGATTTGAATTCAGGTGAGCGGCATGCAGGCGACGTCTTTCCAGAACATGGAGGAGCCGTTCGTTCACATGGTGAAAAATATCCTGCAGGACAGGTTCAACGAAAAAGCCGAGACTTTATTTCGGAAATTCTTCCAGTTCTGCCTCAAGTTCTTACTAGAGGGATTTAATAGTTAGGCTTTTTTATCCATTCCCCTTGTTCTTGAGCGGTTTTCAACGGGTTCCTGGCGATTAGAAGCGCAAAAAAAGTGCAAAACGTTGAATTGCGTAGTACAAAAAAGGAGGTCTCGCCGAACCCCGCAGAATGCCCCTGCAAGTCCCATTCCGGATGCAATTTCCTCTCGACGGGTCTCAGTTCTGTACATTGCGATCCACTGTCTTTTCCTCTTGCTCCATTCTTCAGTTTTCCAAATATTGTACACCCAGGTCATTATATTTCTTTTTCTTGTTATCGGTATTTGACTTCTCGTAAACGTTCAAGACAGTATTACGCAGGACCTTTTTGGCCTGATAAAAATGTATTATTTATTTTCAAGGGCTTTGGGAGCAGAAGAGTTTTTAGAAATATTTATTGTTATCTGAAGTCAAAAGTCCTTTATCCTGAGATTTTGTCAACCGAGCATCTTTGTTCTTCCGAGGCTCAAAGCCTTCATGGATAAGCGGCAACGAAAAAAAAACCACGAGTAGTCAGATTTATTCATATTTATATTAAAAAATTTCTCTTCCTTAATTTTTTTCCCCGTTATTTTTTACTTCCTCAATATTCTCATATGAATATCGGTCTGGTGTTTTCGTTTTCAAAAGGCAAATAAAAGTGGAAATAAAAGTCCATTTCTGATGCATAGTCCAGAGGAATAGTTCTATAGACAATGCGGGATTAGCCTTGAAAGGCGAAGAATCTCGCGTCGTTTGACGCAAGTTTCCCATCCAATACTTTTTTCGCCATCAAAGCTGAGCGCGAGAAAATAAAAATACCTCTCGAATAGTTTGGAAAAATGGAGAGAATTCGAGTCTGGCTGAGAAGGTTCTTTTTCCGATAAAAAGTTATATTTGGAATAAAAAAGAGTTAAAAGGCCAATTTTTTGGTTATATTTGTCGTTTGCAGTTTGGAGCAAGAGCGGTAGATCAAATACAGAGTTCGCAAAAGATGAAAGGCAAAATGCATTCGAAAGAAATGGCCAATTATATTCGAAAAAAGTAATTTCCTGCGGATTAAAATTTTTGTGACACGCGGAAATCGAGATGAGTAGAATTGCAACCAATACAATAAAGGGACGCAAAAAAAGCAAGACCAAAATGGTCGGGGCGTGAAAATCGCGGTTTTGGGGTCAGCGGACGCGGGACGACGACATCTGAATCGCACGAAATCCACTTTTCTTCCTCCCCAAACATCGGATTAACTCGTTTTGCTTCTTCAATTGTATCTTTCCATACATCTTGCGTCGGAGCGTTCAAAGATTTATTTTTCTTGTTTCGAGAATACCAATTTTTCTGGGGTTGAGTAGCTTAGTTCAAGCTACACACATGCTTTTTTTCACCTATTATTAGGGAACGTGTTGGAAATAGTCTGTTTTTTTTGTGCTCAAATCCCCCATAAATTGGGGTGAAAATTTTTGTCTTGATGTGTTTGAAATGACATTAAAAAATTCGAGAAAAAACCCAAGACCTGAGGCTATAATAATCATTATTTCGAAAAATTAGAAAAAGGAACTAGGCTGCGTCATCGAAACAAGACAATGAACAGCGTTTGATTCCTCGAACATACAGTAAGAAATAGAATAAAGAACATTGCGAAAATTTGATTTCCTTCTTGCTTCATTTATATTCGTCCATAGAGTTCATTTTTTGAGAATAAAAAAGTTCGAACTTTTTTCTAGGATGGGAAAAACACTGAAACTTGCGAAAGTCGAGAACTGTTCTAGAATTTTACCCGGCGAGGAGCGAATCCACGAAAGCATCCTCGTTGAAAGTGAGTTGTAAAGTTTAAAAAATTTGTCCCAAACTTCCAATTATAAGACATAGATGCACCAAAAACGGAGCACAATTTACCTTCTAGCAGAGTTAAGTCTTGCTCTCTGTGGATCGAATTGAACAATAATTGGAAGGACGGAAAACAAAAACTGAAACAACTTGTACATTCAGAACCCATCACCTCTACGCCGGACGGGGTCGTCAAGACTATCTACGACGCTTTTCTCCGCAGCGTCGAGACCAATTCTGATGGCGCCTTGTACGGAGAGATCGTCGACGGCAACTTCGAATGGACGACCTACGCGGAAAGTCTTCAAGAAGCTCGCGCCATCGGATCTGGTCTTGTCGCTCTCGGAGTGAAACCTGGGTCACTCGTTGGCATCGCAGGTAGAGTAAGGGATCTTCTACTTCGCAGGAAAGGGGACTAAGAAAAAATCAGTAGACTTTTTACAAAACGCAAAAATCTCTCATTCTCAAAAAGAAAAAATAAAAGATCAAAAAAGGAGGGCGTTATCAGGAATACAATCCCGACGATACATGCACGCGATGCACGGATTGATGTCTTACAGTATGCCAATCGTACCGCTCTATCACAACTCCAAGCTCCAAATCCTATGGTATTTTTTTTTCCAGAAATGACTCTCGATATAATTCTTTTCAACTTCAGCGAAATAATAGAAAATTGCAAACTGAATGCCGTGTTCTGCGACAATCAAAAAAGAGCCAACGACTTCCTCGAGGCCAAAGTTAATGGCTCTCTGGCGTCATTAGACACCATCATACTCCTTAACGATTCTGAAGTCATAAATGATGACGGCAGCGGAGTGAAAGTGAATCAACTCTCAAATTCCGAAGTCTAGGATGATTTTAAGGTGATGACCTACCAAGAGCTCAAAGAGCTGGGAACAGAAAAGAGAAGAGAGACGGTTCCGCCTTCGCCAGAATCAATCTACGTCATTTGTCACACCAGCGGGACTACTGGTACCTTGAAAACTTGATGAAGCTTTCAAATTTTATTTTAAAAATTTTAGGTCGCCCGAAAGGAGTAGAAATGTCACATTCGGCCTTGTTAGCTGCGGTCGCTGGAATTCTCACTTCTTGGTTGACGCCTCCTAACAAGTTTGTTCCACCCAATGTAAAGTAACAAAAGTATGATTGAAGCTGGACGTTTGGAAAAGATGACGTCTACTTCAGTTTTCTTTCCCTGGCTCACATCTACGAGCATCTGATGCAGGTAGACTGAAAGAAAAAAAACTAATCAAACTAATTCTTTTTTTTATAGACTTTCACTATCTACGTCGGTGGGAGCATCGGCGTTTATAGCGGTGACGTCTCCAAACTCATCGCCGAAATACAAGTAAATTTGAAACTCTTTGAATATGCTGTGAAAACAAACTTTTCCAGCTTCTTCAACCAACAATACTATCTCTAGTTCCACGCCTACTCAACAAACTATACGAAGCTATTCATTCTGGAATCCAGAAAAAGAACATTCTTGCCAAGATCGTATTCCGATTCGCTGAAAACGTTAGCTCGAGAATCTTTCGAAAACAAAGGTCGTTTTCAGAGGAAACTCAAGTATCTCAGGAAAAATGAGGTTCGATTTGACACAATCTACGATAAAATCGTTTTCAAGAAGGTCAGAACCGGATGAAAATAATTTTAGATGTATTGAGACTGTTTAGATAAGTCAGATGATCGGCGGACGGGTGAAAGTTCTGACAAGCGGCGGGGCGCCACTGACCGCAGAAGTGAAAGATTTCACGCGGATCGCCTACGGCTGTCCTTTTGTTGAAGGGTCAGTATCGATACGCAGAGCTGCTGACCAGACCGGGGCGACCCGGGCCGCCCCGCGAAGCGGCCACATTGTTAGAAGATTTCTCCACAGTTACTCAATGACATTAATTAATTTTCATTTTCTTCGACCAATAGATCTATTTATTAGTCGTTACTCTGAATTTTTTCACTTAAACTTCATTTTTACTTATCTACCCAACGGGGCGCGGCGCCCCGTCAGCAGCACTTTCGAAACGTTTACAAAAATTGATGTAATAAGAACTGTTCAAAAAGAAATTTTAGGTACGGCCAAACGGAGTGTAGCGCTGCCGGTACTTTAACACTTCCGTCAGACACCTCAAACGGAAATGTCGGTGGACCTTCTCCATGGGCTCAGATCAAACTAATCGACGCTCCCGAGCAGAATTACTTTTCAGAAAAGGATGAAGGTGAACAAAGATTTCAGACTGAAAAGAATTGTCAAAAAATTACAGGGGAGATCTGTTTCCGCGGAGCCGCACTTATGACACAGTACTACCAAGACGAGGAGCTCACCCACAAGGCTATTGATAGCGAAGTTAGTTCGAAATTGTTTTCTCTGTGAATCAGAGATAGGAAACTATCTCGAATAGAAAAAAATATATAGGTTCACTCACTGCCTTCAATGTTTTTTGTTTTATGGTTAGACAGACAGCTTAGTGAGACGCCAAAAAAACTAAATAAATATAATCAAGATTATTTGGAAAAAAACATCTGACGTATTTTTTTAAATACGTCTCTTTAAAATTTCTTTGATTCTGCAAAAATGTTGTGGAGCTATGAATATATGCAAATGGGTCAGGGATGGCTGCACACGGGAGATATCGGCCGCTGGCTGCCCAACGGAACTTTGCAAATCGTCGACCGGAAAAACGCGCTGTTCAAGCTTGCCCAGGGAGATTTCGTCTCTCCTGAACAAATCGAAGCCGTTTACACCAATTCTCCCCTCATCACACAGCTCTACGTCACTGGTTCTGCCGAAAGATCGTTTCTGGTCGGCGTCGCCGTCGTCAATGTCGACACCTTACAAGCCTTCCTTCAAAAGAAACCACAGGTTTACATTCAAAGTGGACTTTTCAAAGATTATGAAGATTCAGTAAATTCAATACAAGAGAACGTAAGTCACAGGGGTCTAAACCACAAAAAATAGCAAAAATCCTCAACCACCGGATTATATCTGGAAATTTTTGAAATTTAAGACACGAAATTTTTGTCCCAGCAAACCATACATGGGCTAACCAACTACTTTTTGTGACGTCATCACGTACCCCCCTTGAAAAAGTACGTACTCCCCTCGAAAAAACGTACCCCCCCCCGCGGATGACTATCAATGTGAAATGATTATTAAAGTTAATATAAGAATTGAATGAGACTATTATCTTATTTCGCGGGCTTTTGGAAGTATATTCAGCTAGGTGTCAACACTGCAAAAACAGAAATATTTCAACTTTTTAGCGTAGACCCCCGAAATCCGAAAAATCGATCTGTTTTCAATGTTATCCTACATTATGAATCGAGTTTTTATGATCTGGCAGAGTTTCAGACCTTCTGGATGAGTTTTTAAGGAAAAATAGATTTTTTTGGACCACCGGGAAGGGATATTTTGAAATTTTGAATTTTTTGGCTCAAAATCAATATTGATCTTGAGTTAACTCTAAATAAGGTATATCCTCCAAATTTCCAACCTTCCGGACGTTTTTTGACCAAGTTACAGTGTTTCAAAGTGTTTTCACTTGACGGTTTGCGTACCCCCCGTACCCCCCCAAAATCGGAAAATCGATCTGTTTTCAATGTTATTCCACATTATAAAGGGAGTTTTATGATCTGGCCAAGTTTCAGGCCGTTGGGATGAGTTTTAAGGAAAAATAGATTTTTTTGGACCACCGGGAAGGGATATTTTGAAATTTTTGAATTTTTTTGGCTCAAAAATCAATATTAATCTTGAGTTAACTCTAAATAAGGTATATCCTCCAAATTTCCAACCTTCCGGACGTTTTTTTGACCAAGTTACAGTGTTTCAAAGTGTTATCACTTGACGGTTTGCGTACCCCCCGTACTCCCCCAAAAATCGGAAAAATCGATCTGTTTTCAATGTTATTCCACATTATAAAGGGAGTTTTATGATCTGGCCAAGTTTCAGGCCGTTGGGATGAGTTTTAAGGAAAAATAGATTTTTTTGGACCACCGGGAAGGGATATTTTGAAATTTTTGAATTTTTTTGGCTCAAAAATCAATATTAAACTTGAGTTAACTCTGAATAAGGTATATCCTCCAAATTTCCAACCTTCCGGACGTTTTTTTTGACCAAGTTACAGTGTTTCAAAGTGTTATCACTTGACGGTTTGCGTACCCCCCGTACTCCCCCAAAAATCGGAAAAGTCGATCTGTTTTCATTGTTATTCCACATTGTAAAGTGAGTTTTATGATCTGGCCAAGTTTCAGGACGTTGGGATGAGTTTTTAAGGAAAAATAGATTTTTTTGGACCACCGGGAAGGGATATTTTTGAAATTTTGAATTTTTTTAGCTCAAAAATCAATATTAAACTTGAGTTAACTCTGAATAAGGTATATCCTCCAAGTTTCCAGGCTTCCGGACGTTTTTTTTGACCAAGTTACAGTGTTTCAAAGTGTTATCACTTGACGGTTTGCGTACCCCCCGTACTCCCCCAAAAATCGGAAAAGTCGATCTGTTTTCAATGTTATTCCACATTATAAAGGGAGTTTTATGATCTGGCCAAGTTTCAGGCCGTTGGGATGAGTTTTTAAGGAAAAATAGATTTTTTTGGACCACCGGGAAGGGATATTTTGAAATTTTGAATTTTTTTAGCTCAAAAATCAATATTAAACTTGAGTTAACTCTGAATAAGGTATATCCTCCAAGTTTCCAGGCTTCCGGACGTTTTTTGACCAAGTTACAGTGTTTCAAAGTGTTATCACTTGACGGTTTGCGTACCCCCGTACTCCCCAAAAATCGGAAAAATCGATCTGTTTTTCAATGTTATTCCACATTATAAAGGGAGTTTTTGTGATCTGGCCAAGTTTCAGGCCGTTGGGATGAGTTTTTAAGGAAAAATAGATTTTTTTGGACCACCGGGAAGGGATATTTTTGAAATTTTTGAATTTTTTTGGCTCAAAAATCAATATTAAACTTGAGTTAACTCTAAATAAGGTATATCCTCCAAGTTTCCAGGCTTCCGGACGTTTTTTTGACCAAGTTACAGTGTTTCAAAGTGTTATCACTTGACGGTTTGCGTACCCCCGTACTCCCCCAAAAATCGGAAAAATCGATCTGTTTTTCAATGTTATTCCACATTATAAAGGGAGTTTTATGATCTGGCCAAGTTTCAGGCCGTTATGATGAGTTTCAAGGAAAAATAATTTTTTTGGGCCACAGTAGATGTACAGTACTGGCCATAAAGGTATTTCAAAGTGGTAATTCGAGCATAACTTCTCTGAAAGTGGCTCAAATGACTTGAAACGTTGAAAAAATTTTAAATAACTACGCAGTAACTTTTTCCCAAAAGAAAAACTCATTTGCTCAAGTAAAACCGGATTTGAGAGCAAAAAACCAAAAGTCGTGAAAATGAAGATTTTTTTCTTGAGATTCGAAAAATCATATCTTCGAAGAAACTCCGATTTGAAATCAGAAACTTTTTTTCCCGGTAAAACAAGTCTTCGACTTCCCAAAAAACCTAATCAGCCCCCTATCAACCCGATAGCAAGAGCGTAGTGACTTTTTTTCTTTGAAGGCCTTTTTTTCTTTTTGACGCCTCGTCATTCAGATGGACTATACGAGGTCATTTTTTTTTTTAGAACATCATGTTTCCTGTTGAAAAACTTCGAAATGCCCTCAAGAATAGTTTCATATCGTTTTCTTAAGCTTTGTCACTATATCCTCTCTCCAGAACTCGCTTACTTCATTAGGTCTGATTTTTAAAAAGCTCGGATTTAAAACAGTTTTTTTCTGGACTTACGGGCATTCAAAGCAGTTTTTTTATCTGATCAATCGCTTTTCAATCGTGATATCGAGAATAAATAATGAGCCAAATTGCAGTCTCCCACTTCCTGAAGACTGCTAATTTTTTTTGCTGAAGCATTAGTTTCACAAGATCAAAAAAACTTATTTTCCCATAAAGTTTGAAGAAACGTTTTTACAATGCCTATTTTTTTGACCTGAGAGCTAGAAAGAGGAGTTACAAATTTATCTAATGATCTTAAACGTTTAAAAAAATTTTTTTAAAAAAAGGGGTTTTTTTATCATATTTCACAAGATTTAGAGCCTTCTAAGCAACACTTGCTAAAAACGAAGTTTTGAGAACTTTAAGAAACTCAGTATAACTCACTATATCTTTTGAATAGGTAAGCGAAACACAGTGAATCTTTTTATTCTTATTCATAAAGGTTCTGAAAAAAAGCTTTGGAATCTGAAATAAGAAATTGAGAATGTTCTGATTTTGAAAAAAACGAGCAGAACCGCTCCAAATCAGAGGTTTCAAAAATCAGACCTAGTGAAGTAAGCGAGTTCTGGGCAGAGGAACAGTGACAAAGCTCAAGAAAAACAGTATAAAAACTATTTTTTTGAGGGTGTTTTGAAGTTTTTTTCAACATGAAACATGGTGTTCTCAAACAAAAAAATGACCTCGTATAGTCCATTTGAATAACGATGCGTCAAAAACACAAAAGGCCTTCCAAAGAAAAAAAGTCACTACGCTCTTACTATCGGGTTGGTAAGGGGCTGGTTGAACTTTTTGGAAAGCCGAAGTCTTGTTTTTACCGGGAAAAAAAGTTTCTGATTTCAAATCGAAGTTTCTTCGAAGATATGATTTTTTTCGAATCTCAGGAGAAAAAAATCTTCATTTCCACGATTTTTTTGGTTTTTGCTCTAAAAATCCTGTCTTACTCGAGCAAATGAGTTCTTCTTTTTGGGGAAAAAAATTACTGCGTAGTTATTTAAAAATTTGTTCAAAGTTTCAAGTCATTTGAGCCACTTTCAGAGAAGTTATGCTCGAATTACCACTTTGAAATACCTTTATGGCCAGTACTGTATGAATGTATGCTGATCACGATTTTTGCTAGTTTTTTTAATTGTTAAACTTGTATTTTTTTATCGTTCACATGTGTGGTAACGCCGTAGGGTGAGTTGAAAAAAATGAGCGTTAGGGTGAAACTTTCTCTAAATCAAACATGTTGTAGAACACGATTTTTTTAGGATTTTTTTGAAAAACCGAATATCATCACTCAAGCCGTTTTCGAGATACTGTGGCTCAAAAAAAGGGGTACGGTCGAACCCTTCAAAAATCTATATCTTGACATAAAATCGACGAAACTCTTCCAAAGTTTGTAATAAGGTGCAATATAATCTTATTCAATTTTTTTAAAAAAATCTTAAACCTCATTTTGCTCATTATTGCTCATATTACAGAGTTTTTAAAAAAACCACAAAAAAATACTCTTTATTGAGTCAAACATGGATTATTCGAATTTTCCATCTAACACCCGGAAATTCCAAAAAAACATGTGATTTTTGGGTAAGTTTCCCGAATAACTTTTTTTATCTCCTGTTTTTTTGGATTGAAACTAGCAAAAATCGTGATCAACGCGCATTCTTACATCCACTAGGTCATTTGCAAAACGAAACGAGGAAAAAATTCAAAATTTCAAAATATCCCTTCCCGGTGGTCCAAAAATCTATTTTCCTTAAAACTCATCCCAACGTCCTGAAACTTGGCCAGATCATAAAACTCACTTTACAATGTGGAATAACATTGAAAACAGATCGATTTTCCGATTTTGGGGGAGTACGGGGGGGCACGCAAACCGTCAAGTGATAACACTTTGAAACACTGTAACTTGGTCAAAAAACGTCCGGAAGGTTGGAAATTTGGAGGATATACCTTATTCAGAGTTAACTCAAGTTTAATATTGATTTTGAGCCAAAAAATTCAAAATTTCAAAATATCCCTTCCCGGTGGTCCAAAAATCTATTTTCCTTAAAACTCATCCCAACGGCCTGAAACTTGGCCAGATCATAAAACTCCCTTTATAATGTGGAATAACATTGAAAACAGATCGACTTTCCGATTTTGGGGGAGTACGGGGGGGTACGCAAACCGTCAAGTGATAACACTTTGAAACACTGTAACTTGGTCAAAAAACGTCCGGAAGGTTGGAAATTTGGAGGATATACCTTATTCAGAGTTAACTCAAGTTTAATATTGATTTTGAGCTAAAAAATTCAAAATTTCAAAATATCCCTTCCCGGTGGTCCAAAAATCTATTTTCCTTAAAACTCATCCCAACGTCCTGAAACTTGGCCAGATCATAAAACTCACTTTACAATGTGGAATAACATTGAAAACAGATCGACTTTCCGATTTTGGGGGAGTACGGGGGGGTACGCAAACCGTCAAGTGATAACACTTTGAAACACTGTAACTTGGTCAAAAAACGTCCGGAAGCCTGGAAACTTGGAGGATATACCTTATTCAGAGTTAACTCAAGTTTAATATTGATTTTGAGCCAAAAAATTCAAAATTTCAAAATATCCCTTCCCGGTGGTCCAAAAATCTATTTTCCTTAAAACTCATCCCAACGTCCTGAAACTTGGCCAGATCATAAAACTCACTTTACAATGTGGAATAACAATGAAAACAGATCGACTTTCCGATTTTGGGGGAGTACGGGGGGGTACGCAAACCGTCAAGTGATAACACTTTGAAACACTGTAACTTGGTCAAAAAACGTCCGGAAGGTTGGAAATTTGGAGGATATACCTTATTCAGAGTTAACTCAAGTTTAATATTGATTTTGAGCCAAAAAATTCAAAATTTCAAAATATCCCTTCCCGGTGGTCCAAAAATCTATTTTCCTTAAAACTCATCCCAACGGCCTGAAACTTGGCCAGATCATAAAACTCCCTTTATAATGTGGAATAACATTGAAAACAGATCGATTTTCCGATTTTGGGGGAGTACGGGGGGGTACGCAAACCGTCAAGTGATAACACTTTGAAACACTGTAACTTGGTCAAAAAACGTCCGGAAGCCTGGAAACTTGGAGGATATACCTCATTTAGGGTTAACTCAAAGTTGATAATGATTTTGAGCCAAAAAATTGTAGATTTCCAGAAATCATTTTCTTATGGGGTCAGAAGTTGATTATTTTTTTCAATTTTCCAAACGGCTTAAAATTTGATGAGCATGTATATATCATCCATTGGTACCATTTAAACTAGAATTCAGGTCGATTAATCAGCTCTGGAATTTTTTATAAGGCTATTTCTACGATTCCTCTCGATTTTTTCTACCGTTTGGAGCTAGGCAAAAAGATAGGCAACGAATTTCTCACTAAATGTACTTTAAAAAGCTCGATAAATAATATGGATGCATTTTCCGCGGCTTAGAAAGCCATCTGAATGAATAGGGGGGCCCGAAAGTGAAAAACAGCCTGTTAGCCCACGTATGCAGCAAACCTTTCGAAACTTTTTTATGAAATCAACTTTGATGTAATATTTGGCATACATTTCATTTAAAGCTCAAAAACCCATCGCAAATGGATGAAGAAGAGCTTTTGCAATCGAAAGAAGTGAGGAACGCCGTTCTGAACGAACTCAACGCCACGGGAAAAGCGAGCGGATTACAAACTATCGAACTCATCCGAAACCTCGTTCTAATCACAGAGGTGGAATCATTGAATAACACTATGAAGAAGCAACATTTTCTAAGGAGTTCACAGCGGAAAATGGATTGGTCACGCCCACTTTGAAGCACCGGCGTCATCTTCTCAAACAGAAATTCGCCGCAGAAATCGAAGAAATGTACAAAGAAATCGCTGAGCTTTAATTTATTCTCTTATCTATACCTATGGAAAATACTGAAATTTAAAATAAACATTTACACTACCGGTTTCCATGATGTGTACTCGTCCTGTTCCTCATTCATTCTGAAAAAATAAATCAGGGACTGAAATATTAAATGAAATCCAGAACAACCTGACTGGAGCACTTTCGTTTGGAGCCTCATAAATATAGCCAAACTTGGGTTTTTCCTCGCTGAAATCTCATTAAAGCAAAGTTCCTGGACATTTTGAACCTTCGGGGCATCGTAGAGATCATTTTCCGGATCCGCTCATGATTACTTTCTTGAGATTTGGCCTGTTCGGCCTCCATTCTTTGAGCCATTCTTTTCAGCTCCTCTCTTTCATCCCTGAAAAAGCTACAAGAATCAGGAGAACAAAGAAGAAATCGGCAAACGTATTGAGAAAGAGAACTCGGAAGAACGTCACCACGAAGAAGATCCCCATGTAAACGATCATGAGCTTGCGAACGATGCCCCAGGCCTCAAAAAAAAGATTTGTGAAAAGGGAAATTTTTTTTTTCTCAACTTTTCTTGGATCTTGATCAGAATTCGTCCATTTCCATTCCCACCGGAAAGATCCTGGAGGGCCGTTCGGGTACCTTGAAAATATCAAACTTGATCGCTTTTTTCTGAGATTAAAGTCGTTTGGGTACTCCAATAGGCATATTTTTTCATCTTAAAAAAAAGAAGAAATAACTGGTTAAAAAAACCGCTTTTAGAACCAAAGTCATAAAAAGAAGATTGCTTTAGCAATTTCTTTCGAGAAATTTCTGGGAAAAACATTCCCACTGGCGTTGTTTTCATCAAAGAATTAAGACGAAATGTCCATAAGAAATCCAACTCTGCAGACACCTTTCGTGGAACTGTTTCCATCTTTCGGCCCTTCGCCGGGCATACTCATCGAAGGCTTGCTGCCTTCTCTCGTACATGTTCTGGTCGTAGCGTTCTCTTTCCTGCCGCATCCGATTAAATTGCTCCCAAACCTCGAAAAGGAAAACTATTCTGAAATTCCGGTGAGCTCTGGCGTACCCTTCTATACTCTTCCTCTGTGAACTTCTGACTGTAAAAAGGGTTGGAGCCGTAGTTTTGTCGGCGTTGTTCTTGGAAATCCTTAAAATTAATTGTAATTCGCCTCTAAAAAAAGAAAACTCTGAATGGATTGGTTCCGTCGCCAGGATATCGTCCACCGCCACCAGACATTTGATTGTCGTATGCTTTTCGTCTGAAAGCTGTCTTTCAAAAATCTTTAAAAAAAGCATAAAAGTGTACTTCAAGGATAACATACATTTAGGTTATCTTACTAGGGCATCCCCTTCAAGTACCACCTCTACGCGGTGATGGGGAGGCAACGCCATTTATGGCGGCTAACGGTACACCGGTCACGCAGTTCGGCTTGCTTCTGCTAACAGAATGGGCGGTCTTTTTTAGCCCTGGCAAGGCAAAAAGGATAATCAGACCAAAATTATGCTATAACACGTTCAACACCACGGATGGAACTTTTTCGCAAGAATACCAGTCAACCAGGACAACACTGGATGACCGATTGCATAAGACCTCCTGGAAAACGTGTGGTCCACGCTTCGATCAATGAAAGGCACTAAAAGGCAATAAAAGGTCGAAAGCGAAGATGGACCATCTAAGTATCTAAGTAAGTAAGTAAGTACTAGGGCATGGTCTCCGCTCGACAACGAGTTGAGAATTGGAACTTTTTGGGTGGATAGCCCTAGGCGAGAGTACTCGGAATCAAAAATAAAATTCTGCTAAACCCCACAGGCGGCTTAGGAAAAGCTCGTCGAAATTTTACCAGCGCGGATATGGCCGCGCTCGGAACCTTCGGCTAGCAACTGGCGGCGTGATGTAGTGGGTTGTTGTCTTGTGCACTATCAATATTGTGACCAGGGTTCGAATCCTTCTGGCGGAAATCGTTTTTGCTGGCTCATAACTTTATTCCTTTCTCATTTCTGGGATATTTTTTTTCAAAATTTTACATCAAAACTTGTAGAAAACTTTTATTTCTACTACTTTTCTCATGCCACGTTGTTCTTCTTGTAGTGAGGAGGTTATTTTCAAATATTTTTGTTAGCAGACAGGCAAGCGGCAGCATAGTTATTAAAGATAAGCTCATTCCGCGCAATTTTCTGTTGGAATTTTCGAAAATCGTCATATCTTCGGACACCTGGAACGCGAAACCGAACGGAAAAGTTTCTTTTTTTGTTGTTTTATTGTGTTATTTTGTTTCCGTTCAGTACACCCGTGTCTAAAAGACAGGTAACCGCTATTCGTGAATTGTGAATTTTCATAAAAATATCGTTTTCTTAATCGTTTGCCCATAAAATAGAGGAAAAACAAAAAAAAAATTTCAGATCAGTATTTCATTTTTTGTTGGGATTTTTGTGAATTTTTATTGTAAAATTTTGAAAAAAATATCCCAAAAATGAGGAAGGAAAAAAAAGTTATGAGTCAGCAAAAAAACGATTTCCGCCAAAAGGATTCGAACCATGGTCCCGATATTGACAGTGCACAAGACCACAACCCACTACACCACGCCGCCAGTTGCTAGCCAAAGGCTCCGAGCGCGGCCATATCCGCGCTGGAAAAATTTCGACGAGCTTTTCCTCAGCCGCCTGTGGGGTTTAGCAGAATTTTATTTTTGATTCCGAGTACTCTCGCCTAGGGCTATCCACCCAAAAAGTTCCAATTCTCAACTCGTTGTCGAGCGGAGACCATGCCCTAGTTAGATCTGAAAATAAACTCCAAAATTGAACCTATTTGTATCTCGAAGACATTCCCACGCCTCATTCACTTCCAGAAATTTCGCCTTGGCTGTACTGTCGTTTCCGGCAACGTCTGGATGATACTAGGAGAAAAAAGATAAAAAAGATAGAAAGATTGAAAAAAAAAACTTTTTTAGAAAGCTGGTAATATGCGGCTTTGATTTGTCTCTGCGTTGAACCCTTCGAGACACCCAAAACAGCGTAGTAATCTTTGGAAAACCTGAATAAAAAAGACAAAAATGTGAGGGAAGATAAACGAAGGAAATCTCACCCAGCATTATTAAAACGTCGTGCAAGTACCTGTATTCGTATTGTGGGAAAACGTTGAAGCATCCTGAAAAATTGAAGAATATCTCCCCAGTACAGTTTAAATGTATTCGAAGGAGCTCCTTTTCACAAAAACGGACCAAGCAAAAGGGGAAAACAAATTTATTTCAAATCCTAAAGACACAAAATGGTGTTTGAGCGACGTACCCGCAAATAAAGCTCAAGTGTTTCGGGTCTTCCTCCCATGTTGGTATCTGTTGGAAACAACACATTAAAAAAGATTTAAATGTCACAAGACTATCCCACCTTACGAAAAGAATATTCGCAGCTATCAATGAAACGGCGGCGCCAAAAAGTACGAGGAGCATTCGATTTCGGCGCTTTTCGCGAAAATATTCTTCTTCGGGGTCTCTGAAAAAGCTTGAATGAAGTGAAATCTTCGTTAATAACTACGAAAATTTTTTTTCTCAACTTTAAAATATTCCTTTCACATAACCTCTTCTGTAGAGCTCGCTCAGAATACATTTGAAATTCAGAAGGAATGTTAGAGAAAAAAGTAGAGTTGCAAATGTTTTGAATAATAGATAAAATAGAAACAAGAAACAAGAATTAAAAGGACCTGAAATGAGTTCCAGAGCCGACGCCGCGTCTATTTGGTCCCATATAGGATTCATTTCGTTGCGCGTTCAGCTCAACTATTGTAGATCCCCGGAACTTCTTAGATGTGGCCTCAAATTTGAAAACAATTTTTTTTGTTTGAAAAAAGCCCTTTTTGTTCTACCATCTCAATTTTATATCGAATAGACCGCGAGAGAAACAATTTGATTTTTGAATTGAAGGTTTTTGTGCCCTTCCTGTATCAATTATTTAAAAAAACCTCCATTAAAAAGCCGTCTCGAGCAAAAGTCTGCGATTCGTAGGCCTTACGCTTTTCGTCATTTCTTAGAACATCATAAGCTTCCTGAAAACTCAAAAAGCATTTGTGAAAAAGAGATTTAATTTACCTTGACGAGCATAAACTGCTCGGTTTGAGACTTTGCCGCCCATCCAACTCTGGAATCTCCGAAGGCCTTCGACTTTCCAGAGTCAGGGTGGAGCTACAAAACTTAAACTAGTTATTATTATAGTTCCAAATGGATTACTTGATTTGTCTTCTCAACAAAGGCTTTCTTTATGTCCTCCTTAGAAGCTGTTCGATCAATGCCCAGAACTTCGAAATAGTTTTTCCTGTAACAGATATGTTTTTAAATGAAATTATCAAACGACCTAACCTCGCTATGTATGAAGCTGGTCGAGTAGATAATCTAAAGAGCATGTAAAATCAATCTTCCCTATGAATAAAAACGATTTGGTGGCATTAAAACCAAAAAAAGAGAAATTATGCCAATACACCCGCAATAAATTTCCGAATTAAAACAAGAAAAATTGAAAGAAATTTACTTTTTTCATAAATGTTATTTCTTTTAAATAGTATCATAAAATAAAGTTCTTACAAGGGCAAATTGAGATGAATGGATGTTAAAGCATTCAACCAGTCTTTTTCGAGAATATTTGGTCATGAAGAAGTTAATATTGAAATTGATGTACAAGAAAAAGGCGACAGAAAAAAAGATCACAGAAAAGAATGGAAACACGTAAATTGAAAGCAACAACTGCAAGAAAACGGAACTGCAAAAAGCAGTTAAAACAGAGAAAATAATGGAAAAAACCAAAGAAAAGTCTTTAAAAAATTGAAAAGTGGCTAGAAAATACAGAGAGAACATGAAAAAGTTAATGAAGGCACTCAAATACAGCACTTCCATATCGAAATACGCCGTCACGCCTGAAAATTAATTTAAAATCTTCAAGGACAGAAAGCGAAAATTTTGAGCAAATTGCTCTCATTAAACAATTTGTTTTTTATCATGGATTTCAAACGGACCTGCAGAGAAAAGAGTGAGTGCGGCGGTGTGAAGAAGATGAAAAACAATGGATAAAAAAGGAACTCGGCGAAACTTTCTCATAATCAAACCACTTGCAATCGGAGCCGCCAAACACATCAAGAATATTTCTTGGTGCTGCTGTACGAAAGCTCTGACGCCAGGCGTCATGAAAAGAACTGAAGTCACTGAAAAACTTTGAGCATAGATTAAAAATAGAGAACTTTCACCTAAAGCAACAACTAAACATTGAGCTGCTAACACCGCATAGAGAAAACGCCGGTAGACCATTCTCCGACGCAGATTTTGATGGCAAACCGCGACTGTTCCACTCTCCTTAATTCCATCTGGCAGCAGTTCATCTTCCAATTCCTCATCCATTCTGGAGAACTTTCCTTTAAAAAACATATATAAACTATTTGCGAGAATTCTATAGGATGCGACTCGCATCCTATAGAATTGCGAGAACAGTAATGATAAAATATGGCAAAGTCTATGTAGGCTTCCCTTGAAAAAAAGCGTTATAGAATCTTTTTTTAGTTTTTTTATTATTTAATATTTCAACTATGTATTAAATTGTTAATTTTAAAAAAATCATTCAGAAAAAAATATGAAAAAAATCACCAAATTTTTTTATAAACTATGAGAAAAATCAACGCGAAAAAAATTTTTCGAATAAATTCTCGAAGAAATATTCCATTGAAAAAAAGTTTTTTTAAGGCGGAAAAAGCTATAAAAAAAGTGAAATTGTAAAAATAAAAATAAATGAAAATAAATATAATAAAATATGAAATATGCTGCTTGAGGGACCACTTAAAAAAATAAAGGGGAGCGTGAAGGGACTCGTTGGAGCAAAGTTCGCTCAACACGATTTACAGAAGAGGCCATCAGTTTTCAAAAAAATTTTTACTTGTAAAAAAATTGTTTATTACGTTCGTTCAGCGATTTCTGAATGTTGAGGCTTTTAAGACTTGACCTGGGACTCGAAACTCAATTGGGTTGAAGTATTTTTTTAATCAAGACAGATTGAAAAAAAGAATGTATTTTTTTTCACAAAGGTGAACAGTTATTTGAGAAGTAAAATGATGTCTGTTAACAACTGTGGTGGATAATTTTAAATAATCATAGTTACGAGTGATGCTATCAAAAAAAATAACGATTCAAATAAAGTTGCGCAGTCGGAGCGATAAGATAAAAATTTAGAGTGACCCTGCAATAACGCTCTTTTTTGTCTTCTGGTTCATCTCGTTCAATGTCTTGTTCGACAGAAATAGTGAACGGTCCGATTCCAAAAAATTTTCTGAGCGACACGTCGAAGCGACTAGACTCGCTGCTTTTCAAAGATGGCTGTCTTCAAGTTCTGGGTTTGTTTTCTTGAACGGGAATAATACTGGTTTGAATCGAGAACAGACCAATTGCTACTGCCGCACAGTTTTGAGTATATCGACATCCGAGGAGTAGAAGACGCTTTCAAAGTTATCAAGTCTATGCAGGTCTGTTTCTAATTTTTTTTTTCTCAAAAGACGAGTTTTAGGTCCGTGGTGCTCCACTGATAGCAACGGTCGGATGTCTGGGACTTTTCGTCGAGTTGGAGTCAGGAAAGGACATCGAAAAAGACGGGCAAGATTTCAGGAAACAAGTTCTCAAGAAAGTCTTTTTTTTTTCTTTCTCATCTCAGACCATAATATCACTCTTAGATCGAATATTTAATCTCCTCGAGACCAACTGCCGTCGATCTTCGAAACGCCTTGAACTCAGTTATTCCTCTTCTTGAGAAAGAAGAAGATTTGAAAACCCTAGCAGAAAAGTGAAAGAACATTTACGAAATTCATTTTTGAAACTAATTAGGATCAAAAAGCGACTTCTGGAAGTTTACGAAAAGGAAACTGTCGAAAATCGCCAACTCGTATGGAACGCCTACCAAGAAGTTTATTTGGTTCTGAACTCAATATTCTATTACAATAGTTACAGGTCGTTTCTGCGCATCCTGGAAAAGAGAAATTAAAAGTGATGACGATTTGCAATACCGGATCTTTGGCCACATGCTCTTGGGGTACAGCGCTAGGTAGACATTTCAATAACCAGAATATTTCCACTGACATAGCAGAGGAAATACAACTGCAAAGACTTAGAGTACCTCTTCAGGGGCCATCCGAGCTTTGCATGCTGAAGGCCGGTTAGAACTGGTTTATGCACTGGAAACCCGACCGTACAATCAGGTGTTTTCTTCTAGAAACGTTCAGAGTTATGTTCTAGTTTCTAGGGAATCCGCTTGACGGCTTCTGAACTCTTACACGGCGGAGTTCCTTTCAAGGTGATCACAGACAGCATGGCTGCATGGGTCATGAAGAACGAGAGAATCGACGCCGTTCTCACAGGTTTTCTTCCCCTCTCAGGAGAATACTCACGTTTTTTCTTGTCTCAGGAGCTGACAACGTGGCTTTGAACGGCGATTCGGCTAATAAGATTGGCACTTACATGTTGGCGGTTCTTTGCAAACATCACGGCGTACCTTTCTACCCTGTTGTCAGTTTTTCGATTGACTACAGTCTGTTCGAAAACACTTGTTGTTCAGTCCAAAGAAGCACGGAAAAATTTCTGGGAAGTACTACTTTCGGTGTTATTTTGGTCATCCTAGATCTAAACAATTGCAGAAATGCATTTTGAGTTTTTAAAGTTAAGCATTTTTGAAGACACATTAATATTTAAAGTATGAAAATTTTTAGGTTTCGAAAAGAAATAAATATTTTTCTGTAGATCCCATTCATTATTTTTTTTAAAACCTTACGACGACCAATCAAGAAGGGCTTTAAAAAGTGAATGTAATAAAAAAAAGTTGCATTCGATATTTTAAAAAAAAGCTTGGATTTTCGAAGCAGATCCACATAATCTAACACGGGGTTGCCTCGAGGCTTTTTTCAAAAGTTGTTCATGTCTTTTTATAACCATTTCTTGATGTTCTTAAGTCCATTAGGCTCTTTCTGCAGTCACTGTTTTTCAACCTCTTTCAGAGCATTTGAAACATTACTTAAACAAATAAAAACCAACTTAGCCTAAACCCAAATGGCGCTGAACAAGTTGCGCCTTAATGTTGAAAAATAATTGTAGGAAGATTAACTATTTTTTTGCTATTTTTAACGGATTTTCTAACGAAGATGCGAAAATGTAAATCTTAAAGACAAAAAAAAACTGTACTGTAGGTTCCGAGGACGTCTATCAATCGGAGCCGAGAAACTGGCGACGGCATTATCATTGAAGAACGGCCGTCGAACGAACTTCTTCAAATCAATGGTAGTTTCGAAAAAAAAAAGAACTTCCGGCATATAATTGAACGTTTGAGGTCAATTCATTGGACCTGAGAAAACGCCAGTATGGAACCCAGCCTTCGATGTCACACCAGCAGATCTCATTACGAAGGTCCTCACCGACTTTGGCAATTTCGAACCCAAAAGCTTGAAAGCCGCAGTAGAAACACTAGATTCCTATTAGTAACTCTTTCTTATATCTTCGTGTTGAAAGAATGAAAATTTTGTTATCATGCAAAAAAAGAAACGTGAAACACAAAATATGCACCTTTATTGGTATGCTTCCAAAGCGAGGGTTGGGATACTGTAAAAGACGTGAGATCAGAGGGAAATATTGCCGACGAACTTCGGAAAGACTAGCCCGGCCGACTGGCTGCATTCGCATTCACGTACACAACCTCAGTCATGATTTTCTCCAGTATTTGTAGGCCTCTTTTTTCGCGAATCCCTGAAAAAAAACACGTTATTTATCAAAATTAATAACAACTTTTGGTTCCGCTTGAGTTATCTTCCATCAAAAACCGACTCTTTCTTAAAAGATCACTTATCAGTGATGAAAATAGCCCCGCCACTGTCTTGATACGGTAAGTTAGATAGTGTGAAAATCAGAATTGAACTGGTTATTTCATCATTTTAGTCTGAAAAAAAAAATCTAGCCTGATCAGTGGCCGTAAGCTTTGAAGTTTATGGTCCGTGAATGTATTTGAAGTCGAAAAGTTCAAAATATATGTCAATAAATGAGAAAAATTCGGTTTTTTTGTGTAAAACTTGCAATGAGAAGTTTGGTTAATAAACTTCTTGAGGTTATTTAACTAAAAAAATATTTAATGTACACGACTTCCGAACTGAGATTCCAAGGAGAATGATGATCCTTGTTAATTGTTCAAGAAACGAGGAAGAAGCTCTCCAAATTACAAGGTCTTCATCCCCGTGAAAGAGTTTTTTGATATCAACATTCTTTGAACTGTGAATCTTCCTGCTCGAAAAAGGAACAACAAAACTAGACGCGGCCCGATCAGCCAACAAAATAAGAAACAGAGAATCTTTTCAATCATCATTACTATTGAATGAGACAAGAGCTGGACGAACCTTGTGCAGGAGCCGCTTGGAGCTCTTGCGAGAAGAGCATCATCAGGACGAGAAGGCAGAAGAGGAGTAAGAGCGACGGAGCCATTATTCGACTGACACCGCCACTGCCGCCGCTTTTTAATACGTTATTCGGTGGTCTTATCGGATTAACATTGAATGAATTCCTCAAGGGGCAAAGTTGCTTTTCTGTACTGCCCTGCTTCTCCTCCTCTTTTCCTGGTCACTGGAGCAGCGCCCTTCGGACCTACAGTAACACGGCTTCTCGTTGGCCGGCTAGACTTGCCGTCGTCGCAGATTATGAGTGACGCAGTATTTCGGGATATACTTTCCGAAAAAAGGGAGCTTCGGAATGAATCTAATCTGATTACAAACCAAAACTTTAAGCTAGATGACTGTTCTGAGAAATAAGTTTTTTAGAGTCCGCTCCACAACACCAAGTCGAAAACCCTTATAGCTGCTTCTTTTAATTTCCAACTTTTTTTAGCCTATTACCATGCCATTGAGCTTCATCAAACACATATATTTGAGTGTTTTATCGATCCGCCCTGGGTTGGACCACGGACGGAGATTCACGCCGAATCTGAATTATAAATATTGATTTCAATCTTCAGCACAATTTCTTGTATTTTTTGATTTTGAGTTCAATTTCACAGCTCAGTCACCTTATTTGCGACAACTTGCAACAGTCTTCCTTGTCTATAGTTTTAGCTTCTCTAGAGAATTTAGCTCAGAATCAAACTACTCAATTCAGCTTTGTATCCATTGTATCAGGTCGGAGTTAGAAGAAGGAAAAGTTTCTGTTTTGAAAATCCTTGTTATCGGCTCTTCAAACTTTTTTGTCGATATATCAAATTCAACTTGAAGAAAAATATCATAGATTTTGCTTGTTATCGGCGACGTTATTATTTTAAATTGAAGTTGCAGACCACGAGGCCGTCCGCAAATACTGTTGTTGGTATTCGAGGAGTTCTTCTCCACTTGTGACCAACGATTAAGAGACCAGTCTTAACTTACCAACTTTTTTCCTGCTTCACTGATATAGTCAAGGCTCCAAATTCCGTTGAGAAATTCCACAAATTCCGAACCGCAGTAAAAACCAACACGAAACCAGAAGGCAACGCGATTACAAAAGCAATCAGCTTTTTTCGTCGACGGACACTATCATCGTCCTGAGCTTATAAACACACACAGAGCACAGCCCTGTCGATTGCAAATCGTCAAAAATTTATGTCCTGCACGCACGCGAATAACAATTACATTTGGATGAATAACAATCGGTACACTCATTTTTCGTACTTTTGAAGACAACAAAGGTAGACGCAAAGTTGCTCGAAAGGAGTTCGGCCGTCTATTTTGTCACAGTGAGAACACGACGACGTGTATGTCATGAAGTCGGCGCATTCTGCAAGGGGAGAAAGAATAGAGGAGCTGTCAGAGGATTCAGGAGACCTGGATGAACGACGTGAGCGCAGGCGAGAACCATATTGGAAGTGTGAACGTCCAAAAGAGCTCCGCAGGCCGCGCAAGGCTGGCTGCGGGACAAGTAACGTCGGTAGATGAGAACGTCGATTCTCGGCTCTTTCTTCTCTTCTTTCTGCTCTTTTGACCCCTTCAAAACGGTAATTTGTACAAGACTAAATCGCACGAAATGCTACTTTCGGAGCGGTTCTCTGTTATTTCGACTGCAAACTGTTTTCAGAGTTTTTCTTTATCAAACTAGGCGCTTAAACTTCAATTTCATCACCGACTACCACGTGTTGGGCGGTGTTAAAGGAAAGGAAGTAGTCTTGCAGAAATGATTGGAAATTTCAACAAAATTTTTCTCATTTTTTCGCTCTTTCAATCTTATTTAAGAAGAAAAGAAAAACCAGGGCTTAAGTCTGAAGCATGATAATTAAGTACTAGGAAAGCGGTTTGAGGCGTTCTCGTTGGTCTCGGACCGGAAAGATTTACTCATCTGCAAGTGTTTCACACCCTTCATTGGTCATTCTTCTCAATGCAGCTTAGAACTGATAGAAAGTTCAAGCTTGAAATTCCAAGGGTTGGGAAAATATAGAAATAGTGAGTGTCGGTATTTTCCGAAAAATAGAAAAAAAAGTTCACCAGTTCGACTTCCGGTGTCTTCAAGGGAGCAGCAGCGAAGACGTACGCATCGGCGCCAGCCTGATTTTTGAGCTCAAAAAAGGAAGTTTTTCCCTCACCGTCGCCCTCGCTTCGAACTCCTCCATCAAGGCCACCTGCTTCCGTACAAACTGCTCGTCGCCGCCAAACATCTCCTTCATGGATGTCGGCGCGGGAAGTCTTATCATCTTCAAGAGGTCCAGGACTAGCCTTTTTCATTGTTTTACAATGTACGAAATTTTTTGTAAAAGTTTCAGTTCTTTCTGTGAAACTTTTGAGGAGGAACAGCCAAAAGTCACGCGTTTTCAATTCATTTTCAACGGTTAAGATTTTCGTTCAATTGATTTCTTTCAAACGGGACTGTAATAATCTCATTCGAACAGGCGAGAAATATATCTAAAGTTTGGGTTTTCTGATTGCTCCGTCAGAGATGAACATATATAAATAAAGTTCTGCTTCAAAGAAAGTAATTGACGTTTGAAGACCGTTTTATCCTTCATGTGCTAATCTATTGTGTCCTCAAGATCCAAACCTGCTCTTCCCATGTGCAGCGCGCTCGGAAATGAACTACTCGAATTAGGAAATTACTAGAAGTTTATTCATAACGTGAAAATAAATACAACGAGAATGAATCTACAACCGAAGTCTGTCGTCGTCCGGAGAAGAGTCGCTGCTGTAGGCACCGTCGAGATGAGACTTGTTGGCGCCGCCGTCGTCGTACTCTTCCAGGTGTTCAAAGTGAGGGGATCCGTTCGGACGGAGTTTGGCCAAGTGAAGACTTCCTCCGATGCCGCCGTCGTCGAAACGCTCCAGGTGATGGAAGTTGACTTGCACCTCAGGAACTGCGCTGGCAGGGCGAGAATCACCCTGGAATTCATAACTCATCTTTTGTGAGTGGAGAAGGAGACCAACTCGGAACACCCAAGGACTGTCGACTTCGTGGCCGGCTCTCGCGGCTGCCTTGGCCGCTTCGAGCTCCTGTCGGTGCTTTTCTCGGACTTCTGACTGAGCGACTTTATGACCAGCAGCAAGTCTGAAGAGAAAAGTTTTTCGCATAAAACCCTTAATTCGAATTTTAGGTACATAAAAACGTTACACTATATGAATTTTTTTTTCTATATGGTGAGAAAAAATTGCGCACATATTTAAGAGTGGTAAAAGTGGTAAGGCGTGAGGTTTGAAAGACGTCTTTGTTAAAAGTAAGACATTTCAAGAGACAACCAACCGGATGAGAGCTCGCGGAAGTTCGTTCTCTAAGCGCCCGTAGTTGGCCTCAACCATTTGGTCCATGAGAGCCTTCCCCTTGGTCTCCGGTTGGAACAAGAAGCCAACGACGAAGGTGATGATGATCAAGGCCTCAGGAATGACGAAAGCGCCCGTTGGCCAGTTGGAAGTCAGCAAAGGGCGCAGTATCAAGAATCCGACAATTGAGCCAATGTGTCTATGATTAATTGGTTCGCGGCTTCAATTAACTTTGAAAAATGTTTGAACTAAAAAATAGTCGAAAGTTGACCGAGAAAAACAATTTTTTAAAAAAGTTATTGAAGTTTCGAACGGTTGTTTCTATAGTTTCTACTTGTAGATAAGTTTGAGAGAATCGCACAGGTCCAGGTATCTTCATTTGATGGATATCGCAAGGCTTGTGCTAGGGCTGGCTTGTCAGTATAACGACCGCTCGGCAACTTTTTGAGCTAGTTTTTTTCTGTATCTTTCCAGGACTCAAGTGATAAAAAAATTATTTTTTTATATTTATTTCTCTTCAATTTTGAAGCCACGTGAATTTGTTAGGGTTCTACCTACCTTTCCATCAATTTTTTAATATAGTTAGTTAGTTACTAACTTGATGGAATGGAGTGATCCGAAGGCGATGCAGCGAATGACGGTCGGATATCGCTGCGCGGTGATCTGAATGATGTTGATCCAAAAGATGCAGTCGTTGATCATCGTCGTGATGATGATCAGAATCGTCACGGCTGCCAAATGATTGTTTATTAAAGCCGGAAGAAGTTTTCCTACACAAAGAATTAGCAGCGGCGGTTCCTGTGGCCACCAAGACGATCACTACTCCGAAAAGAACAGCTTCTATCACTGCAAAATGTCAAAAACTTCGTCAAGAGAAAAATAAAGAGCTCACAAAGAGATCCGAGGAACTGAATTTTTCTGCCAAACGAAGGGATGGTCAGGTCGAGGAAAATGATGATGAACGGCGTGAAAAGACGGAAAAGACCGTCCAAGAAAGTGAACATTATCGGTGATTCTAGAAAGATTCTGAAGTTAAATAATGGTTCAAGCGAAAAAGCGCACCATGATTTCCAGAGACAATGTAGAGATAAGTGTTGGAAACCATAGCGTACGTGAAAACAGAAAGAATTTGCAGAAAAGACTGTTTTGCAAGACGTTTTGTGCTGCAAAAAGAGAAAATATCGACGAAGAAAGGTTCTTTTACCTGAAAAGATGGTAGAACCAGTAGAATCCTTGTTTCTCTTGTTTGTGAATGGCCGAGATACTTTTATTCGTGAACCTGGCATGTGTATTGTTCCATCTTTGATGTGCGATATCGTTGAGGACCTTAGATTGAAACAAATGGAAGCGCCATGAAAGCAAAGTGAACGACTCAAAACGGCGCGATTGCTTTTGACTGGGAATTCCAACTTAGATAATGACCTCAAGGATAAGTATTTTATTCTAATACTTTAAAGGTTATAGTCAATTTAAAACTCGTTAAGCGATCGCGAGGCATCGAAACACGTTTTGCGAGATTATAAGAGAAAAATAAAAGTTGGAATGATTTACATCGCAGGCTTTGCTGAGATTGTTCCTGGCGATGAGCCACCGCGGAGATTCCAAAAATAACATGAAAGCGATGGCCAGTGGGGAAGACACCAAGTTGAGGAAAACGAAGTAGTTTTGCCAGCCCTTTGAAAAATGAATAACGTTCCAAATCGGTTTCGAATACTTTTGTGAGAAAAGCGATGAGAGCGATCGTCATGTAAGCGATGGGCCATTGGAAGGCGTTCACCATGATGACCCGATATCTTGAATTTATGCACTTATCAAAATAGATTGAAAGTCTAAATCTTGAGAAAGTAATTGAATTTCTGTGAAAAGAAGACGGCCAAAATGAGCAAAATGTGAGAAATTGAACATCTTTCTACTGAATCTTACGGCCGGGTCTTTTCAAGAGCATTTATATGTCCCATTCCCAATTACTCACCTATTGCTGGTAATTTCCATCATCATGGTGAGTGATGTGGTCTGTAATTTTGCGATTTATTAAGGTATTTCATCGATGAAATAAGACCTCGATAACGCCGTAAAGGAAGCAGTTGACGCACTGGATCGAGGCAAAGGCGATCCAGCTCTGAGAAGCCGTCGACATCATCGAGGTGATGATGATCAGCAGCTGCGCCACGAAAAAGGCTGTCTGCCGGCCAAAATGGTCGCCGACGTGCCCGCCGATGACGGAGCCGACGAGCTGCAAAATTAGGGAAATACAAATGAATGTTCAAGAAGTACTTGCCGATCCACCTGCTAGAATTACATCAATCCATTTGGGCTTGTCGGAGTCTGCGCAAATCAGCTTGAACTGAGCAACAATGGAGAAAAACTCGAGGCCGTCTCGCTAAAGTCGGTGGTTGTTAGATAATCTCAGAAAAGATCAATTCCAATGGGTTACTTAGATTTAACAATCTATAGAAAAAACTAAAACTTAAAAAAGTACAGAAATGAGAAAACCTACCGTTTTTGTGCACATTTTAAGAAATTTTGTTCAATAAAAAGTTGGAATTGAAAAATTTCTCAAGATTTGAATGCAAATAGTATCTTAATAATGACAGCGAACTCGAGTGTTTTAGGTTAATAGAACCGAACTAAAAATAAATCAAAACTAAAAAAAAAACCAAATCTGCATTCTTAGTTCCTTATTAGAAAAAATTCATTTTATTGGATAAGAAGATAAATTTAGCTGCCGTGTTGTAATTGAACTGTGAAGAAAAAATGAATAAATAAAAACCGACTCACTTTCTCAAAAATTATTCCCATAATCTCAGTGTGTGTACCTCGGCTCTAGACCCTATCGATCTTCACAAAACGCTAACACAGCTTTATTTTTTTTCAGTTTACTCTATTTTTTCATTCTGACCTGTTTCGTTTAACCATCTCTTCGCTTTTTTATTCAATAAAAAAAAATCATTTGTGAAAATTATTTTCTTTGTCATATGAGAGATTACGGTCGTACGGCTCCGCTCATCTGAGATTTTATTTACTTCATTTCGATTTTATAGTTCGCGAACTTGTTGCTCAATGAAACTGCATTGAAAAAAACTCATAGGAATCAAAGTCGATAGAAAAGTGAACTTGGAAACCGAAAAAAGTCTTTTTTTTTGCAAATGATAGATTACGGTCGTACGGCTATATGAAAGATTCCTTCTAATAGTTGTGACGCGAAGTAAAGCGTTTATATATCCTTAAACTTGTTAAAATCATTCAAATTGGCTTGAAGTTTCTCAATACGATTGACTACTTCAAAAATTAAGAAGAAAAACCTCTGGCTCGATTTTCGCACATTGGTTTCTGATGTACTTGCAAGCAGCGTCGTCCGTCGGAGCCATGACTGAAAATGTTTTCAAACAATAAAATAAAGACAATAGCGAAAAATTCTACTCACTTGTGGTTGTTTTATTGTTGAAAAAAGTGCATTTCCAATTAGGTTCCAAAGAGCCCAAGACGTACATAAACGTGCTGTTTCCTGAAAAAAAAACTCCTAAGACACAAGAATACTTTGAATGTGAGCCTAAAAATGGCATTAATCGAGTAATCATTATTCAGAAAAGCGAAAGCGTAACCTTTTCGTTCGCTTCTAATTAGAAAGAAAAACTCGTTTACCTGCCCATTCTATAGATGCGTAGAGAATGACGATAAAGCAGAATATTTGATACAGTCCGAACGGATTTACTTTCTGAAAAATGAAAACTGATTTTTGGTACCAAAAAAGGGATACATACCTCTAGAACCTCTTCGAAGTTCGTATAGAAAACGACTTCATTTTTAGTTTTCTTCTTAGGCGCGTATACCCGACGTCTAAAAAAATCTACATTCAGTTTAACTCAAAAAAATTGATATTAAATTTTTTTCAAAGGTTGAAAAAGATTTTTTTACAGTTACTTCAAACTTTTTCAATAATATTTTTTTAACGATTAAAAAAAAAAAAAACAAGAATTCAGCTCAGTTATGCTTCTACAAATACAAAAACCGAAATTTTACTTCAAAAATTAGACTCAGGCACTGACGGCGCGTGTTTGTTGCCAAAAGTGCGCATGCGCGCCGCCTGCTGCGCGCACGCGCAGGGGTGTCTCTTTTTATTTTTTTAGCTTTTTTTAACTTATTGAAAAGTTATAAATTTAATATTTTTTTCATGTCTGTTCATCTCTTAACATTGCTCTGCACCAGTTTATAACAATTAGATTGCACAAAAAAATGTGAAATATCAAAGTTTCACTTGGCAACTTTTTCATAAATTTGTTCGAAAGTGCTCGGAACAACTTTAAAACGTGAGCAGGGGCACTGGGTTATATCACAAAAATATGAAAAATATATTTCAAAGCCTTATTTCAGTGGAAAAGGCGAAAAAAGAATCAGTACCCCCGCGCGTGCGCGCACCAGTGCCTGAGGAAAATTTTCAAAATTAAAATGCACTAAAGGAGCAGAATGACGTAATCATGCACCTAAACGCGCAAAATATATGATAATTTATTCGAGCGCGAAGTTTGTTTTTTTATGTGAAATATTTTATCTGAACTAGTTTTCTTAAAGCTTATTTTCCCGCGTGTTGCTTTACAGTTTTGATTTTGATTCTTAGTTTACGAGTGCTTTAAAAAAACATCGAATTTTTTTCAAATTTTATTGACTCGAATCTTGAACTAAGTTTCCCTTGAGAGCTATTTTCTTAAATTCAAAAAAATGGAAGTTTTTTTTTTCTTGAGTTTCAGATTCATTCTAATTGGAATTAGTTCCAGAGAGCCGATCTGACATAAAGGCTAATAGCCTGAAAACTAGAGATAAGAAATTGCGTGAACATTTCTGAGAGATAAGGTTGATGTGTGATTTCCCTTGCTCCAAAACGACTTAAACCAACTAACACTGGAGGGACATGGTTCTCGTCGTCGCTGCCCATAGCCAAAGTGATGAGTCAGAAAAAACGGCAAATACTCAATAATTGTTCAAAAAAGGCTGAAAGTAGGTGCCGGACTCGGTTCACGTGGCTTCTTCAAACGGCCGACGATAGCACAAAAAGGTTGGCATGGGCGGCCGCTCGTTATCACTTCGCCCGTGGCACTTCCATTTAAGGATCAGCTTCATTCAATTGGCAAACAGTGTACTGCTAAACGGATTCATCAAATTTTTATTTAATAGGTGAAATTTTCTCTCAGATTTCGCGTTGACGTCGGTTGAGAAACGGGCGGTTGTAGTCTGTTGAAAAAAAGCTTGATGGGTGTTCGGAGGCGTGAAACCTCCGTTCCAATTTTAGTAAAAAAATTTTACTACTTTTTTTTGTTTTTCATAAATTTAGAAATGAAGCAATGCTGGGCATTAGTTTGGGACGAAGCATTGTGGAAATAAGCTATTTTCTAAAAAAAGCTCAATTGTAAAAAAATTCTTTTAGTCATCTTTTTTTAGTTGAATGGAAATTTTAACGGATTATACGAATTTCTGCTCTTAATTTAGCTCATTATTTTTTTATAAAAATCACTCAGGACGAACTCTAATGATAAAATTAACAAGAGTCCATTCTTAAACCGCTTATTTCGACCCTAAAGTTTGAAAACGCGAGAACGATAGATCACAAAGCCAATAAGTCCGTTCTTTCCAGTTTCATAGATCATGATTCATCCGAGATTAATTATTTATCTTTGAAAATCAAAGAAGTTGAAAAAAAAGAACTTCGGTTTCGAACTTCTGTGAATAGATTCTGAATGTGGAGTACTTTTCTCTCATGCTCCTCAGTCTTATCACGAACAGTTGCATTTTAATGGATTCCGATGCCATATTTTGAACGCGATCTACCAATAAAGCTTTTTATATTCCAACAAGTAAATGTGAATAAATTAGAGAAAAGGCGATAATTAGGAGCGAGCTGCGGCCTTGCGGTTCTCAGTCGGCTTGGTCTGAGGCGGAGCCTGGAGCTTGGCCGCCGCCGACTTGACGTCGTTGAACCGACAATGCGTCGTGATTGCGGCTACACACGGCTCCGTCATCCAGATGTACCTGAACTTCTTGTGCAACGAAGTCTTATAGGTGCAGAGATACCACTGGTTCTCTTTGACGTCACGATACTTGCCGTAGGTGTAGTACTTTTGGCAGTTTTTATTCACGTAGGGGCGCTTTTGCAAGACCTGAAACTTTCATTTTTTTTTTCAAGCTTCCATAGGAGCCAAAAGGCAAAGTTTCAACTGAAAATTTTCATTTTTTTCGAATAAAAAAATAATTTTCACGCGCTTGCGATTAAGTTTTTCTACTTTGATTTGAAAATTTTTAATCCTTTTTGGGTGACTTCAGTCACTCTTGAGAGATTTTTGGCAGACGTCCATATTTCATGAAATATCTCATCGAAAAAGCTTACAGAGAGGTCGAATTCGACGGGACAGTGGATCGGACAAGCAAGACGAGTCGTCGAGTTGGCAGCCAAGGTGTTGTAAGATTCGTGTGGCATCGGCTCCCGTCGACATCTGCAATATTTGAATTTGAATGGAATTGGTGTTTTTCTCACTTGAAAGTTGTTGGATTGGGCGGATTTTGAGAGTTTGGCGCCAGGAGAACGCATTCGTCTTTCTTGCCGCTCGTCACGCAATCCAGAGTTCTTTCTTCTGCAATTAAAATGAAAACAGAGAAAAAGAAAATTAATTTTTCTTTTTGTTTTCAAATATGTTTGATGAAAAGTAAATATATTGGCGAAAAGAGATTTTCCAAATTCTGAATAAAAAATGGTCTTTGAACGAGAATACGCAGCATAATTCAAATGCACATACCAGAATTAGGCGGAGTTATATACGCATTCCGCTAAGAAAAAGTTTTGGTATTCCGTTCCGCGTTTTCCAATATGATTGCTCAAAAATATACTCTGATTTTTGTTTGAATTTTTCACAGTCCAATAATCTGTTTCCACCCGCTAACTATCTGAAAAGAAAAAGTCCGTAAATGTAAATTTCACCTTTACAATCGAAAAATAGTGCTTACTGTTGAACTGAGGAAATCTCTAGTATTCCGCAGCTTAAAATTTCAGTTCCGCCCATTTCTTATACACAAACTTTTTTTTAACAGCCTTGATGGCGTTTTTTTCTTAAAATCAAACGCTTTAAGAGTTGTTGGCAGGTGTATTTTTGATTTCGAACGTAAATGTTAATGTAAGAGACTGTTGTTTGAATCGGCTTATGTCAATGTTTTGCGGTTACTATTGAGAAAAGACTGGGAAATTGCATCGGAAGTGTCTCTGAGCAAATTGACTTGGAAAGCGAAATAAAATCACTTGAAGATTTGAATCAACATATAAAGTTACAGTACCCCATCGGTTCCAACGGAAGTCGGCCTCGCCGTCGTGCAACGTCTCCGGCTGCTGACAGAAGCCAAGGTGGACGAAGAGGAGGACCAACAGGAGCGAAGACGTCATCTCTGGTGCGACGTCTTCGCAGCCGCCTTTTTATCGCCACTTCTCTTGGCACAACGACTCGTTTCGCCTCGATTATCTGCCACTTCCATCATCCGTGCGTCTTTTGATTTATTTGCTTAATAAGCGACGCCTTATGCATCGAATAACTTTATCGCCAACAAAATAACAACAAGGCAAAGCAAAAAGCCAATCACAAATTCTAATCAAGTAACCGTTTTTCTTCCATTTCAATGCGTGTAGGACCCGTGTTTGAAGATATATAGAAGAAGAATTCAATAAAGGCTAGTATGAACATTGGAAAATGCCTAGGGGAGACTGAGTGCTTTGTAATCCAACGTCCGCCAAAACTCGACCACCTGAAAGTGTGATTAATTGTTTCGAAGAGCATCTGAAGTTCAAACTTTGTAAGAAGGATAGAGCCCATCGGCGCCAGTCCGTCTATTCTGGCCTTTGGAGAATCCGTCCCAATGGTTCCCGGCTATGCCTATCCTGTCTCCAACTTTCAGTTCGATTTCACCTCTTCTTTCCGGTTTATGGGCTTCGACGGCCACTTGCTCATGCGCTGCAATAGCTGTGGTACTCTTGGAACGATCTTTTGACCCACGATGTTGGCCGCCGAAATAGTAAATGTCGTCCAGGGAATGGAACTTTGTTCCGTCGTCTTTTCCCGCGGCTTGCCTCAGCTCGTAACCCATCCGGCACACCTGCAATATTCGATAAGATTTATTCTATCTTCAAGAAGTGATAAGAAAAACACCTAAAAAAAAAAACTCAAAAAATATTGATGCGATGAAAAAGTGAAATGATTTTTTTTTTCATAAGTCTGCAATACTTGGAGAGACGCAAATAAAAAAAAATTTAGGAAATGTTTCCACCCGTCTTTTCGACTGAAAGAAAAGAGAAGAAGTTGGGAGAAATTTATTTTTTCTATCATTTCCTTTTTTTCTGAAAAATGACGAAACTCCAACCTGACTGGAGAACGTGCAGACAAGGTAGTCCATTTTGCTGAGGACGAAAATGTCGGAGATGACGCCGATGAGAGAAGCGTCCGTGTAGCGATGGGACAACTGCGCCGTCTTGGCGATATCTGTGCTGCCGTAGACCTCGTACTGTGGGTACCTAGATTGTCACAAAGGATAAGACTTGTAGAAAGTGAACTGACAGCTTCTTGGCTTCGGGAACAACAGTTGGATCATCCGTGGCGACAAAAATCCGACGAGTTAGGTTGGCTGAAAGTCTCCTTTCTTGGACTCGGAACCAAAACTCCGTCCATTTCATGTACTCTTCGACCTTGTGAAACGCTGCTTCAGTACCAATCTTGTCGGTTCGTCGCACTTGCAAGCCCACAATCGGTCCTAAAGTTTTGTTTTTTGAAAAAAAGAATCCTTCCGCGTAGAACCTTTATCAAAGGGAATAGCCCGATAGACGCTTCTGAGCTTCTCTTCGGTGGGCTCGTTAGTCCGCATCAAGTATGCGAGGAACTGGAATAATTTATTACATCATGGACAGCCTCGATTCATGTTCCCTACTTGGCCAACAAAGAACACTGGCGGATTAGAGTGCAATGACGTCAGTTCTTTCGAAAGAGTTGAAGGAAAAGCTAGCGGTAGAAAAAGAGGCCTGAAAGTCTTTTTATCTATTTACTCCAATCGGAAAGTCCAACTTGTTCGAAAGGCCGTCGACAATGCCCAAAGTGACGATACGACTCTCTGACTGCTCAGTGAATGTGGCACTTTGTTCATTCTTAACTCATTGAATGAATATTAATCTCTGAAAAAAGACCGACAGCTATAATCTCCTCATAAGTGCAATTGGAAAGAGGCATGAAAACAGCTGACCAGCCGTTTGTAGAATATCTGCAAGTTTATGGTTCTAAGCGAAGAAGTGAGTTCAAAACCTCCAAGTGGTCCCATCACGTCGGAGAACCAAAGTTCTGGAGGTAGCAAAGGCCATTATGAAACAATAGGAGACATGGTGAAGCTGGCAGCCGAATCCACATTCCTTGTCCAGGTTGCATAGAAGGGCTCTGTAATTATTGAATATGAAATGAAGTGAAATATTGGGAAAGACTTGAAAAAATGAGCTACTGGCAAGAAAGAAAATAAAAACCTGGCATTTTTGCAGACAGATGGATTTTGGAGATTTTCGATTGATTTTTGAATGTCAGATGCGATTTTGGCCAAGGTTTCGGATCGTGTATCTGCAAACTGGTCGGCGTCGTCAAGCCGTTCAGAAGCTCCCATCAAGGAGATCATCTGCTCTTCGACGTGGGCCGCTGTTATTTCATCGCTGATGGTAGACTTTTGAGCATGAAGGTAGTAGAACATCTAGAAATAGGTCGGTGATTTTCTATCGTGAGGATCCGAACCTCTCGTATTCTGTCGTCCAGAAGGCGTCTAGCACTGGACAAGTTTCTGTTGAACACCGGCTTGATCACCGCGATTTTTGTAGCTTCTTTCTTCTCCGTCGGTTTCGTAACTTCTTGATGGCTGGTCAATCTAAAAGAACGATGAAACTCCAAGAAAGAAAGGATACATCTGCTGGTGTTGGAGGTTCCTTTCGCGACGTTCGTCCTGCACGAGCTGGCGGAGCTGTTCGTTCTGCTTGCGCAACGTGTTCAGCGTGTCCATCGCCTCTCTCCAGCTGTTCATCATCTCCTCGCTGACCCCTTCAGATAAGATACTCTTGGTCCGAATTTAAATGAATTTTTCGGGGCGACTTGTACGGAAGTCATTTATTTCTGCATTTTTTATTTATGTGTCTCATCAAAACTGATATTTAATTTGTTGATATCTCATCCGCCACGAATATTAGAAATGGAGGATGTGCAAGAGATTTGTCGAGAAAAGTATAGTAATAGGGCTTTTTCAAGTTCGTTTATTTCTGCATCGGTTATAATATTTTCAAAAATTCGCAAAACTTTTTGCATTTTTCTTTTAAAAAATGGACAGAGCCGTTTCTTAAATTACTCGTTTTCTTGAAGGTTGAAATCGGGAGGCTTTTTGCAAAATTTTGAAAATTGTACACGAAATTTTGGAGTTCTGTGATTCCAAACCAACTAACCCAATTCATAGACGATTATTAAATCTTTTTCAATATTCAAGTAAAATCAATTAATTTTCGTCTCATACTGTTAATAAAGTAATAATTTGGAATGAATCACTCTATTCTGAGCAAAACGAAAAAAATTTTTAACCTACGTAATGACATAATTGAGTAAAAGTTTTACTAGGTATTCATTTTCATTCAATCAAGGTTTTCAGTTTGAAAAAAAACATGAAAATCAAGGTGTTTTCCATCTTCCTTTCTTCGATTTTTTCACACTCTACTCGTTTTCTCGAAGTTCTTACTAAGAACCTGGCGACGGGGAGACGAAGAGCTGGAGGTAGATGTAGAGGAGAGTGCATAGCCAGAGGACGACGGCGACGACGGCCACGTTCTTGAGCATGCCGCCGGCCCGGCGTCGACCAACAACCTGATTATCACGCATCTGATAAGGCCAACTCAAACACTGGGCCACGGCCAAAACGAGGGGGAAGGACCAGGAAGCCGTACGTTAGATTCGAAGCGCGGATTAGGGAATTTCGAGGTGTTTCATTCATTTAACATTTCTGTGATTATCTTTTTATTGCAAAGGTTTGATCCTTTCAAGAAGATCGCTGTAAATATTGTTAATATCAAACAGATTAGAAGGAAAGGACTGCAAATATAAGTCATGAAACTCGTGAGAAAATTATTTTTTGGCTGGGAAATATAGAGAAAAAAATCATAAAGATCAAACTTTTTATTCTCTCTTTGATTTTCATACTACATACAAGTTTCTTCTCGGAAATGATCCTTTGCTTCGAAATTTCATAAATAATCCGAATTCATAAACTTCATTCAGTCAGCTTTGTTTGGAGAACCCTGAGGCTTCTATAAAATAAGCTTCTTCCGATTTCTGTTGCCAAAACTAGCAAAAATCAAGATCAAAATTAGAATCAAGGTTCAACAAAAATAGAAAAATATTCATGTGAAAAAAATAATCGAAAGGAAAGCACTTTGTAAAATTTGTGCGACGATTGATCAAAAACGTAGTTTATTCCCAAAAAGATGTTAAAATATTCCCATGAAAATTTCAAGTGAGAAGATGGAATCAGAAATTTGAAGAAGACAATAAAAAAGAAATTTATGGAAAAATTCAATTTAGTGAGAAATATTGCAAAAAGTAAGATGTTTTTATTATTACACAGAAAAATAATTGTAGAAGCTTTTTTTTTCTTCTCAACACTTAATAAAAAACGGAAAAAGTCCTTCCTGTGTAAATAGAACTTTGTCTGATTTTCTGATAAAGGGAAGTTTTCAATTGAAAGTTTATCTAAAAATGACCGTGATAAGTGTATTCCAAAAAAGAAATGATAAAATGGTATGAAAGAAAGGGAATCTGGGCTTCTTCGAGAGTTCAAGTCACTCGAGAATCAACCAAAAGTCTGAAGACCTCGAAAAGGACATAAAACTTGAGGTCGGCGACGCCAAACTCGGCGTGGAGGCGGAGATTAATTGAGGGAAAAGCCGCGAGTATTGTTTGGAGGCAAAGGCGTCGGCCTCCAACACGCTCCAGGCCCTTTTGGGATCGATGCGAGGCTGTTTAGAAAATGGACACGCCAAGCCGCGGCTCCCACTTTCCGCTACTTCGAGTTCCGGCAGATCCAACCGATTTCTAGTGGTCAAACTCATCTTTCCTGGAAGCCCCATCCAAATTCGTAGCTTTTCGAAGGGTTTCTTTGGAGTTCAAGTTTATCGAGCTCCGTTGGAAAAGTTGGCAAAAATTGAATGTGAAAGATTTCAGTCTTTTGTCAGGCTGACTTGGGAAAATTTGAACATCCAGTTTGAATATTTTCAGAGTTTTATTAAGTTTCAAGATTTCAAAGAGCTTCAAAACTATCTAAGAATTAGCTACGAAAAAAATGGATACCACATTTTTTTTCCATTGACTTTATTTATTCAATTTTATTCCTTCTCGAGAATTTTGAAATCTTAAGCGTTCCAGAAGATTTAATTTTGTTTTAGGGTCTTGTTGGTAATTTTCGAAAAAAAGAGAACGAGCTCAACAGAAAATTCATTCAATTTTTTGGGTTGATTTCATTTTCTCAATCTAATTTTCTCTCCGAAATTGGAAATTGAGCTTTCAAATTTGAAGAGGTTCTTTCCAATTTGAGGTAAATCGAAACTTTCTATTTTAGATAACAGTTAATGGAATAGAAATTGCAAAGTTCAGTTTTTCCCGATCTGAACTTTTTTTAATTTGAAAAAAATACAGGCGTTACAGAATAAAATTGAAGTCATTTTCGAAGGCGAGAGAAATGAGAAAAATTATATTGTTTTTCCTGGTTTTGGCTTCATTCTGTCAATTAATTTTTTTCGTCTCGAAGGTGCCCCAATTGAGTTCCGACAATTTGACCTTCATGAAAAAAAGTTCGACGGAGCGAAAATAAGACAAATTTATTAATTCTTCGTTTTGTTCAATCTTTTTTTGACCACAGGCTCTGGTTTCTAATTTCCAGACTCCTTTTGATAGTAAAAGAAAAAATGGAAAATTTTCAAACTGAATTTTTCGTGATAAGTTCTTTTCCGAAAAAAGGACATTTACCATAGTTTATATCAACTGCGAGTCAAATATATACTGGTGATGGTGAAAGATCGAATTACAGGAGCAAAACGAATTATAAATAAATAGAAGTAGGTTGATGGAATTATCGTTCGAGCAACATTTCTAGAGTTATGATAATGAAAATCGAATGAAAATGACTGAAAAGGTGATAATAATATTGTTAAGCGAGAAAATGGGCGAGAGATTTAGAAGCCTTCTAGAAAGATTAAAAAGAGCAAACGCTTCAAGCTCCGAGTTTAAAAAGAACTTTCAAATTCTTTTAAGTCTTTTTGAACTTCTCAAAAAGTTCTTTCGAAGTCTATTTCCTCAATCAAAAAAAGACTGGAACGTCTTGGAAGATCTCGAACAAGTTGAGGTACCAGAACAGTGGAAAAGAGCAATCAATGAGCCCCAGGCGCAAGAGATAAGCGGCGTAGTGCACGCGTTTCATGTTCATGAGCATAATCCACGCCAATTACACCGCCAAAACCGCCAGCCCGGCAGCCGTTCCCTTCTCTTTCGTTTTGTCTCTGACGCTGTAACAAAAAATAAAAGAAAACGCGTGCTCAGAAACCGGCAAAGGCCTTCCAAGAGTTTATTTTGGGAGACTTGAGTGCTTTTTGTAAAGCTTGGTTTGGTCGATTCAGCGCTGGCAGCTTTTCAGTGGATGACTGAGTTTTCACAAAAAAGAGCGAAATAATTTTAGAGAACGTTTCGAGAATCTTTAAATTGGTTCCGATACAGAAGAGGGGCTATTCAATACTTCATCTTTTCACCAAACCTTAATCAACTCGATCCATTCCTTTTTCGGGTTGTCCGCTTTTAGCTTTGAAACTTTCAGAGATGTAAAAAATCGTGACATAGTTAGCCGCAAGATCATCAGTCATTTGGATGGAGAAGGAGACGCCGACTTTACCGGCTTCTGTATTTCGAAAACGAAATCCAGTCTTTTTAATCAGTTCGTGTTTTTGCAGATTAGAACAGTTTTCGGTTTTCGAGGTTTCAGAAATCATTGACATGTAATAATTCAAATAAATGAGTTTAAAAATAAGACTAAAAATAAAGTTGTGCGACTTGATGAACCACTCAGCTGATTGAGGTTGAGTTAAAGAAAAAAAGGAGCGAGAATGCATAACGAAAAGGAAAAAAGGGTTCTGAAAAGAGGATGGAGCAACGAGCAATCATTTATCGGCTCGACGGAGCCCCCGAAGACACCATCTGGCTCATCTGAAACACTCGAACCGCGCAGCCATCTGTTCCGGCGGCTCGTTCAAACCGCCTCTACACGCTTGTTGCCCCAACACACTTGTCACTCGAGTTCGGATTATACCGTATCCTCATTTCACACCTTCAGAAGGGGACGAGAAAGATCATTTTTCTCAGTCCAGGCTCCGCTTTTCTGTGATATGTTCTTGATCATGTCTAAAAGAGACGAGTACTTCTTCTCCTGGCAAACTCAGAAGGTCTCATTCTTCACTGGGATATTTCCTGGAACCTTCGATAAGGTTGTTCCGGAGAGGAAACTAGCAAAAGAGCAAGAAATTTGAAAAAGTTATGAAATGAAAAATATTTGAAGTATTTCCAATATCCCGAGACGCATTCAGATCAACTTCCAAAAGGAAATTATCTGTTAGATTAGACTGAAACTCCGAAAAATTGGAAGGAAAACCAAAAACAACTCAGAAAAAAGGTGTTTTACCTCAGCAAGGGCCGTCATTCAAACGTTTATCACATTTTTTCTTTTCAATAGCACTTTTTGTCGTGCGCTTTTGTGTGTTTTCCGGAAAAGTCAGCGTTTTCCCATTGCTAAGGAACGTAGCTGACATCCTGGTTTTTTTTTCTGAACTATGAGCAGACTCTCCAAATAAATAGGTTTATTTCAACGCAAGTCTGAGAGGAAATGGAAGCGTCGCCAACGACGACGCGGGAGATCTTTCTGGAAACCAAGCAACGAAGTAAGCAAAAAGAGAAAAGAAAAGAAAAGAAAAAAGACAATCAAAACTTGAGGAAACAAATAAGGAGAGACATAATGGCTGACAGAATCGAAAAAGAACTGAAGGCCGAATTGCAGTTGTCGTAGCTGCAAGTGTAGCACTGACCGGTGCCGCCTTGAGTAGCGCAGTTCGCCTCAAAATAGTCTTTCTTGCAAGAGAAGATATTTTAATTCGCATTTGAGAAAATTCTAAGCCTAGCCAGAAAGACATTTAGTATAGTACAGTTCCGTCAGAAAAGATGCGAAAAAACGCTATTTTGATTACAGCTTTCTTGTAAGATGTTCTATCTTTCTGGAACTTTCTGGAGTTGAGGCGACTGTCATTGGTAATATTCTGGTGGAGTTTGAGTTTGCAGAAAGAAAAAACGCAGCTCGATAGAGTGAATATTGAGCTCGGTACAGAGAAAATGGAAGGAAAAAAAAGTTTCGTATTTTTTCTGAAGGTAGTGTAGATGAATGTTCTGAAACGTTTTGACCTGCACAGTTCCCTTTTCAAAGAAATGCATCTCAAAGCCTCCAGAGAGCCTATTCAACCGGCTTTACTAGGGAACTACTCGGACTCGGGTACGCGTTTCCAGTTGAAACTTTAGTGGTTTTTAGACCCAAGTCAAAGAACTTAAAAACAAGAGAGAATATCTGCTAAACCCGATGGAGAACTGAGAAAAAATTAGTAGAAAATGTGAAAATTAGGCCTGAAAATTTTCAGAATACTGCTTTTTACCTTATTTTATATTTTAATACAATTGCCTTGAATGATCCGGCTATGATAAATTCTAAAAAACTTTTTTCCAGCCAAAAGAAGGAGGAAAGCAAAACTTGTTTCCAAGCACTCTCACCCGGGTCTACAAGCCACCGAAGTTTCAACTCGAAACGCGTACCCGAGTCCGAGCTCGTTCCCCAGTTAGATGGTTTTGAGACGTCCGCTCTTGATAATAGGTATTTAGGCAAGTGGGAAAATCTTCTGAGCTCATCGGAGAGTTTTCTTACCAATCTTTTAAAACTCTTAACAGCGAGGTGAAATAACCTTCCTTGTCATACAAATGATTTATAGTTATATGTTATTTATTGATAATTCAAAAAAACTACCGGAATAAAAATTTTGTGAACCTTCGAACTTCGAAGATAAAACTTTGAATATTGTTTATGAAATTTAAAAAAAAAATCAATTTTTCTTTTGAAGTTTGAAACTTTAATTTCATTGCTATTGATTATCTACTTCTGAATTCCGCCAGTTACGCTCAAGATAACATTTGTTTGAATGAATATTTGAAGAAATGAGTATCCGATCTGCGTCCTTTTCAATTGGATTCACTTCAGACCACTCAAACCTGCAGAACTGTACAAGAAGTTTGTGGATTCCCAGGGTCGTTACATCCTTTGGTGTACTGATAGACTGAAGAAAACTTTTGATTACCTAAATTCCCACCATTTCCAGCTAAACTAATGGAAAACTGAAAGTGGACCTCCGTTGACTCTACAGGAGAACTTCATGCAAGAAGTGATCGACGGGGGACAAGTGTAGGTGAAGACGTTGGGGATGCTGTTCTGCACGTAGCAGTTGAACGCTTCTGGAACCTTTTCATTTGAAGGAAGAGGAAAAACATTAGAAAGGGCTGTAAAATCTGTAGAGCATATCAAGCTAAATGTTCAACTTTTTCAACGTCCATAACTCTGTATAGAGATGAGCCATGGTTCACTTAATTTATTTGATACCGAAAAGGAACTTATATCCGTTTTTGAAACTTGATCTGTTATAAGAAAACATAATAATGCATTCGATGACTTTTTCGTTTGGAATTGGAAATTTTTAGTCGATATCAGTCCTTTTTTTGTCTAATTTAAGTAATTATAATGTGATATTTGACCTAACCCAATGACTCATACGTCTCAGCTTCACAGCAAAAATATTTGAAAGGGTCTTTACAGTAACCCACCGTAACACGGGGCAAGAAGAACGACAATGAAGAAGGTGCGGACGTACATGACGGTGCAGGGCGGAAGAATGAGCAGAGTCGGTTGCCAGGCGGTCGGAAGAGTCGCCTCGGCTACTCGCCGACCGCCTTTTACAACTTTCCTTCTTTCGAAATTCAATGTTTACCGTCCAACGTTCCGATGTAACGGTCCTTTTTCGGTCAAACCGCTATAGAATCCAGAAGTTTGACTTTTGTAAGAATTAAATCAGAGATATTCCATATTGCTGCGATCATTAAAGTAGAAAAGACAATTCTTTTGAGATCTCATTGGAAGACTTTTTTAGTGTTCATTTGAGCCAAACCTGATTTTTCTTCACTCACCAAACTGTTTTAAAAAATTGCACTAGTGTCTCGAAAACAATATCCAAAATGCTGTTTATTGGATCTCTTCTCTTGAAACAAGCGGAACAAAAAAAAAGTCAACATCGTGCAAAATAACGAACTGATTCAAAAACATGGAAAACAGTCGAAGTCACCGGTTTCAAATCTCCTCGAGATTGTTTTTCTTCGATTGACCCTCGTGCCATGCCTGAAAAACCCAGAAGGCGACTTATAAACCATCTTCCTCCAATCCAAACCTTTCTGATTGAACGTTTCATTTCGTCGTCGCCGTCGTCGTACATTTTCTTCATCATGTCCATCAAAGCCGCCTGAGGATCTGCCTTGTCATCGAATTTGGGCATGCTGAAAGATTTTCTTAAAAAGTTTTTTTCTTAATTTTTTTCTATTTTTTTTAAAATTAATCTTACACTCAACTTCAAAACTTTAAAGAAGGTTTGGAAGAACTTTTACATCAATCTCAGTTATTCTCTCCTCCGAAACCTTCAAAAAAGTTTCAATAAATTGCGATAACCCTGCAAATTTTTCTTCTGAAAAGTAAACTTTTTTTCTTTCTCCGCGTGCTCGACGGTCGTCAGGGCGCCCCATGTCTGCTTCACTTTCTCCTTCTTCATCATTACGACGAGGGAATCCGTCTTTTGCTAAAATTATCTTCATGTTTCCTTGAAAACAAACCGAATCTAATACCTTAACAAGACTCTCGTTGGGGACAATGTTTCCGCGAAGACCTTTGATCGTCATGAAATAATTCTTTCCGTCCAGGTTCGACAGCTTCAGATCGAAGGAGCTGGAAAGTATTTTCAACTATTTGAAAAAAAATGAATGAAGAAATCCTTCTATGATTTTCTACCTTGAAACGTCGTTCATCCAAACTTCAACAGAATTTCTCTCAAAAAATCTGGGAACCTGCGAGTTTCTGTGAAAAAGAAAACCCACTTATTCGTGAACGTCGACGTAATCTGATCATTGGCAAGCGTTTGGACATTCTTCAACGTGATATAAATTTTGGCGAAATTGTCCGATTCATCCCAACCTTATAATTGGAGATTTCAATTCTTTGATTTCGAAGAAAATCATACCATAACTGGTTATTTTTACAGTTGGTAGGGTGGTTACTTTTGTTGCCGGGGAACTGACAGAAACGCTGGCAGTGGGGGCGGCCTGACAAAAGGGAAATTATAATAACTTCTCTGAAACGAAAAAAAAAAAACACACTTTCTACTTAAAATTTTGTATCTTTAGAAGACATTTAACCTTCTCTAACGTTACCTCGAAGATTCCTCTCTTTAAAAAAACCGGGAAAAAAACGAACATAAAGTACCTTCTTCAAACGCAATTCTAATATTAAAATTCACTGCATAGGGCCCAACCGAGCAGCACCTCACGAGCGGTAGCTACCCGGTACCTACTTGGATCCACTTCCCACAAACTATTTGAGTTCTCACTTTGTTAAGGAAGAAAGACTTTACTCAAAAAGTAACCAAACTGAAAAAGAAGCAAAGTTCAAGAATAGGTGCAAAGTTTCCCTACCGGCTCAGAACTGATGACGGCGTCGATTCGCTTGAGCTCAGCCTCAAGAAGACGTCGGACACTCGGACGAGAGGACGACGCCAGGAGATTGGCCAGTTCCGTCTTGTCGAGATTCAACTGAAAACACTCGTTTCATCAAGATCCTCAAAAATCAACCAACCTGTTCAGCGCTCATTTTGACGAGAGCTTCGAATTTTTTTTATTATTTCCTTGAATCTTACCATTTTCTCAGTAATCGTAAACCGAAAGAACGAAAGTCAATCGAAAAAAAGAAACCAAATTTCGTTGAGTAACTCATTTATCGTGAATTTTGATTGGGAACTGAGCACAAGAAGCAAGCGGACACAATATGAAGACCCGAATTATTTCCAAGGAAGCAAAAAAGAAAAAAATCATATCAAAATTTCTTGTCATCGCACATGAATGACATGAACAAAATAATTAGTAGATATATAAGTGGTGAGTAATTGAGAGTACAATTGAAAAAAATCTCGATTTTGTTAATTGAAAGGGAAATAAAACTGGCACAATAATGAATCAATCGGTGTGAAAAAACCAGAGAAGTGAAATGATGCATGTATGGCGGAAATATCGACAAGGTGAGAAAAAAAAAAGAGGATAACAGAATAAGCACAGTGAAACTCAGGCTTTAGGCAAGCAAAAAATTGAAATTACATAGAAAATCAGAACTTATTCAACAGGATATAAAAATATGAACAGAAGAAAAGTGAGTTACATGAGCGTGCAACAGGATTTGCTCTGCCGGGAGCGGTTTTGCACGTAATTCATTTCTCGGACGATTTCGGCAAAAGTGACGTTTACGTTTTGATTGTTTTTGGCCGAGCATTCGGTGAAAGGACATGACCAGTACTCCGCTGCAATAAAAAATATTTAGAGCATGAAAAATAATCAATTCAATTATATCCAGTTTTCAACTTTTCAATTTTTTTCATTCTCAATCAAGTAAATTCGCTAGATCGGTTGAAAGATTATTTTTTTGGAAAGTTTTTTTTGAAACTGAAATAAGAAGTAGCCAAGACGAATATTTTTTTATAGGAAATGCCTCAAAACTATCCATTGTTAGAAAAATAGTTTCGTTTTTACATATAAGATTTCCACACGCAAAAAGAAATCTGGTTTCTTCATATAATCACAGTTCAGAAAAAAATTTTTTTAGAAGAACAAGAAAAATTTTTTTAAATGTTCTTTTTTTCAAACGTTCTTCCGAGTTTAACTTGAAAGAGTCGGATTCGAATCATTATCTTTTTGAGACTTCATTTCAATTAGTGACTTTTTTATAGGTGATGGACAAAAAAGGACAAAAACGTGATAAGAGAACTTTTGAGATGAAAATAATTGAAATTAATTACAATTTAAGCTTTATACTTCCATTAAACAACTAAAAATACTTCCGAGCTCAAAACGAGGGTTGTAAACGAACCGAGAGCGAGGCCTTCGTCGGTTCGAACTTGTCTTTGATGGGATAAATCACATTTGTTTCCAACCAGCAGTATTGGAACGCTCTCCGAACCCTTAAGAGAGAAACATGTAAAATTTATCAAGTTAAAAACAATTCATCTATATGAAAATAAAAGTATTCGAAAATGTCTTCAATGAAACAAATAAGAATCTAAAAAATTAGGAAATCCATAATATCAGTATCAGAAAAAGTTCAAAGAAATCGAAAATTTTAATATTGTGAATTCCGCTTCAACGCTTTTCTGTTGGAAGCAAGAGCTTGAACGGATTAATCCATATTTTTTTTCGGCAGATCCTTCTGAACATTTGGGAAAAAAAGATTACTTTTTACTTTCCGTTCTTAGATAACCTTGAAAATATAAAAAAAATACCTTGACCCGCACAATTTGATCGCGCATCGTCTTTATATCGTGAAACGTTTGTTGGCTGGTTATCGAGTAAACCACAACGAAACCCTGAAAAATAACTTTTTCGAGTAATATCAACAACTATTGGGAAGGAAAGTTTTTGGATATGATGAAAAATGAATAACACAAAAAGACTGATTTAAAAGAAGAAAGTTAAAAAAAAAGATTGCGTGAAATTTCTTATCATTAGATTGAAATTAGTTTGCTTCGAACATTCCAAAAAACAAAATAGCAAGTCTTTCAGCATCCTATTCCAAATTTTTCGCAGTAAAGACTTTTTTCCGATTCTCTCCACATAACATTTTTCATATAGAGGTCTTTGAAAACGGAAAAGGCTTATCTATTGGCGAACCTGTCCGTTTTTGATGTACAAATCCCGCATGGAAGAAAACTGTTCCGTTCCGGCCGTGTCCAAAATTTCCAAAACGCAAGGTTGGCCATCAACCTGAAAAAAAGGCATCGTTAAACTATTCAAAAGAGAAAAGTCGCCTCAATTTCTTTGCGATAAAAGTCCTCAATAGTCGGGTCGTATTTTTCTATGAAAGTGCTGCTGACGAATTGAACCGTCAGCGCAGATTTCCCGACACCTCCGCTGCCCAGAACCACAACCTTGAATTCCCGCATCTGGAAGGAACGATATTAGGTAAATAATTTAATTCATCGTTTTCTTTAATAGTACGAACATCGAAAATATAAAAAAGCGCTAACTTTTGTTTCAGATCGTTTCGGGTTTTTACTTTTTTTTTTTCTTACGAGAATATATCAATAATATAAATTAGACTCCAAGAATTAGAAAGTACAATTTCGAAGAGAATTTTTTTGAAATAGTCTAAATTTTCTTTGAATAAATTTTTCGACTGTTTTTTTAACAGTAATCCAATAATAAAAATAGATATATATATATATATATAAACATGGTCTTGTTAGACTGAAATCCTCAGCGAACAAATCATTTTTCTATTTTATTCAATCATTTTCTTCCCTATAGAATAATTCAAAAAGGTACAAGTTCAGTCAACAACTTCCTGATGAAATTGAAAAAGTTGAAACAGCTTTGTCAAACTTTCACAGCTCCGAAGTAGGAGAATCTATCTTTAAGAAAAAAAAAAGATTTTCTTCAGATACATATTTGCAAAATTTGTATCGCTTTTAAGAGAAAAAAAAAAATGTAGAAATGTGATTTTTTATTTTTAAGATTCCCTCAAAATGTTTTCCATGAAACAAGAAAAAAAAAAACTAAAACAGTAAAGATCTGATTGCAAGTGCAGATAGGCCGGTAGCAGAACAACGATCGAACGGTCAGCAAACGACGGGGAATGAGGCAAAAAAGAGAAGAAACAACAAAGAGATGTTGAATTTCACGTTTTCTGCGATTTGAGCGCGGAGGTTAAACACAACGCAACGCTGCGCCGTTTTGTCCTGTTGGTCTCTCATCCGCAAGCGCGCATATGCTATTTTCGCCGCACAACCACAAAGATTTGGCTCTCCTTGGTTTAACGACGTCTTGAGAGTCATAATAAAAAAAAAATCGGCTCGTAGTAATAACTATGCCACGTATTCAGAAGATTGACTAGGGATCAAAAAGCTTTTCCCACAGAGGAAAATCTGGACTCATTACTAATTTACGGTCAAAGTTGAAAATATCTCTTTGTTAAAATTGGAATTAAAAGCCATAACTTATTTGATAACAAACTTAATTGACAAAAATTCAAATTTTTTCGATAATGTTCTAATGTAGTTCATTTTTACAACTTTATATCAAAAAATACGGTCAGTGGAAAATTGCAATTAATTTAACTGAAGCTGTGTCATACTTTCAATGGATAATTAGAAAAATTCTGCGCCCAAACCTCCGAAACGCCCAATAGAACCTAACGCGAAGATGTCTCTAGAGAACACTTTATCAAAAACAAATTAGACTCGGAAACGTCCGTCAATCGTTAAAGATTGTCGCTAAAATTCAACCTAATAAGATTTTCAGAGAAAGTTGTGTTATTAGCATCGATAAGAAAGTTTAGAAGAGTTAAGATGTAAATTTTCAGTATAAATTATTGTCTGTGAGAAGTATAACTACGAAAAATTTCTCACTGTGAAGCATTCTGAAAAAGTTCAAAGAGAGAATTCATGAAAAGTTTTGCCATGAACTACTTTTTCCGACGTTAGTATAGGCAACACCCAACTTAGGTGCCTTTGAACGTCCCATCAAGCTGAAGCCGAAAGTGACAAACGCGTTTCCCGAGAAAAGGAAAATGACTCAAAACTACCATTTATACTTCGAAATGCGTTCTCTTTGACGTGAACCCCTTTGTGAAACGCCTTCCCACTAGAAAAAAAAAATGAAGAGCGAGTTACATTCTTTTCTTCCTCTAGAGAATTTTTCATTCTAGGAGAGAACTTTAGGAACCTCGGAGGATATCAAAACTGGGAGGAAGAATAAACAGAAATATTAAAACAGGCTGATTGACCAAAGCTTTCAGGAAAAAAAAGAAAACACCATGGGATCAAAATGAAGACATTTATTGCAAGGAAAAGGCGAGAAAAATCATGAGCGGTTTGAAAGCGATCACGCGACGGACCCATTGGCAGAAAGCGAGCTAACGTGGCTTGTCCATAAAACCAGCTTCTGCGCCGGTGGTGACCACTTCGCACAGAGCAAACAATCCCGCCAGGGGCTTACGCGCCAAATCATGCTCGCCGCCGTCGATTTCCGACATTGCAGCCAATTAACAATAAACATATACAAATTGAAGGTAGGTAAGACACCAATTAGATTAGCCATTATTTTGAAATATACATCATACAGTCGTAACAGGGTTTAGATTACACCGTTAAGTACACGCGAGCATGAAACTATTGACATACAAATACTTGGTAAAAATCAAATACATACGGTGGCAGTTGATACTAATCGAAAAACTCAATCTTTTCTATAAATAAGGTCATAATGACCAGGACGGTAGAGAAGAACAATTTTTGGCGCTTCGGCTTGTTCCGGTGGGAAATCGTAGTGCCAGCCGCCGTTTGGAGCAGCAGAACGGTCCATGTACTCTACTCGAATCGGTCTTTCTGAAAAAAAAAACTAAGCTCATTATTTTGAGAAACGAAATACGGTTTTACAGTTTTATAGGGTTTTATAAGTTTTTATTAAGAATTTTCAAACTTTGAAAATCTGTTTTGTAAACATTTACTTTGAACGAATGTGAAAACAATTCTTGAGCAAAGCCTAATGAAAAAGAAATGAACATAGTTTTGTGAAAACTTCAAAAAATCAAGGAAAAAACTCCTCATTTGATTCAATTTTTGCAAAAAAATAATAATTTGATGCACACATGATGATTTTAAAACAAAAAATAACCAAGAGCGGAAACGAGGCCAGTGATTCCGAGATGGTCAACATCCTTCCACATTGCTTCGATCTCCGAACAGCAGTAGTCGGAAAGCGACTGACCGTTGTCAATGAAGGGCTCGTATTCCTCGGTGTGTTCTTTAAGGTACCCCGAAGATATCAACCTAAACAACTATTATATTCTGTTTTTCGATGGAGAAAACCTTAGAAAAATAATAAGATAGTTGCAATGATGATCTTCATTCAAACCAGGTATTACTTGGTCAGGCTTCAGCTCCTTATTGATAATGCTTTTTACCCAGCTGACAAACTGAATAAAACGTTTTGTTGGTGGAAATTTGGAAAAAAAAAGAAAGAAACTAACATAATCACAGAAATCGGTCGTCGTCCAATCAGGAAAGCCTAACTTGAGAAGTCGATCTACCCATCCTTCACAAACCGTTAAAAACCTGGAAGATTCCTTTCAAGGGGTGAAACTGTTTATTTTTTCAGAACCTTCGAGCCTCTTCGTGATCTTTCAAGATCAATTCAGTCACACCGACAAGGACTGCTCTGTAAAAACAATTCCCGTCTCCTCTGATTTGTCGAACGTCTGAATATACAACTGCCAACTCCTGGAAAAATGATCTATCAATATTTCAAAAAGAACTAAAAAAAAAAAAACCAACCTCGGCTTTTTTGCGAAACTCGGGGCCATTCGTGGAATCATATTCCATCACAATAACGTCGAAAGGTATTTTATCGCTAACAAGTGGAAGCTGCTTTTGCTGAAAAAAACCGAGCTTACCTATATAAAAAAATAAACCAAAAAAATTACTTCTTGTTCTATCTGATCAAGTTGCTGATCTTGAAGTTGATTTTCATCGTCTTTGAAATCATCGGTAGAAGAATCTGTAGTGTGTCATAAGAATTGAATAAATGACCAATTTTTGATGAATATTTACCTGGCACAACGGCGGCGGGGGACTCTTCCTTTTTATCTGCAGACGCGTCGGCCTGAGCTCCTGGTTCAGAAACGTTTTGGCTGCTCTGTCCATCGACAACTCCCATCCTAATAACAATCCGAAAAAATGATTTTCAACTGAAAACATATAATCACCGACACAAATTCGAATAAAAAATCTCTGAGCAAACCTACAACCAACATTTTTTTCTTACAAAAGACTGAATTTTTTTCAGTCTCTTAATAAGCAGGAGGATCCAAATTTTAAATCAAAACTTGAAGAAATTCTACTTTCGGAAATTTTCTCTCTGTAAACAATATCCGAACGGAACAATGAAAAACATCTGTTGTAAAAATGACACAATTGAGAATTTGAAGAATAATTGGAGGAAATTCACAATTAGGAGCTCAGAGCTTAAACCGAAAAAGTTCGGAGAGTTTTTCAAATTCAATGATGATTCTAGTCGTCAGTTATAATGTTTTTTGTGCAATTCCGCTGTGCATGCATACTTTTTTATCTACCGTAAACTGAGTACAACGGCGCGTAGTTACGTCTTCAGAACGTTTTTAAATTCTCCAATTCGAAAATTTTAATGCCGCGTTTAAACTTTAAAGTAAATTGTTCAAAGTAATTTTTGCGAAATGCACAATGGTCTTTGACTCTTCAAAATTTAGTTATCTTCTTTTTTCTCTGACCGCTATTTTGAGCTTTGCGGAATCACTTTGGACATGGCACTGTAAAATTCGTTCTCTTTTCACGTTCATATCGTATTCAAAGTATTTTCACGGAAATAAAAATCTTCTTTGACTCTCTAAATGTTTTTCTTCTCTTTCACTCTCTAACGGTTATTTTGCATTTTATGGAAGTACTTTAAACAAGGCATTAGCTTCGAATATTACTTTTAATTTTTTGTAAATTTTCTTTGAAGAAATGGCTGACGATTACATGTCTGACGATATCATCATGGGAATTTCCCAGAGCAGCTCGACAGGTATTTTGAAAGGAGCTCGGTTTTCGCATGTCACGGTTTTTCTTTCCAGGATTGTCCGTTTCTAGAGAGCAAAAGCGTCGGCTGAACATTGAGCGTCATAGAGACGAAGCAGAGATGAGGCTGAAAAAAAGGGTGACTCGAGATGATATAGGTTTTTCTTAATTCTGGAGCCTTGAATTGCTTATTTCTTTAGAGAAAGAAAGACGCGAAGAAGGTTTGAAAAAGCCGATAGGAGAAGAATCGAAAGGGTTTGCTCTTTTGGCGAAAATGGGATACAAACCTGGAATGACTTTAGGACGGAAAAAAGATACAGGTTCGTACGGAATTTCGTAAAGAGGTTGACAAAGCATTTTAAATTTCCAGATGCGACTGAGAAGCGCGGCTTGAGAGAGCCTATTTCGATGGACGTCAAAGTGAACAGAAAAGGCCTCGGACATGAGGCTCACGAAGAAGGAGAGCGAAACTCCCGTGTCGAGCAGCACATGGCTGTTATGCGAGAGCAGGCGAAGAAAAACGTAGGTTTTCCTTGTGTTTTAGGCGTTTCGCATTTTTTATTTCTAGGAAGAGCTTATAGCAGAGTACAAAGATAGGAGGAGGGCCGAAAGTTCGATCAAAACCATATATAGCGACATTCAGAAAAGTCGAAAAGCTTGTTTAGAGCTGGACGTTAGGTATGTCTTGAATATCAAATAGAGTTGAAATTCACTCGTTGAATTCAGAGAAGGATTGAAGTCGCCGCAAAAGTTTTGGTTCTGGAAAAGCTACAAGCGGAAAGAAGAAAAAGATGCTGCTGTGTACTCTAAAAAAGTGAGCGAAGAAGTAGAAGAGTAGGTTTTCGGCTGATTTTCTCAAACTTTAATCTTTATTCAGATATTTTTACTCCGATGGGAGTCCAGCGCTACCGGAACCACAGTGGTTTGAACTGGAGAAAGATAATCTCTTGGAAAGGTTTGAATTTTTTAATTATTTTGTGTTCTATAGCAAGTTTTGATTTTTCAGATTAGTTACGATAACCGATTATTTGCGGACAAGACATTCGTATTGCATTTGGTGTGGCTGTCAATTCGAAAACAGCGATGAAATGACGTCACAATGTCCAGGCGACTCTCGTTCAATTCACGATTGCGATGACGAGTTTTGAGAGGAAATCATAATAATTACAATAAATATTTTCTGAAAAGAGATGTCCAATGGTTTTGATGCGAACGAAGTGGCAATAATTTTATTTATTTGAGCTTCTAATTTTGTTTGGGTTATAACAGATTTGAGAAAATGAGTGTCAAACCAGCAGCAAAGGTCTTGTTTTGCGGCGATGTTCAGGGAAGATTCGTCGAGCTGAGCAAAAAAGTCGCAGCCGTCAACAGCAAAGTTGGCCTTTTATATTTTGCTCACACGGGAAGTGCAAAAGGTCGAGGTATTGGAATTTAATGAAACTTGGTATATAGATACTTTAGGACATCCTGAATTCAAAGAAGTTGAAAAAAAGTGCGCCTTTTTGGTTCTAGTCGAGTTATGGCGCCTCAAAGTTTGCACGCAAAAAATGCATTGGAAGGGAGGAGGGAATGTGTTGCGGCGGCTAATTCTAGCTGCCAGCAGGCGGCGTAGTGTAGTGGCTAGCGGCCTTGCGCTGTGGAACCTATGATGAAGGTTCGAATCCTTTTTGGTGCAATTTTTTTTGCAAATTTTTTTTCTTGGAAAAAATGATGAAGCTTTACAGATGGATCGAAAAAAACGCTCAAAATGTTGAAATTCACCATTTTATGTCGTTTGAGGAAAATTTTCGACCAAAAAATTTTTTCGTCCTGTATCTTTTTCAGGCTCAAAGGACTTCAATAGACCGTAAGAATTTTCATCAAAAAATTTTGGTGGAAAATATATAGCTATATTATTATTGCATATTGCGTATAATTCTGAACTTTTCATTCATTAAACTTTTTTTCCAAGAAAGAGTCCACTGACTACAAAAAAACAATGAAAAAAATTTTTTTTTGTCAAAAATCTTGCTTAAAACGACATAAAATATTGGATTTCAACATTTGAAGGGTTTTTCAATATCTTCAAAACTCCATCTTTTTTTCCAAGAAAAAATTTGGCAAAAAAAATTGCACCAAAAAGGATTCGAACCTTCATCATAGGTTCCACAGCGCAAGGCCGCTAGCCACTACACCACGCCGCCTGCCGGCAGCTAGAGTTAACCGCCGCAACACATTCCCTCCTCCCTTCCAATGCAATTTTTGCGTGCAAACTTCGAGGCGCCCTAACTCGACTAAAACCAAAAAGGCGCACTTTTTTTCAACTGTTTTGGATTCAGGGTGTCTTAAAGTACCTATATATGAAGTTTCATTAAATTCCAATACCTCGACCTTTTGCACTTCCCGTGTCAGAACTCTTCTATGTGGTTAATCGAAATGAAGAGAAAGCACTTCGATTTGATACGACGTCCTTTTTCCTTGCCTAGATCGACACAAAACCTTGAAGTGAACGCCGTAGATCCGGCGCTTCTTAACTCGAAAGGAATTCGCACGGGGAAAGTCCAAAACCCTTCAAAAAAAGAATCTTGAGCTCCTTTTTTAGCTCCTAGAAATGCGTCAAAAGTTTCTCTGAGCCTCCATTTTTTCACCTTTGCCCGTGGAACTTTTCTGAACGGACTTTATCTATCAATAATTGCATGTTTTATCATTCAGAGCGGTCCATTTGACGCCTTGTTCTGCCTGGGCGAGTTTTTCGGAGACAACGATGAAGACAATGACAAACTTGTCAATGGAATCATCGAATTTCCTATTGCTACTTATATTCTCGGTCTGTGTCAAAGGGAAAATTATTGAGAATTCGGTAATTTTTCTCATTCAGGTCCTTGTTCCGAGCGTCTCACTCATCTCTTCCCCGAGGAATCTGTCGAATTCTCGTCAAATGTCACTTATTTGGGCCGAAAAGGATTGTTAAACACGGCTTCAGGTCAATTTTTATCAATGTTTGCGGAAAAAAAAAATACATTTTACAGGTCTTCAAATCGCTTACCTCAGTGGAGTTGAAGGAACGTCGACCAGCGACTTTCAGTTCTGCAAGTCTGATGTCGAGGTAAGGGATTAAAGAAAAAGATTTCCTGCGAACATATTTGCTTTGGAAAATGATTTCTTCGCTAAAAATCCGATCATTTCTATTTTGAGCAGAAAACTTGCAAAAGATTGAATTTTTGAAGTTCATTTCATTGCAGTAACTTCTTTTTTTCATCATAATATTGTGAAATTTATTTATTTCTTTATTGTCAGAACAACGCAAATAATTAAGGTACAGATAGAAAGGAAATAATATAACATTGGACAGACAACAAAGCTAAAAAGGTCATTTGGTGCCCTAACGAGCAGCATGGCGACCGTTCGCAAAAGAGGAGAACAAAAAAAAATGATAAACTATAAAAAGACGATTGGGGATGTTGATAATAAGTTCGCTAACAGCTATCCTAGATAATTTATCTTTTTAAAGTTTTTGGGGTGGCACGAAAAAAATTTAATTTGGTTATTAATATGTTCCAAAGAGTTATATGACGCGAAAAGAAGTTATCTGATAATGAACCCCTAGTTTGTAACCGAAGTGGATGTCTACCTAGCCGAGAGAAGGCAATAAAGTTGTCAATTGATGGAAAAATGATCAATTTTTAAAAACAATTTTATGGAGAGAAAAATATCAAGAAGAAGACGACGTTGAAAAAGCGGAAGAACATTGACTTGAGTTAATCTGTCATGGTATGAAATGAAGCTAAGATTGCATCTAATAAAAACTTCTCGAGAGAAGAAACGTAAGGAACTTTCTAGTTTATAAGATAGATCAGAGTTTAGAGGAGGGTTGAAAACCTCAGAACAGTATTCTAAAAATTGGACGAACATAGCAATTATAAAGTTTAAAAATATAAGGACGGTGAGAGAAAAACGAAAAAGAATTTAACAGTTGTTTGGATCTCAGAAGGGCTAAAGCGGAGACTTTATGAATATGATTAGAAAAAGACAATTTGTCATCGATAATTACACCAAGATCCTTAGTAGATTGAGTCGCAGGAATGATGTTAGAGCCGAAAAAGTAGACATTTTTGGGGTTTCTAGGACCAAGATAAAGAGCAAATGACTTTTCGGGAGCGATGGGAAGCCCCCAAAGAGAGGACCATTCAATAATTTCGTCGATAGCTTGTTGATTATGGGACGGAGAACAACCAAAAATTTTGATATCATCGGCGAACAGTACAGCTTTAACATTGGAATTCAAATGATGAAAAATATCGTTTATAAAAATAAGGAAGAGGAGAGGGCCAGAAACAGTTCCTTGAAGGACTCCACTTGGTATAGGAAAAAGAAGAAGTAGACAATGAGTCATTAACTTTGACAAAAGATTCGCGACCCGTAATAAAAGATTTATACCAGTTGCAAAGCGTTTGATCAAACCCGAAATTTTTTAGTTTAAGCAAAAGGAGGTCGTGAGAGACTTGATCAAATGCTTTTTGAAAATAAGCTTGATGAGGTTGAGTTTTCTCACCTTTTCTCACATGATTCGACTTCCGAGAGCCACTGCTACTGAATGCTTCGGAATGGCTTGATTCAGGACATCCTGGTTCCGGTCGGTACTAAGGCAGGCTTCTTCGGCGTCGACGTCCTTCTGACGTCGATGTGGCCGGCGGAAGTCTGGAAACACTCTCACAACCAACCGGTCAAACCGGTTGTCGGCTCTCCTCTGATTTCGAAACTCGCGGCCGAACTCAAACCGCGATACCACATTGCTGGCACCGGCGTTCACTATGAGCGTCAGCCCTATAGGTATCGCTTGTTCAGAGTTCCTAAGGAAACATGACTTCGAAGGAATCATCGAGTGTTGCTCGAGCCGGCGCGACACGTCACTCGGTTCATCGGCCTAGCTTCTGTGGCAAATGACGAAAAGCAGAAATGGCTCTACGCTTGCAACATCAAAGTAATTCTTTCGACCACAAAAACGGACTCCATTGCTTTTTTCAGCCAATGAGAAAGCTCGAAAAAGAAGAATTGGTGGCACAGCCACCCAACGCTTCGGAATTCCCTTATAAAGAGGTTCTAGAAGAATTAAAAGTCAAGTAGGTTTCCAAAAATATCGAAGAAGTCAAATGATGTTTCAGAGAAGTTTTGAACAACATGGACAGTGGGAAGAGACCTGAAGGAGCTCAGTATCGCTTCGAAATGTATGATCAAGACGATACGGAGTCGAGGAAACGAAGGAATGAAGGTGAGCTGTGTTTACAAAGTTCGAAATTTTTTGAAAAGATCAATTTTCGAACTTGAAAAATGAGTCGTTCCTGAGGTTTTTTCACTCAAATGCTCTTGGAACTTTAAATAGCTATTTTAAGTTCAAAAAAAAAAAAATAGACACACTTCTTGAAATTTGAGACTCGTCTAACCTTTTTTCAGTGAACTCTTTCCGTCCTTTTTAGTTGCTTTGCGGTAATGTATAATCCTACAGCCGACCTTATGCTGAGCAGCGTAGACTAATTGGTTAGATTTACTCGCGCGCAAGTAGTTTTCGGTCCGGCACGCGTTAGACACGTGGAGCCATTCCGGAAAACCTTGAATTTGCTTCGAATCGGGAATATTTTCTTCCGTATTTTTTGTTTTTAAAGATATCTTCATGTTTTCTGTCAATCCATCAAAAGCTCTGACGATTTTAGACGGCGGTCCGCGAGAAAAGCGACCGGCAGCTCCATGCTGGTTCTGTCTCTCGAATGTGGATGCGGAGAAGCACTTGGTGGTGAGTGTCGGAGACTCTTGCTACGTCGCCATGCCGAAAGGTCCCCTCACTGATGACCACGTAATGATCCTGTCTATTGGTTCCCAGAACTTTTCTCTTTTCTGAAAATCCTCTTATTCCAGAACACATTCAGTCGTTGGTTTCTGCACCTGTCAATGTCAGAGACGAGGTCGAAAAGTTCAAAAACGCCTTCACTTTAGCCGCCGACAAGGTATATTTCCAATAAAAGCCGAAATCAAGAATCGGATCAGATGGGAAAAGCCATGGTGGCCTTTGAACGGAACTACAGAACGCAGCATTTGCAAGTCCAGTTGGTTCCGATTCCGAAGACGTCGACGAAATCTTTGAAGACGGCCTTCATGAATGCTGCGGCCGTCGCTGGTACAGAGCTCGTTACTGTTGGTGCCGAAGAAAATGTACGCTTCTTTGAGAAAATAAGAAAGTTTCACCACGTCTTTTTTGAAGTCGAGGAGAGTAGACAATATAAAATGTTCACAATTTTCTGATCTGACAGTTTATTTTATTCATGTCATTGATAAGAAAAAAAATTATTTTTTCAGCTTGCCGACCTTGTCAACGAAGGTTGTCCCTACTTCATGGTAGAACTGCCGGACGGATCGCGTTTATTCACGCGATCCATGAAGAACTTTCCCTTGCAGTTTGCTCGAGAGGTTTCTTTTCGTCTCTCGAATCCGTGTTTTAAATTGATTTTTGACATGCAGGTGCTGGCCGGCCGGCCGATCCTCGACTGCGAGGCGAAAATCGATTGGCGAGCCTGTTCATTGGCCAAAAACAAGGAGGTGGAGCTCGTCGAGAAGGTCAAGAAGTCTTTCAAGCCGTTCGATTTCACAAACGACGGCGATTCTGATTGATGAAATGAATATTAAAAGTCTTTCAGTGAACCTTTTTTTTTCTTGTAAAAGGAAGTGTCAAAGCGTGTTTTAGATTCCCAGCTGGACCTTTGTTTTTTAGTCTGTTTTAATTCTGAGAACTTTGAAACGAAAAAGAAAGTCAAATCTTTTGACTGCTATACATGACTCTCCACGACTCGAAAAGCTCTCTTTTTCTTTTACCGCAGTCAGAGAAAATAAACTCAGATATTGGCAACGCGAAACGGACATGTTCCGGACGTTTCTGGGCAGCTCTAGAGATCACTTAAGAGTGCTGACGGTCAATAGAAATACCCAGAAACGTCTGGAGCACGTCCGTTTCGCGTTACCAATGTCTGGGGACAGCGAGTAAAACGAGAACTCGTTGAGATATCAAGAGAGCAGAGACAAATTGGACTGTTTCGAGTTGCAGTGAATGAGTTATATTGTAGTGTGGCTTCCTTTTCGCATTCAGTACAGCCCCCGCACTTCATGGAGCCTCCTGCTGATGTTTGGTTTAACGAGTAGACGATCCAACATTTGTGAAAAAGAGAACAAGCAACGGGGATGAGTGTGAAGTTCACGCGAGTTATGAAATAAGAAGGGAGCTGAATGAAGGAGGCAGGGGAAGATCCAAGGTTTTTGGGTGTTACAACTGAAGCCCGAGGCAGCGAGCAGGCATTACAATCGGTGCATAAACGCACTCGGCCGCAGCCGAAACAGCGTGCGACCGACTGATCCAGACAGCGAAATATAACGACAAGGTCGGAAGCCTCCGGAATCCTGCCACCATCGTCTTATCTTCTTGCCTCGTCGTTGCTCCTAATTTCTGAACCGCCGTTATTTTGGTTTTTCCTCTTGTCGATTTTCCGTAATTCTTTTTCTATTTTTTTTCTTCTTAATAAATAAAATGAAAAAAACAGAGATCAGAAAAAAATGTAGAGTGGAATTCATAATAAAAATAATACCGGATATTCATCGCTCGTTTAGTTGAAAAATAAGCGTCAGACCTAAAAGTCTTTGACCGATCTGCCAATTCATGGATGAATTGTTTGTTCTAGATCACTGGTTTTTTTTATTTCATTTGTTCAAATCTTTTCGCTTTTAATGTGTAACGCGGACTTCGAAACATGATTTTATAATTTGTAAAAAAAGTATTGCAGAGCAAATTTATTTTTTTTGCGCGGATTTTGTCAGTCACTTCCCGTCTTTTTGAGCCTGATCAGTGAATCTTATATCGTAATAAAAAATTTCCTGACTGTCGTTTGAAAAATTTCGAAGATTAGATGCAAGATGAATCATTTCTAGCCGCCGTTGTCAAAAACGTGGAAATTTTTGGGATTTCCCTTTGAAGACTTTTTGTCCTTAAAAAGTATTCTTTTTTTCTGAATCTAGAACGATATATATATAAACTTCTCTTTGTTGAAGCTCAATTAAATCTCTTCAGTGTAGGACTCTAATTTCTTCGAAATAAATTTACGGGAGCTCGCAGAAAACATTTGGAGACTCGAATATTCATTTTTTGCTTTTTCTTTTATCTTGTCGGAAACCCTTTTTTTTGTTATAGTTAGCTTTCAAAACACTACCCTCAAAAAAGTCTTTTACTTGATAATTTGAACGCCTCGGCTTTTCTTTGGATGTTTACGGCGTGGAAGTTTAACACAAAACTTCTCAAAACATTGGGAAATTTGAGCGGAATCCCATATGCACGGCTTTCCAATAAAATCGAACGTACATCCGCCAGTATTGTGCGATAAACTTTATTGCGGGAACATAATTCATAACCGCTTCATTTTTCTGTTTTTGAAAGTGTACATGTCTTGATTGAAGAAGCTGAGGCTTGAAACATCGAGTTTTATCTGACTACTTATTGAATAAAAATCTAAAAACGTTACGCAGTTAACTTTAAAAAAATTCTCTTGTTCAATAATATTTTTCTTTTTTTTTTAAAGTTTCTCGGCGCCTATGAGGCAGAAAAAGAGAGTGAGATAGCCGGTAGATTCAAAACCTACAAATTTTTTGGTCCGATAAGATGAGATAAGAGTCCACTTTGCTTCAACGAAAAAACAGATTATATAAATATCTATTCCTCTCAAAATGATGATTCTCGAAATATTTTCGTTGAGTAATGCTTGAATATTTTACCATTGTGTCGAGCCATCTGTGTTGCGAATTTGTGACATTTTCTTTTTTCAACTTCTTGCCAATGAACGATTCTGGTAGTACTCTGGCCCAAAACTATCTCGGCAAATTCAGTAAACCATCGAAGAAACTGAAGTCAGAAATCCCGTCTCCAAGCTACTTTTTTTAAAATGTCTTGCCGATCGAAAAGTCCGAAACTCGGGACCAAAGCCATGTGCAAAAGAGATTCTTGTGGTGGAATGAACGGCCTCCAGGCCCATTGTGATTTCTCCGGATGTTCGAGCCGTTTTACACTTTTCGCTTCCTCGCTGCCTCCGTGTTTCGCATCAATCTCAGCCCCCTGCCAACTGTTAATGATGTCCTGCAGGACTTTCCCAATCTTTCTCCGTTTGTTTTTTCCAATAAAAACCGCCGGATTTCATGAAAAACTCCGTTTTTCCATTCTTACATGGGAAGTGACTCAACACTTTTTGACAAAGCTGGCTCAAACACTCTTTAGATTGAAGATCTCGAAAGTTTCAACCGGCCAAACACTCGATTTTTCGACAATGAAGCCTTTAGAACTGAAATTAAAGCATCAAGAATCTTTTGAATAGAACCTTCGAGTTCTTCAATAAAGAGTCTTTCTCGAAAACTAGGGTGCTCTGAAAATTAAAACCTACTATTCATTGCACTTTTTCCAGAACTGCAAAAAATTTTCCGGCAATTCTCGAGGAAACTTCTCATATTGACCCCTTTGTGAAACTTTCTAAAAAAAAACCAAATACCGCAAACTATGCGTTTTTTGAATCGGCCGGTTATCATTCAATCAGACCACTACCTTCTGGAATTCATGAACAAGTACTTTTTTAATAATTCTTGTCCTTCTTATCACAAAAGTTTAATTTATTAAATATTTTTCTCATCAGTTTTGAGTGCCGAGAAAAAAAATCGGGAAAAAAAATTCATTAAAGGGCCAAAAAAGTTGTAAAAAAATTGTAAAAATTTGATCTTTTTTTCGGCTTTTAATGAATGAAAAAAACAGAGTGGGGTCTTGACCCTTCTTTTGAAAGGAGAAGTTTCAACTTTTTACTTAGGCAGGTTCAAGTTCTGATTACAGAAATAAGAAAATAATTCAAATTTTACGATCACATTTTCAAAATTTCCCATAATCAGTCTGATTTTTGCAAGGCTTCCAATTTCATGATTTGGAAAAACTTGAGAAAAGGAAAAAAAAAGTTTGACAGCTTCATCCCCACTTCTGAAGAATGGCGTACTGCCTTTTTCTTGACAGTTTTTTGTTGTTCTGATAAATTATTTCCGATCACTTGTTATATTTTTTTCTAGTCAATGGCACGTGGGTTTGACTCGCGTTGTATCAGCTGTTCCTTGAGCTCATCGTGAAACTTGCGATTTATCGGTTTCTATTCAGTTTTTGACATCTCAAACTTTTTTTAAATCTTTTTTTTCTGCCTTTCTTTGGTTTTTTTTTTGTAATTGAAAAATCGTTAACATTTTCCTGATTTCACGCAAATGAAATTCATTCTTTTAATAAAGAAACCCTAAGAAGAGATCACAACGCTTTTTCTTTGCTATAAGTGCTACCGTTCTTTTCCCAACTCGTTTTAGTTTTATTAGTTTCATGACCTGGTAATCTCTCGAAACCTGCAGACTTGCTCGAGATTGTGAACCGACTGGGTCCTGATGGACGAACAGGACGGGGAGCTGTCGCGACTTATCGTCGACGCGTCCACGGCGGACGGCGTCTCGTCGCAGGTCAGCCCCAGCATGTCCTACGTGACGGATCGCGAGACGGTCTACCGCAGCGGCAGCGGCCACGCGACTGTCGCCGAGACTCACCTCATTCGCTCTGTCGGCTCGCAGTCGCAGTCCTACACCGAGGAGCACTGGAGCAGCGAAATCACGAGCTTCGTCGCCTTGGCGCCGCCCAAGTTCATCCAGGTTCGAAGATCAAACTGAACAGAGAGCTGGGTTATGCAAGTATGGGAAAGAACCACTGAACTTAAAATATGAATTTTCAAAACAGATCCTAAGAAAAGTTCAAGCTCAAGAAATAAAAAACTAGAAAAACAGACGCTGAAGTTCATAAAAATGTTCTTTCTGGATATTTCCACACTGTAGAAGCCCGCTCAACAGGACGAATTTTTCAAGTTTGGACTTCCTTTAAATTATATCAGATTACTCCTTGATAAATTTTCTGAAATCCTCAAACTCAACCAATTTTTTGAGAAAGAGAAACTAAAGAATTTCGTGTTTTGCCAGGTTATCAAAGCCTATCGAGTTCTGAGTTCTGACACGGTGAGTCTTGTGGTGGAAGTCGCGTCGGACCCCCCAGCATTCTTCGAATGGTTCTGCAACGAGAGATCTGTCCTGCAGGTGCGGATCCTTTCATAGAAACCATTCAATCAGATTTCACAGGACCGAGGCCGATTCCAAGTGGCTCACGGCATCAATATCACTCGTCTGATCGCCCAGAGACCCGAGGAAGGCGTCTATAAATGCGTGGCTCGGAATCCTGCCGGTATGAGCACCAGCTACGGTTACATCACCGTCAACTGTAAGAAAAAAAAATAGTTATGTTAAAAATTTTCTGTATTTCAGTCGATCGAGACTTGCAGTCGTCGTTAGAGGACGTGAGCGAAACTAGGAAAGCTACTGTTACCATCCATCAAGCGCCTAGATTTATTTCTCAAGTTCGTTTGTAATCAATTATTCATGAGCTACAAGTCTTACAGGTGCCAAACCTTTGTGTAACTGCTGGAAGCGCGGTTGTGATTGATGTCGAAGTGGATGCAAATCCTCCAGCGAGGTGAGATTTCTCCGAGTTTCAACGAAAATTTTTTGCTAAATTCTCCTTTTTGATGAAGCAACACATTTATTTTAAAGTTGTTAGCAGAAAAGCTGAGCAAGACGTTTGAAAAAGATAACTTTAAAAACAAAAATTCTTAAATTTTTATATCCACTTGACAGGGAAATCGAACTCTAAGCGAAAACGTTGGAACTTTTTGGATAGACTGATTCAACTTTTAAAAAATTAGACTTCTAACTTTTCTCTACGATTTCTACCTAATCAAAATCTTCTATTTTTTAGATTCTCCTGGTTTGTCAATGGAAAAGAATACCGCGACAGCACAAACAACGTTGAAATGTTCACGCCTTCTCCCAACCGAAGCATCGTTCGTTTTTCTCTGCCGATTGCCGGCGAGTACAAGGTTTGGCAGTTTTTAACATCAATTGAAAAATTGAATTTTTCAAGGTCGTGGCCTCAAATGTTCATGGTTCGGCAATGAGCAGTGGGCACGTGGATATTCAGAAGCGTATGTGTAATTTATTTTTGTAAGGGAGTTCATGAAGTTTTTAGAAGAAGTTCGTGAAACTGGCGGTCTGGTTGTGGACATATCTCAAGCCAATATGACTGGAAGCATGAACACGGGTCCAAGAAGTCACACCAGTCGTCATGTAAGCCATATTTTGTTCTGTTTTATGTATTTTATGATTTCAGGCGAGTAGCTTGTTTGAACAGAACTACACTCAAAGGTCGAGTAGCGTCCCCAGAGGCGCTCGCCACGTCGAAAGCCATGTCGAAAAAGCCAATTTGATAGATCGCAGTACCATCTCACAGACGCGCACAGGTAATAATTTCTAAAATGCCTATTCGGCTTGACAGTTTATTCATATTTTATGGGTTCCTTTCGCTTTTGTCATTTCATTTCTTTGTTTAGTTGAATGGCGGTGAAGTGCAACCTTAGTTAGATCCTCACCTAGAATGTGCCATTGTGTTTGATGGTGAGGATTGATTGTTGTGTTCAGAAGACGTCGAACCGGTGCCTCAGAAACCTTCTCGTGGAATCAGTCGTCGTTTCCTTCCGGAGCCACCACGCTTCTTGACGACTCTGCCTCAACAAATCACTCTCAACGCCAACGAAAAACTGATCCTTTCGGTGGATGTTAGTGCAGTTCCAGCCGCCGAGATCATGTGGCAGGTAAACGGCTTCGAGTTGAAATGCACCAGAAACGTCGTCCTGCTCAACGAACACAACAAGTGCACCCTTGTGGTGCATCCGCCTGTCAAGCAGGGCAAATACAAGGCGACGGCCGTGAACGACGTCGGAAGCGATTCCGTGGTCACCAACGTCACCAAGTTGGGCGAAGACAACGTCGAAATCGAAGAACCGCCCGGCATAACTGAGGCCGCAGTCACGGTGACCAGCTCAGTTCATGAGGACGACGCTATGTCGCACTCCTCTTTCCAAACTGTCAGAAAACGCGAGTGGATTGAAGAGGAAATCGAGGAGGTCACCGTCACAGAAGACGTCGTTGTACCAGCAGAACCCGAAAAATCGACGGAAGTCGCAGAAAAAACGAATAAAGTCGTGAAGAAACAAACGATAGCCTCAAGAAAACTTCCGTTCGCACCAAGAATTGTAGATAGTCCGACAACGCCGATACGAGTTAAAAGTGGAGCCTCCGTCACAATGAAGATCGTTGTGGAGGCTCTTCCTCCAGCTTCTTTCATTTGGACATTGAACAGTTTTGAACTCAAATCTTCGAAAAAAACAAAAATAATAAATGAAGAGAACACGAGCGAAATAACGTTCAGCGAAGGACACCCAGGAAAACTGAGCGTTATTGCGCGAAACGAGAAAGGAGAGGCTCGCTGGGACGGGAAAATCGTTCTATTGTATGACGTTTCCCCGCCAAGACAAGTTCAACAAGCGGAGAGAACGGAAGAAGTTGCGGAAATTCAAGAGACGCAATACAGTCTTCAAGAAGCAGTAATCGTCGAACTGATGCCGATGAGTGTGAAGCGCGGCGAAATGGCTGAGCTCACCATGAGAGTTGACGAGAGAAAGACATCTCCCTGCAACTTTTCCTGGTTTCTCAACGGCTCTCAACTCTCATCCATGGAATTCGTGCAAATATTCACCTCGGAGTATGAGTCTGTTCTGACGATAGAGAGTGTGAGCGAGACGACGTCGGGAGAATTCGTCTGCGTCGTCGAGAACGAAGAAGGACAGTCGACCCATTCTGCGGCGCTGCTTCTGATGCGTGAGTTCTGTTCTCATTTGCTGGTTCGTCGCATAACTTGCATGAGCTTTATTTTTTCATCGCTCACATTATTTCGACCTTATTTCAACCAGATTTAACCTTTATGAATCGAATTCAAAACGGGTATTCAACATGTTGCTTAAAAATCTCTACTTTTAAGACGGCCAGTTATTAACTAGTGGTGTTTTTTTTTTTGGATTTTTTGACTATAAACACAGATAGATCCAAAAAGTGTAATTTCGGAATGAAATATGAATCGAAAAACCCAACGCTCGTTTCTAACCGGCTAACCTAATAATAGGAAATTTAAAAAGCAGATAGGTCACATTTTTTTTTTTCACTAAAAGCTAAAAATTTGATAGATATTATTGAGCAAAGGGATTTTACAAATTTCGAAAATTTTCAATCAAAAATTGGAAGGAAGTATTTTTATGTTGGTTGAAAGATCTTCGATCAGGATTGATCATCGACCTTCCGTGAAGAAAAAGTTGAGTTGAATTCCCGATTTCCATTGGATTCTGAAGAAAAAATGGTTGAAAGAGGCCCAAGAATAAGAATAGTTTTTTCGTGAACGTGACATCTCAGGCGAAGATGATTCTTTTGAAATGGTACCTCCTGATCTTCCGGAAGAATCTGCGCCCAAGATCATCGAACCTCTTCATTCCGCAACGTTCATTGACGGTATGTTTTTTGAATAAAAAATCTATATTTTTCAATCATAATACAGGTCAGCCAATGTCTCTACGGTGCCGCATCACTGCAAACCCGTCTGCTGCGATAATCTGGTCGAAAGATGATCTTAACGTTGAGGAATGGGTCCTCAATAAAGATGTGACTACTCAGGTTATTTAGTCTGGAAGCTTGACTCGAATGTTGGTGATTCAGGTGCTGGAAGGAGGAGTTTGCGAATTGCTGAATCCGGAATGTTTTGTGGAGGACGGAGGTCTCTACAAGTGTACAGCTACAAATCCTCACGGCACTGCTGAAACTGCGGCTTTCATCAACGTCGAAGGTGACTAGAATCTTTGAAGCGTTTCCAAAATGAGATTTTAGGCGTTGAATATCAAAAAGATCGAGAGGAAGCTTCCATGTCAGAGTCAGTTCTGACAGACGACGTCCACGTCATCCTCCCACCCAAGTTCACTGAACAGCTTCTAGCCGAAGTGGATAGCATCAAAGAACTCGGATATGTTCGCCTCGTTTGCACAATCCAGAGGTTAATTTTTCGATTAAAAAATAAAAAATAGATTTTGATATTCAGCGTTGTCCCTGCTACCATCTTTTGGTACAGAGATGGAGAGGAGCTCACAGAATCTAGCAAGTACGAGATCTTCCAATTTAGCGATGGCGCTCAAATCCTCACCGTTCATGATGCAAATGTCAACGACGCAGGTAAAAAATTCTTTCTGAACATAAATTTCACACCGGGTGAATATTGAAAGATTTTCAAGCTTTTAAAGTTGAAAAAAGAGGCGAAGGATCAAAATTTCAAATCTATTTGAGCTCAAAAGCTGAAGGAGTTGACAAAAATAAAGATAAATAAAATTTTCGGTTGTTCCATGGAACATTTCCGGCTTTTTTCAACCTTTGAAAGGCCTCATAAAGTTTTTAACCACTAAATGCTCGAAATTGTTTCAATGGCAGGCGTGTACACATGTACTGCCGAGTCGGAGCACGGCGTGAGCAGCAGCAGCTGTGCCGTCGACATTTCTCCAGTCGACGTTCGCGAGACTGACATCGACGATGACATTGAAGTCGTTGAGATCGAGGTCCCCAAGCAAGAAGTCACTGGAACGACCTTGATTGAGCGAGAAGAAGGTTAACAAAAAGGTTTTCAAGTCTTATCTGAGAGGATATTCAAGAAGAGTTCAAACTTCTCATCAAAGTCGCTGACAACGTTGCTAGCACTTTGGTCGCCAATGTCTTTATGGATGCTGTTCGTGAAGCCGTGAGGAAGCTCGTCGAAAATGAAGAGGTCAGTCGAAATCGCAATAAAAGGAAGTATTTCATATAATAGGATGAACAAGCAGCTGTTGACACTTCAAATCCACCGCACTTCTTGACGAGTATGGATGAGTTCAGTGTCTACGAAAATGAGAGCATCAAGGTTCTCCCTTTTAGATTTCATATTTTTTCTCAAAATTTCCGATATTTGTTTGCCATTCTAGAGATTTTATGCTAAACTTCAGCAAAATGTTCATATTTTACTTCCTAACTTCGAAATCGAGAAAAAATGTATGTCTACAGAGCATCAGAATATTTTTTTCAAATAACTACAACAAAATTGCGCAAATTGCAGATGACCACAACTGTCGCTGGTCATCCGATACCGTTTGTGGAATGGTACTTCGGAGAAGAAAGGATGTCCATCTCAGAGTGAAAAAAGGATTCTCAATGCATTTTAATTTTTTCATTTCAGAAAAGTGAGTATGTCCTATGAGAAGGGAACTTCTTCGATCACGCTGAAAGACGTGGTCTTGTCACAAGCCGGCACCTACTACTGTCATGCGACCAATGTCCACGGAACCAGCGTCCTTTCGATGAAACTCGTAGTTCATCCGACGCGAAACATTCCACCAATCACCATTCACGAAGCAGAATTCTCATCTGCTGAAGTCCGAACTGCTCCCAAACCGACGGCTGAAGAGGTTTTTGCTCCACTTCCCAGTTTCCTACTTGAACCGGTAACTTTTAGGAGCTACGAGCAGCGGCTGAAAAAATTTCCGAAGAGTTCGCTTTTAACTGGACTCAACAAGCAGTTCAAGAGGTTGGGCTTTTTTGTGTAAGGGTCAATAATTTAACAATTTCAGATGGGAGACATGAAAAAAGCTGTTCCTCCGCGCGAAAAGAGCCCATCACCGGAAGAGACGCAGAAACGGCTCACTCCGACGCTTATGGGATACGATGAAAAGGTTGAGAAAAAGATATTGACATTTTTTGAGCAGCAAAAGTTCAGGTGAAAACAATCGAGAGTAACCTTCATCGAGTAGCTTCACAAGAAAATTTGGAGCCTCTGGAAGCGACCAATATGCTATTAACGACTGCCATGTCGCTCAAGGCAACTACCATTTGGAGTTTCAAAACAATATTCCCTTCCTTTTCAGGAGCAGCACGTTTGCGACGATCAAACAACAGTAGTTGTGCACCAACAGCCTCAGAATTGCGAACAAGTCGTCACGGTCCTCGAGTCGAATGTGGAGCAGCACCAACTTCGACTTACCACCACGCCGTCGACGCCATTGAAGTTTATCGACTTCGATACGATCCTCCAGAAGCCGAGCACGTCTTGCGAATCGATTGACAAGAGTTTCTTGGCCAAGTCCAACAAGACTGCCAATGCACAGCACAGGATCGTCGTTTTGCAAGGAATTTCCAACACTTTTCACAATGCTATCACTTGGAGCTTGAAAAAGGTTTTCTTTTCATGCATTAGTTGTGTTACGACAAAAAGGCAAATTTTCTGCCGCATTATTGATATTTTCCCCTTTTCAAAAAATTTTACTAATTTCTTCCATAAATTGGTCTTCTGAAAACCATTGAAGAATAATAAAAAAAAAGAAAAGAATATGGATATAGAAAAAGTATTACGGTAAAAAGGTTTTTTTATTTCGAAAAATACATTTTCCAGCACTTTTTTCATACCTAAAAACTTATTTCATATCAAAATGTTTAGAAAAATTTTTTTCAAATATCTAGGTGCGAAAGCTGGTGGGAGACGAAGAGACGAAAGCTTTCGCGGATATTGAAGTTGTCAAGCAAAACGAAAGAAATGAACAAGTCATGACCATCATCGACAACGAATCTATCGTTCCAGAGCTCTTACAAATCGCCGCAGCCGCTAACAAACTGAAGGTTTTATCACTATAGCTGTTCATGTTACAATAAAACGATCCAGCTCGAAAACGTAAGTGTGGCTTTGATCCGAGAAGGAGACAGGGCTCACCAGGAGTTGGTCATTGAATATGAGAGCTCGATTGACGAGGCCATGCCGCCTGTCAACACTTCGCATCTTGTTTATGAACGACGTCCACCCACGGTCTCAGAACGGACAAAATATCGTTAAAATTAAATCTTTCAGGGCCCTCGAGAACATTTCTGGACTCGAAGATCAAAGTCTCAGGTTAAAGAAGAGTCACAAGTGGTTGCAGTGTTTGTGGAGGTGGACGCGAACTGTCCAGATCAAAACGTTGAGATAATAGCGACGGTCAATACTCCATTTGACACAAGTCAAAATGCAGAAGAGCCGCTAAATACTGAATCAAACTATTCGATAGCTTCTGAATTGAGTGCTGCGCCACAGCCACCCAAGTATCCCTTCAAGGCGGAAGCTGGGTTCTAAATAAGAGTTAAGGTTCCTACGAAAGCTGATCGACTGCCATGGAAAAGTTGGAGCGCTGGTGCAGCTGAAGTGCGTCATCAGCGGAACGCCGACTCCAGAAGTGGCATGGTCCGTGGACGGAGATCCCATCGTCCCCAATGAGTGAGAAGCACGGAACAGTATGAGAATAACTTGCTGTTCAGTGAGTACGACATCGTTTATGAGGACGGCGTGTGCATTCTGAGGATCAAAGAAACGCTCATTGAAGACGAAGGCGAGTACTGCTGCGAGGCGTTCAATAGTGCCGGCCGTACTGATACCAAGTGTTTCCTCAAGCTTACAGGTACGCTTCAACACGAATTTTCACAATTTTTCAAAGGTATTTGAGACTCTCCTTGTCAGAAAAAAAAAACGTCAAAATACTACGGTAATTTAACTTCGAATTTTTTCTTTGTATTATTTCTCGGAAGTTTTCATTTGTAGTGGATGAAATTCGGAAAGACGCGACCGGCAAAAATTTTTATCTCTGAGAATTTTTGCCTCAAAGTAAGCGAAGTCCTGTGGCGTTTGAATGAGCCATGTAGAAGGTTAGAGCCACACTTCCCAATAAATAGAAAATTGTGCACGCTCAAGTTTTTGGGATTTTTTTTCTGGTTCATCTCAAAAAGTTTTTGGCTCCTTACCAGGGAACGTTTTTTACCCCCCGGTTGAACTTTTGCTGAAACTTTGCTGAAGTGTACTTTAGGACCCCCTGATTGCAGATCAAGAAGAAAATTTCTCGAAATAGATCTTGTTTCCGAGTTATGGAGCTTCAAAGTGTGCAAAATACGCAAATTAGGCCAAAAAAGCGCATTTCGGGCTTTTGAAGTGTCCTAACTAGAAAACGAGATCTATTGCGAGAAATTTTCTTCCTGTTCTGGAATCAGGGGGTCCTAAAGTACACTTCGGCAAAGTTTCAGCAAAAGTTCAACCGGGGGGTAAAAAACGTTCCCTAGTTAGCAAAGTATGCCATGAGTAAAAACAGAGCCATCAGCTAGAAAAAAAATCTTGTTTATCGCCTATAGTCAAATCATTTCTATTAAAAAAAAGACAGTTTGAAATTTAGAAAATGGATCACATTATAGAAGAAATTTTCTATGCAAAATTAATTTCAAGGAATACTGAATCAACCCTATCAAACATCTTTCAAATGAAATAAAGTTTCCAATTGGAAGAGATGGGTTTCAAATACCTTTGAAAATGTCTAAACTTTCCATCAAGGAGCAGCATCATTCACAATGTGAAAGAAACTAAAATGAAGCGCTTGTTAAACAAAAAAGAAAGAAATCTTCGAAAAAAGCTAGTTCCCTCCTCAATTTCTACGCTCTTTACCTCATCATCTAACTGCTTACCATTTTCTTAAACTAATTTAACTCGACTTCTTCTCTTTTTCGTTCCGTCTCGTCTCCCATTGTGTGTGTCGGGCTGCTTGTTGTTGGTTGGGATTGACGCTTCTTAGTTAGACTTCTTTTTTCTTTCTTTCGCGCATGAATTTGCCGTTTGCTTTTCAGAGGAAGAAGTGTCTCCGGTGACGGCTTCCTTCAACAACGACTTGGCCAAAGTCGAAGCTTTCCAAAAGTTTGTCGAAACAGCGGAAACGGCAGTCAAAGTCACTGAGTTGGTGCAAACCGATATGTTGAAGGCCACAATCAAGGAGCCTCCGATCAAAAAGAAGTCCATTGCCACAAGCACGACGAACTTGATGTTCAGCAACCAAAAAACAGATGCGCGGATGGAAGCTTTCTCGACTATTCTGGAGCCCCCAGAAGAATTCCAGGAATCTTTTTGCAGCAGTGCTTCATGGGATCTCATTTTCGCCAATCCCTTTTCTCAAAGCGAACCTGAAAAAATATCACAAGAAAAATCTTCATTGTACGAGCCTCGAACTCCTCTTCTTCCGCAGAAGTTGTTCTACAAAGGCCAAGAAATATCTGTGAACAGCATTGACACGACTAAAAACGATGAAGAATCGAATAAAAAAGTGATTGAAACGTGTCTGCAGTTCAACACCGAAGTCGAAGTTTCAAACGGAAAAACAGCCATGAAAGGAAATGCGAATAGTTCTCCTTCAAAGACTGAATTCATTATGGTAGATAAAATGAGAGAAATTGAAAGAATTGCCCAACAAGTTGAAGATGAACTCAAAACTTTGAAGGGATCGACACACATTGATAACTTTGGCAGTGTTTCTTCGATTGAGGAAGCTATTTTTCGCATCTCTGATCAAATCGTCATGCAGAAGCCGATCTCCGAGGCTCAAGCTCAGGCTAGCGAGGAGCTGCTTCGCACTACCCTTGCCGACATGATTTTGAACCACTCAACCAATTCGTCCCAACAGTTCTCGAAACCTATTGCTTCACTGAAGAAAAAGCTGGCCGACATTGAAAACAGTTTACTTGAGGACCAAGAAGTCACAGAAATCTTGGCTGACCAGAAAAATTGTCTACGTCGTCGAGCAAAGCGAGTGAAGCGAGTACCAAGTGCGCATTCTATGCGCATCACTCCCATCACAACCAACATTCAGGAGAAACTTTCTCAGCTTCACAAAATGACTCTTGAGCGCGAAGAGGAAACAGTCGAACACGCCGAAAACGACTTGTGCGACGTCCATCGTTTGTTTGTCAGAATCAACGAAGAGATTTGCGTGATATCTGACTTGTGCAAAAAGAAGATGACAAAAGAAGGCGCCGATGCTGTCATTCACGTCATGAATTCTGTTCTCCAACACATTTCCAGTATTATATCTGTGCTGAATGTGGCTCAAAACATCGAACCTCATGCTGTGGAAACCACAGTTTGGTATAGATTCGAAGTTAGAACTGAAGAAGAAGAAATTATTGGCATTGTTGACGTTGAACCTGAAGCTGATCTTTCGGCTCTGACACCGATCATCGAAAGTGAAGAAGTCCCTGAATTAGCCCCAACACCACAGCTTCGCAATAAGATGGAAGAGAAAGAAGAAGCTGTTTTCCAGGAAAATCCTCCAATCGCCCCACCGCGTCGTAGAAAAACTCCCTCAATGGAGCCGTCAATTGAAAAAAAAGAACTTCTACAAAGTGTTGCTCCGATTGCTCCACCAAGGCGTCATAGAGCCTTTTCGACTGAACAAAAAAGGGGCGAAGAAAATTCTCGAGACGAACCTGTGCAGAAAGAAGTAGAGTGTGTCTTGTCCACGCAATTTGGTCGGCTCGACGTGTCTTTTTCAAATTTTTTGGAAGAAGAAGACTCTGCATATGGTTTGGTAGATGCTCATAACGAGCTAGGACTGGAATATGTCATAGCCGACGACATATCCTCAGTTCAAATGTTCTGCGAAGAATCTGACTACGCTACGGACACGGAAAGATCTGCACTGCTTTGTGGAACAGTCCAGATTTTCAACCGTGCATCTCCAGCTTATTCTGAATTTGGGCAAGCGGAATCTGTATCAGCCGATATAAAAACAGAAAATGTAGAAGACGTGGTGGTTAATGTCGAACTTCACTCAGTTCCTTCACTTACCTCTCTCAGTTCAATCAGTTTAAAAACATTCAATCTTCCTACAGACGATGTATCCTACAAAGAAGAAGGCCGCAGAACATTGATAACTCCAACGGAAGAAGTGAGCCAAGAAGTAAGCATTGTGCCCAAGTCCTTCTCAGACGAAACACTTGATGTCGTTCTAGAGGAAAAAGAGTTGTCACAAATGGTTGGATCAAGCTTCGTTGATTTTGATTATAACCGTGCCAACTCGGCGAACACGATTCGCGAAACAGACATCCTCAGCGACGAATCCATGACTCACGAATTGGAATCTTCTCAAACATTTGAAACTTTCACAATGCGGAGAGAAGGTCAGCGACGTCGGGTGACTGGAATCGTTGTCTACACACTCTACTACACGTTGGCCGCCAACGTCGCCGCAGACAACACTTTTGACGTTGACATCGTGCAAGAACCTCAAAAGTACAGCCTCTCCATCAAAGTCGTTGAAGATACGATCGACTTCACCTCCCTAACCATCACTTCAGACACCGAAGACGTCACTCTCGACGAAAAAATAATGAGTGCTGACACTCTCTTATCAACTTCAAACGATGACTTGAGCGAAGCGACTACCCGCACTGGCATCACTGTTTCAATTGTTGCTAGGAGCTTAAAAGATGGAATCTACGCATCTCTGGAAGAAATAGCCTGGGGCGAAGTGACAATGTCTTTGGAAGCTATTCAGACAAGCATGGAAGAGGAGTCTAAGCAGAGCTCCGTGCAATTCAACGTCACGGTTTCAGAAACCAACCTCGAGGAGAACAAATCCTTAAAGTCTCAAATGTCGTTCAAAAGCTCGCAAACTTCAGTTTCAGAGCTGGACAATACTGTCAGCTCCAATACGATAAGCATTCCAAGTTATGTTATCAAGCTTGCTTCGACAGCAACGATAACCTGCGAACTGAACAACTATCTGCCTCAAAACTGCACAATCGACTGGTACTGCGGCAAGGAAAGGATCGAAGACGTCGGTGGGCAGTTTGACCGAATCAGCCACGACCTTCTGGAAGTACTCATCATCAGATATGTCGAACCACAACACGGAGACCTTTACAGCTTGAAAATCAACGATGACGTGTTCCCAGTCGCATATCTGATTGTTGAAAACAGTGCTGACAATGAAGCACAAATTTTGACTCGCCCTCAGACGCAGTTTGTCATGGAAGGTCAGCCGACAGTCATCACCTGCGTCGTCGACAATCCAGATGCCACAGTGACCTGGGTTAAAGACAAAAGGCCTTTGAGAACGACTCCCAGAATCCTCATCGAGCACGACGGCGACGGCACTCATCGAATCGTCTTCACTACTGCTCAAATTTCGGATCAGGGCACTTACGTGGCAATGACGTCATCTCATAGCGTCGCGATCACGATGGTAGTGGAAGGTTTGCATGAGCGTGGTAGTTTCTCAACTAATTTGCTTGCGTTTCAGAGCTGATCGATGAGAAGGAAGTGACGGTTATCGCCTCTGGGACAGAAAGCGAGGAAGAAGACGTGCAGGAATATCTGGTGCCACCAGGCAGCACGGCGACCATCGCCTGCGAGCTCGAGGAGTGCGAGCAACAACGGGCGATTCGCTGGCTTCGCGACGGCAAGGACATCGTCTTCTGCAGCGGCAAGGCCGAGCACGTGCAGAACGGCCTAAAACACTACCTCGTGATCCACGACGCCGCCAGCACTGACTCAGGCCTTTACAGCGTCTGCATCTCCAACGTCGAGTTCCGTGTCGCTCACCTTTGTGTTAACAGTCTGACATCTACATTGCATGCTCTGAAACGAAAACGCATTTCCAATCATTCGTTGCATTGAAACAGATTTGGATAAGGCCCACAGAAAGATAATTTTATTTCATCTCGTATCTTTATTCAGAAGAAAAATAAACTAAAAAGTAGAAAAATAAACAATTAGTAGCTTTAGCCCGAACCTTCCCATTTGAAAGCAGTCAGGCCGCTTACGAACTTTTTTTTTCTTTCCAGACAGACCTCTCTCTTTTCTCCAGCCTTTAACATATCGTTGAGTTTAAAAAGATTAACAGAAAATTCAAATTTTTCATCTACTTCGTATTGCATGTTACTAACCTGATAACTTAAATGTATTCGAAATCTTCTTCCATTCTGAGGACTTAAATTTTCATGTATTTTTGAGTACAAAAGAGTATGAACATATTTTGACCGTATATAAAGAGTTTTTTTGTTTCCATTATTTATTTCTTGTTTATTTTCTTGTGAAATAAACGGAATCTATTGTTATTTTGAAAAATTTTATAAATTTCTTTCTTTCATACGTTCGTGAATGATGCTTGACCTTGCAAAACAAATAAGGAAGAGTGGAAACTGAAGAGAAAAAAACTCAAACTCAGCTGGCGAAGAGAGCGACGAAACGGTTGTTCCTTGTGGTGTCATTGCGACGATTCAATGTCAAACTTCGGATGTTCACGAAAAAATCACATGGGCAAAGGTAATTGGTTGAACTTGAAAAAATAACTTTGCTTATAGGAGTTTATATTTGAAAATTTATAACTCTTCATAAAACAAGCGAATCTTCTTAAACGTTGTATGCTTTTCGGCAAACCCTACAACGCACCCATGATTTTACGCACCATAATTTTTGACACCGTTAAATAATTTTAAGCACCTAAGTATTTTTTCGCACCCAAGCAATTTAACGCACCTAAACAAACTTGATAAAAATTTATGAAGTTCATACCAGAGGATTTTCGGCCGATACTTTTTCGAACCAATGCTTAGACGAACCAATTTTTGGTATTTTATATATATGTTCATTTGTTTTTTAAATCTTAAGAGACCGAGAATATGAATTTCTAGCGATCGATGCCTTTCCGATTCGTTTGTATACTTTTCCTACCTAACATTTTTATTCTTTTTCGATTCGTACTTCAATTCATTTTTCAGAGAGCACCAATCTTTCGATCCCCTCATTTTAGGCTGGTTCCATATAATTTTTCTCGCCCATAACCGGCTGTTAGCTCTGCCCTTGACTATTCAGATACCTCTGTTCAGATCATTTTTTTTTCAGATCACATACAGCTCAGTCGATAAAATCTGTGAACAACGAAATAATTGATTGCTTGAAAAAAAAACAAAAAAGTTTTGAAAATCTGAATGATCATGCTAAGATTAGGACACTTGGTAGTATCTTTGCCGACGTCATTTCTAATCTCAGTCGACTCCAAAATAAGTCATAGATCCTATACTTCCAAATTCAAACTTCGGTTGGAATCAAAAAAATTGTTGAAAAAATTTGAAAAAAAAAATCTATCGCTAGAAATTCATATTCTCGGTCTCTTAAGATTTAAAAAACAAATGAACATATATATAAAAATACCAAAAAAATTGGTTCGTCTAAGCATTGGTTCGAAAAAGTATCGGCCGAAAATACTCTGGTATGAACTTCATAAATTTTTATCAAGTTTGTTTAGGTGCGTTAAATTGCTTGGGTGCGAAAAAATACTTAGGTGCTTAAAATTATTTAACGGTGTCAAAAATTATGGTGCGTACTAGCATGGGTGCGCCAAATGGTGCATAAAATCATGGGTGCGTTGTAGAGTCGGCCTGCTTTTCTGGTGCACTGACGCGAGAACCGGACAGTTTATTTCAAGATCCATATTTCGGCCTAAAACCTTGTTTTTTACAGAATGACGCACTGTCACACCCAAAAGGCGCCTCGACGCGCTGAATTAAAATATTTTTGCATTATTTTTGTTCTCAAATTTATGTTTTTTTCTAAAAAAAAAATTCCTGGATGAAAAGGGTCTAGCTTCGATTTGATTACAAATGGAAAAGGAAAAATCGGAATGTTTTGGTTTTCGCTTCACTTAAACAAAAGCTTCAATATACTATTAAAAAAATTTTTCTAACCGGAAAAATGATTTCGATGCGAAGAATGGGGCCCTTGCGCGTTTCTCTTGATCAAATGAATGGAATAACACTGAGAATGAGGAGAAGGATGAAAATGAAAGAAACCTCAACAATAATGAGATGAAAACAAATATGGTTTAGCTTCTTTGTTGACCGGCTTTTTGGAAGTAATACTCGATGAAAATCTTATTTTTGTGAACGTTGCTTTTTTTCAGCCTTCCGCTCCAAATAGTTACAAAAAAAACTTGAGCTCTGTTTGTAAAAAGTTCTAAACGGAAAGTGAGCAAAAGAAAAACACAAAAAGATACAGAAAATAGTGAGAATATTTTTGAACAGAAATTTCTGACTTCGAAAAAAAAAACTGAATTAGGATGGCGTTGTTCTCGAGTTGGGAGGCCGCTTCGAGGCGCGAACGTCAGCCGATGGGCATCATCACGAGCTCGTCATACACGACGTCCAGCCTTCTGACGCCGCCGTCTACTCTATTCTTATTGGAGAAATTTTGACTACTGTTTCACGAATTACTGTCATAGGTTTCTTTCTTAAATAATGCTTCCTTAGTTGGTATGATTTTAGAAAGCAATTTCCTCAGTGAATCGATCATTGAAGAGCCTGAAGTAGACGTTTCCCTTCATGTCCTATCAGCCAAAGAACAGTGCCAGTTCGATGCCACACAAACTTTGAGAAAAGAGCATCAAGAAGAAGCCGAAGGAGCGGTCATAGCAGATGACAGAAACATGGAAGGAGCCCCGGAAGCAGCACCCGAGGCAGAAAGCCGAGAAATCATCGTTCAGGTCCTCAAAGAAGAACCGAAGGAGGCTGGAGAAGCCATGGAAGCAGCACCTATGGCCGAAACTTCAGAAATCGACCAAATCATCGGCGAAAAAGATAAGTTGGAAGGAAGAGATGAAGAACATCAGATGCAAAGACCTGAAGCTGAAATCTCAGAGCGTCGCGATTCCGTTGTTGACAGACCCCTTGAAAGTATGACAGAAAAAACGCAGGAAGCAGCGCCTGCGGTTGAAAGTCTAGAAGTTGACCAGTTCGTTAACGGACCGATAGAAGAGGAGAAAACCATTGAAGCAGCAATCAAGGTTGAATCCTCAGAATTCGTAATCCAGACTCGACAGGAAGCTCAGGAAGCAGCGCCTGAGGCTGAAGTCCCAGATATCGCAGAAGAGGTCGTCCGAGAGCAAGATCAAAAAGAAATGGCTGAGAACGAAGCTCAGGTTACAGCACTTCGAGCTCAAGTTCTGGAAGTAAAAGCTCAAGCTATCAAACAGCTTGAAGAGAAAGAAAAAGAACAGAAAAAAGCTCAGGAAGCAGCACCTGAAGCAGAAAGTTCCTTAAGTACTGTTCAAGAAGCTATGGAGGCAAATGAAGAAAAAGTAGAAGATGCTCAGGTAGCAGCACCTGAGAGTCAGACACAAGAAATTGCCGTCGGCGCCATCATTGATCATGAAAATCAGGAAAAAGAAGAAGTTCGATGTATAACATCGGAAGCTCCAGTAGTCGAAGCTCTAGATGTCAGCAAAAATGATCAAACGGAGGAAAATAGAGCCCAGGAAGCAGCACCTGAGCCTCAAGTTCCGGAACTCGATGCTCAAAGCGTCAACGAGCCAGAAGAAAAGAGGGAAAAAGATATACAAGCAGCAGCGTCCGTTTCTGGAATCTCCCTGGTTAAAGTTGTCCCCGACCAAGAAAGAATAAAAGAGCTCGACACTCAGGCAGCGACTTCTCCAGCTGAAGCGCAAAAACTCGGAGATCATACTGAAAGTAAACAGAAACAGTCTGAAGAAGAAATGGAACATGAACAGGAAGCAGCGCCTGTGACGGAAGTCCCAAAAGTTTCGATAGAAGAAGTTCTTGGAAAAATAGAAATAGAAGTGGAAGAGCGTCAGGTAGCAGCACCTGAAATCGTAGCTCTTCCAGTCGATGGCCAGGAGGTCGACAAGACGAGAGAAAACGAAATAGAAAAGAAACAAGTCGTAGAACTCGAGACTGTAGCTCCGCAAGTCAATAGAGAACTTGATCTGATTGTAACCGAAGAAGAAAAAATCCGGGAAGCAGCATCTGAAGCTGAAGCCTTGCAAATTCCAAACCAGGTCGCCGAAGAGTTGCTATCCGAGAAAGTGGAAGAAGCTTTAACGGAGTTGACAAACGCTTCTCTTATCGAAAAGACGGCTTCAACCGATGTCTCTCCAAGTTCTCAGCCTAAAGATTCGGGTGTAGAAGTCAACATAACCGTAGACTTGACTTTCACCAAGAATTCGGAGCAAATATCTTCAGATGTGATCGTCGCAGAAGTGGTTGATGAAGACGGTGGGTTTTCCCAACAATTGATAGTGCAAATTAAAAATATTCAGAAAGTTCAACGATCGCAGATACATTGACATCATTGTCGTCAAGTCCACTGTACACGGCTCCAGAGTTTTCTACAGCTCTACCGACCTCTATAAAATCAGTAAATGACGTGGTCAAACTTCGAGTCGTGGTTCGAGGGGTTCCCCTGCCCAAAGTCTCTTGGTACATTGGAAAAACTCTTCTCGTCAATAATGAGTTGGTCTTGAAACTTAGACAGAAAACTGATAACCTAATTTCAGAGAAGACATTTTCATAACGTACGAAGATGGCGTGAGCTGTTTGAAGCTTCTCAAAACCGAGGAAAAGTTTATTGGAGTGATAACATGTCTAGCGTCAAACTCAGTGGGAAGCAAAACTTCGACCTGCAACATTATATCTGCGGAAGAAGTGAAAGAACTAAGCGAATTGAAATTCAAGTTTTTTAAGGTTTCAAATATTAGCGAGTCGATTTGTCGTCCAATGTTCATCTCATTACTTCCAGAAGAACTAACCACCAGCGTAAGTTTCATTTTAAGGATTCAAGTTTAAAGTCCTGTTCCGTGCGCTGAAATCAATATTAATAAATTTTCCTCAACAAGGAGTTTGATACAGGTAAACGAGGAAATCACCTTGAAGTGCACCTTCACTGGCCAGCCTCTACCAGCTGTCCTCTGGGAGAAGAATGGAGCTCTTTTGGAGCTGAAGTAACTGCGATCTTTTTTCGTTAAATAAATGAAATTTCAGCTCAAACTACACTGTAACCACAGAAGACGGGATCAGTTTGTTGAGGATAGAGAACACAAAAATTGAGGACACGGCTGTTTTCACTTGCACAATCGCAAATGATGCTGGTTACGAAAGTTCGGCTTGTCGCGTCAATATCCATGGTTAATTTGCCACTGTTTGATAATCAGGACCGTGTTTTTTTTCACAGACGACAACCTGAAAGTGCAGAAGACGATGGTGCAGGTTATTTGCGATCGCGATGAGAATGACGTCGCTCTGGACGTTGTCGTCACGTCGCCCAGCAAGATCGACGCCAGGTTTTCTTTTCCTCCTATTTCCAGGTCCCTGGCCGAGCAACCGCCCTACTTCTTGCTGCCGCTCGTCGACAAGCTCTACACGAGGACAAGTTGTGCCTTCAAATGCATAGTGATGGGAATCCCGTTGGTTCTGGTACGCTGGCTTGTTGACGGAGTCGACGTTTCCGATTCTGAGTTAGTTTTTCAAGTTACGTACCTAACTGGAAAAGCAGCAAAAATGGTTTGCTGGTTTCGGGAAAGTTTTTTGATATTTATTTGTTGTGACCTCGTTTGCAATAAATATTATTATCATTATTATTTTTGGAAAAAAATTAATAAAGAAGTTCGATTTACTTTTGCGATTAGGAATTCCTTCAAAATCGACCAGAATACTCCTTGATCTACCAGAAGATCCTGTCAAAGCCTCAAAAATAAACCGTTTCAACGGGTTTTGAAAGTTTTTATTAACCTTGAGATTTTTCTTTCTCTAAAAACTAGAAGATTGTGCAGGTTGAAACTTTCAAGGTCTTCTTCTGGTACATCAAGTAATTCCCAACTGCCAAATTAAGATTCCTTGTGAGAGGGCTAAATTTTATTTTTCAATAGGTTTCAATTGACCAACTAATCAGTTACGCAAAATTGAAGTGAAGTTTTCGTCAAAACTACATTTAAACAGCTACATGAAAAGGAAAAGAAAAAAGAAAACTCATATAACAGTTATATTGATATTTTGATCTTGAGTAGGACATAAAAATATAAAATTATCGACTTTAGGGACTACGAAATCATTTTCGAAGATGGCGTTGCCATACTGAGGGTGAAACATGCAACAAAAGAAGTCATGACCGTGCAGTGCATCGCCAGAAACGCCCAAGGAACGGCCAAAACCAAGTGCACAGCCCGGCGAGCGGCTTCAGCCACGCCTTCTGACGAAGAATCGCGCTCAGAGGCCGGCGAGAAGCCGTTCTTTCTAGTCCCCCTCAAAGACGTCTGCACGGGCAGCACCCACGCAGTCATCAAGTGTATCGTGGGCGGTTCTCCGCTTCCGTCGGTGGCTTGTTCGCGTGATAATCAGCCTTTTGAAGACGGGTGAGTATTATTCGGAATTCTAGACAAGTATCGTTTGTTTCATACTTCCATTACTCTGAGATCTTCTATCCTTTTTTACACATCTGATTCGAAAAAAAAACTCTGATTTATCTCTTCAAGGTAAATGAATTAATCTTCCCAATTTTTTTCATTTTTTTAAAAAGTAATTTCTGGGATATTTCTTGCCTATATCATGAACAACAAATATCTATTTTTGAAATTGCGTCAAAAACCTCAATTTTTTTAAAGCTAATGCGGAATGTTTTTTATTCTCACGAGTAAGAATATCTTTATTTTCGATTTTGCAGAATAACTCACGAAGACGGAGTAGTAGTTATCCGACTCTCGGATCTCACCGAGGAAGGAACTCTCATCAGTTGCGTCGCCCAGAACGAGACGGGCGAGTGCAGCACATCGTGCATTGTCAAACGCGCCAAGCCCAATCCTCATGACTCTCAGAGACCTGTTTTTGTTAGAAACCTAGTCGACAAAACTTATGACAACGGAGAGGTCGCCCTGAAAGTCGCGGTTGTTTCATACCCGGAAGCTCAACTCACATGGAGTCAAAATGGCGTCAACATCGTCGAAGACGAGTCAGTCAATCCAAATTTGAGCATAAAGATTATGGATTACAGTGAGCACAGCATGACGTGCGAAGACGGAATCGGTATTCTTCGAGCCACGGGTCTGCGTGGAGGAGAATGCCGCTTCAGTTGTACAGCTAGAAACGAACATGGGGTTGTAACAACGAGTTGTACAGTTTCGTGCGGCAGCATCGTCAGTGAAAGTCCGCCGATTCTTATGAAGGGTCTAAATGTAATTTTTATTTTGATTTCGATTCGTTCAAAGTTGGATTTTTTCACTTGTTATGGGAAAAATCAAAACAAACGAATTTTTAGAAGTTTGCCGGGCTTTTTATAATGCTGTCAGATTTTCTTCATTGACATAACGCCGCAAATTGAAAAAAAAGCTTTCTTTCGATTCTGAAATAAACTTCGTGCCTTATTGCAAAAAGCCAACACAGCCAAAACGTATAAAGAAATGAGCAAAACTTTTAAATGGAGTAGCAAAAAAGCGTGTGACTGGAAACTTTTTTTCTGATGATATGAAGGGAAATCTACTTTGAATATAACTTCGAATTCACGTAATTAGTAACTTATAGAATGCATCAAGCTTTCTTGTCCTTTTAGAAAAGAATTTTGTTTACTACAAGAAGCGAATTTAAGGACCTCGAGACCACAAGCGATTTCGTACAATTGCGTGTGGTCTGTGAAGAAAATGGCTTTATCTCGTTTTCTTGGTACTGTGATGACATCGAGATAGTTGAAAACTCGTAAGTCGGCGACACATTTGAGAGAAAACCACAGTCAAATGAACTACAGAGAGCACCACAAAGTAACGGCTGAAGGGATAGCTTCTACGCTTCAATCATCAGTCTTGGGTAGTCACAAATATCGTTGCGACGTCTCGAACAGCTTTGGGAAAGTCACAACAGAATGCATCGTTAGCAAACATTCTCAGCCACATGATATCAAAGCAGACATCGTTCTACTTAAAAACTCGTAAGCTTTATTTACATTGAGAAAAAAAATAGATCAAATTCAGACAATCCATCTATGCGTCTCTTGGCTCCATGATAGACAGGAATGAAGAAACGAGCATGAGAGCAGTGACAGAAACTGACATACCAATGAATGTGGTATGGAAAGCAGATGGAAGGCCAGTGCATGAGAAAAACTAATTCAAAGTCAGCTTTTTTTTAGAGAAATACGCGCCGAAAAAAATTCTTCACTCCGATTGGAAAAAATACACAGAGAAACAAAAATTATCCAATGTCTGATCGAAAACAGGGATGGAGATATTGTCTGTACGAAAAAAATTAAATTAGAAACAGAAGGAAACTGCGAAGAACAGAACTTGGAAATGGACTATTCATTTCGTTTGACAGATGAAACCGCTCAGATTAACGTTTGTGCCTACATTACGGAAGAAGACAAGCTTCAAGAATCGGAATACCACACTCAAACTGCGCCAAGTGAGGACAAAATAGAAGAAAAGCACGAGAAACCCAAAGATCTGACTCAGGCTGCCACATTTGAAGTCAAAGAAGAGGAGAAGCTCGAGAAACCCCAAGATCTCACTCACGCTGCCACAGTTGGGGTCAAGCAAGACGAAAAGCTTGAGAAACCCGGAGATCTGACTCAGGCTGCCACAGTTGAAGTCAAAGAAGTGGAGAAGCTCGAGAAACCCGAAGAGCAGACTCAGGCTGCCACAGTTGAAGTCAAAGAAGTGGAGAAGCTCGAGAAACCCGAAGAGCAGACTCAAGCTGCCACACTCGAGGTCAAGCAAGACGAAAAGCTTGAGAAACCCGGAGATCTGACTCAAGCTGCCACAGTTGAAGTCAAGCAAAAGGAAAAGCTCGAAAAACCCGAAGATCTGACTCAGGCTGCCACAGTTGAAGTCAAAGAAGCGGAGAAGCTCGAGAAACCCGGAGAGCAGACTCAAGCTGCCACACCTGAGGTCAAGCAAGACGAAAAGCTTCAGAAACCCGAAGATCTGACTCAAGCTGCCACACTGGAGATCAAGGGGGAAGAGAAACCTAGTGAAGCCGAACAAACGCTGACCGTTCAACTTTTCTTCAGCAGACAACAGAGCACAGCCGGACTCGAGATCGACCTGGTCGTCGACACTTTCGAGAGCGAAGAGAAATCATTGAAGAGTGCGCGCAAGGATGTTTCGATAACAGAGAAGAACGAGCGAGTTGTCGAACTGGTCGAAGATAAGACTCAAGCCGCCACAGTTGAGGTTAAGCAAGAGGAAAAGCTCGAGAAACCCGAAGATCTGATTCAAGCTGCCACAGTTGAAGTCAAAGAAGTGGAGAAGCTCGAGAAACCCGAAGAGCAGACTCAAGCTGCCACACTCGAGGTCAAGCAAGACGAAAAGCTTGAGAAACCCGGAGATCTGACTCAAGCTGCCACAGTTGAGGTCAAGCAGAAGGAAAAGCTCGAAAAACCCGAAGATCTGACTCAGGCTGCCACAGTTGAAGTCAAAGAAGTGGAGAAGCTCGAGAAACCCGGAGAGCAGACTCAAGCTGCCACACCTGAGGTCAAGCAAGACGAAAAGCTTCAGAAACCCGAAGATCTGACTCAAGCTGCCACACTGGAGGTCAAGGGGGAAGAGAAACCTAGTGAAGCCGAACAAACGCTGACCGTTGAACTTTTCTTCAGCAGACAACAGAGCACAGCCGGACTCGAGATCGACCTGGTCGGTGACACTTTCGAGAGCGAAGAGAAATCATTGAAGAGTGCGCGCAAGGATGTTTCGATAACAGAGAAGAACGAGCGAGTTGTCGAACTGGTCGAAGATAAGACTCAAGCCGCCACAGTTGAGGTTAAGCAAGAGGAAAAGCTCGAGAAACCCGAAGATCTGATTCAAGCTGCCACAGTTGAAGTCAAAGAAGTGGAGAAGCTCGAGAAACCCGAAGAGCAGACTCAAGCTGCCACAGTTGAGGTCAAGCAAGAGGAAAAGCTCGAGAAACCCGAAGATCTGATTCAAGCTGCCACAGATGAAGTCAAAGAAGTGGAGAAGCTCGAGAAACCCGAAGAGCAGACTCAGGCTGCCACAGTTGAAGTCAAAGAAGTGGAGAAGCTCGAGAAACCCGAAGAACAGACTCGAGCTGCCACACTCGAGGTCAAGCGAGACGAAAAGCTTGAGAAACCCGGACATCTGACTCAAGCTGCCACAGTTGAGGTCAAGCAAAAGGAAAAGCTCGAAAAACCCGAAGATCTGACTCAGGCTGCCACAGTTGAAGTCAAAGAAGTGGAGAAGCTCGAGAAACCCGAAGATCTGACTCAAGCTGCCACACTGGAGGTCAAGGGGGAAGAGAAACCTAGTGAAGCCGAACAAACGCTGACCGTTGAACTTTTCTTCAGCAGACAACAGAGCACAGCCGGACTCGAGATCGACCTGGTCGTCGACACTTTCGAGAGCGAAGAGGAATCATTGAAAAGTGCGCGCAAGAATGTTTCGATAACAGAGAAGACCGAGCGAGTAGTCGAACTGGTCGAAGATGAGTCTCAAGCTGCCACAAATGAGGTCAAGCAAGACGAAAAGCTTGAGGAACCCGAAGATCTGACTCAAGCTGCCACAGTTAAAGTCGAAGAAATGAAGAAGCTCGAGAAACCCGCAGAGCAGACTCAAGCCGCCACAGTTGAGGTTGAGCAAGAGGAAAAGCTCGAGAAACCCGAAGATCTGACTCAAGCTGCCACAGTTGAAGTCAAGCAAAAGGAAAAGCTTGAGAAACCCGAAGATCTGACTCAAGCTGCCACAGTTGAAGTCAAAGAAGTGGAGAAGCTCGAAAAACCCGAAGAGCAGACTCAAGCTGCCACAGTTGAGGTCAAGCAAGACGAAAAGCTCGAGAAACCCGAAGATCTGACTCAAGCTGCCACAGTTGAAGTCAAAGAAGTGGAGAAGCTCGAAAAACCCGAAGAGCAGACTCAAGCCGCAACAGTTGAGGTTGAGCAAGAGGAAAAGCTCGAGAAACCCGAAGATCTGACTCAGGCTGCCACAGTTGAAGTCAAAGAAATGGGGAAGTTCGAGAAACCCGAAGATCTGACTCAAGCTGCCACAGTTGAAGTCAAGCAAGAGGAAAAGCTCGAGAAACCCGAAGATCTGACTCAAGCTGCCACAGTTGAAGTCAAAGAAGTGGAGAAGCTCGAAAAACCCGAAGAGCAGACTCAAGCTGCCACAGTTGAGGTCAAGCAAGAGGAAAAAGCTTGAGAAACCCGAAGATCTGACTCAAGCTGCCACAGTTGAAGTCAAAGAAGTGGAGAAGCTCGAAAAAAACCCGAAGAGCAGACTCAAGCTGCCACAGTTGAGGTCAAGCAAGACGAAAAGCTCGAGAAACCCGAAGATCTGACTCAAGCTGCCACAGTTGAAGTCAAAGAAGTGGAGAAGCTCGAAAAACCCGAAGAGCAGACTCAAGCTGCCACAGTTGAGGTCAAGCAGGAGGAAAAGCTCGAGAAACCCGAAGATCTGACTCAAGCTGCCACAGTTGAAGTCAAAGAAGTGGAAAAGCTCGAAAAACCCGAAGAGCCGACTCAAGCTGCCACAGTTGAGGTCAAGCAAGACGAAAAGCTCGAGAAACCCGAAGATCTGACTCAAGCTGCCACAGTTGAAGTCAAAGAAGTGGAGAAGCTTGAGAAACCCGAAGATCTGACTCAAGCTGCCACAGTTGAAGTCAAAGAAATGGAGAAGCTCGAGAAACCCGAAGAGCAGACTCAAGCCGCCACAGTTGAGGTCAAGCAAGACGAAAAGCTTCAGAAACCCGAAGAGCAGACTCAAGCTGCCACACCTGAGGTCAAAGAAGTGGAGAAGCTCGAGAAACCCGAAGAGCAGACTCAAGCTGCCACAGTTGAAGTCAAAGAAATGGAGAAGCTCGAGAAACCCGAAGAGCAGACTCAAGACGCCACAGTTGAGGTCAAGCAAGACGAAAAGCTTCAGAAACCCGAAGAGCAGACTCAAGCTGCCACACCTGAGGTCAAAGAAGTGGAGAAGCTCGAGAAACCCGAAGAGCAGACTCAAGCTGCCACACTGGAGGTCAAGGGGGAAGAGAAACCTAGTGAAGCCGAACAAACGCTGACCGTTGAACTTTTCTTCAGCAGACAACAGAGCACAGCCGGACTCGAGATCGACCTGGTCGTCGACACTTTCGAGAGCGAAGAGGAATCATTGAAAAGTGCGCGCAAGAATGTTTCGATAACAGAGAAGACCGAGCGAGTAGTCGAACTGGTCGAAGATGAGACTCAAGCTGCCACAAATGAGGTCAAGCAAGACGAAAAGCTTGAGGAACCCGAAGATCTGACTCAAGCTGCCACAGTTAAAGTCAAAGAAGTGAAGAAGCTCGAGAAACCCGCAGAGCAGACTCAAGCCGCCACAGTTGAGGTTGAGCAAGAGGAAAAGCTCGAGAAACCCGAAGATCTGACTCAAGCTGCCACAGTTGAAGTCAAGCAAGAGGAAAAGCTCGAGAAACCCGAAGATCTGACTCAAGCTGCCACAGTTGAAGTCAAAGAAGTGGAGAAGCTCGAAAAACCCGAAGAGCAGACTCAAGCTGCCACAGTTGAGGTCAAGCAAGACGAAAAGCTCGAGAAACCCGAAGATCTGACTCAAGCTGCCACAGTTGAAGTCAAAGAAGTGGAGAAGCTCGAAAAACTTGAAGAGCAGACTCAAGCTGCCACAGTTGAGGTCAAGCAAGACGAAAAGCTTCAGAAACACGGAGAGCAGACTCAAGCTGCCACACCTGAGGTGCAAGACGAAAAGCTTGAGAAACCCGAAGATCTGACTCAAGCTGCCACAGTGGAAGTCAGGGGGGTAGAGAAACCTGGTGAAGCCGAACAAACGCTGACCGTTGAACTTTTCTTCAGCAGACAACAAAGCACAGCCGGACTCGAGATCGACCTGGTCGTCGACACTTTCGAGAGCGAAGAAAAATCATTGAAGAGTGCGCGCAAGGATGTTTCGATAACAGAGAAGAACGAGCGAGTTGTCGAACTGGTCGAAGATGAGACTCAAGCCGCCACAGTTGAGGTTAAGCAGGAGGAAAAGCTCGAGAAACCCGAAGATCTGACTCAAGCTGCCACAGTTGAAGTCAAAGAAATGGAGAAGTTCAAGAAACCCGAAGAGCAGACTCAAGCCGCCACAGTTGAGGTTGAGCAAGAGGAAAAGCTCGAGAAACCCGAAGATCTGACTCAAGCTGCCACAGTTGAAGTCAAGCAAGAGGAAAAGCTCGAGAAACCCGAAGATCTGACTCAAGCTGCCACAGTTGAAGTCAAAGAAGTGGAGAAGCTCGAAAAACCCGAAGAGCAGACTCAAGCTGCCACAGTTGAGGTCAAGCAAGAGGAAAAGCTCGAGAAACCCGAAGATCTGACTCAAGCTGCCACAGTTGAAGTCAAAGAAGTGGAGAAAGCTCGAAAAACCCGAAGAGCAGACTCAAGCTGCCACAGTTGAGGTCAAGCAAGACGAAAAGCTCGAGAAACCCGAAGATCTGACTCAAGCTGCCACAGTTGAAGTCAAAGAAGTGGAGAAGCTTGAGAAACCCGAAGATCTGACTCAAGCTGCCACAGTTGAGGTCAAGCAAGAGGAAAAGCTCGAGAAACCCGAAGATCTGACTCAAGCTGCCACAGTTGAAGTCAAAGAAGTGGAGAAGCTCGAGAAACCCGAAGAGCAGACTCAAGCTGCCACAGTGGAGGTCAAGGGGGAGAGAAACCTGGTGAAACCGAGACAAACGCTGACCGTTGAACTTTTCTTCAGCAGACAACAAAGCACAGCCGGACTCGAGATCGACCTGGTCGTCGACACTTTCGAGAGCGAAGAGGAAATCATTGAAAGAGTGCGCGCAAGGATGTTTCGATAACAGAGAAGAACGAGCGAGTAGTCGAACTGGTCGAAGATGAGACTCAAGCTGCCACAAATGAGGTCAAGCAAGACGAAAAGCTTGAGGAACCCGAAGATCTGACTCAAGCTGCCACAGTTGAAGTCAAAGAAATGGAGAAGCTCGAGAAACCCGAAGAGCAGACTCAAGCCGCCACAGTTGAGGTTGAGCAAGAGGAAAAGCTCGAGAAACCCGAAGATCTGACTCAAGCTGCCACAGTTGAAGTCAAAGAAGATGGAGAAGCTCGAGAAACCCGAAGATCTGACTCAAGCTGCCACAGTTGAAGTCAAAGAAGTGGAGAAGCTCGAAAAACCCGAAGAGCAGACTCAAGCTGCCACAGTTGAGGTCAAGCAAGACGAAAAGCTCGAGAAACCCGAAGATCTGACTCAAGCTGCCACAGTTGAAGTCAAAGAAGTGGAGAAGCTCGAAAAACCCGAAGAGCAGACTCAAGCTGCCACAGTTGAGGTCAAGCAAGACGAAAAGCTCGAGAAACCCGAAGATCTGACTCAAGCTGCCACAGTTGAAGTCAAAGAAGTGGAGAAGCTCGAGAAACCCGCAGAGCAGACTCAAGCCGCCACAGTTGAGGTTGAGCAAGAGGAAAAGCTCGAGAAACCCGAAGATCTGACTCAAGCTGCCACAGTTGAAGTCAAGCAAGAGGAAAAGCTCGAGAAACCCGCAGAGCAGACTCAAGCCGCCACAGTTGAGGTTGAGCAAGAGGAAAAGCTCGAGAAACCCGAAGATCTGACTCAAGCTGCCACAGTGGAAGTCAGGGGGGTAGAGAAACCTGGTGAAGCCGAACAAACGCTGACCGTTGAACTTTTCTTCAGCAGACAACAAAGCACAGCCGGACTCGAGATCGACCTGGTCGTCGACACTTTCGAGAGCGAAGAGAAATCATTGAAGAGTGCGCGCAAGGATGTTTCGATAACAGAGAAGAACGAGCGAGTTGTCGAACTGGTCGAAGATGAGACTCAAGCCGCCACAGTTGAGGTTAAGCAGGAGGAAAAGCTCGAGAAACCCGAAGATCTGACTCAAGCTGCCACAGTTGAAGTCAAAGAAAGTGGAGAAGCTCGAAAAACCCGAAGAGCAGACTCAAGCTGCCACAGTTGAGGTCAAGCAAGACGAAAAGCTCGAGAAACCCGAAGATCTGACTCAAGCTGCCACAGTTGAAGTCAAGCAAGAGGAAAAGCTCGAGAAACCCGAAGATCTGACTCAAGCTGCCACAGTTGAAGTCAAAGCAAGTGGAGAAAGCTCGAGAAAACCCGAAGATCTGACTCAAGCTGCCACAGTGGAAGTCAGGGGGTAGAGAAACCTGGTGAAGCCGAACAAACGCTGACCGTTGAACTTTTTCTTCAGCAGACAACAAAGCACAGCCGGACTCGAGATCGACCTGGTCGTCGACACTTTCGAGAGCGAAGAGAAATCATTGAAGAGTGCGCGCAAGGATGTTTCGATAACAGAGAAGAACGAGCGAGTTGTCGAACTGGTCGAAGATGAGACTCAAGCCGCCACAGTTGAGGTTAAGCAGGAGGAAAAAGCTCGAGAAAACCCGAAGATCTGACTCAAGCTGCCACAGTTGAAGTCAAAGAAATGGAGAAGCTCGAGAAACCCGGAGAGCAGACTCAAGCCGCCACCGTTGAGGTTGAGCAAGAGGAAAAGCTCGAGAAACCCGAAGATCTGACTCAGGCTGCCACAGTTGAAGTCAAAGAAATGGAGAAAGTTCGAGAAACCCGAAGATCTGACTCAAGCTGCCACAGTTGAAGTCAAAGAAGTGGAGAAGCTCGAAAAACCCGAAGAGCAGACTCAAGCTGCCACAGTTGAGGTCAAGCAAGACGAAAAAGCTTGAGAAACCCGAAGATCTGACTCAAGCTGCCACAGTTGAAGTCAAAGAAGTGGAGAAGCTCGAAAAACCCGAAGAGCAGACTCAAGCTGCCACAGTTGAGGTCAAGCAAGACGAAAAGCTCGAGAAACCCGAAGATCTGACTCAAGCTGCCACAGTTGAAGTCAAAGAAGTGGAGAAGCTCGAGAAACCCGCAGAGCAGACTCAAGCCGCCACAGTTGAGGTTGAGCAAGAGGAAAAAGCTCGAGAAACCCGAAGATCTGACTCAAGCTGCCACAGTTGAAGTCAAGCAAGAGGAAAAAGCTCGAGAAACCCGCAGAGCAGACTCAAGCCGCCACAGTTGAGGTTGAGCAAGAGGAAAAAGCTCGAGAAACCCGAAGATCTGACTCAAGCTGCCACAGTGGAAGTCAGGGGGGTAGAGAAACCTGGTGAAGCCGAACAAACGCTGACCGTTGAACTTTTCTTCAGCAGACAACAAAGCACAGCCGGACTCGAGATCGACCTGGTCGTCGACACTTTCGAGAGCGAAGAGAAATCATTGAAGAGTGCGCGCAAGGATGTTTCGATAACAGAGAAGAACGAGCGAGTTGTCGAACTGGTCGAAGATGAGACTCAAGCCGCCACAGTTGAGGTTAAGCAGGAGGAAAAGCTCGAGAAACCCGAAGATCTGACTCAAGCTGCCACAGTTGAAGTCAAAGAAATGGAGAAGTCTCGAGAAAACCCGAAGAGCAGACTCAAGCCGCCACAGTTGAGGTTGAGCAAGAGGAAAAAGCTCGAGAAACCCGAAGATCTGATTCAGGCTGCCACAGTTGAAGTCAAAGAAATGGAGAAGTTCGAGAAACCCGAAGATCTGACTCAAGCTGCCACAGTTGAAGTCAAAGAAGTGGAGAAGCTCGAAAAAACCCGAAGAGCAGACTCAAGCTGCCACAGTTGAGGTCAAGCAAGACGAAAAAAGCTTGAGAAACCCTGAAGATCTGACTCAAGCTGCCACAGTTGAAGTCAAAGAAGTGGAGAAGCTCGAAAAACCCGAAGAGCAGACTCAAGCTGCCACAGTTGAGGTCAAGCAAGACGAAAAAGCCTGAGAAACCCGAAGATCTGACTCAGCTGCCACAGTTGAAGTCAAAGAAGTGGAGAAGCTCGAGAAACCCGCAGAGCAGACTCAAGCCGCCACAGTTGAGGTTGAGCAAGAGGAAAAGCTCGAGAAACCCGAAGATCTGACTCAAGCTGCCACAGTTGAAGTCAAGCAAGAGGAAAAGCTCGAGAAACCCGCAGAGCAGACTCAAGCCGCCACAGTTGAGGTTGAGCAAGAGGAAAAGCTCGAGAAAACCCGAAGATCTGACTCAAGCTGCCACAGTGGAAGTCAGGGGGTAGAGAAACCTGGTGAAGCCGAACAAACGCTGACCGTTGAACTTTTCTTCAGCAGACAACAAAGCACAGCCGGACTCGAGATCGACCTGGTCGTCGACACTTTCGAGAGCGAAGAGAAATCATTGAAGAGTGCGCGCAAGGATGTTTCGATAACAGAGAAGAACGAGCGAGTTGTCGAACTGGTCGAAGATGAGACTCAAGCCGCCACAGTTGAGGTTAAGCAGGAGGAAAAGCTCGAGAAACCCGAAGATCTGACTCAAGCTGCCACAGTTAAGGTCAAGCAAGAGGAAAAGCTCGAGAAACCCGAAGAGCAGACTCAAGCTGCCACAGTTAAGGTCAAGCAAGACGAAAAGCTTGAGAAACCCGAAGATCTGACTCAAGCTGCCACAGTTGAGGTCAAGCAAGAGGAAAAGCTCGAGAAACCCGAAGATCTGACTCAGGCTGCCACAGTTGAAGTCAAAGAAGTGGAGAAGCTCGAGAAACCCGAAGATCTGACTCAAGCTGCCACAGTGGAAGTCAGGGGGGTAGAGAAACCTGGTGAAGCCGAACAAACGCTGACCGTTGAACTTTTCTTCAGCAGACAACAAAGCACAGCCGGACTCGAGATCGACCTGGTCGTCGACACTTTCGAGAGCGAAGAGAAATCATTGAAGAGTGCGCGCAAGGATGTTTCGATAACAGAGAAGAACGAGCGAGTTGTCGAACTGGTCGAAGATGAGACTCAAGCCGCCACAGTTGAGGTTAAGCAGGAGGAAAAGCTCGAGAAACCCGAAGATCTGACTCAAGCTGCCACAGTTGAAGTCAAAGAAATGGAGAAGTTCGAGAAACCCGAAGAGCAGACTCAAGCCGCCACAGTTGAGGTTGAGCAAGAGGAAAAGCTCGAGAAACCCGAAGATCTGATTCAGGCTGCCACAGTTGAAGTCAAAGAAATGGAGAAGTTCGAGAAACCCGAAGATCTGACTCAAGCTGCCACAGTTGAAGTCAAAGAAGTGGAGAAGCTCGAAAAACCCGAAGAGCAGACTCAAGCTGCCACAGTTGAGGTCAAGCAAGACGAAAAGCTTGAGAAACCCGAAGATCTGACTCAAGCTGCCACAGTTGAAGTCAAAGAAGTGGAGAAGCTCGAAAAACCCGAAGAGCAGACTCAAGCTGCCACAGTTGAGGTCAAGCAAGACGAAAAGCTCGAGAAACCCGAAGATCTGACTCAAGCTGCCACAGTTGAAGTCAAAGAAGTGGAGAAGCTCGAGAAACCCGCAGAGCAGACTCAAGCCGCCACAGTTGAGGTTGAGCAAGAGGAAAAGCTCGAGAAACCCGAAGATCTGACTCAAGCTGCCACAGTTGAAGTCAAGCAAGAGGAAAAGCTCGAGAAACCCGCAGAGCAGACTCAAGCCGCCACAGTTGAGGTTGAGCAAGAGGAAAAACTCGAGAAACCCGAAGATCTGACTCAAGCTGCCACAGTGGAAGTCAGGGGGGTAGAGAAACCTGGTGAAGCCGAACAAACGCTGACCGTTGAACTTTTCTTCAGCAGACAACAAAGCACAGCCGGACTCGAGATCGACCTGGTCGTCGACACTTTCGAGAGCGAAGAGAAATCATTGAAGAGTGCGCGCAAGGATGTTTCGATAACAGAGAAGAACGAGCGAGTTGTCGAACTGGTCGAAGATGAGACTCAAGCCGCCACAGTTGAGGTTAAGCAGGAGGAAAAGCTCGAGAAACCCGAAGATCTGACTCAAGCTGCCACAGTTAAGGTCAAGCAAGAGGAAAAGCTCGAGAAACCCGAAGAGCAGACTCAAGCTGCCACAGTTAAGGTCAAGCAAGACGAAAAGCTTGAGAAACCCGAAGATCTGACTCAAGCTGCCACAGTTGAGGTCAAGCAAGAGGAAAAGCTCGAGAAACCCGAAGATCTGACTCAAGCTGCCACAGTTGAAGTCAAAGAAGTGGAGAAGCTCGAGAAACCCGAAGATCTGACTCAAGCTGCCACAGTGGAGGTCAGGAGGGTAGAGAAACCTGGTGAAGCCGAACAAACGCTGACCGTTGAACTTTTCTTCAGCAGACAACAAAGCACAGCCGGACTCGACATCGACCTGGTCGTCGACACTTTCGAGAGCGAAGAGAAATCATTGAAGAGTGCGCGCAAGGATGTTTCGATAACAGAGAAGAACGAGCGAGTAGTCGAACTGGTCGAAGATAAGACTCAAGCTGCCACAGTTGAGGTCAAGCAAGAGGAAAAGCTTGAGAAACCCGAAAATCTGATTCAAGCTGCCACAGTTGAGGTCAAGCAAGAGGAAAAGCTCGAGAAACCCGAAGATCTGACTCAAGCTGCCACAGTTGAAGTCAAAGAAGTGGAGAAGCTCGAAAAACCCGAAGATCTGACTCAAGCTGCCACAGTTGAAGTCAAAGAAGTGGAGAAGCTCGAGAAACCCGAAGATCTGACTCAAGCTGCCACAGTTGAGGTCAAGCAAGACGAAAAGCTTGAGAAACCCGAAAATCTGATTCAAGCTGCCACAGTTGAGGTCAAGCAAGAGGAAAAGCTTGAGAAACCCGAAAATCTGACTCAAGCTGCCACAGTTGAGGTCAAGCAAGAGGAAAAGCTTGAGAAACCCGAAGATCTGACTCAAGCTGCCACAGTGGAGGTCAGGGGGGTAGAGAAACCTTGTGAAGCCGAACATACGCTGACCGTTGAACTTTTCTTCAGCAGACAACAAAGCACAGCCGGACTCGAGATCGACCTGGTCGTCGACACTTTCGAGAGCGAAGAGAAATCATTGGAGAGTGCGCGCAAGGATGTTTCGATAACAGAGAAGAACGAGCGAGTAGTCGAACTGGTCGAAGATGAGACTCAAGCTGCCACAGTTGAGGTCAAGCAAGAGGAAAAGCTCGAGAAACCCGAAGATCTGACTCAAGCTGCCACAGTTGAAGTCAAAGAAGTGGAGAAGCTCGAGAAACCCGAAGAGCAGACTCAAGCTGCCACAGTTAAGGTCAAGCAAGAGGAAAAGCTCGAGAAACCCGAAGATCTGACTCAAGCTGCCACAGTTGAAGTCAAAGAAGTGGAGAAGCTCGAGAAACCCGAAGAGCAGACTCAAGCTGCCACAGTTGAGGTTGAGCAAGAGGAAAAACTCGAGAAACCCGAAGATCTGACTCAAGCTGCCACAGTTGAAGTCAAAGAAGTGGAGAAGCTCGAGAAACCCGAAGAGCAGACTCAAGCTGCCACAGTGGAGGTCAGGGGGGTAGAGAAACCTGGTGAAACCGAACAAACGCTGACCGTTGAACTTTTCTTCAGCAGACAACAAAGCACAGCCGGACTCGAGATCGACCTGGTCGTCGACACTTTCGAGAGCGAAGAGAAATCATTGAAGAGTGCGCGCAAGGATGTTTCGATAACAGAGAAGAACGAGCGAGTAGTCGAACTGGTCGAAGATGAGACTCAAGCTGCCACAGTTGAGGTCAAGCAAGAGGAAAACCTCGAGAAACCCGAAGATCTGACTCAAGCTGCCACAGTTAAGGTCAAGCAAGAGGAAAAGCTCGAGAAACCCGAAGATCTGACTCAAGCTGCCACAGTTGAAGTCAAAGAAGTGGAGAAGCTCGAGAAACCCGAAGAGCAGACTCAAGCTGCCACAGTGGAGGTCAGGGGGTAGAGGAAACCTGGTGAAGCCGAACAAACGCTGACCGTTGAACTTTTCTTCAGCAGACAACAAAGCACAGCCGGACTCGAGATCGACCTGGTCGTCGACACTTTCGAGAGCGAAGAGAAATCATTGAAGAGTGCGCGCAAGGATGTTTCAATAACAGAGAAGAACGAGCGAGTAGTCGAACTGGTCGAAGATGAGACTCAAGCTGCCACAGTTGAGGTCAAGCAAGACGAAAAGCTCGAAAAACCCGAAGATCTGACTCAAGCTGCCACAGTGGAGGTCAAGGGGGAAGAAAAACCTAGTGAAGCCGAACAAACGCTGACCGTTGAACTTTTCTTCAGCAGACAACAAAGCACAGCCGGACTCGAGATCGACCTGGTCGTCGACACTTTCGAGAGCGAAGAGAAATCATTGAAGAGTGCGCGCAAGGATGTTTCGATAACAGAGAAGAACGAGCGAGTAGTCGAACTGGTCGAAGATGAGACTCAAGCTGCCACAGTTGAGGTCAAGCAAGACGAAAAGCTCGAGAAACCCGAAGATCTGACTCAAGCTGCCACAGTGGAGGTCAAGGGGGAAGAAAAAAACCTAGTGAAGCCGAACAAACGCTGACCGTTGAACTTTTCTTCAGCAGACAACAAAGCACAGCCGGACTCGAGATCGACCTGGTCGTCGACACTTTCGAGAGCGAAGAGAAATCATTGAAGAGTGCGCGCAAGGATGTTTCGATAACAGAGAAGAACGAGCGAGTAGTCGAACTGGTCGAAGATGAGACTCAAGCTGCCACAGTTGAGGTCAAGCAAGACGAAAAGCTTGTGAAACCCAAAGATCTGACTCAAGCTGCCACAGTTGAGGTCAAGCAAGACGAAAAGCTTGAGAAACCCGAAGATCTGACTCAAGCTGCCACAGTTGAGGTCAAGCAAGACGAAAACCTCGAGAAACCCGAAGATCTGACTCAAGCTGCCACAGTTAAGGTCAAGCAAGAGGAAAAGCTCGAGAAACCCGAAGATCTGACTCAAGCTGCCACAGTTAAGGTCAAGCAAGAGGAAAAGCTCGAGAAACCCGAAGATCTGACTCAAGCTGCCACAGTTGAAGTCAAAGAAATGGAGAAGCTCGAGAAACCCGAAGAGCAGACTCAAGCTGCCACAGTTGAAATCAAAGAAGTGGAGAAGCTCGAGAAACCCGAAGAGCAGACTCAAGCTGCCACAGTTGAAGTCAAAGAAGTGGAGAAGCTCGAGAAACCCGAAGATCTGACTCAAGCTGCTACAGTTGAGGTCAAGCAAGACGAAAAGCTTGTGAAACCCAAAGATCTGACTCAAGCTGCCACAATTGAGGTCAAGCAAGACGAAAAGCTTGAGAAACCCGAAGATCTGACTCAAGCTGCCACAGTTGAGGTCAAGCAAAAGGAAAAGCTCGAGAAACCCGAAGATCTGACTCAAGCTGCCACAGTTGAAGTCAAAGAAATGGAGAAGCTCGAGAAACCCGAAGAGCAGACCCAAGCTGCCACAGTTGAGGTCAAGCAAGACGAAAAGCTTGAGAAACCCGAAGATCTGACTCAAGCTGCTACAGTTGAGGTCAAGCAAGAGGAAAAGCTCGAGAAACCCGAAGATCTGACTCAAGCTGCCACAGTTGAGGTCAAGCAAGACGAAAAGCTCGAGAAACCCGAAGATCTGACTCAAGCTGCCACAGTGGAGGTCAGGGGGGTAGAGAAACCTGGTGAAGCCGAACAAACGCTGACCGTTGAACTTTTCTTCAGCAGACAACAAAGCACAGCCGGACTCGAGATCGACCTGGTCGTCGACACTTTCGAGAGCGAAGAGAAATCATTGAAGAGTGCGCGCAATGATGTTTCGATAACAGAGAAGAACGAGCGAGTAGTCGAACTGGTCGAAGATGAGACTCAAGCTGCCACAGTTGAGGTCAAGCAAGAGGAAAAGCTCGAGAAACCCGAAGATCTGACTCAAGCTGTCACAGTTGAGGTTGAGCAAGAGGAAAAGCTCGAGAAACCCGAAGATCTGACTCAAGCTGCCACAGTTGAAGTCAAAGAAGTGGAGAAGCTCGAGAAACCCGAAGAGCAGACTCAAGCTGCCACAGTGGAGGTCAGGGGGGTAGAGGAACCTGGTGAAGCCGAACAAACGCTGACCGTTGAACTTTTCTTCAGCAGACAACAAAGCACAGCCGGACTCGAGATCGACCTGGTCGTCGACACTTTCGAGAGCGAAGAGAAATCATTGAAGAGTGCGCGCAAGGATGTTTCAATAACAGAGAAGAACGAGCGAGTAGTCGAACTGGTCGAAGATGAGACTCAAGCTGCCACAGTTGAGGTCAAGCAAGACGAAAAGCTCGAAAAACCCGAAGATCTGACTCAAGCTGCCACAGTGGAGGTCAAGGGGGAAGAAAAAAACCTAGTGAAGCCGAACAAACGCTGACCGTTGAACTTTTTCTTCAGCAGACAACAAAGCACAGCCGGACTCGAGATCGACCTGGTCGTCGACACTTTCGAGAGCGAAGAGAAATCATTGAAGAGTGCGCGCAAGGATGTTTCGATAACAGAGAAGAACGAGCGAGTAGTCGAACTGGTCGAAGATGAGACTCAAGCTGCCACAGTTGAGGTCAAGCAAGACGAAAAGCTCGAGAAACCCGAAGATCTGACTCAAGCTGCCACAGTGGAGGTCAAGCAAGACGAAAACCTCGAGAAACCCGAAGATCTGACTCAAGCTGCCACAGTTAAGGTCAAGCAAGAGGAAAAGCTCGAGAAACCCGAAGATCTGACTCAAGCTGCCACAGTTAAGGTCAAGCAAGAGGAAAAGCTCGAGAAACCCGAAGATCTGACTCAAGCTGCCACAGTTGAAGTCAAAGAAATGGAGAAGCTCGAGAAACCCGAAGAGCAGACTCAAGCTGCCACAGTTGAAATCAAAGAAGTGGAGAAGCTCGAGAAACCCGAAGAGCAGACTCAAGCTGCCACAGTTGAAGTCAAAGAAGTGGAGAAGCTCGAGAAACCCGAAGAGCAGACTCAAGCTGCCACAGTTGAGGTCAAGCAAGAGGAAAAGCTCGAGAAACCCGAAGATCTGACTCAAGCTGCTACAGTTGAGGTCAAGCAAGACGAAAAGCTTGAGAAACCCGAAGATCTGACTCAAGCTGCCACAGTTGAGGTCAAGCAAAAGGCAAAGCTCGAGAAACCCGAAGACAAGAAGGCTGAACAGAAGGAGGTGAAACCTGAAGTAGCTCCGAAGGACGTCAAGCCGAAAGAAGCCGAGCCCGAGAAACCCAAAGACAGGAAGGCGGAACAGAAGGAAGACAAACCTGAAGTAGCTCCGAAGGACGTCAAGCCGAAAGAAGTCGAGCCCGAGAAACCCAAAGACAAGAAGGCTGAACAGAAGGAGGTGAAACCTGAAGTAGCTCCGAAGGACGTCAAGCCGAAAGAAGCCGAGCCCGAGAAACCCAAAGACAAGAAGGCGGAACAGAAGGAAGACAAACCTGAAGTAGCTCCGAAGGACGTCAAGCCGAAAGAAGCCGAGCCCGAGAAACCGAAAGATAAGAAGGCTGAGCAGAAGGAAGGCAAACCTGAAGTAGCTCCGAAGGACGTCAAGCCGAAAGAAACTGAGCCCGAGAAACCCAAAGACAAGAAGGCTGAACAGAAGGAGGTGAAACCTGAAGTAGCTCCGAAAGACGTCAAGCCGAAAGAAGCCGAGCCCGAGAAACCGAAAGATAAGAAGGCTGAGCAGAAGGAGGTGAAACCTGAAGTAGCTCCAAAGGACGTCAAGCCGAAAGAAGCCGAGCCCGAGAAACCGAAAGATAAGAAGGCTGAGCAGAAAGAAGAAAAACCTGAAGTAGCTCCGAAGGACGTCAAGCCGAAAGAAGCCGAACCCGGGAAACCCAAAGACAAGAATGCTGAGCAGAAGGAAGGCAAACCTGAAGTAGCTCCGAAGTACGTCAAGCCGAAAGAAGCCGAGCCCGAGAAACCCAAAGACAAGAAGGCGGAAGAGAAAGAGGTGAAACCAGAAGTAGCTCCGAAGGACGTCAAGCCGAAAGAAACTGAGCCCGAGAAACCCAAAGACAAGAAGGCGGAACAGAAGGAAGGCAAACCTGGAGTAGCTCCGAAAGACGTCAAGCCGAAAGAAACTGAGCCCGAGAAACCCAAAGACAAGAAGGCTGAACAGAAGGAGGTGAAACCTGAAGTAGCTCCAAAGGACGTCAAGCCGAAAGAAGCCGAGCCCGAGAAACCCAAAGACAAGAAGGCGAAAGAGAAAGAGGTGAAACCTGAAGTAGCTCCGAAGGACGTCAAGCCGAATGAAACTGAGCCCGAGAAACCCAAAGACAAGAAGGCTGAACAGAAGGAGGTGAAACCTGAAGTAGCTCCGAAGGACGTCAAGCCGAAAGAAGCCGAGCCCGAGAAACCGAAAGATAAGAAGGCTGAACAGAAGGAGGTAAAACCTGAAGCAGCTCCGAAGCACGTCAAGCCGAAAGAAGTCGAGCCCGAGAAACCCAAAGACAAGAAGGCTGAGCAGAAGGAGGTGAAACCTGAAGTAGCTCCGAAGGACGTCAAGCCGAAAGAAGCCGAGCCCGAGAAACCGAAAGATAAGAAGGCTGAGCAGAAGGAAGGCAAACCTGAAGTAGCTCCGAAGGACGTCAAGCCAAAAGAAGCCGAGCCCGAGAAACCCAAAGACAAGAAGGCTGAGCAGAAGGAAGGCAAACCTGAAGTAGCTCCGAAGGACGTCAAGCCGAAAGAAGCCGAGCCCGAGAAACCGAAAGATAAGAAGGCTGAACAGAAGGAGGTGAAACCTGAAGTAGCTCCAAAGGACGTCAAGCCGAAAGAAGCCGAGCCCGAGAAACCGAAAGATAAGAAGGCTGAGCAGAAAGAAGACAAACCTGAAGTAGCTCCGAAGGACGTCAAGCCGAAAGAAGCCGAGCCCGAGAAACCCAAAGACAAGAATGCTGAGCAGAAGGAAGGCAAACCTGAAGTAGCTCCGAAGGACGTCAAGCCGAAAGAAGTCGAGCCCGAGAAACCGAAAGATAAGAAGGCTGAGCAGAAGGAAGGCAAACCTGAAGTAGCTCCGAAGGACGTCAAGCCGAAAGAAGCCGAGCCCGAGAAACCGAAAGATAAGAAGGCTGAGCAGAAGGAAGGCAAACCTGAACTAGCTCCGAAGGACGTCAAGCCGAAAGAAGCCGAGCCCGAGAAACCGAAAGAGAAGAAGGCTGAACAGAAGGAGGTGAAACCTGAAGTAGCTCCGAAGGACGTCAAGCCGAAAGAAACTGAGCCCGAGAAACCCAAAGACAAGAAGGCTGAACAGAAGGAGGTGAAACCTGAAGTAGCTCCGAAAGACGTCAAGCCGAAAGAAGCCGAGCCCGAGAAACCGAAAGATAAGAAGGCTGAGCAGAAGGAGGTGAAACCTGAAGTAGCTCCAAAGGACGTCAAGCCGAAAGAAGCCGAGCCCGAGAAACCGAAAGATAAGAAGGCTGAGCAGAAAGGAGGTAAAAACCTGAAGTAGTCTCGAAGGACGTCAAGCCGAAAGAAAGCTGAGCCCGAGAAACCCAAAGACAAGAAGGCTGAACAGAAGGAGGTGAAACCTGAAGTAGCTCCGAAAGGACGTCAAGCCGAAAGAAGCCGAGCCCGAGAAACCCGAAAAGACAAGAAGGCTGAACAGAAGGAGGTGCAAACCTGAAGTAGCTCCGAAGGACGTCAAGCCGAAAGAAGCCGAGCCCGAGAAACCCGAAAAGACAAGAAGGCTGAAGCAGAAAGGAGGTGAAAACCTGAAGTAGCTCCGAAGGACGTCAAGCCGAAAGAAAGCCGAGCCCGAGAAACCCAAAAGACAAGAAGGCTGAACAGAAGGAAGGCAAACCTGAAGTAGCTCTGAAAGGACGTCAAGCCGAAAGAAAGCCGAGCCCGAGAAACCCGAAAGACAAGAAGGCTGAACAGAAGGAGGTGAAAACCTGAAGTAGCTCCGAAAGGACGTCAAGCCGAAAGAAGCCGAGCCCGAGAAACCCGAAAGACAAGAAGGCTGAACAGAAGGAGGTGAAACCTGAAGTAGCTCCGAAGGACGTCAAGCCGAAAGAAGCCGAGCCCGAGAAACCGAAAGATAAGAAGGCTGAACAGAAGGAGGTGAAACCTGAAGTAGCTCCGAAGGACGTCAAGCCGAAAGAAGCCGAGCCCGAGAAACCGAAAGATAAGAAGGCTGAACAGAAGGAGGTGAAACCTGAAGTAGCTCCAAAGGACGTCAAGCCGAAAGAAGCCGAGCCCGAGAAACCGAAAGATAAGAAGGCTGAGCAGAAAGAGGTGAAACTGGATGTAGCTCCGAAGGACGTCAAGCCGAAAGAAGCCGAGCCCGAGAAACCGAAAGATAAGAAGGCTGAACAGAAGGAGGTAAAACCTGAAGCAGCTCCGAAGGACGTCAAGCCGAAAGAAGTCGAGCCCGAGAAACCGAAAGATAAGAAGGCTGAGCAGAAGGAAGGCAAACCTGAAGTAGCTCCGAAGGACGTCAAGCCAAAAGAAGCCGAGCCCGAGAAACCCAAAGACAAGAAGGCTGAGCAGAAGGAAGGCAAACCTGAAGTAGCTCCGAAGGACGTCAAGCCGAAAGAAGCCGAGCCCGAGAAACCGAAAGAGAAGAAGGCTGAACAGAAGGAGGTGAAACCTGAAGTAGCTCCGAAGGACGTCAAGCCGAAAGAAGCCGAGCCCGAGAAACCGAAAGATAAGAAGGCTGAACAGAAGGAGGTGAAACCTGAAGTAGCTCCAAAGGACGTCAAGCCGAAAGAAGCCGAGCCCGAGAAACCGAAAGATAAGAAGGCTGAACAGAAGGAGGTGAAACCTGAAGTAGCTCCGAAGGACGTCAAGCCGAAAGAAGCCGAGCCCGAGAAACCGAAAGATAAGAAGGCTGAACAGAAGGAGGTGAAAACCTGAAGTAGCTCCGAAGGACGTCAAGCCGAAAGAAGCCGAGCCCGAGAAACCCGAAAGACAAGAAGGCTGAACAGAAGGAGGTGAAAACCTGAAGTAGCTCCGAAGGACGTCAAGCCGAAAGAAGCCGAGCCCGAGAAACCCGAAAGATAAGAAGGCTGAACAGAAGGAGGTGCAAACCTGAAGTAGCTCCGAAGGACGTCAAGCCGAAAGAAGCCGAGCCCGAGAAACCCGAAAAGACAAGAAGGCTGAACAGAAGGAGGTGAAACCTGAAGTAGCTCCGAAGGACGTCAAGCCGAAAGAAGCCGAGCCCGAGAAACCGAAAGATAAGAAGGCTGAACAGAAGGAGGTGAAACCTGAAGTAGCTCCGAAGGACGTCAAGCCGAAAGAAGCCGAGCCCGAGAAACCGAAAGATAAGAAGGCTGAACAGAAGGAGGTGAAACCTGAAGTAGCTCCAAAGGACGTCAAGCCGAAAGAAGCCGAGCCCGAGAAACCGAAAGATAAGAAGGCTGAACAGAAGGAGGTCAAAACCTGAAGTAGCTCCGAAAGGACGTCAAGCCGAAAGAAGCCGAGCCCGAGAAACCCGAAAAGACAAGAAGGCTGAGCAGAAGGAGGCGAAACCTGAAGTAGCTCCGAAGGACGTCAAGCCGAAAAGAAAGCCGAGCCCGAGAAACCCGAAAGACAAGAAGGCTGAACAGAAGGAGGTGAAAACCTGAAGTAGCTCCGAAAGGACGTCAAGCCGAAAGAAGCCGAGCCCGAGAAACCCGAAAGACAAGAAGGCTGAACAGAAGGAGGTGAAACCTGAAGTAGCTCCGAAAGGACGTCAAGCCGAAAGAAGCTGAGCCCGAGAAACCCGAAAGACAAGAAGGCTGAACAGAAGGAGGTGAAAACCTGAAGTAGCTCCGAAGGACGTCAAGCCGAAAGAAAGCCGAGCCCGAGAAACCCAAAGACAAGAAGGCTGAACAGAAGGAGGTGAAACCTGAAGTAGCTCCGAAGGACGTCAAGCCGAAAGAAGCCGAGCCCGAGAAACCGAAAGACAAGAAGGCTGAACAGAAGGAGGTGAAACCTGAAGTAGCTCCGAAGGACGTCAAGCCGAAAAGAAAGCCGAGCCCGAGAAACCCAAAGACAAGAAGGCTGAACAGAAGGAGGTGAAAACCTGAAGTAGCTCCGAAGGACGTCAAGCCGAAAGAAGCCGAGCCCGAGAAACCCGAAAAGACAAGAAGGCTGAACAGAAGGAGGTGAAAACCTGAAGTAGCTCCGAAGGACGTCAAGCCGAAAGAAAGCCGAGCCCGAGAAACCGAAAGACAAGAAGGCTGAACAGAAGGAGGTGAAACCTGAAGTAGCTCCAAAGGACGTCAAGCCGAAAGAAGCCGAGCCTGAGAAACCGAAAGACAAGAAGGCTGAACAGAAGGAGGTGAAAACCTGAAGTAGCTCCGAAAGGACGTCAAGCCGAAAGAAAGCCGAGCCCGAGAAACCCGAAAGACAAGAAGGCTGAACAGAAGGAGGTGAAAACCTGAAGTAGCTCCGAAGGACGTCAAGCCGAAAGAAAGCCGAGCCCGAGAAACCCGAAAGACAAGAAGGCTGGAACAGAAGGAGGTGAAACCTGAAGTAGCTCCGAAGGACGTCAAGCCGAAAAGAAGCCGAGCCCGAGAAACCGAAAAGACAAGAAGGCTGAACAGAAGGAGGTGAAACCTGAAGTAGCTCCGAAAGGACGTCAAGCCGAAAGAAAGCCGAGCCCGAGAAACCCGAAAGACACGAAGGCTGAACAGAAGGAGGTGAAACCTGAAGTAGCTCCGAAGGACGTCAAGCCGAAAGAAACCGAGCCCGAGAAACCCAAAGACAAGAAGGTTGAACAGAAGGAGGTTAAACCTGAAGTAGCTCCGAAGGACGTCAAGCCGAAAGAAAGCCGAGCCCGAGAAACCCAAAGACAAGAAGGCTGAACAGAAGGAGGTGAAACCTGAAGTAGCTCCGAAGGACGTCAAGCCGAAAGAAAGCTGAGCCCGAGAAACCCAAAGACAAGAAGGCTGAACAGAAGGAGGTGAAACCTGAAGTAGCTCCGAAGGACGTCAAGCCGAAAGAAAGCCGAGCCCGAGAAACCCGAAAAGACAAGAAGGCTGAACAGAAGGAGGTGAAACCTGAAGTAGCTCCAAAGGACGTCAAGCCGAAAGAAACCGAGCCCGAGAAACCCAAAGACAAGAAGGCGGAAGAGAAAGAGGTGAAACCTGAAGTAGCTCCAAAGGACGTCAAGCCGAAAGAAACCGAGCCCGAGAAACCCAAAGACAAGAAGGTTGAACAGAAGGAGGTTAAACCTGAAGTAGCTCCAAAGGACGTCAAGCCGAAAGAAACTGAGCCCGAGAAACCCAAAGACACGAAGGCTGAACAGAAGGAGGTGAAACCTGAAGTAGCTCCGAAGGACGTCAAGCCGAAAGAAACCGAGCCCGAGAAACCCAAAGACAAGAAGGCTGAACAGAAGGAGGTGAAACCTGAAGTAGCTCCGAAGGACGTCAAGCCGAAAGAAGCCGAGCCCGAGAAACCGAAAGACAAGAAGGCTGAACAGAAGGAGGTGAAACCTGAAGTAGCTCCAAAGGACGTCAAGCCGAAAGAAACTGAGCCCGAGAAACCCAAAGACACGAAGGCTGAACAGAAGGAGGTGAAACCTGAAGTAGCTCCGAAGGACGTCAAGCCGAAAGAAACCGAGCCCGAGAAACCCAAAGACAAGAAGGTTGAACAGAAGGAGGTTAAACCTGAAGTAGCTCCAAAGGACGTCAAGCCGAAAGAAACCGAGCCCGAGAAACCCAAAGACAAGAAGGCGGAAGAGAAAGAGGTGAAACCTGAAGTAGCTCCAAAGGACGTCAAGCCGAAAGAAACCGAGCCCGAGAAACCCAAAGACAAGAAGGTTGAACAGAAGGAGGTTAAACCTGAAGTAGCTCCAAGGACGTCAAGCCGAAAGAAAGCTCGAGCCCGAGAAACCCAAAGACAAGAAGGCTGAACAGAAGGAGGTGAAACCTGAAGTAGCTCCGAAGGACGTCAAGCCGAAAGAAACCGAGCCCGAGAAACCCAAAGACAAGAAGGTTGAACAGAAGGAGGTTAAACCTGAAGTAGCTCCGAAGGACGTCAAGCCGAAACAAGCCGAGCCCGAGAAACCGAAAGACAAGAAGGCTGAACAGAAGGAGGTGAAACCTGAAGTAGCTCCAAAGGACGTCAAGCCGAAAGAAACTGAGCCCGAGAAACCCAAAGACACGAAGGCTGAACAGAAGGAGGTGAAACCTGAAGTAGCTCCGAAGGACGTCAAGCCGAAAGAAACCGAGCCCGAGAAACCCAAAGACAAGAAGGTTGAACAGAAGGAGGTTAAACCTGAAGTAGCTCCAAAGGACGTCAAGCCGAAAAAAGCCGAGCCCGAGAAACACAAAGACAAGAAGGCGGAAGAGAAAGAGGTGAAACCTGAAGTAGCTGCGAAGGACGTCAAGCCGAAAGAAACCGAGCCCGAGAAACCCAAAGACAAGAAGGTTGAACAGAAGGAGGTGAAACCTGAAGTAGCTCCGAAGGACGTCAAGCCGAAAGAAAGCCGAGCCCGAGAAACCCGAAAAGACAAGAAGGCTGAACAGAAGGAGGTGAAACCTGAAGTAGCTCCGAAAGGACGTCAAGCCGAAAGAAACCGAGCCCGAGAAACCCAAAGACAAGAAGGCTGAACAGAAGGAGGTGAAAACCTGAAGTAGCTCCGAAGGACGTCAAGCCGAAAGAAAGCCGAGCCCGAGAAACCCGAAAGACAAGAAGGCTGAACAGAAGGAGGTGAAACCTGAAGTAGCTCCGAAAGGACGTCAAGCCGAAAGAAAGCCGAGCCCGAGAAACCCAAAGACAAGAAGGCTGAACAGAAGGAGGTGAAACCTGAAGTAGCTCCGAAGGACGTCAAGCCGAAAGAAAGCCGAGCCCGAGAAACCCAAAGACAAGAAGGCTGAACAGAAGGAGGTGAAACCTGAAGTAGCTCCGAAGGACGTCAAGCCGAAAGAAAGCCGAGCCCGAGAAACCCAAAGACAAGAAGGCTGAACAGAAGGAGGTGAAACCTGAAGTAGCTCCGAAGGACGTCAAGCCGAAAGAAAGCCGAGCCCGAGAAACCCAAAGACAAGAAGGCTGAACAGAAGGAGGTGAAACCTGAAGTAGCTCCGAAAGGACGTCAAGCCGAAAGAAAGCCGAGCCCGAGAAACCCAAAGACAAGAAGGCTGAACAGAAGGAGGTGAAAACCTGAAGTAGCTCCGAAAGGACGTCAAGCCGAAAGAAAGCCGAGCCTGAGAAACCCAAAGACAAGAAGGCTGAACAGAAGGAGGTGAAAACCTGAAGTAGCTCCGAAGGACGTCAAGCCGAAAGAAGCCGAGCCCGAGAAACCCAAAGACAAGAAGGCTGAACAGAAGGAGGTGAAACCTGAAGTAGCTCCGAAGGACGTCAAGCCGAAAGAAAGCCGAGCCCGAGAAACCCAAAGACAAGAAGGCTGAACAGAAGGAGGTGAAAACCTGAAGTAGCTCCGAAGGACGTCAAGCCGAAAGAAAGCCGAGCCCGAGAAACCCGAAAAGACAAGAAGGCTGGAACAGAAGGAGGTGAAACCTGAAGTAGCTCCGAAAGGACGTCAAGCCGAAAGAAAGCCGAGCCCGAGAAACCCAAAGACAAGAAGGCTGAACAGAAGGAGGTGAAACCTGAAGTAGCTCCGAAAGGACGTCAAGCCGAAAGAAAGCCGAGCCCGAGAAACCCAAAGACAAGAAGGCTGAACAGAAGGAGGTGAAACCTGAAGTAGCTCCGAAGGACGTCAAGCCGAAAGAAAGCCGAGCCCGAGAAACCGAAAAGACAAGAAGGCTGAACAGAAGGAGGTGAAACCTGAAGTAGCTCCGAAGGACGTCAAGCCGAAAGAAGCCGAGCCCGAGAAACCGAAAGACAAGAAGGCTGAACAGAAGGAGGTGAAACCTGAAGTAGCTCCGAAGGACGTCAAGCCGAAAGAAGCCGAGCCCGAGAAACCCAAAGACAAGAAGGCTGAACAGAAGGAGGTGAAACCTGAAGTAGCTCCGAAGGACGTCAAGCCGAAAGAAGCCGAGCCCGAGAAACCGAAAGACAAGAAGGCTGAACAGAAGGAGGTGAAACCTGAAGTAGCTCCGAAGGACGTCAAGCCGAAAGAAGCCGAGCCCGAGAAACCCAAAGACAAGAAGGCTGAACAGAAGGAGGTGAAACCTGAAGTAGCTCCGAAGGACGTCAAGCCGAAAGAAGCCGAGCCTGAGAAACCCGAAAGACAAGAAGGCTGAACAGAAGGAGGTGAAAACCTGAAGTAGCTCCGAAGGACGTCAAGCCGAAAGAAGCCGAGCCCGAGAAACCCAAAGACAAGAAGGCTGAACAGAAGGAGGTGAAACCTGAAGTAGCTCCGAAGGACGTCAAGCCGAAAGAAGCCGAGCCCGAGAAACCCAAAGACAAGAAGGCGGAACAGAAGGAAGGCAAACCTGAAGTAGCTCCGAAGGACGTCAAGCCGAAAGAAACTGAGCCCGAGAAACCCAAAGACAAGAAGGCTGAACAGAAGGAGGTGAAACCTGAAGTAGCTCCGAAAGACGTCAAGCCGAAAGAAGCCGAGCCCGAGAAACCCAAAGACAAGAAAGCGGAACAGAAGGAAGACAAACCTGAAGTAGCACCGAAGGACGTCAAGCCGAAAGAAGCCGAGCCCGAGAAACCGAAAGATAAGAAGGCTGAGCAGAAGGAGGTGAAACCTGAAGTAGCTCCGAAGGACGTCAAGCCGAAAGAAGCCGAGCCCGAGAAACCGAAAGACAAGAAGGCTGAGCAGAAAGAGGTGAAACCTGAAGTAGCTCCGAAGGACGTCAAGCCGAAAGAAGCCGAGCCCGAGAAACCCAAAGACAAGAAGGCTGAACAGAAGGAGGTGAAACCTGAAGTAGCTCCGAAGGACGTCAAGCCGAAAGAAGCCGAGCCCGAGAAACCCAAAGACAAGAAGGCTGAACAGAAGGAGGTGAAACCTGAAGTAGCTCCGAAGGACGTCAAGCCGAAAGAAGCCGAGCCCGAGAAACCCAAAGACAAGAAGGCGGAACAGAAGGAAGACAAACCTGAAGTAGCTCCGAAGGACGTCAAGCCGAAAGAAGCCGAGCCCGAGAAACCCAAAGACAAGAAGGCGGAACAGAAGGAGGTGAAACCTGAAGTAGCTCCGAAGGACGTCAAGCCGAAAGAAGCCGAGCCCGAGAAACCCAAAAGACAAGAAGGCTGAGCAGAAGGAGGTGAAACCTGAAGTAGCTCCAAAGGACGTCAAGCCGAAAGAAGCCGAGCCCGAGAAACCGAAAGATAAGAAGGCTGAGCAGAAAGAAGACAAACCTGAAGTAGCTCCGAAGGACGTCAAGCCGAAAGAAGCCGAGCCCGAGAAACCCAAAGACAAGAAGGCTGAACAGAAGGAGGTGAAACCTGAAGTAGCTCCAAAGGACGTCAAGCCGAAAGAAGCCGAGCCCGAGAAACCCAAAGACAAGAAGGCGGAACAGAAGGAAGACAAACCTGAAGTAGCTCCGAAGGACGTCAAGCCGAAAGAAGCCGAGCCCGAGAAACCGAAAGATAAGAAGGCTGAACAGAAGGAGGTGAAACCTGAAGTAGCTCCGAAGGACGTCAAGCCGAAAGAAGCCGAGCCCGAGAAACCGAAAGATAAGAAGGCTGAGCAGAAAGAGGTGAAACCTGAAGTAGCTCCGAAGGACGTCAAGCCGAAAGAAGCCGAGCCCGAGAAACCGAAAGACAAGAAGGCTGAGCAGAAAGAGGTGAAACCTGAAGTAGCTCCGAAGGACGTCAAGCCGAAAGAAGCCGAGCCCGAGAAACCCAAAGACAAGAAGGCGGAACAGAAGGAAGACAAACCTGAAGTAGCTCCGAAGGACGTCAAGCCGAAAGAAGCCGAGCCCGAGAAACCCAAAGACAAGAAGGCTGAGCAGAAGGAGGTGAAACCTGAAGTAGCTCCAAAGGACGTCAAGCCGAAAGAAGCCGAGCCCGAGAAACCCAAAGACAAGAAAGCGGAACAGAAGGAAGACAAACCTGAAGTAGCACCGAAGGACGTCAAGCCGAAAGAAGCCGAGCCCGAGAAACCCAAAGACAAGAAGGCTGAACAGAAGGAGGTGAAACCTGAAGTAGCTCCGAAGGACGTCAAGCCGAAAGAAGCCGAGCCCGAGAAACCGAAAGATAAGAAGGCTGAGCAAAAGGAAGACAAACCTGAAGTAGCTCCGAAGGACGTCAAGCCGAAAGAAGCCGAGCCCGAGAAACCGAAAGATAAGAAGGCTGAGCAAACGGAAGACAAACCTGAAGTAGCTCCGAAGGACGTCAAGCCGAAAGAAGCCGAGCCCGAGAAACCCAAAGACAAGAAGGCTGAACAGAAGGAGGTGAAACCTGAAGTAGCTCCAAAGGACGTCAAGCCGAAAGAAGCCGAGCCCGAGAAACCCAAAGACAAGAAGGCGGAACAGAAGGAAGACGAACCTGAAGTAGCTCCGAAGGACGTCAAGCCGAAAGAAGCCGAGCCCGAGAAACCGAAAGATGAGAAGGCTGAACAGAAGGAGGTGAAACCTGAAGTAGCTCCGAAGGACGTCAAGCCGAAAGAAGCCGAGCCCGAGAAACCGAAAGATGAGAAGGCTGAACAGAAGGAGGTGAAACCTGAAGTAGCTCCGAAGGACGTCAAGCCGAAAGAAGCCGAGCCTGAGAAACCGAAGGATAAGAAGGCTGAGCAGAAGCAGGTGAAACCTGAAGTAGCTCCGAAGGACGTCAAGCCGAAAGAAGCCGAGCCCGAGAAACCGAAAGACAAGAAGGCTGAGCAGAAAGAGGTGAAACCTGAAGTAGCTCCGAAGGACGTCAAGCCGAAAGAAGCCGAGCCCGAGAAACCCAAAGACAAGAAGGCGGAACAGAAGGAAGACAAACCTGAAGTAGCTCCGAAGGACGTCAAGCCGAAAGAAGGCGAGCCCGAAAAACCGAAAGACAAGAAGGTTGAACAGAAGGAGGTGAAACCTGAAGTGGCTCCAAAGGACGTCAAGCCGAAAGAAGCCGAGCCCGAGAAACCGAAAGACAAGAAGGCTGAGCAGAAAGAGGTGAAACCTGAAGTAGCTCCGAAGGACGTCAAGCCGAAAGAAGCCGAGCCCGAGAAACCGAAAGATAAGAAGGCTGAGCAGAAGGAAGGCAAACCTGAAGTAGCTCCGAAGGACGTCAAGCCGAAAGAAGCCGAGCCCGAGAAACCGAAAGACAAGAAGGTTGAACAGAAGGAGGTGAAACCTGAAGTGGCTCCAAAGGACGTCAAGCCGAAAGAAGCCGAGCCCGAGAAACCGAAAGACAAGAAGGCTGAGCAGAAAGAGGTGAAACCTGAAGTAGCTCCGAAGGACGTCAAGCCGAAAGAAGCCGAGCCCGAGAAACCGAAAGATAAGAAGGCTGAGCAGAAGGAAGGCAAACCTGAAGTAGCTCCGAAGGACGTCAAGCCGAAAGAAGCCGAGCCCGAGAAACCGGAAGACAAGAAGGCTGATCGAAAGCAAATCGAAATGTCGTGTGACGCGTTTTTGCGTTCCAAACGTCAAGAAAACAGCGGTCTAATAATCAGCCTTGTTTTGTCTGTCAACGAGTCGGCTGAGTGCGCTCTCAGGGAAAAAACTTCATGTAATAAAGTTACGCTCGATTTCGGTTTCCATTCGAAAGCCAAATTAGAAAAAGTTTCAAAACTAGTTTTTCCTTTCGAAAAATGTGGCATCTCTCTAGAAGAGCCCTACACGTTAGAAGTTTATTGTGAAGCTGCGTTTGTGAAACAAAGGACTGAAAAAATAGGCATAGGTATCATCTTCGAAGGAAGTACAGCGAAAAACGGTAAACGACCGGATGATTTGAAACTTGACGGTCAGTAGACCTTACTCTTTTTTCTGCTTGATCACAAAATTTGCAGGATGTCATTTGACTGATGTTTCTGATGGTTTGGCTGTTCTGAGTCCTCCGCCAAAATCCAAGAAGCAGCACAAAAAAAAGAAGAAGCAGCCCAAGGAAAAAGTTGCTAAGTTCTTTAGACATAAGTCTAAGATGATTCATTTAGATCGAAATCAAACAAGCTCAGGAAGAATCACTCGCGACGCCTCCCACTTACTTGAAACCTGAAGTTACAAACGTTGAAAGAAAAAGGACAAACTCAGGTGCCTCAAAGTAGTATAGAAAACCTTAATTATCGCACAAAAAATAGACAAAAAAGGGATTATTACAAATGGGCAGAAAACGTTGGCGTCGAGCATATTCATTCAAGAGTTCACAGATTTGTATTCAATCAATTTGGTTTAAATATCAACTTCTATTTCTTCTCCCACACAAAACATTTTTTCTTCACAGGTGGGGTTTAGTGATCCACCTAGTTCTTTTTCCTTTCCTGCAACATCACCATACCACCCCGATGTTGCGAAAAATAAAGTGAAAAAAATTCACCTTCCTATAAATAAAAAAAGTAAGCCTGAAAAAAATTCGAACGGCTCCAGGCGGTGCCATTTCGAACGACTGAGTCGAATCCCAAATAGGGGCAATCAATCTTTCTTCTCCAAAAAAGTCATTGATTTTTATATACAGGAAGCAGCGACATATTCGTTGAAGTAGAGATCGAAGCTGGAGAAGAGGTCGTGCACACGGACGCTCTTGTCGACCTGAACTTCTACGACTACGATCAGATGGAGCTGAGCATTTTCGAGGAGGAGGAAGAAGAGACGGACGACGAATCTTCGATTGAAGTCGATGTCGTCATGAATAATGTGCCGCAGATCGATGAGCTTGACATCTATCCGCCACCATCTCACGAGGTTGAAACGGAAGATTTCTTTGATTTCCAACTGTGTATGTTTTCCTGGATGAGAAGAAGCACAACTTCTCATTCAAACTTCTCAGACATCATTCATTGAATTCAATTCTTCCCAATATCGCAATAGATTGTCGAAAATATTTTCTGCATATCAAGTTTTGAAGCTCGCTCCTTTCATTTAGGTCCCCGAAAGGCTATACTCCATTTTTCTCGGAGTGAATCGAAACCTACACATCAACTTTTACATTAAAAATGTTTTTTTTTTTCCAGGAGGTTGAGCGTCATGTGAAAATGCCGGATGAGAGTATAGTCAAGAAACAAGAAGTTGAAGAAATTGACTTCTTTTTCGAAGCCAGTGACCAGCAACAAATTTCATTGACGGTCACAAGTAAGTATATAAACTTTTAAAAATTAAATGAACCCTTCGAATTATTTAGAAGAGCCTGTAGAGGACGAGACGGCCGAACAGTCCATTTTGGAGCAGCCGCGGTCACAAGCCGTCGAGAACGTCGAAGATAAAATTCTACTTCGGTGCGAGACAAGCCGAACCATCAGAAGTGTGCGATGGTTCCGAAGCGGCATGCTCATTTCAGAAGACGAGCAAACTGAAATTAGAACCATCGGACGTGAGACGACGCTGTTTCTGAAGAAGTTCTTGCCCCAGATGCAAGGAAAATATCACGTCGTGATTGATGATAGCATCGGCAGCTCTCCAGCAACTCTTTTTGGTCCCATCGCACCCAACATCTCGAACAAGTCTGTTATTTAATGGTTTTTTCAACTCAATTTGAATATTCAGAATCTCGAAGTCGCTCACACATCAAGCTGGGAAATCGTTCTACTACAAAATCAACTACACAGGCGTTCCGGCTCCTCGACTTAAAGTACTTTGCAACGGGCAGCCGACATCGCTGCTAGTTGAGTACGAAGTTTATGACGACTATATTTCTGTGAAACTTCCGAAAATGCAACGGTCAAATCAAGGAGAATACACCTTTTTGCTTGAAAATAAGTATGGGAAAGATCACCTCACTTTCAATATCACAATGGTGGACACTCCTTTGAAGCCAAGAAAAGCGCAGTTAGTTCGGGTCAGTGACAGCACAGCCACTATTCGCTGGCTCAGTCCACATGGAGGAGAAAAAGATATCCTCCACTACCTCATACAACGTAAAACAACCGAAAGCCACCGTTGGAGGAACATCAGCAAGGTTAATGAGAAGACTTACACTGCTGTCGAACTTGTCCCCAATGAATTCTATGCGTTCCGGATCATTGCGGTGAATTCGTTCGGAGAAAGTGCACCTAGCGAGATCATTGAGGTCAACACGCTCTTAGAAGAACAGGAAAACTTCCTCGAATTCATTACCGAAGACGAAGACAACGAAACCAATAAAACAGCTCTTCAGATTACCGAATTGGAGAAAGAAAAGAGAATAGAAGAAATGATATCTAATGAACATACTACCATCGAAAAAAAAAGCGAAGAAAGCTCTAAGTCTCACGCAGAGTCCACTCTACACTCAGTTGTAGAAATTCCAGTAATGTTGGAAGAAGCAGAATCAAAAGAAAAATCTGCTGCAGAGAAACGGTCTGAGACACCTGAACCCGTTACTGAAGTCAGAGAAGTCGTTGAAGTAACAAAAGAAATTTCTGAAGAAGCCATTGAAATAAAGAAGATGGCTGATAAAACTCTCAAGAAAGCAAAAGAAACTTTTAAAGATGACGAGAAAGCTCTCGAAAAAGCTGAGGATGCTTCTGAATTTGAAAAGGCTCCAGGAAAAGTAAAACACACAATCAAAAAAGTTGCAGAAGAAAACAAAGCAGTGTCTGCCATGGAGGATGCTAAGAAAGCACCGGAAGAAGTTGAAAAAGTTCCCGAAGAGGCTGCCAAGCCAAAGACTATGCGAAAAGACTCAAAGGTTAAGCCTGAAGACACTAAGGCTGCCAAGAAAAAGGATGAAGTCAAGCCGGCAGAACCACCAGTGGATGACAAGAAAGTGCTGCAGGATGCTAAGAAAGCACCGGAAGAAGTTGAAAAAGTTCCCGAAGAGGCTGCCAAGCCAAAGACTTTGCGAAAAGACTCAAAGGTTAAGCCTGAAGACACTAAGGCTGCCAAGAAAAAGGATGAAGTCAAGCCGGCAGAACCACCAGTGGATGACAAGAAAGTGCTGCAGGATGCTAAGAAAGCACCGGAAGAAGTTGAAAAAGTTCCCGAAGAGGCTGCCAAGCCAAAGACTATGCGAAAAGACTCAAAGGTTAAGCCTGAAGACACTAAGGCTGCCAAGAAAAAGGATGAAGTCAAGCCGGCAGAACCACCAGTGGATGACAAGAAAGTGCTGCAGGATGCTAAGAAAGCACCGGAAGAAGTTGAAAAAAAGTTCCCGAAGAGGCTGCCAAAGCCAAAGACTTTGCGAAAAAGACTCAAAGGTTAAGCCTGAAGACACTAAGGCTGCCAAGAAAAAGGATGAAGTCAAGCCGGCAGAACCACCAGTGGATGACAAGAAAGTGCTGCAGGATGCTAAGAAAGCACCGGAAGAAGTTGAAAAAGTTCCCGAAGAGGCTGCCAAGCCAAAGACTTTGCGAAAAGACTCAAAGGTTAAGCCTGAAGACACTAAGGCTGCCAAGAAAAAGGATGAAGTCAAGCCGGCAGAACCACCAGTGGATGACAAGAAAGTGCTGCAGGATGCTAAGAAAGCACCGGAAGAAGTTGAAAAAGTTCCCGAAGAGGCTGCCAAGCCAAAGACTTTGCGAAAAGACTCAAAGGTCAAGCCTGAAGACACTAAGGCTGCCAAGAAAAAGGATGAAGTCAAGCCGGCAGAACCACCAGTGGATGACAAGAAAGTGCTGCAGGATGCTAAGAAAGCACCGGAAGAAGTTGAAAAAGTTCCCGAAGAGGCTGCCAAGCCAAAGACTATGCGAAAAGACTCAAAGGTTAAGCCTGAAGACACTAAGGCTGCCAAGAAAAAGGATGAAGTCAAGCCGGCAGAACCACCAGTGGATGACAAGAAAGTGCTGCAGGATGCTAAGAAAGCACCGGAAGAAGTTGAAAAAGTTCCCGAAGAGGCTGCCAAGCCAAAGACTTTGCGAAAAGACTCAAAGGTTAAGCCTGAAGACACTAAGGCTGCCAAGAAAAAGGATGAAGTCAAGCCGGCAGAACCCCCAGTGGATGACAAGAAAGTGCTGCAGGATGCTAAGAAAGCACCGGAAGAAGTTGAAAAAGTTCCCGAAGAGGCTGCCAAGCCAAAGACTTTGCGAAAAGACTCAAAGGTCAAGCCTGAAGACACTAAGGCTGCCGAGAAGAAGGATGAAGTCAAGCCGGCAGAACCACCAGTGGATGACAAGAAAGTGCTGCAGGATGCTAAGAAAGCACCGGAAGAAGTTGAAAAAGTTCCCGAAGAGGCTGCCAAGCCAAAGACTTTGCGAAAAGACTCAAAGGTCAAGCCTGAAGACACTAAGGCTGCCGAGAAGAAGGATGAAGTCAAGCCGGCAGAACCACCAGTAGATGACAAGAAAGTGCTGCAGGATGCTAAGAAAGCACCGGAAGAAGTTGAAAAAGTTCCCGAAGAGGCTGCCAAGCCAAAGACTTTGCGAAAAGACTCAAAGGTTAAGCCTGAAGACACTAAGGCTGCCGAGAAGAAGGATGAAGTCAAGCCGGCAGAACCACCAGTGGATGACAAGAAAGTGCTGCAGGATGCTAAGAAAGCACCGGAAGAAGTTGAAAAAGTTCCCGAAGAGGCTGCCAAGCCAAAGACTTTGCGAAAAGACTCAAAGGTTAAGCCTGAAGACACTAAGGCTGCCGAGAAGAAGGATGAAGCCAAGCCGGCAGAACCAGAAGAAACAAAACCATTATCTCCAAAAACTGCACAACAGGAAGACAACGAGGAGAGCAGTCCTTTCACAAAGATGCCAGAGTCGATATTGGTGACTGAATTCGGATCTATTGTGCAGTTTGCTTGCCAATTCGCAAGAAAGCCAATTTACTTGAAATGGATGCGTGACGAGAAGGATATTCACATATCTTACAATAAGACAAGTGTCGAGACAACAGAAAACTCATCAACTTTAACCATTTCGAACGTTGACAGCGGAGACGTGGGCAACATTTACGCCTTGTTCAACAGCGAGTTCAAAAGTGACATCGCGAAACTCGGATTGCGAGTTCCATGCAAACTGTCACTCGATGCCCCACCGCAAGCAGTGATTGCGGGCAGAAATCTAGATTTTGTTGTTAGAACGTCCGCTTATCCGTCGCCTGAAATAGACATGCTACACAATGGAGAAAGTCTCAGCTTCCGTGCCGACGTCAACAAGTACGACGACTTTGTTTCTTTCCGCTTGAAAAAACTGACATTGAAAGACAGCGGCTGCGTGACCGTCCACGCCAAAAACGAGCACTCTTCCGATGAACTGACTATTCCCATCATGGTCATAGACGTGCCATCCTGTCCACGAGACTTGACTCCGGTGGACCGCACTCCATCGAGCATCACCCTGACCTGGACGGCACCGCGGGAGATCAATGGAAGCGACGTCATTGAATACCTCGTTGAACGGAAGACCGCTGACTCTTCAAGATGGCGACAATCTGGCTCGACGAATTCTACGACGCTCCGAGTGGAAGGCCTATTTTCTGACACCGCCTACGTCTTCCGTGTTCAAGCAATCAATAGCGCTGGCGCAAGTAGCCCAAGCAGCCTCTTGGATGTCGAGACGCTAGTCGAAGAACGTATGTTTTGTTGAATTTAGAGTTGAAGTTGGGCAGAAGAGAGATCAAACAGGCGAGTACACGTTGTTGTTTGCGATGTCGGCTCTCCACGATCTCGACGCACGCCCCGGCTCATGCGATTTTTCCTCTTTTCTCTCCTTTGCGCATCGTTCTGCTTCCACCGCTTTTCTATATTTCCTTTCCGCAACATTTCGTTCTGTCTCTTATGAAAAACCTTAATTCATCAAATTAGCTTCTATGTAGCTCTGCATTAGGGAAGCGCAGACGTCCACAACCTTTTACTTTAAAACATGAAAACCCTTTTCCTCTCCCCTCAGATTCTAAATGACAGTTTTTTTTTTCGAATAAAATGCAAATTACTCACGCAGCTTTGTTTTCTGTTCCTTTATCAAAAATACAAAATTTTCGAACTTCCGTGTGCCACAAATCCGTGCTTCAACTTTCATTTTTCGTTTGCCAAATAACGCCCTTTCTCATTTTTCGTCGGCTCTTTCCGTTCACAATATTGATTCAAATCGTAAAACGCGAGTATCGATAATAATCCGAAAGTACTTGTAAAGTAGTTTTTTCGAAAACACCATTCAAACAAAAACTTTGAGGGTACCTATATGTTCTATCATAACGCCACCCTTTGATATCGTTTTTCTTTCCTACCATCCAACTCGAAACTCTAGCAACTTCAGTCAATTTACTCAATCAACGAAATCAGTCATTTCTTCTAGATGAGATCATTCACGATCTAGTGGCAAAATCTTGCTCTGCTTATTAACTTCTTACTCGATAATTTTGACATCCCTTGGAGAACGAGGAGATCCCCAGGGCGGTAAAGCTTTTGTTGAATCCGCCGCCCACGTCGGTCGGCTGTTGACATTCCGGCGGCTTTTTTTTTCTCGTGCATCTGGTTATTGATGGAATCAATTTTTGAAGGAACACTTAAAATTGGAGTTTGGTGTATGAGAAAAACCAATGAAGATCAGGTTAGGACAACTTTGTTACGGAAATTTTTACCCGTTTGAACTTGAAAAGGTAGAAATCAAAATAAGATATTGGACGAAACATCGAGCCTTAATATTTATTGTTTGGGGTTTCTGACAGAAAGATTGCTTTTTTTTCGGTACTTTTCATCTTGATTTATTTGTTTCGTATGGACTTTAGTTTCGACAAAACTTCTGTTGATTTTTTTCCCATTATTTTTTTTCTATAGTATGTGTACCACGTATTGGAATTTCACCGAACGACATTCCGCTGTTCCGCTGCGTGCCTTTAATTTTCATTTTATTTAAGAACTCGACCTTCACGTGTTCTTAGTGGAACAGTCCATTTATCAAAAATGAGAACCAATTCAAAGCGAGTCCGAGGCTCGCAATGACGCTTCGCTACGCAGCGGAATAGCGGAATGTCGTTTGGTGAAATTTCAAGTCGTGGCACACAGACTATACCTTCTATAGATTCTCTGATTTTTTTCAACACGACAGAAAAAAACCTAAAAATCTGTTTCTCAGTTATAAAATATATATATATAAATATGCGAAATCCACACAGAAAGAACGAGTGTGAATCAAAAAGAAAAAAAGCGATAGTTTTTAAAAAAATTTTTTTCCACAGATGTCAATATAATTCTTTGTAGAATAAAAAGGATTAGAAACTTTAACGGTTATTCTGAAAAAGAGCTTTACACAACTTTCTCGAAATGTGTAGTGAAATTCGATGAGAAAAGAGATGACATTTTTTGAAATCTTCGAAACCTGCGTCAAGACGTTGATTTGAATTGGTAAGTAGTACTGTAACTATCGAACTCCTCGAAACTATAGTCCGTTTTTCGCGACTTGACCTCTCTGCGCCCTCTTCGTCTCTCAACGATCCTTTCTTGTTGACGTGCTATTTTTGCGTTTCTGTGATGGAGGGAACAGAGAAACTCAGACACTCGGAAACTGTCAAGTCGCAGCGGACTAACTATAATAAATTAATTATCGCTCTATAAAAAAATTCTTCCGTAAAAAAATTCAACCTTTTTTTAACTAGTGATCAAAAAAATGTTTTTTTGGTTCGTTTCGCTCCCTTTATTGTTTAGCGGAGTTTTATTAAAATTCTGTCGTCCCAAAATTCTGTTTACTGGGCCCTTTTCGCCTCCTGACTCACAATCCAACTATGTACTTTTTTCGACGCACCGTCTCCCGTTTTCTCGATTTTTTCATTCTGAACTTGGTATACGGTTTGTATAAATATGGCGCGTATAAATATTTCTTATACCATAATATTCACTAGAGCACGGCTAAGGTTCTCATGATGCTCCCTTGTTTTTGAAATCTGAAATTTTTTCTATCTACATATGTATAATTGGTTTGATAAAATCGACTTTTTGATTCATTTGAAGAAAACGAATAAATAGCATTCCGGTAGCTGCTCTAGCAAAATAGATCCTGTCAAACTTTAATTTAGAAGCGATCTTGACTTCTTTTAACAGTTGAAATAAGTGAAAATCGTTTCTGAATTCGATTTTTAAAAGTGAATTGTCAACGATCGGAATGATCTTCGTGCTTGCTCCAGCCCGACAGACTCTGGGGAATGCATTATGGCCTGTTTGAGCCGGCGGTTAACACTCCGAGTGGGCAAACTCGTGTTCGACTCTTGTCACGCATACGCACACGTGGAAAATCCCTTGTTCCGTTCTCACAGACTTGCTTTTTTCCAACTACAACCACTTTTCAGTCGCGTTTCCGGGAACCACTCATCCTTGTGTTCTGTTTTGCTTCATTTGGTGACAAAACATCCACTTAGCGTGAAATGTTTCGATTGACATTGCAGATAGTTTCATTGAGGTGCTGAATATTATTGTTTCACGAGAAAAATTATTAATATTCATGACTCTTTGGTAAATTTCGAGTTTTGAAATTATGTTGTCATTATTTGTTTTTGTCTCAAAAAAACTGAAAAAAAAAGCCTTCAAAAAGTGACTTCTTCGTTGGGTCTCTCTTTCTATTTTGTTATTATTTTCACTCTTCGCAACGAATGGAAACAGTCTGAACCATCAAAGTGATCAAATTTTTTTTGATATATAGCTATAACGGAAAAATTCGCTTTTTTTAAATTTTATTTTATCCGCAAATCAGTCATGCATAATTTTCACCGCTAATTCAAAACTTGCTCCTCTGAAAGTTTTTTGTTCCCAACTTCATTTCCGTTCTCATTTTGATAGACTTTATCCCTATCTTTCATTGCCTCCCGTGTTCTCTTCTCTGTCCAACTTCAAAAACTCAATTGATTCGAAAATAATCATACTATCTTTTTCAGTTGAAGACGAGAAGAAGAACTTTGTCGAGGATATCGGTAAGCTTAACCTAGATAGATTCGTTTATAAGTTCCTTTTATTACGCGCTTAAAAAGTCTGAAACTCGTATCCATGTTTCATGTTATGTTTTTGTGCATGCTCGTGTTCTTGCATGTCTTCAAAGTACAAAAAAATTTCAGATTTCATATAGAGGTCCGGTGAGTTTGAATTATATTCTTATTTTATCTACAAGTTTGCAATTTTTCGAAAAAATTCATGAACATTTTTGAAAATTCAAAAGGTGCTCCGAACTTTATTTGATTTGTTTCTCTATTTATTTTCATCGATTTTAGTTGGGAAACAGAGAAAAGAAGTCGTTTCACCTCAAAAAAACCCAATGAACAAGAAAAACAAGCTGAGAAAACCGCTTCTGATGATACGAGGTTGGTTTTTTTTTCCAAAAAACTATTTCATAAAAATAATCACGATATAGTCAATGTTTTCCGACTTGAAAGGCGAAGGAGGCGGTGCAAGGGGTGGACCGCGTAGCGTGTGCGTGCGCGGTTCTTGGCGCTAGTTCAATTCAATCGCCGCCGATTATTCAAAAAGCTCGGCAACCGCTCTTTTTCAATGTGTTTTACTATTTTTTGATGCACACATGAACAAAATCAATAAATAATTGGAAAAGGAATGAAAAGAGCGAAAAACGAGCTCTCCAAATAGTCGCTGGCGGTTGAGTTGAACTCGTGCCAAGAGCCTCGTGCGCACACGCTACGCGTGGCCCTTGCCCCGCCTCTCTCGCTTTTCAAGTCGGGAAACATTAACTATAAAACTATTCAATTTTTTTCAGCAAAGTGGAACAAGTCGAAGTCAAAAGTTCTTTCTCTGCCGCCGATGAGACCGCGAAAACAGAAAAAAATATGAAGAAGGGCAGTAAAAAAAGCCTGACACGAAGCTTGAAAATAAAAGACGACGGAGAGCTGGTAGAAGTTGAGAAAAATGAAGAAGACGTCGAGTTGAACTCGGAATACCACCGAGAGGACGAAACAGCAGGAAAGTCTCATAACTTGACGGAAAAGAAGAAGGAGCAAGAATCGGATCAATTGACAGAAGCCACTCGAAATGCTAAATTCTTGAAACGACAAAAAACAGGAGAGGACGCGGAGAAATCATTGAGAGAAGAGCCGAAATTGACAGAAAATTACTCCTATGAAGAAAGACGTCGACGCGTGCGATTTGAGCATCCTGCTGAAGAGGGCGCGGCTTCTGCACTGTCCAAGGACGCAGGAAAAGCGGAAACTTCTTTGTCACTAACACAGGCTCCTCAGAAACTGAAAAAGACTGAAGAGACGAAAGATGCTTTTTCGACAATCAAATCGAAGGATGATCTGCAAAAAGAACAAACTTCTTTTGAAGAAAAGTCGATGAACTCTAGCAGAAAAGCTCCAATTGACGATTCGGAAACAAAGTTCACATATCCTTCGAAAGAACACGAGGCAAACTCACTATCTGCGGTTAAGTCGAAACATGCATTTTCGCACAAAGAAGATGAAGGTAGAACAGAAAAAAATCTTGGAGAAAATACGGAGAGATCATCATTTGAAGAGAGAAAAAAAACTGCCAAAAAGAAAAAAGAAGAGGATAACGCTGAAACTTCCCATCAAGCCACTATTGGCAATGATGATCGGAACTCTTTGAGTATCTCGAGCAAAAACATAAGAATGCGAAAAAAACAGCCATCTGAAAGCACTGAAGCCATCGGAAATGATAAGCAAAAAACGGAAACGTCATATGCAGAGGTCCATAAATCAAAAGCTCCAAAGAGAGAAGAAACTTCTGAGAAAACAGATGCAATGATCGATTTGAAACAGAAAGATGATGCGAGTCTGGCTTTGAACAACAAAAACGTGAAACTGCAGAAGCCGGAAGAAGAGGATAAAACTACGGAAAAAATCTCCACCAAGCCTTCGCTCAGAGAGGAAAGTAAGCTAGAAGATAAATCTGCCGCATGGAAAATGGAAAAAGACAGTCAAAAGAAAACAGCAGAAAAATCGGTTTCTGAGTTACAAAAAGTAAAAGACGCTCTAGCGACGATCTGTGTCTCACAATCTTTGCAACCTGAACATACAGCTCAATCAGAAGAATCTACCGAAAAAACTATCGCTGAGCCTAATAATGATAAAGATGCCCTAGCTATGACTGGTCTGAGAAAGCAGTTGAAAACGGTAGTCAAATCAGAAAATTCTACAGAAAAGTTCTTGACTCAGCCACGAAACGTGAAAGACGCTCTCGCGACTACCAACCTGACGAAGTCAATAGAAGCAGAAAATCCGGTTGGAACGAAAGGCTTCCTTGAAAAAACTATAGCTGATCTGAGTAAGGAGAAAGACGCCTTGGCTACGACCGCTCTCCATCCCTCTTTAAAATCTAAAAAGCCTACTGAAGTCTCAACTGAAGCAAGCCGCAACAAAAACGAGCCCGTTGAAAGAAATTCTCTAAGTTTGACTACGGTTAATTCGCAGAAAAGTAAACCTTCGAGCGACGGAAGTGCGAGCTATGATATCAAACCCGTCACTCCAAAAGCTACGGACCAAATATCTCTTGTCGATTTCGAACATTCAATCACGCTTGAACCTGCCGCCGACTCGAACAAGCAGAGAGAAGAGCGCGTAAATGCGACTACTGAAAAATCTCTAGCTGAGCCACATAGTGGAAAAGACTTTCTAGCCGCTATCGGTCTGAACAAATCATTGAAATCGGATAATTTGAACAACATGGAAGGTTCCATTCAAAAATCTTTCGCTGAGCCGCAGAATGAAAATGATTCTTTGGCTATGACCTCTCTTCATACTTCTTTGTCACCTCCAGAAGTCGCAAAAGCCGATGTTGATGTGAATCAAAAAGAGAAAAAAACGACCGAAGAAACTTCCTTGAATCTGACGTCGATTAATTCGAAGAAAACTAAACCGACTACTGAAGTAAATGCTAGCCGTGATGTCAAACCCGCAAAATCGAAAGAAGGAGAAAAAGAAGAACTATCTATCACCGCTACTGCGCCGTCTCTTATTGCTGAACCTAGTGACCAATCATCTGAATCGTCTCTTCCTATTAGAAGAACCCAAGAGGAAACAAAGTTCACTGAGAAAAACAGTGTTTTTGAAAAAGAAAGACCTGCACAAACTGACGGCGCCTACAATTTGCTTCCAGTTCAAAATAAAGAACGAGAATCAATAAGCTTAATGGGAGTAGAACAAGTTCTAAGCAAGCATCCTGTCGATTCCAGAGTAGAAGACGTCAGGAAAGCAGAAGTTGGCGGTGCTACCTCTTACGTCGAAACTCACAAAGCAGATTCATTGAGCTCTGAAGAAAATTCAGCAGCTGCTGATGCAAAAATACCAACATCAAGAAAAGATGCGGATGGATTGGCAATTGTTGCTGAAAATAAACAATACGAAAAGTCGGATACAGCTGAAAGAGCATCAACGACCGTTAAAGAAAAAAGACTGAAGAAGGCTAAATCAAAACTGGAAGAGAAATCAATAAGGTCAATCCAAAAGCGCGATCAAGTTGCTGATCAAACAGAAAACACGCTTCCTGAACAATCTGGTGCCAAGGATTCTTTGTCTTTGATAAGCGTAGATCCCATCTTGCTTCCAGAAAAAGCATACGAGGAAGTGCATCAAAGTTCAGCACAAGAAACGGACAAGACCAAGTACAGTGAGAAAAATGTACAAAATGAACTGAACAAAAAGGTCGAAAATGACGCTGCCGACTTCGAAAAACTTTTGAAATCAAATGATAAAAATATTTTCGCGGAGACCAATAATAAGGGAGATTTGAAAAAGAAAAGCCCCCGCGCCCAAGCTACCACGACGCAAAAAGAGAAGATTGCAAAAGAGAATAGTTCATTGGTATCAAAGGAAAAATTAGTTGAACTTTCACGCGACGAAGAGATGGCTGGAGCAGAGGGAAAACTCGTGGATCAAGACGTTACTGCAGAAACATTGTCAACTACAAATGCTGAGAACGACTTCAAAAAAGCTGGCCTCGTTGATGAGACTGCTGGTTTAGTAGTCGAAAAGGGTGCTGAAAGAGAAGCATCAAGTCTAGCACAAACGTCCAAAACTGCTAAACATCGCAGAAGAAGTTCTAAAGCAGAGGCCAATAAAACCATTGCTGTTACTCCAAAAGATGTCGATCGTCTTGAAGCTTTGCAAAAAGACGCTCAATTCAAAAAAGATAATGAAACTAGGAACTCAGAAGGCGATGTAATTCCGACGCAAAAAGAAGACACGGCTTTATCAGTATGCGACCAGGACAATGAGTTAAATAAAGAGACGACACAACTTCAAGCTGAAAAGATTTTGAAAGTTAAGAAAATAGAACTTGACTCTTTGGCCGAACTTAACGCGAAAAGTCAGCTGAGCAAAAAACCATCCGTCGCTGAAACAGTAGGACCAGTTCCGTCAGAAAGGGAAGTCACTTCAACTTCTTTAGAAGATAAATTAGTTGATGTTGAAAAGAATGCCGCAGATGTTGACGAGGAAACTTCAAAAACGTTACTTGAAAAAGATAAACAACAAAAAACCTTGTCAGTCAAAAATGAAGCAAAAAAAGAAGCAACCGCCGACACAACTCTTGAAATTAATCGCGAGAAAAAACCACCAAAAAAAGAACATGCAAAAACAAAACTTTCTACTGACGACAAAAGCGCCGACAGCCTTACAGTCCGTGTTAAAGATCTGAAACTCCAAAACGAGGAGCCATCTCAAGAAGAAGCTGAAACATTGCGAAAAGCAAGTAAACAGAAAGCTTTTTCAGAAGAAAAAGCACCTTTGAGCGACACGCACAAAGATCTTCACGCTATCAACAAAACACAAGAAGACACAGCTGAGAAGGTCGCACCTGAAAAATCGCAAGAGAAGGCTGCCGTGGCTATAGCCGACTCCGACCCAACATTGAGCCGGGGAGAACAATCTAGCAGAACGTCGATGACCAGTCCTGCTGTTTTCGTCGAAATAACTGCTTACGGAGTAATAGACACGAATGCTGTTGCAAAAGCCAAAGAAGCCACCGGTTTTGCTGAATTTGATCTGTCGCCTGCATCTTATAACCAGGAGGAACTGTCTGTTATGGATGCTGACCACAGCCTTACTGATGAAACCAAGAAAAAAGCTGAGGCTGCTGAAATTCCAACTTTAAGTGCTGATAAAATGACGTTTTCTGTCGGTCACGCAAACTTGAATTTAAAAAAAGAAGATGAAAAAGGCCAAAAGACCGCATCAAAAGATCATCCAGAGAAAAGCCGTGTTGATTATTCAGAATCTCAGAACGATTTCGAAATTGGAAAAGAATCGAAGCAAAACGACGCGGTGGAAACATCTGACCAGAAGGCGAAAGAGAAGCAAAGTTTAGCAGTTCAAGAAATTGATGCAAATGTTGAGGCTGATGGAAAAAAAGAATCGGCGACTGCTGCACGCGAACAAAAAGTTCAAGACAGGTTGAAGGCCTCTGTACCGGAGACAAAACAAGAAAGAGACAAACTTGTGAAAGACTCTACTCAAGGAAATTTGCAACAAGCTCGTTACCCCACATTGCTCATTCACGAAAACCTCGACAAAAATGAAGAAACTGATTTTGAAGACGAAGAAGAAGAAGAAGGAGAAGCCGATGGGATCCAGAATGACAACGTGGAGAATGGAGCTCAGAAAAAAGGAAAAAAGAAGTTCATTATCTCGGCAATATCAATGGACGGCGAGTTCAGCGACGCGGAGAGCATCGCCTTTGCCGAGGATGGCGCGAGAGTCGAACGACGTCGCAAAAAGAAGTCAGTGCGGATCGATCCAGTGACTCAAGTTCAAAACGAGAAGATGCCAACATCAGAAAAAAGGCCAACAGAAAGTAAGCAAACTTTTCAGTTCCTTTTGAAAATTATAAAATTCGAAAATAGGAGAAATAGGTAGGAGTCAAAAGATATCACTCATAAAATGTATCGATTGAGAAACTTGATGAGTGAAAACGCTTGACTGTATTCAGGCGAGTTCCATTGTTGTAGTATAAAAATTATAATCTAATATATCGATGAACGTTCAACTTAAAGGTTTAAAAAAATGTTCTTGACTTTAAATTCTCTAAAAAAACTCGTTTGAAAGATGAATATAAAACAAATAATTTCGCTAAAATTGTGATTGACAAGGTATTCGAAAGTTGTCGAAACAAATTGAGTTTCAGCCGTCGTAGAAGAAGGAGCTGCTCCATCATTCAAAAAGAAAATGCAGTATATTGGTTGTATTGAAGGAGACAACGTGAAAATCGAGTTCAAAATAAATTCGAATCCTTCGCCAAAGGTTGGGTTCACAAATGGTTATTGAAATGTTAAAACTGATTCTTAGATTGGCGTGAGCCGCAACGACAAGGCAGTGAACGACAAGCACAAAATGCACATTGCGAGAAGAAGCGACGGAAACGTTCACACTTTCCAAGTGACTATCGACGGCGTCGCTAAAACCGACGGAGGAAAACTTGTGTTCGAAGCGACCAACAAGTTCGGCAACGATAAGTGCACCGTGCTTCTCGACGTCCGAGACGCAAGTTCCTTCGTCCAGGACCCAGCTGAAGAATACCAGGCCGCGGGGCTCGTCGACACCGTTTCCGATGTTTGCGTCAAAGAAGGAGACACAGCGAAGTCAGTTATTCAAAAACATTTTCGGTTCAAATAAGCTTTCTAGGCTCACCGGGAAAGTTAGCGGATTTCCACTGCCAGAACTGATTTGGATTAAAAACGGACGCGAGGTCGATATGATGGCACCGTCAACCAAATATCACCTTGAATACCACTCCGGTAGTCGCTCTAGCAAAGCATGACCTTACTCTCTCTTTTAGATGGAGAGTTCGAGGCTCGAATCGCCAATTGCGGCTTCGAAGACGATGATGACTACAGTTTGCTAGTGGAAAACCTGGCTGGCGTCGACAGCTGCAACTTCCAAGTCTATGTTGATTGCAAAGGTAAGGGGAAATTTACTCTTTTTCAAAAGAAATTTCGTTCAGAATATCCACAAGATGATCATTTCAATAGAAGGCGACGTCTCCAACGAGGAAAAGCAATTGGAGAAGCCTCTTCGGATAGTGAAATTGAAGGCAAGAACAAAAAACGTAAGAGAAGAATGAAAAAGGTCAGTTTCAAAATTTTATATTTATCATAATTTTTTTTTAGGTGTTTGAGCGTACAAATCCAAATGCGCCACGACTCACACAACTCATACCGCCTCGTTTTGATAAGATTCTTTCGGACCATGACGCCGTCGTCGGAGAAAACGTGGTGATGATGGTCGAGACTTTGGGTGAGCCCGAACCTCAGGTTTGGTTCTACCAAGACGGTAAACTCATCGATGAAACAAACGAAAAGGTAAGAAAAAAATGTCTAATAACCGTGAAGTTTTCTGTTTTAGGTGGAGATCCGCCACGAGGAAGAAAAAAGAAAGCATTGGCTAATTCTGAAGGACATTCGGAAAGACGAAGAGGCCGAGTACGCCTGCCAAGCGATAAATGTTGTTGGAGAAGCTTGGTGTTTCTCCGATGTCTTTGTCCATTCGTCCATCCCAGGTCCCGTTTTCGTCCGTCAACCTATCCGTGCCTACTTTTTGCTCTTAACATTTAGAAATTCGAATACCAAAAACCAAATAATGGCACTGTTGTGTTCGTCTTCTGAATGTTAAGAGTTATTGTTTTTTTTTTTAGAAGCTACGAGGCTCAGACGATTGCGCGATGTAAAAAAAAACTCATTTTTTTTTATTTAGAAATCCAAGAAAAGCCGATTGACGAAGCAGAAGAAGACAAGAAGGATAATAAAGTTAAAAAGAAGAAGGCTAAAGAAGAAGCTGAAAAAGAGATTGTCGTTCAACAGCAGGAAGAAGTAACTTTCGAGGAAGAGAAAAAGAATGAGAAGGATGATAAAATCAAGAAAACCAAGAAGAAACGAGATGAATCTGTCAAGCCTGAGAAGAAAGAAGGTGTACTTGAAAAGACTGCGCAGGATACGGAAATAGAGGAGCAGCAAGTACAAAAGAAAAAAGAAGAAGTAGAACAGGCGGCGCAAGATGAGGAAAAGAAGGGAAAAACCGACTCGGAGGTTGCTGAACAAGATGTGACTGCAATAACTCAGCAAGAAGAGACCAAAAAGAGCCAGGAACTTGAGCAGGCTTCTCAGGAAAAGAAAAAGAAAGAACAAACCAAAAAGGACGTCGGAAAGAGAAAAGATTCAAACGCTAAAGTAGTTGCTCAAGAAGAAGAGTCTAAGGAGACCAAGCTATCTGCTGAAAGAACTGGGGAAGAATTAAAGAAAAAATCTGACAAAAAGGAAGAAACTGAAACAACAATTGCAAAAATTCAGGATGCACAAAAAGCAGAAAATGATTCTGCCGAGGAGACCAAAAGGCAAGATGAAAAATTGATGAAAGATTCAGCAAAGCCTGTCGAAGACAAGAAGGCAGAAGAAAAGCAGCAAGCCGTCCCAAAGGTAGACAGCAAGGAGAAGAAAACTGCTGCCGATAAGAAAACTGTGGTCGAAATTGGCGAGGCTAAAAAAGAAGCTGAGGAAAAGGCTGAAAAAACCAAACCAACTTCAGATGAGACAACGAAGGACAAGGAAAAAGTTGAAGATGAGAAGAAAGAATCTGTGGCGGCTAAGAAAAAAACTGCTGAAGTTGGAAAGGAAAAAACCCTCGACCAGAAGAAGAAAGAAGTGGATGATAAAAAAGGTAGAGATGAAAAACCTATTGAAGGAAAAGAAGAGAAAGCTAAGCCAAAATCTAAGTTGGAAACCGTTCCTCAGCCCAAACTCGACACCAAGGACAAAAAGAAAGAAGAAAAAGCAAAAAGAAGTGAACCCAAATCGAAACAAGAAAAGAAACCGGGAGAACATGCCGAAGCAAGAAGACCATCGATCAAGGTCGAAGTTCAGCCTGAGGTTGGAAAAGAAGAGGAGAAGAAGAAAAAGAATGTAAGTTTATCTAATTTGGAAACTAACTTGAAAAATACTTTGAAGATTCCGAAGCCTCTCTTCATCCCAGACGAAATCAGTTCGCGTTTCGGCGATCCCAGCACTATCCACTCGGAAACCAACATCACCACTCAGATCACGGCAAGGGAAGGCAGCGCCGAGATCATGTCGCCCTTGACACAGCCGCAGTCCGCCAGCGTCGTCATGAAAGTATTCCTAAAACTATTCATTAGAACATTGAATTCAACTTTTTCAGGTCGAAAGTGCCAACAAAACCAAGGACTCTGCGGAATTCTCTTTCAAACGTCGGTCGGAGACTCCTGAAGGCAAAAACAAACGCAAAGAAGGACTTCCACCACGCGCCGAAGACAAAAAGACTGAAGTACGTTTCATACTCTCACCACTTAACACATTTTTGAAAATTTTTGAATCGAAAATTGAATTTTTATACTTTTCGAATCGGAAAATATTATTTTAATGCTCACTAGGGAACGTTTTTATCCCCCGGTAGTACGTTTGATCAAACTTTTCTGAAGTGTGTTTTAGGATCTCCTGATTGCGAAACAAGAAAAAAAAATTCTCGCAATAGATCTGGTTTTCGAAGAAGGACGCTTCAAAAGCTTGAAATAGCGCATTTTTGGCCTAATTCGCGTATTTTGCGGACTTTGTAGGTTCATAACTCGGAAACGAGATCTATTGTGAGAAATTTTTTTTTTTCCTGTTATGCAATCAGGTCCAAAAATACACTTCAGAAAAGTTGTTTCATCAAAAGTTCAACCGGGGGGTAAAAAACGTTCCCTAGTTAGTGAAACGTAATCTTTCCCTTTTTTCCATTTGCATTGATATGAAAGGCCTCAACCATGTTCACCAATATCCCAAAAAAAACTAACAGTCCTCCTCAATATCGTCCGCATGATTTTAGGAAGGGGTTGGCGTCGAACCGAAGAAGAAAACGAGCAAAGCCGAGCCTGCCGGTCAACATGAGATAAAAAAAGAAGAATCCACAGCGGAAGCTCATATCTCCCTTCTCACGGCTGCCAAAACAGATTCTGCTGCAGTTGCGACCGAAATATCCACAACGGTTCAGCTACCGCAGTTGACAGAAAGCAAAGACTCAAAGAAAATCGAGTTGGAAAAGCCTGAAAAGAAAGAAGAGGTAAAAGCAGAAGTGAAGCCGAAAAAGAAGGTTGCGAAACTTGAAACAAGCCAAGAATCGGCTTCTAGAAAGACAAGCACAACAGAAGCGGAAAGCGTCAAAACCAACGAAGAAACTCTTCAGAAAGAAGATATTGAGAAGAAAACCACTACCAAACGTCGATCCAGTAGTAGTAGTAAACAAGCCCTCGAGAAAAAACCATCCGTTACATCAAAGACATCCGACCCTACAGAACCGAAGAAGCCTGGACAGGAGACGCCGAAAGCGATCGAAAACATTGCTGACTCGGCTTTGAAGGTCGAAGCTGATCAAAAAGCAGCCGAGAAAAATCTGCGCCAGACACAAGTAGACAAAAAAGACACCACTAAGAAACCAACTCAGGAGCAACACGACGATAAGAAAAAAACAGTAAAGAAAGATGAAGAGCCTAAGGAAAGAACCAAACTCACGAAAGAGAGGTCCGTCGAAGTTACGTCGGTTAGAGAAGATGGCACTCCAATCGAAACTGCCGTAGATGGAAAGAAAGAAACAATTACTACCGAAACCTCTTTGAAAGCGGATTTCAGCACAGAAGTGACAGACGCAAAGAACGCAAAAGAAGGAAAATCTGCCAAAGATGAGACCACGCCAATACTTCCAAGAGAGGATACTGAAGCTGGAAGAGATATAAAGTTATCTGAAACAAAAGAAAAATCTGCAGAAAAGATTGAAGTTGAACAAGACTATAAGAAGGAAACTGTTGAAGAAGTTCAGCGAAACGAGAAAAGTGCAGAGAACAAGGCAAAGAAGGTGGCTGAAAAGGAGACCCCAGAACCGTCAGAGAAAGAAGCTATCAAGGAAAAGACAATGACAAAACGTCGATCTAGTAAATCAAGGCCTGAAAAAGAGAAAGCCGTCGAGCCAAGTGCAGTTCAGAAAGTTTCGAAGTCTGAATCCGAAGAGAGGGATATGGTTGTGGATGACGCCGTCTCCAAAAATTCGGAAGCCAGAAAGGCAAAAGAAACTACAAAAGGAAGTTCTGCCGAAGAGAAGACACCGTCGAAACAACAAGTTGAAACGGTTGAAGCTAGAAAACCAACTGAATCTGCGGAAATGAAGCCCAAAGTTCCTGAAAAGAAAGCGGAAACAAAAACGAAAAAAGATTCTAAATCAAAAGCAAATGAAGAAGCAAAACCGAATGAAGCATCTGTTGCAAAGAACTTTGAAGATGCCAAAATAAATGAGGAAGAGCCTGAGAAGACTTCAGAAGAAAAACCTCCTACAAAACCTAAAGAGCAAGTTGTCTCAGAAGAAAAGGCAAGCAAGACGGTTGATGGAGTCGATACAAAGAAGATGAAATCCGAAGGAGAAAAGGCGATGAAAGATGACGCCAAGCTTCAAGTCAAAAAATTGCAAGCTGAGTCAAAACCCGAAGCGAAAAAGAAGGAAGTTGTCGAACCTCCAGAAAAACAAACGATAACCGGAAAGAAGACGACAGAACAAGAAGCTGAAATGCAGAAGCTAGAAAAGGTTGAGCAAGTCTTGGAAAAACCTGCCGTTACCATCAAGAAGAAAATCCTCAAAGAAGTTTTGGAAGCTGAAACAGAACAAAAATCAGCTTTGGTTGCAAAAAAAGAAAATCTAACAGAGAAGTTGACCAGCAGAGAAGCTGAAAAAGAAGAGCCAAACAAAAAGAAGACTGAAACTGAGAAAAAAGCAGCTGAAAAACTGCGGCTGACAGAAGTCGAGAAGAAAGAGGCTGTGAACAAACCAAAAGACGAACAACCAGCCGATAAGAAAAAGACAACGGTCAAGAAAGATGCTGAGCCAGAGAAGGAAACCAACGGCACAACAGAGAAACCTACTGATGTTTCTTCGATTAAAGAAGGTGTTTCTTTAGGTAAAACTGTCGTCGATGAAAAGAAAGAGGTAGTCTCTGTCAAAACTGCCTTGAAGAAAGAGCCAAGCAAAGACGTTCCAGAGGTCAAGAAAGCAAAAGAAGTTATTACTGACAAGTCTGCTGAAGATAAAACTGCAGCGAAACTTCAAAAAGAAAAGGCTGAAGTTGAAAAAGACGCGAAGCTTTCCGAACCTGAAGGAAAGTCTGAGAAGAAAGCAGATAAGCTTAAAGCGAAAAAAGACACTCAGCCGGAATCCGTTGAGGAAGATCAACCAAAAGGAAAAAGTATAGAAAAGAAGGCCGAGAAGGTTGAAACTGAAAAAGACACCAAGCCAGCGAAACCTGAAGAAAAAACTGCCAAAAAGGTGGATAAGGTTGATGGAAAACAAAAAGTTGACCATCCCGAAGATGCGGAAACCAAGTCTAAGACTTCCAGGGCCAAGGAAGAAGCGCCATCAACAAAGCCAACGGTCGAAATTCAAGCTTCTTTGCAAAGTGAAGAAAAAACAGTCCCACCTGAAAAGTTAGAAAAGGAAAAGACTATAAATGAAGTTTCTAGACCTGAAGAAAAAGAAAAAACGGACGCCGAGAAAAAATCGAAATCTAAGAAGAAATCTTCCAAAGCCGCTGAAACTAAAAAGATTACAATAGAAGAGACATCAGAAGGTACTTTGAGCTTGTCCGAGAAGAAACCTGCGCTAGAAGAACAAGAGTCCGCCTTGAACGTTGATGGTACTTCGGCAACGGTGAAACTTCCTACTGATAAATCTGCTCCAGAAGTTCAAGATTCTTCTTTGAACGTCGATGGTACCTCTGCGACGGTGAAGCTTCTTGGAAAAGAAGAAATTGAACCAGAAGGTGTCGAAAAACCAGCAGAAAAAGTTGGGCCGGCTGATACTTCCAAGGCTGACACAACAGAGAACGCCCATGAGATAAAAGAGCAAAAAGAAGAGAAGAAGACTAAAAAACGAGTAGTCAAAAAACCAAACAAGGGGAAAACAGCAGAAGAAGACGATTCAGCTACGGCTTCGGTACAGGAAAAAGAAGAGAAACCGGAAAGTGCAGAGATTCCGCAGTTTTCGAAGGAACCAAAAAGCGTTGCTGAAGAAAAGATCTTCTCCGATGCCTCTTTACGCAATCGTTCGACTAACGGAGCAGAAGATGCCAGTTTCTACGATAGCTCTAGAAAGACTTCGCTCGCTTCATCAGATGAGGGACGGCGTCGTCGTCGACGTCGAACTGGCTTCGCGTCTACTTTCACAGCTGAAACCTTAGCTCTGAGAGGCGACAACGTCGAGTTCGAGGTTGAGCTGTACAACGAAGAAGACGAAGTCCGCTGGGAAGTTGATTCAAAGGATGCGTCTAAAAATGCGCGTTGTCATTTCACCGAGAGCTCTTTCTTTAGGACTTTGATTCTCGATAATGTGAGTCCTGACGACACCGGACTTGTTGTGACGGCTTTTAGCGATGGTCAAAGCGTCTCCACGAAGCTGGCGGTAGAAGAACTTCCAACAACATTTGTCAATTACCTTCCGCGCAAGTCGAGTGGAAAAGAAGGACAAGAGCTCACAATTAGTGTCACCTTCAACCATCCTGTCGACGTCAACTCGGTGTTCTGGTTCAAAGATGGAAAGAAACTAGCGGACAGTACTGAGTATTCGATCGACACGGTCGGTTGTTCATGTTCCCTGACCATCCGAAGAGCTAACTACGCCGACAGCGGCAAATACGAAGTACAGTGTGAAGGCGCACGCTGCGGGACCTACATCACAGTTCAAGGCAAGCCTGTGATCAGTGGCGACGGCGCCAAGCAGGTAGTACAGGTTCGTTTTGTATTTTCGCTTATTTAAGAAATCGTTTTTTTCCTGTTCTCCCAAAAACACCTGCAAAACAATCCGATCTCATTCCCAGAGTCCGCGCACATCAAAAACATTTTTCCTATTATTCCAAAGTTGGAGCACACCAACGCAGACGTTTTCCTTGCGCAAAAAGCACTAAAGTTTTCCGTTCGGGGCACAGGTGGCAAATTTTCTCTCCCTTTTACCTGAACACCTTTAAAAACTATCCAGCTTTCATTTTGTATTCCCCTAGAGCTCACGCACATCGAATATCTTTTTCCCTACAGTTCCGAAATCGAGGCACAACCTGAATTCTTTACCCTTGCGTAAATTTTTGACAAAAAAATACATACTAGAAAAAAACTTTCATAAGCAAAAAGAAATTATTAAAATTGAAAGTCGTAATATTACACTTAATCAATCAATTAATTTTTTTATAAATTCATTCAAGACGAAGTATAGTCAATTTTTTTACCGAGTTGAAAGGCGAGGGAGGCGGGATGCGTAGCGTGTGCGTACGCGGTTATTGGCAAGAGTTCAATTCGACCGCCCGCGGCTATTTGGAGCTCGTTTATCGCTCTTTTCATTTCTTTTTGAATTTTTTTGATTTTTTTCATGTGCGCATTAAAAAAATAGTAGAACATATAAAGAAAGAGCGGTGACCGAGCTTTTTAAATAGTCGGTGCGCTTGAATTCAACTCGTGCCAAGAACAGCGTACGCATCCCGCCTCTCTCGCCTTTCAAGTCGGGAAACATTGACTATATACTTTTTTTGAAAAACCCTATAACTTTTTTATTGTCGAAACCTAGTCAAGAAAGTTTTATTTTAAAAAAATCTTTTCTTGAGTAAATAAAAACTTTCATCTACCTTTCCAGAATAAAAGCGAAAAAAAACGGAAAAAAACACGATCGAAAAAAAAACAGTAAAACTTCTACACGGGCAAAGTCCAAAAAGGTCTCAAAAAGGACTTTTGGATAAAATACCTTCAAAAGGCCTCAAAGGCGCCTTTTTTTCTAAACCTTTTTCTGAAAAAAAGACCTTTCAAAGAGGTGTAAAATATAAGATGAAAAAAAAGGTGTAAAAAAGGAGATTCTGAGAAACTTCTTACAACTTTTTAGGAACTCAAAAAGGAGCGTTAGGCTCTTCTTTTTAAGGCCTTTTTGAGGTCGTTTGGACTTTGCCTGTGTACTATCTAAAAACCTATTATATAATATAATATTCGAAAAAAATTTACTTGGATATCCTGAGGTCGTATGCAATAAAGTGAATAACGATTTTCCGCCATTTTTTTGGAACTTCAGAATGACTCCAATTAGTCCACTGTGGAGAGTCGAATATCGATATCTCATCCACATCCGAAGTCACCGCATTTCTTTCAAAAATCTTCAAAATTTTCAAAAATATGGCAAAAGACTCACACAAGCGTACTAATTAGAAAAAAAAAAACAAAGACAGCGATTTATGAAAATTTTTCATTTACAAAAAAAAAATGCTTCAAATTGAGATTTTCTTTTTTTGAAAAAAACAGGTTAGTCAAACAAAAAAACACTAATAATGAAGGAAGCACAAAAAAATCACTATCCCATTCTATATAAAATCATCATTTTTTTCACCAAAGTATAATTTCGCGATCAAAAACTTGTAAATTTTTTTATAAATAGTAAGTTCTCATGAAGAAATTAACTTTGGCGACAACAGAAAAAGTTGAAATTAAAAAGAAACAAAGAAAAAAGGGAGTGACCGAAAAATGGCAAAGCGTGTTTTCCATTGAGCAACTTTACTGCCCCAACGCTGTTTTGGCGGTGGCATATTTGTATCCAACTCCATCCGCGTAATTATATTAGTAATTTCGAACATTTTTACTTTCCAACTTTTGGACTCTCAATAAGTATTCATTTATTCCATGAAAAAAATAATTTTAAAAAATTCTTTCGACAGCTCCTATTGGAACTTTTCTTAGCTTACCGAGAATATTTGATTTTTGGTCGTTTCCAGGTCGACAAAGATGAAAAGATCAAGGTCCACATTCCTTATGACAGTGAACCAGAAGCCTCATTCTCACTACTGAAAGAAGGCAAAGAAGCCGAATTCGACATGAGATCGCAGGTTGACGTCGTCGACGACGGAATCGTTTACTCCAAGAGGAACGCGACAAAAGATGATGCTGGAGAATACACCGTTTCATTGAAAAATGAGTTCGGGGAAGCGACACAGAAATTCGTTGTGAAAGTCAACGACAGTCCACCAGCGCCAAGCGACATTTCCGTCACTCAAATTGAGTCCGATGCCCTGACTGTTGAGTGGAACCCTCCCTCAGACAACAACGGAGCCGCCATCACTTCCTACGTCATCGAGAAAAAAGAAGAAGGCAGGAGAAAGTTCCACAAAGTTGCCACGGTGAGTGAATTGAAAAATTTTTAATTTTATGAATAATTATTTTCCAAGGTATCTGGAGCAAAAACGTCTTACATTGTTGACGAACTGGAAATGGCCTCTTCGTACATCATCCGCGTCGCCGCAGTCAACAAGTTCGGCACCGGCGACTTCGTGGAGACCAAGCCTGTAACCACTGGCTCGCCGTTTGGAGCGCCCGTAATTAGTTCGGCTCCTGAAATCGAGCCTCATTCTGCCAACACTTGCAACCTTTCCTGGGCAACTCCGGAAACGGACGGTGGCTCACCAATTTATGGCTACGACGTTTTCCAAAAAGAGGACAATGGCGATTGGCACAAGCTGAATACCGATGACCTTGTTTTTGTTGAGAAGTACCACGTGAAGGGACTGAACTCTGGAGTAGACTACCAATTCAAGGTCGAAGCGATAAATGAAGCTGGAATCCGATCAAGTTCTAATGTTCCTTCTGAAACCTACAGTATCCACGGAAATCCTCCAGAAGTCGTTCTAGAGGTTCCATCTGTGAAGGTGCTGGACAGTGACAAAGTGCAAGTAACTTGGAATGCTGAAGGGAACGACGACTTTGTCATTCAGTACAAATCGGATGGCTCTTCCATCTGGGCCAACGTTGAGAGCGCTACTGCAGAATGTGTCATTGACGGCCTCCGCGAAGGAATTTCCTACGTCTTCAGAGTAGCCGCTAGGAACGTGTTTGGAACTGGCGAGTACAGTGATGAGTCGGTTCCGATGAAGATACTGGCCGATGATGCTCCAAGGATCATCAAGGCAATCAAATCAACAACGATTCCTAAAAAACGATCGCTTCGTTTGGAATGCCACGCCACAGGTCATCCGACGCCTGAATACATCTGGTTCAAAGATGGTGAAGAAGTCATTCCCAGTGACGAAAACACGGAAATCGTGAACGAAGGGTTCATGAGCGCTCTCATAATCCATGTCGTCAGCGACGCCCACGCTGGAGAGTACAAGGTTCTTGTTGAAAATGATCATGGATCGAGTGAATCAACGGCTACTGTCAGTTTGAGTGACGTACGAGCTCATTTCAACTCCTCGTTCGGCGAGTTGACAGAAACCGAAGAAGGCAGAGACATTGAACTAACCTGCGAGGTCTCTGACGAAGAAGCTGTTGTCAACTGGTACAAGGACGGCAAAAAGTTGGTTCCCAGCGACCGCGTCCAGTTCTTTGCGGTGGCTCGAAAACGCACTATCAGAATCAAGAACACGACAAGCGCCGACAGTGGTACTTACAAGTGTGAGACATCAGACGGTCGAAGCCGTACTGAGGGAGAAGTCGTCGTGAAAGAAGAAGAATCACGAATCACTGTGGGACCTCAAGACAAGGTTATCAGTGCTTTCGGTGAAACTGTTGAATTGACTTGTGAGCTCACGAAGCCCGTCAGAAAAGTTGCCTGGTACAAGAATGGCCAAGAAGTATGGCCTCAAATGAACAAGACAGCTATGAGCGTCGAAGGAACCAAAGCAGTTCTTGAAATCAAAAACTTCAACACTCACGACATCGGCGAATACGTTGCTGCTCTTAGTGAAAATGAGAAGTCAGCCGCCGCAAATCTTTCATTGGAAGTCCTGCCAGAAGTTGAACTCCCAGAGGACTTTGAAGGTGACGTCGTTTGCCATGCAGGAAAAGAACTCGACTTCCAAATCAACTTCACTGGCTTCCCGCCACCAAAGGTTCACATAACCAGCAATGGAACGCCTATAAGGGCTTTGGGAGACGTCGAAGAGTACGACGACAGCGTCAGTGTCCGGATGAAGAATCTCAAGAGGTCGGACTCCGGTCCACTCAGAATAACTGCTGAAAACGCAAAGGGTTTCGTCACTCGAGAAGTCAACCTTGACGTCATTGATGTGCCATCAGAACCACTTGCGCTCCGCGTCAGCGACGTCACCGAGGACAGTGCTCTCATTTCTTGGGAGGCTCCAGAAGAAACAAATGGTGCTCCGATCACCGGCTACGTGGTGGAACGCAAAGGAGTTGACAACAATCGATGGCGTCCAGTTGGTCATCTGAAGTCAACTCAGTTCACTTTCAGTGCTGATGAACTGTTCTCCAATCAGGTCTATGGATTCCGCGTCCTCGCTGTGAACGAAGTCGGAGAATCTGAACCATCTGAAACTGTTGACGCGATGACAAAAGAAGAGAGCGAGCCACGCAGTGAATCCTCAGACGTCTTCGTTCCTCGAATCGCTCAACTTGAGACCCCGAGCAAACCCAGGCTGACAGTGGAAGGAACGAAGGTTCATCTGGAATGGGATTGGATCCCTGAGACCAGTTTGTACAAACTTGAGAGGAAGCAAGAAGGCGAGGACGACTGGATGGAACTCGCCAACACAGATAGGAACAGTTTCTCTGATCGGTCTATTGTCGAAAGCGGCATCTACGTCTACCAAGTGACGGCCACTGGAATCCACGCCATTTCCGACCCAAGTCCCACATCAGACTCTGCTACTATTCAAGTCGATGAGAAACTATCGAAGAAGTCCAAGAAGCCAGAAGAGAATATTTCGAAGGATGAGGCTGATGTTGTTCAAGTCAACGGCGGAGACGCTGTTTCAGCAAAGAGTGACGAAATTCAAGAAATCAATATTGAACGGCAAGACGCAAAAACTGAAGAGGTCACTGAAATCAAAGAGGAACAAAAAGCCATTTCTGAAGAAAAGGCTCCTGATGCTACCGAAAAGCAGCCATTAGTCGAGAAGAAGGAGAAGGTCTTAAAAAAGAAAGAAACGGCATCAGTAGAAAAAGACAAGGCCGAAGCCGAAGGAGAGCTTAAAGAAGTCAAAGAAAAACTGAAGAAAGGAAAAACTGTTGAAAAAACCGCTTCACAGGCATCTGAACAAGAAAAGGAGGAAATTTCTTCGGTAAAGAAGTCTGAAGAAAATGAGAAGCAGACAGAGGATGTTGCTGAAGAAGCGTTAGTGAAGGCGGAAGAGACGCACGTCGAAATGAAGTCTGGAGCTTACGGCGAGATCAAGGTATTTCCAATAGGTAATGTATTAGTTAATGTGCGTTTTGAGGCTACCATTGCTTCAACTGACGTGGATGTGGAGTGGAAGAAAAACGGGAAGAAGCTGGACGCCTCGATCTCCGTGGAAACCAAAGGAACGACGACGACGCTCCGAATTCCTTCTGTAGATGACAAGTCCAGCGGCGAATACACGTGCCGTGTCAAATCCAGAGAAGGAAAGGAGGCCAGTGTCTCGATCATTGTTAGCGTCAAAGGTTTGAATTGGATAAAAAAACGGTTTTTTTTTATTAAAAAAATATTCAGATGTACCTCGCGTTGAGGCGGAATCGGCCGTCGTTGAAGTGAAAGAAGGAGAAACGGCCAGGTTGGCGGCTCGCGTCGCTGGTTCTCCAAAGCCTGCCTGTCACTGGACCAAGGATGAAAAACCGATAAAAGTGAACGGAGCTACCAGAAAAACGAATGAAAGCGAATTTCAGGAGGACAAGAACGTGAAGTCATCAGTTAAAGAAGGTGTTGCTGAGCTGACCATCAGCAAGGTAGAAGCGGCTCACGCGGGAACCTACCGACTCAGCGCTTCCAACACCTCCGGAGAGAACAACGTCGAGATAGCTCTCAAGATCAAGGGTCAGATTAGAGTAATAGAGATAAACTGTTCGAAGTTGTTCAGGGACACCATCAGCGCCGGTTGGACCTCTCGTCATCACTGATATCACCAATACTAGCGTCAATCTTGCTTGGAAAGCTTCGGAGAACGATGGCGGAAGTCAAATCCTTGGCTACTGCATCGAGAAGAAGGAGTCGAGCAAGAGAAGCTGGTCTTTCGTGCAAAGAACTACCAAAGAACAGTTCACGCTTGGTCTGAGAGAAAATATTCACAGAAAAAATGGAATAAAATTGATTCCAGAAGGTCTGGCGCAGAAAACTTCCTACGATATTCGAGTAATGGCAGAAAATGCCTATGGAACGGGTGCAGCGATCGAAGGACAAGCCACAACGACAGAAGTTAAAGGTGGGAGAAAAGGGAAAGTTCGATGAAAATTGACTTTATTGAAAAGAAAAAAAACATCTATAGAGAAGAATTTTCAGAAAAGCCCACACAAGCTCCTGGCAAGCCAGCCATTACCGCCACCACTGCCAAAACGGTTTCTCTCGAATGGAAAGGAGTTGATCAGGAAGAAATCACTTACACTGTTCAAATGAAGGAGGTATGTAGAGAGGATGTGATTACAGAGTTCGCGAGGTAGGTCATTCAAAGGCGACCTGGAGAAGTCTCCGCCCACGAAGAAATACGGAAATACGCGTCAGGATATATTTTGGCGCGCTGTCATGCCTTTTGCAATAATAATAGACGACGCGTATCTATAACTATTTTTCTTTAAAATATGAGCGAATATGTTCATAATAAATTTGTAATGTTAAACAAAAAACTCCTTGCTGAGGTTTTGAAAAATAGGTTAGCTGAATTCAAAGTATCGGCGTTTCACCGTGAGAACTTCATAAAACCTATCTTTCTTAAAAGAGTTACCAAGAAGTTTTGAACAAACAATAACGAGAAAAAAAGTTCTGGCTTGTGAATCAATTTTGGACCGTTCAAATTTTTAATTGAGAATTTGATGATAAAAAAATAATTAACAAATTTTTAAAAATTTATTCGTGAATAGCGTTATTCAAACAGAATACGAGCCTAAAGGAAAATTCGAAATTTACAGGCCAACTCGAAGAGAGCGTGGAGCACGGCAGCCAAAGACATTCAGGAGACGTCGACAACGGTCGTCGACCTCAAGGAAGGCTCTGATTACGTCTTCCGAGTGATGGCGACGAATGGCGCCGGCCAAGGTCCTGCTTCTGAGCAGAGCGACGTCGCCAAGTGCCAGCAACCTGTCGGTTCGTTCTTTGCTGGAAATATTTGTCAGCTTTCTCAACGTTTTTTTGTTACAAAGAAAAACCAACCAGCCGGAACATTCAGAAACATCCAAGCCAAAATTCGTCGTAACGCCTGAAGACATCATCTCAGTTAAAGGATCCAAAACGAAAATCTCCGCCGAGTTCAGCGGTCAGCCTGCGCCGGAGATCCACTGGTTCAAGAACAAAAAGGTTAATGAACATTTCTCTTCTGTTTTTTATATTCAGATCCACAAAAAAATGATAATTTATTTCTCACTTTTTTTGTCGTAATATTTTCATAAAACAAAAATTTATATTGTTTTTCAACACCTTTTTTTCAGTATTTCCGCTTCTGAGAGTTGATAATATTCGTATAGTTCATTCAAAATTGTTTATCGAGATAATTCTAAAAGCAGATATCTTGCTTGGTCCAAAATAACAATGCGAACGGCTCTCCAAATAACTTCAATTTTTCTATGCATCTCCGAAGTAAAAATTGGTCGTTTGGAGAGGTTCCAGCCTTTGAGGTCTTATTTATATCTCTATAAAAAAAGACCTTAAAAGTGATGAAATTTAAAACGGAAACCTTTGTGCTTGATGAAAAAGGGGGAAAAATAGAAAATGAATGTATTTTTGGAAAAAGGAAAAATTTTGGAAAAAAATTTGTCCTAAATATTCAAATTTATGTAGTAACAAAATCACCTTATCAGTGGAGCTTGACGAAAAATTTGCAGGAGATCTTCTCAGGCCAAAGACAATGGATCGAGACGGTAGGCAACGCGACATCGCTGACGATCGGTGAATTACGCGAAGACGACGAAGGCGAGTACAAGATCGCGCTGAAAAACTCTCAAGGCTCCGTGGAGCACTCGCTGAAGCTGACGATGGACCAGCTTCCGGAGATCAACCGCGTCGAACGCTACTCCTCGACCCTCGTCTTCGACAAGGGCGAAACCGTCAAGCTGCGTCTCTCCTTCTCAGGTACGTTGTTTAAGGAACGATTTTACTTCTTCTAAATAGCCTATGGGAACGGTCATCACATTTAAAAGTCCACCACTTACATTTCCCGAAGAGAAAATGGTTTATCACGATTAGCTGAACTCCGCTCAAGACTAAGAGATTTCCAAATCCTCACTGCCAGCTATGCGTTTTTCTGTGAAAAGCTTGCAGTGACGGAAAACAATAAAATTCCCGAAACAAGGAACTATTTCAATTCTCACCCATATTCGTGTTCTGCCGGGACCAAAAGGCTTTCAATTTCTTAGAATATTGAATTTCGTGCTTTTTCCGGTAATTTTTTTCTGCCTTTCAATCTAGTATCAAATGTTAAAAAAACATTTTCGTTATTTTTTAACTTAAAAAAACATTAAGATTAGCCGTTTTTTAGCGTTGAAACGTTTCAGAAAAAGAAAATTGATTAAAAACAATAATTTTCCTATTATAGAAAGAAGGTTGTTTTCGATTTCCTTTATTAAGACTGATCCGAGAAAATGGTGACTCATACGCCTTATTGCGAAATTTTACTTCCTCGCCAATATGGAGAAAATATTCTATGAGTTCGAAAGAAGGTTAGATATAGTTCAAATTTTTCTTTTTTTGGTATCCATTTTTCCGAGATTAATACATTTTCACAGTGCTCAGAAGCCTTCAAGACGATAAAACTTTATCGGATGGTGTCTGAGAAAAGAAATAAAAATCTGGATGGGGATTTGATATGTGGTAACTGCACTTACGAGATATAACGACGTGTTGCCGCGCCTTGGCTCGTTTGGTCCGCTCAGCTCGTTTCTCATGCACTCTCTTGCTTTGCCCATATCACTATGGTCGTTTTAAAGAAAAATTCTTCGAAGAGATGCAGCTGAGCGAGAAAAACGAGCGTCGCCTTGAGTCCGTTCACTTTTTTTGTGTTGTCATCGTGTTTGGTTACTTGAAACGGATGGCTTGAAACGAATCAAGGCGCGAAAACGAAGTCGAAGTGAACTTTTTTTTAATAATTTCTTTGTGAAACAATTTTTAGAGAAGAAACTAGGATGGACTCTGGGGGAAGGCAGGAAAGCGCACTTGGGTGAATTCCCGATTTACTCGTATTTCCACAGGATACAACTTAATCACTAGACTCAATCCTTACAATAACACACGAAAAACCGAAAAAAAAACAATCACAATTAAAGCTAGCTCTCAAAACTGACAGAAAAAAAGAGAAAAAAAATCACTTCAAAGTTGATGAATAGGAGCGTTGATTCAATCTTCGTCTCCTTTGAGCATAGACTGCAACGCGATTTCCTGCCGACTCTGGTCCAACTTCTGTTGTTCGGCTTGCTGTTCGTCTTGTGCGACTTTGATGAAGTTGTCGACGATGATAGTGATAGGAAGAGCTAAGACGAGGACGCCGCACATGATCGCCGCTGATGCGATTATCTTGCCCGCTAAATTTAATCAAATCTTCGTCTCTTTCTCGCTTCAAAACTTACTTGCTGTGGCAGGAACGGCGTCACCGTATCCAACAGTGGTCATAGTCACTATACACCACCAATAGGCCGCAGGAATACTGATGAAAGGAGTTCCATCCTCGTCTTTCTCCAAGAAGTAGATCAGAGTTGAGAAGAAGACGACTCCAGTCAACAGGACGATCGCCATCATTTGCAGTTGTTTCTGAGACCTCTGCAAGGTCATTCCGAAAGTCTGGAGTCCAGAGGAGAAGCGGCCGAGTTTGATTATTCGGATAACTCTTAGGACTCGCAGAATACGGACTACGAGGAAAGCCCAGCGCAGATCTCGTAATTTCTTGTCATCGACGCCGCAAAGAGTGAGCAGCAGCTCCAGGTAGAAAGGAACGATCGCCAACAGGTCGACGAGGTTCAGTGGCTTGAGAGCAAATCGCATTTTGCGAGGAGCCGCAAAAAACCGCAGGCAGTATTCGACGGTGAAAAAGGCGATGCATATCCGTTCAGTGAAGACAAAAGCTGGATGTTCCACTCGCATCTCTTCGACCTTCGAAACGACCTGCACCACTCCGTTGGGTAACACGACCGACTCTTTGTGTGGCGCCATGTAATATGTAACCTGTAAAAGATGATTGGAAAATCTGGAGAAGAGGACACTTACTTGAAAGTCCGGTATCGTTCCAAAGCTCAGTCCCATCACAGAAATCGCGACAAAAAGAGTGGAGGAGAGCTCGAAAGCCTTGGCTTGCATCGAAGAGCCAGGCCTTTCTAGGAAAGTCCACATCCGCCGCCGCAGCTTCCCGCACATCAACTTATCGAAAGTTGTGTCATCAACCTGAAATTCATCCTTATCTCTTTGTACCTCAACTAATTTCCAACTTTTTCTTCTTCTTTTTCCTCGTTTCTTGGCTGAGGAACGATATCAGCACAACAGGAGCCGACGTGTTGATGCGAGATTCTCCAAAAATCAAGTTCACTCAAAAACGAAGCGGGGCAAATCTATAAAAAAAAACCTTACAACTGAGAAAAAAAATTTAATCGAGCAAAAATAGCAAGATTTGACTATTTTCATCTCTTTAAACTTTATTTTGAGAAAACGAACATTTAAAATATTTTGATCTTCAAAGGTTTTTATCTTCCTTAATTTTCATAAGTTTCTATAAAAAAGGACCTCTGAGGGACGATGTACGACACCTGTCGCGTAGTATTGAAATATCGCCTCGAAGGACGTCGGCGACCTTTGGAAGTAATAGGCGTCATCATCCGCTAGATAGGCGTCGGAAACCTGTTTTCGACATCAATCAACATTATTTCTGGATTGATTCTTTACTTTCAATCGAGCCGTATGCGTGAGCTGCACAAATCGTGACAAAAAAGTCGTCGATTCGGCTCGAAGCAAAGCGTCGATGAGGATGACGAAGCTTGTCCCGCCGATGTTGAGCCTCAGGAAAAGAGGTTCTCCCTCGGAGCCAACTCCCCCCGGTGGCACAACCTGCGGTTTAAAAATAAGCTTCAACACCTCGGTGATTGTTTTTTGTTTTACTTGAAAACAGTCGGGACCGCCTGACCGCCAAACATCGTCGAGGACTTGAGCGTTCCGCCGTTCGGCATGGCTCATGGCGTCCGTTTTCCTCAACGGAATCAGCCGCTTTTTATGTTGTTGGGCTGCCCTGAAAATTAATTTTGAAGCGAGGAACATACTCGTTGAAAGCTAAGGATATTTTTTTGATCGATGATCAAAAAAAATTAGGAGAAAAATTACCAACACTTTGTTTGATAATATAGAGAAAAAAACAGAATATTTGTATCAGCAAAATCAGTGAAAGATTTGTTTCCAGAAATGAATCAAGATAAAAATATCCTTAGTTAAGCTGAAATTTCCTTCAATTATATTTTTTTTATAAGCAAAAACCATTCAAGTGTTGGTAATTTTGAACTACACACTATCATTGAATCTTTGGTGGAGAAACAAAGCCATGCAGTGCAACTTTTGATCGGATTTCGGAAAAGGTTGAAAAAAGGCATGCAGGTCGAAAAATGAAGAAGAAGAAGAAGACTCACCCGCTGATCATGTTGCCGGTTACCCTGTAATTTTTGAACTTTAGCGCATCTTGGCTATTAGGAACGGCAAATTGTATGGAGTTTCTGTGGGTAAGGACGGCCTGTGATATTGCGATCGCCATTTCGACGACGACTTTGACGGAGGTTTTTGCAAGAAAACGGACAGCCACGTGTCTCTAACCCCTCCGGAGTGAAGTCAAAGAGTGAAGGCGGGTGGGACGATGATTGGCAACGACTTTTGATGAGACGGAGTTCGAGGCTAAGGCGTGAGAAAAGAGGAGGAGGAGGAGCCTTTTGGGTTGGACAAGCAGAAAGAAGAATGATTCCAGCTCAGATTTGCTATGACGTCGTTTCCTCTGGCCGTACTTGTTTAACACCTTCACAACAATCCATACAAGCCGAGTCCATCATTGAGCCTCGGATAATCAATTGATCAATTAGCAAATTCACCAAAAGTTCTAAATTCGTTTGAAAAATTTTTTTCGTATTTGCAGAAGTTTATTTTTACACTCATGAATTATATGCCAATATGGGACAAAAATACATCAAGAAAAAGTATTTTTCAAAAAAATGAAATTAAATTTAACTTTGAATTTTTAAAACACCGGAAAAAAACAAAGCCTTGTTTCTCTTTACAAAGGTGAATCTTAAGTGAGGGTCCTAAAAAAATTTTGGCCTTTTTTTGAACTTTTCTCAAAGAAGACATAAAAAAAGCTAAAAACTGAAGATTAGTTTAATGTGACATAATTACCCTTCCATGACTTCTTTTCTTCGAATTCTTTGATTTTTCTGATAACGATGCCAGTGATGGTAAGACCACAATGAAGATATGTATTGATGGAAGCCGAAGATGGGCTGATTATGTCTGATAAAATCAGTGAAACAGTTCCGAAGCCCAGAAGAGACAGTATCAAGTGGAAAAGTGCGTTCTCGATGAAGAAAAAATGAAAGGAACAGAAAGAAAGAAATGAACCGGCTGCCCAAGAACATGCACCTGCAAGGTAGTTTTGCGACACTCACTGTCCATTGTAGGCGAGCGCCGAGTACGAGATGCTGGCGGCGGCCATCGGACCGATGTCAGTTTTGGGTTTGCTGCGCAGAGCCGAGGATATGATAAGGCGGTGCGGTAGCAGGTGCCAACACGTCGCGTGGGAAATGTTGGGCTCTCCTGCGGCGGCTCTCGATCGATGAGATATAATACGGCCGCAAAAAATTCTTTTTGCTCGTCTAAGCCATTCAGGTGCGGCGGTCTACCTGCAGACTTGCGCTTCACCGCCTCCAAAATCGGCAACGTGTGCCGAAATTGGAATTAGAACGCCCCTTTTGGCCTTTGCTTTGAGGCTTAGGTATCGCTAATAAACAAGTACGGATATGGAGTGGTGGTGGTCCTTGGAAACTGGATCGACATGTAGACTTGAGAAGTGGAAAAATGAGCCGCTGAAGGTTGGAAATAATGAGAAGAACGACGGCCGCCGGCCGCCACTTGTCAGATGTGTTTTCGATTAAGCACATGTTGAATTCAATGTCGCAGAGGAAAGACGACGGTAAAAGATGTAGTCCTAGAGATATCGAGGATTTGATAGACCACATTTTCACAGAAAGTTGAGTCGGCCAAAAAAAAGAAGTGGACCAGAGAAAAGAAAAGCACTGAGTTCCTGAAGCTAGACCAAAGAAAAACACCCAAAAAAGCTAACCAGCAGTTTCAACTATGCAAATCTACGACTTCCAGGCATTTTGAATTATAACTACTCGTCCACGAACGGCTTGCAGGAGGCCGAAACTCCGGAAAAAAGAAATAAGAATGGGTCCAACGTTTTTTTTTTCCTATTTTTTCCGTCTCTCAGTCGGTGGTAAGCCGTATTCACCTGTGGGCGATCCAAAAAGCAAACGTTGTAACCGTTGCGACTGAACCACGTATCAGTTTTGCCCTACGACAACTTGGCTTATTTCTTCTCCCATTTCAAAAGCCGCAAACCCACAAAACAGCAGCTAATTGTGCTTGAGAAAGCCGAAATCAGGAAAAAGTGCCGCGGCCGTGCTCACTCAACCGAACCGAACTCTTATTTTTGTTTTGCAAGCCTTTTTCAAACACGATTGCCGAGTTCATTACAATTTTAACAAACTAAAACGCATTAAAAATGTAATATACTCTTAAGATAACTTGAGATCACATCTCAAGTCCATTTTATATTTCGAAAAACTTTGAGAACGAGTTGAAAAATGAATGAGTTTATGTGCACCCGCTGTCGATTCAAAAACACAATATATAAAAAAAAAAAGACCCTCTGAATGGCAGGCCACTGAAGTTGTAACTTATATTCACTTATATATTTATATTTTTTTCTATGTATACATTTTTAACGCCAAAAGCAATGGGAATGAATGAAACAGCTTCAACGACATTTCACTAAATGGTCTGATAAATATTTCAACGCGATTTGTATATTAAATGTTTACTGAGGACTTCAAATGAAATCACGGGTTCCAAGTGGGGCCTTCAAGTACTCTTGATTGCCTTTCTTTGAATCTAAAAGAATTGTTTTTCAAGATCATCTGGTAAAATCTATCGAGGTTAAGCTGAATTACTAACTAGCTGAGCCTTTTTCGATGACTAAAAAGGGTCAGAGAGCTTAGAAATCTTCAAATTTTCACATTAGATGAATTAAATGGAGGAAAGTAGTGGGTTCAAGTTTGAAGAGTGAAAGCGATACAAATGAGGTGGAAATGAGAAGGCGCCAGTGGCAGCCAAGGCATCGAGAGCAACAAGCCGACCCCAGGAATATCGGACAGTGAGGTGGATTGTTTGCGATGCTGTTGTCTCAACACACACACACACATTTTTCCCTCACAAGAACATCTCCCGCTCTCGACGGTCTCAACGCTATTTTATCACCAGACGGCGTGTCGCAAGCTTTTGGAGCAGGGCAGTTTCGTCCTTTCGAGTACCGTCGACCTCGAGTTTTGCATGACCTCCAACAGTTTCTCAATGAAACGCTAGGTTGGCTCTTGATCTTTGGGTTCAGTCGGCGCAAAGCTGAGTAGATTATGTTTCGCCAGTTTGCTGAATTATTCAGACATCTAAAAATTTGAGAACGGCCACTCAAAAAGGTTTCAAAAAACTTGCTTTAATGAGAATAATAATGGATTTAGATAATAATGCGTTTAGAGAAAATGGAAAAGGACGTCAAAAATAGATCGTGGGGCAGCATATCCTCCTTATGGCTGATCAGAATGATTTCATTGTAGAATGGTAGTAGAAAAAAACTTCGCAGTTCTTTTTTTCTATGTAAAAAAATCTCAGTAATTTTTTTGTTAAACAGGAATCATAACGTATGCGACTTATTAAAAATAATAATTTTATGTGCTTTCACATGAATCGTCAAGGTGACTGCTGGGTCATAAACAGAAACCTTTTTTGATTCACTTAGCCCTAGAGGGCACCTTCCAAAATCTCACACGGCCATCTATTTTTCATCAGGCTATCACGTCAAGTTCGTGCGAACTCGGGTGTTTGAGTAAATTATATTTCTGGCGGGTGCTCGATAAATTGTGTAGAAGCCGACAAGTCACGAAATAAATGAAAGTGCTACGAAAAAGGAACTCACACGTCGAGATCGGTAATTGGAAGTTGGGGGTCGTGGGTCCTCGAAGCTCGGATCATCGTCGTTTCGGCGTCGACCGTTTGCCAAGAAAGCCTTGGCGAGGTCTCAATTGCGAGCAAAAATCCGAGAACACGTTGAAAGAACGTTTTGGATGCAGCTGGAAATTGGGCGAGGGAACGCGCGAGGTTTTACGAGGGAAATTGCAGAATATTTTCTACATTTTTCATTTTTCAAATTATTCTGGTTTTTGGCGAGGGTAATTGGAAATGAAAATTGAAGCTAATAACTTTTCTTCAAAAAAACTACAATTTGAGACCCAAAACGCCATCAATCACACTCGAAAAACGTAGGAAATAAAGATGGCGAGCCAGGGATTACATTTTCAAAATTTGAGTGAGCGAATCCCAGCTGAGATTGCTTGGAAATGGTGGCTTTTCGTGTTTACTCGTGTATTCCTATAAAAGATTGACGAGAGATATAACTAACTTTTGCCGTAAACAAAAAGCCAAAAACTTCTTCCATTTTCAAAAAAAAATTTTCACCATACTCAGAATTGAAGAAAAATAATAATGAAAATGAAACTTCAGAACTTTCCGGGAAAAAAACTTTTGCTCTCATTTCTATACTCCTTTGTGCCGTAAAAAAACAGCGCTCTAGTTCAAGTTTCGCTCGCCGCCAAGGAAACAGCTGTAGAAGAATTTGTAATGTAAACATTTATTATTCCAAAATTGACGATCTCGGAGCACGAAATGCTTCAAATACGTCTTTGGAAAACTTCCTCGAGAAATCTTGTGAAAAAATGTTCGGAGAAGCTGAAGTCAAGTAGAAGATTCAAAAAAGCTTCAAGAGAAACATGCGAAGATGGACTTCACATCCCCTTTGACCGCGAAAGTCTAAATCAAATTGACGAACGGCGTAATTTTTGCAAATTTGAATTTTCTTTCACCTGGAACGAGGCGCTTACGAAAAGAAAAACGACCACAAAAGCATTGATACCGTCGCCAGTCAATGGAAACAAAGCCCATAATTTCGAGTAACTGCCATTTTTTCTTTCGTGTTCAATTTAAACGTAGGAGGTTTATAGCTCAATTTGATTGAAAGCAAAAATTGGAAGCGAACAAAAGATAGTCAAGACTGAAGGGGCAAAAGCAAAGGTCCATGGCCAATGCGCATTTGTGAAATTGGATCCGTTCACGTTAGAAGATGATCCTTTATGACTTGGTTGAACAGATTGAGAAAAACGTGACTCGAAAAACTTTCACATGGCCTGCAAAAAATAGCTTCCGAACACTTTTTAATCGAGAAAAAAAGCCAAATGATGCAGAATTAATTTCAGTGAGTAGAGCTAAACCTCTTAAGTCTTTTACTAATCAAGAACCTCGGCTAAGCGGTTTTTCGTTAACTAAAATAATTGAATTCCCAGTATTTCAGCATTTGAGAAGTGTTCTTTGTTTTGAAAAGCTTTTAAGCTATGAAAAGTTTTCCCGATATTTTGAAATTTAGAATCAGGAGAAAACATTCAATCATTGTTAACCGCAGTTACTCAAGACTTTGAAGCGATTTCTGTAAAAAACAATTTTCTTTTATCGACTTTCCAGTATTTTAGAGTTCGAGAAGGATTTTCAAACATATAACAGCGGAGAAAATTTCCAAAAAGCATTTTCAATCAGTAAATAACAGAACAAAATCCAAAAACTGAATATTGCTCATTTTGTTATCCAAAAAACTTTTTCAAGCGTTTTAAGGAACACTTATGCTGATCGGAATTTACTCGTTTCGGAATTTTTTGAGAAAAAAACGGCAAATGGGAAGAACAAACACCAAGGTAGGAGCCAAGGATGGCATCGAATTTCAGGAGGTTTATTGTATTGGCTAACGTCGAAATCGAAAATTCAAGGTGATACTTTGACGAGAAAGAGAAGGAAACGACAAAATGAAAGGATTCGGAGAAGAAAAGCCGCTCGGATTGTGGTGAGAAGATATGAATCGGATGGGTCCCTGTGGTCGTTTTCCCAAAAATGTCCAACACAAAGTGTAATTGGCGAGATGCCAGACTCTATTAGCCGCCCAACTTATGATGATATTGGGGAATTCGAAAGAAAACCAAGACTCACATGGTAGGCATCTTGACAACGTCGTCCCGCCGACGCGTTGGCGAGGCTTCTTTTTCGTGAGGTTCTCAGTATAATTGGCGGGCTCAGAGAATATCTCGCCTTTTCGGATATCAATTGGAAGAAGGCCAAGAAGCTTCGGCGTGAGGCTGTCTCCCAAGAAGAAAACGACTATGCGGCCACGCCCCGCAAGCACCGACGACGAATATAAGCGGAGGCGTCGAGAAGGGTGTGCTCGCGTTGGCCGGAAAACGCGCGCCAATTCAAATCCGCCTCCAAAAAACTTTTTTTTCAATTCATCAGAGATCTAAAAAATATGGGAACAAAAGCAAGGTACTCCCAAGCGCCGGGTATCCATTTACAATGATCTCTCAGACGCACTTGAAACGAAAAATTCAAGCTTCCGCTCAAATTTATTTGACCAGTTGAAAAGACAAGCAGAACTTTGTACCTTTCAATTGAAAAATATTAGGAAAACCTTTGTAAACCTAAGGTATTATATAAACATGACATCAAGATTTTTTCCGAACTGTCTTTTCCGAGTTTTGCTTCAACCTTTTCGACTCATCAATCATTCTTGAAAAATATTCAATATACATCATCGAACGAATTTACTTTTCAACAATTGTACTTTAAAGAAAAACGCAAAAACTTGTTCCAAAGATCTTTTTCAATTCGTCTCGGAGATCTATGAAAGACCTTCCAGACTTCGCCCGAAAAAACCTTTAGACTCTGACCGGAAGCCGCTTTTTCGCTCATATCGAATTCTTTTGTTTCAGACTGAAAAACGGCACATCAGTATTATGTCATTTCTCTTGTTTGAAAATCTTCAATAAATTCTTCTATGCTATCCCTCCATCTTCAGTTTATAATATTTCTCATTCAATTACTCAAACGCCTCTATTTATCTTCGAAACCTTGTTTTTGGTTCTCCTTTTTTGCCTAAACATAGGAAAAAATCTTCTGAAAACCACGAAGCAGCTGCAAACGACTTCACATTCTCCAAATGTTGGTCATGAATAATAGAAAGCGGGCATATACCAAACGAATTTCCCAGCCTTTTCCAAGTTTCCTCAGTTCTTTTTCGGACGGCGAACCTTAAATATTCCAGGTCAGAGTTTTCAAGCACTAGTCCTTCTCAAAAGTTGCACGTCAAAGATCACTCGAAAAATTCCCTTGTTTCTTCAAGGTGTTGACTTTGTGTTCTTTAAAGCCGATTCGTGGGAGGACAAAGAAAAAAGAAAACAAAAAGATCGTAGGAAAAAGAAGAAATAAAAATTTTTCAGGCCGTCCTGCACCGTCAGTTCACTGGATCGACAACACTGGCAAAGAGATTGAAGAGTCCAGAAAAATGAAGGTTTTTTGGATATTAAAAATTCCCTCATCAGAACCCAAACTGGTTAGATCGAGTCGACAGCGCTGAACACAGTCCTGACGATAAACAGCATCGAAGCCAGTCATCAAGGAGAATTTACGTTGAGAATTAAAAATCGCTGCGGAGAAGACAGATATCCCATCGGTATTCAGGCAAGTTCGCTCACATTTCTACCTTTATTAGTCCAAGGAAAGTCCCACAAAGACCTCGAAAAAAAAATTGATACTCTACTTACCCAGCACTGGAGAATCCTCCACTGGAAAACGTGTTGTTACCCTAAAGTTAATTTTTTTTTCTAACCAAAAAATAGTTGAAGTTTACCGTTGGGATAACCATCGCGCCGTTGTTATGGTCGTTTTTTTGTCCTTTTTTCACGTCTGAAAATTTTTTTTGTAATTGGATCATGTTCCGAAGTTTTTAAGAATGTTTTCGGTTTCGACTGAAGTTATCTTCAAAAAATGTTTTTTGATATTTCTCTAACTAGCAAAAAAAGCAATTTACTCGGACTTTCGAAACCATTTTGGAATTGGCCAGAAAGCCCTTAACTTTTCAAGTACTGGAAAAGATTCTAAGAGTCGTAATCTGCAAAACTAGTTTCTGAGAGAAAAAAAGCAAAAAAAAAACTATTTTTTTGAATAATTTATTCTTGATAATTAAAAAAAGATGAGCAGGCCAGGATCATGATGAAGGAATGTTGTGCACATAAATAATAAAGTTATTAAAGAAAAAGTACTAAATTTTTGGACTAAAAAGTACCTTTTTTTGTGAGTAAAAAAATATTTAGTATCTAAGTAATAATTAGAGACAATAATGCTCTACGAAAAAAAGTACTATAAATACTTTTTTTCAAACGTTATGGCTTGCAACAGCTTTCAAATTAATCCGTTTTAATATTTAAAAAAACATAAACATACGATTTCCTTTGAAAAACTCTTGCCTCGCACCAAAATGTATTCACAAGAAACTAGTTTCGAAATATCATCATTTCGGTCACTACGACTAGTCACATAGCCCACATAACAAAAATAGAAATCGAGAGTTTATGAGAAAAAAAAAGCGGCGAAGAACCAGCCGACGGTTTTGTTGGCCAGAAGGCTGAAAGAAAGAACGTGTGACGAAAAACAGTTAGACGTGAGAAGCAAATGAAGATTGGGTCTTCACATACTTTGTGCAAATTGGCCAACAACGGGTCGCGAAATAGCAGGCCGAGTTGCGAGATTTCGATACTGACGCTCACAAACTTCATTTCTTCGCACCTCCTATCAATTTCCAAGTGTCCACACCCCTTCGGAGAACCTAAAATTTCAATTGGAGGAAGTGGAGAAGAAAAAGCATAAATTGTTTCAGGTGACGGACAGACCGGCGGCACCTGGAAAACCAGCAGTCGAGGATCAGAATGTGGATTCAGTTCGACTGCGATGGGCGGCGCCAACCAATGATGGCGGTTCGCCAGTACGCAACTACACAGTCGAAATGTGCACGGTGAGCAGAAATTCAATGAATGATATGAACCGATCTCGGATCCAGGAGAAAAAGGCGGAATGGGTGAAGGCCGAAGTCACGAAGCAGGCGTTCATCACCTTGTTCAACCTGACAGCCGGCGAAACCTACAAGTTCCGCGTCCGCGCTGACAACACTTTCGGACTCTCGGATCCTTCTGAGGAATCTGAACCCGTCATTGTCAAGGTAATTTACCTTGAACTTTAGAAAAACTCCAAGTTTCCAGGATGTCAAGCGCACTGTTGAAGAACCGAAAAAGAAGCAGAAAGTGAAAGAAGAAAAACAAACCATCGATTATGATAAGCAGGCGACGGACGTGACCGCTTCAGAATACACAAACGTCGATATACATCGACTTCCCAACGATCTTCAAGCCAAGTACATCATCCACGAAGAACTAGGCAAAGGCGCCTATGGTACTGTGTACCGAGCCACCGAGAAAGCCACTGGCAAAATCTGGGCGGCCAAAATGGTTCAGGTAGATATGGCTGAAATACGTTTGTCTCTGCAAATTGAGATTCAGGTTCGACCAGGAGTGAAGAAAGAGAACGTACTTCACGAAATCGCCGTCATGAACCAACTTCACCATGAAAAGCTGCTCAACTTGCACGAAGCCTTCGACATGGGCAACGAAATGTGGCTCATTGAAGAATTGTAACAATAACTTCGAAGTTTAATCATTGAGAAAAAAAACTACAGTGTTTCCGGTGGCGAACTATTTGAGAAGATCATGGAAGACGACTCCCTGATGAGCGAAGAAGAGGTTCGCGACTACATGCACCAGATCCTTCTCGGCGTCCAGCACATGCATAAAAACAGTATTGTTCATCTTGACTTGAAGGTACGAAAAAATCTTTTATCTCATAAAAAAACTCATTTTCCAGCCGGAGAACATTTTGCTCAAGTCGAAAAACTCGAATGAACTGAAAATTATCGATTTTGGGTTGGCTCGCAAGCTTGACCCGAAGAAAAGCGTGAAGCTTTTGTTTGGAACTCCTGAGTTCTGTGCTCCTGAGGTTGTCAATTATCAACCTGTCGGCTTGGCCACAGACATGTGGACTCTTGGTGTCATCTCCTACGTTTTGTACGTTGATTTGATTTTTTTTTCGTTCTCAAGCGAGAAATTTTTAGGCTTTCTGGTCTGTCACCGTTCCTCGGAGACAGCGACGAGGATACTCTGGCAAATGTTTCGGCAGCCGATTGGGACTTTGATGATCCATCCTGGGACGATGTCACAGACTTGGCCAAGGACTTCATCTGCCGACTCATGGTCAAAGACAAAAGAAAGCGCATGTCCGTTCAGGACGCATTGAGACATCCATGGATTACGGTCAGTTCAAGAACTAAACAGTCCTTTTCCTGTTCAGTGTTTTCGAAAACTAACATCTTTTTATTTCACGAAATCGAAAAAAAGTTTCCCAAAAAGTTTTACAAATCTTCAGAAAACAAAAAAGAAAACAAATTTTATCTGAACACTGATTGCAAAACACGAAAACCGTCAAAATTTGGTCGGATTTTTGCGCTTTTCATTTTTCCTTTAACGTCCAGAAACTACCAAAAATCAAGCAACCATTGATTAAATTTTTACAAAATTTGACCCGCGCAAATAAAAAAAGAAATGTATTAAGAAACTTCATTAAGTTTTAGTTTCTTTTTGATTTCAAAAGGCTAGAGAAAATGTAGTTCTTCAATTTTGTGAAACCGTGTAAGTCAAAAATTTGAATGGCCAAGATTGTACAAAAACATCTAAAAACAGCAAACAACAAGAACTTCATCAGAATTATAAAGCTAAAAGGTGACCAGTTCAGTTCAAAATTTAGAGCAAAGTAAAGAACTTTTGTTTCATAAAAATTGCATGCAAGTTTCGTTATTCATGTGTACGTCTTTTTTTTGTTCAGGGTCCACTCCTCTCTGCGTTCAATGACTTGTCCGAATATGTTAAGGTCCTTTTTTTTTGTTAAACTAGCATGTTCAGCAGAAAACAAATAGTTTTATAACCAACTTCGTTCAGAAAACTCAACCAAAAGCTGATCGTGGAGCCCTACCACCAAGACAGAAGAAGAACTTCCTTTCTTTGAAGCGGTATATAAATATTCTGTCTTTTGCCACTGCTATGTTTTTTTTTTATCAGGTGGTCCGACAATCTTCTTCCGATTGGTCGCTTGGCGAAACGAGGTGCTATTTTCCGACGTCTCACTATGGATGGCGTGTTTGAGCGAAACATCAGCTTCGGTAAATCTTATATATCCTTTTTTATACGAACAATGAAATTCAGATGCTGACTACGCTCCGACCGTCAACAAACAACTGGAAGACATCGTCTCACACGTTGGAGACCTGATTGCCACGCTTTCTTGCAATTTGGAAGGTTCTCCAATGCCCAAGATCACCTGGTTGAAAGACGATAAAGAACTAGTTGTACCTTCCATCAAGTACGACTCATTCTTCAACGAAGGTCAGGCCGAGCTCACCATCAAAAACGTCACCGAAGAAGACGCAGGACGATATACATGTCGTGGAACTAACGAGTTGGGCAGTATCATGACCAACGCCACGCTCTCCGTTGAAAAAACTGAGAAAAAGAAAAAGTCTGAAACCCTGCCAGCTGCAATGGAAAAGCAGAAGAAGAAGACCACCAAAATTGTGGTGCCAACAGAAGAAATGTGCGATCTTCCACCAGACTTCCATCACAAGCTGAGCGACTGTGATGCTAAGATCGGCGAAATAAAGATCTTGGTTGTGACCAACACAACTTTGCCGGAGCCCACCGTAGAATGGTATCACAATGGTGAGCACATCAGCGCCAACGACAGCAATTATATGAGGCGCCACGACAAAGGAAGATATGAGCTGCATATTCTTAGCGTCGATTCAAGTGATGCTGGTCATTGGAAAGCTGTTGGCAAGAACGCCTACGGAGAATGCGACAGCGAATGTGAAATGAGCGTCACCATTCCAGATGGACAGTTTGCTCCAAGTTTCGGCAAGCCCCTCGAAGACATCCGTTGTACTGAATCCGACATTTTGAAGCTGGAAGTCAAGATTGATGCTAATCCAGCACCAGAAATTAGCTGGTTCCGAAATGAAGGTGAAATCGAACACTCGCAAAGACATCGGCTCCAATATGATGATGGAAATGGTAACTACTCGCTCACCATCATTGACGCCTATGCCGAAGACAGCGGTGAATACAAATGTATTGCGAAAAATAAAATCGGTCGCGCCCACACGATTTGCTGCGTACGCATCGAAGAACTGGAGTCTAAACGAAGCAAAAAAATTGACGGAAGCAAGGCTCCACGGTTCCGAATGCAGCTGGCCAATCCACGCGAAGTCCCACAAGGTGCTGACTTGACACTGGTCTGCTCTGTTTCAGGAACGCCGCATCCGATGGTCAGGTGGCTGAAAGACGAAAAGCCAATAGATATGTCTAACAAGCAAGACAAGGAAGAAAACGGAGTTTGCACGATGACCATCTTTGCTTCGAAGCCAGAAGATCAAGGAAAATACATTTGTGAAGCAGAAAACATGCATGGCGTCGCCAGATCGGTGTGTGACGTTGAAATTAAAGACGCAATCGACAAAGACCACATCAAGCCTCGATTCACTGAACAACTGGTGAACTGCTCCACATGCGAAGGCAACGAGATCGTTCTCGAGTGCTGCGTTGTCGGAAAACCAACTCCGGCCGTTACTTGGTACAAAGATGGACTGAAACTCATCATCGAGAACCGCATGCTACAGTACACAGATCGCAGAGGAGTTGCCAGACTCAACATTATGAACGTCGTGACTGATGATGCTGGTGACTACACTTGTGAAGCAGTTAATTCTCTTGGCAAAGACTTCACTCACTCCACCGTGAAGGTCGTCGACATGGGTCTTGCCAAAACACGGCTCACTCCAAGCCGTAGCCGAAGCAGAAGTCGCTCTCCTTCCGTTATACCGGCAGAACAAGCAAGGCCTCCTGTTATCACCAGACCGTTGGCCGATGCGACAGTGATAGAAGGTAATCGAGAACTCCTTGAAGTAGAAGTTGACGCCAATCCAACTCCAACGATCGAATGGTACCACGACGGCAAATTGGTGGCTGAAAGTCGTACTCTACGGACCTACTTTGACGGCCGAGTGGCTTTCTTGAAGATCTATGAAGCCCATGACGAGCACAACGGTCAATACGTTTGCAAAGTAAGCAATAAAGCTGGAAGTGTTGAGACAAGAGGAACAGTCGCCGTCCAGAAGGCTTCAGGTCCAGCCGACCACGTCAGCAACATGCCTACATTTGTGACGAAGCTTCAAGACGTGATTCTCAAGAACTCTGGTGAGACTGCGACTTTCACCTGTCAGCTTCACGCTCAACCGGCTCCACAAATTTTGTGGATGCACAACGGAAAAGCCATTCATAACATGAGCAATATAACAGCTAGATTTTTCGACGACAATACAGCGACTTTGGTCATTGAGAAGGTGACTGATCAACTTTGTGGAACGTACACGGCCGTCGCTAGTAACAACTTTGGAGACGCTCACTCTTCCGCTCAGCTTTCTATCGCCGGCAAAGAAGAAATAGCCGCAGTTGCCTCTCTTCCCTATTTCATTGTCGAGCCCAAGCCAAAAATTTCGGTTGAAGAAGGAACAAACCTCTACATCACGGCCGATATCAATGGTTCACCAGCGCCTGAAATCGCCTGGCTCAAAGACAACAGGCCTTTAGATCCGTCAAACCGAGTTTTTTTAACCAAGGATCGAGTCTCCTACCAACTTACAATTCAAAACGTTACTACTGAAGACCAAGGAACATACACGATAACGGCCGAAAACGAAAGAGGCAAAGTGAGAGAAAACACCGAAGTTGTCGTCCTTTTGTCATCTCCCCAACAAAAGCGGAAAGCCGTTCGTACTGACAAAGACAAAGAGCTGAAGCCTGGAAAACCATCTGAGCCGAGAGCGCGTAGCGCAACAGTCAATAATGTTACCTTAAATTGGGATGCTCCTGGAGAAGGAAGCGGAGGAGAAGTTGAAAGTTACCAAGTTGAACAAAGAAATCCTGACCAACAAACATGGAAAGCCATCGGAAAAGTTGTGACTACGGAAATTGACATCCAGGAACTTGCTCCGAACACCGAATACTTGTTCCGTGTGGCGGCGATGAATAAGAGCGGCAACAGCGACTGGAGTTACATGAAAGAGACGGTGAAAACAGCTGCAGAGGGACAACTTCCGCAAATAATATCTACTCCTACTTCCATTTTGACCGCTACACCCAACGAGAAGTTCACCCTCTTTGTCAAATTTGTCGGTGCTCCGGAGCCAACGGTGAGATGGTACAAGGACAGCCGAGAACTGAGCTCTTCAGAAAAAGTAAATTTCGAAAACACTTCACAGAGCTCTCTTCTCACCGTAGAAGCGACTGGCGACGAAGAGGGCACCTATTCAGTTCACATTGAGAACGAGCTTGGAAGAGTTTCCTACTCGTGTCAAGTCAAACTGGCCAAAAAGATGGAATCACTTCGATCAAGTCCTGAGCATTCCTTGGAACGAAATATCACGCCGAGTGTTCTCAAAGAGCTTAATAATGAGTTCACTCAAACAGGCCAACAGTTTGTTCTCAACTGCCGCATCGCTTCGAAGTCAGAGCATACTGTAGCCTGGTTCAGAAACGACGAAAGGATCCAGCCCACCGGCCGTTACGAACTGAGCACTGACAAGAAAGGCAACCATCGCCTAGTATGTCATTCATCTCAAGCTGGTGATTCTGGAACTCATCGTTGCGTCGTCAGCAACGCATATGGATTCGCACAGAGTGAATGTATTGTGACTGTCGAGGACGTTAAAAACTTCATAACTCCTTCATTTACTAAAGACCTGGAAGATAACACTGTGATTACGGGCAAAAGTATAGCTTTGCAATGTGTCGTCCAAGGATTCCCGACGCCTGATGTAACTTGGAGCAAAGATGGTGAAAGAATCACGACAACGCGACGTATGAAGTGTACCCGAGATGAAGACGGTACATGCAAACTGTTCATCTCTCAAGCTGAGAGCGAAGACACCGGCGTTTATGTCTGCTCAGCAACCAACGTGGCAGGAGTCGATTCGGTTTCAGCAATGGTCGTCGTCGCGAAAACTGCCGGCGAAGACATGCATCTCGTGGTGGCAGACACGCTAGAGGAGAAGCAAGATAAGCCACGCTTCACTCGAGCTCCACCTTCCCTGTTCGACGTTCCTGAAGGAGGACAGTTCACTCTCATTGCCAAGGCTGTAGGACAACCAAAGCCAGTGATGACGTGGTTGAAGGACGGAAGAGAGATTTTGAGAACAAACCGCCTCTACAAGCACTACCTGACTGGAGATGGAGAAAGCCACTTAACCGCTGAGTGTGTTGTCTCTAAGACCAGTGGCATTTTCAGCTGCAAAGCCACCAACATTCACGGATCAGTAATTGCCGAATCCCAGATCATAGTCCAAAGGAAGAAGTCCACCCTGGACCAAGTTTCATTGGCTCCGACTTTCGTCACGCCTCTAGCCGACATGGGGATCGTAAACGGGCACCCCGTAACGTTGAGCTGCGTCGTTCGAGGTGCGCCAGAGCCACAACTCAGATGGTTCTACATTGACGACTACGGCAACACGACAGACCTAACAAAAAGCACTAACAACTGGATCGAATGCAGATTCGGAGAGGTGATAAAACGTTTAGTCTCTTTTTATCCAATTGAAAGTTTATAGATTGCTGAACTCAAATCTGAACGAGTTTTTCGCGACCAACGAGGAACTTACATGTGTGAGGCCAAAAATGCTAGCGGTCAATCTTCTACCAAATGCTATCTTCTTGTGGGAGGTCCGATATTTTCATAATTTTGCTCTAAAACTGGATTCTTTTTGCAGAACTTTCCGACGAGCCAGCTGGACCACCTCGTTTTGTACGCTGTCTCCGAGATATTTGGACTCCTCTCAATGAGAAAGTATCCTTCAGCGTTGAAATCGCTGGATACCCAATACCTGACCTTGTCTGGTATCGAAACGATCAAAAAGTGGTCGAAGGAAAAGGAATTGAGGTTATCATTAAAAAAAAAAACAAAGTACGAAAAAAAATTTTCGAAAACATTTAATTTTAGAATTTTTTTTTAAATGAAAAGTTAATTCAAAAAAAAAAAGTTACATTATCGAACGTTTAGAAAAAAACTACAACAAAATGGGATGAAACAATCAGAGAATCTTGGAATTTCAGTTTTTAATGTGTCATATATTCTGTCGACGAACGTTGCTTCATTGAAAAGTTACGAAACTGTTTTCAGGAATTAAAAAAAAGGAGTGTGAAGAATCTGAGACTCAAAGAAAGTTATAAGATCTCATGATACATTTTTTTTATTCAGAAACTACGTTTTTTATAGCAGAAAGTTAACCAATCTATCTCATTTTTCAGATCACATTCCCAACAGACACGACCAGTGTTCTGACTATTCCATCGGTTTCGCTTCGAGACCTTGGAATGTACTCGGTGGAGGCGAGCAATTTACACGGAGTTGTTCGCACTGCCGGAAGCTTGAACGTCGGTGAGCCTCGACGCGCCGAACCACCTGAGTTCAAGCACCTTTTGCAAAAACTCGTCGCCGTCCAACCGAAAGTCGCCTTTTCAGAAGATGTGAGCGCTGTCATTTTTTTCTCAAGAAATTTTATTCGATTCAGGTTGATTCGTCCGTTTCACCTAACCGCGCCGAGCACAGAAAGAAGGGAGCTGCACCCATCTTTGTTCAAGGCCTGGAGGATATGGACATGAAAGCCGGCACATCTGCTGCGGTCGCCGGTAAACTCGGAAGAAGTGAGTGAATTTGGACGGTTGAAAATATAATTGACAGAGGGTTGAAAATATAATTGACAGAGAGGTTGAAAATATAATTGACAGAGCTACGACCACAACGACATCAACACAAGGATGATGCTACACGGCTAGCAAAGTCCATTGCAAAAGCTGCGAAGGTTTCTGAACCCCATACTTCAACCGAAGTACGGCCTGAATCGAGGCCTGAGAGCTCTGGTAGAAAAGAATATTTGAAAGAATGAATCAAAAAAAATATTAGCGTTGGACGAAGTTCGTGCTGCAATCAACTCGCGCAACAAAAGAGTCTGTCGGCCCAAATTTATGGTGAAACCAAAGCCAAAGAAGGTTATACAGTAATGATATACAAAAAAATTGCATAATTTCACAGACTTTGGAAGAATACAAATCGCTACGCTTGAAGACCGCTGTTTCTGGAAATCCGCTTCCTCAAGTTCATTGGGACAAGGGCGGAGTGGTTCTGGAGACCGGCAACAAGTATTCCATCTACAACGACGGCGATTTCTACTATCTTGAAGTACAAAAAATTATTTTCTGTACTCCAATTCGATTCTTAGGTTCATCATGTTTCGACATTCGACAAAGGATTTTATAACTGTACTGCACAGAACGACGAAGGGATCGCCACCAGCACTTCTGAGGTGCGCTCTTCTTTCTGTACAACTTTTCTATAACTTTTTGGAATCAGATTGACGTTGTCAAAAGTTCTGAGCAATCCGCCAAAAAGAAGAGCCGAAAAGAAGAAAAAGCACCAACTTTCATCGAGGTGCTTCCTGGAGTCGTTGAGGTAGAGAAGGAGGAATGACAATCGTGAACAAAAACTACTTCAGGGAACCTTGGGAGAGCCGCATTCCGTGGAATGTTCCATCAGCGCTCACCCATGTGCAAGGATTCAATGGTTCCGCAACTCCGCTGCGCTGCTACCGCAACCCGACAGGTGAAATAAAAATTGTAGAACATTGAGACTAATCCTAGTTTTGTTTCAGATACATCATGGCTTACGATGGAGAATGCGCTTCGTTAAAATTCTGTTCTTTGCACACCAGTGACGAGGGCACTTACACCTGTGAAGCCGTGAACGAGTACGGAAAATGCAAAACTCAGGTATTTCATTCAATTTTTAATTGGTAAAGCTCGATATTATTAATGAAAAATGTTAAAAGTACTGCCAACGTGCACGAAAAGTTTTTCCTGCTAGTTTTCTTAAACCAAATCTTCTTTTTTTTCAGATGAACCTGAAAGTTTCTGGTGGAAACTCCACTGCTGCTGAAGGAATACCACCGCTCTTCAAGTTGGAAATTTGATGAAGCAAAATTCGAAATGGTTGTAATTAGGTTCGAAAAGATCAAATCGGCACGACGAGTGATCGACGGAAGCCGTGTGGAGCTAGCTGCTGAGCTCACACAAGGCTCCGAGCCACTCCAGATCCGATGGCTCCGCAACAAAGTCACAATTGTTGACTCCCCCTCATTCGAATACTCGCGAACAGAGAACATGGTGAAATTGTTTTTTTTTTTAACTCTTTTCAAAATATTTTATTTAGGTGTTCTTAACGATTGCCGACGTCTTCCCAGAAGACGGAGGCGAGTACACGGTTGAAGCGAAAAACCAATGGGGCATTGCACGCTGCACAATGCGCCTCGATGTGAAAAGTGAGACTTGGAAAGGTTTTCAGAAAGCGAATGTATAATCAGACAACGAACGATCAACAGTCGAGGAAGAATCGCCAAAAATTTTTGACGTCGAGCAGGTTGTTCGGACACACCTCGGCCTGAGTGCGGAACTGAGAGCCCGTGTGATTGGACATCCTGATCCCGTCATCGCTTGGACCAAAGACGCCAAGCAGCTGTCGAATGACAGCAAATTCACGGTAATAATGTAGACAAAATATTCAACCTTATTGTGTGTTAGATCCGAAACGAAGGAGATCTTTTCATTCTTCGCGTCGACAATCCTACACGAGCCGACGCCGGACACTACGTCCTGACGGCGGTCAACGTCGCAGGACAGTCTACCGTAACTATCGAACTCTCCGTCGCCCCTACTACCGAGTTAGTTTAAAAAAAGTGTAAATATCAGATATTATATGAGAATCCATGGAAGTACTGGAAAAAATTTGAAAAAAATAGATTATGGCGAGTATCTTTGTTATCTATAGTGAATTAAAAACAGTTTCTAAGCAAAGCGAGGAATTATTTTGAAGTTCATAGTTTTCACAGAATACATGAATAAAACTGTACAGATTATACAGAAAAATCTTTCTTACTAAAATACTCCGATAATCTGTAAAACGAAAATTTACAAGGTTTACAAAATTTACACGGCCGTTTTTTTACCTTTCATTTCAATCACAATGAAGTTGCAAAACATTTAGAATTTTTCAAAACGGTAATGGGATAGAGAACTTCAATAATTCTCAAAACCACAGATCGATCGGCGACAAACCGAAATTCACGGAATCACCAGTGTCGGTACAAACAAGACCAAGAGAGCGCGCCGAGCTGCGGGCGGCTTTTGCCGGTCAGCCGACACCGGTTTGCCGTTGGTTCAAAGATGATCAACAACTACAAGATGGTTGGTTCTCTTATCTCCTTCAGATTCAACATCAAATCCAGGAGTCGATGGATACACCGTCACGACTTCTGAATCAACATCAACATTGACGGTGAACTACCTGGAGAAGAAGCACTTTGGCGAATATTTATGTACCATTCGCAATTTGAACGGCGAGGAGTTGTCGACGGCGATGATTCTAGTCGAAGGTGAGCCTCCACTTTGAATCTCTGTAATTTGTGTCTTCAGCTCTTGCGTCTTTGTTCTGTCTGCTCGTCGGAGCTCTGTGGCTCATCTGTCTTGTATGTTTTTAACATTGTCCAGTTCAGTCAAATCATATAAATGTTTTGTGATTCTGAAGGAGCTTTCATAGAATCTTCACAGTAGAGTTGAAAAAAGATCTCTAGAGGCGCAAGGAGCTCATTTTTTTTTAATCCACAAAAACCCCCCACGGGTGAATGTGTTAACCGGTAATCAGAACGTTTTTATCAAGCCCAGTGAATTCATGTGAAACTAACATTTTGAGGTTTCAAAGTTTAAGCTTTGAATTTTTCACAAAAAACGCTTGACAGTGTGTTCAAAAGACGCGCCTGAATCAACTGAAAATTGAGTCCATTAAAACATTAACTTCCAACCAAGGCTTCGTCTTCATAAATCCCTTAAGCAGTAAACGTATACCCTAAACCAACGAGGATGTTAGTTTTGCACGGAAAATGATCCAATTGATCTCAACTGGTAGGAGAAGGAAACACAACTGTTGTCTCGAACTCTTCCGCATTTTTTTTCCTACGTGTCAGCAATAATTTTCTTTAGACCTGCCATGAAAGTTTTCTTTTCAGGCTCGTCAGCTGCACTTCCACAACGAAGGACGAGCAGGCGTTGAATCCTCACCGCTGTCGACTGACTTTTTCATCTTCTCTTATTAATTCGAGGCTTTTTCCGATCAAAATGTTGTTGCTGCACTTCATTTTGTTCTCGAATCCCTCGTTTTCTCTTACTTTGACACAAATCGCCCTGGGTAGCACTATAGGTACTTGCCGTCGCCATATTTCTTCTTCTCCAATAATAAATTGTTTTCAATTGAAACTACAAAAATCTTTCATTCACTAGTTTTAGCTGCCGTCTAGTCATTCTAAGCAATTGATATGGTGTCTAGTAAAACATTCAATGTATATTTTACGCTCAAATCTCTCACAGATTTCTACGATTTTTAACTTGTTCTCTTCAAAATGGTGCTCAATTGTTTTTTGTTCTTTTTTTTCGTTTTCAAATGGTGAATAAAACGTGATTATTTTTTTTCGTTAATATAAATCCAAACGTACGTCGAAAAATATATGGAGAATATCGTGTAACTTTGAGGTTTGAAGACTTTTTAAAGATACGGAAATTTCTTCGCGGTAGAAACTGTCATATTTATGCATACGCTTTTCAAACTTCGAATTAAAGCAGGCTTTTTTTTTTTGAAAACATTTGAAGTACATTGTAAATGCGCAGCTAATTCGCTTTTATTTTTTCTTTAAAAAAACATATATAAACTTTGAAGTTTACCTCGCATAACTTTCTCGATAACATGTGTTCAAACAAAAAAAAAACAACCGCTTCTTGAAAGCGAGCTAGAGGAAAAAACGGAGAGCGATTCCTTGCAACTGAATACAAGACGTGCTGTAACACGCGCGTGGCTCCGACATCACTACGGAAGAGGCATGCGTCGCTTTTTTCTCCGCAGGCTTTTCTCGACACTCGGATCTTCCGCCTTGATATCCCACCTACTGATGCTCATCACTTTTACCTAAAAATTCATTTTCTAATTTCTTTTGAAATTCGTTTAGCCTTTGCAGTTTTTGAAATGTAATGGTCTGTTCCGAATAATTTTCTTGAGCGTTCACAAAAACAAATTTTCAAAGTTCTTGGCGCTAGGATCGTGTTTGCTTGCTTCCTCCTAGGTTTTGCGAAATTTCGTCTTGGATAATCAGATAAGTATTTATTTTCGCCAAATATGCTTCGGTTCATGCAGAAAAGTTCTCCACGCGAAAAACTTCAATGAATAAATTTTCAAAAAAATAAGGAAGGTCCTATAAAACCGGAAATTTTAGCAATCGGACAGACCGAGAGACTTATTTTTCTTCAAACTTAAGGAAGGTCCTATAAAACCGGAAATTTTTGTGGCATCGACTTCTTCTTAATAAACTTGCCCTCGAAATTGCGCATACATGAGTTGCAAAACGAATGGTTACATTTGGCTAGGATTAGAGAAAATCAACTTACTACCAGTCGATCGTTTCTTCTCTTTGTTATTTTTCCGTTCCACTCAATATTTTTTCCCATTCACAGCTCGTAAAAATCTGTTGAGCAGCAGAAAAAAGCCAATAAAATAAAACGAACGCGAGCATCTGGCAGCTCAAGTCGAGTACTATAATCAAAATTTTATGAATAGTTTTTTTTTTTTAATTTTCCAGTATCTCTATGTGAATCCTTGACTGTCATTCAGAGTGATTCTATTTTATGACTAAAAAGAGTTTTAAAATTTTTTGCGCTCCAAAAATTCATTAGAAATGAACCAATGTGAACATTTGACAGCTTTATAAAAGTTTAAAGCCTGAACTAGGATGAAAAACATGAACCGTTATTATTTCTTTCGTCGTTTCTTGTGTGAATATGTATTCATCAAATTAGATTGAAATTATGAATATTTTCGGAATTTTCTGGTAAGTAAAAAAAAGATAATGAAAATGAACGAACATCTGGCAGCGTGGCCGAGTAGCTATGATAAAAAATATGCACTCATTTGTCCATCGTTTTTCTAACTTCTTTGCATCTTTATATCTCAATCCATCATTCCTAATGGCTCGTCGTTTTCTTCTCAATTTTTCATCTTCAGATGCACTGAGAGCGAAGAATGAAGAAAGAAGACAAGAAGGAGACAAAAAAGAAGGAGCAAAAGCCTCGGAGCAAAAGCGCCGACAACAAATGGAAGGTCATGAATCAAGGTATCGGCAACGTCGTCTCCAGAAGTCTTCCCAATTTCAACAAGGTTGTTTTCGTCACTAAAATAGGTCGTCCAATATAATCATGAACATGCTCCGAGTCAGGTTTACAAAAATTCGAGCTTACTTTAGAAACTTTAGAAACTTGCACAAAAAAAAATAAGTCTATTAGGTAGTTCAGAATCTCTTAGAGGGAAAATTTTCAACAAAAAATACTCTAGTTTATGTAGTTATAAATCTTTCAAGACATATTTCATCGAACTAGAATTCAAAAATAAATAAAATATATAGAAAGCGACGCCAAATGCCAACGGTGAAGTGCCAGCAAAACCTGAAGAAAAGGAGACCAAAAAGGAAAAAAAGAAACGGAAGAAAAAAACTGCGGACGAAGAAGCCAATGAAGAGCAACAACGACAACTCGAAGAAGAACGTCAAAGGAAAGAAGCTGAGAAGAAGAAAAAAGTTAGTAAAAAATTATCAGTTTATTTAGCTTTTTTTTATTTTGCATACAATCTGAAAATCTCTAAGGTTCTGATCGCCAGCCGAGACGAAAGGAAAAAAACTTTATGGAGACACGTTGCCTGGCTCGTTATTTTGTTCGCCTACTCCCTACTTGGAGGACTGCTTTTCAGCGCTATCGAAGGTTTCTCAATCGATATTTCTCTCTTATCATAAGGATTCTTTCATTCAATGAAAATCAAGAACTAATGCACCTATTTTTTATCTCTGCATGATAAAAATTTCCTTTTAAGGAGGCTATGAAACCAACCAATTGATAAAAAAATACGAGCATGATTCTGAAATTTATGAAAAGCGGACAACTTATCAGGAACAACTTTTCCGGAGGTATTTTTTAACAGATTTTTTTGATAAAGAGAAAGTTTTCAGACTGAAAGATATTGAGGAAGACAAATCAACTTCACGGAGCCAAAAAAGCGACGAATACAAACTGCGCCTGTCGCGAGAGGCTCTTGATTGGTGGGAAAAAACTCCTTCAAGATAAAAAATTGTTTTAGGTACGAGAGGAAACTAGGAGTCCTTGTCGAAGAGCCGAAAGTAGAAGAAACTAAATGGAACCTCTGGGGCGGGATCTACTACTCAGCAAGTCTGTACACAACTATAGGTGGTAGTTAAAAGTATTTCAATTCGATGTCATTTTTTTCAGGTTACGGGGATTTCCATCCTGAAACTGAAAGCGGACGGATAGTCTCGATGTTGTACGCCTCAATTGGAATCCCACTAGTCTTCACTATTCTACTCGACTGGGGATTTCTGTACTTTACATGGATAGAGTACGGCTGGAATCGACTCAACGAACAGTTTTGTCAAAAGTCAGTTCATTGGCAATTCCTGCTTGAAAAAAATGATACACTTCAGGAGCTTACAGAGAGGAATGGACCGTAAAATCCGAAGAGAAAAGTGAGGTTCTTTTTATTTTACAAAAAAAAGGATTTCAGAATCCGCAAAGTGGGAAGCGAGATGTCTTTGGCCTCAACGACGCCACTCATTCACAGGACGACAACTCAACTGTCGAATCCGACTCAACACGTTTTGAGTTTTCAGATACTCCAACTACTATTTGATCTTCAGATCGAGTCAGTGAACCCTCTGACTCCATTGGAAGTCGTTTTACCAGTAGGAGAGCAGGTTCAAACAGTTCCTATTAAAGCCGCGCTCATATTTTTCTTCCTCTGGGTACAACTCTCCGCTTTCGTCATCCGGTGAGATTTTGCACGAAAAAATAATCAAAAGGTAATCAGAATTTGGGAGTTCGAATGGACCTACTTCACTGCCTTCTACTATTTCTTCAACTCATTGACAACTATAGGTTGGAGCTAAATACTAAAATATTGACAGTCTCAAATATCTTTGCTATGTTACAGTAGGAATACTATCTCTCTCCGTTCTATTGTATTCATGTGTGAACGATGCTCTCGGCGTGTGGCCAAGACGCGTGCAAGGGAACCAAGTGAGATACAGGCGTGTCTGCCGGAGCAATTACACGCCGAGAGCATCGTTCACACATGAATACAATAGAACGGAGAGAGATAGTATTCCTACTGTAACAGCTAGAATCGAAAAATTTCTCCTAAAAAATCATCCATTAAGCTTCGCGGTTATGTTTCCTGCAGACGTTAAAAAAAGAGGAAAAACCACACACACACCTTTGGCGAAAATTTCCGAGAAGATGAGCGCCGACCTTGTTACTTTTTTTGGCTGTATCTATTTTTTTCGCTGAAATTATACAATTAATTAGGAAAAAAGTGAGCTTTTACCTTGATCTGATGTTCTAAAAAAGTTGACTTGAAGAGTTATACAAGTTGAAAGGCGATGCCAGTCGCCTTCCTTTTTTTAAGCTCTGAAAAAATACATATATAGTTCGTCATATTTAAAAAAATTAGAGTCCATTGGAACATTTCAACGGAGCTTTTACTTTTTTGGGAACACATCTTGCAACTTTATTGATATCTAATTGTCTCTGCTTTAGAAATTCTCAATCAAAGTAATATGTTAAAGGACTTGGCGACGTCGTTACAAAACCAAAGTTTATCGTCTTCAATCTCGCATTAACACTCGTCGGACTATCAGTCGTCGGTTTATGTATTGCTATCGTACAGGTTAACATCCCACTTTTTGCCATGTTTTTTTTATTCCACTTCAGGCCAAAGTGAAACTAGTATTCGATCGAATGTTGAGGTGTATAGACGCACAATACAGAATTCGACAGATTGACCCCCAAGTGGCGACTATGAGCATTATCGACGACGAAGATGAGGGTATCAAAAGGTTGTTTTTTCGATTTCCAACTGATGAGAACAATGAAATTTGCAGGCTAATCCAATCGCAATCAATCGAAGACCGCGTCGTTTTTCTGTTCGTTGATGAACACAAAAAGAGCATGCTGAAGGAAAGATGGCGACAAAAGAGTTCCATGATCAATAAGTGAGATTAACTTCGAAAAAGAACATTTAAAATGTTAATTCGTTCAGTCTTATAACTTGAAAAACGAATTTAAATATTTCTATAAGAACTTTAGCAAGTATATTCTAATTTAGCAAGTATATTCTAATCAAAATAGCTCACCGGGTGTTCACAGAGCATGTATAAAAACAAAAAAATTTGGGACGGAAAGCCGTTTTTCGAATTCATTTCAGTTAAAAAAAGATTTCTGATCCTCTCAACGTCACAACAACGAAGGAAAGAAACTATAACAATATGTAAATCATTTCCATAAAAAAACTTTCAAGCGAAATCGACTTTTTTTACACATTCCATTATTTATTATTTTCTTTCAAGTTTGGAAGATACTGTGCTATTTTTTTTCACTGCAGATCTGCTCCCCTCATGTATACACTTTATTCAGAATAACGCAAACGTATCCTTCGAAAGCAGACAAATACGTACAGACGGGTCAGAGGGTCTATGATCAGCCAATGGGCGACGGCGACGACAGCGAATACGACGAAGACGAAGATGTTCGTTGATCCTCCCTCATATGAAATATTGGAGAAACTGATCTTTTTTGAGAAGTTTTTTGAATTCAAGTCTAAGACAAAACACGAGAAGTCATTTTCTATACTACAACCTCCTAATAACTTTTGGACATTTTTCCTTTCTAGATTAAAAAAATACATTATTTCAAGAAAAAGAATATAGACTCCGTTTATAATTTTTTTTTTCTGCTATTTTTTTTAAAGGCGGAAATCTTTATTGACTTGATCGGCTTCTCCTTCAAGACCGTTATTAAGTTTTACTATACGTCTTTCTTTCTCACACAGCAAAACTTTTTTATAGGCAAGTCCTAATCTGTTAAACTTTTTCTTTCATTTCATTTCATTCTATGCTCAATTTTTCAAATTCTTCGTTTTTTCAGGAAGAAGGCGTCGAATACGACGAGTCTGGTAACAAAATTCACTATCCGCCCAGCAAACGCTACATCTATACGGTCTTTGACTAGAAAAATACTTGGAGAAAACTGTGCAAAATTCACTTTGGCTGTCTTTCACCTATAAATATTTGTCAATTGCTAATTTTATGAGCCTATTTGTCTAAAAATGGAGCCTGAATCTCAACTTTTTATATCAAGTCAAATATACAAAAAAATAACTTTTTAAATGTAAAAAAATTATAAAGTTTCACGTTTTAAAAAGAAACGTGATGAGATTTCATTTGATATGAATTGGGCGCTGGTGGCCTTTGCTCTGACCGTTTCTACTGTAAATGGAGAAAAAACAGTACGCCACGTTCACTTGAGCCTTTCTGATGACCCCACGGAAATGATTGTCTCCTGGACCACTTTACGGCCGCGTAAGTTCTGTTAAAAAAATGCCCGGTCGAAGTACCAACTTTCGATTTGAAGTTCCTGGGATCGTTCCATACGTTAATTATGGCACTTCGCCCTCTCATCTCTCCGAAAAAGTGAGGGCTTCAACTGTTACGTGGACCGACGGCGGCGAACTGAAAAGAGTTCGTTACACACATCGGGCGTTTCTCAAGTATCTCCATCCAGGAGCCAGATACTGTAAGAAGGTGTCGCGAAATCCTAAAAAAAGAACCAACTGTAGACTACTCGGCCGGCAGCGCAAATGAGATGTCGCGCGTCTTTTCATTCTTCCAGCCGGACGGTACGCGTCCTTTGAGAGCCGCTGTTTACGGCGATGTCTCTCTTGTCAACGGATTCTCTATCGGTCCCCTCGTTGAAGCTGTAAAAAATGCCGAGTTCGATCTTATAATTCATCTAGGTGAATTTCGAAAGACACCGGAACGTTGAGAACAAATATCTGCAGGTGACTTTGCGTACGACCTCGGCAAAGAAAATGGGAGCAAGGGCGACGCATTTATGAATGCTTTAGAGCCTATTATGGCCGAAGTACCTTATATGGTGGGTTCCAATGCAAATTTTTAAACTAAAAAACCACGATATGCAAGGATAAAATTTATCAATATGCAAGGATAAAATTTATCAAATTAAAAGAAAAACGAGAAACTAAAAAGATCAAGTATTTTCAAAATGAATGCTTTGGATCCAATTGGAGCCTATTATGGCTGTACCGAAACTAGAAAAGAATTTCAAAGTTAAATTATATAAAAAAATTATTAAACTTGAAAAAAAGAGATTCACGCGCGTTTTTTTCATTTTTTTATTCGCTGCAGAAATATCGTCAACCGTAACTTGAAATAAATTTTTCGTTTTTTTCTTTTTTTGAATTTTCCATAAATCTTTAAAAAAACTTGCACTCAATTTTTTTTCAATATAGTGAAAAAAAGCTGTCTAGGTTATCAATAATTCTGTTTTATGCATATTGAACACAAATTTCAAATTACAGACTATTGCCGGCAACCACGAGTCTGAACAAAACTTTTTGCACTATGAAAATCGCTTCACGATGCCTTTCAACGGATTTTATCAGGACAATCAATTTTGGAGGTTAGATTTTTTTTATGAGTAGAGAAAGTTTTTTGATATGCACTATTTCAGCATTACCATAGGAGTTTTACATATGATCGGAATAAGCACAGAATATTATTTGACTGGAAGGACTTATGAAGTTCAAACGCAATACGAATGGCTCAAAAACGACCTTCAGACGGTAATTTTTTGGAATCAACTAAATTTTCAGCTCTTTCTCTATATAGAACCGTGGCAAATGGAATGTTGTTTTCATGCACCGGCCGCTATATTGCTCGAGCAAATCTCCTTCTGGTTGCAATGGCGAAGAAAATACGCTTGTAGGAAGGATCAGTTTCTTACTTTCTTTTCCAAAATTACAGCCGAGAGATGGAAAATTCGGCTTTCCGGGTCTGGAGGCACTTTTCAACAACGAAGGCGTCGATATGGTGTTCTGGGGCCATGAGCACACCTACGAGCGTCTCTGGCCTGTCTTCAAATCAAAGCCTTTCGTAGGATCGGACCTGCATGTGATTCATAACGCTCCAACGCCAATCTACATTCTTTCAGGAGCTGCTGTTAGTTTTTGTTTCAATTCTTTTAGAAATTTTTTTTCTCAGGGTTGTTATGATCATTTGTATCCTAACGAAACGATCGCCCAACCTTTCTCGGCCGTTCGACTTGGCAATTACGGCTATGTCGTGCTCACGACTCACAACTCAACTCATTTGAGCACTAACTTTGTAGACGTGCTTTCAAAACCTCCAAAAGCCATCGATCCGTTCCTTTTAACCAAAAACGATACTCACATCCCTGGTATCCGGTCATAGTACATTACTTTCAAATGGGTTTAATTGTGATTATTTCGAACTTTTTCTGTAGGGTATAAATATTTTATCTCTCTCTATATACACACAGATTGACCAAATAAGATAGAAGTCTATTTTCCGGCGTAGGCGTTTCCACCAGAAGGTGCGGAGTAGCCACCTCCGCCAACCTGAGGAGCGAAGCCTCCTGGAGCAGGTCCGGCAGATGGCGCCGCGTAGCCTCCGGCACCTCCGAAGCCTCCTGGAGCTGGACCGGCTTGTGGAGCGGCGTAGCCTCCAGCTCCTCCGAACCCTCCGGCAGGTTGAGGAGCGAAGCCTCCTCCGATTGGACCGGCGCCGTAACCGCCTCCGGCTGTTGGTGGGTAGGCTGGTGGTGGCTGTAAAAGAATTTTTCATAATTTATAGTTCATGAGATGCTTCACTGGTGGAGCAACAGCGTATCCGCCGGCAGGAGCAGCAATAGGGCCAGCAACTCCTCCAGCTCCGCAGCCACCTCCAACAGCGACTGGAGCAGCGCAAGGAGCTGGAGCTGGTGGTGGACAGCAACCGCCTCCGCCGAGGCTAGGAAGAGGAGGCAGCGCGAGAGGAGGAAGTGGAGGAAGACCGCCACCGCCGCTGGAAAAAGATCCCGATTTAAGAGTTTTTGAAAAATAAAAATAAAGTTTGAAACTGAAAATCTTACTTTATTTACTCTGAGTTTAAAATAAATCTATTTATTTCGTTTAAATTTGATTAAATTTTTATACCTTAATTCTGATGCTGAAAATTTTTATAGCTTTTAATTTGATATTGGATGGTATCATGTATAATGAATGAGCCTTTGAAGAAAATCATCAACGTTAATCGACAGGAAGAAAAGTCCTTGCAGCTTGACCCCACATCATTTTCTACGTTAAATTGAAAAAAAACTTTTTTTGTTTTTTTATCTCATTCCATAAGCGGAAGGAAGAAACGTATTTTTATCACAAATCTAAAAATTTGAGATTCTTCTTAATTTTTTTACTCTGCTATTAGAAAGTTTTAATTTTTTTTGAAGCATCGAGATAATAATTTGCAGAAGCAACGTTGGACCCGAATATATAAATTTGAACAAAAAATGTTTACGTCAAACAGTTATTGAATTCTTTTCGGTGGAAAGATTTCTGTTCGAGGAAGTTTGATCTATAACATTGTTATATTATAGAGCGTTAAATTTCAGAAGAGCTTACGAAACTGCGTTTTCTTTTTTGAACTTAAAACTCAGAGACAAGGAAATAGCTCGATCAGAAAGTAACCAGGTTTCAAATAAGGAAAAGGCCTACCATCCGCAGCCTGAGCTGGGGAACAGGAAGGCAGCCGAAGAGGAAACAAGGCAAAACGCGACCAAAACCGACTTCATGTTGGAAAGCTCAACGAATGATGATTCGGATGGCATCGACGGCTTCTTAAATACATGGCCGATGAAGGCGGGAAGTGACTGAAAAACGGCACGGTAGCAAAGACTTCCTTTTTTCACCGGCGCAAATCAGCGGAAATCAAATTGTCGTTAGAAAAAAAAAATGAAAGACGGATGATTTGGTCTAAGGATCGGTCCGCGGAAATCTTCGGCTGCTATCAATCGGTTCATCTGCCGACGAGAAGTGAGATCTCGCATTTTGGCCATGTTGTGGCTTCGGTTCCTCGTCTTCTTTCTTCCCATACTTTCGACTTTGACGGACGCATTTTTCCTCTCTGGATGCGGCTGTGGGTAAGCTCCATTTTTCCACTCAATGTTTCTAAGTTCGATGTGTCAGAGTACCAAGTCCCTCATCGACTTGTGGCTGTGAACGAGTAGCGGCTCCTCCTTTCGCGCCTCCGCCGCCGCCTCCTCCGCCGCCGCCGCCGCCACCTTGTGAATGTCCTCCTGAGTCCTGCAACTCCTGTCCGCCACCGCAGCCGTCCTGCGGATGCGGGGGACGAAAACACCGCAAGAAGTTCATTCACCATTGAAAACGTTTGAATAACAACTTTTACCTCATAATCATGCTTTGCTGACTTTGTAAAAGTACCTCTCGAAATTCTCTAATTCACTGGATGGAGACTCAACAATTACGTCCAATACTAAACCAGCATTTCCTCAATCTGGCTCTTGGGCGTTTTGATGTACCATTACAAGCGAAAAACTTCAAAGGTGTTTTTCCATTTTGGATGTTTCTTTTTTTTCTTCGAATTGAGTTTTTCACGTTTTCTAACTTACCCAGTTACCTTTCAGTTTTTATTCTTTTAAATTATAACATTAATGATTACTAGACAAGCAATATCGAAATTCAGTTCTCACTGGATGATACGAAGATTTATAAGTTTATTCAATCTATCCAGTCATCGGAGAAGATTCTCTGCTGAATAATGGAATAAATGAATAGTTTGGTTTACGGGATCCCGTTGACCAAGGTCGTAGATCATTTTTTCCTTCTTCGGATAGTAATGTGGAAAAGCAGTGAACGTCGGAGAGCTCAATTTTTTAGCGATAGTTCAATGAGAACAAAATTTTTTTTTCCGTCAGTTTCTTTTTTTTAAAGATAAAGGAAATCTCCATCTGGTGAAAGACAATTTTTCAAAACATCTCTGTACTTCAGGTGCAATAAAGTTTATGAATATTAGCGCATTTTTTGAAAATTCGGAAAATAATCAAGACGAGAATCTGAAGTTGACGATTTCAACGCCAGAAGCGGTTGTATCGTAGCGGCCGTTTGGGCATGCCTAAATCTCGTTCCGATCCGCGGCTTGCGTTGAAACTTGCAACGCATTTTCCATTTCGGTTTCACCTCTAATCAGAAGATTCGATTTCGCGCACAACTTTTTTTTCGAAGCGCAAATCAGGTCTCATCAACGAAGCGGGTTTGGATTGTCAAGTGTTTTGAATATTTGAGGACAAAGGAAATTGCTCAGGGGAGCTAAAAATTTCTAGGGTTTTTAGTTCAACATTTTTATAGATTGTTTATATTTTAAAAGAAACGATATTAAAAAATTGCTCGTTCAAAAAAACATCTTGGGAAGAAAACATATACACTGCAACAGAAAACGTTTCTTTTTGTTAGAACTGTTTCGATAAATTGAAAGATCGAACTTCCAATTCACTAAAACTTAAGAGCTGTTCGAAAAACTTCGAAACACTAGAGTCGTTTTGAATCAGAAGTCAGTGCACGAGTATTTCACATTTCTTTCTATTTTGTCCAAAAATAGCCACAGAAAGGAGTAACAATTTATTACACCTATAGATAAGAACGAAAATGTACAAACAGCGGTATGAATTAATAGATAATTTGAGGAATATTTGATAATTACTTTCCAACTGGGTAGGATCCACCGGCTGGTCCGGCAGCGTAAGAAGCTCCACCAACTGGGGAGGCTCCTCCGATAGCTGGTCCAGCAGAGTAAGAGCCTCCGCCGATTGGGCCAGCACCTCCGATTAGTCCAGTAGCGTACGAGCCTCCTCCGATTGGGCCAGATGGAGCGGTGGCGTATGCCTGAGTAGAAGATAGTGAAGTGAAGAAGAGATTCAATTTAAGCTTGGTAGAGCTATTACTCACTGGAGCGGCGACTGGAGCAGCTCCGCAGCCGACTGGAGCTGGAGCAGCGCATGGAGCTGGAGGAGGAGCACATCCGCAGCCGCCTCCGAGGCTAGGGAGAGCTGGCAGGGCGAGTGGCGGGAGAGCTGGAAGTGGAGGAAGTCCGCCGCCGCAGCCGCATGGCGCTGGTGGAGGTGGGCTGAAAGTATATCTTTTTATTATTTTTTTAAGAATATTTGAATTTTGAATAATAATTGAAATCGAATCTTTTTTTCTCATCTACTTTCTGATAATCGGAAATTAAAGTCTAATTGATAAATTCAAAAAAAGGATTTGGAAAAAAACATTACTACAACTGATTAAAAAGATTTTTTCAGAGCTTCATACACATCGGTTCAAAACTCGAAAACAGGGTTATCGCTCATTTAGAATAGCTAAAGTTTAGGTCCAAATTAAACTTTTCTACATTTCTCACATGTTTTTTAAGATAACTGTACAAAAAAAACAGGGAGCTAATTAATGTTTTCAAAACTTTTTTTCATGCTTAGCTAAATATTATTTACTTTGACTAAGGTATTCAAAAAATAAGTCAACATCCATCTTCTATGTTTCAAAGATGAGGAAATCACTCAGAAGCTGAGAAAATCAAAAGACTGGAAAATCAGTTTTCGGAAAGTCGTCACTTAGAAACATTTTATGAAAAGTTCAGGTTTTCAAATTGTGTTCTTCCTACGTTGAAGTCTGCTTGTTTAGGCATTTGAATAGAGACAAAAAATTTCAGAATAGTGAGAAAACTAACGCGCAACCGCATCCTCCGGCGCTGGGGAAGAGGAAGGCGTTGGAGACGGCGACGACAGCGAAGGCGACGATGAGCTTCTGCATGTTCGAAGTGGGGTTGGAGCCTTGAAAGGATCTGATTTCAATGGCTTTTTTATGCGCTTAAATATGATTCGCGAAATGCCGTTGCAAGGTGCTGGGGCGGCGTCGTCGGCACGAAACCGGCCTCGGCTCAGCCCGCTAGACAGCGTCCGAAGCGCGGAGACGTCGTGTCATCCGTCGCAAATCTTCTTCCGCCCTCGTCCGTCACCTTGCGCAACAAAAGCATTGTTTCGAGGGTGTCTGTCTCCTTTTTCGGATACTAGCCATTTCGCATAGGATTGGAATGTGGCACGCGACTGATAAGAGATCGACAAAATCAACTAGCCACCGTCTCGACGTCACTTCTTCACACACTTCTTCGATTTACACTAATTCGTGACGTAGTTGAAATCGTGATTGTGTTGTACCGAACGCAGTCAGTTCCGGTGACGTCGATGAAGCTGACCTTCAGAACGAAAGGGGTTCTCTTCGAAAATTACTGTTGCAATACCACTATGAAAAAAATATTAACATTAAATGAAATATTCAAAGATTTATCAAACTTCATTATTAAGTTTTTCAATCGAAAAAATTGGAGTTTTATGCTTTCGTGCTATAAACCACAAAAAGATTAATTTTTTTACCTTAAGGTTTACTTAACGTTTTGAAAGTTTTTTTGTTCATCTTTCTTTTTTTCAATTTTTTTCTGGAAAGGAGCGTTTTTTTTTAAAATTATCTCATAGAGACGGCTTAATTTCCGAAAAAAGTTTTGTTCCGAGTCAGTAGGTCCTGAGGATGGGTACAGAAATTTTCTAAGCGATTTGAAGTTGTTTTCTAATGTAAACAATTTGAAAACACTTTCTTTTCTCAGAAAAAAAGGCATTAGAAATTTTTTAGTAACGCAAAATAAAAAGGAAACTTGGTACTAGTCTTAATAATCACGGGCTAGCGCTCATCATTACCATATCTTCTTTTTTCTTTTTTTGAAGATGCAGTCTTTTGCGCGTTGTTCAGAGTGATTGCTGAAAAAGCTCAAAAGCCATTAAAAAAATCAAATCATTTATTTTGTTGGTTTACTCATAGATGTATCGACTAGGCGGTCAACAAGAACTTTGAAAGCTATAACGAACAACCGCCTTTGGCGAGCTAGAAATCCAAACGTGTAGTCGAAAGAGTTGAAAGCATGGTCTTACGGTCCTTCGCCCCGTCCTTCTGCGCGTAGTTCATCCAGTTGCGCCTTGACGAGCTCAGAATGTAGCGGATGTTGTGCTGGAGCCCGGAGACCGTGCTCTAGGTGGGAGCCTCAGAATGAGAGCGACCACTTCGAGTGAAGATTTTAGACGGAATTAAAAAAGATAAATTAAACTTGGAGCGTCAGAGATAATTATGAGTTTTTGAGGGAAACCAACACCACAGCCGGGAAGGAACCATAATATGTCCCTGAGTATACCCCAAGTATACCTCTCAAAAAAATATCGTGGATATCCAACAATATTTTCCTCCTGAGACCTCCAGTATAACTAGCTTCATCTGAGCCATACCGGAGTTGCTCGAGAGTAAAAGTCTGTCTATTGCTCATATTTCGCAGAAGCATCTTCGTGGTCAACGGTAGATTCAGACCTTTTGATATGTCTCCGGTATTGTCGCGATAACCATTCACAATTCGCTTGAGACGGCTATGAACATTTTATTTAATTCTGAATGACTCTCCGAAAGTCATTTGGAACGGGAAAGTCGAATTTTTTAAAAATTCGGTTAGTTTGGAAAAAATGAACAATTTTAAGAATGGTTATATGAAAATCTTTCTTCTTTTTCCTACAAAGATTGGCTTATTTCAGCGATGATTCGAATATATTGTTGCGAATGTTCCTGACGTCATCTTGCGGTATCTTGCTTGGCGATTAGGATCAACCTAAGTTGCGAGACTTTCGCTTTCTTGCAATTTTCGTTTCGGTATGTTCTTCTGTGATTTGCAACATTTAAGGAATGAAGTCCCAACGATAATCGATGACATTACTCAAGGGCGCAGTGGAAGCTGACGTTATAAATTATAACGTCTATTATAACTTATAATGATGATTTGAGGGTATAAACCAGGCTAGGGCGAGGGCCAGCCCATCAGCCTACCTGATCCTTTTTCGAGCCCGATCCGGGACGGTCTCAGAGAGGTATGAATCGAAAACGGCCCGCGTGGCTCAAAGAGTGCAAATTTTCTTCAAGTGAAATGTCACTACGATTTAATTAGTGAAAAGAATTTTTCGGTCAAGTTTGTGTTAGGATGACGATTTTTGTGATCTATTTCAAAAATTTTACACGAAAACTGCCTGGCCCGAATCCGCGCAACTTCTTCGCAGAAATTGAGGCCCCAAGCCCAGGTCACCCAGTCTGACGCAAATTACTGGTATAAACAAAAAACCTTTTTTCATTGGCTTTGATCTGCTCAAAGGTTTACAAATCCAGGTATATTTATCTTGAAGCGTATCCTTTTTGTTTCCTCTCTTCTCTACAAATTTTTCTTTTTTCTTCAAAACCTATTTAACTTGAACGATAAGCTTTTGCATTGATATCATAAACGAAGTATTTTTAAGGGAATCTCAATTTTACAATCGAGTAATTAGTCTTTCTGCAGATCGAAAAAGAATTTTCAAGTAAATGAACGTGCAATAATCTAATACCTAAACAGTCAGTTTGGCTTGGTCTCTCCTTTTTTTCAACGCATGATTTTGCAATTTGGCCTGGAAATTTTCCTTCAAGAAGAAAGCTATTGGCAGCTTTCCCGCTGGAACTATTTTCGATGAAAATTTTATTTACTTTGTTAGGAGAAATATTTTAAAAAGCTTTGATGAACTTTTTTTATTACCATGATTGACTAAATAGTTTCTCAAACAATTTTTTCATTTTTCGACTTACAAAGTGAGAAAGAAATAAAAATTTATTTAAAGAAAACGCATGTACAGATAAAAAGAAATGAAAATTGAGATGATGTTCGTGGTTTACTTGCGTCCAGCGGTGGCGTATCCTCCGGCTGGGGCGGCGTATCCCTGAAAATTGACAAGTAATTCTCGAAATGCTCCTCAAAGTCTAGTCTGTATCAAATATTGAAAACTCACTCCTCCGATTGGTCCACCTGGGGCAACGGCGTATCCGGCTGGAGCAGCGATTGGAGCACCACCTCCGCATCCGCATGGAGCTGGAGGAGGAGCACATCCGCAGCCGCCTCCGAGGCTAGGGAGAGCTGGCAGGGCGAGTGGCGGGAGAGCTGGAAGTGGAGGAAGTCCGCCGCCGCAGCCGCATGGCGCTGGTGGAGGTGGGCTGAAAAATTCATTTTTTTTTTAAGAAAAAAAGATAAATAGAAACGTTAATCTGCTGATATGAATCTGATCTGCCGTTTTTACCAGTGTTCCCTCGTAGGCAGACTACTTCATTTTACTTATAACTTCATAATCATTGTTGGAGAAATTCCAAAATGAAATTTTACAGTCCAAAGGTTCAACGTAAGCAAGAGTTTCCCAGCACTTTAAGTTTTCAAAAAAAATCGTTCACGGTATTTGGAAAAGTTTGTAGGTATAGGGGCTAGTACATCGTGAAGTGCGTTTGGCGAGACAACTAGAATTAAGTAAAACAATTACTTTTTGATGATAAACTGCTAAAAAAATATCTCTGAAACTTCGATTTCAAAAAAATCTATTTTTTTGATTTAAAAAAATATTTTCTACTGAACATCATAAAAATTTCTAGAAAAAAACGATAAGCAATCAAAAAAAAAGCAAATTGAAAACTAACGCGCAACCGCATCCTCCGGCGCTGGGGAAGAGGAAGGCGTTGGAGACGGCGACGAGGGCGAAGGCGATGATGAGCTTCTGCATGGCTAAGGTTTTGTGATTGACCAAGGTGCTGGAGCCGGAGACTTCTTAGCTTTTATACATTTTTGTCGGCCCATCCCCCAGGTATCGTTTGCCGAACCGGATGGCGGATGCCAAGGAATGTGAGGTCCGCCCACGCAGTCGCAGCTTTCCTTTCGCAACATTTGACAGCGACACCTTTTTGTCGTTGAAATCGGTCTTTCTCGGGTTCGATATCACTGAAGTAAGAAGGATAGTCTCTCGTAAGGTGTTGCTAGCCACACTCGAGGTTCACGCTTCCACGGATTAACGGATGCGTTTCGGCGGCAAATTCGATCAGCGCCGCTCCATATGAAGCCGAAAAAAAAACGGTGGATCGTCGCTCGGACTTGTCGACCTTCGTGGTCATCCCATTGCCAGGCAAAAAAGGAACATCCCTCCGAATCTTTTTTATGTTTCTGTTCAAGGTAAGGCTCCTTTCGGAAATCGAGAGATAAGAGAAGTGTTTTTGAGTACCACAAGTCTAGCGATATAGTTACAGAAAATAGTCATTTTGGACCTGTCTCAAATTGAAAACGCCTGCAAGTTTCAATTTTCGATTCAGATGAGATTTATGTTGATAACTCTGATGGTTTTCTCCAGTGAAAACATATAATTCGCTTGATTTTTTTTTTCAACGGAAGAGAAAAATAACATGGGAGCAAACTATTTACAATCCATTTTAAGGTTTTCTCGTAATTCAAGGAAAAAAAGAAAGCCTCTTTTTTATGAATTCATGCACGGAATCAGTAGAACTTCTTTGAAACGTATGATTTCAATTGGTCGAGCGGAAAAATCAAAAGATCATTGATTGATTTTTTGATCTCGATTTGATCATTTTTACGGTAACGCGAAAATGAACCTTTTGAATTTTTTTTCAACTCTTATTGCGAAGTTTCAGTTTTAATCTGGTTTATTATACATTATAATTCCACGAGCAGCTCGTCAGGACTTGGCAAAAGCTTAAGGAAATTCATAAAGTTCCGTGTAAAATCTTCATTCGAAGTGGTCGATCTTACTCCGAGGCTTCCACCTCGAGCACGGTCGATCTCCGGGCTCCAGCTTCAACATTCGGTTCGTCAAGAAGCAACTGGATGCACTAAGTTGCTTCAGCCCTTTCGACCACGCATTTGGACTTTGCCAAAAGCGATGTTCTTTATAGATTTAACAGTTTTTTTTTCAGCGCCTGTAAGTTAAACCTGAACAAAACAACGAAAAAAAGTGATTTAATAAAAACTGCGTTGGATTTTTTTTCAAAGAGACGCGATTTTTGGATAAATTTGAAAACTCTTCTTTAACGAAGACTTAAAGAATAATTAGGTGACACTGTTTCAAAGAAACTTTAAATTACTCTGAGAAAAAGTTATAATTTTTTTGACATTACTGGATTTTTAAAAAGCCTCGTGACGTGATAAAAAGAAAAACTTCATTATTATTTCTTTTTTTCCTATTTCTTGTAAGCTTCTTTTTTTTCTGCAAGCACTTTCAAAATGAAATAATCATATAATGAAAAAAACTTAGAGCGTTTATTTTGTATTTTATAAAAAAGTTTTTCACGATTTCTCTTTCGTAAATCTGTTTAGTTTAACATCAAGTCATTAGTGCTTTTAGCGGAAAAAAAACGGATTTCTACAAGGTTATCAAGGTGCGATTCCAGTTTGCCGTAGCCGACGACGACAGGTTGTAAGAAGGCGATAAGAAATTTCGCTTTCGGCCTTCAAGGTGCCGTGGATAGGCGGCAGACTTGGCGTAATATCGCCGACGTCGTCTATCAACCGGCTAGGCTGGAACTATCGAAGCCCAAGCGTGCAAGATTCGATTTTCAAGTTGTTACGTCACAATTTACGCCTTGTTTTGATGATTCTGATAACCTGCCAACATTTTTTCTGGTTGAACTAAAATTTTGATGAAAAAAAAGTAAGCCAATTTTTTCGAATAGAAAAACGATTTTGAGTGCGAGTTTCTGTTTCCTGAAAGATTCAGCATTTTCGTAATGCTGTTTTCTTTTGTGCAAACGCAAAATTTCGTGAAATGAAAAAGTTTTACTTTAAAGATCGTTTTTTTTTTCAAATATACAAAAATGAGTGGTGAAGTGAGGTGTTGAGTTAACTTCTTATTTTCCGGCGACGGCGTATCCTCCGGCTGGGGGACCAGCGTAGGCTGGTGGGGGAGCAGCGTAGCCGCCGCCTCCTGAAAAAGGAAGACTCAGATTCAAGAATCCGTACTGGGATCTCTTACCGCAGCCACCGCCGCCTCCTCCGCAGGCTGGAACTGGTGGTGGGGCACAGCCGCATGGTGGCGGTGGTGGAGCTCCGCTGAAATGCAGATCTTATTGAAGAAGTCCTGAAACACGACTGTACCATCCGCAGCCGCCTCCGGCGCTAGGGAAGAGGAAAGCCGACGAGGCGGCGACCAAGGCGAAGACGACGGAGAGAACTCGCATTCTGAAAAACATTTTCTATGGAAAAATTCACCTTAGAGGATCAGCAAAAACGAAGTTTCAGTCCTACTAAATGCTCTCTGAGATGAAAGAACGAACCTGATTGGGTTTGAAGTCAACAGATGGCTTGTCCTCTGCCAATATTCATTCCCTTATATAGCATTTTGGAGGCCATCAGACTACAAGAAGTTCGAAGACCAGGTGCAGGTTCCTGAGCGAAAAAATCGGCGAGGGAGCGCCGGACCAGAGGAGATCCGCAGATTTTCCTCCCCCCAACAACTTGACTTAATCGTACACTTTCTTGATTCAATGACCGATATTCAGGTTCTCAGGTGCCACTGCTTGTATAATCTTTATCTTTTTATGTCCGTTGCAACATCTTGACTCCGCCCCGAACACGTTTTTGTCGCAATAAAATATTTCAATAACCAAATAATTTACTTTAAGTTTTAAAAAGTATTCAAAATTTTGCCTTGCAGATGAGACATATAAACCTAAATATCATATCGGTTCCAGTGAAAATTAACTTGTTTTTTAATAATTTTCGAGATAGATGTGCTTTTTGGTTCCCGGATCGTCGTCCTTGGTCGCCAAATAGCGTAAACCTGAACCTTCACTATGGATTACAACCGGCAGGTATAAAAGACTGAGACACTTGAGGAAGACAAGCCATCTGTCGACTTCAAACCTTCAGGTACGGTACTCAACCTGATACCATGAAAATATTATTTGCTTATCTCTCAAATCTTAACTTTAATTTTTAAAGCTTATCATTTTGTGTGCAAACTTTTACTATAAGTACAAGCCATGGGTCTTTCTCATTGCTCATTGGCAAAATAAAAACTTTCCATAAGTTTTTTATTCATTTTTTATTTTTCACTTTTACATTTCGAAACCTGCGGTTTGATAATTATTTTTGCAGAATGCGAGTTCTTTCCGTCGTCTTCGCCTTGGTCGCCGCCTCGTCGGCTTTCCTTTTCCCTAGCGCCGGAGGCGGCTGCGGATGGTACATCGAAAATTCAGATTGTTTTTAATCAATGTTTCCAAATTTTCAGCGCTCCACCCCCACCACCACCATGCGGAGGCGGATGCGGTAAGCAGCCTTTGGACCATCGGAATTCAAAACGAAATTTCAGGAGGAGGCGGCGGCTACGCTGCTCCACCACCAGCATACGCTGGTCCCCCAGCCGGAGGATACGCCGTCGCCGGAAAATAAGAAGCTCAACAACTGACTTCTTGAAACTGCCTTTTTGTATATTTGAAAGAAAAACCCATTTATTTGAAATAAAAATTTTTTTCATCTGAGGACGTTGTTGAACTTGCGAAAAAAGCAAAATATCAACAAAAAAAACTAGAAACTTTCGGAAAACCTAATATTTTTCGCTTTTCATCACCCAGAACCTTTTTTTTTTTTTTGAATGTCTGAAAGTTTTAAGTCCGATAGTGTACCTTCTTAATTTTGCAAATTCCCTCATTTTTTTTTTTAACAAAACAAAAATCTGAAACCGGGTTACAGCAAACTTTATCCATTTCATACGGACGTGAATGGATGTCAATCTGCTGCTTTCAATTTCGAAAAAGAAAAAATTTGACTTTGCCGAGAACTTCTTTGCTTCTAATTTGTTCTTTCTGTCGATGTCAAGTATTTTTGTTCGAATATTAATCCACCAAAAAGGATAAAGACATCTTCCGTTTGAAAATCGTAAATTGCACAGCGCAAAGATTGAGATATAAAAAACGTGTCAAAGAACAGGTTGTTGTCAGCTTTCCGATGCGACCAGGTGGGACAATTCGCCACGCGGACTTGGATCATTTAGTGGCGTCTGATGATCTGCCGCCGCTTCAGACGGACATCGAGGACATTTTTTTTCAGCGCTACTTAAAACAACAAAGACGGCTAAGAAAACATATTTTCCAGAGCTTTTTCAGATGCTCGCCGCTGCACGGCTTTTCACGAATTTCGAAGCTGCCTTCAAGGCACATGGAAATATAAACAGCATTCAGCAACTTAGTTATAGCTGATTCACGGCTAGTTTGGGACGCTTGGGGGCGTGCCTTGTTCGCGCTCTCCACGAGCCAGGCGCTATCTCGTGCATTTTCGTGTCAGGACCCTTTTTCCGATGGCTCAAGCCAGCCGTGGATCAGCTATACGAATTGCTGAAGTCATATGGCTAGTGAAAAAAGTGAAAAAAGTTTCCATAATTTCTCGTCCTTCTGTTTTTTCGGCATCATTTTCAAACTTTATCTGAAATCGAAAAAAGTCTGTTTACTTCTTGGATCAACTTTGACTTCCCTTCGAAATAGTTCAGGATCGGTGCATATAACGTTGCTTGTAAAATAGTTTACAACGCTTCCATGAAGGAGAACGTGATGAAAACAACAAAAACTTGAATCCTGAGAAAATTTGAATGTTCGCTTGGAGGATTCGCGCTATTAGGAATCCTCGGCCGAGGTCGGAGGCACTTTCCAAAAAAGTGTTTTGCAGAATTGAATAATTTAATTTAAATTGGATTGTTCTAGGCTTCTGCATAATTGAACAATACACGAAACTGTTGTGGGTTCCTTTATCTCAGCTTTCTTTTTTTTTCCAACTTCGAGCGCCATGTTAGTTGAACTTATCGAACTAATTTTTTTGCTCTCTAATTGTAGGAGAAGAGATAAACGGACGTTCCACTTCGATAGTAACTCATTAAGACTTTTGGAAATTCATTAATACTTTTTGTCTGAAAGAAGTCGTAATAAATTGAAAACTGAGAGTAAGTCACTTAGCAGCCTCATCTGACCAAAAAAAAACCTTGTGGATTGTCTTTCGAGGAAAACTGAACAATAAATCTCAATCATCTGAGTTTTTTATCGGATAGCCCGAATGCCTATAAATCTTAGGATGAATAATGCATTAGGACCATCGGAAAGCCATTAATGGCTTCTGTTTGATTATTCCTCGGCCTTGAACTTGGCAGTTTATTCTTTCTCTTCATTCTTCTGTTTAGCCTTAACACTTTCTAAAATAAAAACTTTTACTAGAACAAATTTTTTTTTTTCAAATATACAAAAATTTTTGAAGCAAGTTGTGGTTGAGCTTCTTATTTTCCGGCGACGGCGTATCCTCCGGCTGGGGGACCAGCGTAGACTGGTGGTGGAGCAGCGTAGCCGCCGCCTCCACCTAAAATTTTTGTTTTGAATTCCGATGGTCCCAAGGCTGCTTACCGCATCCGCCGCCGCAGGCTGGGACTGGCGGTGGGGGTGGTGGAGCGCAGCCGCATGGTGGCGGTGGTGGAGCTCCGCTGAAATGCAGATCTTATTGAAGGAGTCGTGAAACTCGAATATACCATCCGCAGCCGCCTCCGGCGCTAGGGAAGAGGAAAGCCGACGAGGCGGCGACCAAGGCGAAGACGACGGCGAGAACTCGCATTCTGAACCAACAACCCGAGGTTGAAACAAATGAATAAAAAAGACAGCCGTACCTGATGTTGAAGATTCGTGAGAAACGAATTTCTTGCCATACGATAAACTTTCAGGCTTTTATACACCTTTGAAGAGGTACATATTGTGGGCGGCGATTGAGTGGATCGGCAAGAGGCCATCGACCGGCCGGTCGGCCCGTTTTACAGAGAACAATTTTTACAATGAAGCATCCCGTTCCGAAGACATTAAGTTTGAATTGGAAAGCGTCATGATTTGTTCAACTTGGATGTAGGCCGACGCTGCGGGTCACTTTTTGCACTTGAAACGTCTGCTTGCAACGTCGCGTATGTTTTTCACAAACTTTTTTGAAAAAAAAACATCTTCGAGATTTTTCTTTTTTTATAGTTTATTTAATTCGAGTGCTTATCTAACATAGTTTTTTTAAATAATAATTCGCCATCTACAGATTCCAGTCACTTTCGAGAAAAATTGTTTTCAAGGAAAGGCATGAATTATCTGTAGATACTCTTTGGTCTAACGATCTGATATCATCTTGAAAATATTCGACCTTGTATCTTTTGTATTTTAGTGATATCGTCGACGCATTCGCACGGAAATCTGTCTGAAAAATCTGCAACGGAAGTTGTTAAGAAAACATTTCAAGGTTTCTCGCGACTTCATCTTCCTTATTGAGAGAGAAAAGATATGCGTTCATCTTCCCTGCAAAAGTTTGTAGAAGTAAAATAGAGAAAAAAAAATAAACTTTTCTTCATTTTAACTTCACAAAAACGGTGGGTCTCACCGGATGGGATTTAAAAAAAAAGCTACTGAGATTTCAAATTAAAATTTATTCATCCTCTTCTGCTCATTTTTTGACTTTCGTAGTGACTAGACTGTTTCTAGAAAAAAAAGTGCCAGGTGAGAAAAATGGTGTAGTTACCACTGCCTTCTAAAAAAACGCAGAAAAAATTGCCTTTAAGCTTCGGGATCTATTTTCTGGCGAGCGGTAGATAAACTTCTGATCTCAAGCCTTCGAAAAATCTCCTCAGGACTTTAAGATCACTGCTTCAGCAAGCTCAAAAATTACCGCTTGATCTAGAAAATCATGTAAAGTAATTAGAAGCGGCCGAAGGAAATCTCAAAGCGCCCGATGAGCATTGTTTTGCACGATTCTTTTTTTTAAATAGTGAAAACTAGACTGTAGTATTTCTCTTTTGGATGCTCCTTCACGAATTTGGGTGGTCTCTCGCCTCGGTTCAAAGTGTTAAAATGCAGCCGGATTGCGCAAAAAGATTAATTGGGCGTCGGAAAAGACGTAAGAGGCGGAAAAAGCGTCGAAACCTGCCTCGAACCCGCTAAAGCCTTCTACGTGTGTGTGTTATGGGTGCGCGTGGAAAAGCGTGTTCTTTTTGCCGCTTTTCGGCCTCATCAAGGTCATTTCACACACGTCGTCGCCTTAGGCCGGGAAAGTCGCTCGTTAAGGTCTTTCCAAGTGTCTTAAAAATTAAACAAAAGAATAGATTGAACCAGCTTTTCGGAAGTGCATGAGCTGGAAGAGATTTAGAATATGAATTTTGAAAAAAAGTATTGTTTCTCCAGCGTTATTTGAGGTTCGTAATTCCCTTTTTTGCGAAGAAGCTCTCAAATCAAAGAGACTTCTGGATAATTAATTTTATTGTACGGCAAAAAAATAAAATAAAAAAAGATGTACGATCTTTATTCTTCATTTCAAATGAAACTAATTCATTATAAAGTTGAAATCAGCCCATTCAAAAATGATCTCAATTGGCGGGCTTGGCCAAAGTTTTTTTCTCGTTTCCAGCTTGGCTGTTGTTGCACGCAATATTTCAAACGAGCACTGAAATTACCAGATTTAATAATTTCGAAAGTTTCTCTCATCAACAATATCTAAATACTTCTTGAATTATTTCCATGAAACAACCTGCAAATTGATATCGACAATCATGAAAGCAGCGCAGTTGTCAAACTGACCGCAGTAATGAGGAGCCGAAAAAAAGAGTCTGGAGAAAAAGTAATTATACGAATGTAAGAAAAACGTGTGAAAAAGGCCTCAAGAAATTGCAAAAAATTCAAAAAAAAATTCTCAATTTCTTTAAAGTGTTTTCATGTCAAACTCAAGAAAAAATGAGGTTACTGAGACTACTTGACAAAAAAAAAACAAAGAAGTTTTTCACCACTAATTTACGGCCTGCGAAAAATTCATAACCATCTTGCACAACTTGATGAGCTCGCGCAATCTGAAAAAAAAGACATATGTATGACTCATTTTTGTGAAACGCTTACCAAATCCAGATTGAAGTCGGTACAAATTTTGGAAACAGCATCCTGACCGAAACCCACGCCGGCACCGCGCATGCTTGGCTGGAGTTTCTTTTGAAAAAAGTTTTGGAATTCTAACTTTACTTGATAGCCAGAAAGTCCGATGATGGGGTCTGCCCATAGAAGATCCACTTCTAAAGCTTGCATGGCAGTCGTTGGTCTGAAGTTGTAATTCAATCAAATTCGGAGAAGTTTTGGTTATGGTGTTCAAGAGATGGAGCCAAAAGCCAAGGAAAATTTTCGCGGCATTCATTTTATAGTTCTATCCCAATCGGAAATTTTCCTCCAAAACTGACTGTTTTATATCTCATCCGTATGTTGATTAATTCGCTAATTAGGCGGTCTATTAAACCTTTTAATTTGACGAAGTTGCTCAAGGCTGCTGAGTTCCGGGGACAGACCTCCGTGCATACAAAGAATTTTTTCGCCGACCAATCCTGCCAATGGCATCACGTTGAACATGTCCTGTTTCAGAGTTTTCAGATCCGAAATCAAAAAAAAAAATTAAACCTGAAAAGCTTCGTAGATGCGGGTGCTCGTATAACGCTTTTGGCACTCTTCATAGAATCCATAGGTACGGTTGACGTGTTCGCACTCGTGGTTGCCCCGCAGCAAGAACATATTTTTGGGAAACCTCATCTGCAGCTCAGACTTTTCAGGCCCGTTTTGATATCAAACTTTGTAAGCAATAAGAAGTATAATTGTTTCGAGATTATGTCGTCCGCGATCAACGTAGTCTCCAAGGAAAAGATAATTAGCCGTAGGTGGGAAACCTCCCTAAAATGAAGCTCAGAAGCAGTTAAACAGAGCAGCGAGAAGAAACTCTTCCGAAGAGCCTGAGCAGATCTGGAAACTGGCCGTGGATGTCGCCGCAAATCCGAACGGGCGGATCGATCTCGACTAGCGAGTTCTGCTGAAGCAGAAGCGTCTTTGAGGCCTCTGACAATAATTGATATGATGTTCAGGTTCTCCTCGCACCGATCAGAGTTAGGAGCTTGGCCTCGGAGACGACCGTCGACAAAGGTGAGGTGCCACTTGTGCTGTTGAGCAGGTCGCAGAGCAACGCCGTCAGCTCTTCTTTCTTCAACGTCATCTGACAATTCGATACGAAAATGACATGTTTCTCACGCAAAAATATTTTCATGATTTATTAGTCAAATAATGAAATGAGAGAAAAATTATTTGAAATGGAGCCGGTTGAACTCATCCAGTTACCTGCAATTCACTCTTTAAAAATCGTGAAAGTAAAAAAAGCTTACGCGTTGCTTCAAAATTTGAAGAGTGGATATCACGGGGGAAAGGTCACGCTTTTCCAGAAGGACATTCGGAGAGAAAAGTTCGTCTTTTCTGTAAACTCGATTCGTTGATATCGGTCACAATCCTCTCAGACTTACTCAAAATTTAGCTGTTCTAAACTTTCCAGAAAATTGCTGATATTATCGGTAGCCGAGAAAAGTGCGGGTTTTTGGTTGACAGGTCGCAGAAGTGCTCGGGGGTTCACTCGCAGCAGTAATCTTCAACACAAACAATGATCACAAGAAAAAAAAATCAAGAAAAAAAAAACTTTTTTCCGTTGATTCGAAGTTTCATAACGATTAGGAAACAGATTGAACTTCGACATTCTAAGAACGTATGTTAGAAATGATCGTTCTTCTTTTAACAGCATAGTAAGTATTATTATAAAAGATATATTTTGTGGATCATGAAATTCTGGTTTCTGTCCTAGTTTAAACTATTTGTTGCTCTGACTAGTGAGTTTTTTATCGAAAAATAACTAGGTTTGATAGTTTGAACTTTAATTTTAAAATAAGGGCTCACTTGCAAAGAATTTTTCCATCGTGGAGCTGCTCCAGCGCTTCATTGGCGTCATGGGAAACGTGTTCGGCGGTGACGTAGTTGAGCCAGTCGATGATCTGGGTCTCGGCCTGCTCATTACGTCTTCCTTGCAGCTGCACTTGCAAATCATGATCAGTTCCACATGATCTTGTCGCACACAGCCGGCTTCTATTTGAAAACAGAAAGCTGTCTCAAAACTTTTTTCGATTAAAACTGGCTTATGTGACAAAAAAACCATATAAAAACTTTTTTGAAGCTATTTTTCTTTTACTTGACTCATTAACTCGTAGAGGTATCTTCCTAATGAAGGGCAAAAATAAAATTTTTGTTTCTTTTTTTGTGCATCTAAATCAAAACTTGGGATTTTTTCATGTGATCAGTTTATATTGACTACAGAAACTAAGAAGTACAAGTCCGACGCTCTCTCTCTTTTCACCCTAAGAAAAAGTGCTATAATTTTCAAAAGTTTCAATCATTTCACAAGAAGTGTGATTTTCACAAATATACCCGAAAGGTTTGAAAACATACTTATCTTACTAGGGAACGTTTTTTACCCCCCCGGTTGAACTTTTGCTGAAACTTTGCCGAAGTGTACTTTAGGACTCCCTGATTCCAGAACAGGAAGAAAATTTCTCGCAATAGATCTCGTTTTCGAGTTAGGACACTTCAAAAGCCCGAAATAGCGCTTTTTTGGCCTAATTTGCGTATTTTGCACACTTTGAAGCTCCATATTTCGGAAACAAGATCTATTGCGAGAAATTTTCTTCTTGTTCTGGAATCAGGGGGATCCTAAAGTACACTTCAACAAAGTTTCAGCAAAAGTTCAACCGGGGGGTAAAAAACGTTCCCTGGTTAGGCATTAATTTGATTGATAACGCTCATCAGAGGTAGCGATTTTTCAAAAAGAGACTCAGGAAAATTCTCGCATATCAACGACCAAACACATACCCAGCTCATGCGGAAGTTCCTGTCTCTTTTCGAGCCATAAGTGAACGCAGAGCCAGTGGAATTGGCTGCGAGTTCCGGGTACTTGGATTCGCCGGTAAATCGCTTCCAGCCGGCAGCCATCGTGCACAAAAATACGAAGAAGACTTCAGGAGGAACAAGCCTGATTACAATCGATGGTGAATAAGCAAATAGGAAAAGTCAACAGGCTCTCCGTGCGCGGAGAGCTCGCAGTTGCGGAGGCGGAGATTCTCCGTGGCAAACATTTATTTTTTCACAACTCTTGCCCACTCATAGTTTCGACCGGAGGTTGTTGAGCGTCGAAGACAGCTTGTAACTCCGTTCGGATGGTTCTGGAAAAGAGGACTTCTCGGTGGCTGTTCAAAGGTCTCACCAAGGTTATGCCAGTGGGATATCGTGTCGGCGACTCTATGAATTCCCACCAAACGACCGTATCTCATTGGTCCGCCGTGCCGAAGCGGCCAGCCGAATCCGAAAGTGCTGGAAACAGAGTTTCTTGAGAAAAAACCTCACGATGGAAGTTTTTATGTTAAAGAGAAAGAGCGAACGAAAAGCGCAGCTGGAACGTCTCGGAACATTGCAAACTTTGATTTTTGAAAGAGTAGGAACTCTTAGAGAAAATATTTCCTTTTCTTTGTATGATTTTAAAATATTAGGTTTTTTTTGCCCTCGAGATTATATTTCGAAGAAAAAACGTTTTACTATTTAAGTCTATTTCTTGACTGTTCTATTCTATTATATTTACAGGAACCTACCTTTTGAGGCATATTCTTCGAAGCAAGATTTTAAAAAATCATTTTTTTAAAAAAACCGCATTTTCTACTTACATAAGCCATTTAACTCCTTTTCACCAAGGATAGAGACTATCTTTACAGGATATTCTCTCAAAATTAAGTATTAGGTCGAGCAAACTGACAACATAATATCGATGAGCATCTCTTCGCTAATCATGCCTTCCTCGATGCAGAGAAATCCTTCATTCACCATCGGAAAGAGTAAAAACTCTATCACGTCCTAAAGGCAAGAAAAAGTTGAACCTTCAGTTATTCAGTACTCACTCGATCTGAGGAGAGCTGAATTGAAAGTTTTTCCACTTTCGATGAAAAATTTCTGATGATTTCTTCAACTTCGGCGTCGTTCTCCTTCTTATGTGTCTCTTTGTCATACTTGTAAAATCCAGCGCCTGAAAATAAAATCTCTGAATGAACTCACACTTTCAAGGTTTATTTTCAATTATTGATCTTAAAGTATTATTTCTTGGTTCACTAACCAGTTTTTCTACCGTATCTTTTTTTCCTCAGCAACTCTTCCTCGATGGGGTTCAAGGGAAACCCGTTCTCCCTTTTGAGCTTCTCAGAAACGTCCAAACCTCAAAAAACTCCCAAATGAATGATTCTTCCTATCAACGCACCATTCATGTCATGCATCGTGAGAGGCCCCATGAGAAATCCATAGTTCAGGACGATCCGATCGATGTCTTGAGGAGTCATTCCATACTGGTAGGTCAGTTTGTGGGCCTGGTTCAAGTAAACAGCCAGAAGACGATTGAAAACAAAAGCCGGACAGTTTCCAACTAAAACGGCGCCCTGAAATTGAGTTTATCATTCTCACCAGGGAATGGTCTCCGGTCGCAGTGGGACCTCTCAATGAGACCAATTTTTCCAGATGTAGTTTTTCACGCTGATCTTAAATCTGGTCTCAAAAACTGCCGAGGAGCTCTGTGAAAAAAGTTATGGACCCTCAAAAGTCGAAAATTTCAGTGTTTCCGATTGAGCTCGTTTTTTGAGGGTATATAGATCTTGTCCCTGTGGTCAAAAGAAACCATTGAGGTTTTCACAAAAAAAATTTCGGAGCCCAGATATGATCTTTCAAAGCCCCGCCTAACACAAGAGCTTGCGAGCGCGGTGTCCTATTGCGATCCGGCGACCGTCGAAGCAACGGCAGCAAGGAGCAGTGGTAAGGCGGCGGACTGATGATTACGAGGTCATAGGTTCGGTGCCCACTCTGTGCAAACTTTTTTTGCAGTTTTTCTTTTTTCTATGATTTCGTTTGAGGGCTCCTTTTTTGAGTTTTGAGGCGTAGAAACATGGAAATTCTTCGTTTTTAGCCTATTCGAACATCTAGAATTATTTTCGTCAAAAATTTTTTTCATGGAATTTTTCGAGATTTTTCATGTGTATGCTGGAGTGAGAAAATTTTCAGAAAAATTTTTTTGTTTTTTTTTCCCATTTTTTTGTTCCTAAAAGATTTATAAGTTTAAATAGTCATAGATACGCCGACATATCCCACAGAAAATTTTTTTCCTGGCTTTTTTAGACCTCACCGTTCAACATGGTCAGAGATATAAAATTTTATTAACTCGCTAAATAACAATTGAAAACTCCCAATCGGTTGCGGTAGTAATTGCAAGTTTAAATTTTCAGATGAACTGTTAGATTTATTCAGTTTTTTTTTCCATCTGTTGTATTTATATTTGTCGTGCAGATTGCGGAATGGGGAATAAAAACTTGAAATGAAACAGAATCAGTTTTAAAAAAGCTGGTTGCGTTTGATGCTATCCACAACAGATCTGACCTGCCCGCGCTCTTGCTCTAGAGACTTCTTTTCATTTTGCTACTGTCCGGTGAAAGAACAGAGAGCGCAGACAAGAACTTTCGATCAATAAGTATTGAAAATCGTGCGATGATATCAAATCAAACTCTACTAACCTTTTCCATGGCTGAACAAGCTGCAAATGCTGTCGCCACGGCTTCTGGGCTCGTGTGGCTCCCGAAGACGATCTCGACGACTTTGATGACGTGGGCAGGATTGAAAAAGTGGATGCCAACTAACCGAGACGGTTCTTTCAACACGGAGCTCATCGGAAATTGAAACTTTCTTAATAGTTCAAACCAAATCTCACTTTGTCAATGTCCAAACTTGAAGTATTGCTTCCCAAAATGCACGTTTTCTTGCAAATTCTATCCAATTTTGTCAAAAGCTCTTTTTTGATATTCATTTCTTCAAATACCGCTTCAATTACCTAAAAAAAAAAACTTATGACAATGTATATCCATGCTCCCAGTTAATAACACACCAAGTCCACTTGGCTCAAAGTTCCGAGGTCGGTCGTTAGCCGAAGTGAGGACCTCAGTTTTTCGACATCCCTAGCATTGAATCTTTTCAGCTCAATTTCTCGGGCGTAAGTGATTTCCAACTCGTCGCGGCAAAATTTCAGCGCCTGCCAAAAAAGTTCTAATCAGGCTGAAATAAAATCTCACCTTTTCGTCGTGTTCCACCAGAATCGTTTCGTAACCGGCTAAGCAAAGAGAAATGGCGATTCCTCGGCCCATAGTCCCTAATAGTTGATGTTGATTTTGTTACATTGAATAACTGTTATTTAAACTTTTTTTTGGTAAAAAAAAGCTTTAATTTGTAGAATGTTTTTTTTTCAACTTTAGCGCTGTTTTTTCAAAAACACCATATACCTCCTCCGATAACAGCAGCAGATGAGATTTCAATGGGTTGAGCTGTTTTGTGAGATCCTCGATCATTTGGCAGGACCCACTGTAAATCATTTCGAAGTTCAGTAAGATCATTGGGAAGAGAACCTCGGGAGCTTTTGCATAGGCATCGAGAAGGTAAGTCTTCACCTCTGGTGATAGGGCTTTCATCAATTTTCCTTCCATAGCTGAAACTTCAAAAATTTTGAAAGAAAAAAATATTTGAAAAAAAAACGTAACAGCATATACCACTACAAAAGTGGAGAATCATCTCATAGTTCTTTTTATTTTTCGAAACTCTGCAAAGTTATAAAAAAATGTTTCCAAGTTCTTGATAAGAAACGTTTTAATTTTTCTCTATTTTTTTCAGACTATTTGAAACCCTATTTGGAACGAACTTATACATTTTGATTTCTAGGACATAAGGAAAAAGATATATAAAATGAAAGAAAAAGCTCATTCAAACCGTGTCAGACATAGGAAAAGAATGGCTTTCCAAAAAAACAACAGGAACCAACGTTGATAAGTGGGAACAATGTAGCCAAGATCAAAGATTGTTTATTTGTTCACTACACTTCAATAAATTGCTTTCAAGTTGAGTTTTTTCCGGCGTTGATTGTCGTCTCTCCTCATTGTTTCTATCATGCTCTGAAAAACTTAATTTCACCTTTCTTATAAATTGATTCACCATATAAATGTCTTGGGCGGCGTTGACCCCGAAAACAAAGTCCATGTGGCTGTAATGCGGCAGTTCTGTTGAGTTGGCGATTGTTCCGTTCATTTTGGCGAGGATTGAATCTCTAAATCTTCCACTTGGATCAATCACTTAAGTACAAGAACTAACCGTATATCATCTGTGTCGGCCAAGATGTCGTCTTTGCTCCAATACAAGAAGGTTGGAGTTCGAATTTTTGTAAGATCATAAACTGGAGGAGTTTCCTGAAAACTTGGATCAAAGCTTAAAAAAAGAAAAAGAAAACCAGAAAATTTCAACGAAGACTTCGAACTTTTCAAACCTCTTCACTTCAATTATCAAATTTCAACTTGACAAAAATTTTTTTTTCAACGAATTGCTCCTTGTGGAGAATATATTCACTCGAAAGTTCATAATTTTTTGAAAAATCACCCAAAAAAACTCATTGATGTGCCACGTGAAGATCATAAAAGTATAAATTACTAGATTTTTCTGTTTTTCGAGAGCGGAAACTTACAGCTCGAAGAAAAAGAAATCGTACTAGTTGAGTGGATCAAAATTTAAGCCTTCTCTTTAAAAAAAAAATCGAGAATTGAACATCTCACTTGTTGAACTTTTCCTTTGTAGTATAAAATTGTTAGGAGCAAGGTTTTCACCAGTTTTTTTTTCCATGAAATGTATTAACCTGTCCATATTGGTCCATGTTGCCCTTGGCTCCATAGTCGTATTTTTGCACCTTCTGAGAATCCATCAACTGCATCCAATGGAGCAGGTCTTTCAGGGAAGTGGCAGCCGGGGTATGGCAGAGGTAGACTCCGAGACGAGTCTGACAATTTCATAAAGTTGAGTTCTAAAGAAAACTAATTTCTCACCAAGTTGAACATTTTCTCATTGCCATCGATGAATCCAATCTCCAAAGAGCAAATATTTTCAAGTCTGCTCTGGCTGCAAATCCAGCCGATGAGTTTTTGAACCCATTTTGGAAAGGTCAAAGGTGTGTAAGGCAGTCGATCAAGAAGAACCTGAACTGGCAAATAAATACTCTTATAGTAGGATGATCCAGTGTTAGTATTAACCCAAAATTTTTTATGGAAAAAAACTTCAGCAAATTCCAAGAATCGTTTCCCCAGAAGCTTGAAAAGTCCTCCGATGTGAGAAACAGAAGCGACCGGGGCAAGTGCGTGAAATTGACGAATCTGAAAATGTTTTGAAAAACACTTTCGGAAACTTTTTACAGGAAATTCTAATTCAGAAAAAAATTCAATTGATATCCTCCCGTTACGCATTTTAGCTTAAATAATTTTTTTTTATTCTTAGGCTTCGATTTCAGATACTAGCTTTTCACTGTTGAAGTTCTTATTTCATTGTTTCCTCTCTTGTCTGCGCACTGTTTTGCTGATTTAACTGAAGCTGTCGATTGCGATAGATTCATCTAACTTTGAGAGAAGATGACCAGCATCCAAGTACAGTGTATTTTAGTCTCATTTGAACGCCATCGTTGGATTTCCGACACTTCGATACATGTCACGTAGTATCGCTATACCTTTCTCGATTCGCTTGTGTAGATAATATCAAAGTTAGCCAATCAGAAAAAAGTGAGTGTGGTGATGAAGGTTGTCCTTTTTTCTATTTCAACTACCTTTTTGTTGAAAGAAGCGTCATCGGCCAGTTTTGCAAACATGATCATAGTCCCTTGCGAGTGGCCAATGTAGTACAAATCTTCCTGAAAACATTCTTGAAGGACAAAAAATAGATAACTATACTCTTGAGGTCGTCTGCAGCACGTACTTGATGCTGGCAGTCAGATCGTATCGAGCCATTTCCTGAAGAGAAAATTGTATCCCAAGCACAAACAGGCCAAAAACATCAAAGGAAAAGTTCCAGAATCTTTTGTCGTCTGGTCCGAAGCCAATGTGTTTCTGAGAAGCCGGAGTTCCACGAGAGTTCGCAATCCAAACATCAAATTTCGCATCAGCGAAAACGAAACCTGGCGAAAAATGAGAAAAAAAAGAAGCTGATCAACCTGAACCTGCAGATTGAGAAGGCATGTTTGGTATAAAGCAAAATCCGTCAGAAAGAAGGCCGTGCTGCATGAAAACGACGGGCTTCTTCTGATCTGAAGGCCTACAGTCGGATTCATTGAGAGCACAGGGAAAGCGGTGGAGTTCCAGTATGTAGTCGTCCTCCGTCCGAACCACGTGCGCCTCCGATGCGTAGCCGAAGTGTCGCGCGATTTCCGGCTGAAAGAGGCTTTTCTGTTTATTTTTTCAACTCAACTGTTCTGGCTTTTATGATTTTTTGGAAGAAGAAAGACATAACTTCTTTTTTTTCAAAAATAAAACAATTTAAAAAATGTTTTAAAAGCGCAAATTGTATATGAAGGTCCCTATTATTTTGGAAAATTGAAAATGTCAAATAATAGGTTTTCTCCCATGAATCAATCAAAAGACACGTCCTTTGCTTTTTTATTAAGTTTTTCAAGCAGAATTTATAAAAACCAGATGTGTCGAAAAAATATTATTTTTCAATTTCGAAATTGTCATTCTTATTTCTTCAATAACTACAATTTCAGGAAGGAAAACGCACGACTGTGAGGTAACATTCAGGATCAATGGCTTCGACATTCAGAATCAGCCGGAAGGCCGAGAAAAGGAGGGCGAGGCGCAGCTCGAACATCACGACGGAGGAGAGGTGCGACACATGTTCCAGTGTTTGCTGGGACACCAATCACTCACAGCTGAGGTCGCTTATCAAACCTAACCCTGTCACTTCATAATTAGCACTAACTATTTACTTCCTAACTATGCAAATAATCGATCGCCTTGGGTTCACTTTCGTTCAAATCTATGGTGTGTAATACAATGTTGGTTCATTAATCTCCTTTACAGAAAAAAGGTGTATGTAGAAGTTTTTGAACTTTTTAGGCACAAGCGATTTGATTGGCGAGAAGTTATATTAATTAAAATAATTAGGCGCAGACTTGTTCTGCGCCATTCGTGTTTAGGCTGGTTTAGGTGAGATGGGAATAAAGGGCGTTTCAATAATTATATTTCAGTTTTTAGACTAAGAATTCATTCCTTCTTTCCAGTTCCTCCAAAACCAAAAGTATCAAAGAAGACATAAGAACTTCACAGGATCTAGTTAACATTTTTTGAAAACTTCAACGATCTTCCGTTCTTTCTCTCGATGACAATGATTTCTTTTTCAATAAACGCAAGACTAGAGGAAAAACCATGCAATGGAAAACAAGTACAAAAAGGTTAATGACGTTTATTTATGCGCTTTTCTTGTCGATGAACGTGACCAAGGGGTCGATGACCTTTACGTAGACCAAGCGAGCTCCGTTCGTCTGCGGCAGGTACAGGTAGACCAGGAAAACCACCTGAAACGCTTCATTTGAGCTCCATTTTCCAGTTCCAGAATAGATCAACATGTTTTAGTCCTGATTTTATTTTTTTCCAATTTGCAAATTCAAATTACTAAAGTTAACCTTGAGAAGCCAGTAGACGGGGACGAAAGTCAAGATCGTCGTGTCGATGAGAGAAAAAGTGGCGAAGACGGTCCAGTAGGTCAGCCACTGAGTGTCATCAGCAGTTTCCTCCGTCCTGATCGCCTTAAAAACTTTGGTTAAAACCAAAAAAGGACAAATCCAAACCTTGACTGAGACGTAGGCTGGATAGGCGAATCCAGTGATATTGCAGAGAAACTGGGCGCCCTTGCCGAAGATCAGATAGATGGCGTAGATGACCAAGAGTCCGTAGGCGGCGTTTTCTCGCTTCAGCTGAGTCGCCTGCTCGAACTTTGCCACGTTGGTGTCGTAGCACTCGCCGTGGGGCTTGTAGAGCCAGGCCACAAAGTCGGTCTGCAGAAAAAAAGACTTTCCAGTTGAATGCGATCCAGAAGAACAAACGTGGAAGTTGCGGACGCCTTCCACTGGCGTCGCCAGTTGCTCTGCGGCAGGAGTACCTGGTGCTTTGACTTCCGATCTCTTCGACATCACGGTTTTTGAAGCAAATGAGTTTTGGAATGATCGCTCGCTCGGAGTGGAGCACGCCGTTTGCGTTGTTTTTCTTTTATATTGAGTTCTTCGTTAGATATTTTGAAAGTTGCAGAACGTGGCTGACGTACCTATGAGAATGAGGTAAATTACTGGAAATTTCGCTCAAAAAAGAAATTAATGCTGAGGGCAGTCAGAAATTTAAAAAAAAAGTTAATTTAAAAAGGAAATAAGTCATGCTTATCACTACATTTGTAAATTTTAGTTTTGAAAAAAATCCATCGCAGTTTTAAAATAAAGATTTATCCAATATGCATGAAAATGGGTACAGAGATCAGATCGAACTAGACAAAAAGAATTTGGTGATGTAAAGAAGTGGAGAGAAGAACCCGCGAGGATGAGCGACCCCAGTGACCCGTAGAAAAAGATCAGAGCTGGTGGACCTGCTGGCTCGTGCTTTCAGAAGGACTCGGCGATTCTTGAGCCGCAGCCTCGTCCATTTCCGTCGCCAGCGGCGCATAACTGCGATTTCTGAAGAGAATGAAAATAGTTTAGATTGTACCACGCTTTTTCCTATTTCCCAAGTTTAGATAAGAGTTTTTCTGAAAAGTTCTGAGACTTTCGAGACTTCTCCAATTACCTCAAACGAACGCTACTCCGCTGTTGCATCTGCGACATCTGCGTCGGCGTCGTCGCCTGTTTCATCCAAAACCTGCAAAAAATATATGATTCCTTTTTCGAAAACGAACACTCTCACCCGTACGCCCGAGTCGGCATTATAACTGTCCAGAAGGTATATCTGTACCGAGATGACATCACGCAATAAAGGACGAAATTGACACAAGAATTCAACAAAGATAGCAAGTCGAGAATATCGCCCAGATGGAAGTAAAGATACCTGAACGAAAACCTTCCCAACTTTTTAAGCCGAGAACTATTTTCCGAATTGTGGGATAACTAATAACTGCTAAAATCAGGTAGTATTGCAATTAGAGTCGCAGATACTGTAAATCAAGTTGAGCTCTACTCAACATCCACAAATAAGATTAATAATGAACTTTTGTGAGAGAAAAAGTTTTAAGTATCTTTTGAAAATATTTGAACAAATTTTTTTGTAAAAAGCAAACTTTAAAAGGTTGTAAACGAGAAACTTTCCATATACAGGTTATTTATTCAGATAGTAGACCCTTTTTTAAGGGAAAAAGACCAACCTGTGAACGTCGGCCGTAAAAATTGCACATAAGATGGAAATTATGCCCTGCGGCAACTCCGTGATGAGAAATACGACAAGAATGACTACCAACATGGTCGTCGTTCGATCTGGAGTCGTGTTCTTTCTGAAGATTGGAATTTTTATCGATACTCGGAAAGAAGAACCAACTTTTTCTGTTTGTTGTCCACTGAGTTGTTCGAGGCCATATTGATGAGTTTCCTTCGATGTCTCTCCGCATCTCGGATCTTCATAACGAGACCAACGGACAGAATAACCAGCAAAATACAAGGAATCACCTGTAAAACCCACTTTGAAAGTAGATCCTTTCTTCCCTACCTTGAACAAGATTCCGATCATCCAGATGTTCCACTTGAAAAGCCTACAGTTGTTGGCGGTAGCCACCCGACTCACTTTGAAAGTGTACTGTAACTCGCTATAACCAACTGGGAAGTTTTTACACCTGAAAAAGTGTTCAAAAATATTCCGTTTCTTTGAGGAAGACGAACTTTTCAGAGGGAATCCATTTATAGCCTGCGACTGGTTCTATCTCGTGCACAAGCATGTTTGGAATACACAAAATAAAGACGATGACGTAGATCGCCAGGCACAACTTCCAGGCAAACATCGGACGTTGCCAATGGCTGGAATATGTTCTCAATTGGAAACCATCTTTCAAATGTTCTTCACTTCAATAAAAATTCCCAGAAAAGAAAAAAAAACTGAAGACAAAAGGTTCAAAAGTTCTAAAGAATAACAGGTGTGCTTATAATTATTCTGAACCGAGAACCCTTTTCAAATTTAATTCATTCGTAGAACCATCCACCTGGTTGGCAGTTCTAATTTCAGTCTTCTAGGTGAACCCAGGTGGATAATAACTGGTTACTGGAAATCTAACACACAATCATAGGAAGGTGTTTAGTTTGGAATACAGACTTCTGCCTTATAAAGATTTGCAGGATACTATACTAACATCCACTTGAATTTGCAACAAATATGTCATTTCTGAAAAGCGAAAGAAAATAAAAATGTTCTTTGGAATTGAAAGAATTTGGTTTTTAGAGAAAAACAGAGTAGTACGTGAAAAGAAAAGCCAACGGAATATCAAAATAGTCTCTTTCAAATCATTGGTCGCGATTGGAACGACTCGAATCTTATCAAACTTGAAATAAATTGCGCGAAGCAGCGTGGAATTTTTTCATGAGAAATAACTCTGAATATAGGGATTTCTTGTAGCAGAAAACTTCTGTCGAATACCTGTTGAGAACGGCAACTCGAAGAGCCATTCTTCTGATGAACGCCATCGCGACGGCGAGCCACAGCGACGTCGTGTGCAGAGTGATGCTGAGAACCACGTGCCACAGTAGGAATTGCAGCCAGGCGTGAGTGAACGTCGATGAACTTTAATATTGACTTTATTCGTTTTTTTTTCGAACTGGTCTGAACCTTCTTTCTTATTATCTTCAGAGAAATCTCAGATGTTTTGAATACACAACTCCAAATGAAGTACTTCATAAATACAATCTTGATGATTTTCAAATTTGATATAATCTCATTTCAATCGAGTACCGCCTCTATTATTTTCAGTATCTAATTAACGAAGAACTGTTCAAAAAATATTGAAATTTTCTAGACGGCGGTGTCGAAATTCCCCTCAAATCTACAAGTTCTCCAATTCATTGGAATGGCAAACAATGAGGCTGTGGTTGTTTTGCATTGTTCAAACTCAAAAATTAGCGTACATCGCTCACAACAACGGAAAACGATGGAAACTGGGAGAAATTGGACAGCTGAGCGAAAGGGCCGAGGTGATAAAAAACACTAACGCAGTCACGCAATTCGGAAAAAATAAGAGGAAAAAATCCTTTCTATGAGAATCACATAGATAAGACTACAGAGGACTGATAGGGAACTAATAATTTATTTATTTGAAACTATGAAAAGATTAGAAGATGATTATTTAACTAGTTAATCCAAAAATAATTTGACATAATTTGATTGAAAGAAGTAACAAACCAAGGATTGCGTCTTTGGAGAACGAAATGGATGATGTAGACGAGATAGGAGGCCATCGTGCCGATGTCGCAGACGGCGACGGCGGTCAAGATGCAGTTGACAGCCGAGTTGCGCATCGACGGCCTCGACAGAACCACCACGTGCACCAGGTTCGTCAGGATGCCGAACACACATAGTGCTACGCATACAAATCCGTGGATCGGTGCGTAGGCTCTGAAAATAACTATTCTGTCAAAATCCAGGAAACAAGCTGAAGGTTGGAAAAATTCTAGTTATAAAATAAAAGATTACATAGATTCTACGTTTTAATTAATAAGTTATTGTTATTGGACCTCAAAAAAATGTTGAGTGAAACATTATTACTAAAGTTTTGCAAAAATTTTAAAAAAAAATTTAACTTTAAATACGCTTTAACTCCGAATACGAAAAAAATTATTGTCACTAATCAATGAATAGAAAAAAACTATCTACAAGAAAAAAAGAGGAATTCCAGGCGAAGAAAAACATTTATTTGAAAAAAATTGGTTCGCGTGTAAAAACCACGCTACAACACGAAAAACTTATAGAAAAAGTACAGTAGCCTTTTTTTTAAAATAATTTGCTCCTCTTTTTCTAAATTCGAACCGGTTTTGGCAGGTTTTGTGGAGAAACTTGTTTGTAACTTTCATTATAATCAAAAAAGACGGAAAGTACAAACTTCTGAAACTGTGCAAGGCTCTCGAGGAAATTGGCGGTGGCTGTATTGTTGGGATCGAACAGCTGCGCGTCGTGTGGGCATTCCATCACGTCATTCCTGCCGCCGACAAAATCCTGGAAAAAGAAAAACGTTCGAATCCCTTTCTCTTTTCGACAGAGTTTGATTTGAATTGGAGGAAACGAGAGGAGCTCGGCTTCAAATGGAGTCGTGATAAACAGGAACAGATAATGGGAGGAGGAAAACGGATGGAAGCCGAGAATGGGCGGAGACTCGTTGGCAAAGGTGCTGCATGAACAGACAACTGACACACGTGAGCAAAAACACACTTCCAAGTGCATCCTCGAGTGATTTTCGAGGATTGTTGGTCCAACAAACGTCACGAGAGTGAGAGAAAGAGTTATGACAGTTAATTCAGGACTAGTCCATCAAATCTTGAAAGGCCGTCCTGAAAACCCAGAGGTCGTATGCAGGAAACGGTTTATCAAATACAGATAGCTTGGAACTTCCTATTTTTTCTCAAAACGTTTTGATTCGTGTTTGAAAGACTCTGATAGGAATAATGTTAGATGAGAAGCTTCTTTCGACCCCTAGATTGCAGTTACGAGCCATTTACCAATACGGGGCGAACCTTCCTGCAAACGGCCTGAGTCTGATTAGTTGGTCACCGCTTTTATTTAACCTTTGAATTTTTATGTGCACTTCTAGGAAGTTAGTACAGGTGAATGCTTCAGCTTTGTAAAAGTTGGTTTAGGCGAAACTTCAGCTAGAACCGACCTAAAACTACTTGCGCAAAAATAAATTTGAAAAAAATGAAAGCATCCTTCTAGATGATCCCCTCCAAATTAGAACACTAAATCTTAAGTCGAGGCAAACGAAGAGAAGAAAAAGACGCTTATGAGATCTGACTTATGCTTTTAACAAATTCTATGACATCAGGTTGCACAAAAATTCTAATCTGAAAAAAAAAACGGTTCATTTTTTTTTTTGAAAAGTATCCTCCAAATTTATCCCCAAATGAGAAGGCTCCTTAAAATCTATATCTTTTATTACTAGGTTCTTCCTAAGTTTTGCAAGAATATTAGTTCAGTCGTCGAAGCAATGGAACCCGGTTCTAGAAGCAGGTTGATCTTAGAAATAGCTTTTAAAAAAACCAAAAAAATAATTTTGCGGTGATGTTATTTATTTATTTTTTCTCTTTTGCATTACCTTTAATTAATGCGTGAAGCTCGAATAAATTATGCGCTAAAACGGAACCACTTGTCTTTTGACTAATGGCCAGGAAATTTTATTGAGAACCACACTTTTGAGGAGTTTATTTGGCTCTTCTGCAAATCTTCCTCATAAAATGCATGGATAATTTTTCATCTGTAAAAAGGTTTCAAAATGAAATCCGGAGTGAAAAAAAGTGGATTCCTTAAAATTGCAAAGGCAAAAACTATCAAAGCGAAAAGACAATTTTTTTCAAAGAAAAAGATTTGTGTCTCGTAAATACGATTTATTGGCGCAACTTTAGCTTCTTTTTCAGATCCTCTGAATCACAACAAAAGCCAAATCCGTCTTCTAAATGGTTTTGAAGAGAGGAAGCTCAAACAAATTGCGTTTATTAGTGGAAAACAAAGGGTTCGAGTTACTGAGTGACACTTTCCCACGTTTTCACAAAAAGGAAATGAAAACGGGCGTTCTTAAGTTTAATGTGAGTCGCTTAAATGTCATCAAGACTCATTGGAGACGAGCGTATTTCCTGGGAACGCCCTCGAAAAAAGTGTCTATGAGAAAGTTGATTTATTCTTTTGAAAACGCCTTCGGGATCGGGAAAAAGGAAAGAAAAACTTATAAAGGTTATGAAATAAAAGCAACAAGAAGAGCAACCTTTCCAAATATGGAGGAAAGTTGGACGAGCCGGTGTCTCAAGGGGCCATTCCATAAGACCGCCGAGGCCGCTGTCACCTCGGATTCAGCCAAACAAAAAAACCAGAATAACCAAGCGTGAAGTCCATTCGTCTTCTCCTTGTTTTTTGGAGTACTTTTATGCAAATTAAACTTGATTTCTGATCTCCAGATTAAGTACAATTTTTTTTATTTTATCAACTTAACCAATCTATTTAAGAGGGAAGTGAGTGGGGTGAACATGGCCGATGTATTCCAAACTTCGGTTTTGCGTGATCCTATAAGTATTGGAATACTGAAATAATTATATGCTAAGCGCCGTAGGGTACTGAGAAATAGCCCATCGAAAACGTACAAGAAAATTTCAAACAGATTCTCTTTATTTTTTTTTTTGTGGAAAAAGTTCTTTCTTGTGTTCATTATAATATAGTGAGTTATAGAAGTTTTTATAGAAACCGAATACCGGAAAATCATTTTTCGAGCTTCTTCTGTAGTTTTTTTCGACGGGCTATTTCGCAGTATCCTCTGGCGCTTAAAACTTTCTTTTTCTTTTTTTTTTCGTTCACGAGCACTCATACCTAGGACTACCTACCACAGAACAGATCTGCAATGTTAACCTTACACGGTTCTCTTGTCAACGGTCAACCGCTTCCAGTTTTTCTAAAAGGCCGCTTGATTTTCACTTCAGTCGGTGTACTTTTCGAGCAACTTATTCAAACTTGAATGAGTTATCTGGAACGCACCTTGTCTTTTTTAACTCTTGGCCTAAAATAGGCCAAAGAGTAGAATGCGTGCTGATGAGTAAACAGCGGCGTGTGAAAAAGTCGTTGGCGCCCCGAGGCTAAAAACTGCTCTCCTTAAAAAAGGCAAATCTGGAGGCAGAAGAGTGTGATTGGTGGTTGTTGCGTTTTTGGGCAAGGTCTGGCGAGTTTCAGCGGCAATTACGGCCGGCTCGACGACTCCAAATGAGGGGCTTGGACCCTGCCGGAGTCGGTTATGCATTCGATGATGTGAGAAGGAGAAGAAGACACCGAAAAGAGTATTTTTATAAACTCCTCTCGAGGTCAACTTTGGAAAAAAGGTATGATCTCTGGACTTCTACGTGAAATACCAAACGCTAGTGAGAAATGGTTGCAAAAGCTTCTCTCTCTCTCTCTCAAATGTTTTCTTTTAGAATAATTATAACTTTAAAAATGTACCAGAAGATCAAAAAAAATAGCACCAGGAAAGCGAAGCAAGATGCTGAATTTCTGGTTAGCTATTCGCTCGTTTCTAATCTCAAAACGGTAGCGACGCGTCAAACCATTCAGAAGTGCGATCCTGACGTTCAAAAATGAGATAAAGCAGTTCTAGACAGAGGAATCAGATTAGAAAACGATTGAAAAGAACAGAAAAAGATTCTCTGAATCTTTTCCTTCATTTTTCACTTTATTTTCCTCAATATCCTTTTCATTATCACTTTTCCAAGCACCATTATTAAAAAACAAGACACACGTCTTCTTGATACCTTTCCTATATTGACATGGAAGACGCAAAAAACTTGACAAAAGCTTCCTTCAATGCAAATGTAGCTTCCCTGTTCACAATTTATGCAGATTCAAAAAAAAATTTGTTTCATCGAATTCAATAAGGTGTTCGTTCTCTACTAGAATGAGCTGGGAAAATAGAAGAGCTCAAAATTCAACGAAAAACAAGCGGAAGACATGAAATATCGGATTTCAAACAGTCGAATTTGAGCCATTCATGCAAGAAATACCTGTGAAGAAGCTCGTTTTCGCGAGTGTAAAGTGAAGAAAGAAACAACAAGCTCATCCTGCCAGAATATAGAGAAAGAATGAGGCGAGTCATCAAAATTGTTATCAAAAAGATTGACATTTCCGGGTAGAAAAAAAATACTGCTGATAAAGAAAGGATTTGACTTTTTTCAAGAAATTTTAAACAAGAAATTAAACGAGAAATTTTAATAGTACTTTTAGACCTTTTCTTTCAAAAATGCTGTTTCAAAGATTAGAATATTTCAGTGTAAGGCTAGGAAGTTTTAATTGAAAAAAATATAACTTTCGTTTAGTTCGGTTCATGAGCTGGAAAGATAATTTTTATTCCAATAATTATAACTTTTTGCAATAAATTAATCTGATTAATTGGTAAAAGCTTCAAAGATCTGATTAACTGGAAAGTTTTATAAGAAAGCGTTTCCAAGCGAAAGTGAAGATAAAAAAAGGCTTAACTGAAAGGAAAAAAATGATTATCAAACTACTCCTATGAGATATAAATGTATTACAAGGATAATAATTTTCAATTCTCGAATTGAATATAAAGAGTGAACTTCAATTTTTGAAAAAAAAAATCCAAAAACACGGCTTTGCCGCTATTTGCAACTAAACTTTTTGCTTCGAGAGAATTTTTAAACAAAAAAACTGCAAAAAAAATAATAAAAATTCCGAGTTGGCTGGAAAAGCGCCACAAAAAAGGAAGGAAGTGCCTAATGAAGAGTCGTCGGTCATAACATTGAACCAAGGAAGAAAGGAAGAACTAGTGTGCACTGATGGGCCTTGTCCGAAGCGCATTCAATGGAATTAGAGCGGATTTTCCTGGAAGGACGCCATTTCAAGTGTCCGTATCACGTCGTCTCGACTGCTTCTGACACTTTTGGCCAGCTTTTCACGACGGCTCCCGGAAGCCCGCAAGACTTCCGCCGATGATCGCCTTTCCAGAACCTCAGGTTTTTTGTTTTCGTTGATTCATGTGAAGAAGGAAAACGAGAAAGTTTTATTTACGAACAAAAACCGGCCGAATTCAGTAGCGGAAATTTCGCACTTCGATATTTCTGATACCAACGAACATGTCTAGTATTGAACTTTTTCATCCTCTTCTGAGTCTAGGTAAAAGAAAACAGAGCTGTGCGCTGGGCCGAGGGTGACAGCCGAATCGGCCCACAATCGTCGCAATCGAAAACTTTTCTGTCCCATTTCCTAATTTCTATAAATAACACGTTTTTGATCATCCCTTCCCCCATTTACACACGCTGTGAAAATTTCCAGACGAAAAGGTCCCAAAAGTGGCGATTTTCGACCGCGTTGCAACACTATGGCCAGCCCAGAGCACAACTTTGAAAGAAACACTCGGAAAAAACCCTCAACCCTTGAAGAAAGGTCTTGTGCGCTCGATGGCTTTTTACATAAAGAAAACCAATTGAAAAAATAAAATAGACGGAAGTTACAAGTAACTTTAAAGAAGACCATTCTATCAATCCTTGAAAAAATTTTGACTTTCAAATCACGGTAAGAGGAAGAAGTATCGGATGAAAAAGTATCAATAAAATCAAAACAAAAAAAACCGTTCCATCTTTTTTTTTATCGCAAAACCCTGACTTTCATGTCTACTTCATGTCTACTTCGAAAAAAACATTTAAAAAAATATTTTTAACATGAAAAAAATTTTTTTAATTTTAAGTTTGCGATATAAAAAAATTTATGATATTCAAAAAACTTCAACGATTTTTCAATCTTTTTCAAGAAGCCGCAGCTTAATTTTCGAAAAACTTCGAAAAAAGCCATCTGGTTATTTGTCCAGTTGACAGACGCCAAGAAGAAGAAGAAGAAAACGAGAGATCATGAGGCAATATATCTCCGACGTCTTCAAATATTACCATCTCATGACAATTCATCAAAAAGTTAACGATTTTTTTCAGCAATAAAGAACGGAGATAAAAAAAGAAATATTGTCTCGCGCTGATGGCTTCCGTTCTTTTCTTTTTTTAGTAGTTCCAGAACCTGGTGGAAATTTTTGAAAAAACGAAGTTTCACTATGTTGTTATTAAAAACTCCTTGAAACTTTTTGAAAGTTGAAAATATCGGAAAGTATCTCTAGGTCTTGGAATTTTTTTTAAGTTACTATTTAATAAAGTATGAATGCAAAAATAACTCATGCCAGAGTAAACAATAAATAAAAAAAAAAGGTCAAAAACGTGTACAGAAGAAAATGTTTCGAAAAAAGGTAGAAAGCGACGTCATCCGGCGTCTTCGTTCAGCATGAGCGGCAATTAAGCCGTTTGGAGAATTGCAAATTTTCTTTCCTTTTGAATGGCCGGCAGCTTTAAAGAACGTCTTCTCCTTCCATATTTATACATCCCGAGTGAATGGCACGGCAAATGAAAAGACTCTGGGAACGACCTTTTCTTTACCATTCCATTGAAGTCGTTCCCAGGCGGCCATCCGTTTCTTTTTTTTCTCGCTCAAAAGTCCAGAAATTTTTGACTCCGATTCTAAGCGTGACCAAAGTCTAAACGACTGGAAAAGGGAAATCAGTTCCGGTTCCGAAACCAGGTGCCAGAAAATGCAAACTAAAATATCTGCAAAAAGAGAAATTTAATGGCGCCTGGTTCTGAGTAGCCTGGAATCCGGACTGCAGCAAACAAGATTTGAAAAAAAGCGAATACTTGATTGACTTGTTTGACTTTAAGGGAAGAATTTGGAAGAAAAACAGTTAGATTGGCCCAGAGAGTTATGAAAAATTCTGCATTCTATGAAGTTCAAAGGCAAAGTTTGGATTACATCTGGCTATACCTTATTTTTTGTAAGTTGATATTAATCTTATTAAGTTCTTCTAGATCCTCTTCGCTACCGTATCTGACTCCAAATCTTGTTGGAACTTGCAAAAACTCTTACAACAAAGTTTTAAATCGAATAAATCGGCTTCAAAACTGAAAAAAAAAGAACTTTTGAACAGTTTCGTGAACTGAAACCAAAGTTTTATCAATTACTATGCCTCACTTTATTCAGAAAATGATAATTGACTCTGGTATAATATCGGGAATTTGAAAAAAAAAATTCAAAAACTGATCTCCTTCACAACTGAAAACAGATACAGTCAAGCAAATTTTTGCAGAGAATCTTTGCTGTTTTTGGTACAGGCCAACACTGTGTGTACTGAGAGTAACTAACAGAAGAAATGGGAAACGAGAACAGTCTTCTGGACTCGGAAATTCAGCCAAAATGCGCAAAAAAAGCGTCTGTTTATGACGACTCTCGTCATCAGAATGTAATCGGGGCAAAAAAACGAGTACTGAAGAGATTCTCCGGGCAATTTCGGCGAGAGAAGAAGCCGACGCCACTGGAAGGCATCGTAATAAGCATTCATGAAGGACTGATTCAATTAAGAGGCGGCAGATTTCGGCACGTCGACGCAATAATTGGCGTCCGCCTCGTCTTGTCCTTGTACGGAGCAAGAATGTGGGCGGAGTCAAGGTCCAAAAAATGGAGAAGTCGTTGGGGCGCGAGTGGCGACATTAGGCTGTCAAAAGGCCGGGTGACAATTGAAAGCTGGATGGTTATTTCGATAGACGAAACCTTATGTTTCAGAACCAGAGCAGAAGGTTTTCCCGTCCGGAAATGTTAGGTCCTAAAAAAGTTAAAACAAAAGGTAGGAACGTCTTTTTCAGCTTCTCGAAGTGTAATTTCCGTTGTGATAATTGGATTTCCAAGCCGAAGAGAAATTCGTTACTTTGTAGAGTGATTTCAAAATATATGAATTAAATTGCGAAATCCGAATAGAAGAATATTTCGTTCCATATTTTTTTAAGAAATGCCCGTTGAAAAGTTAAAAAAACAAAGTTCGAATGTCTTAAAAAAACAAGTTCGCCTGTTCATATCAAAAATAACTTTCGAAAAAAATTAGTTCTAAATGAAAGATTAAGTTTTAAAAAGTCTTCAGTTCAGTAACTTTTTATGATTCTCGAGCTTTTCGAAACTTTGAAAACTCAACTGATTGTTCCACTCATGAAGCTAAGCCTTACAAAAAAATATCATTTTAAACTTGTAAGAAAATATTTTACATAAATGATGGAAATAACCTAGATTGTCACGATTGGATTAGCCTGAAAAATCAGACCGGAAACGGATCATTGCAATAGTTTTTGTTTCTGAATAATTCGAAAACTGATGAAAAGCCTGTCAAGATCTTTGTGTTTTGCTCCGCATCAACCAGATTATAAGATTCATTTGATATGATTAATCTCCTCCTCCCTCCATTGACAACGTAATTCGTTTTTTATTCACTTTTCACATGCCTCAGCAGCTGAAGTCAGAGTTCTTTATGGGATTGAGACATTTTTTCATTGATGATAATAACCAACTCATTTTCATTTTAACGTGTCTCCGCTTTTCAAGTAGGATTTGTCATAATTGGAAAAACGAAGGCACAAAAAATATTTGCTCAAGATGGAAATTTCGTATTCAGCTGTCGTTGTTTCAAGTTTCTTTTTTCTCGAATTTGATACACGGGCGCATTTGAAAATAGCGAACACATCAAAAACAGATGCGCCGCTGACAGAAAAGAAATAAAGAACGCAACTCAATATTTGTTTTACGAGGAATTTTTGGAGATTCTTTTCGCTTGTTCAGTTCGAGAGGAACGCAGAAGTTTTTTTCTAATAAAGCGAAATTCCTTTAATTTTCCATATTTTCCCCTTGTTATACATTCAAAAAAGCGTGTTATTTTTGATGAAACGTTTCAAAACCTATAAGCAAACGCAACTTTTTCAAAAAAATTTTCGACAACCATCTTTGAACTAAGCTCTTTGACATCATCAATTCCCTAAAGAGATATCCCAAATCTAGTTTTCTCTATCGGCGTCGAAACGAGGTGAAGCTGCGAAAAGTCCGATCAAACTCCTCAACAAGGCTCAAGAGAGCCGCGCAAATCATCTTACGGTGGCGCGAGTGATTCAAAATGTTTGGAGACATGAAAAAGCGGAAATAATATGATTTTGGTTCAAACAGATATTTAAAATCCAAAAAGGACAAATTCGGATCAAGTTTTTCAGTTGAAAAATTCAAAGATTAAGTTTTTTTTTCCTTAAGGTTTACGAAAAAAATGCGTTCTACTCCGTAAAGAAGTATGACGACATTGAAAAATTCAAAATTTAATTTATCTTTTCAGACATTTAGAAAAAACATTGCCACTAAAATTCCTTTTTTTGCGTTTACTGGTCATAAATGTCTACTAGGTTTTTTCAAACTTGAATGAAACGAATCTGAATCATAATTTACGAACGTCCTCTCAGAAAAGCTTTTAAACAGAATGAATTCTTCTTTTTTGAAAGGATAGGTCTAAAAAATATCAAATTCTAGAGAACTAAACCGGTTGACTAATTCAGAAAAAAGACTTCCTATGGCAAAAAAACGACTGAAAAGAAATAAAAAAGCAAAATCAGAGACTCCTCTCCAAATCGGATTATGGAGTTCCTTGTGAACGTAGACAATATATTATTTAGAAGGAAAATAGAGTCTACTGGAACATCAGAAAGGAAAGTTCACAATCGAACGCCCTTTGACTAATTCGAGGACGTCAGAATGAGACAGAGATTCTGAAGAAGAATGGATAGATCTCGCCTCTTGGCTATTGAATTCCATGCTCCGACTTTGTTTTTTCGCGCTCTTTTTCGGCTGTGGGAGCTTCTTCCTCGTCATGCTCCACACGACTTGAGCCGCTCAAGCAGCGGGGTAATCCGGATGAAATGTTTTCCGAGTTGGGTGATGATGCGGAATCGTGAGAAAAAGCAATCCCCACTTGAGTGAAATCCACCAATTCTTCTTCATTCTCTTTTTCATTCTAGAACAACTGAGGGATGACTGACCAAAAATAGAAATGAGTGTAGTCTGTTCAGAAATTCTGCCTCAACTTTGATTGTTGAAAAAACTTTGCGAGAATTCCATTTCCTATCCTTATACCTATCTTTCTTTGAACATCGAAAACTATTAATAGTTGTTAATCGTCAACAGTCATTTTGAAACGTATTATTTTGAAGTTTGAAAGTCAAAAAAACATTTAAAACAACTTATTTAATTGTTTTTTTAATATCGGAAGTTTTGGAAAAATAGTGAGACAAAAAATTTTATTTTCTAACCATTTCCTTTTTTATTTGCACTGAGACTTGATTTTTTTTTTCTCAATAGAAGTTTTGCAAAATTGTATTTCGCAAAACTCATTTTTATACATGAAAAAAAAACTAACTAACCTTTAAAAAAAATTTCAAAAAGAGCCACCCGAGCGTCGACACAATTATCCTCCTACATTTTTTAGGCTTCTCACTCTTCCTTTTCCCTCTGAAACTAGAACTTATTTATCTTAAAATTTTATCAGAAATTAATTAAAACTCGATCATTAAATGGCTCTCAGCAGTAAGACCTTCTTGACTTTGTCCAATGTTCCTTCGAAAGTCTGGTATCTTTGGAAAGTTTTTTTTTCTTTCAGAGAGGTTTCCAGTCCAAGAAAAACAAATTGAAATTCTTCCATGTTTTTTTTTTTTTTAGTCATATGAAAAAAAAAACTGATGACTACCGTACTTCTCGAACAGTTCAATGAACCACACCTATCCGAACCAGGTAAGCGAAGAAAATGTTGAAAACAGGGTTCCATTGTTGCCAGACGATCGGGCAGGTCGATTCGAAAAGTCGGCGCCGCCTGCATTACCCGTTTTGCCGTCACCACAGTAAAAAAGAGGTTTTTTATCACTTGCGTTGGGGTCAGCGTTCGGTCTTCGTCGACCAGTGGTTCGTCTTTCGTCTCAGCAAGAATCGATTCTCGCAGAACCATCACCGAAGCCTTCTGCTGAGATCCCCGGCTGACAGAAGATGGTGCTCGACGACATCGACTTGGGCCGTGACCGCAGTCATCTCATCGACCTCATCTACGGTGTAAGTACTCTAAATATTCGAAGCAATAAAAACACAAACTAATTCCAAATATAAAAAAAAACATAGAGCAGTGGCTAATGGGAAGATGAATTTTTGTATTGTATAAAACACGGATGAAGCTTCTGAAAACTCTCTACATTCTGTCCAATAATCTTGCGGGAGTTTCTGATAAAGCAATTATGCAGCAAAGGTCTGGTCTTCTCTGGAAAAAAAACCAGAAAAAGGCTCGTCGCGGTCGACACATTGATAAAACTTTAATATCTTATTTAAAACACCCAGCAAAGATTTTAGAACTGAAATTGGTCAATTTTAGCTCTTTGCATTCTCATTGTCAGAATTCGAGAGGCAAAACCATCCAACTAACAAATACTGATTAATTAACCAAGGGAATGGTAATGGAAATATTTTAAAAACATTATAATGAAAACATTTTAAAATAATTTTTGAAAGTGTGTATGCGAAAATGCGTCAAGAACAGTGAACCCTCAAACCTCGTAAATCGACACAGACGGCACATTTTTTTAAACACTTTTTCAATATCTACTTCTAGAATCCTTCGCTTAAAACTTTCTTCATTTATTCTTTTTTTTTTCAGAAACATGAACCTGCCGAAAGCGTCACGCCTTCAGTTGATACAATAAAGGCTCCATTGACAGAAAAAAACAGAGACCAAAGAAGGTGTTTTTCTTTTTTACAAGATTTTTGTTTCTTCAACTCGTTCGATCTTCTCGTTGAACTTGCATTTTTTGGTTTTTTATATTACCAGCGGTTTAAAAAAAACTATCATTCCTTCGAATCAGAAAAGAAAGAATTGTTAAAACAACATTCTATACGTTATTCGTTCCTTTTCAACCTATACTGACCAATGTCTCAACGAATAATGAGTTAGCGCAGAGAATTATTCAAAAACGAGGGAAATTGGAAGAGGAAATAGAATTTACGATTTTCCACTGCATCTCTCTATAGAGCTCTACAAAAGAGCCGTTTTAGGTATGAGTTTGATGAACAAAAGTTAAATCAAATTTAACAGTAGCTTATAAACAGATTTTTTTCTGAAATAAAAAAATGAGGTTTGAATTATGTGGATATTTGTTAAAGAAATTCCTAAGCGAAAACTCGTCATAAACCCGAAAATGGGTCGCTGTTCTCGCTTCCAAAGTTTTTTCATGTTTATGGGAACAAAAGACTTTTGAAACGGGGAAAATCATTGAATTTAGTTTGTTCATTGATTGGAAGTTATCTTCAAACTAGTAAATGATCGAGGAGTTCAGTTTTTATAGTTTTTTTTTGAAGTTCTCGATAGCAAAGTTTGAAATTTACGAATCTTTCTCCGTTTCTGTCACAAAACTGCGCAGGTACAGTAGTGATTTATGTGTCGTATTACCTTTAACCTTTTTCGCTATTTCGAGAACAGTTTTTGAAACTCATTGTTCTTTATGCAAGTATGAAAAATCTCTCAATAAAAGCGAGACGATTTCGGAAATGTTTTCCTTAACTTTTGATAAATTTGAAATCAAAATTTTTTTGAAGTAAGGATGTTTAATATACAATTTGTTGATTTTTGCAGAAAGGAGTGACCTGCTCAAAAGGCAAATGCATATTGCTTTTTCCTGCTTGTACTCGCCGCAATCGCGTTCTCCGCCTTCGCCGCCTATTGGTTCACGAAACAAGGCTTTGAGGGCCAAATAGCACATCTTCACCACGAAGCCCAGCACGTCCACAAAAACAAGTCTCGATAAATTGTTTTTGTTTATATGAGTCGAGAAAAACTTCCTTCTTGTTACTTTTATAAACAAAAATTATTTTTAGGGTTTGGTAGAAATTTCATTAACGAAGAAAAAACATGATGGTGCGAAAACTTAATGTTGGAACTATAATTATTTTGGTTTTTATTTGAATTTACAAGAAAGGAGCTTTTGTCATTTTTTTTTTCTATTTTGCAAGTCTTCATTTTTTCGAGTTCTTTACTTTCAATTTTAAATTTTTCCGAACGACTTTGAGTATTATTTAACTCTTTTTCAACTGGGTTAAGTGAGAAACAAAATATGTCTAGGTTGAACTTTTTGAAAAAACGGACTCGATCACAAGGGTCAAGATTGAGTTTGCGAACGTTTTTTCAATTTTACTCTAGTTTGAAACCGACATTGAAAAATGAGATTTTCTAGAAATTTCCAATTTTGTAGGACCACGCCCACGAAACAGGCCTTGGTGCAATTTACCGAAGATGACGAAGGCGAAGCCCCAAAAGAACCGACTCGAGAGGAGCTTTCTTTGCCGAAAACTCTGGTTCCACAATGGTAGACTCTAATTTAAAAAAGAATATGAAAAATCTCAAACGAGTATTTTCTTCCAGGTACAAAGTGAGCTTAGACATTACTTCTGCGGAAAAACTTGCCAGCAAATCGGCCGATGGAGTACTGCTGATGAAAATCAAGGCTGAAGAGAGCACTGATAAAGTTTTTGTAATATATGAATTCCTCTCTGATCACACTTTCCTGCAGATCATCCTGAACGCAAAAGACATCAAGTTCCCGAAAAATCTCGATAAAATCCAAATTTCTCAGGCTAACCACGAAGTATTCTGGATCGAGAAGCCTTTTCTATTCTAGTTTTTTCGCAGATACCAAAAAGAGAGGCTAACGAAAGCTTGTCGACTGGTCTTGAAGCCAAGGACTTCGAAGAACAACAGCCAGAACTGAAAGATTCCGGGATTCACGTGAAGAGCATCGACGTCGACGAAGTTCTGGAGAAGGCGACGATTCAGTTGGACGGAAAACTGGAGAAAGGACAGGAATTCGTTGTCAAGGTGCGTTTTTTCGCTCTCAATTAGGAATCGGGTTTTGAAATTCATGCTTGAAAACTTGTAGAGAGTTTTGAGCGAACTTTGAATGAAAAAAAGATGTTGATGAAATTGAATATTTGAAAAAGGTCGAGTATAACTTTTTTTCTCAATGTCTTTTTGGATTACCGTAGTTTGATATTGTCCGTTTTGCGAACTTTGGGCTGTTGGATATTTTCATGTTCACAACAAAGCTGACGTTTTTTTTTCAGAAGTTCTCGGGGAAATGAGTTAAAATAACTTATATTCGGTGTAAGCGGCGACGTATTATTTTGATTAATTTCGTGTCATCTTTGCCGCGCCTTGATACTGTTGGAGTTCCTTTTATTTTTTCAATTTCGGCGTCGGTGAGGGAAAAGAAGAGACAGACATGCCAGGCTTTTTCTATGAGTGAAGAACGGGTTAACTTCGAGAAATTTCGTTCGTCGTAGATTTGAACATTTTGAACTTGGTTTTTTGTGACACTGCGTATTTACTCAATCGAGTGTTGCAGATTCCATTCAACGCTCAGCTGAATGGCACAAACGGCCTTCACATATTCGACTATCAAGTGAACAATGAAACCAGGTTTGATTTCTCTTTTGCCTCGTCGAATCGCAACGTCATTGAAGGACGATTCTTGCCACACGCCCACGATTCGCCTACCTTCGCCATGTTTTCCCCAGTTTCGACGAGGAATCCTTCGCGGTGCGCAAGTTTATCGAGAAGAATAAAATAAAAGAAGTATACTGCCCTTTTGAAAGTTCCTTAAAAAATGGAGAACCTCTGGTGACCTCAAGAAGGTCTCTTAAAGTTTTTTTTTTCTTTCAGAAAGGGAAAAATAGGTGTGGCTGCAACAGAACACCTCGGTACGATTTTGTTTTGGAAGATGCGACTTTTACGAAAAAAAAAATAAGGGAATGTTTCCAAAGGCTATCCTTAGGTCTACCTAAGGACAATTCTCATGAATAAGCGAAACTTATATGCTTTTATTTCGACCTATATATATAATGGAAATTACGGAAAATGGTGCTGGTTGAAGAAGGGAGAATATTAAGTCTCTCTCGATTTCATTATTCAAAGGCCTATTTTTTTGTTGAAAAGTTGAAATTCGTAGGCTCTCTCAAAATTATTTATTTGATGGATATTTACTGCAAATTTACCCGGAAGGGAACGCTTGACCTTTCTCCTTATCTTTCTAAATTTTCCGACCGGTGACAGGGCGTTGTAATGCCAGTGAACTTATGTGGCAGATATTTTTGAACCTGTTTTAGTTGTCTCCGAAAATCGGCTGAAAGTTATAACTTTGCAACAGTTCAAATTCATCTTTTCTGCCATCTTCTCAACTTAAATTAGCACAGAAGAATGTCTTGTTTTATGGACTTTCAAAAAGTATTTGAAAGTGTCGAATAAAAAGCATCATTTTCTTCCGTTTAGGCTCCGACAAAGTTCAGTTTCATCCATGACGAGAAATCAAACATCATTGCGAATGTCGATTTGGAATCAAAAGAAGAGTGAGATTTCAAACTAGACAGTTAGACAAACGAAAACATTCCAGAAACCGAACTTCTCTGCAGCCAACAATAGCTCCTGATTTTGTCGTCGGGCAACTGGAACGAAAAGACGCGCAGACGTCTAGTGGAGTAAAGGTGTGTAGTGCTGGACCCGTTGGCGTAGCGCAACGGTAGTGCGCTGGTCTGACGTTGAGCCAGATGTGGGTTCGATTCCCCTCGCCGCCGCGCGATGAATGCTAACCATCTTTCGGGGCATAAGTCTATTGATGATAAATTTCTAATTTGCTGAGCGCATCTTTTGCATTTTATACCATGACAAATTTTTTCTTTGAGCCATATCTTTGAACCTAAATTTTTCTTTGAGCCATTTTGGTCAGTGATCGTCGGGTCACTACAGTCTCAAGTTCATAAAAATCTTTATTTCGTCGGGTCAGTGGTCTGTGCCGCAGGATAACTACAGTCAGACACATGTTCTTTTTTGCGAATAACTAGATTTTCGAATGTTTAAAGATAGAAAATCTTTTGTCTATATTTTTGAGTTAAGTTTCCATGTTTACGAGATTTCTATTTTTTTTTTCCACAGGTCACTATTTGGTCTCGAGAAGAAACAAATCGCTGGAATCAAACAAACTTCGCTTTGAATTACGCCCTCGAGGCTATTGATGCTTTGGAACACATCCTTCAGTCAAGAATGCCTACGAAAGAACTGGGTAACCATCCAAAACTAAATTATTGATATGAAAGAACCTGGTAGATATTGTGGCAATCCCAAATATGGGCGTTGGAGATCGAGTGAGCGAAGGACTCATCATTCTTCCGGAGTCGAGGCTCGCTTTCGATGAGACAAACGGAGATTTTCTTTCCAAAGCGGCTGTTGCTAAAGTTTTGGCCAATAGAATTGCAGCTCAGGTGAACAAAGAAGGGAGATAATTTTTGAAAAAGGTGATCTTTCAGTGGTTCGGAGGAGTTACGAATCCGACGGAATTTGGCGCTTTTTGGCTCAATCACGCGTTACCTAAGTACTTAGAAAACTCCGTTCTTGAACGCACTTTTGAACTCAACGCAGTAAGATCTGAAATTGTAACCAAAAAAATTATTTGATTAGGACGACATTTGGCGTCTGGAGACAGAAAAAGTCATGGAACGAGATTCGCGTGCCAACTCTCAGCCTTTGAAGAATCACAATATATTCTCGTCGGCGCAGTTGGGCAACGTTGACCATTGGCTTTCTGCCAACAAGGTTAGCCCACCTGGTTATTTTCTTTATCAAAATGTTCTAAGGGAGCCGCGGTTCTTCGAATGTTGTGCCAAGCCGTCGGAGAGGACACTTCAAAAAAAGCTATCCGAGTAAGTCTTATATTTTTCTGATTACCTGGAGATAAACGCATTGAGTTCAATAATTCAGCTTCGGAGTTCAAAGAAATGAATAATTTCCGTATTGAGGTACTTTCAGAGCTTTAATGTTTATTTTTGAGAACTTTTTTTTACAGAGTATAGTTTCGATGTTATTTTTTAGCTCGAAGTTCTTATCTTTTATTCTGATGACGTGAATATAAATATTTAATACTTGGCTCGAAGGCTTTTTTCTGAAGTTTCTGTGCGCTCTGCTTCTCTCAGAGATTCTTATCCTTTATCTTAAATACAATTATAGAAAAAAAATTTTGAGAAGATAAAACTTTCATAGTTTATCCTTTTTTCATTCGACGAAACCCCAATATTCAGAGCTTCGTCGCTTCTCGCCGCACTTCACAACCATACGATGACTCTCTTTGGAGCGCCTTTCAGAAAGTTCTTCCGAAAAATGTATTATTAGTGATGAAAAAGAAGTTGTATATCGGTTTTAGCTCAAATCGTGGGATGGGAAACCATTGGACGTGGCTAAATTCGTCGATACCTGGGCCAATCAAGTTCTCAAAACGTCATTAACCAACTCATTAAGATGTTTCAGATGGGCTTCCCAGTGATTAATGTTCGACGACTAGACGAGAACAATATTGAATTAACGCAAGAGAGATTCAAGGTGAGAACTTTGAATTATAAAAAAGAAACATTTGGAAAAATCCCTTGCTAGACCGATAATCTAACTCCTGAACAATGGAAGTTCCGCAACGCTCGCTACTGGTACAACTGGGAGATCCCGGTGACGGCCGAAGTCAACGGAAAACCGACTGGCTTGAAATGGCTCCACGAAGGTGCTCCACGGGGATTGTAAACGCAAAGAACTCCTTCTCCAGCCTACCGTATGCCCCTGAACGAATCGGATCGGCTGGTTCTGAATCCTGACGGCGTCGGATTCTACAGGGTCAACTACGAAGCTCCGATGTGGCGAGACTTGGTCAAGCAACTGAGGGAGGATAACACGGTAAAAGCCGTCGCGTTCATAAATTCAACATTTCTTGTCGTTTTTGAAACAAAGAGACAAATTACGAAAAAAAAAAGTCCGTTAAAGCATTCTTCGATGAGAAACGGTGCTTCAAAGACCGTTTGTCAGATCGCTGCGCAAAAAAACTATTATTTCCGTACCTCTTTCTTAGAAAGTATGTAGTTTTGCAGGTTGTAAACTTGTAAACTTGCAGGTTGTCAATTTCAAGATCAAAAAAGATCTAGCACATTAAATGAAACTTGAAATAGCCAATGAATCGGCTTCATTTTCTTTTATTAAATTGCGAGATCGGGCTTTCAGCAGCTGAAAACTCCGGCAAAGGCTCGTCTCGTTTCTGACGCTTTTGCGCTGGCTTTTGCCGGGAAAATCCCCTATGAGGTTTTGAATAGCTCTCTTTTCGCTGATTATTCCTTCTAGACGGCGCTGAACATCTCTCAATACCTTCCAAAAGAATCCGACGCTTTGCCTTGGGCCATCGGAGCTGAACAACTCGGCAACTTGGCGCGACTCGTCGAGGATTCTTCCCTTGAAGACAAAACCTACGTCTGAAACTACAGAAAATGGTTTATTGCGAAGGTTTCCTTTTTCAGAAATTTATCACCGACAAGACCACTCCAAAGTTCCAGTCCCTCAAGTATAACAACGACGACGACAAGGATTTTGCGGACGGGTTCGTTCACTTTTGGATAGTTAGAAAAAACAGTCAAAGGGATGAAGTCCAGAAACTACAGTAACTGCGCAGTTTTCCATTACTTATTGATGCGGAAACATTGTTTCAGAAAAAGCAAAATTCTGGTTGAAAAAAGGTTTTTTAAAAATTTCTCTTGCAGATTAAATCTTATTTGGCGTTGTCGTTTTTGAATTCAGCAATTTTTTTTTCTCTTTTAGTATGATTTTCGAAAAACGAGGATATAAGACTCGATTTTGAAGGTTTTTAGAAAAAAATTTTCTTTCTGGTGAATAAGTATTGATTTTCAATTTTTCGAAATGTTTTTTTTTTTCTGGTTTCATCACAATATTCATCCGTTTTTCAGAGCCTTATTGACCAAACTTGCCCAAGTGCAGTGCGATATTGAGCCGCGTAGCTGCAACGAAAAGTTTGGCGACATTTTTCAGAGCGACTTCTTCCAGAACTGCGTCCCGGACGTCACAATGTCGAGTGAGTGCTCGAGGTGAGAAGATTCGCATAAGTTGAATGTAGAAAATTCATTTTTCAGAGTTCCTATGTCAGTTAGAAACGTCGTTTACTGCAATGGTGTTGGCTATGCCGACGATAATATGTTCGATCGATTCCTCAGACTTTCCCAAATTGAAGTTTGTTAATATTTAATGCATCAGAATCATCTAGTGGACTCTTTTGTTATCTTTCACTACATAGAGATTTTCTAAAAACGGACGCGGACGGAAATAAAAATTAAATCTTCCAACTCTCGAGCAATAATGTCATATTCGTGTGCTTTACTGATGAAAAATTTCAATGAGTTTTTGGAAATGATTATAAATTCTTGATTTTCTCTGTGAAGCAAGTTTGTATGAAATTCAAGAGCTCAATTTAGTGAGCTTCATTTTTGACAATTTTTTCTCAGCTTAATACACAATCTCGTTGTGGAAAAAGACTCCTCCTCCAAATTTCGATATATAAAGTTATTTCCAGACGGATCCATCTGAAAAAGAACGTCTTTTTGTGAGTCTGGCTTGCAGTCGCGACCCACGTCTTCTGAAGAGGTAAGTGTAATTAATATGATGTCATTCACTTACTAGGAATATGAGATGATCAAAAAAGTGGTGATTATCGTGATTGAAAATGCAGAGCTCTGAGAAAAGCGCTGAACGGCACGAACGAAAGAGATTTGGTGACTCTGCTGCGGGAAATGAACTCGCAACCCGTCGGCTTTGAAGTCGCCGCCAACTTTGTCATCGACAATTGGAAGATCATTAAAAACAGGTCTGTTGAATCAATATTCTCGGAATAAAATCAGTCAAGGGAAACTAATCTTCAAGGGATCTTTTCTCAGTATCTTCGTTCATGCTGAAGACAATAAGAAATGTTTCAGATTTGAAGACGATCCAGAAGCGCTCAACGACATTGTAGGAGCCGCAGTGGAGCTGAACAACGAAAGGCAACGAGATACGGTACCGAGAAGAATGTTATCCAGTTTCGCCAACTATAGATTCTCATAGATCGGGCACTTTGTCGAGCGACATCGCAAGAGCACGGCCAACGTCGGAATCTTGCGCAAAAAGCTTGAAGAGGTGACGACGAAGATCCACTGGCGGAAGATGTTCGGCGACGACGTCGAGCAGTACCTCGACGGACGGATGAAGCCGCTGGAGGTCGTGGAGGACGACGACGAGTAGAAAACGTGCCTTAATAACTTATTCTTTGTTTGAAACGAGTAAACTGGATAAGGCCTTAATAAAACGTTTGTAAATAGGCTTCTCGTGCCTAAACCTTAACAAATTTCAAAAAATTTCTCAAGAATGCTGTGACTGACCTTAGGTTCGACCAAACGTGTGCAGAACCGGCGAGTCGAAGATCGAACAAAAAATTATTCGTATCGTCACTTTTTCAATATACCAATTTACTTTAAGAAACATTTTTCCTCGTGTTTTTTTTTTCAAAATATAGTTCCTTGAACTTTTCGAGTGTTTTTACCCTCTCGCCCTCCTTTTCGAACTGTCTACTGCATGTTTTCCTTCTCACAAAACGCATCGAAAACAAAAACAACTTTATCACTTCACACGCTATTTTTATTATTATTGAAAAGCAAAGCCTAGAAAAAATGCATTAAATAAGGAAGAAAAACCCATAAACCAATCTTGGCGCGTAATATCACTGTTTCCACGAGTATAACACGAAGAAGTAAAAGAAAAAAGCCATCCCATGAATAAATGACATTATAAACATAAGGGAATCACTTCAAAAACTACCCATCATCAATAAATGCTTAAAACTTCGACGTTTTGGCATGCAAAAAAAAAATAGTTCAAAAAAAACTAATAATTAACAAGCGAAAATTACAAAAATTGAGGACTTATCCTTTTTGATAAATTTCCTTCCATTCAAACTTCTGAAGATCATTGTTGGCATCACACGACTGCAAAATGGCGTCGTGTCCTTCTTCTTTTACCGTCAAGCAGAATCGATTCTTCGTATTCACAATTTGGCGTGTAGACTGTAAAAAAAATATTTTGAAACAAGGGTCTATATGAACAAATTGTTCTGTTTATTAGTACTTAAATTCGAGACACGAAACGGGATCTAAGAAAAGAAAATAAAACCGCATAAATGCTGGATTCGTGAGATATAGACCATCCGTTCAAACAACTTTGAACGAAAGGAGAAGTTTGATTGCCGTTGAACTTTGTGCTTTGCCCTCAGATATTTTTTCTAACTCTTGAGAAAAGGTGAAACGATCTATCAAAAGATAGACGCGATGATCTTTTTAGAACAAAAAACGTATCTCATCATAAAGCTAATTCACAAAAAAATTGCTAACTTTCCCATTCGGTTTTTCTTTCTGATCATAAATTTTTGACTTGTTAGGAAAAATCGCGAGAAAAAGTTCTAAATTCTTTCTCAATTACAGAAAAACAGATATTTATGAGGAAGCTCGAGGGGCATAGAAAACTGAGAAAATTGTTATGAGAAATCTTTTCTGACCTCATCATACTCCCAAAATCCTGCCACATTTCCCTTGACGCAGTGGTTCGCCTGTACACTTAAGCCAGCAGCCGTCAAGCACCATTCGCCCTGGGCCAACTGTCCGGCACTGTTCAGACGTATGAGCTAAAATCGGCCCCGGGTGAACAATCCGACAGGTAGAACGACCCACCTGGTTTCCGCCCCAGCCGTGACATCCGCTGGCTCCCAGTGGACCGGGAATCCCGCCCATCCGATCCAGGCACTTTCCTGCGAATAGATCAACTTTTCAAAGAATATTAGGCCTTCAGAAATGATTAAAATGACTTTTTTTTCGTAAAAATCCATTCTCTTTTCTTTTTTCGAGCCTAACGAAAAAGGTTCAGCTTTAAAGGCTCACAATATGACCATCGTGGTGCTTTTCGTGTATTTTTAGGGGTTTTATTTGTTCCTCGATGTTGAGAGAAAAGCGGAAGCAGATCGTTTAAAAAATTTTCAAGTTGGTGCGGATGAAAAAATAAAGAATAACCAAATTTTTAAACTGATAAAATTTATCTACTGTTTCGAAATTCCGGTATTTATCTGAGAATATACGAGCTAAAATCTTGGAAAGAGATTAGGAAGATTTTTGACGTTATTTTAGGACCTAAGCTTCATCGGGATACAAACAAATTTTCATGCTAAAAAATGGGGACAGATCAAAAAAGAATAATAATTCTCACCAGTCTTCGGATTACGCGCTTCGCCCCACACCTTATTTGGAGGCAGAAGAGGATAACTGGTCAATACGTCATAAGCAACTTTGTCCATGTACCTAAAATTTGAAAGAAAATTTGCCAGAATATTGAAGGTTTATGACCATTTGAAAGATTTGCACTGAAGTCGGTCTCTCAGAGCCAATTGAGACGTCAAATCTCCAGGATCAACTTTGGCGGCCTGAGGTTCTCGAATCAAATAATACTGGAGGTACTCGTCCATCCACGTCTTCACCACTCGCATCATGTTCTGAAAAGGTTCAGGTCGACCATGAATTTCAGATCCTCGTTCACATCTACTTAACGAAACTCCGACTCCAACGTCTCTTGAGAAAACTTTTTCAAAAGGATCCTTCTGTCACACAACGTTCTTATATCTAAAAAAAAAAGAGAAAACTTTTTCAAAAGTTTGTTTAAAACAATAAAAACAAAAAATAAATAACGATAAGAGCCATAGAATTTTATTTTTACAAAATATCTTTGAACCTTGTTCTTCTTTCTTTTTACTCTTTTTTTAAAATACATTGTAAGCCAATATTACCGTAGAAATGACTGGTTTTCCGGTGAGTTTTCCAAAACTGTATGGCATATGAGACCGGTAGACGTGGCCAACGTGTGAGCAAGGAACAAAGAGAATTCCGCCGCCGCATTGCCAAATCTGGGAAAAATGTATATAAAAAACTGAGCGGCGAAGAAAATTTGAAAAAAAAAATATCTCAAAACAATATCGTAAGTAAATCGAACCGAGCAAAACTCGTTTTTTTTTCTACAAAGAGCGAACTAATATTAAACATTGTGGCTCGATTAAGCCAAAATCAGAAAATGTTTTTTAAATTGAAGATTATTGCGATTCTGATCATCTTCTTACCTTGAAGCTGAGCTCGTACTGCTCGCCACCCCAAATTTGAAGGCCTTCGTCATAATACCCGAGCTCTTTGAACCATTCTCTATCAATTGCGAACAGGCCACCAGCATGTGTTGGAGATCTTCAAAAAAAGATAGTAATGAGAAAATTGAAAAAGAAGAAACCTGAAAGGTTGACTGGACTTCGCCCGTCCGTCGTTTTCTCTCGCACTTATTTGGGTTTCTTTGTAGAGAAGTCCCCACTCGAAGATTCCACTGAAGTGGCTACTTGGATTGCCGTAGACGCTGCGGTACTCCCAAGTGTTCGAATCGATCCCGTCGATTACAGGGACCGTCATCACTTTTCTGAAAAAAAAGTTGTCATCAACATAATCACAGTATTTTTAGTCATATAAATACAAAGTTTACCAGAATGTTTTGACAGCGTTCAGCTTTTAAGAATTCAGCTTCAATTGGATATAAATTTAAACAGCAGGAGACTAAAGAGTTAATTACAAAAAATAATAGTTTTTTTAGAATGTTTTATTTTTCTGCAGATCACACATTTTTTCTAATCAAACAGCTCAAAACTTGAAAGAAAGAAACAGCTAAGAGCAAAAATCAATAAATAACTCAAAATCTAAACTTTCAAAAGTTTCTCTTTTTTTTGCGCTGTTGACTGCTTCTCAAAAAACTAGTTATCTTGTTCGAAAAAACTGCTAAAACTTCTTTTTTCAGACTTTACGCTTTTTAAATTGAAAATTTAATCTATCCTAAATGTAAACTCTTTATGCAGCGTTTAAGTTTCACACCTTCACTGAAAAATCTGAAGAACTAACCGATTGTACTTGATTGGAGCAAGAAGAGGCGGCAGCCAATTAGCGTTGACTTCACAATGAGCGTCGAGGAAAATGACGACTTCGGCCGTGGAATGCTGGGCTCCGAGAGTTCTCGCGCGGATGAGTCCCAGTCTCTCTGGAGCTCGGACCAGGACTACCTTGCCGTTGAACCTCGTGATGTACTTCTCCAACTTTTCCTTGAGATGAGCTGGAATAATCTACTGGAATCAGAGCAGCCAAGACAGCCCTACGCTTGTCGGAGTCATCGTCCACCATCACGACTTGCTCGATCAAATGCGACGGCGATCGCAGCAAAACCGAATGGACTGTACGGAGAAGAGGAGTCCAGCCTTCGTTGTGAAAAACGACTACTACAGATACCTTGGGCAGCTTTTCGGGGTAGTGCCAGTGCTTGCATCTGAACTAGTTATTGAACCGATACTCTTCCAACCTTTCGATTGGAATTAAAACTCACTCTTTTGGCCTTATATCAGGGATCGTTCTGTTCAAGGAAATCTGATCTGAAACGTAGGTATTGAATCCGAATTCCTGTTCTGCGTCGCGGCCGGCGGCGATTCCTTTCTCGTCTCTAACTACCACAGGAACACCTCCTTCCCCTAAAAAAAAACCTTTCATTTTTTTTCTCCATCACACTTATTGGAAACCTGGCTGATTGGATGGAACTTCGGGCGTTTTTCTTTCATAATTTCCGAGTTCATCTTTGAAAATAGTGTTTGGGTCTGCATCACCAGGCAAGACTTTGTTTGCCCAATCATCTTCGTTCGCGCCATCGGCTTCGTTTGAATTCTCTCCTTTATGAAGGTGGTTTTCCCTAGATACCTGAAAAACTCAGAAATTCACAGAAAAATGAATAAAAACACATACCGTTTCATTATCTTGCAAATACGCTATACCAAATATAAACAAGAGAAAAGTGGATACCAAAACGGCTAACTTGACATTTCTATAACAAAATGTTTAAAAATGGACTTCAAGGACGAACACTTTTGTCTGCAGAGTCGTTGTAACTGCAGTTGTCGTCTCGCTAGAGACATCTTCAGGCTAGATTTATTACCTGAAGTTAAAAAGGAAATAGATTTTGAAACGCAGAAAGAAAAAGGAAATTAGGATATAATAATAAAATACCAAGTTTGCTAAAATAAACGTGGTTTGGGCAAGCATGCTCCAAAGGGATGACCTTTAAGTGACGGCTCAAGGGCTGTTTGCCTCCTTAAGGGCTTGCTTACACACAAACATTTTACTATTTTATTCTTTTTTTTTTAATTCGAAATTTTTTAAAATCCTTTTCATCGTTTATGTATCAATGTTTTTTTATTTTTAATTCACCTTGCTACCCTTTTTTTGAAATTAACTGTTTTTTTGATCTGAAAAAAAGTAATGAAAATTTCATTTTTCGTGGATAATAAAAAAACATGTTGAAAAAGCTTTTTTTGCTCTTTCGGCAGCTCCAAAAGCGCTAAAAAATATTTCAAAAACATTTTCGTTGCAATTTGATACTTCATCTAATTTAAAAAAAGTATTTTACCAATGAATGATACAATTTTTTTAATTCTTTTTTTATTCCCAACTTATCCGTATTTTTATGGGCAAAGTATGTTATTCCAGATGTCGCAAAAATCGTCATTTCGACTTTTCATAAATACTATGCGAGCTCGCTCTTCATATCGTTGTTTAACGACGAAGGTTAAAGTTGAAGACGCCAATGTTATTCAAGGTTTCATTTTCCTAATTTTTGAATTTGTTAAAAATTGTTTCATTACAGGTGCTTCGCAGCAAGTCTTTGATAGCGAGCTCTTTGACCATTTGAGAAATGTCGTATATGGCGATGAACGGACTATCGATAAAATCGTTGTGACTTTAGAAAATGGAACTCAAGGCGAGGAGAAGAATCTTGAGGTTTTAGCGAACCGGAACCTTTCTTCTCATTATGACTGTTTATTGCGTGAGCTTTTTTTTCCAAGTAGTAGAAAATTTTTTTTTCCAGATTCTTCCAGTCTTCTTGCCGATAACTGCGCTTTAGTGAAGGTTCACCCCGACAGTTTTTCGGCAAAAACCTATCTCCGCAGTGTAAATGCCCCCGTAACAGGCGTCTGTAACATAACGCCGCTCACTTTCGAATGCACCGAGTCCGATTTGATCGAGGACATCAACCAGGTTGAATTTCGTTGCTTTTCCAATCATTTTTTGTCCTTCAAGGCTTTTTGGCGTTCCTGTCGTGTGTTGGCCAGCGCTGTAGTTGCGAGAACTTTCAACGACGTTCGTTTGAGGCCCTTGACATCCTCCACCTCACACTGTGAGAGTTTTCGATTTGAGCTGTTTTGCAAAGCTTTCTTCCAGTCTCAGACGGATTTTTCACTGTTAATGCCGACGGTTTGAGCGACGTACTGCCTTCGAGGGTGTGTTCTTCTCCTCTTAAAATACGTCTTTGGTTTATATTATAGAACGAATTGTCCGTTTTGAATTCGATGGCCAGAAGATTTCTGCAGTTGAACGTTCCTTTCGAGTGCGTTAACCTATCTCCATCTCAGGCTCAAGAGTACAACATCAACGGGTAATTATTTTTCAAGAAGAAAAGAAAGATTGAATTTCGAAACGCAGGGACTCATTAGTCAGAGTGGACGGGTTTGTAACGGCAGTTGAAGGGCCCGTTATTCGATCTACCAAACTTATCGGCGATTTCAAAATTTTCGATGTTTGTTTTTCAATGATTTATTGGTTTTTTCACCGTAGTAATTTCCAAATGACTTTTCAATGATCAATTTGAAGACGAAACTGCGAGATGGAGTTACTTTCGCTGGAGTCGCACTTCCGCGGGGTCAGTCCACGTCTAACTACGCCTGGAATCTCATTGTACAAAACGGTATGCGCAAATTCTCGCATCTGTAGTTCTCGTCTTTTCTTTTTTAGTTTTTATCCGTAGGTTTGTTGATTTTTTTGGTTTTTTTCTGCTTTCTGAGAATTCTTTATTATTAATAAATATATGACAATTTAACCGCTTTTCAAAAAAATTATTGAAGAATCCTTGTGCGAGTTCTCCGCCAATCATGCCATTGATTTGTCCGAGAACGGCAAGTGGATTCTGAAAAAAATTTTTCTCAAAGACGGAGATAAAAAAAGTTTGTCATTTTTTTCTTTAATTCATAGAATAATAACATCGTAGCCAAAAAAAATGAAGTTGTGACGTTAGTAAGATTTTGTGAAAATCACAATGAACGTCTAATTTTTAAAATGTTGAACATCTTCGTCTTTTTTGGTCTCCAAAAGGAAAAATAATTGAAACTGAGTGGTTTATGGGATTTTTCTCATGAAAATAATATGTGAACGAATAAAGCTAGGACCGGTCTCTAGTTTTATGTGCATAGAAATGCAAGGATCACCTGGTCGACGAGCCCTGACACCTCGTCGCACCGTTTTATAGCTCTTTGTAGTTGTGAGCCGATGTTGAGACTAGCGATGACGTCACATTCGGCTATCGCCTGACGTAAGGCGTCGCATTGTTGTCTTTCAGCTCCTCTTCGACAGGTCTCCTGGCTTTTTTTCAAGATTATTTTCCCGATAGAGTATTTTCTCAAGAACCTAGCTCCTAGCAAGTCAATCTGTCCATTGATGATTGCATTGCGCAGTTCGTTCGCCCAAGTGTCGAAGGCTTTTTCGTCTGCTGCTTTTTGGCAGTTTCCATAGGCTGCCTGCATGAACTCGTTGATGAAGGGCAGGCATCCTAGAAAAAAAGTCAACTCATTTATTGATAGGCGCGAAAAGTATTCGTTGGTTTTTTTTTTGAGGTAAACATAATTTTTGAGATTTTGAAAGCATCACTAAGCTTTTCTGAATGCAAAACTATACCTTTTCCCTTTGGTAGGCCGAAATTATTATCAGCATTAGGCACCAAGTCACGGAGACCTATTTGTGGTAGCTGTTCTGAAGAAAAGTAGGAATTAACGGGAATTTTTTTTTTCATTCGGTAACCTTTTTCACTATTCGGTGCGTCTCTGGAGGGCTGTAAGAACTTTTTGGCTATTTGCATAAACGGGCTGCTGTCGAAATTGCTTCCGCCAGTCGGGATGGATTCTTTTATAGGAGGGGGGTCTGGTACGGCGGTTTTGACAGCTTCTGCGTATCGTATTTCTTTAGGTTCTAAATTTTCTTCAAAATGAGAATTTTCAAAGTTTTGGTTTGAACGGTGGTGAAAGGTAGAGACGCCGAGGACGTCGCGTTCAGTTGGGCCAGATGTTTGGATTGGGACTTCTTGTCGCTCAGTTTCTTCAAAAAGTTTCATTGGAAGATTCGTTGTTAGAAAAAAAAAAAGCTATCAGGAGACTGAATAATGTACATAAATATGAAAAAAACAGTTTCAAAGCCGATCGAATTACAGTGTTCTCAAAAAGTTTTTTTCTTTTGAAAATGTTAGAACACTTTTAAAAAGGGCATTTTATCCTTTTTTTTGTAAAAAGTACATTCGAACTGAACAGCTTCGTCATGCTTATTTTTTTCCTATTCGTTCATTTCTGACTCACCTTATGTCTTTTTTTCTCTAAGAAATTCAATGGAAAAATTATCTTATTTAAATAGTTTTGAAAGAAAAACCTGGACGAAGAGGTGTCAGAACTTGTGGTTGGGTTGGAATGATCGGCGACACCGTTGAGAGCTTTGTATTGACCTGTGCGTGCTCCAATTTGTCGATCGAGTCCAAAAATGCAGTTCTAGATTGCGTCGCCAAATTCGACAGAGCTTAATGAGCAATAGTTCAAGAATAGAAAGTCATTCGCACTTTGGCCGAAAATTTCAGACGGACGGGTGTTCTCGGTAAATCGGACCTCTTGGGGAGACGCCGCCGTTTTCCTGAACTTGGGACTGTCTTCAGACTTTTCCGATGATGTAGACAAACTGCACGTCGCGTTCGTTGTTCACGACGTTGCGAGAGGCCATATTCGACAGTTCTGAAGCGATTTCCGCCATGTTCTTCATCGTCTCCGGCCGCAAAAGATTCAAGAAAGGGTTGAAGTCTACCTCAAGTTGTCGCGTTGGGAAAGCGAGGTTATTTCTTAGGCAGACTAGCTCAAAGCAGAAATAGAGGGTATATTCGAGAAGAGTTTTTTTTTGGTCATAAAACTACCTTTTTGGTGATTTTTTCAATTGCTTCCATATATTTTTATTTGAGGGTTTTGCCAACTTTAAAATTTGATTTTTATTTTTAATCTTTGATGCAGAGCGATACTGAAGTCTTGTTAAATAGATATAATATCTCTCGGCTCTTATGCAATAGAAATTTATCCCACTTCTTGAATTTTAATTGATATAGTTCAAAATATCAACTGTTGTCTTAGATGTTCTAACATTCTGATCTACGAATACCACATTTTCTCGATCATGGGTAATATTTTCAGAATTCGCAAAAAAAAGTAGTATTCCATTCGTAGACGAAGTAATTGAGAATATATGAAAAGTCTACCAAGTACAAGAAAAACCAAACATACCGCAGGCTGTGCATCGACTACAACAGCAACAATCGAGAGTAAGGAAAAAAGTAAAATCATTGGGAGAAAGGAGAATGGCGGACACTGGCGCGCTTCGACGCACATCCAGACCAGCCCTCCTCAAATCCCCTCGATGTCGTCCATGTGAAACCGCCCGTTCCTTTTGTCGCAACGTCATTCAAGTTTATCTATCTTCGAGGCGAAAGCATTTCACTTTTTTGGCGTCCCTCCGTTGTCGTCGTCTCGCCGTTGCTCAACCTCAACTTCGCCCACTAATTGCGTTTCGGACTTGCCATCGTCCAGGTGTGAGAACCGGTTCCTCCTGTGGCTATGCTTCCCAGAAGGTTAGCCAACTTGCACTATCTACCACTCTGCAAACTTTTCTGTTTCTTTATGCGTTTTTACTTCAAGTTGAATAAAACTTTTGTATTTTTCTTTGTATTTCTCCTTCATTTTTTTTTTTGAGTTTCATAGTCAAAACGACGTCGTTCGCGACGTGTAGTCTGAAAATTTTTTACTTTAGTTGTCCAGTTTATTATATTCACGTTTTTAAGAAGAATTTTTTTCTTTCTTTCTAAAGCTGAAGCTCACTATATCACAACATTCCGTCAACGGTATTTGAAGAAAATTTTTAAAAAAACGGAGAGTGAAATTTGGTGACTTCCACTTTTGAAAATGCGCGTGAAATTGTCCTGAACCGCGCCCCAGCAGACTGCTACGGTATTTTTTTGAATCTGGTGAGCAGATGTCTCTCTTCGCGCCTTCATCTGCAGACCGCGAGTTTTTGCTCTCTTTTTTGGGCACCTCCAGCGCTCAGCTGGCCGGAGTTTGCTCTCAAAGAAACCCCTCTATTGTCAGTTATTCGAACTATGCCGTATATTTTTTTGCCTTTTCCGATCGAAGCCTCATTATGGCACCCTAATTTGTTCATTTATTCTTCTCCGTAACGCTGTTGACTTTTTCTTGCACTCAAATCGTATTTTTTGGATAGTAAGGTGCTCAAGAACAAGGTACGGAAATTTAGCCCAAGTATTCGATAGCATGATTAAAAACTTCACCAAACCTTTTCTAAATTCCCAATATCTTTCTAAAGCCGTTTCGCTTTTCGAGGCTCTAATCTGCCCCCTAGGAAACGAGTTCGATGGCTCAAAACCTGACGTGCAATGTGGAAGAAAATCAGCTGATAGTATCCGAATTTGAGTACGTCGAAGACGGCGATTCACGAGATTCAGGTTGAATAGTTCTATCTTTTGGTATTCATCGTTCAGCTTTAGGTATTTCTGTGAGTGATGTCCTGAACGATGATGATCAACCCCCTTGTATTTTAAGCCCTAAAACACCTGTTAGCTAGTTTTTAACATGTGTGATGACAAAGAAATTCAGATTCTTTCGAGAACACCATTTTCCGATCGCTCGAACCTTGGAAACTACGATGGGCAACAAACGTTATTTTAGCACGGCTGAATAAGATGTTCACTTAGAATTTTTATAGAAGCGCATTTCCACCGACGTCTTTCAATGTTGATACTCCACTATGCCGTCCTCCAGCCATCCTCGAACCCGATTCAGACGACGTGGGTGGTCTTCAAGCTTTACTTCAGAACAACTTTTGGAAAACTGATTGTGAAGTAGAAGATAGAAGGATGTCAATTTCAAGGCAACGTCATCTTTTGACGACGGTCGACGTCTTAGCAACGCCTCAATTTCCTCGGATCATTCGACAGATTCTATAGGGTCGCGAAAAAGAAACTGCTCCGAAGCCTCTTCCATCGGCTCTTATCACCGTAAAAGGAGTAAACAAATCGTCGTCGATGAGAACGTAAAGCTTCCAGTGACAACTTTTGGGAAATTTTTGATTTTTCAGAGTCCAGATGATTCTTTCCAGCATTTTGACAGATTACCCCAAGAAGCGAACACGAGCACGCATTCTTTGATCGCAAGAGCGGCTTCTTCGGAGTCTCTAAACGGCCGTTCTCGCTCCAGGACACGCCTGGTGACGCGGGCGATGAGCACGAGCTGTTTACAAGAAAAAGAGCACGAAAGTCCTTCTTTACCCAAGATGCTCGAAGTGGTTGGTCGCAAGTCATCTCAAATTCTGAAGTCCTCTTTCTCAGCACTACACTCTAGAAACGGTAGAACGGCCGCAACGAGAGTCACAAGCTTTCCGGAGTATCAGCGCTCAAACGCTTCTCAAAGAGTCAAAGCGTTTGGGTGACGATTTCTTACGACAATACACAATCGTCGACTGCCGATATCCTTTTGAATACAATGGCGGGCACGTTAAGGTATAATAGTTTTCAAATTAATAACGATAAATGATTTTTATCCGAAAAACGGATATTAGAAGAAGAAAAAAAGAGGTTGGATAAATTGGATAGAAACTTGGTAATTCGGAGCTTGAACGTGATGTTAGAGGCGACTAGTTGAATGGTGGAGCTTTTTAATTCTACAATCAAAAATCGAAGATAAAAGTAGGGTCCCTCCGAATAGAAAATTCACTTCCTGGAAGAATTTTTGAAAGAGATCAAGTTTTCATGCTGCATTCAAATCGATTTCAGTGGAACAGAATTGACCATCAGAGAATAAAAAGACGACGAAAATTTTGAATTGCCAGAGATCATTCTGAATTTCGCGAAGTTACTTTGAACGCGGAATCAGTAATTTTTTATCTATATTTTCCAAATCCGTTTTTGCCTGCATAAATATCTACTTGATTTCAATTTTAGTTTTGCTCTTGAGAATTCAAACTGTTCAGGGAGCCATAAATGTATATGAGAAATCTGCGGTGCAGAAAATTTTCTTTCCTGAAGAAAGTGATAACGAGATTCGATCCCGTATACCGATTTTCTACTGCGAATACAGCCAGAAGCGCGGTCCTTCAATGTAGGCTTTCAATTTTTTTTTTTTCTTGACAAAACAAAGTGGTGCAGGGCAAATTATCTGAGATCTATGGACCGAATACGAAACGAGTTGAGCTACCCACACGTCGACTACCCGGAGATATATCTTATCGACTTGGGCTACAAAAATCTTTGGAGTCACGAATCTTGTCGCGTTGGTCTTACTATAAAAATAAAGAGTTACATCTTTTGATTTACAGGATCTTTGCGATCCTCGAAGTTATTTACCCATGAACGCACCCACTCACACCCATCATTTACGAAATTTCCGCTGCAGCAGCTCTCGATCCATCGTTTCTGAGAAGTTTTCTACCACGAAAAGAACTACGAAGGAGCTCACTCGCAAAAACGGATCTCTCTTTGACGTCCGTTTCATTTCCTTGAAAGTAGCCGATTATAAATGCCATTTTATTTTTCCTTATGGAAATCGCTGATAAGCTCTTGAAAGCAGTGGAGCAATAGGTTTCCAGTGTTTCAGAAATTTCAGAATATTCCAGAGTGAAACGACCTTCTCTGTAAGCGTGAAGTAGGGGCGTGTGGAAATCGGTTTTGTAGAAAAAAAAAAATAGAAGTATAGGTAGCATTTTTGCTTTTCTGCGTTTGTGGCTTTTTATTTTTACCATAATGTGCTCTCACAGCCGTAATAACTGAGTGTTCCTCGAAAAATTGTTGCGAAAAAATAACAAACCTTTTTCATATTCTGTCTTATGGATCTTCGCCGAGAAGTCATACATGTTTAGAAACGAAACAGGAACATGAAAAATGAACTTTGCTTTCACACCCCTGGCCTAGACATTGGCTAAGTAACTTTCCCATTTTATGTTTTTCATCGGAATATTTCAGATAAGCAATCAAACGCGCAGCAGCAAGAAGACATTCAGAAGTCCCTCGATGCCGATGTCGCTGTCGATGAGCTACTTGCACTCGAGCTCGAACGCGTCGTTTGAGAAGTTCAGCTTGCTCCAAAGCACGCCCAACGACGGAATCGACGACGACGAAGTTTTCATCGACGAGGAGATGCTGATGAACTTCTCTGACAAGACCGAGAAAAGCGTGACGAGCATTGTTACGACGTCTTCTCACAACACGCGGTTGTCCAACGAACCTTCGCCGAGAGCGACTGACTTGGAGCCGCGTCGACTCAATTTCAGCAGTTTCAGTTCTGACGACGATCACGTTTTGCGCTTTGCCAACGATGTAAGCCTTCTCTTTGAAAAGTATGAGTTCGAAAATTAGACAAAACACCAGTATTAGATGAAGTTTTTAGGAATTTCTCATTCTTAAGGCTTTCTTTTTGTGAACAGCAGTTTGAAACTTTGAGTTGTGTAAGTTGGAATCATTCATTTTATTTAATAGAGAGACCAGAGGCCGTATGCAATAAAGAGGAAAATGGTTTTCCGCCATTTTCCTGAAACTCGAAAATGACTATTTCTCTTTCTAGTTTTAATAAGAAGTTCCAGCGTTTAACTTTCGCATATCTATGGAAATCTTCGCGTTATCTGCTTAGCTTGTTTGTGGCTTTTCATTATTTACTGGGTAAAAGTTCGTGCCTACGGCCTCAGACGCTGGCAAAGTTTCCTCCTACGAAATTAGTTGTGAACGATCGAATTCACTTTAAAAAAAGATTTTTCAGTTTTGTACTCGGTGAAACACTGAAAAATTACTTGAATAAGTATACCGTCACAAAGATTTTTATTAATTTTTTGAAAACGTCACACCATTAATACTTTTTTTTTTTTTGGATTTTCGAACTATTGAGAAGCTTTTTCAGGGAGATGACGAGAGCATTACAAAGCAGCAGTAAAAAAAAACGAATAACCCTATAGCTTTTTCTTTATGTTAAGTTCTTCCAATGTCTTTTTTCGTGTAAATTGCACCTTTGACTATGTTGCCCCTATTTCCTATCTTCAATCTGTGTATATCTTTGCACTGTGTGCTCTTCTTTAAAAAAAACCAAAAATTCTCTTCTCCTGGATCTTTTTGATGTTGCCGGGTACCGTTTAGGACCCAATTGCTCTCTTTTTCTACAGCTTTCATCCCCAATCTGTGCCATCTCCATAACAATACGTTGTCTACCCAATTTGCTGTTGTGTTCGTTTTTGTTTGGAATGAATAAAAAGTTTAACGTGGCAAAAAAGTTGTTAATCTTTGTTACCTCTGTTATTTCGCACGTTGGAAGTATCTAAATTTTTAAATCGAATGTGAATCTTCTGAGAGGTGCGTGGTGTTAGATGCTCGGATGTTAGAAGGGCATGAACCCATACGACAATCTTCCTTGTTCAGTCTACTTTCCGAGCAATACAGGTTGACCTATTCTTTCTATTAAACTCGAATCTTGGGTTGAAGTTGTCGCGAAAGTTCCGGAGGTTCGAGAGTCAGTTGAGGATATAGTTGGGGAACCGGCACAGCAGAAAAAGTCAGTTTTTTTTTCGGGTATGAAATCTTTCGAGACTTTCCTTGTGAATTTGAGCCCGGTAGCGTTCACCTAAATCTGCACAAAAAAACTTTACAAGATCTTTTTGAAGCTTTACAAATCGGTATAGTAGTTTTTGATTTGAAAAAATGAAATAAAAATTTCAAAAAAACGTTCATTTTTTTATTTCAAACTAAAGTGTTCAGATTGAAATATGTTTAACTTTCTCAGAGTTTGCGTGCTGAAAGAAGTTACCCCGATCGGCAAAGAAGAGAAAGAAGACAAAAAGAAGTCGTGTCTGAGCAATCCATTGGCGCGGAAACCGATCCCCGACCACGCCGCCACTCATAAAAAGACCGTCGCTTTCGGCAAAACGGTCAACGTCTCGCAAACAATTGAAGTTGGCTTGATTCAAAATGCCAAATCATATTTTTCTATGATGAAGGGAACTTCGAGACTGGCGAAAAAACAGCAACTTCTGAAAAAAGACCAGAGAAGAATGAGCCACGAAGACGAAGGCAAATCTCTCAAAGATGTGAGGAAAAGCAAATAATTAGAAAGAATAAAAACTAAAAAGTGTGAGGTATCAAATGAATCAAAAGTATCACTCATTTACTTTGTTATATAATAATTTCCATAACTTAGAAGTTGGAAAAAAGATTTCTAACATCAACAAATAGAGTCAACGATTGTAGGTGATGCTTTAAACCGCAGAACGCGATATTATTGTAAAGAATAATAGTAATGTAGAAATGAACTTTTTGCATAATGTTTCTTATAGGTGATGGAGATGGTTACATCTTTGAAAGAAGCTGTGAAAGAACAGAAAGAAGAGCTGAAAGAATTGAAAGAAGAGCGGAAGGAGCAGACGAAAAAACGTGAAGAGGAAATGGAGAGTATTAAGCAGATGCTTCAATCCATGCAAGGTGCAGATTTTGCAGAAAATAATAACATATGTCGAATCTGGGCCTAATTTTTCGAAAACCTATCCGTATTTGGAAAAAAAAAGGTATGAGACTTGTGGAACCAGAAAGGACATTAAAAGCGGTTTTGTCAAAAATTTTTGAAATTTTTTTTGCTCCTCTGAACACCAGGAAATTTTTTTTGGAACTGCCTTTACCGTTTTTTTTTTCACAAACTTCTTACCTTCTCTATTCGAAATTTTTTTGTCATAATTTACTTTAAAAATACTCTTGGCTTTGCTCGCGGAGATCAATTTTCTCAAGTTATTTTTCAGAATTATTAGTTGGTCAAATGAAAATCAATGGCGAAAGCAACAAGGAGAACCAAGTGGCGATTCCGAAAGAGAAGCCGAGAAGTCAGCCGAAAGTCCTCGACTCCAACATTCTGCCTGTTTTGGAACGACGGATGATGACCGACCCGGTCTTTCGTCAGAGAATCGCTGACATCATTGCCGATGTGAACATTCACTTTTTATTTGGTTTTGATGCACAAAACGCAAAAATTGATCATTGAATTTGTATCCTAATGACTTTTCCGTTGTAATTCTTTTCTTCTAAAATCGCTCATGGTTGATTATAATCTCTCCAGTTGAGTCTTTTTTTTCTCGCCTTCAAAAACTACAGCGAGTGTTTTGACAAAATTGTACAAGATAGATGTTTTCTTTTGAAAAATATTCAAGATAAAAAAGACTTATCATATGAAGAGATTAGGGGACTGTAGGAAATTTTTATTTTACAAGAGAAATTTGTGTGTAGGACAGAGACGGCGCCGTTGATTCCTACACGACCCCGAAGGTGTCGACTTCACGGAAAAATGTCGGCACTCCCTTGGTGACGCCAACTACAGCCGATTTGTGAGTTTTCTCGCTTTTAATAAGCTAAAACAGACTCTTTTTTCAAAATGGTGACGTTTTCTTAGTGGTTTACAGTAACGACCGTTTGAAGGGTGATGGGATGAACTTCTAGCTACAAGTTATTTCAGTGATCGTTAAACGAAATGTCAAAAATACAACATGTCAAAGTGTGACCGATGAACGAACGACAGAACTTGCAACCGCTAACTAAATGACTTCAAACAAAACGGTCATTGGGGAGAAAGTTCAAAAGAAATGACAATGAACCCATCTTTCACGTCGAAATTCCATCGGTCATTTGAGATGAAATGACCGTTCAGCTGGTCACCGATGACTGGATAATGGAAAAAAAGTGAAAAAAAGAATTTTGAAAAATATTTTTTTAACTTCTTTAATTATTTTTTTTTCTCTTCTTTTCTCTTCTTTTTTTACGTTTTTTTATTTCTTTTGGCTCTAATGACTTTTTGAACGAAAAATATCATCGAACGTTCATTTCTTCGAAATCTGACCACTGAACTAACCGTCGAAAATGAACTATCAAATTCCAACTTTACAAGTCAGGCCGAACGATTTGATTTTTACCAGTTCATTTCATATATATTTTTTTAATTGAGCGGCCAAAATATTCAATACGTTGAAAGCGATCACCGGTCATTTCAGAGAGCTCTAGTTTTGAGTGTTTATATTGGGATAAATTGAGCTCTCACTTCATAAAATTCATTATTTTGTTTTTTTTTTATTGAAAATTCTTAGTAATTTCCGATTTCAGCGCGACTACCAAGGAAACGCTTTGACTGAAAATAATTTCTCCCAAATCGAATAATCATAAAATTAGAAAATAGCTTGGAAATTTTGCTTAAGATATTTTTTTTTGAAATTTTTGATTTTTGAGGTCTTTCGCCGTAGAGCACACATGCCCTCAACGATTTGTGTAATTATGGCTGCAGTGTGTCAGCTTGATTATAGCTGATTCACGGCTGGCTTGAGCCATCGTAAAAAAGGGTCCTGACACGATAATGCACGATATAGCGCCTGGCTCGTGGAGAGCGCAGACAGGACACGCCCCCTTAGCGTCCAAAGCTGGCCGTGAATCACCTATACCAAGGAAACGCTTTGACTAAAAATAGTTTCAAGCTGAAAATAAAAGAATCTTTGGGAAGTACTTAATGGATTCGATAAATTTTGAAGAAGACAAGGAGCGACGTTAAGAGAGACTGTGACCGTGGAGCGGAGCATCCATTGCGATGCGCCCTACTCAATCGACACCCGAAATTGGCTGAATAGCATGCAATCCTCGCGAAGTCTTTTTAATCATCTGATGTAGGAAAATTGTTGTATATTGAAGAAGGCGACGCGTACGATTTGGATGAACCCCTCCATTCGACGTACCAGCCTGGCCACAGCTACAGCCTCTATCCTGCCAATAAAACGAACGACAGAACGGGGTTTGTATAAGTTGAGCACAGCTGAGAAACTCGAAAGTTATGATGAATTTGGTTCAAAGAAAGGTTCCTTGCTTTTCGGTCAAATACTTCACTTTCTGAAATGAATTTGTTAAGTTTAAACTACAGAGCGCACAGCTGGTTAATAGGTAGCTCATCGAAATTGAAAAAAAAAAAACTAAAATTTGTCAGGATTATTTTGTGTTGGTTCCTATTTTTTTGATGTTGTTTCCTTCACGGCTTACTTATTAAGAAAATCTTCAATAAAACACGACGAAAGTTCGAATGCTCAAAATAAGATTTTCCTTAATTTAAAACTGCGAAAATCGAATAATTGATGGTTTTGGTGCACAGTTTTCGTTAAATCGCAAACCGCTACTCCCTGACCTCATTTCATGACATCATTCGTAACACAAGAAATAAGCACAAGCGTAATCGAAATATTTGGCTATATATTCATTTTATTCACGTGAACATGATTCAGCAGATTATTATTATCTCATTTCATCACGTCGACTGGTCGGTCTCATAGCCGCTTTCTCATGGGATAATATTCCGACGCCCGTCAGCCCCGGACAAGCTGGGCGCCGTACTGTTTCAAAATGGTGAAATGGAGATGATGTCATAGGGATGACGTCAGGGAGTAGCGGTTTGCGATTTAACGCGAAGTTTAGTGCACTCAACTCACATTATCAAAGATTTTTAAACCTCTTCCGTTGATTTTTATTTTTGGGAAATTTCTATAGTAGACTGAATTCTTAGAAAAAAAAATTTTTTCATAAAGTGACTAGTGCGAATAGTCTTCAAGTAACGAAATTTTTCAAACTTATCATAGTTCACTGTCCCCTCTGAATAAAGTGTTTTACAGTTTCAATAACTGGCAAGAAGAATCGGACGACGATTTCGGCGATTCCAGCCGTCACAATGAAACTCGACCAAGAGACGATGAAGGTTCGATATTTCTCTATTTTATCCTTTGTAAATTAATTTTTCAGCGTTCCGAAAAAGAATACGCGAGAAGTACGCCAAGAGAAACGCCTGATGCGCAACATCGTTAACTGTATTTATTTCTATCGCAAGTTTATAAAATGACTCGTGTAGAAAATTTGGTAGTTGTGAGTGGGGCGAGGGCGTCGTCGATGAGACGGAAAACGTACGGAGGCGAATGATTGCAACGGGCCAAGCCGAGGGTGCTCCCTGGAGGATATCTGCGGAAAAGAAAACCTTCAGATTAGAATGATAAAAACTATTGAAAAAATGCATCTACTTACTTGACGCCAAGTTCCAGCTTCTGAGCCGGGCAGTCCTCGTGTACTTTGTAGTCAGGAACCTTCAATTTGTAGTTTGATGCATAATTTCACTTACTGCACCTCATAAGAAGTATATTCTTCGTCGTTCTCCTCGTCTGCATTCGAGCTGTGTAGGCGGTCACCAAAGGTGCCTGTCTTCGATTTTCAACTGAATGGTTTGAGGACCAGACTTACCCATCTGCGAGGCGATTTCCATGGTCAACGCGTGGGCCACTATGACTACCGCTGATTCATTAGATGCTCCGCACAAGCTATGTTTTCAAATCTCCTTTCTCTAATCAGAAAGTGAGCCAAACCTCTGAAGAGTCATTTGAATCCGACTCACACAATCTGCCTGTTTTGCGGTTCCGTACTGCTTTTTCAAATCTTCCATCGAGTGTATCGGCTTGCTGAACTTGGACAGTCGAACTTAACCGTTTTAATTTTACTGACTAGTTCCTTTCGATGGGATACATTATCAACGTTTCAAGAGAGAAATTTGGAAGTTCAACAGATCCTGCTTTTCTGTACCATTCTAGTGGCTCCAGGAGCCCAGGCTCAATCTGTAAAGATTACAAGAACTACTGATATTGGAAATTTTTCTCACGCTAATTTTAATGTTCATGACTTTTGCGATAGCCGATGCCGTCTGTATCGATCGAAGCGTCGGTGAGCAGAGAATGGTCTTGGCGGCCAGGCCGCGGTTCTGCAGAGCTCGGCCAACCACTTGGCTACTGTACTTCCCTGTCGAAGGCATAATAGCGAGTAAGTGGTATCCACTCAAACCGATGTTGGTGATTGGCGGATTATACGAGAATAGGGAAGGCGGCAGCAGATCCGTAGGCACATTCAAGTCTGTCGCGTTATACTGATAAAAAATAATAGTCTTATGCAAAAGTGGCTCCTTACTTACCGCGTCTTCTGAGCGTTCTGTATTGAGCCAGGAGGAGCCGAAGACTCTGTCGACACGTTCGGCGCTTCGCATGATGATGGCCGTTTTGGCAGTGAGGCGGCTGCTTCTGGCGCATCGTGGCCAAAACGAACGCAGCATTTTCGGATTAACGTTGACCTTCAAATAATGCAGATGAAGAGAGTATGTTTCAAAAAACATTTCCAGAAAATCGCCTGGAGGTTTTGTGTGAGATTTTAGCCGAATTTCACCATATTAGTTTCTTAGAAAATTCTTTCTTTGTGTTTTCATCTTCTGATTCCTATTTTTTTGATCTTTCTTACCGATTGAAATGTAACGAACCTCATCCTGCTTGCTGATTTGTATCGACTTTTGCAAGCTTTTAGAGTTTTGCATCTCACTCGTCGAAACTTATGGAAATAGGGAAGCGTACTCGTTTTATTCGGAAATTTTTATTTATTAATTTTAAATATGAACATTCTTCGAGTTTATTTCAATCGAAATGACCGCTGCCCGACGTGACGGCGTGCATCCATTTGTCGACGAGTGTGACATTATAAACCGTCACAAAATTGATTCTACGACGCGGCTCCTGCAGTTTTGAAGTTTTCGGTATATGCTCTCTTATTGTTGTTCACTTCATCGAGTGGTTTCACCTCTCCTGGCGCCGCCCACATTTGCTCGACCCAATCAACAACAACTTGTCCTCTGAAGTTTGGAAGATCCAGTTTTTTTTTTGAGATCTATTGGTACATACCTTGTGATAGTCCCGCTGAGCTCAACAGCAACGACCAGACTTTTCGATTCCAGGACAACTCTTTCTTCGTTTATAGCGGTCGCGATTGCGATTTCATCGCAGTAGGCGTACTGCCTGCCGACTGCTTCGAATCGGATGCGTCCTCAAAAGTTTTCAAAATCATGAAACCATAATTCTAAAAAGTTTTCTTCGTTTTTACAAATCGTTCCTTTTCTGGTGTTGAATTCAATTATTAGGCTTACCGACTCTAGTTGCAGTGCTCAAGAAGTTGGCCAGTGGAGTATCGTACCGGAGATGAGCATGAAAATCGACTTCATTTTCCTTTAAATGCGATTATTGTGATACAATGAATGAAGCATTGTAGACCTCCATGCTTCTGAAGAAAAACGCTTCCCAGGGGACAACCGTAACAGGACATTTGAGCTCGCGGAGAACAATGTCTGCGGCTTCGGGATCTCCGTGGAAGTTGTACTCTGCCGAAGAGACTCCGCTGACGTTTCCCACGCCTTCAGGAGAACATCAGAAGTTGGTTTCCGAACTCACCGTAGTAGTTGCCGCCCATGATGACGACTTTCTGCGGTGCTGCCGCGAAGTTTTCTTCCAGCTGCAGAGCCAGAGCGAGGTTCGTGAGTGGTCCGATGCAGCTTCAATTTTTTCAGTCATTTACCATGAGTTTGCCCATTTTCTTACACAAGAGTTGCGTCTGGGTGCTCTTGAACTAGCCGGATGAGTGCAAGAGCGGCGATTCCATCTCCAGAAGCTTTGTAGTCGTCGGAATCCGACTGAAGTTGAGATCACACTGTTGAGAAAATAGAAAAAAAACTCTTTCACATATTTAAAAAATCTTGATTTTTTGAAGGGATTCGGAAAAAAAAATAGGTTTTTCAAGAAGAAAATGGTCTCTTTGCAAGCTTTTGATCCTTATCTGGAATTTTTTTTCTGAAACAATAATAGAAAAGTTGCTTCAATCATTTTTACCTCGGGGAATTCAGTCGGCCTATCGCCAACGCCATCCTTGCCGAAAAAGTCCGAGACGGTAGTGTCTTTTTGCAGGTTGAGTAAAGATCTGCTTGCCCCTTCATAGACAGGAATAGATCCCTGTAACCATTATCCAGGTGTTGAACTCCTTTAGTTTGTCAACTTGGATTCCATTGGCTCGGATCGTCCTGTTGACGTTGGCTGTCGCCTGTTTCACAGGAACGCATCCGTGGACCGTCGTTATCGCCACAACCTGCCAAGTTTTCATTTCATATCACAGAACAAATAACAGATAGGTATTTTTCAGTCCATACCTTCGACAATGAAAAAAAAGTTTACTCAACGTAATGAATCCGGAATAATTATTTTTTCGATATCTAATTATGCAAACACATCAATTTTTTGATGATGGAATAATTTGATACCTCGACATCGGGATGTTGTAAAGCAAGAGAAATGGCGCGGACGTCGTCGCTGACGCCGTCAGTATCTGAAAATTATCAAAAGTTAAAAGTGAATATTATTTCGAAGTCTGTGTATTTTCTGATTATTTCAGATTTGAAAAAGGGAGATCTTTCTCTTTCCCTAACTTTTTCAACGAGATTCTGAAGCCTGAAAGCTTTTGGGAAAATGAAAGTTAATAAAAGAAGTATTTTCAGACAAACCTATTATGAGTTTTCGTGGCATTCGCGATGGTCAGGGCGACGATAAAAATGACGCCGAGTTGATATGAAAGCCGCTTATCAAAGGTCTTAGCACTTGGACTGGGTGTTGGAGGGCGGAGAGTTTATCTTTCAGTTAGACACAGGTAAATTTGCTTTTCCATGTTAAAGTAGTCTGTTAGGCGGTGAACATGAGCTTTTAAAGCTAAAAAAAACAATCTCCTTTGGCGAAGTCCAAACGTGTAGTTGATCGAGTTGAAAGCATGATATCACGGTCCTTCGCCTCGTGCTTTTCCGCGTAGTTCATTCAGTTGTGTCTTGACGAGATTGTACAAGTCCTTGTCAACTTTCTTTGAAAATTTTTGAAAATTCTATCAAAAAAATCTTTATTCTTCTTTATATATATATCAAATTGTTTTTTTTGTCAATTTCATGAAAGTTCCAGAATGTCGAGTTGGTAAAAGACCCGTTTTGTAAGACTATAACACTTAATTCTTTTTATTGCTCACCACTGTAAAAAGTTTTCATAAATGATAAAAAAATGTCAAAAGGTTACCGTTTGAGTTTTCTTTCAGAATTAAGAAAATTGGTTATCACATTGCGTAGCGATGAATCAGCACTTTTTTCAGACTTGTTTGAAACAAAATTCTTCAAACAAAAAAAACTTCAAGCTTTATTCAGTCATTTTGACTTAACAACATTTAACATGATATACAGAAAGATGATGAAAAATACTTCTAAACTTTATGTTTGGTGATTCAAAACTTTGCGCATTCAGACGCAAAGAGGATATGGAGAGATGATAGCCCTTCTAGAAGCTCTTTTCTAGATAACAACAAAAAAAAAGCATGATGTGGACCTGCCAAAAGAGGTCAAAGATAACAATTTTCAAATGTCATTGATAGTCAAAGATAAACGTTTTGAAGCGTTCAAGTCTTTGTCAAGTTTGTTTAACCATGATCGTTTTTCGAATTTGAGTCAGGTTTGAGCGAATTTCACACAGTGCACTTTATAATAGGTTAGTGAAAAGTGTGAAGACAATTTCGAAAGCATCGGAAAATATGTTTAACGAAACTGATAAAATCATTTGAGTTCTTCAGCAGCTGTTTGATCGACCGTAGCTTGCGGCAAGACCATTTCTAGCTGAAATGACCGATTTCTATTTACTTCTCAGAAAACCATGAGACAATAGAATTCCTGAAAAAATAAACCTCGATTTGAGTACCATTTCGGGGTTTTTTCCTTCTCAGCAGCCTCAATAAAGGTCCTCCATTGAAGTCATCGATGTCTTCAGGCATTCTCTGAGATAAAATTTTTAATTTTGCGGGGTGAGAACATTAATAACAATTCCTTTCGTATCAGGAACCAGCAAGACTAGTAAAGCAGCTAACAAAGACATCATAGCAATCAGAAGCGCTGGAGCATTTTTGTCGATCGCTTCCTGGGAACCAAAAGTGTCAGTTGTAATTTCAAAGAAAGTACCAATCGTTTTAAATACGGCGCTGCCACACTTCCGATTTCTCCAACGAAATAAACCATTCCACAGAATACGTTGCGAACGGAGGTCGGTGTCGCCTAGATTTGATTCAGTTTTTAGTTGATTTGTTATCTTTACCTATTATTTAGGAGTCTGTAATGAAAACCAACTTCTAATTCTAAACAGTTAGAGTTTCTGAATGAGAAAGCACCACATTCTTACCTGGTTAGAAAGAAAAAAATAAGGGATAGTAAAAAAATTTTTTTTAATGAATCCTCCACGAAACTTTTCAGAGCATTTTGGAAGCTCAGATCAGGGCTCATATTCAGCGGAGTTCATGTATATATATTCTCTAAAAAAATATTCTAGGTGTTTTTTTTGTTTTTGCATTATTGCATTTTTTTCTGTCTATCTGAAAAAAATAATCAAAAATACGTATGGTTTTATATATTTCATAACCTCAGTATAAAGAAGCAATTGGGAAGACCAGACGATGGCGTTGGTGCTTTTAGTGAGCAACGGAAATATCATCCGCATGTTGGTATTCACTGTTTCAAAATTTTTCATTGACACAAATAATTTTTAACCTGGTATATACAAGGCGCAACACATGAAGACGGATTGCAGGGCCAGAGAGAGGAACGAGACTGTTTTCCGACCCAAAAAGACGAGAAGACCTACTGACAGCAGTCCTGCCGGCAGCTCAACGATCCCGGAAAGAAAGTAACCGGTGATGCCGTCGTCGCTAAGTTCCGTTGAGAAAAGAGACAACGCCCAATAGGTTCCGTTCATCACGATTCTGAAGGACTGCATAAAAAGAATCGGCAAAAAACTGTTTTGAGTCATGAAGAACACTTTGGCTCCTTGGAAGTGCTTATTTAACAGATCTTCAAGACCTATTGAGTACGAAGAAATTGAGCTCACAAAATATAAGAATTGATAAGGAAGTAGCCGAAAAGGTCTGGATGAGTGAAAATGTCGATAGCTGTCCTTTCTTTCAGAAGCACAGCCTCTTCGACCGCCGTTCGGCATTCGTGCAAAGCGATTTCCCTCTTGTTGTACTTGGAACATGTCCGAATGTACCTCAAGAAATCGTTTATGCTTTTCAAAATAAGTTTTCTTACTTTTTCACCATTTTTTTCTTCCGTTTCGTGATCAGCCAGTGGAGCGATTCTGGAACTAGCCTGAAATAAATTCATTTTACTTTCAAACTCTACAGTATACCAATAATAGGGAATTGTGAGAATCCCTGGCAAGGTCACGGCCAAGTAGAGAAGCCGCCAGTCTTCAATAACCAAATGAAGCGCTCCAGCGAGAATATATCTCAAGAGTTTCGAAAAATCGAACATAGAAACGTTGAAAGATACCCAAAAACCCAAGCTGCTGTTGTTACCAAAGGGATCAAGGAGCGGAACTCCAGGGCTACAGATTCCATGCATAATACCCATCCTATTGTAGAGAAACTCTGGAAACTTGGAATACAGAGATCCGCTTGAAGTTTCAACAGCAATATCTTGATCTATGAAGCAAGCTTCAGCGCGAACAACACATGAAATCAGAAATATTCGAAATCGTGTCAAAAAAAGTATTTTTTTTTTCATGATGTTTTAACAGCTTCTTAAAAAATCAAATGAAGATTTTTAGAGTAGTATTAACTAATTTTTATTTAAGTTTTTGAGTTTTACATTTTTTTTTTACTGTGATTCAAGACTTAAAAATTATCTTCTTTGATGATTAAGTCATTTAAGAATACGAAATTTTAAATCAATGTTGAAAAATGACAACTTACCGTAGTAGTAACTCCAGAGATAAATCGGAAAATCAAAAAAGTAGTGTAGTTGGGTGCAGCGGCGCATACAAGGTTGGCCAAAACGGCCATGTAGAGAGGCAGAAGAAAGGTCCAGCGACGGCCGAAAAGGTCCGAGAGCTGAGTGATGATCGGGGACACCAACATTCCGCCTGAAAAATGTACATCTTCTACAATTAAGTATCATAAAAGTCAATTATCGAAAACCACAAAAATCTAGGTTTTGCTCACTTTAAATGATATTTTTGTTCAATAGAAAACCCCCTTACAATTCAAAAATGCAATTTATTTTATTGCGGCTACCTTTTCTCAGCTTTTCAGTCGAACCTCTCATTTTTTTTTTCTTGTTACAGACCGAATAGGAAAATGGAAGTGGCGTGGTCGACGGCGCCAGATTCCTCACAAACCAAGTTGTACTCAGCTGCCAAAGACGAACTTGCGTCCGTGTAGTTGTACCTGTCGAAGCCATATTTTGGTCCAAGGTTTTGAAATTTTCGGATCTTTGTAAATTGTCATGAAGTGCGCTAATATGTGCTCGAAGCAACCGTATACTCCAGAGTGGAAAAAAGGAAAGTTTGAATGAAGAAAATGTCTGACTTAGCCCCAGGAATCTGAAGACAGTTGACGGTCCAATTGTTGCCGTCACGAACATGACATCCGTCTATTTCTGCGTATTCCTGAAAAAAGTTTGTATTTTTGAAGCTTTCTAGCAATTTTCTGTCAAAATTGAGAAATAGAAAGACGGGAGAGAAACCCAGTGTGGTTGAGGCTCAAAATCGCAGCCGAACGTGGGCTGTTTGGTGATGAACGGCATGACGAGCATGTTCAAGGCCATGAGCATATGGACGCCGGACGTCAGAAGGTAGGTGAGCATCTGATTATCTTTTGAAATCAAATCATTTCTACTTTTTTTATTAGAAAAATTGAACTCTTGAAAGATAGCCGGAGAGTAGTCGGCTTTTAGGGGAAAAACTTTTTGATCAAGTAACTTCTTTCAAAGGAAAACTGGTTCATAACTTTTAAAAGCTACTTCTAGCTTTTCTGAAAAAAAAAGAGCGCGTTTTCCGTTCCCGCGGTTTTTTTTTATTTTGATTTTGAACTTCATCGAAATTATATATAACAAAAGAAAGCGGTTAAAAGGCCTCAACTATCCATTCTAATCTATTGGAAAAAAACAAATTAGAAGGCAAAACATGAAAAATGCGGAAATGGAAACGCGCTCTTGTCCTAGCACTCTTTCTCATTTTACTGTTCATTTTCAAACTAAAAATAACCCCCGAGATAAAAGCGTGATCGCTGCCGGTACATTAACAAACTCGCAAACATGTCGCTCTATTTAGCGCGGGCCCCAAATTTTTTTCGCGCCAGACTCGCCAGTTATCTTTAGAAAAAAATCAAAAACTATTTTTTTAGAAAAATTTGATTATTTTGTAAAAATTTTGAGATAATTCAAGTAATGAAATAAAAATAGACTTGCCTGGAACCGGCCGTACTTTCCAAAAGCTGATAATACTTTCTCTGGATCTAGGTGCAGGTAGTTGAAGGCGATGGAGGAAGTCCTCGGCAAGTACGGGATCGGCTCTTCCGCCTCTTCCACTTCCTCCACTTGCAGCTCTTCATCCGTCGTTTCCATATCGAAAAAGCTGAAAATATTTAAAATAGACGAAAAGGATGAGAAAACAGGCAGGCAGACTTTTAGGGCCAAAAACAGCTCGGTCGGAGTCCTCACCGTCTGATAAGGCGTATCGTAGCGCCTGTCGCTAATCGCTTTGAACTGATATCGCCTCTGGGAGGACGCTCCCGGAAATTTCCTTTTTATTCCCAAATCATCTTCCAGAAGCTCTTTTCGACAGCCGGTCCTGCCATTTTTCATATTTTTCATATTTTTTAATCTTTTTTTTTCAATTATTTTTTATTCGAATTGCAACCAGTTAAGAAAAAAGAGTAGTATATATTTCGTTCCGAACGTTTTCAATAGTTCTAACTTGTCTGTATTCTCTTTTCTCTCACCAGCTCGCTCGCAGAAAATAGAGAGAGCTCAGACAGGTCAAAGGTTTTCAAGTGGTGGAGAATTATTATCACAAATGGTCTGATTTATTTTGATAATAAGGTGGGAATCATTTTTAACGCTTGAAACGTTTTTTTTTTCACTTCGGGTTCTCAACTACATCTTTCTTCTCTCAAATCTTTATTATTTTTCCCCCAATGTCAGTTTTATTTTTCAAAATTTTTTCTATTTTCAAAAAGCTTGTTTAACACATTTGCTTTTGAAAATATAGAACTTTCCAGCATGTCTGAAATATTTCTCACTTTACCTTTTTGTTTGATAATTTTCATTCCACTCCCTCCGAAATTAGATTGGGCAGCTCCGACGTTTTTTTTTTTAAATAGGTGGGTCTGTTATTATCAAGTTGCGTGTTTTGTCTCTATTTCTTTCAATTTAAACTTCTGCTATAACTGAAATTCGGAGACTTTCTCATTCATGACGATAAAATTAAGCTGACCGTTTGCTCGCAAGGACACGACGACCCTTTTTTCTTGGAAATTTTCTTGATTTTCTCAGATTTTGCGTGGCGTCTCGTAGTTACTGATATGCTTCGGTCTAACGAATTTCTCCGAGTCTGACTGAAAATTATCATATGGATATTTAGTATAATTTACTTGACCGCTCCACTTTGAGGCTTTATAATTTCATTTTCCTTTGTTGACTTCGATTAAGGCAGAAAAATTTGTAAATGAGAAGGAGCTCAAGGTTTCTATAGACTTCAATAACAGCGGGAAAAGGTCAGGTGTCAAGATTTAGGAGAAAATTTCTCATAGTGAGCTTTTTGAAAATTAGAAAGGGGAACATATAAAGGAATGAAATTAACCGACAAAAACCAAACCGTATTGAATACATTGTTCAGATGATATTTCTTTGTCGAAAAAATCACAAAGTCTTTTCATTCTTTTTCATTGAGTCCATTGGAAAATTAATCCCATTGAAATGTTTGCTTTTTTCAAGAGAGACGCAAATAAAAATCCACGTATCGACAACTAATTATGGGGCGTTTTGACGCCGGCAACTTGTTGTTGGAAATGAAACGATTGCAGGGCCTCGGCGTGTCTTTTTGAGAAGAGAAATGAGACAGACGACGTGAACGAGAAAAGTTTCTTTTTTTTTTTGCTTCGCCGGCTGCAAACGACAATGCGAACCGTCGACGGCCGAGGTTTCGAAGAGTCCGCCGCCGTCCGCGTCGACCTTTCTTCAGGTTTTCTCCTTTTATAAACAATATGTGAAAATTTAATTCAAATGTATTTGTAAATGTGAAAACCTTTTTGCTAGAAAATAAGACAGGGCCTGAATTTTTTTCCCTTCTTTCTCCCTTTATTAACCTTTTTCAAGCTATTCTCGATTATCATTAAGGATTGTACTATACTTTTTTTCTCATAATTCCCGGTTAACTTTCAGCTGTTTCAATGAGATTTTTTTTCTTAGAACGAACACCACGCCAATTGTTTTCAATAAAATTTACATCCAGAAAAATTCGCCATTTTACGATTTTCTCTCTGTTATAAGTCTTGTTCCAAATACAAAGAAACCATTGAATGGTTTTCTCACTTTAACTATTTATGCAGTCATTTTTGCATAAACTCCGTCAAGTAAGCTGTTTTGATTGTTTCTCAGTTAATTTTGATTTTTTTTTTCGCATTTTTTTAAATTTTGCTGCTTATTTTTAACCTCCACTACAAGTCGGAAAATGTTTTTTTTTAGAAAAAATTGTTTTACGCACTTTTATGAAAAGAATGTTGATTGAATATTTTCTGTCCTCTGACTCACTCTGAAGAGCCAACAAAATCATGTAACTTTGAATGCTCTCAATCTGCGATGGTCAAACTGGAAACATTTGGCCTATTTTTTCTGTTTTTTATCTAGTAGTTTTTTTAAAAATAATTACTCGAGTTGGGTGTTTTACAATGAATTCAAACTTTGTTCAGGAAACCCCCTGGAATGCGAGGCTATCTGCTACGAGCTTCAAAACTGCCGCCGTCAACGAGTTGTTCGCCGTCTTGTGTACGACAGTCGAAAGGAAGCTGAATCTTTCGCCCAAACTTTCAAAAAACGCTCTCAACATCAATCACCTCGTAATTGCTCCTCTTTTTCTATTGATCGCTCAACGAACTTTTGCAGCGCACCTGGCAAAAAAGCTGGAGTCGAGGAAAGTTTTGGTCCTCGTGAACCCCTTCAGTGGGCAAAAAAATGCTCTGAGTTTGTGGAAAAAGTTTGGCGATCCGGTGCTCAAAGACGCAGGAATCGAGTTCGACCTCGTGCTCACGGGTAGGTCATTATAATGAAGGTCAATATCACCAAAGTTATTACAATATATTATCAAAACAAAAATGGTCCCCCTCCAAACAACGTTCCTCTTTTAGCATATTGTTCGAAGGAAATCTAAAAAAATGATAAACTTTCCAGTAAAAAAATGTCGCGTTGGAAATGATTTTTTTCAGAAAATCTAATTTTTGTTTAAAAATTATGGGCCATAATCAATTAACACGGAAAAATTCCGAACGACTCCAAAAAGAAGAATCTAAAGCTCCTTCTTGAGTTCCTAAAGAAGTGACAAAAGTTTCTCTGAATCCACTTTTTCGTCTCCTAAAGAGTTTTTTTCAGAAATCTTTTTTTGCCGAACCCTCTTTTTAGGTCCTTGGAACTTTGCCCATTAATAAACGTTTTTCTTATCAAAAAAAGAAGTTTTTGTGAAAAGTTTTACGGGAGCACCAAAGAAGATAGTGACGATTTACGAAAAGATCCTTCCACTATCACTATCTTACAATATGATATAATTTTTCATTATGATTCATCTCTTATCAAGTCTGACTCGTGTCACCTTTTCACTGATACCCTATTTCAATTCTATGTTTCATTTCCATATTTCTATCCTTTCTCCCATACACTTTAGTTTTTTTTTTCAAATCTTTGCAACTTTCTGGTCTGCCTGCGCTCTCTTCATCATTTAGTGCTGCTTTCATTTTTACGTGCTGATCAAAGGAGAAAAGATCTCAGTAAAGCTGTTTCAAGCTGAGGGAACCGAAGTATATCTGAGGAGTTGCTTTTCGCATCTGAATGGACTGTTCAAGAGTATGCGGGTCACGCAACAGAATTGTTGCGCGAGCTGGACATCGATCGTTATGAGTCAGTCTTGGTGAATGGCGGGGACGGACTTGTGGCCGAGGTTGAATTGGTGGGGTGATACAGAAATAATAAACTTTTCTAGGTTCTAAGCGGTCTTCTTCGACGCGAAGACAAAAAACGAGCCCTGAACCTGCCGATTCTTCACCTTCCTGGCGGAACGAGCAATGCTCTCGCAGCAGCCGTATGTTTCGCCTGCAAGTGAGTCTTTCGGAAAGTCTTTTAAGAAAGGCTCAAATAACTTAAAATTTGAAAAAAACATTTCATAATAGATAGCACTTCACTTTGAAAATAAGGTTACCAATTTTAAAAAGATTCTTTCTATTCTTCGAAATGATTCACAATAATCCACCCACAATGACGCTCGGCACAGACTCCAACTACGAATTTGAATCTTAGAAAATACTTTACGTGTTGATAATGGATAACTTTGCTTGAAAAAGCTTTTACTGTATTATAGTCAATGTTTCCCGACTTGAAAGGCGTGGGAGGCGTGGCAAGGGGCGGGACGCGTAGCGTGTGCGTACGCGGTTCTTGGCACGTGTTCAATTCAACCGCTAGCGAGCATTCAGAGAGCTTATTTATTGCTCGTTTCACTTGTTTTTTAATTATTTATTGATTATGTTCATGTGTGCATCAAAAAATAGAAGAAAATACAGAAAAAGAGCGGTTGCTGAGCTTTTTAAATAGTCGGCGGCGATTGAATTGAACTGGCGCCAAGAACCGCGTACGCACACGCTACGCGTCCCGTCCCTTGCCCCGCCTCCCTCGCCTTTCAATTCGGGAAACATTGACTATACCTACGTTTAGAAATATGAGGAAACTCGACGAATTAGGTTTAAGGACTCCTTTAAGGATAATTGCCCTACAGTAATCTCTTCGATTTAAATCACGTGCAAAAAAATCAGCTTTGAAGTATATTTTTTTAATTCTTTTCTATATTTTTAATTTTTTTTTCTATATTTTTTGATTCGTTTCGTTTGAATATGAAAAAGGAGGATTTTTTTATAAATAAAACTCCCATCAGACCTATCTGGAAACTTCGGCTGATAATGTCTCATCCGACTTTTGTAAAATCTTTGAACGATAAGTTATGAACTGATTAGAAAACAGTTGGAAACTTTCAAACGAGGTCTGCCTGAACTCCGGAGAACGATCAAAGTTTGCAGCGAACCTTTCACGGCGCGCGACTATTTCATCCGCGAATGCACGCTCTTCGCATGCCGACCACGCTACATGCCTCTGTGCCTTTACAAGTGAGGAAAGTGTCATTCCCCGTTTTCCAAGGAGTTCTTAGAGTCGACACGGAGCATGACGGCGTCAGGGACATGTTCCTCAGTGCCACCTGGGGTCTTGTTGCTGACATCGGTTGGACTGATTTTTAAGAAATGGGATTGAAAAGAAGTCTAGACTTGGCAAGTGAGCGGTTCCGATGGGCAGGAATGATCAGACTACACATGGAAGCGACTCTTCGCATTATGCGTAGGCTTTCCTGAACTTTATTTTTGAATATTTGCGCGACTTTAGGATTGCCGTCGACTTCGACCTATCGAGCTAAGATCTCGTACGTTCCTGTGAACAATAAGCAGATCTCTCAGAACACTCTGGTAGTTGGAGACAAGTACACATCGGGGACGGAGCACCCGGAAACCGCGTATGAAGAGGTAAAATCTATAGAAATTGACCCTGAAAAGTAAAAAATTTGGGTCGACTTTAGCACTCATCTCAGCTCGAGTGCCCATTATCACATGAAAAATGGCTTGGCGTGTAGCAACAACAAGTGACATAGTAAATTAATATAGAAGGCTGTTTTTTGCAAATACGACTGTTAATTGATTTCGACCGCCATGCATTGAGTCAGTTCACGAGCGGTGCACGTGTCAGGCGTATGCATGTTATTTTTGTAACTGTTTTCGTTCTCCAAGTTAAAATGAAAAACGAGAATCCCTCTCTCTCGCTGTACACAGTTTGGTCCTTGTGATCCATCACTCGTATCACTGCAGAAATATGTAGGGTACGGAATGTCGACAATATGTGGCGCGTTTTTGACGAACTAATTGCTGCAGAAGCCAGACACTGTCAAAAAATCATGTTGATAATAAAAGTTGTGTTTTCAAATTGGTTCAAGAAGGTTGAAGTTCTTGTCTGGTTTTTCAGTGGAAAGGAAAAGTCTACCCATTATCGGAAGCAGTCGATGAAAAATGGACAACAATAGAAGGCGAATGGGTCATGGTTAACGTTACGACATGTAGTCATCTTGGTATTTCTTGTAATTCTTCGTTTTTTTTTTTCGATCGATTCAAACATCATTCAAAAAAAAAGTTCAGGATCGGACCTTCCTTACTTGCCAACGACGAAACTGTCAGAGACGATCATGTACTTGACACTCATCGATTGGAAAACTATCAAAAATCGTCTAGAGGTGGCCTTGCTTTTTAGCACGATGAACGATAGGAAACATCTCGCGTACCCGTGTTTCCAGGTGTCCTCTACATGTAAATAAGATAGACAAAGATCAACTTTTCCAGGTAATTCCTGTCAGAGCGGTTCGTGTTGTTCCAGATAAAAGAAACGCTCACAAGGGAATGTGTGCAATCGACGGAGAAGCTTTCGAACCGGGTTCTTCCTTTCAAGTTTATCCTTCCGGTGACAAGGCTACTGTAATCGGCCGCTGAAAGACTGCATTTTTGAGACCCAGTGGCGACACGCTCGTAAAAAATTTGCGTCTTCTAGCCATTTTTTTTTCTGTTTTCTGTGCACTATATTTATCATTGTTTAATATTCGTTTTCGTGCTCATAATCTATTTTTTGTTTTTGTTACTTTTTTGAGGGTTTTCCGCACCTAATTGAGTTTTTTTTTCGTGCAGGGTATTTTATCTCAAATTATTTTAGGGTATTATTATTACTTCTTTTTGATTACTTCTTTTTCTCATTTTTTTCAAAAAGAGAGAATAATTTTCAAAAAGGGCAACGTTACTTTTTTAAAAGTTCTGACGTACAAATTTCAGCAGCGGGCCTATGGTATCTATCTAAATGCAGTTTTTAGTTTCGGTTTGTCATCATGATTTTTGTTCAGTTGTTTGTGGTACTTTTAAAGGAAGTCACGGAAGCCATTGGCATAGAAGTGGCCAGCACGTGTGGCCTCATCATCATGAGAGCGTCTGATGTTCTTTATTCCCTGTCCTCTTCTTCTCTTATCAGATAATTGATTGTGCGGTTTTTTTTATCGCGACCCTTACAGAATAAATATTCGTCGTAGGCCAATGGTTCTGTTCTTTTTCGTTTCTGTTATCGGCAGTTTCATATACCCCGGAAATAATACCAATTACCTTGTGAATCGCCTTTGATTCCAGTTGGGACAGCACAATGTGCATCAACACACCTGGACCAAATAAGTGCGATGGCGCCGGTGCAGTTATGCCTCAAATCAAGTAGGAAGACAATTTTTGAGAATTAGGAATGTAAGAATGGAAGTTCAGAAAACAATGGGTACGTGGAAACTATTCTCGAGAAGCTACTCAGGAGCCGCCATGGTACGTCAACATTCTCGTGCAGATGAACTGCTACGTCATGTTGTTCGGCGCCATGTTTGCCAGTTGGCTCCAGTCAATGGGAATCATCCACGGAAAGGCCAAGAAGGACGATCCACGATTGAAGGTTGAAACTTTTTACCTTTTTCTGATTCTTTTATTTTCATTTGTCCATGTTTTATTCTACTCTATCCATCTGCATTTCACCTTTTTTTTTGCTTTTATTTGGGTTGAAATTTTTTAGTCATATTTTGCGCAAGATTAAAGTAACTTACGCCTCATTTTCATTTCTAATTCAGCTCAGAAGTATAAATCTCGTAAAGTTCACATTCAGCTTGTAAACCGTTAAAAATTCAGAAAAGACTGAAAGAAAAACTTAATTAAATCATTCAATCTTTCGTTGTGTGAATTTTTCTGTTTCTTTCTCTTGCTGTTACTCCAGTATGTCACAAACTACTAGAAAAAAAAAAATTCTCTCTCACTTTCTTAAACTTCTTCTATACTTCACCCATTGCTGTTATAACGCAGATGCTCAGGTTACGGTAAAATTCATGAGACCTGATAATTTCAGATTCATTCAAATCCATCAATCTCTCTTCTAAAACTATGATTTGTAAGTTCCTTTCGTTTAGAATTTTGCGCCGCTGGACAATCATTTCGAAGCCATCTACACCAACTACATCTACAGAATGTCGACAGACGTGGTAAATCGGCCCATTTGTGGCGTTCCCGGATCTATAGTGCGTCTGAAAGATCGCTACACCGACGACTACGGTTGGACTCAGAAGTAGGTTCGAAAAACCTTTCCAGTGTGAAAAAAAAGGAAAAAGAAACAAATGACAGATTCATCAGATGGTAAGAGATTATTGGAAGAATTCCTGAGGATCAACAAATAAAAAATCTTATTAGTATTGACTAGGTTACATGTGCTTCATGATTTCGGAGTAGAAGGCGAGGACCAGAGAACTGCCCATGCCCCTGAAGACGTTCGACAGCGCGCCCTTGTAGAACGCCTTCGCACCCTCTTCTTGGAGTATTTTCTGCCAACAATGCATCGTCGATTTGTACAGGACGTCGCCGCGGCCGCTCTGCATCATCATCCTTCTGCAAAAATTTCAATTCGCTTCCAGATATTTGAGCTATATTTGAAATCCTTGTTTTCATTCGAACTTCTCAGCGAAAGAGTACCTTTTTCCCTAACAGAACAAAATTAGGTAACCTTCAGGTACCTATAGGGCTTAGAAATTTTCTTTCATTTTTCAAAGTTCATACTTTCGAAACACGCGAACAGCCGTTCAGATTGGCTGGTCAAGGTCTCCCATAAGTCACAGATAAAAATGAGAAAAAATGTTTGAACTGCAGTACACTTCTTGGACATTTTGCAAACTGTTCGAATAGAAGCATTTGAATTTTTCGATGGTTTGCTATGAAAAAAAAACCTTCTAACAGTGTCCCATGGATAGCAGATAAGGCCAGATGTGACGACAGTAAATTGTCCGATGATCCAGGCTTTCAAGAAGCTGAGTTGTTTCCGGTCCTCCACTACCACTGCACTGATCGTATCAAAGAGTCCAAAGTAGGATGCGCGGTATATGAAGATTCCCTGTTATCGTTTTAGACTGCCTATTATTTTATTTTAATGCAAAACACACTTGAACTGACGAGGAAAAGCCTCTGTAGAGACCGCGAACTCCATCGTGAGCCACGATTTTCTTCGTACAGTCGACGAGGCCTGTGAATTCGCGGTTCTTTCCTTTGCCGATGTCTGTGGCAAGCCGTGTTCTGGGACAGAAAAATTGATCAACCATCTTTTTACTCTTTTTTGACGTCTCATTTTTTTTGTCACATAGACACGGCTGGAACTAGATTTGATCCAAAGTATAAAAAAAATTTTTCTGGTCGACTAAGAAATTTATTGAGACAATTTTCGAGGAGACTTTGGAACAACACTCGATGATTGACACATTCTAGTATTTTTTTCTTCACCAATTTTTTGGTTCTTTTTCTTCATAATGTTCAAGTTCTAAGAAGTCACAAACCTCGCAAAGTCCAGAGGGTAAATAATGAACAAGCTAGTCGCTCCTGCCGCGCCTCCTGACAACAAATTTCCAGCGAAGAACTTCCAAAAATCATTTTTCTTGTCCAAGCCTTTGAAGAGCAATTCTTTGTAAGTGTCCTGAATCCAGAACTTTTAGATTGGAATTAATAGAAAAAAAGCCAATTTTTTTAAAGATTTTATTCTCATTTTTACCACGGCTTTCTGGGGGGAATACCTGCTTACAGTTTCAAAAAAATTAACTTTAATTTTGAACAAGTTCTATACCGATCCGACTCGCCAACCTTGAAAGCGAAGTTGAATGCCTGCTGTGGAAATATACGCAAAACGTTGACGCCGTTGCCTCTCCATAGAGAAAGTGGACCTTGTTCTTTGACTACGCGAACGAAACAATCGATGATTCCTTTGTACCTTTTCACAAATTACCGAATTTTCAAGAAAAAAGTGTGCGCGGAAAAAACCTTTTATCTTCTGCGATTGTCTTTTGTGCATGTTGCAACTGCAGCAGTATCTTGACGCGATCGATTGGTGCAGTGATTGTTCTGAACTTTATACTTTTTTTATAATTTTAATACAAAAATTTTTTTATTAAGAAAGGCATAAAAAAATTATAATTTTTTTAAAACGGAAAAAAACTTTGAAAGAAAAAAACATAAACCTGGCGAGAGCAGCGCTGGAGCCTCCAACAACAAACTCGATGACGAACTTTCTTTTTTTCGACGACGAGTCGTTCATTTTATCAGAGAATGTCTGAAATGATCCAAATTGAAATTTCGCGTGGCAAAAAAAGAACGTGTGAGTTTATTTATTTGAAAAAAATTTGATCTGAGAAAAAAATGTTAGGAAACTTTAGAATTTTGATCGTGAAACCAGTTTTTTTCCTCAAAAAAACCAGGCGCCATTAAGCAGAATTTCTCTTGGCATTATATTATTAATAATCTCTCTATTTTATCGCAGCTTGATGCCGTGTTCAAAGTAATTTCCGCGAAATGCAAAATGGTCTCTGACCCTCCAAAATTTAGTTATCTTTCTCTTTCTCTGACAGCTATTTTGAATTTCGCGGAATCACTTTGAACACGGCATGAAATTGAATAAATAGAGCATATGGCAGTTACAATTCATGAGCCTTTCATTTCAAAAAAAAAAAAACTAGAAATTCCACGTTCTCAGCCTTAAACCTCAATACCTTTTTTTCACATTATCAGATTAAACAATTTTGAAAAAAATAGTTAACTAAAATTGTAACTGAACAAAAAAATTTTTTGTGCCATCGAGCGCGTTTGCTTGTGTAAGCGCGAAATACTGTAGGAAACCGATCTTATTCAGATCAGACTTGTTTTATTTTGATAAAAATGATAAGAATAACTAAAAATATTCTGAAGTTTTTTCAGGTACACTGGCCAGGAATCTGACGTAATAAACCTTGGTTCGTACAATTATTTGGGCTTTTCACACAACGATGGAACTTGTGCCGAAGAGGCAGCGGCCTACATCGATAAGTATGGAGTACACTGTGGCGGAAACCGCCATGAGTCTGGTACTATTTGTCGGCCGATTTTCAAAGTTCAACGGTTTTCGTAGGGGCACACAAAGCACATGAGAACTTGGAAAAGTGCGTCGCTCGGTACCTCGGTGCAGATGACGCGATTTGCTTTCCGATGGGCTTCGCAACGAATGCCATGAACATTCCGTCGCTTGTTGATAAGGTGAGTACTTTACTCGAGAAAAGTGTGGAAGGTGTTGGACAGAGGGAAAAAGTGTATTTCAACTTTTTTTTTCATAAGTGAAAAACATATTTTTCTTTTCTCTTGGAAGCACTTCAATGACTTCTTCGCGCCTCTTGCTGGCCTAAAAGTTTTCAAAAAATCACAAAAATATATTTGAAATCCCTTGTTCTCATTCGAACTTTCAGGGCTCTTTGATTCTCAGTGACTCTTTGAACCATTCCTCTCTCGTTCTCGGCTGCCGACTCTCGGGGGCCGTTATAAAAGTCTTCAAACATAATAGTAATTTCATGTAGCTTTAAACTTTCATCATAACCTAACTTTTAAGGTGCGGCCGATTGTGAACGAAAACTGCGTGATGCTCTGTGTAGCACTAGTCCGAAGACGGGAAAGCCTTATAATAAGATTCTCATAATTATTGAGGGCATTTATAGGTCAGCTTTTTTTGAAATATTGATTTTTAACGATTCGTTTCAGCATGGAAGGCACGATAGTTGATTTAAAAGCGTTTATCGAAGTGAAAAAGAAGTATAACGCATATCTTTTCTTGGATGAAGCCCATAGCGTCGGTTCGTGCTCTCATCTACTTTTTTTTTGAAGATTATAGTTTTCAGGAGCACTCGGACCTACAGGAAAAGGCGTCGTTGAGTATTGGGGATGTAATCCGAAAGACGTCGACATTTTGATGGGAACACTGACCAAAAGTTTCGCTTCAGCTGGCGGTTACATGGCCGGAAAAAAGGTAATCAATGAAGGTCATAATTTTGATTCTTGTTCGAATTCAGGAAGTCATCAACCACATAAGAATTCACTCAGCGGGCCCTTGTTATGGAGCAACTATGTCGCCTCCTTTGGTCGCTCAGGTGGAAAGCGCCATGAAGGTAGGCAATATTTTAGAAGACAGAGTTATAACTAGGAGAATCTCCTGAAAATTAAACGAAGATTCGCGGATAGTTTATAAAAATCAGGTTTTAGCTGATATTTCTCATCTTCTTATTGAGCATAATTTTTGAAAACCAGTAAAAGCCTTTTTCGAGCATTTTTCTGATGCTTATCTTGACTCAAGTCCTTCGAAGGTCATCCTTATATGTGGAAAGGAGCAAAAATGAAATTCGCTATTAAAGAAAGATTTTCTGTAGTTTGAGCAAAAAAAAAAGCCCGCGAGTCTTATAGCTCAAAAAAGAACTTTTAAGATAATGCTCGGCGAAGATGGAACTGAGACGGGATCGCAGAAGGCAGTTCAACTGCTGCGCAATTCGCGATACTTCAGACGCCGACTGAAGCAGATGGGCTTCATGATCTACGGCCACGACGACAGTCCCGTCGTCCCTCTCATGACCTTCTACATCACGAAAGTCGTGTAAGTCCTCCCCTAACCGTGGTTTCATCGAAAGTTTCTGTTCAGAGAGTTCTCGCGACGGATTTTGCGGCATAACATCGGACTCGTCGCCGTCGGATATCCGGCGACGCCTCTCACCAAGGCTCGGGTCAGATTCTGCCTCAGCGCTGATCATACGCGAGAACAGCTCGATTATGTCAGTTTTTCCTCCTTTTTTTCGTTAGTTTCAGCCGCTTTTCGGATTTTTGCGATCAATAAAAACTCAAAGTTAGCGATCAATTACTTGTTCTGTCATTTTCAAGTTCTCACATTTCTGTAACTATGAAGGAATGAATAGTTGGAGCTTTGAAAATTCAATATTTTTTTTATCTTTTTTCAACTTTTCTGAATTTTTTTAGTTTATATATTTATTTTTTTGTAGGTTTTGGATGCGTTGAGAGTCGTTGGAGAGGAGATTCACGTCATTTATGGAAATCCCGAGAACGACGCGAAATACATAGAATATTGAATTTTCGTTCTAATTTCATGTACTTTTTGTTTGAACTTCTCTACATTATTTTTCGTTCAGAAATTCTTTATAGTTGTTGATTTCTCTCCTTCGTCCCATGTTAAATTCTAGCCGTATTCTTAATTTCATGCTTTATCTTTATCTTGAGACTACATTCATTTGTGTACGGATATTTATTCAAAGGGTACATTTAGGGGATCATTAGTTTTTCAACAATTTTGTTTTTTTACAGAAATAATTTCAGTAGACTAAAAACGTTTCCAGAGATATTTGCATAATATCTTCCAAGAGAAATCTCAAGTAGCCCAGAAATCCCACAAAAATAGCTGAAGGATTTATCGAGAATATCTCTTCTAGTTAAAATTCACCGAAATGTGTTGTTATGAACCATGTTTCTTTAAAAAAATTGTATATTCTAATGACAGTATTTAGCCTCTTGCCAACCTTCAGACTTAATTGAGCAGCTGCCATTGTAGTTCTTAACAAGGTTCGATTAATGAAATTAGAACATCGTAATCTCCGATTTTATTGCTTGTTATAGCTGTTATACTTGTTTCGTAGCGCCATTCGAAGATAACTATTTATTTGGAACTAATAATAAACCACAATATACGTCTAATTGTTTGTGGGACGTGGCGATAGTATGGACAAACTGTCTGGGACGAGTTCTCTATTTTCTTCATTCGCCTGTTGCCGAAGGTACCTCTGCTGCTGCACCGACGAATTCAGATAATCAATTGTTGGCGGCTTCGGCCCAAATCTTCGTTCCAATGCATAGCCTATAGTCCCGATGACGACGGCAAACGGAAGCACCACTAGAGGAGCGTTTCGTGAAACTTAATTCCAAGTACTTCAATTCAAGCAGTTTTTCTCCTTTTACTTATTCGATAAAGCAGCGACAGCATCAAACGTGAACAGCACGGCCCTCGCTGATTGATTTGAACCTCAAATGATTGATTATGTCGTGGTTTATGTAGTGACAATGCAAAAAACGGAAACAACTATAGTTAGTGAAATTTTTGGTTTTTTGCAATTAAATATGATCGCTTCATTGTTCATTCTTTCATGTATTATATATTTTGAGACTTTCTCGTTGTGATATATTATCGTGTTCGGACGATATCAGATCTGATAAAAAATTTCGTGAACGCAGAAAATGAAAGTAAAACGAGTCTCAAAAAGTCACTATAAATGAACAGCCACATAGTAGAAATTAAAATGATGGAAAAAATAAAAATAAAACAAACTCTTTCAATGGATTTATGAAAGATAAGAATTTCTTGAATGAGTGCACGTAAAAAAACTTTGGAGCGCTTATCTCGTGCCGTGATTGCGGGTTTTGCATTTTACTTGGCGCTTATAGTTTTTTTTTTTTCGCGAAATTCGTTTTTATTCAAGGTTAAATCTGTTTGTTTCAGCTAAATGCAAATCAGAACCAATGTAATAAAAGGAATGAGAAAACTTCAGAATTTTTTTTAATATGTCCCTCTCATTCTTTTTTTTTTGCAAATTTGATTTTAATTAAAATAAGTTCTTGCCTTTTATTTTGGTTTTTTTTCCTTTTGCAATAGTTTTCAAACGCAAAGAGCCGCTTTTTATAGTAAAGCTAAATCATTCATCTTAGTTATATTTCTCTCATATACTATAACTTCTTATTTTATTTTGCAGATTTTAAAGCAAATCTCATTTTTGGAACTACTTTTATATTGAAAATGCGAAACTAATATTCAATTTTGCCTTGCATCTTGAATAGTAATTCACATCTATTTCAAAATTTTGAGTGGACTCACGAAGTTTTTATGATACATGCAAGCGTCTGTGTAAGTTTTCTAGTGTCAAATTTATTTATTTAAGTTTTTTTTTGTTATAATATGTTTTCTTTTTTGGCGCTTTTGTGTTTTCTTTCTTTTTTTCTCAGAACTGAATACCTCATTGCGTTTTTAGGAAGAACGATGATTGGGGAGGAAGTGTTCAAAAATCCTCTGAGTGGCTCTAGTGGAAGCTCACCTTCCAGCGGCGCTCCGAGTCAGCCCAGCGTTCACGATCATGTTACTAGTGATTTCTATTCCCGAGATGTCAATCCTGACGATCAGCGCCATGTAGATAAAGTTTCATCGCAACTTTTTAATTTTGTTTTTCTAGCATCGGACGGAGGAAATCAACATTGACCTCGACTCGGAAGGGGCCATTATGGTCGATATTTCTGATGCTCTTTCCGAGCGCGATAAGGCAATATTTGGCAAGAAGTTTCTTATTTAATTGTTTTTTAGGTTCGGTATACGGTCCATTCGCGAACAAAAATGTCGGATATGAAGCCCGAAACTTCAGTTGTGAGAGAGCACGAAGAGTTCCTTTGGCTGCATACTGTTCTGGAAGAGAATGAGAATTACGCCGGATTCATCGTGAGTTTCGATTTCTCTGCGAGTTTGAATTTTTCTCTCTTGTTTGTTGACAAGTTGTGATTTATAGAGAAAAATCTTTGGAAAAACTTTTCTCTACGACCAAACATGGTAATTGTTCTTTACATATACCCAGCTCTGCTCTTCCGATAATTTTTGTCTCATGCTTTTTGTTTGAATCCTATTATTTGGAGAGTTTTTTTATTTATTTATCCTTAATTATCAATAGATCTTATCAAGTTTTTTCGATTTGAGATCCCTCCAGCGCCACCTCGACCGGATTTCGATTCTTCTAGAGAGCGGCTCCAAAAGTTGGGAGAAGGCGAGGCGACGATGACCAAAGAAGAGTTTCTCAAGATGAAACACGACTTGGAACAGTTTTCGAGATATGAATTTCCTGGGATAAATGGCAACTTCAGAGATTATCTTGCCCAATTCAAGAAAACTGTTGCGATGCATGAAGTTTTCCTTCAACGGATCGCTGCTCATTCAATTTTCCGCGATGATCAAAACTTCCGAATCTTCCTTCAATACGAAGATGATGTTAGTGAAAAGAGAACATTTTTTTGTGTTTATCAACGATTTTTCACCGGTTATATTTCCTAGAAAATCTATTTGCACCTTTGTTGTTAGTTCTTTCCTTGATCTTTAGAGACAAAAAAAACTTCGTGACCCAAAACCAGAAAAAAAGGCTTTTCATTATTGATATTTTTGGAGATGATTATCTATTCTTTCAAATCACTAAGCTAGTATTTGCGAGAAAAACTTCATGATTCATTTCAATATATTGAAAAATAAGACCTTTATTGAATAAGCTTCATCCGATTTTCATTCTATCACAAACTCCATCGAAGAAAATACTTACTCTGTCAATTATGAGAATTCTTATTAAAATATAAATTCCTTCTTCAGTGAATTATGAAAGGAAATGTCTTTAAACCCTTTTTCCTATAACGTTTTGTTACTTAGTAGTATCTGTGAAGGCATATTCCCTGATTAAAAAAACTTTATTTGAAAAAAATTTTTACTGTATGTTTTGATAGTATCAAGTTATCCGAAAAAAAAAAACATTGAAGCGTTCGATGGATGAGCCGAACATGTCTCTCAATCAATTTTTTGCGTTTCTCTGAACAATATTTTCCTTTTTTATGTTATTACTATAATTGCGTTGATAGCCATGTCCAGCTTCCTATTGAACCCCTCATACAAAATGCACAAGTTTTTATTCAATTCATTTCTTTCAGCTATCGGTTCGAGGTAAGAACAAGAAAGAAGTGGTGGGCTCGTTCTGGAAGCGAGTGACGCAGTCTGCCGACGAAGTGCTCCTCTCCGGACAAGTATTTCGAGTCTTCGGCTACAAATCCACAGCGTTTTCTCCTTCCAGAAAGACATCGACGAGTTTTTCGAGAAGGAGAAGAACTACCTGATCGAGTACAGCACCCACATCAAGGAGGCCGCTGCGCGTAGCGAAAAAATGATCGCTGTGAGGAAAAGTGGGCCATTTATCTCGTCTTTTTCTGGACCGTGAAAGATACCCCTCTTTCTTATTTCCACTTTTTGAAATCATTTTGAGCCATTCTTCTTTTGGAAAGCAGGGATCTTCAAAATTCTTAACAAAAAATAAGGTTTTCTCAGAATTTTTGTAGTACACTCAGAACTGGCCGAAACGTCGAAAACTGTTGAGAATTTCAAACGCGTCTAAACTGAAATGCGAGAATTTTGTTTTCAAATTTATCCAAGTTTTCGTTTGTTTCCGATGAATAAAAAGTCATCAAAATATTTTAAACTGCATATATCAAAAATTTTTAAGCTTTCTGAAGCTTCAAATGCAATTTTCTGTTTTTTTCACCTGCGCTCGGCCAATTTTTCGAAGTGTTCCAAATCTTTCTATGAAAACCGCGGCAATCTTCTTAGTTTCCTCTGTTTTTGTTGGTTCAAATTACGTGAGAAAAGAGGCAAAAAAATTTTTCTATTGCATTTTTTTGCTTTGTTTCGATAAATGTTCCATTTTTAAAAGGTAATTGGGCTCTCATTATCGCGCACTCTTTGCATATATATAGTTCACTAGCACCGGTAGCAGCTGTTGAGAGAATCCGAGATTCTAGTCATGATTTTATTCTGTTCAAAAAGGCTCGAAGTGCGACTCGTAGGCTCTGAGAGGCGCCGGACCCGATGTGCTCACGAGGCGAAAAGCACTGGGTTCAAGTGTGGAAAGCGGTCGACCAGTGTTTAGGGAAGCAAAGTCGTCGGCGAGCCGCATTTCGTCCCCTTCTTTATGCGCGTCTGCCTCCTCTCCGCCGTCGCCAACCACCTCGCGTTTTTTTTTCCCGTCGCTTGTGGTCTTGCCCTAGTCGAGCCTCTCCGCACTCCCTACTCTCGTTTTTGCCGCACCGACATTTTGCCATGAATAGATTCCTTTATGTTGTATTGCCAACATGCGAAAAAAAAAATCAAAACTTTTTTTTTTCCCATGGAATGCCTTTTTCGCAAGACTTTTTGGTCTTTTTTGGGTGTACATTTGTTTCGTTGGTCTCTGCGATATAATATTCGTGAGAAATTTCTTGCATTTCGATATTTTTTTTGCATTAGGTAAGATGCTTAATTAACAACTTTGTCTATGAAACCTCTTAGGACTTTGATAATTCAACTTTTCGCAACTTGGAAAAAGTTCAAGAAACAGAAGATCAATTCCAAGCAGAAAGCAGAGAGATTTTATTTTTTTGTGTTTCTCTTATTTTGATTTTAAAAAAACTTAAAGAGTTCCAGAAAATTTGTCAAGAGATGTCTGAAACATATTATACTTTTATCAAGCTCTCAGAGTTTGCTTTTTCATTTCCCTGAATTTTTCTGCAAAGAAAATGACTGCGGGAAATGCACTTTGAAAGTTCAGTTTTCCAAAATTGAGAGAGGCTGGGACTAAAAAAAGATCGATTGTTTTTTTGGCCATGTAGTTTTTCAATTTTGTCTTTTGTAAAGTTTCTCAAGTTTCTGGAGCCGACTAAGAAATTTCGTTTGACTAATAAGAAACATTTCAAGTTCAATTTATTGAATTAGTGGCTGAGGCCAGGAAAAATCAAAGACTTTCATTTTAGTTGGTTGAATGAATTCTTTAACTTCAGTTTTTTTTTCTGTAAGTTGATTTATTCCTAGTTAAACGGTTTTTGTTCTGTGACGAGAATAAAAATCGATGAATTGTACTAGAAATTTTCCTTGTTTTCCTTTTCTTTTTCCAAGAAATTTAGGAAAGATTCAACGCTTTGAAACTAATTTTATCTTTGTTGAGGAGAAATTCTTGTATGTTTTGTAATGGTGGACATTCCTTCGTCGCCGTCTTTGCCATTTCTTTTCTTTGGAATTCCTTCAAACTCCGTTATTTTCCAATTTCTCAGTTTCATCGAAGTTTTTTTCAGATGTTTCCGAACTTTTCGTCAAAATGGGCGATTGCTTGGAGAGGATGGCCCGCAGTGAGCCCGACAAAAGCCTCGCAAGGACCTTGGGCCGAGGAGCCGACACCATGTTTTTCCTCAAAAAGGTTCATTTTCAACTTTTCATTCTGGCTACGGTAGAACATTCCAACTTATTTTCTAAATTCAGATTTTTTTTGTCGATTTTTTTTTTGCTGTTTTTTGTCGAGACTGTATGAAAATTAAGGGAAAGGAAAAAATCTCTAATCAACTTTTTTGGAATCGAAACTTTGTTTTTTTAAACGTATTTTTTTCCTTGATGGCTTCATTTGAAAGTATATTCATAAGATATTGATTTAGAGAATAAATATGCTGAAAAGGAAGCGTGAATTATTTTCAAAGCAAATATTTCAAAAAATTTATTTCGAAAAACGTAAATTCAAAAGTGTCTAAACTCACTCGGAAAAATTTCAAAGTTATTAATATTTTTCAGGTAGAAGCAAGGTCGGCCAACGACGAGGAATTGAAAATGTGCGACACGCTCATTTATTTCTCCAAAGACACCCAAGCGGCCAAGGTTTTCTTTGTTTTTCTTTCCTTCGATGATAAAAGTATTTTCAGGATCTTCTGTACCGTCGCATTCGTTGTTTGGCGAATTATGAAGCGGCGAACAAAAATTTGGAACGCGCAAGGGCCAAAAATAAGGAAATTCAGAAGGTTCCGAGAGGCTGTATTGTCATCGCAAAGGAATTATTTGCCAGGCTGAAACCGAGCAAGTGGAGGCTTGCAAAAAGTTCGAAGACATAAGTGCCTTGGCGAAAAACGAACTGAAGGATCTGAAGAAGCGGCGCGTGCAGGCGTTCAAGAAGAACCTCGGCGATTTGGCCGAGCTGGAGGTCAAACATGCCAATGTTCGTTTTCTATTGATTTTCAGGAGGGAAATTGATAAAATAATTAAGAGCATCGTAGTGGAGAATACAGCTGATTATTTGTTTATTGAATGAAAAGATTTTCCTTCCTACTTTTTTTTTATCAATTTCTATGCATTTCTGGGAGTTCTCTGGAACAAATGCTCAATAAAATCTATGAGCTTGGAATCTCATAGTATCTGATGTGCTTAGCGTTTATTTACGTTTACCTCTTTTTTTATTTCTTTTTGTTTTCAAAATTTAGCGTTTATTCCGAAAAGAAAGAAAGAAAAAAGAGGATTGGTTACTTTCAAACGGTTTCAAATAGATAAAAAAAAAAGAAATCATAGATCAATGAAAGTAATAAAATTATTTTTTGACTTTTCTCTGGAAATGTCACAATTTTTATCTCATTTTCCATCACCACATGAAAAAAATGAACAATTCGAACAATTTGAGCTTTTTATCTTGAAAGAAGACCTTTCCAGAACTCTGATAAAACTGTCATTTGATCTTTTTCAGGAACTTTTCTTAATATTAATTTTCTTTTTCCAGGCCCAAGTCAACCTTCTGCAGGAGTTCATCGCTAAACTCAAAGAATGATTTTTTTTTTTTGTCTTTTCATAAAACTAAACTTTTTTATCTTCTCTAATTTATTCTATTTATTTGTAAATATGACATTGCCTCATCGACGAGAGATAATATTCATTATGACTTATGTTTTTTTAGGTTCTTTTTTTCTTACATTTTTTTAAACGTTTTCAGAGATTTCCTATGTGTAGAATGATACCTGTGATAGTTTCCCGGTCGTAATCTTTTTTTTTTTGTGATTTTTCATCCGGAATGCTCCTTTTTTATCATTTTCCACTATCTACTAACTCGATTTCGCTCGCGCGGGGTTGATGTCGAGCATTATGTGAATAAATTATCGCCATTGTGTGTGGAGACATTCAATTTTACGTGGTTTTCAACCACCAAGTTACGTTTCGAACCTTCCTATTTCTATTTTCTTTCCCCAATTTTTTCTCTATTCTGACAAGTTTTTTCTTCTTGACATTTTGCCTATTTTATTACTACTACCAAGGTTCCAAGATTGATTTTCGCTTTGTTTTTCGCCCACCAGAAAACAGTGATGTCATTTTGATGCGATAAGACCGCGAAGGTTTCTTTTTTTGGGTTGATAACCTTTCGGTTAGTTGATGTAAACCGTTGAGAGACGAAAAAAGATCACCTTTTTTTGCGAAATCTATTTCGGGAGATTAAAAATAAAAATATAATTTAGATAGTTTTTTTCAGATGAGCTAATAGAAAAAAAGATTAAGATTTATTTTCGAAGAGATATAGTTGCTTGAATCAATATCTGCGAATAGTAGAGCTTTGCCTCTTGAGAATTGTTTTGAATAGTTTGTAATCCTGCTTTTCATCTCCTTCATATGCTTCAAAAGAAAATCCTATTAACGGAGTATTTTTGAAACGAATGCATTCATTTTTAATTTCAAGGACAATCTGAGAAACTCTTGAGATTCTTGTTTAGATGTTCAATTTTTTTGTTTTTTCAATACTCCCTTGGACAGAGAAGACGAATCATTTCATTCAAAAAATTTGATAGGAGTTATGCCGTGTTCAAAGTAATTTCCGCGAAATGCGAAATTGTCTCTGACCCTCCAAAATTTAGTTATCTTTCTCTTTCTCTGACGGCTATTTTGAATTTCGCGGAATCACTTTGAACACGGCATTAGAGTGAAGTTGTTTTTTTTTTAAAGCCAGACTGTAGAGAATTATCTAAAATAGTACTCATAATTTGAGCTCATGAAGTTTCCAAATTTCTAAAAAAAAAAAATTTTTTTTTAATTTTTGGATCTTCCACCTTCTTTCAGCGATTCAAAGATTAGAGAACTGTTTCAACGTTTCACGTGCTTTTTTTTGGAATGAGTTAGTAATCAGCCTAACTAATTTTATCAGATAATCGAATAGTAAAGTCGAAGCGAAATTTTTAAAGTTTCGGTCAACAGGTAATTAGGTTCAGAGAATAGTGAATCTTCTCTCACTTTTTTAGAATAGATTCAAAAAAGTTAGCAATAATTTTTGGTACAACTTGATTTTGGCCAAAAACCGAATAATGACCGCATCGCGTTTTTTTTTCTTTTTCCTTGCTCCGCTTCTCGAATGCCGGCGTTCACGTGTTTCATATCACGTGTGATAGCGTTTTATTTCGATTTGGTCACCCAGCATACAGACTCCATCTGTGTTTTTTCGGGCAGTGGAACTCAGCGATGAGTATGACGAGTTCGACTGACGGTGACGGGTTGGGATCGAGCGGCGTGAGTAGCGTGGCCGCCGTGGCCGCCGCTGCCGCCTCCGCCGCATCTTCGACCGGCGCCTGGCCCCACGGCAAGGAGAACTATCGGCTCGACGACCCCGTCGGTATCGGCGCCACGGCCACCGTTCACGGCGTGAGTTTCGAAATCCCAGTTGAACATATTCAGTAGACGTGTATGGAAACTTCTCGACTAGATAGGCGACGGAGATTAAAAAGAGCTGAGCGTTGCGTACGCGACGCGGCTTTTGGCGGGAAACTCGATGTCAAACAACATTCACTTGTCTTTATGATAGTTCGTCATTTTTTTCAAAAGTTTTAATGGTTCGCCATCAGAAATTGAGTTAGATGAACATAAGAATGATAGATTCATTTTACTTGGAATTTTTTCTACAATTTCAATTGGCCTCGAAATTTCAGAAAGCCGCGTCGCGTATAATTAAAATCAAAAATTCTGATGTGAAAATATAGAAAAAAAGCTTTCAACTTTGAAAGTTCACTCAAAAAGTCTCATGCTGCAGTTCCTATATTTTTTAATGATAAATGTTGAGAGAATTCTTATAAAATAAGCTTTTAAAAATTTTCAGAAAACGGTCACGAACCTATTTCAATCTTCAATGGTGATATGAGATCTTTGACTTAAAATTACAGTTCATACGTTTGAAATGTTCAAAATGATGAACGCGCTCCTAATTTCAATTGAAACTTGAAATAATCGATAGAAGAAGAAATGGCAGAATCTTTTATTAATAAAGGCTTCTCATGAAACTTTGTTATCATCCCTCTCTGTTTCTTTTGCGCCGTGAGAAAGTTTTTTTTTTGCATTACAAAAAGATAGTATGTCGCTAAAGTGTGGGAGAAGGCGTGAGAAGTCAGACAAAGGCCAAGCACTTTTCAAAATCTCACTTCCTGTTTCTATGGAAGTCTTCAAAACATACTCTAGTTTTCAAGATATCAATATTTGTGATATTACGAAACGATAAAAAATCTTTCTAGACTGTTCAAAATTTTTTTCGGGCTTTCAAAGAAGCAGAGACAAACTTCAATGAAATTTTTAAGGTGAAATTTTTGAATTTTATTTATATATTTATATCTTTCAAGCTTTTTATGCTCGAAAAACCTGAGAAATGTTTTTCATTAAAATGATTTCACTTTTTACCGAAAGAACAATAACATTAATATTTTTTCTCGTCTTAGAAGAAATTTGTTGCCATTTCAGGCTCTTTGTGTTCCGAGGAACGAAAGATGTGCAATAAAGTGTATCAATCTGGAGAAATGCCAAACTTCTGTCGATGAACTGAGTCATGAGATTCAGGTATGGGTATTCGGTGGTATGAAAAAAAGACCAGCGAAAATTCAAACGGCGACTTTTCCGTTTTTTTCGTATTGCTAGGGAACTTTCCGACGGCCACCTTTCCGACAAAACTTTTCCGACTTTTTTCCCTCATAGTTTTCAATTTTTAAAACATCTATAAACATTTTTTTTCCCATTTTTTTTGTGTTTTAATCATGAACCAACCACCTACTTTATATAGGAAGATTTAAAACGAAGAGTTCATCGAGAAAAAACGTCGGAAAAAGATTCGTCGGAAAGTTCCCTAGCGATATGAAAAAATCGGAAAAGTTGTCGTTTGAATTTTCGCTGGTGTTTTTTTTCATACCACCGGGTATTCAGTCAGAGAAGATTCCTTTTTTTGTGATTCAGGCGATGTCGCAGTGTTCTCATCCGAACGTCGTCAGTTATTACACGTCTTTCGTGGTCAACGAAGAACTGTGGGTAGTGATGCGACTTCTGAACTGCGGCTCGATGCTCGACATCCTCAAGAGGAAAGTCAAGGTTCTTGGGAGTCTTCGGCAGGACCTTAAGGGAGTATTCTCAGGCGATCGGCAAGGAACAGGCCATGTTCGGCGTCCTCGACGAGGTTTCCATCGCGACGGTTCTCCGCGAGGTCCTCAAAGGCCTCGATTATTTCCACAGCAGCGGCCAGATTCATCGAGATATCAAGGTCCAATGATTTCCGTCTTTTGAATTTTTGTTTGTCGTCTTTTTTCGGATGAAGATCTGAAATTTTAGAGGTCTTGTTTTGTCTTTTTAAGACCGTCTTCAAGGTGATTTCCGCGAAATTCAAAAAACCCCTGACTCTACAGAGTTTAATTATCTTTTTCTTTCTCTGATGGCTTTTTGAATTTCACGGAGTCATTTCGAACAACGCATGAAAATAATACATGTCTTACTAGCTTACTAAGAAGATATTTCTTCAAAAAAATTTCATTTGTTGTTCATGCGAAAAGTCGCAAAGGCTATGAATAGTTGAAATTTCACGCACAATTTCCATCAATTTATATTTTTCTGATACTTAGCTGTTTTTTTTAGGTTTTGTGACATGAGTTTTGAAAATGCTTCTATAAAATTCTTGCCCTCTCTTTTTTTGATCCAACTTTCTTTCAGTTTAAGACAGTCCCTGATTTTTCAAACAAGTTTAAAATACACGTTAGTCTTGGTAAGATTGGAGAGTACGGTTATAGGCTGGAAACATTCTGTTGGCTGACGACGGGACGATCCAAATAGCCGACTTCGGAGTCTCTGGATGGCTGGCGTCTTCTGGCGGCGACCTCTCTCGCCAGGTTTTTTTTCTTTTCCTCCGCATGTTTAACTGATTTTTCCATTGTTAAGAGAGTCCGACATACATTCGTAGGAACACCTTGCTGGTAAGAATTCCTTGCCTTTTTCGCTTCTTTCAATAAGATTTCGGTTTTTAGGATGGCGCCCGAGGTGATGGAGCAGGTCCAGGGCTACGACTTCAAGGCCGACATCTGGAGTCTCGGAATTTTGGCCATAGAATTGGCCACCGGCACTGCTCCGTACCACAAGTATCCCCCGATGAAGGTTGATTTTTGGTTGAAGTCGCGATTGGGATGAGCGAAAGCTAGGTGCCATCTTGTTTTCGGTGTTTAATCGCGTTTTGTTCGATTTTGATTGTCTATATGCACCGATTTGTTAGAATAGGCTGAAATTTCAGAACTTTAACGCTTTTAAGACGGAATGAGAGTTTTATTCCTATTTTTCATTCATAAAACATTTCAAAATTGAAACTTTTGAAAAAATTCGAGTTGCTAGTAATGGGAAGAGGTCTGTAAAATTTGATTTTCAAGAATTAAACTGCGATCGGATAACATGAAAGTTCTGGAAAAAACTTTTTTTTTGTGAGCGAACTTTTTGGCGCTTCTTCGAGCACTTTTAGAAGTTCGAATTTATTTTTCTTTTTTGTTGAACACGTTGAAGCAGTCTTCAGGTCTTGATGCTGACCCTCCAGAACGATCCGCCAAACTTGGAAACTAATGCTGAACGAAAAGATCAGTACAAAGCGTATGGAAAATCTTTCAGAACACTTATTCGCGATTGTCTACAAGTTTGAATCAATTTCTATCTGAAGTTCTCTCAAAGACTGAAATTCCAGAAAGATCCAGTGAAAAGGCCGACGGCTGCCGAACTTCTCAAGTATTCCTTCTTCAAGAAGGCCAAAGACAAGAAGTATCTCGTCCACACGTTGATCGAGAATCTCGCCTCGGTCCCCGTCATCAGCCATCATAGCACCAAAAAGGTATTTAATGCTGGAAACTTCGATTTCCATTACTTCATCTCTCTGTTGCAAAGATAAACCTATTGATTAACTTTTCTCTAGGAAAATTAAAACTGAAGAAAATGCTTTCCAACTTTTTAAATATCTTTTTTCTTCCCCCTGCCTTGTTGATTACTTTCAATTTTGCTTTTCTGTTCATTTCTGTTTTATTCATAGCTTGGAAAGTCCATTTTTCGTACTATTATTTCTTCCCAAAAAATTTAATCATTTTTTTTTTGTTTCTTACGATAAATAAGATCCCAAACGTTCCCACAAAAGTTCGTCCCAAGAATGAATTGCCTGCGAAATAAAGTAGAACTATGAATGGTCGGTTCATAAAAAGGACACGGTTTTGTCATTTTCTTATCGAATTCATTAGAAACTCTTCAAAAGGAGTGAAGTTTTGCTCGAAAATTCCGCTTTGAACTGGAAGTTTTCAGGTTGCCTCAGGGAAACTGCGGAAAGACAAAGACGGAAACTGGGAGTTTGAGTACGACTCCCCCGCAGGAACCGACAGCAGCGACGAGGACGAGGACAAGCCAGAAAGACCCCGCAAATCCGACGCCGATAGCTCCGGAAACGACTCCGGAATCAACCAGGGCGAGACTCTCAACTTGGTATCGCTTTCGTTTTTTCTTCTTTTCATGTGTTTTTTGTGTTGATTTTCGCTCAAATAACCATTATCGAGAGTTAACTTAATTCAAGAAAAAGGGTTTTTAAAAGAGTATTCTCGAAATAAATGAAGGAAATAGTTATTCAAAACGTTTTCAGGTGCTCCGTGTGAGAAATCAACAGCGCGAACTTAACGATATCAAGTTTGACTACACGAAATCGGCAGACACTGGTTATTTTTCTTATTTTTCAGAACTTTAAAAGATTTTTTCTGTTTCGCAGTTTGCTTTGAAGAGACTTTTAAGACTTTATTTGCTGGAATTTTTTTTTTCTGTAATTAAGAGATTTTTCTTTCTGAAACTGTTTGATCGGTTGATTATCAAGTTCTTTTTTTCTTATAAAAACTCTTCTACTTCATAAATCTTTCTGATGGTTTCAAAGTGTCTTCACTATGTAGAGTATTCTAATTTCGGTTCAGAAACGTAGCTTGCCAGTGCAAATTCGTGAAGTTATTAGAAAGCGAAACATAAAAGTAGAAAACGCGCTCGTGTCCTAGCACCGTGTTGGGAGAAACTGTCTCATTTAATAGTTGATGTGTGAAAAATTGTTCGTGTTCAGTCGACGGAATCGCACACGAACTGGTGACGGCGGAGCTGATCGACTGTCACGACCTCGTGATCGTGGCGGCCAACCTGCAGAAGTTGATCGCGTTCGCCGAGGCGAAAAGCGACAAACGCTCCATAACGTTTGCCCTCAACTCGGGCGTCGCTCCCAATGAGGCCAGATTTGTTTCCTCTTTAAGAAAACTGTCCTTTTCCCTCTTTCAATATTTTGCTGTCGAAGTCGATAACTTTCAGGAACATCATCAAAAACTTAAAGACAACTGTTTTTTTTTCAATTTAGAAGGTTGTAACTCATTCAACGCAAGCTCATCTGAAAATTCAACTATCAGCGGAATTTCGAAAAATCTGTAAAGTTTAATTATAATGAGTTCGCAGCTTAAAATTTATTATCGCGAATAAATTTTTTTTTCTTTTCAGATTCCTGACGAGCGGACGTTAACAGGATTCGCCCAAATTTCGCTGCTTGACTGAGAATATCATTTTTGTTTTTTGGCTTCTTTTTTTCCCTGCTCACGTTCTTTCCGTTTTTTGTCGGTTGTCTGTCAATCCATGACGAGTTGCTTTGGACTTGTCGCTTAGCTTTACCCTGATTATTTAGGTTAAATGATTTTTTCGCCGATTTCATTTCATTTCCCATTAAATTTTAAGTGCTCTTTACTAATGGTTATGGTTTCTTATTGCTGGTCTTATGTTTCACGTTACTTTCATATTTTATTACAATGATGTTATTGCATTGCGCTTTGTGTGCATAGGAAATTTTTCACTTGCTTTGTAATAGAACTCACGTCTAATTTTGGTGGTCTTATTCTTTTTCTCGTCTTCTCCCCCAAAATAATGATTGTTTATTTCTACTCATTTTAGAATCCCAACAGTAAGACTACGAAGTAATTCACATAGTTCCGCACATAGTTTTTTATAAAATGGGTTTATATCACATTCTCTTTTTCATCCCATGAAACATTTGATCAAAATAAATTTTATTTTCTCTATGCTCTCAACTTTCGGAATAGATTTTTATTGTTGGCAACAAAGAAAAAACTTTTTTTTGAAAATGGGGCTTAGGAAACTTGAATGAAAGAAGCTTCGAGGATAATTGAAAAACAAATTTTTTATAATGTGAATTTCTTGCATTGAGACTTCAAGTAAAATTGAAAATCCCTCGGTTTTTAGCTGCTTATGTTCTGATGTGAGGTAGTTTTAATTTTCCTCACAAAATATCTATTCATCAACCTACAAATTTAATTATTCTTTGATTATAAACGAGTGAAATGAAAAATTTTGATTTTTTTGGAAACTTATTCATTCAATTTTTCAAATTTTTTTAGTTTGTAAGTCAAAAACGTATTATAGTCTGCTCGTATTTTTAATGTCACGTGCAATGACGTCCTCCACAAACACTATGTGGATGGCTCGCTCTCTGATTGGTTTATCGCACCATTAGGGGTGGAGCTTGAGCGAAGACTTGACATTCAAAATCTGAACAAACTATAATTAAACCTAACCACGCATTCTTAAGACAGTGCTACTATTGTCAATATATTAGGAGTCAGGAAATTTTTTGTTTTTTTTTGTAATTTATAAAGGACCTATTTCTCAAGTATACAAGATAATTTACGTCACAAAAAAGTACGCAAGTTTTTATTTTATTACCGAAAAATCGATCTAAACTACCGTACTACGACCGGCCGCCTTTGACAGGCGAAAAGTTATAACTATAACTTTTATACACACTAAGAATAACTGACGAGATAAAAAGCGCCGGTAATTATCACCCATTATATGTGAACACTTCGCAATAGGGCGCACTTGGTTTTACGCATTTTTCGAGGAAATCCAAATTATTTCTATCTCACCTCGCTTTTTCTGAGTTTTTCATTTGTTTTTATGAATTATAATTAAATAACAGGGTGGGGAATACCTACTGCGACGAAAGGAAAGGAGATACCGTTCGCGTAAAAAATTTCCAAAACCGAGAAAATTCTCAATGAGACCGTGTATAGTCAATGTTTCCCGACTTGAAAGGCAAGGGAGGCGGGGCAGGGGGCAGGACGCGTAGCGTGTGCGTTCGCGGTTCTTGGCACGTGTTCAATTTAACCGCTATCTACTCTTTGAAAAGCCCGTTTTTTTCGCTTTTTTCATTCCTTTTTTTCAATTATTTATTGATTATGTTCATGTGTGCGTTAAAAAATAGCAGAAAACATTGAAAAAGAGCGGTTACCGAGCTTTTTAAATTTAAAAAAAAAAAAAGTCGGCGACAATTGAATTGAACACGTGCCAAGAACCGCGTACGCACACGCTACGTGTCCCGCCCCTTGCCCCGCCTCCGTCGCCTTTCAAGTCGGGAAACATTGACTATAGTCACCATCATGGTTATACGGGAACCTGCCCGTAAGACTATCGGCCCTTCGCCATTTTCTAAGCCCGGCCTTAGTTTGGCCTTAGGGAGTTCTCAAATAAAGAAGAACGGGCTCAAATTTTCTTCAAGTCGAATGTCAAGCTTTTTTACAACAGAAGCCTGCGCAAACCTTTTCTCAAAAATAAGGCCCTAAGTCCGGGCGCTCGGCCTGACGCACAAGCCTGATCATCGTTAATAATAACTGTCGAAATGAAGACGATATTGCTGACGCTACATTGACTAACTCGCAAAAATCGCTCTGTCACCGCGCGAGTCTCGAATTTTGGAAGTTTTCATTGCGTGATAAAAGCGAGAGGAGTGCGAGATAGCGCAGAGAAAACGCGAGACCCGCTCGAGAACATCGTTTTACTTTGATACTTTGATGGACCTTCGCTGATGTGCTCAGTGCTGACCATACTTCCTCAATATGCTTTTGTTTCATGCCGCGATCATCGAATTTCGACCAGGTCGGCTGAGCACATTGCGAGTTCGTCAGATGTACCGTCAGAGCGAATTCCTCTCGTGCAAGACTCGGAAGTTATCTTTATTGGCACAAAATACTAGAACATGTTCCAAAAAAATTTTGATCGCAAGTTTTAAAAAAATCACTTAAATATATAGAATATAGTCGTCAATGTTAACGTTCAATAGAATGTTCGTTCGATTTTTTTCAAACAGTTTACCTAATTTTAAACATATAAAACGGGGTCTTGCTTTTTTCCAGTTTACTCAAAATTTTGTGTGAAGGTTCAGTGTAAGCCCTGTAAACGTACACACCAGTTTTCCGAGCCATTTTGAGGCTCTCTTCTCGAAACTTGTGGCAAAATTGATCTCAATCATCTAGGTGTCGCAAAAATTCGTTTGCTACGACATCTTCGAGCTTTAGCACGTGCCACAGAATATTTTTTTATTTCAAAGTTCATGAAGTGGACTTACCCTCCTGTTATTTAATTATAAATCATAAAAACAAATGAAAAACAAATGAAAAACTCAGAAAAAGCGAGGTGAGATAGAAATAATTTGGATTTCCTCGAAATATGCGTAAAACCAAGTGCGCCCTATTGCGAAGTGTTCACATATAATGGGTGATAATTACCGGCGCTTCGAGATAAACGCGAGCTCGGTGGCGGTACATTGACTTACTCGCAAAAATGTCGCTTTTTTCTAGGCGCGACCCCGCATTTCTCTCGGCGCGACCTCGCATTTTTCTCGGCGCCATCTCGCATTTATCTTGCATTTCGGAAATTTTCAAATTGCGAGAGAAATGCGAGCTCGCGCCTAGAAAAGTGCGAGCTGGCGCCCAGAAAAATGCGAGACCGGCGCGAGAAAAAAAGCGAGATGTTTGCGAGCTCGTCAATGTACCGCCAGTGTCTCGCGTTTATCTCGGCAGTTATTCTTAGTGCATGTGTTTACATAGAAAATTCACAATCACAGTGGAAAATCAATAAGACTTTGTGCAGCAGTGTGACTAGCTATTCTTTTCAGTTTTCAAAGATGATATTATGTACAAATCAAAGCCTAAAATGATTCGAAACGATAAAAGAGCGATTGAGAATGTTTGTGCACTTGGCCTGTTGTGAACTGGGAGAGCGCGCCGCGTGTCGCGTCGCGGTCATGTGGGAAGCTGGAAAGAAATGTGACATCACAAAATTTCGATAGCCTAGGCGACGCTCGTCGTTTTTTTTCTCTTTTCCACCGCCTTTCGAAATAAAATTTTCTGCGCAGATTGTCACGTGAAACATCTCGTTTTCAGTCGATTGCTTTCTTTATTTCTTTTTGCAATTACATTTATTACAGCCTTATTTTCAATATTTTCCGTGTTTTGATAATCTACTTGCAGAGTAATATGTTCTAAGCTACCAGGAATGAATGGTTCGTTGGTCGATCGAGAAAACAGTGTTAGTGAGGTAAATACTTTGCTTCAAATTGATCATTTTCCTTTACGAATGATATTTTTTACACTATATTTATTAATTTGTTTTCATTTTGTGGTGAGCTCACAGATTCGGGAGATTTAATTAGATAAATATCACCGTTGTTTCAAACAGTATTTTTAAATAAGAATTTCGGTTAAATGAATTTTTGAATTAGTTTTTTCAAAAAAGAAATCTCTAGCAAACAAGACAATATACGGATTTCTATGAGGCAAAATTATTCCAGAAATACTACACCGGCTCGACTAATGGCAGGCATTCCCCAATGCATCGCAAAAGGCGACGTGACTCGAGTAATGTGGGTTTTCTTTTGATACCGATTTTTTTTATTTCTAAGTTTTTTACTAGCTAATATTAGCAGGCTCACAGTCTATAAAGAATTCACTTTTGATTGATCTATAAAGGTAAATTTGTCTATACTACCGTCGAATTAACATTCAGTCAGTTTTTATAAGGAAGTTCGGAAAGACCAATTTTTTCAAACATGATATACGGTCATACATGTGTGGGCCGAGAATTTCCAGTCGATCTCCTTTTTTCAAAATATCAATTTACAAAAGGCGCCCTACTTTCAATTTCAAAATGTTTCAGTCGTCGTCTTCGCCTTACGAGGTGATAAGCGCAAGATCCGAACAGAATGGATCGACCAAACTGGTAAAATATTTGAATCTCATGGTTATTGATCATTTTCTAAACTCTAGAAAATATCGCCGTCTGAATCCAGTCCGATTCTGTCGCCAAGCAGTTCTGGGGGTTTTCCGACGTCTCCGAACTCTTCTAGCTCTGCGACTCCTGTTTGTCCCCCTCCGCCGCCACCACCGCGAAGGTTTTCCTCTTTTTTTTTCTTTTTCCAAAAGAGTTTTTTTTAGGTTACAAGAGCCGGCATCGCTCGAAGTACCAAGGTTGGTTTATTTTTGTTTTCACTCACTTTCTTTTTTTTTAATACATGTTAAACTTGGTGTTTATATAGCCTTTTGGCACTTTTTTGTATCAAAGTTTTCTGCGAGTGTGATTCAGCGCAGGTAAAAGCTAAAAAATGTTACCAATAACGAATAAATTTCAACGAAAAACGTAAATACGCGATTTTTTAAAATAGTTGTTTAAACTACGTTCCAATATCATCTCTTATTTTTTTCAACGGAAAAAGTTTTTTAAGGATGATTTAGATGCAAATAAGTGACACGAAAAAAAATCAAAGAAAGTAAAATATTTCCACAGCTGGTTATTTTTCGATTAACTGATGCAGAATTTTGAAACTGAGCTTTGTCGAAAAAGTCCTTTCGACGCTTAGTGAAATCTTTAAATTCTTCCTTTCTTTTTGATGTTAAGATTTTCCACATGAAACTCGACGAAATTTTTACCTTTATTCCAATTTTTTTGTAAGGGGCGTAGTTTTGACAGTTAAGCTGGATAATTTTTTTCATCAAATTTTTCAAGATTCACTATATAATTATAAAATTGAAGGAAACTAACTTCAAAAACCTAACCTGTTTGATGATTATAAAGTAAGAAGATTCCAATTTGGGTGTTGACGATTCAGATATATTTTAATGAGAATAAGATTTTCGATCTTGCTGAGATAATGGAACATCAAAAATGGATCAAAGTGCGTGTAGGGGAGATATCAGATGCGGTTTTGTTATGTTTGGAGGCCGTCGTAGGAAGAAGAAGGAGAGAAACGATGGTTGGGTTGTATTAAAGAGGTCACCGCGGGCCGAAGACGCCGCCGATGCCTTGCGAAGAGGAAGAAGACGTGCGCGACTGGGGCGAAGAGCCGTTCGGCGTCGACGACTGCGTTCCTCCGCCGCCGCCGCCTCCGGACCTGCTCGCCGAGCCCATCTCCAACATCTACATGTCGCAGGACCACTACATGTAACCCTTTTCATATTCTTTTCAAGTACTTCTTCCTAAATTAGGGAAATCTCAAGTTCTTCTAATATTTCCAGAGAGGATCTTTTCATTTTATTGATTTTATCATGTAGTAATGCTTTAAAAAACATTTCTCTGAAATTAGCAATACAACTCAGTAGTTTTAAGCATGAAGAAAGTTGTATCTTAGCTCGTTAAGGAGTTTTCGTCAGTTTGTGTGATATTCCTTACGAATTTCAGAACAAAGCTGAAATATGTTTTTCGCTTCGAAACTTCTAGGAAATTAGTCCATTCTTTCAAAAAAAAAACCTAGCATGATCTTTGGAAAATGCTGTGAACATCACCCTGATCTTCGAAACGTATATTTCACGACTGAATATTTTTCAGGATGCAATATCCTCCGCCGTATGCGTACCATCCCATGTACTACAACGGCATGATGTCGATAGGACCGCCACGTTAGTTTTTTTATTCATTTCCTGATTTTTGCGGTGGTTTTTTTAATCTATTTTTATTTTTGGCTTTTCATTAATAGGAATTAAAAATCTATTTAAAAATTTGTTAGTTTTACTTTTCACGGTATTAATGTAAAGAACGTTTTTCAGTATAGTTTATTAGTAGATTATTTATCCATAAATCAAAAAGCTGAGTTTATAAATTTTGAATTTTCTGAACTTTCCAAAAATTATTGATAATTCACTTAAATGAAAGTATAAAAAAATTTTTTTACCGAAGTCATTAAGAACATTAAGGTCATCGGGTTACAACTAAATTTATCCATTTACGGATCCAATACAGGATACTTTTCAACTTGATTTTCAAAGATTTTCGATTGATTTTTTCAGCAATGGGTGTACCTATGCCAAATGGTCATTCTTCCCATGTTGCGCCGGCGGTGAAGCTCATCATTCGAGACTGTTCGCCACCGCCGCCGCCACCTCCTCCGCCTCCTCTGCCAACAGTACATATCACTCTAGTTTTCCTTTTGAGTTTCTTTTTTCAGAAAAAAGTGGAAAGAAACGGAACGAGATGGAGTTCGGTGGTTCCGCCGCCACCGAAGCCGCCTCAGAACCTGGCCGATCCGCCGAAATCGCCCCCTCCGCCGCCGCCGCCGAAGAAGAGAATGGCTCTGGCCGAAGACGACATCGTCCGTCAGCTTCTGCACGACGCCCATCATCCCTCCTTTCCCGTCGCCAAACGAGAAGCTCCCAAGCTCGCCAAAAAAACGGATGTGAGCATTATTTCATGCTCTATGCATACTCATATATGGGTGTATCAAATAGTTTGGCCAGAAATCATTGAAATTTCAACTATTTTTGTTGCTTCACAGCTCAGAACTACCTTTTCAGTGTAATCTAGAATATAATTTTCCACAAAGTTCTTCACATATTTCTTCTGTTTACCTAATACCATCTTTTCAGGCTTCGAATGGTCGAGCGGAGGAAAAGAAGAAAATTGAACTGAAGAGGACAAAAACGGAAAAAACAACGACTGAAAAAGTTTTCATCATTGTTTGTGCATATACATTTGCTGATTATTTGAGGTTTCTGTTGCGGCAAACCTCATCAAAAAGCCGAAACTCGAAGAATCTTCTGTGGTTGAATCGGCAGCGGTTACTGTAGAGAAGACCACCACCACCGTCACTCAAGTCGCGACCGTCAAAAAGTGAGATATTTTTAGTGTTTTATTCTCAATGAATATACTTCAACTGAATATTTTTGTTAACCTGAATTTTCAATCTGTCTGCCGCCCGCAGTGAAGTGGATCAAATGGTTTTTTTCTAGGATTCCTAAGTAATCTTCAATAATTTTTTTTTCTTCAAACTTTTGTTCATTCATCGAACTCAACTGTGATTAAACCAACTTCTCGATTTCAGAGAAACGAATGGAAGAACAAGCCCTCCGAACAAAGAACCAAAGAAGCTGGGTCGGCCTCCTAAAAACGTGGATAAACCAAAAAAGCCTGAAGAAACAATGGAAAAAGAGGAGAAGAAAGTAAAGCGAGAAGAAGAAAAGAGCGAGAAGGAGGTCAAAAAAATGAAGAAGGAGAAGACTGAAAACGACAAGGATAAGCAAGAAAGCAAGAAGAAAGAACACAAGGAAAAGGAGCCGAAGGAGAAGGAACCGAAGGAAAAAGAAAACAAAGTGAAGGAGCCCAAAGAGAAAGAACATAAAGAGAGAGATCCCAAAGAAAAGTTGCAAAAGCAGAAAGATGGAGAGATCAGCAAACCGTCGCAAAAGGTATGTTTGAAAAGGATTCCATAAAAACATATGAAATTTCAGTCGTGTTCGGAGAGTCACAAGATTCGCGAAGAAAACTTCATCAAGCCGAAAAAAGAGCCGAAAGAAGAGCCGGAACACAGGGAAAAACATCCAAAAGTCTTTTCATGCAGTTCTCCGAACAAAGTTGAACCTTTCAGGTTTCTATTCTTGAGTTGGATTATGTTTATTTTTTTGTTTTGTATAATTTAGACCTAAAGAGAACTCGGAGAAAATAGTTGTGAAGGAAGAGCCGCTGGATTTCGATTCGCCCCAAAAATTAGAAAAGAAATCTTCTGGAAAGGATAAATTGCCGAAAATTTCTAGTAAGGTAAGCTTTTTTTTAACCATTTTCATTTGAAATAAATTTTTTTCAGTTCCGAAAGCTGATTCACATTGAGACGCATCCAAACGGAGGTGCCTCGATTTTGTCGGCGGATTGGGATCGAGTACAAAAGGAATTGGAAGAAGAAGATCTGTGAGTTCGAGGGAAGAGTGGAAGGAATTGTCAATTAGTTGTTTCTTCTGAAAATGTTGATTTTTGAAAGAATTTGCGGATCTTCGGGATTTCACGACTCGCCAAGTTTTTTTTTTCCAGGGAGAAGTTTGCGCGACAGTTCATCCGTCTTGGGTTGGCAGAGTCGAATAATGTCCCCATTTTTGTGGCGGGCATTTTGCAGAACGCTGCTGGCTACTTGGACGTGAGTACCGTTCTTTTTTTTTCAATAGAATGTTCCCCTTTTCAGGACGTTTTCGTGCATCTCTCGGAGAAGTACCCGACTCTCCCGGTCAAAGTTGGCTCTCTGACGAACAAACAGCTCGTCGAGACAATGTCCATGCGACAGTACCACGACCAAGTCATGGAAACCTGTCATCACGGCACTTTCAGGTACATTTTTGTTCAAATAAAAACGAAGTGAGAAGTTGAAATCAACACTCTTTCTCTCGCTAGAGGGCGTTAACGGAGATAGTTTCATATATGTTTTTATCTTTCGATTTTGAGTAATGCATTGGGTCGGGAAACTGTTATGAAAAAAAGTACTTTGCATATTCTTTTTTTATATGATAAATTTGAACGAAAAAAAATCAACTAAAAATGAAGTTCTGAGAATCAAATTTCGTTTTTCAAAAAATTTGCGCTTGAGCTCACAGAAACTATTTTTTGAGATTATCATTCAAAGTTTTTTTTTCGAGACAAAAATATGAATATATTGTGAAATATGTCTCATTATAAAAAAATTTTGTTTTGCTGCAGAAGCGGACCAATGCACTCTTTGTCGATGGTCGGAGCCAAACAGGAGGAATGTGGCGATCATTTCGCCGATTTGATCGCTCAGTTGGAATCTTCTCCCATTTTGTGCCCTCTTATGCCCTGGGGCGAGTGGTCTTCCATGAAGATGGGGGACGTCACCGAGAGCGACGACGGCCCCATCTACTGGGTCCGGCCTGGTGAACAGGTTCTTATTATTTTCTTCTTTTTTTTTTTGTTGGGTAATCTCCTTCTGCTGATCATACAACTTTGCAGTTTCGTGAAATGCTTTTTGCCTTTTCTTAGTTTCTCTATAGTTAAAATCAGAATCCGAATAAACAAAAAGTCACACGAGAATCGCGAAAGAAACTTTATTCACATAAGGATCTCTTTATTTACTCTTTTTCACTTTTTTTAAAAAAATAATAATTTGCATCTTTTTTTCCGTCAGATCACCTCTAAATATTTCATCGGCTTCAAAGAAATGAAAAAAATACTCAATGGAACTATAGAATTATTATAACAAAGTACAATCCCATTCAGTTGATTCTCCGACAAGAATTATCATCAGGACTTTCTTGCACGTTGATGAAATCATGATCAAAACGGTAGTGTAGTGAAAACTAAAAATTAGCTCCTAAATAAAATGGTTCCTTTCCTGCATAATAGTTTCACAACAAACAAAGTAAAGCGATAAGCTGAAAACGAATAGAAAGTTTTCCTTAAAAAGTCAACGGAATATGAATCATTTGTTTCTTTTTTTCTCGGTGTTGTTTAAAAATTTCAATAATTTTAGCTCATTCGAACTGATGAAGTCAAAGAGGAAAAAAACGGCGACGGGGAACTTCTTCTAATCGAAACACGAATCTCACAATTCGGTAAATTAATTTTTTTTCACATTGGAACAACGTTGAAGTTATCTTTTTTTTCAAATATGAAAAAGGTATAATGGATTTTTTCGTTCAAAAAAAGAATGCGGAAATATTATTTTTTTTTTTGTACTAGGCGCTGGGAATATTAATCATATTCAAAATGTTTCATTTTTTGTTTTAAATCATCTGCATGTAGTAGAAAAAAAGTTGGAAGCATGGTCTTACAGTCCTTTTACTCGTTCTTCTGCGCGTAGTTCATTCAGTTGCGTCTTGAAGAGCTCACAATGTAGCGGATGTTGTGGCCGATAACAACTATATTCTGAAAAATATTTGAATAAGTTTTTGAAAAGTTCAGTTTTTCCTGTTTCATTAATTCAAAAAAAACAATACTATTTCATATAAAATCGAGAATAAATTTCTCGAACTTCTTTATGGTTTGAAGATAATATTTCTTCAGACATTCTGAACGTCGAGAGCTTCTGTTTGAAGATCGGACGCCTTGCCACGCCGACCACGTCGGTGACGGTTTGGAACGGAAAACGACGGCCGCCGTTGGTATTCTCCAATCTATTCGATCTCCAAATGAGAAGTACTCCTTTTTGAACCTTCTCATCTTCATTTTTCACAATGTCCTCAGGTCAAAGACAAAAGAACAGCGAGAACGTCGGGCTGTGAAGGACGTCGTGACGTTCCACGCTGCCGACTTCGAGCGGATTGTCGACCGCTTGCAGTTGGATCTCTACGAACCGCCCATGTCCCAGGTATCCAACAATTCTCTGATTTGGAACTTTCGTTCAAAAATACGTGTTGAGACGTTTGAAATATAGTCTATTTTTCCCGACTTGAAAGGCGGGGAGGCAGAGAAGTGTAGGGGACATCGCTCTTTTCATTTTGAATTATTTATTGACTTTTTTTCATTTCTGCATCAAAAAAGGTAGAATAGACATAAAAAGAGCGGCGAACGAGTTTTTTTTTTAATAGTCGCTGGCGGTTCAAAGGAACTCGTGCCCAGAACCGCGTACCCACACGCTACGTGTCCCGCACACTTCTCTGCTTCCCTCGCCTTTCAAGTCGCGAAAAATTGACTATAGAATTTGATTTCTTTTTTTAGTTAAATAAAAAAGGCCATGAAAAGTTCTTAATGTTATTTTTGTGGAAATTTCTGTGTATTTGAACATGCCAAGGAGAACCATTTAAAAAAGATCATATGAAAATTTTGTTTTATTCTAGTCCCAAAAATAGTTTTGTTACCAATAAAAAATCCAAGATTTTTTTAGAAATGGTTGACGAGCTTTTGCGATTTTCGAGAACATGTTTTACTTCTGTTTAATTCTTCGAAAATTGATGGAATAGAAAATGAGCTTCATTATTCTCATTAAAACTCTCCTCGTGCCGAATTTCAATTTTCAGTGTGTACAATGGGTTGAAGAAGCGAAGCTGAATCAACTACGCAGAGATGGAATTCGGTACTCGAAATTCCAGGTAATCTTCTTTTTTTTTATAATACATGTGAACTTTTTTTCAAACTGATAATAATAAACTTCTCTAGAGAAAGCTATAAAAGAGTAGTTAAACCAGAAAATCGGGTTCGTGCTTTCAGCTACACGAAAACGACATTTATTTTCTGCCGCGTCGAATCGTCCACCAGTTTCGAACAATTTCGGCCTGTGCTTCTATTGCATGGCACGTCCGTCTCCAGCAGTACTATCTGGAAGACGAAACCGAAGAGAAACTTTGATTGATTTCTTTTAATTTTTTCCGCTAGCAATCAGCCAGAATAGAAGTTTTCCTTTCCGCAAAATTTATTTAGAGCCAATACAAATTAGAGATGACTTTCTATTTTCAGTTTTTGAATCGTTTACTGTAACATGGTATTTTCCTTTGTTTTGGTTGAATATTCAAGTGTCGAATAGCTTTGTTAATGTTTACATTTATCGGATATTGCTGATTCAGGACAATCTTTTCGTGTTCTGTTGTTGTTTTTTCTTCGACCTCCAACCTGGATCTCTACCTATGTATTTATATCCTCTCAAACTATTTATCTTTTGAACAGAGGTCTGGGCCCAGTTCGTGTAAAAACTTTTTTGAGACCGGTGGACAAACTTGTTGATTGTTAGAGTTATGCTTTACCACCAAATTCTTTCTCGTTCATGTTCCAAACTATCTTCCTTTCGTTTGCGTTTCGTGATCTCTAATCCTACCAAATTTACACCTCCAATTTTTTGCTCTGTTTTATCCCACCAAAACCTTAGAGATCACTTTGGAAACTTTTTTTTTACTTTTAAATGTTAATATTTGTTTGTTTTACTTCTTCGAGTTCAACTAGTCATGTCCTTAACGCTTGGTGGAGCTGATAACAATCGGTATAAAACCTATGTCTTTTTAATATATCCCGAAAATTGAACATAATAAAATTTTGCACCCGTTTTTGGCATTACTTTGTATGTAATTCATTCTGATCTAGTTCCGATAAAGATAATTACCAGCTTTTTGAGCGAAAAATATAAATTTTAAAAATGAAGTGCTCCAATTATTTCATTTTGTGAGCTCAAAGAGATTTCGCCGGAAAAGACGAATGTGCAAAAAATCGGTCTAAAAACAGAATTTTTTTTTTGTTATTAACATATCGTATGATAGTATTCACCGCTAGTTGAAATTGAAACAAACTATCGGCCTCTGGATCTCCATGATTAACGTTAAAGTTTTTTATAACAAAATTTTCTTCTTTGTAAAGGCTTTTTTTTAAACTTGGAATATCGGTGGATCAAGTATAATTACGCAGCTATATAAAATATCCATGAAACTTCTTATTGATAAAACAACGTTTTTCTTTTCTTTAGGACGAAAGACACTTAGCGTCGGGATCGCAACAAACAATTAGACTCCGAAGAAGTTCCATACTTATGAAACTTACACTGCTTTTCATATAGTCCAGTATAGGCCACTGTAAAAAATAAATGAAAAAAAGCTGCGGGCAGATCGCCAAGTCGCCTTAGATGTGCAGGTCAGCCTCCTCAATTATGCCTCCGCGGCGCGACGCGGACTTAACGCCATTGATTTTTTTTTGCTCCATAGACCTCTCGCCTTCTTTTGTCGCAGCTATTTTTCTTCAGTGCGTGCGTTGTTTTCTCATTTTTTTAAACTCGTTATTGAAGAATTTTTCTTTCTTATTTTTCTCATTCATCTAATTTCTTAAGATGTCCGACTCCTACGACGAGAAACCAATGCAGACTTCTGGTACAAAGCGTTCCCAGGAAAGCGGAGACGGCCCAGCTATGAAAAAGCAACATCTCGGCGACGATGAAGGGAGTGAGTTGCTTATTTGTTCTATTTCATTCAAATTTTTCTTTTTAAGCTGAAAATTTGGCCATCAAGATCCTTATCCCATCGGCAGCCGTCGGCGCTATTATTGGAAAAGGCGGCGAAGCTATGCGTTCGTTGAAAAACGACAACAATTGCCGTGTACAAATGAGCAAGAGCACTGAAACTTATCCAGGTCTTTTCAAATCGTTTTTCATTTTGGTTATAATACTTCAGGCACTAGCGAGCGCATATGTCTCGTGAAGGGAAGGCTGCAAAACGTACTTACTGTCATTGAAATAATTATGGATAAAATCCGGGAGAAGTGTGGTGACAGTAACGGAAATGATGCATTCGACCATAAAAACACCAGCCGTGGTAACGAAGTAAGTTTGAGCAAACAATGTTTTTGAAAAAAATTATGCCGTGTTTCAAGTGATTCCGCGAAATCCAAAGCAGCCGAAAGATTGAAAGAAAAAATAGTTTTGGATTCTGCGGAATTCACTTTGATCACCCCGTTACTTCCACAGCTGTATATCTATATGAACTATGTTGGAAATTAGTAGTTTCAATTGTATCAAACAAGTTTTCAGGTTAAAATTGTGATGCCAAACACATCAGCCGGTATGGTCATCGGAAAAGCCGGAGCCAACATAAAAGACATTCGTGAAACCTACTCATGTCAAATCCAAGTAACGTAACATTTCATTTTTTTTTAAACAAGATATATCAGGTCTTTCCCAAAGCTGGATCCAATGAAGCTAAGAGCTCTTTGGAGCGTATAGTCACTGTCGCACACGACGATCAATCGGTCAGCTACAGAGTTAAGATTTTTCGTTAACTTTATTCGTTTAGCAACTCATGCAAGCTACGGCTCGCGTTCTAGAGAAAGTTGCAGCTGATCCGCATCACAACAGCGAGATTTCCAAGGAGGATTTCGGCGGAAAGCAAAGTGTAATATTTCAAATTTATATATTATTTTTTTCAAAATTCGCGTTAAGTTCACTTCCGGCAACACTACCACCAGCACTCCTTTCACTTCTTCCTCGGCTTTCAACAACAGCAACACGTCGCAACCTGCGTTCGGACAAGCTCAAGCTTCGTTCAGTAACACAAGCTACGGCTATGGAAATGGTACAATGAAGTACAACCCCATGTCTGGTCTAGGAAACCAAGAGGTTCATCATTCATCTTTGTTTTCTTTCAAAACTTTTTTCAGCTCCTTTCTTTCCTCGACAACCTCCAGTCGACTCTTCGTACTTCTGGCTTCAATGAGTCGAGTGTCTCAGAAGTGATGCAAGCGATGCAGGTTTTGATACAGATAGTAATATATTTCCAAAAATATCTTCCCAGGTTCTCGCAAAGTACAACATCATGGGCCTCGGGTTAGGGCTCGGTGTTGCTGCAATGGCACAAATGAGAACGGGTCAAGAAACGGCTCAAATGCCGGCAAATCATGGCGCTGCTGGTTTTGGAGATGGATACTCCATTGGAGGAGCTGAACAGGTACGGCTTCGAAACTACAATTAACAGCTCCACTCGAAGCTCATATTTATTTTTTTCTATCTTTTTTTTAAAATTTAAAACGATCGTGCGTCAATATCATTTCATGTTATCCTTTTCTTCCTATGCATACTCAACTTTTTGATCTCATCTCTTTGGTCATCTTTTTCAAAATCTTTCCTTATGGTAATAGCCCACCGGTCGACGCACGACCGTGTTTGTAAAATCAACTTTTTTTTCTTTTCTTATCTTTTTTTTTCCTATGCCTAATCCTTTTTCAGCCATACTGGCGGCGATGAATCTCTCGATTTTGCTGCTTGACCATCGATTATGTAATGAGCTGTACGACCTCTCATTCGAACTGACCTTAGGTCTTTGTTTACTGTAATTCTCGCCCCAACCTTTTAATTGATCACCATTTAATAATTTCCAGTTTGTCACCATCATTTGTATTCGTTATCAACTTGCAACCTGATTAAACATTTGTTAATTTTTTTATCACTTCCTTCTTCCAAGAATTAATTTATTTCTTTCGTTAATAATAATGAATGAATCAGTTTATTTTTATCACAATGTAACTAACGACTTCTATCCTGAATTTTTAATGCTACGACGGGATCTGAACCAGCCTCTTGAAAAAAGCTCGGAACTCTGATTCTCACCACTTTTGCGGTTCCTGTAGATTTGGATAAAATTTGGATTGAAGCTTTCTCAGTTTAAAATCGTTCAAGTTGAAATCTTGTCGATATTTCGAACAATGGGAGTGAGGTCATCTATTCGCGCTCATCGATCTGCTTCTGAAACTAATTCCGTTTCTCTTCTAATATTTAGAAGAAAAGTCAATCTGTCCGTCTTTGGAATCATCCTACCTGAAAGAAAATGAAAAAAAAACTACTTGTAGGTTTTCCGGTGAGCAGCGACATGTCGAAATCGGCACGGCTTTCAGAAGCTGAAGAATGCGTCCGGAAAGCCGAAGAATGGTTTTATTCTCCATTTAATTCATATTTAAATATGAGGCTGTTTTTTCAGCATGAAAGTTTCGATGATAAAATTGAAGTTCAAACCTGACTATGACGGTGCGGCTTCAGCGTTGGAAAGAGCGTCCGTTTGCTACAGGTTCTTTTCTTCATTTCTAGTTGGACTATTACCCTGAACTTTGTTTGAGAAATGCCGGTGAGCACGGAAAAGCCGCTGCAATTTTACAACAAGCCGCTGACCATTACGAGAACAATCGCAATTTCTTCCATGCCGCGAAGTATGTAAAACTAACTGTATTTTCGTATAACATTCTCAGAGCGCGCGAAGGAAGTGCTATGTTGCTGCGAGAGGCCGGAAAAACCGACGAGGCTTTCCCACTGTTTGACAGAGCAATTGATGGATATGCAGAAGCAGGATCTCTCGACACGGCAGCCATGACCGTCGAGAAAGCTGCCGACATCATCAAGCAACAGAACCCCGAAAAGGCCATTCAGGTTTCTTTCCATCGTTTATTTTTAAATTAAAAAGTCAGTGCCACGTCTCCTTTCTCAATTTTTTTGCAACCTTCTGTGAAATTTTCATCCAGTAGATAATTGTTAATTGTGAAGCGAGATTGTACTTTTTCTCGGTTAATAACCTTTTTGCTGAAACTAGACTAATAGCGGGCTGATACTTTATCATTCAAATTTTCATGTTTCAAAAAAATAATTTCAACAAGATCCCACCACTAGTTGGGTGATGATTTCATTATAAAAGTTTGAAGCGAAAAAAAAACCGATCAGAAACATATTTTGTTGAACCAAGTATATTAAGTTTCTTAAACTACTGTGAAACAAAGAAAAACCGAATCTGAGTAGTCAAATAAGATTTTTGCAAAGGACTTTTTTTTCTTTGATTCATCTTTTCATGAATTCAATTTTCAACGAAAGATCTCACTCAATGACATAATCTCTAATTTCAAGATCTATACAAAAGGCCTGGCGCTGGTGCAGCAGTCGGATCGGTCGAAAATGGCTGGAGAATTTCTCAAGCAATTGACCAGACTCCACCTTCGGCTCAACAATTACGCTGCGGCTCGTGCTTCAATTCGTGACGAAATCGAAAAGTACATCGAAGTTAGAGTGGGTAGAATTTTTTTTTCCTTTATATATTATTCCCGCTAACTGCTTCTCTCAGATTTTTACTACAACCAGTTTTTGTAGAGAAAGGATTTTTTCAAAGACCTTTTCATAGGAAACTCCTCGGATTGGCCAACTCGCGATTGCTCTTGTCCTTGTCAACCTTGCTCAGGAGGACGTCGTCTCAGCGACTAAGGAGTACGGTTGGGTTGTCAAGTATGTTTTTTTTCGTTTTGTAGCCATTTAAGAGTTTCAGGAAAATGGCGGAAAACCATTTTCCACTTTATTGCATACGGCCTCAGGCTCTAAGCAGACCTACAGGCATCCGTTCGGTTTTTGACTGGACCATCTCCGCTGGCCGTATTAGACCATTTCTGACTACATTTTCTATTTAATGAAAAGAAGACGGCTATTTTCGACATTAATTACACATAGTACGATTTTTTTTTACTTACCAAAGACGGATTTCTCCATTTGGGCCATTTTTAAAGACTTGCTGGCGGTTACAGAAACTTAGCTTCTAAAACTTAGTTTTTATCTTTAAATCTTCAGATTTTTTTTCCAAATTTGTCTATTTTTCGTACAAAAAACTCGTTATTAACAAATATATCGCCCGAAAAACCGCGATCGGTTTGTGGGCAATTAAACCTACAGTGTGCCGAACCGGACGGGCTGAACAGATGTGCAATATTGGAATTCGAAATTTTTTTCAAAATGATGCTCGAAAATAGAAGCTTACACATTTAAAATATGGAATTCAAAAGTCTCATCATTCCTGAAGAACTTTTTATTTCCCTGGAAACTTTTGAAATTCAATATTTTATCGATTACTCATTTTTTTTTTTTCAGTGGCTGCCCAAGTTTTCGCGACACCGATGATGCCCGAGTCTGCGAGTCGCTGATTGGATATTACGAATCGGGAGATGATCAACAGTTCCAGAACGTTTTAAAATGCGGCGCTCTTCGCAGTATGGATAATGAGGTGATTTATTTTTTCTTCAAATCTATGCCAGCACGAAAGTTTTTAGAGTGTTAGAGAATGCACTATTTTCCATGATTTTCAGTATTTGCGGCTCATGAAAGATCTGCACACGAGCGCAAGCGCGGCCGGCGAAGAAGAAGAGGAAGATTTGAGATGAATAAATGGAAAATATTATTTTCTTTTGCTTTTCTAATTTTTATTGTCATTGTCCCCCTGTGCCGCGCTCTGTGTACCATAATTTATTTGCATTCCATCAAATAGCATCATTAAATTGTAAATATTTCATAAAGCTAATAATACTACTTTGGGAGTTATTTTATTAATTGAAAGCGTAGATTTCACTTACAATTTATTTTTTCTATCAAGGTTGTGCTTTAAAAGAAGTTAAATTTCGATTGTAGCTTTTTCGGATGGGCGACTTCTTGTTTTATTTGGAGGAAATAAAACACAAATTTTACTGTATGAGCAGAACGGAACAAGAGTTTGCAATCAGTGAGATTGAATGAAATGTCTTTGAAACATGAAAAACGAATCTTGAGGAAGCGTAGAAGAAGTTTTGGCGGAAATGCGAGGAAGTCGGGCCGAAGTGGCCGTTGAGCAAATTTCCAACCAATGCCTTGTCGACGACGCCCAAAGAATGATTCTGGTTCGGTTTCAAGATGAATTTTCGAGCAGTCACTAGAGGGCTGAGGTTGACTCCCAAGGAAGTCACTCTTTACTAGAAAAGTTTTTAGAAGCACTCAGAAAAAAGATTTTATAGGAACGATTCTCGCAAGAGTGGGACGAGGCGTCGCCTTCTAGTTTTTTGACGTTGGAAAATAATCGAGGTGAGCTATGATCACTCTTGAACTTTCGTTTTCCGCCAAAGTTTGAGCTTGAGAAAAAGCCAAAAGTATAGGAATTTTGTTTTCCGACACCTCTTAATTCCGAACCTTTGGAACTCATTTTCCCTCTAAAATTTGCTTCCAGTGATACCTCAGAACTATCAATTTTCCAAAAATATTTTCTTTTTTGAAAATTGAATATCATGATCACTTAACTATGTTGTTTATTCACATTACTAGGGAAAATTTTTGTGGAAGATTTGAAGTATAACTAAACTTCTGAAGATATTTTCCAGGGATGTGGAAGATTTGAAGTATAACTAAACTTCTGAATATATTTTCCAGGGATGTGGAAGATTTGAAGTATAACTAAACTTCTGAATATATTTTCCAGGGAACTTCTGAATATATTTTTCAGGTGATGCCGACGCAAGCGTTAGTTTTCCAGACTTTGTCCAAATAGAACGCGAAGTTAGTCTCTGAATTCCTTGTTAATCAACTTAACATGCGTAGATCTACGAAGGCTGGGAAGAGCCAGTTGTTTGCAAAGTCCGGCGGGATTTTGAGCCAGAAGATGGCGACAAAAATTTATTGTGCTCAACTTGTGGCTTCTCGGCCGCGAATCGTAAGGCGCTTTACAGGTTCCTTCGTTTTTATAATTTCAGATATCTCATGAACAACTATTCTTTAAATAGAATTTGAAAAATTTTTTTCAAACCATCGAGATTCAAAAATTAGATCAAATTACATCAAACTCTTTTCACTATGCCTCTTCAAATTAGGTCCCAATGCTCTGTCGGAGCATTTATGGGAGGGAGGAAACGTTTGATAAATGAGTTATGACTGAAAGAAAAACTCGCAGCTCTGAAATATTTAATCAAAAGAAGCCCGCCTCAAATCGGCTAGGGATACACCGTAGCCTAATTTGAGACCATTGCAGACATGGACTACGAGCGGGGCACAGAACCAAGGAAAAATCGACGGAGTTGAAACCGATGCACTGCGAAAAATGTCCTTTTTTCACGACGAGAAAGTTCAATCTCTACCGCCATCTGAAGCGGCAACACAGCATTGACGCGACCTCATTGTAGCCTTTTAGCTGATTTTTTTTTATTGACGGGTTTCAGTTTGTCATAAAGTTCTTGATTATCCAAGTTGTAGTTTCTGAGCTTTTGAAGATTTCTGTCCACAAACGCATATCCAGAAGCTTTTTCAAATGTCCCGGTTTTTATACGTGTAGATGTGCATAACATTCATCCACGTCGCTCGGACGACGGCTTCCAAGTACAAGCTCGTCGTTCTCAACAACCGAGATGAGTTCTTCGACCGTCCCAGCGCGAAAATGGATTGGCGAGAAGGCGTATTAAGCGGTAAATTTTCAAAGATTCCGACTTTCAAAGTAAAATTAGTAAAAATCAATTAGATTTCTACACTTTTCAGGAATCGACGAACAAGATGCTGTCCGCGGGACTTGGTTCGGTGTGAATCGAACAGGAAAAGTCGGAATGTTGTTGTCGGTGACCCAACCTGCGCATACCAAGTTCGTTGGAAGCCCGAGCAGAGGTCGAAAAATGTCTTTCCGAAGAAAAAAAAAAAGATGTACAGGAAGCCTTGTCAAAAATTACTTGAAAGCGTCGACGTCGCTCAATGAATATTGTGAGCAACTCATTGCAACAGCTTCCAGCTACAACGGCTTCCAATTCGTCGGACTGGAGAGGTCATCCAATTTTTTTTTCCAATATTTCCAATCTTCGAGTAACTGTTTTTTCTAGAAACTCCCATGGATTATACGAGCTGAGAAGTGTCACGAATCGACTGGTGGATGAAGTCAAAACGGCGGCTTGGCCTCCAGGTTTTGCGAAATAATAAGAGTTGATCTCACTCGGAATTTGAGGATTTTCAAAAATAATTCCTGACACACTCTTTCGATGTATCGAGTGAAGTTCCTCAACGTCGCAAAATTTATTTTTTTCCGAGAAAAAGCTCCACTGATTGAAAGAAAAATCCGAGACATTGATCTTTGCAATGAATTATCAAAACAAATATATCATTCGTGAATTCAAAATTTTCGTGATATTTTTTCAGTACATCCAGATGCGTTTTCGCCTAACCCCTCTTACGAAACAAATGATGAACAATTGATATTATCTGCATGAATTAGATGATTAACGCAAAGCTGAGGCGAAGAAATACATCGAAAAAATAAAAATAAAATGAATAAAAATCGTTTTCAGACGTTTTTTTCTTTGAAAAAAAGCATCAGTAGGTGGCTGAAATTTCCAGTCTAAACTTTCCTGGGCGGCTGTAACCTGAACTCTCTAAAACATGCTTCAGGAGACTACTGCATTTCGAACAGCCCAGCTTCGTGTCCATATCAAAAGGCTATTTACGGCGAGCGCATTTTCAAAGACGCGATGAAAGACGTCGACAACCTCTCTCTTAATGAAGTCGTCGACAGGCTTCTAGTCATTGCGACAGACCACAAAAAGTAAGGAGAAGGAAGGACCTTGGTATCAAGCCGTTTCAGATGCCTTCCAGATCCCCAAATCGCTTTGCAGACTGAAATGCCAGAAGAACTGCATGGTCCAATCGGATCTATTTTTGTCCGTTACGACGACTCCAACCGCTATGGAACTCGAACTCATTCTGTTTTGGTTGTCGACAACCAAGACAACGTCTTTGTTTTCGAAAGGCGGATGACGTTCATACCAGAAAACGTGAGCCATTCGTCGTGGGAAGATTGCAATTTTGAGTTCCAACTCGAAAAATAAAATAAATTTTCTTGCTCAAGAATCCAACAACAGAACGAAACAGTGAAATGGGAAATCTAACAACGTCATCTCCTTTTTTCAAATAAAACAAAGAAAAAACCTAAAAGTCATCGAACATCCATGAGTACTTTCTCCTAAAGACTTCTACAGCGACCTTTTGCTCATCCAAATTCAAGAAGTCGTTCTTACGGCGAGAATCGTGGACTGCGGCGTTGTTTTCGGCAACATGCTCATATTTGGTAGTCATCTTCTGACGAGCCATCTCTATCTGCAATTAAATTGGAACCATTTCGGTAACAAATTTTTCAAATCATTTGTAGTTGGTTTAAAAAAAACACATTTCTGCTCCAAGGACAAACTCCGCAATGTAAAAAAATCCACTCGGACCTTGGTAAGGCGAATCGGACGCATACTTCAGCTGGATCTCATCCCAGCCTTTTGTGTACTGAAGTGGGCCGCAATTTGAGGGGGTAGGCTACAATTTGAGGGAGTAGGCCGCACCCCGGGGTGAGATCCAGCCGACGTATGATCGGACGTGTCGAAAAATTTCTAGTGACCACTTTAATAGCGTCAGAACTCTTAAGTGGTACTTAGAATTGGCCAGAAACGTCCGGCTTTAGTTACCGAGTCACGAACAATTCTTTAAACATACAAGATCAGTTTTTTTCGCAGTGGTAAATCAAAAAAAAAAGAGACGTCTTCTAAGTTATTCCGCAAAACTCAAAAAAGAAAATTTCAAAAATTTCAGCGCTTTTGGGGCTAAACTCTTTGGCGGTTTCTCGACTTTAATTGGTTTGTTATTCACCTCATCCTTAGTGTATTGATTTCGCAGGAGTTTTTCCAATTGGGAAATTCTCTTTTGAAGACCAGTCTTGACGAATCCAAGAGAATGTTGGTAATTATATGCATAGGAAAGCAAGGCTCTCACGAGAGATCCTAACTTCAAGTTCTTCGTTTTCGTCATCCCGGGCTTCTGGACAAACAAAAGCCAGTGCTCGGGCAAATCTGCCAAACTGCACAGCAGACAGATCTGAAATTCGGAAGTTGATTTCAAGTTTATGAGACAATGCATACTGTAAAGATGTACTCGTCTTCATGAGATGAGAACTTGGAAAGGACTTCAGCTTTGGAGCGCAAAAATTGGATTTGATCTCCGTAGTCGACAATGGAGGATTCGTATAATTTGAGGTACTCTAGGCAGGTTCTTTCGGAGAACTTGTCCGATGGAAACTGAAATAGATATATTTGAAATTGACAAAAGCCGGAAAGTTTTCTTTCTTCATGATCTATATTTTTTGTAGAACCGCTAAAAAAGCTTTCCAAAATAATTTCAAGAAATTGAAAAAAAAAACTTCGAAAAAGAGTGAGAAAATTAGAACTAAGTTTTTTTTAATTATCTTCAACAAATGCATTTTTGAAAATTAAAAAAACCGCTCAGATGTAATCAAGCGAAAAATACCATAAAAAGGAAGCTGAATCCATGGAAAAATCATAAAAACATCTAAATCATCAAATTTCTTTTTTTTTTTTCTTGTATAGGCCATTCCGGGCCAGCTTGTAACGTTTTTCTTTCTGCCAATAGGCCAGATCAAATTAGAACAGCTTCGCTTCAAGACCTTTGTTTCTTGCCGTTATAAAAGCAGAAATTTGATCTAATTTGGTATACGGTCTTTTTGGCGGAAAGAAAAAGGTGACAAGCTGGCGCGGAATAGGCTATATGCGGAGCAAAATTTCCATGTTCAAACAATTTTCCCGACGAATCTATGATAAAACGTTCTACTAATACAATTTCAAAAACTCACATTTGATAAACATTTGAGAATAGAATCGATCATCATTATTTGATGAAAAACGATTTTGTTTGGTTGAGGCAAAAAGGATAGAAAATATCTAAAAAAAAAAGTATGATTTGGATGTGAAAATCATGATTCGAGCCAACCTCGAAAGCCTTCTCAAAAGATCCTCGGTCAAAAAAAGCGAAAGCTTGGTAAAGCTCCTCTACACTGAAAAAAATCTTTTAAATAATTTTTTTTTCAGAAGTTTGGTTACCTTGAAAAATATGAATAATCTTTTGAAAAAAACCAATAGTTATGATGAATTGAGGGTTCAAATTTGGAAATAAAAGGTTGGGATGCGTCGGCGGCTTGGTCAATGTCGCCATCTTCAAAAAGATTGAGGAACTCCATCTAAATTTTAAAAAAATCAACTTGAGAAACAGAAAATAATAACCTTATTTTGCCTTTTCAGGCTGTTGGGCCGCGGAATGAGGAACTTTGCGGCCTTTCTCAATACAAGCTTTAAACTCTTGAAGCTGTAAAACACTTTGTTTTCAAGTCAAACTATTTCGGAAACTTCTTGCTGGCACTTCCTCCAGTCTTGTTTTTCTCCCATACACTCCACAACCTTCAAATGGTTATCCCAACAGCCGGATTCTCTAAATGTTTGGACAAAATGTTCAAATAAATTATTTTGAAACACACTTAATGAGTTTTTCAACACGATCTTCTTCGTCAGCGGTTTTTGCCCAGCCACCGTGCTGGCTATTCGTTGCCATCCAAAACCTCAATTTTTACTTTCTCTTTTTTTTGATCCGAAAAACGATATATTGAAAAAGTACCGAAGAGTTAAATACTCTCAATCAATACCAGGAGTCGAAAAAAGATGAAAAAATGCATTTAGTAAATATTCACAAGAATGGTTAATTTTAAAAAAAACTGCATTCACAGGAGATCTTCATATGACAATATGGCTATCAAATATACATATGAGATGTCACTAAATTGATAAAAAATTAGTTGAATTCAAACAATCATTTGCCAAAGAATCTTTTGACGAGTTTTGTCCCGCGTCTCCGGCGCTCGGAAGGGCCTGGCAACGGCGACGGCGGCGTCAGCTTCGACATGACGGCGTCGACGAAAGTCGCGGGGGTGGCGAACAAGACGCGTTCGTTGCACAGAAGCACGCCGGCGACGAGAATCGACGACGCGGCTTCGTCAGGCGAACCGTCGCTGGCGACAACGCCTGGATGAAGTCCGCGAAGCACCTCAAACGTCATCACCATGTCAATTCTATTTCATAGAAAAAAAATTTCAGAAGACCAAAAATGACCGCCAAACAGAAAAATATCAGAAATCCAGTTTACAAAAAAAAACTTTTATCTATGATAATCATAATTCGCAATATTTTAGGAAGTTAATTTGCTTCGATTTGCCCTTTTTATTGTTTGATTCGGTCTTCAAATTAGAAAAACAATTCGAATAAAATTTCACACCGAAAACGTTTAAAAAAAAAGAAAAGTTTTTCAATAACATCTGAAAAAAACTATAGAAGTTCAAAAGCAAACTTTTTTTTCCAAACGCCAAATTTGATAAATTTTCCTTATTTACGGTTTTATTGAAAAGCTAGACTTGAAAAGAAATAAATTAGTTGTTCAGAAAAACTAGAATCATTAAAATAGAGTAAATATGGAAAATTTTCGCTTGTATAGAGCAATTCAAAGAGAACTGTGTATGCACAATTTTTGCTTATCACACGCATGTTTGAGACAGTACTACGGCGGCCGGTGGCCGGTCAATATTGCACAGTCAGTTTCGGAGCCAGGAAATTTTTTTAATTTTCTTTCTTTTTTTTGCAATTTGGTAAGGACCTATCTCTAGAGATTACAAGGTGCGTTACGTCACAAAAAGTACACAATTTTTCGTTTCATTACTGAAAAACCTATATAAACTACCGTAATACGACCGGCCACCTTAAACAGGCGTGATCAATTCTAAAATATCGAATTATCGCTTTGAGGTTTCATGAATATGGAAAAATTACCGCTTGGAAGTTGTTTTCCACCCCCGGAAAAGTTGAGGCCAAAGATAAACAGTGATTCGAAGTGATCGACCGCATAAACTTGACTAATTTGTGCAATTTTCGTCTTCGGATCGTCGGTAGTCCCAGAAGAACCAAACTCAGCGCTTCCGACGTTTTTCGATCTTTGATTTTGTAGTCTTCTTCGTCTGCAAACTCCATAATATTACTTTGTTAGATTAGAATCTTTATAATATCTCAAAATCGTCGGAAATCTTTTGGGGGAGTTACAAAGACAAAAACAACATTTCAAAACCGCACCAAAAATGATCGGCGCCGTTCGAGTTTCTTTGGGAGTTGAGGAGGACCATGAGCGGAGGACAGGGCCAGACGACGACGTCTGAAAAAGTCATTATACAAAAAATTAATTTCGAGAACCAACCGCTGCGGACACACAAACTCCTCGCGCATTCATCATCGCTAAAAAAATGTTTTCCTAATTTTCAAGAATTGAATGAGAACCTTTGAGCTGCGCTTGCCGCTGCAAAAGTTCCACGAAAACCTTTTTCTCGGCGACTGTGAGGCCAGGAAGATGATCTTGGAAACGAGAGCACAACGTCTTGTAGATACTTTTCTGGAGTAAAACTTATAAATTCATCTCGAGTTACTGCCGTTCAAACCTCCTGATTTTCGGTGTACTTGACGACCGTCGCGTTTTGCATGCAGAAAGGAAAATCTAGGAGATATTCCATCAAGTTCACGATCGTTGATGGGAACACGCCTGTCAAAAAAATAAGTTCACTTTTCAAGAAATAAGATCGATCTCACGTTTCTCGCTCTCGACCCGTGGTTCCACCACTCCAGTGGGACCAACTTTCGAACTGTTCCATTCGACGTCGTCTTCTCTCACGTCGTTTTTCCAGTTTCGGTTGTTCACCAGGCCGACAAGAGCTTCAAATCTAGAACAAACGGATTTCGATTCAGAAATTTATTTTGAGTATCAGATAAAGCCAAAATTTGGATGACTATGTGAAAATAATTTTATTGAAAACTAAATAACTGGGAAAAAGCAAAGTTTTGTGCCCACCACAGAGAAGGAGAGAGGTAGCAGTTACACTAAGAATAACTGACGAGATAAATGCGAGCTCGGTGGCGGTACATTGACTAACTCGCAAAAATGTCGCTTTTTTCTAGGCGCGATCCCGCATTTCTCTCGGCGCGACCTCGCATTTTTCTCGGCGCCATCTCGCATTTATCTTGCATTTCGGAAATTTTCAAATTGCGAGAGAAATGCGAGCTCGCGCCTAGAAAAATGCGAGCTCGCGCCCAAACAAATGCGAAACCGGCGCGAGAAAAAATGCGAGATGTTTGCGAGCTCGTCAATGTACCGCCAGTGTCTCGCGTTTATCTCGGCAGTTATTCTTAGTGTAGTAGAAACCTTCCTAAATTTAAATTATCATAAGATTTGGTCCAACCTCGAAAACAATGTATCTTTCCATGCATCGACGACGTCCTGCTGGCCCAAAGTCTGAAATTTTGAACAGTGAGACCATATATTGTCTCGAATCCACCTCTTCCTCAGAAAGTTCGAGCTGCTGCCGCACCGAATTTCTTCGCGAGCAGCGGACCAACGACTTTGACCGACTTTCTTTGGCGTTGGCCTTAAAATAGCAGTTTTTTTTCAGATGAAATTTGGGAGTATTTAAATTCTAGACAATTCATCAAATTTTTTACGCCTTACACTTTTTTTCATCTTGAAACTATGAGCTTCGCTGCAGAGAAAAATTTTTATCCTGGTCAAATGAAAAATTTTTCAAAGACGTCCGCGAATGCATTGTTTACATACGAATCCTTGTTCAAACTCACTTCTTGTCTTCTTTTTTGGAATGGAAGCCAGTCGTAAAATTTTTCTTTTTCTTGTTTCTTAACGTCCATTTTTGCGCGATCTGAAGGGAAAAAATTACTCGAAATTAGTTAATTCACTTGAAACCTTCATTCAGCTCATCGATTAGCATCGTTGACCGCGCTTTATTCCTCCGAAAATCAGCTGATTCTGTACTGTCCTCCTGAAAATTGATTCAAAGAATGATTACTTCATGATCTAAACTAACGAAAGCGGTATTGATGTGGACTTCAATGTTTCCAACCGAACGCGATAATCTTCTCGATCTCACGACTTTCCGAGACGCGTAGGCGTCGATGTCTTCCAACTTGAGGTTGAACTCTGTAGATTCATGTTCTCTTGGTGGAACTGGAGGCCTAAAAACGTCAATCGGAACTAAAAAGAATGAATCAAAAATACGGAGGCGTCCTCGACCGATGATTTGCGCTGCAAGACGCTGATCTTCTTAATTTACGTCGTGAGGAACTTCTCCCGTTTTCGGCGAAGCTGAAAAAACCTTGATATTTGAAATTAAGAGTTTTGTTCTGAGAAGCTTTCGCATCGGAACGAAAACTGACATGTAGATGTTGTTCGCATCCCTGAACGGCTCATCTTTCTTCTTAGAATCGCAAATAACTCCATCTTTTCTGAGAATTTCCAAGTAGTTCGAACAATTTTCTCTGAAAATCTTGATAGTGGAAAAGTTCAATTTAGGAAACCTGTCAATAGTTCTATCTTTGAACCTTTCGCTGAATTCCGTGTTAAGCAATCCCATTAGAAAGGTTACGGCTTCGCTACCAGTGAAAGACTCTTCAATATATTTCAGATTTCGACGATGCCTTTTGGTAGGCATTTTATCTCGGAACATCTGAAGAAGTTTATTCCACTGAAAATAAAATTTCATGGAGAAACATAATTGTTTATACATACGAAAACTGTTGATGGAAATTGAGACATCGCGTAACCCGTTTCCATGATGTCTAAACTAATTAATGGTATTAATGCTGTTGCCCAAGATAAAGTGGATAGTACGAGTGAAAAATGTTCCGGAAGTACAAAATGAAAAAAAAAATAAAGCCAGCCGTTGATCAGCGCGGTAAAAGCGGTACAACGTGCCGTGCTAAATCTGGTTTACTACAGTTTCACTTTCCACTATGAGAACACACCGAAAAAACTAAAAACGAATTCTTCAGAATGAGAAGTCTCAATTCGACTGCAATGGCGGATTCCCGCCATTGTCAAGCTTGATCAAGCTCAAAGTTACAGTAGCGCGCTAGCAAGTCAAAATATTTTTACGTTTCAGACACACGCGTTCACTGAAAACAACTAATTACAATGAGAGAAAACTGATGACGATTTCAACGTAATTTTTGAGCAAAAACTTTTTCTAATCTCGTTCAAATTTTGGAACTCATGTGCCCATGTGCATTTTTTCCCGCTTTTAGTAGAAAAAAAAATTTCAAAACTCGCGGCAGATTCGGAAAGCATTTGCGCGCCGTCGTTTCGCCACTGGTCATTTGAGTGGCTGTGGCTTTTTGTTTTAAAACTTATTTATTATTTTTTTTGTTGTGTGTTTACACCAGACTTAAATTAAATGACAAGCCGCAGTTGATATAGCGAATTTTTCTTGCTGCTACCTCGTCAAAGCCCTGCTGCCATATTTCTCCCGCTTGTAACTTTTAGATTTAAAAAAAAAACAATTTTTGCTTTATTTTTGACTTTCATGACGTAATGAATCAAATTGAAGTAAAAATAAGTTTACGAAGAAAAATTTTTCAGAGAGAGAGAAAGATATATAGCGGGCTCCTATAGCGTTGTCTCGCTGGGATATTAGTATATAATATTGGGTGAACATGTTTTTTTTTCACTTTTTCAGCCTTCTGACTCATTGAAGTTTATTTAAAGTTTTTTTTTATTTGGTGCTTTTAATAATTTATCTTTCAATTTTTATGCCATGATGTGAGAAGTTACGAAATTAAAAGTTGGGAAATGCTGAATCATTTTTTGCTTATGAGTCATTCCGATTCAAAGGTCATCTTTTTAAGTGTATTATTTCCTAAACGCGAATGTTTCATAGCCCATTCCGCGCCATCTTTTCACGTTTTCAATACTGCCAAGAAGACCTTATATTATATTAGATCAAATTTGACCACGCTTAGTTTGAAGACCTTTATGTTTGGTGCCTTTTTTTGCAGTTCGCGAACTTAAGTGCGAAAAAGCTGAGCTTATGTGCACGTCCCACCGGAAACATCACACAATATTGTGGACTATACCGCGAGCAATATCGCTCGCCTCTCGCTGCGACCTCGCAAACGTCTTGCGCTATATCGCTCTCCGGAAAATTTTCCTTCAAAAATGTTTTTTTTTTCTTTGATTTGACTCATTTCATCATAAAAGTCAAAAATAAAGCAAAAAAAAATTTTTTTTGAATTCCAAAATTTTGAGAGGGAGCGATATGACAGCGAGACTTTAGCAAGGTCGCAGCGAAAAGCCTTGGCTATATCGCCTGCGGCCCGCTGCGATATAGGCAATTATGTTAGGTGACTATCCTTTATAACATGGGGCTATGCAACTTTTATAGGCCTCTCGTTCTAAACAGTTTGAATATTTTAGAAAACTAATGTTACTTTCCAATTTTAGGATGTCTTTAAGTTGGGGAGCGCAATATCCAAAATTGAAAACGAATCTTCGCCTGGCCATAAATCGCTTGAAATTGCTTGGCAAGAAGAAAACCGAAATGGCGATGAAGGCGAGAACGGAAATCGCCGACTATATATCAGGTATCGGAGTTACTATGGCTTGAAATGTACCTAAATTTCTTTTCAGCAAATAAGGCAGATCGTGCTCGAATCCGCGTCGAACACATCATTCGTGAAGATTATCTCGTGGAAGCGTTTGAGATTCTTGAAATGTACTGTGATCTTTTGCTGGCTCGATTTGGTCTAATCGAACAGATGAAGTGAGTTAATTTTTGGAGCGAGAAAAAAAAGAAATTTTTTTTAGAACTTTAGACGATGGGATCGCTGAGGCTGTGATAAGTGTACTTTGGGCAGCTCCTCGAATTGCCACAGATATTGCAGAATTTAAGGTTGTTTCCATAACCCTTAATCACAAGTGGGATTCACATTTCAGACGGTCAGTGACCAGCTCACCGTGAAGTACGGGAAACCTTTTGCTGAGGCAGCGCGAGGAAATCAGTTAGAATTCCCGGCGAAAGTGAACCCCAAACTGATCGCCAAATTGAGCGTCGCTGCTCCTCCCAAACTACTCGTTGAAAGGTATTATACCTATTCTCTTCGTTTCAGGTAAAATAAATGGTGACTTTTGAGGTACATGATTGAAATTGCAACGGCCGCCGGAGTTCCTTTCGTTCCGGATCCGGATATTATGCGAGAAGATGAAGTTCATCAGGCCGAACAGATATTGATCGACTTCAAAAACGCTGGCAGTGGGGGACCTCCACTTCCACCACCAAATGTAACTTATTTTTCAAATTTTTCGAATGCTTACAAGGGCTGTGTGCGCGGTGAACATCGAGTTATGAATTGAGGCTTATATGGTAGATAGACCTAGGGGAGAGTGCTCCAAAACGAAAGAGAAAATCTGCTAAGCGCCACAGGGTACCGAGAAAAAGCTCGTCAAAGTTTTGCCGCCACGTATATGGCCGCGCTCGGAGTGTACAGCCAGCAACTTGGAGCGTGGTGAAGTGGCAGTGTTCTTGAATGGCGCTCACGCTATGCTGGGTTCGATTCCGTTTAACGTGAAAATTTTTTTGCTCTTGTTTTTTCAATTCTTCTACACTCTATTATCAAAAAAAAAACAGCAAAAAATGTTTGAATGGAATGAGTTGATTGAAAATTGGAAAAGAAGGAAAGAGAAAGCACAAAAAAAAACATTTTTGCGAAAAATTTAGTTTTTCCGTTGAAAATATCGGAAAAATAGCTCTCATAATTGGTTCATGGCTTTCGCAATCAAAACACGACAGAATCGAAGCAAAAATATAAGTGAAGAATCACTCATAATTCTGTGAAAAAAAAAGAAACCAAGTATGAGTACGAGCCCAAAGAGCACAAGAAGTCATGTCAATGTAATTTCGCATTTTCCATAAAATTTCAAAAATTTCGGTGAGCAATAGAACAAAAATTAATAAAGAGGCTTCGAAAAATGGAAAATAGAACAGTCGGTGGATCTTTCGCGATGAAAGATTTCCAAACAGTAAAAAGAAAAACAGCATTAAAGTTGTTGAAGGAGGCCAGAGGAGACAGGTGTGTGTGTGATATTATTCACAAGTATCAGTTTTTTACAGGAGGTACCAAACTTTTTATTGTATTTTATTTTGCTATCATCTCGAGAAGCCGCCCAAGCATCAATTATTTGAACACTTTTTTTGAAGTTTCCGATGGAAAACCTGAATATGACACAAAAAAGTTTTTTTTTTGTGCTTTCTCCTTCCTTTTTTTTCCAATTTTCGATTATATCCTCCAACTCAAACGTTTTATGCTGATAATAGAGTGTAGAAGAATTGAAAAACAAGAGCAAAAAAATTTTCACGTCAAAAGGAATCGAACCTAGCATAGCGTCAGCGCCATTCAAGAACACTGCCATTTCACCACGCTCCCAGTTGCTCGCTGTGCACTCCGAGCGCGGGCATATACGTGGCGGCAAAACTTTGACGAGCTTTTTCTCGGTACCCTATGGCACTTAGCAGATTTTCTCTTTCGTTTTGGAGCACTCTCCGCTAGGTCTATCTACCATGTAAGCCTCAATTCATAACTCGATGTTCACCGCGCACACAGCCCTTAGATTGGATCATTTAGCTCTCACGGGCTTTACAGCTCTGTAATTTTGTCCCGAATTTTATATCTTTTTTTTTCGTTTTGTAAAACGATTGAATACAATTTTGAGAACTACCCTGGAAGCAATTACGGTGGTGGATCAAGTGGAGGCGGATCGATCGGATGGAATCTCGGCTCTCAGCCTTCTCCTCAAGTGTTACCTCCTCCCCCTCCGCCTCACGCCACAGGTTTTTTTATTTTTTGAAACTGGTTTTTTTTTCGGACTAGAGTTTCAGAAGACACATCATTCTAATTCTATGAGTAATATCCAAAATTTATGGAAAAAAATGTCAAAAAAGTCATTCAAAATTCCGCTGATGTCTTAACTCTCGCCCCTCTCATTACGAGGCTACCAACCTCGAGCACGATCTCCGTGCTCGAGCACATCATTCGTTGTAATCTGAGTTTGTCAAGACGCATTGGGATAAACTAAGCGCAGAAGAAAGAGGCGAAGGACCGGAAGTCCATGCTTACAACTTGATCAACTACACGTTTGGACTTCGCCAAAGGCGGTTGTTCGTTATAGCTTTAAAAGTCCTTGTTCACCGTTTATTCGATTATATCTATGGCAAAACAACAGAAAAACATTTTCCGTATATCTCTGGGGAAAAAAAAATGGAAATTTCAGACGAAAATATCTATGACGATATACCTGCATCAGGTGAGCTTGATAAAAGTCATTTCAAATTTTATGTTGTGGCGTTGTGCTCGTTCTTTTCGTTTAAACCGTTTGCACATCAGTTTTCCTTTTTTCAGTTCACCTTTTTTAATTCAGACTTTTTCCTTTCTACAAAAGATGAAATAATTACTCATCTGCTTTGATTATGCGAGGATTCCTTTTCCCAACCAAAAAAAACCAAAAACTTAAATTTCAGAAGTTATATAGAGAATCCGAAGTGCGAAATTATTGTTTATTCAACCTTTAAGACTAAAAGTTCTTTGAGAAATCTTAAAAAGACTATGAGAGCTGCATTAACAAACGTTGCTTTTTGGACGCTATTCAATGGACTTAAACTTACTATTAAGTGGCCTATCGCTTTACTTCTTGTAAAAAAGCACCACCAACTTCGATTTTTTCCAAACCTTTTTTTTGCAGGTAACATTTACGAAGTTCCGACAGTAAATGCTAAATACGACGTTCCGCCCGGCGATTACAATCCGGACGGGTGAGGTTTTCAAGTATTTGAATATTTTTGAAGATACTTAGAGAGAGAAAGAGATTTCCATGAAAAAAATCTGGACAAAACCTATCAAATAGGTATAAAAGTTTTTCCGGAAAATAGGCTTTTCAAACTTTTCCAGGGATCGCAGTTTTTCATTATTTTTTTTTTCTTGAGAACCTTTTGTATCATGATATCATTATATTGTAGCAACCATGCTCAACTTTTTATATATTTCGCAAATTGAAAGATTTCAATTTTTATAAGAAATTTTTACCCCGATATTTTTTGATCATTTAAAGTGTCAGTAAGAGCGTGAAATGAAGCAATTTGAACTCTAAAAAAACAATAAAAGCGCAAAAATTGATATTCAAATAAATTTCGCAAAATTTGGAGTTTTTCGTCTAAAAATTTTCCTTCATTTTCTTTAGCATATGTGCAAGGAGTTCGTTTTTTTCAGTGTCAATATCGGTGGAAGTTCAAAACACGTTTTTTTCCTTTTTAAAAAAATTGGAGAATTTCACTAGAATCCTCTCAATATAACGATTTTTCCGCGAAACGGCTTTTTTTAATTCTCAAGGGAACATATCTTTCTTTTTTTTTCTTTTTCGTGTTTCACTGGAAAAAAGCTCAAAAAACAGATTTTCAAGAGTTTTGAACATTGTTTTTTTAGTTTCAAAAACAATTTTTCATTCTCAATCACTTTTCAAAACACGATCCATGGAAATGCATATATGCGAAAATAAACTTTTCACTGATAATGTCATTTTTTTTCTTCGGAAACGGGTTTTTATAATAATTTGGTTATCTTTGTGTTTTTTTGAATTTTTCCATTTTCAGCGGAGTTCCGGGTCTGATAAATCTGCCGAAAATAGGAGCCAACGGGCTTCCTGTCTACTCGACGCCGACTTCAAACGACAAAGCGTATCCGACTCTATCCCAAAGGGTGAGAAATAGCTCTGAGTGAGAAGAGACTCGAAAGAAGGAAAAAAAAACACCAAAAACAAAGATGTTAATCCGATTTGGGATGAGCGCTTGCGCGTGAAAAATCCAGATGAATGCTCGTTACAAATTTGATTTCCGGCCGTTCGGAGAGAACGAGAAAAAAAAAGAAGTAGCGAAAAGTCGGCGACGCGTGCTTCTTCTTCTCTTCGCTCCGCTGTTCTCTTTTTTTGCCCATCTGCTTTTGAAGGTTTTCCGATTAAAGCCTCTCACCATTCCTCTTCATTTTAATATGAGTCTTTCTTTTTAGATTTTACGTTATTCTCCTTTCTCATCTGTGGAAAAATGTTTTCAAAAAACAAATTTTTCCGTATCCATTAGAAAAAGATCTCGAAAACCTGAGTCGAGAAGAAGTTCTTCATGCTGTCAATATGAGATCTACTCTGTCCTTTTCTTAAAATGCAAAATCTTTAAGGTTAATTTTTTTTAATTGATCATTCCTTGATTTTACTAGGTTTCAAAAATCGCTTTTTAAAAAGTTCAAAAAAGAAGGGCTTTTTCGAGTCGTTTTCTTTTTTTTTTCGAAAATAAAGAGGCGTCTTCTTTCACTTTTGCACGATGCCTCAAAAGAGCCCAATATGAATATATTTTGACCAAAATTCAAATTTTTGGGTAATATTTTTCAGCATTTCAAAGTTTGTGGTCTTGTCTATGGAGCATTTATTTTCGTAATTACTCGATCCACTGAGCTTGAGAGTTCCGGGTTGAAAATTGCAGGGTTGTGTTTTCAGTGTGGTCATATTTTTTTAGGCTCAGAATAGGCTGTGTTTTCTAGAGAGGGTTTTGATGGACCTTTTTTCTGTCTTTTCCAGGTGGTTTTTCAAAACTACTCGTTTTTTTTTGCTGGAGTCAACTTTTAGAGAGTGTCATTTTCTTTTCATATTCTTACTTGGTGGAGGTTGGAGCTAGTCCTCAAACCAATAATCCTGCTAAGTTTCTTCTTGCTTCTTTCCGTTAGCCAAAATGCACCTTTATATTACTTTTCATTCATAAAAAAAGGTGATAGGAACACGCTGAAATGAAATGTTTCAATGATGACCTGTGATCTAAATTTTTTGCTTTTTTTGGACATCAACTTTTTTCCCGAGATGCAGTTTCTTCACCACGTATTTAACGGGGCCTTACTAGGGCATGGTCTCCGCTCGACAACGAGTTGAGAATTGAGACTTTGTGGGTGGATAGGTCTAGGTAAGAGTACTCGGGATCAAAAATAAAATTCTGCTAAACCCCACAGGCAGCCGAGAAAAAGCTCCTCGAAAGTTTTCCAGCGCGGATATGGCCGCGCTCGGAGCCTTCGGCTAGCAACTGGTGGCGTGGTGTAGTGGGCAGTGGTCTTGCGCACTGCCAATATGGTGACCATCGTTCGAATCCTTTTGGCGCAAATCGTTTTTGCCCGCTCATATCTTTAACACTTTCACATTTTGTGAGATTTTTTTCAAAGATTTACATCAAAACGCGCAGAAAACTTATTTCTACTACTTTACTCATGGAAAGTTTTTCTCCACGTATTGAGGAGAATCTTCTCAAATAGTTTTGTTGGAAGACAGGCAATCAGCAGCATAGTTATTAAAGTTAAGCTTATTTCGTGCAAAATTATGTTGGTAACTTTGAAAAATCGTCATATCTTCTGATACCTGGAACGCGAAATCGAACGGAAAAGTTTCGCTTTAGTGGTGTTATTGTGTTTCCGTTTAGTACACACGGGTCCGAAAGAATAGAAAGAATAGAAAGAAAGGTAATAAGGTAATCGTTTTCCAAAAGAGCTCGAAGTTTTATAACATATCTACTCGACATGAACTTTTATAAACAGATTGTTCTCTCCAGCATAAAAAAACATAAAATTTCAAATGAGTATTTTTTATTGTGATTTTTGTAAATTTTTATTGTAGACTTTCGAAAAAAAGTTTTAAAAAATGTGAAAGTGTTAAAGATATGAGTCGGCAAAAACGATTTCCGCCAAAAGGATTCGAACCCTGGTCACAATATTGATAGTGCACAAGACAACAACCCACTACACCACGCCGCCAGTTGCTAGCCGAAGGCTCCGAGCGCGGCCATATCTGCGCTGGAAAACTTTCGACGAGCTTTTTCTCGGCTGCCTGTGGGGTTTAGCAGAAGTTTATTTTTGATTCCGAGTACTCTTACCTAGACCTATCCACCCACAAAGTCTCAATTCTCAACTCGTTGTCGAGCCGAGACCATGCCCTAGTTAGTTTTTCATAATGATTCTACTTCTTTTTTTTTTCTGCCCGCAATAACCTAACATTAATCCTTTTTTACGTAAGCTATGCTACTCATATCGCGAAGAAAAACGATGACGGCGGCTGAATCGAAGACGAAAAGCAAGTCGCCGAAAAGGTGTTCGTCGTGTAAGAGAGAAAATTCGCGACGAACCAAAACACCCGATCGTCAGGCTAATAAATCTTTGAAAGTAAATTATAAATTTATCATAAGAAAGGAAATCGGAAAATATATCCATTTTAGAACTCGATGATTCAACCAAATTTGCCGCCCAGCAATCCATCGGCGCCTCCGCAAAGCTTGAAAAAGCCTGAGGATGATGGTAAGTTTTTATTGATTTTTGTATTATCTTTTTTGAAGGAGTCAACTTTTAGAGACTTTTAGATACTAGAAATTATAGAGAATTTTTCTATTTTAGAATCTTTTATTTTTCAGACGTTTCAAGTGCCGAAATTACATTGAACAAAGATTAGAATGTTTAAAACGTTAGTTACCATGGAACTATGTTTTGAATAAATGACTGCTTTTCATACGTGGAAAAGATGTGAAGGTTTCTGAATTCGTTGCTTTCTTTTTCTCGGGCAAAGTCGGAATGGTGGATAATGGCCGCTAAAAGGGAGAGGCTCAAAAAAGGCCGCAGAAAGGCAGCAAAAAGACAGCGAAAGGGAGCAAAGAGACTCCCTTTATCGAGCCTTCCATTTTTCTGGGATTTTAAAGGCTCGAGAAATGGTGGAGAAAGGAAGAGGCAGCAAAAATGGTGCATAAGGGCTGAGAAAATGGAGCAAAAAGGCAGCAAAAAGAGAGCCTTCGTCACCCTAAAAGGAACATTTCTATGGTCCTTTATGGACCCTCGGAGGGTCCTTCCGACTTTGCCTATGTTGGATTTTTTCGAAAAAAGTTTATCAACACTTCAAGTTTTGGTTTAAGCCAGTGAAATTTCTTTTTTTTTCTACATTATAGAGCGAGTTTTAAGCTATAAAAGCAACGAAACCTCTATATATACCTCGAAATTTCAGAAATTTTCTTCCCCGAGCCTCCGACGACATTTGTAGGCGGCGGAAATGCGCCCGGCGGTTCTGGCGGCAGCGATTTGGATTTCGACGATTTGGCCAAGCGGTTCGACCAACTCAAAAAGAAATAGTTTCCACTATTTTATGTATTTTCCTCATTTCCAACAGCCTTTTTTGTGCCACCAAATCCTCATTGCTTGCTGTATCCATGTAAATATACTTGGTGACTAAACTACATAACTTGTATTGATAAAAAAATAAATTGTTTTTTTCTTTAGACACTTTTTTTCAAAAAAATATGTCTAAAGGGTGTCTTCCTACTCATAATTGTTGAGAAAGATCCTAACTTTGAAAAAAAGTACTTTTATGTGCTTTCAAGCAGTGGTATAACCTCACTGAAAGTTTATTTAGAGCCCAAACATTTTTAGGGAATACTGAGACCGCATTATTGCGATAAATCAAAAAAACTTAGAGAAATAGAATTTTTTTCAAACTTTATTTGTCAAAAAAACACTTGATTAGATTGAAGAAATATATTCATTATTTTCGTTGTTTTTTTTAACTATGACTATTGACTTGTGATATTTGCCTGAATTGAGTATCAAAAATAGGTTATATCGACAGATACCATGAGGGTACCCTCATTTTTCCATTTAGATACATTTATGGTTTGGAAAATATAGTGAAAATCTTTTCAATAAGTTCGTATTTTCAAGAACACCCTCACAAGTTTCACAATCGACATGAATTTATTGTTCAGATGAGAAAAAATATAAGAAACTGCGTCCGATTCCAAGAGGAAAGAGAGCTCATATCGAAAGCCACCGTGAGTTTTATTCACGTCTGTAAACTGAGATCCCCTTTCGGGACTTTTCAGTCCTCGGAATGGAAATCCGACAGCTATATCAACGGCGTCCTGCATCAGAAAGACATACGGGAACACACTGGCTGCGTGAATTCGGTCGAGTTGAACAAGTCCGAAGATTTCCTCGCCAGCGGTCGGTCGACGTCCCTTTTCTTGTTCTTTACTTTGAAATCTGCCTCTCACGTTACATATGGCCCTATTTATGAGAACTTTTGGTATTCGTAGAGCTTATTAACCAAAATTACTTCATTTCGTGATTTTTGGAATTACTTTTGATTGCAATTTCGACGGAGTTCAAGTACATAGGCGAATCGAGAAAGGGTATCGCGAGACCATCTGAGGTATATCGCAGGCTCTGAAGTCTCACTATGGTATCTCGAGATACCTCTGAGGATTTTGAGCAAAATGAGAGGGTGTTGAGAGAGACTCTCAAGTACCTCCGAGATGGCTCAGATATAGCTAAAAGGTATGCCGGAGGTCTCACGATAGACACCTTATGGGGCCTTCACGATCCATTTTGAGAGGTACCTTTGTGGACACATTATTATATCTTCTCGATTTGTCTATGTTTCGAGTAATTGAACAGATACTCAAATAGGTAGCGAGAAGTTTTCAAAAAACAACTTTCAGTTATAGCCCATTCCGCGCCAGCTTGTCACGCTTTTCTTTCCGCCAAAAGGCCAGGTCAAATTTAACCAACTTCGCTTCAATACCGTTGTTTCTTGCCGTTATAGAAATTTGATCTAAATTGGTATACGGTCTTTTTTGTGAAAAGAAAAAAGTGACAAGCTGGCGCGGAATAGGCTATATTAATTGATTGAGTAAAGCCAGATGATCTGAAAAATGGTGTGACTTTTTTTTTATAAAAATTGCTATTCAAAAAAATCTTAATTTTTTTCGATTTGAGGGCTTTCGAAGTATTTGGGTTTTCATTTTCTGATGTAAAGTCAATGGAAATGTAACGAATTCTGATTTTGAGTTAGTGAAGTTTTTTTTAAATGCAGGTTCAAAAAAATTATATTCTTGCTATTTTTTTCTTCAGAAATTTTTTTCGAAAGAGTGAGTGAAATGAACTTAATTTATTTTATGGAATATTATTGAATGAGGGTACAATTTTCCAGGAGGAGATGATCAAAGAGTGATCATTTGGAAAATGACGGACCTTCTCGGGGCCAAAAAACCGAAGCCTCTGTCCATCATGTCCGCCAAACATCGCTCCAACATCTTCGCTCATGCCTTCTCCTTGGAGTTGACCAGTCCCACCAGTTTATCGATTTACGGGACTTTTCAGTGACAAAACTCTGTACTCGGGGGGCAACGACGGCGCCGTCTTGAAGCACGACATCGAAACGGGCAAATTGTGTCATAAATACCTCGACTATTATGCTGTCTACAACATCGACGCCAACGTTCCTTTTTCTTTCTTTCTTCTATCTTATTTGAGGATTTTAATTGAAAAGAGACATCCATGATGTTTAGCCTTTGAACGAAAACATTCATGAGAACTTTAGAGAGGAATCGGGTCTCGGTGATAAAAAAAAACCGAGCGTAAACTTCGAAATGGATCATTATATTATAATAATATGTGGGTAGTTATACCTCATACATATTTCAGCTGGAAAGCTCAAAATTTTACAATCAAAGATTTATTTCTGAATTGGCTCTTGTACGATATAACTAGTCTTTAGTCACCAGGGCTCAAAATGGTATTGTTTTCCATTTTTTATAATTTTATGTTTGTAAATGAAGGAAAACTTCTTTTTGTTTTAATCTACTCAAAAGCACCCATTTTTGAGGCAAGAAAAAAAAAGAGTGGTTCAAGAATTATTTTCAGCCGATCGACCTTCATTCTTTCGGCGCTGCTTGTGCAATAGATGTGATTTTGCTGGACAGTCGAGCTCCCGAGACAACCAACGTCAGCCATGGTGAGTATTCCCTTTTTTCCCTTTAGCCCGAAAGACTTCGCTTTTTTTGGTCACTTCAAATGTTCCTTCAAAGCCACGGTTTTTGAACTAAATTTCTCAACTTTTCTTTCACAACAATTTTTTTGCTCGAATAAGCTACTCGCCATAAGTGGCAACAGCCTGACTTGTCTGCGTCTTTTTTCCCTCGGCAACGAAGTCATAGAAACATGAGAATAGCACGAAAATTTGAGGAATCCGCCTAACAAGAAAAGAGCGTTGAGAAATCAGGCTTTTTCAAGTTTCAACCAAAACGACAAGATGGTATGACATTTTTTTTTAATAGACAATGAGCATTCAAGCGTTAGGAATTTTGAAGAAATTTTTTTCAAGATTCAATAGTTTCAATGAGAACTTTCTTTAAAGAGAAGTGGTTCGAGAAAGAAATTTTTCTTGTTTTTATTTTTTTTTTTCTCGGGGTTCACAGTTAAATAATCAAAAATTTTAAGTACACGTGTATGAATCTTGAAAGTTAGTTATGAGATTGGTCAGAGTAGCCGTCTAGGGATAGTGACGAATAATTGATTGTCGGCAATTTGTCCATAGGGATTTTAAAATTTTTGGAGGGACCACGGCTTCGAATCAGGAACATATAATGTTCAGATCCGTCGACGTCTTTCTACGCGGCCTCTTTCAATCCGACGCACGCTCCGCTTCTCCTCGTGGCTGCAAGCGTGAAAGGCGTCCTCGTTTACGATTTGCGCAACACGACCAAGTCAGCCAAAGATCTGGAAATCGAGACAAATCTGCTTGATTTGAGGCCTCTCATCGATTCGAAAAAGCTGTCCTCGGCTGGCGACGAAACGACGAAATCGAACGTCGTCTTCGCTCGTTGGAACTCAACCGGAAGCGGATTTGCCGTTCTCCAGTCCGGCTCATATCCTTACTACTACGATGTGTGTATTGATTTCCTGGGTCTGTATGTCGCCAGCAAATGGCAGAAAATATGTTCATTTCTCTTTTTTTTTTTCAAATTTTCAAGCTACACATGATTTCATTGAAAGATTGAGTTTTCGACCTACTTAAACAAACATAATGTGGAAATCTTTCGGCTCATGGCTTTACATGATAAAATGACTTCTCAGTCATGGAGAACTAGATTCATTCAATCTTATTATCAAAAAAATCCTTTAGAATTTTTCCACTTTTTTTCGGATGAATGGAGGTAAATTCCACAGAAGAAATACGCAGTGCTATAATTTTTAAATGTGCGCCAAAATGTAAAAATTGTAAACACCCGCCTTTCAAGTGGAGAAGAATAAATAACATTAGGATATATGTCCTGTTGGAAATAAGGATCAAGTTTATCGATCTGTATTTGTTTCGAGAAGAAGGATTTGAGGAGGATATTTGCCATTCACACGGGCATTGGGGACAGGTCATAGGTGCAGAGGGAATTACAAGTACTTTTGAATTGATCAATTATAATTAACCTTCATAGTGAGATAAGCTACCCATAAGCTTATTTCAAACGGGCCAACCGGATAATATTTTTTTACTTTCTACTCTCTCAAAAAAGATTGTCAGGTTTCACAGCCTGTCAGTTTCAATTTTTAACTTCGACTCTTTTTCAGCTCGTCAATAATACTGTTGTCAATTTCTGCGATAAGCTTTACAACAACGAGCAGACGTTAAAATCCATCGATTTCATCAACGACGACACCATCGCGACGGGAAGCGACAGTTTCAAGATTTTCATCTGGAAGATCCCGAATGTCGAGAATGACGGTGCTTTTTCTGGAGGGAAGATGTTGGAAAAGGAGTGTTTGCAGAGCGAGAGAAGAATGTGAAGTCGAGATCGGTGGAATCGGCGACTCGAATTCTCTACGGCCATCGTTCCGTCGTCAACCACATCAGATACAGCTCCATCAACGAGACTTTAATTTCCTCCGGCGTAGAGAAGATGATCAAGGTCTAGCTTTAGATGTGCATGGTAGAAAGTCTGACGAGACTTCATTAAATGAGCTTCGTCGGATATACTTTCGATTGGTCATGCTTTTTCCACGGATCTCTGAGGCAATTTCCAATCTCAGGCTTAGAATAATTGTGATGAACTGCCATTTTTTTTTCCGAAAATCATATTCTCATCCGCGGTTATTACCTGGTGAAACTTGAGATTGAGTTCTACAAAAATAGGGTAAAATTTTTTTCGATAACATCATAATAATAATAATTGAAACTTAAATTTGCAATGGTTAAAAAAGTATCAAGGTTGATCAAGGCGAGTGAGAATTTTTCAGTTTCGCGTAAAATAAAAATTATATTTTTCCTGTTGAGAGCCGGAGAGCTGCTTGGAAAATCCGTTTTTCGTTTTCAGTGCTGGTCCAAGTACTCGATCCCTGGATCTTATGAAAAACCCTACACTCGCGAGCCTGAACTCCGTCGCCGCGCCCGGATTTCGCGCAGAGAAGAGGAGCCTCGCGAAGGAGACGACGACGGCACGGCGACGTTCGACGACGTCTTCGGCGGCAGCCACGAGACTTCTGAAGACGTCAACATGCTCCGCTACTTCGACTCCTTGGTCCTCCGTTCTGGGGGTGGGTCTGCTCTCTTTTTACTTATTTTCATTGTTTTTAGCTTGAGCTTCAAACTGATCAAGATAATTTGAGTTGAACCTTATGGAGAGAAGGATTTTTATGATTTTCGCCTTGACAGTAAGGGTAATCGCAGTAGCCTTTGGTTGACCGAATGAGTAGACTTAAAAATAAAAACTAAAAATCAACGACACAGTGCATTTCTCTATCACAGAGGTTTTTTTGCAGAAATCTTATTCCTGATCGTCCTGTCAAGATTTCCGAAATTGAGGTAGAGCCCCTAATTAGCTCACAATCGATAGATGAGGCACACGTCTGAATCACTTCTTTCGAAATTATTCAGCCAAAAATTCTTTGATTCCCTGAGTTGAATTTCTTGTTCAAGTAAAAGAAAATCGTTTTTGTGTAAAAACTTGATTGAAATTGCCGTCGCTATTAAAGATTCGAGTCTGGAAGGGAGGGCGAGGCTATTGGAGGACATCTTTGACCCTCGTATTGTCAATCGAGGTTATTACCTCTATTCACAGCTATCAGGCTTTGCGAAAGTTGCTCGCGGTTCCAATCGCCGACTTCAAAAGACCCCTAACTTCGCTTTAAACTCATAATAATAGTTTATTCACTGCCTTAAAAAAACATTAGGTAGTATAGAAAAAGTATAAGTGATCAACATATGAGAGGCAGAAGAATAACAATACGCGGGAATGAGTCAACCCCAACGAGTTGACAGGTACCCGGAAGTAAGAAATTTTTCACAGTAGACGAGAAGAGATATTTTCATAAAATGCTGGAATCGGAGGATTATTCAATTTGTTCCGAAGGGTTTCTGGGGTGACGTTAAAATCTAAATATGAAGTTAATTTATTCCAAAGAGGAATAGTTCTAGAAAAGTAGTCATTAGAAAACTGACCAGTTGTCCGTAGTCGAAGTGGATTTCTCTGTAACAGGGATTGAGTGAAATACTTATTGCGATCGAGACAGTGATCAGAGCCACAAACATTTTTATGTAGGGTGATTATATCACAAATTTTACGGCGAATGAATGACGCTTTTATATCAAACTGATTGAGGCGATCGGAATAAGAAGAGAAGCTCATCATTCTAAAAAAAAAAACAAATATATATCTTGAAAGAAATACGAACGAAGACCTTTCCTTTTCTAAGTGAGAGTACCAGAAACCGTAAGATCTTTTTGGGCAAAAAGATAACTCGAGATATTTTCAGAAATTTCCTTGAGAGAAAACTTGACTGATTATATCAATGATGAGGAGGAGGAGGAGGAAGACGATGACTACTTCGACAACGAGTTTGACGTCGACGAGGTGGACGAAGACGAAGACGACCTCGAAGAAAATGAAGCCGACGATGAGTTCGAAGACTCTGACGGCGAAACCAGGGGTTCTGATATTCTGGACGGTGCTCTCGACGAGGACATCGCGGACCTTATTAGCGCTCTCCCCGGTGGCTCTGCTGAAGTTCGTATTTTTTTTTTAAATAAAGAGATCAACTTTACTGAATTGCATTCTGGTGTGAACTGGTTCGATTCTGTTTTTTTTTTCAAATTTTACGGTCGTCTCCCACGAGAGACTTTTGAATTCTTCGCACCTCCTTCTTCTTCTTTTTATTTGGCTTAGAAGAGGCTTTTTCATATTTCCGCATAAAATTTCTGAAAGAAAAAGCTTTCAAACTGCCTTAGTTTTAGAGAATTTTATCAGAAGTTTAATTGCGGAAAGATTTTGAGAATCATTAGATCAACTCTTTGAAGGGGCTTTTTTGGTTCGAGATTTTTGTCAGTTTTTCGAGTCCGTTACATGATCAGAAGCTTTTCTTTTAATGATTTGAAGGTTTCCGGATAAATTTCCTAACGCATTGTCTTTGACATTTTCAAAAATTTTCCAAAAGCAACGGATACAACAAAAAAAAAATTACTCAAACACTCAAATAATGAGGGAGCCTAAGAATTTTGGCGAGCTTAAAATGACCGCTTCGCAGTCGTCATTCATGGCGAAGGAAGTAAGAGTAAAGAAGTTTTGGCAAAAGTAGTGGCCAGCCTGATTTCTGAGGTATTGAAAAAATTTGGCGATCAATGGAATACAGTTCCGAGATCCTTGAAAAGACTCTTCCAATCCCAATCATTGAATCGAACTATAACGAAACTTTAAAAAATTTCCAGAATGAGAGGAATCTTCCGAACGACGAATACGAATCTGGAGACGACGACTGCGTGCAGCCTATCCGGTCGTGGCCGCCGGAGAACTAAAAAATGTTTTCTTCAATCATTTTTCTTTCATTTCTTTCACTTTTGCGGGCTGTGTATCTTTATGTGTGTATATATATATTTGCATTTTGTACGTTTTTGATAAATTTTGTTTTGTTTTCTCATTTTTATTTCAGTTTTTGATATCTCTGTATCACTTTTTACTGGTTCGAACGCTTCTTCAAATTTTGAGATAAGTTTTTCAGAATCATAAATGGGTGCACTCCCGGTTCATAAAAAAATTAGTTTATTAATTTTTTTCAAAACAAGAACTCAAGTTTCAGCAGTGAAGCATATACATACTTTTTTTGAAGTAAATAAGGTCCGGGACGTGTAAAAGTTGAAAAAAATGCCAGCTGCAGTGTTTGTTTAGTGAGTAAAAAAAGTTCTTTGAGTTGGTTGTCAATCTTAAACTTGAATTTTCTTTCAAGTTGAGGAAAAATGAAGGTATTTTTGAATTTTCTGAAAAAAAAAACGTAAGAATAATGGTTTTATACCTTGTACCCACGTAGGCCACAAAGAAACATCGAACGATCAGAAAACAACGGACGAGGCTGTCCTCGTTCCAGTTGTAATCAAAATCGACTCCGTTCCACTATTCAGCCTTTTTCATTCGATTTTTTCCGTTGACATTTGGAAATATCTTAGAAAAGGTTTTGGCGACTCAACATTATTTATTTATTTTTCCGTCTCAAGATTCCAACTTTATTCGTTCAATTCCGAAAAGAAAATAAAGAAAACACAGTTTGGAAAAGATTTTCTTTTCGGTGAAAATTTTCTTACATGCGAAGGAAATTCTCTGTTTTTCTTATAAACTTTTTCTGTTATTGAGAACTGTCGCCACTTCTCGCGAAGGTAGGACGAAAAACACCGTGATAAGGCTTTGGCGCGCCTCGAATTAAATTGACCGTTTTCGTTTTAAAAAAATACATGCTGAACGCTTTTTTGTCCTTCTTTTTTTCTTCAGAATACATTTTTATCGTCATTTCCTAGTAATGAGATTTAAATTTCAAAAAACTCTTTATAAAAGCGACGAAGTTAGAGGTTTTTCGTTTGTGAAGTTTTGTTCATTACTCGAAAACGATTAGTTTCTTTGAAATCAAAGAAATCTGAGATCAGCCTTGTTCTCTGTCTTTAATTTAACGGGTAAGCGATTCTATTTTCATCGAAATTAAACTCCGAAACCCGTTGTTCAGTTCGGTTTTTCACTTTTCTGCCGATTTTGTTGTTGTTTCTTAGCCACACTTCACTTCACTCTTCTCCATCTTTTTTTTTTCTCTCGAGTTCTTTTCTCTTTACTCTCCATCGGGTCACGTTGCAATCTTATCAACATTACTTCTCTCTCGAAAGCGCCTAATTTGGGGCTGATCACTGGACAAAATTTTGTTGAATCTTTTTTGAATCAATTCTGGTAACTCTCTGAGGCCTTTTCTGTCATTTTCTGTCAAGAAACTTGACTATTGAACTTTCAGATTTCATCTAACCCTGTTAAACTGTTTTTTTTTAAACTGTTTATTGCATCTTCAATGTAAGAATACATGTGCAATCGACTTTCATTGATTTAACTGTGTTTAAACGACGGCAGGAGCTGTGGCTTAGGCAGAGAAGTTGTGAAATTCGCTCGTAGAACATCAGGTACAAGAGAGGTCGTAGGAAGAAGTACGGTGCCGGCTTTCCAAAGACTGATGGCAGAGATTGAGCCTTTTCGCTGCATGCAGCTCCCAATTTTATCTACCCCGGAGGGATGAAAGGCTTGGTCGACCTCGGGGGGACTCGAACCTACGACCTTGCGGACGTTAGAAATGAGTTATGCCAGCTGTGCTATGCCGCCCCCATCTAACCCTATTTTCCAATAAATAAAATATCAGAAGCCTCAGACTTACCAAATCATTTATTTTTCTTGTGTGTTCACTCGCCTTTTTTTGACTTTTCAAAGCAGAGCCGTTCAATCGAAATCGTTTTTCATTAGAGAGACCGTGAGGCGTCGACAAAGAAGCGTTGAAAAAAAAAACCTATTTCGTTTTCCTATAAATTTATTTTTTAGCGAAGTTCGCTGCGTTTTAGAACTCACAGGTGTTGATTAATTTGAGATATTTCATATCACGAGATATTTTTCTTTCCGATGATTTGCAGGTTTTTCTTATTTATGATTGTAGTAAATTCGTAGATTATTCAAGGCTTTGTATAACTGAACTTGTGAGACTCTTTTTTTTATAGATCAGATTTTTGCGTTGACTTTTTGATTCTATGCAGATAAAAGTACCACAGGTTCTCCTCGGAAAAAGTTTGAAAATCTGAATTTTTTTTTGAAATTCGTTGTCCCTCGATGAAATGATTACATTTTTCAGCACTTCAGTCATTTTTTTTGATTGAGAACTATTTTTTTGGTTATTTATGACTTTTTGAGGATGCGTTTCACACGCGTGCCACTGCTTGCCAACACTTTGAAACACCACACAAAGTTGGCAAGATGGTCGAGCGAAATCGCGAAGCCACGCGAGTTCAAAAAGGTCCGAATCTAAGAATTAAAGAGAATTCGAGCAATTTTCCACAGGTGATGGTGGCAAACCGCGGTGAAATCGCCATCCGCGTGTTTCGGGCTCTCACTGAACTCAACAAAACCTCGGTCGCCATATATTCGGAGCAGGTTTTTGCGTGAGGTGGTTTCGGATTCATCTTGAGTTGTCCAGGACAAGAACTCGATGCACAGACTGAAAGCCGACGAAGCCTATCTGGTCGGAAAAGGTCTTCCGCCGGTGGCCGCCTACCTCACCATTGATCAGATTATCGACACCGCTTTGAAGGTTTTCATTCAATTCTTAAATATGACCACGAGAAAAAGTTTGCAGAACAAAGTCCAAAATTTGCAGTATTAATGAATTATCAGTCAGGAAACGTAGCTTGGAAGATGAGATCTTAGAAAAATACTTCCAAGTAGCGTGCAAAAAAAAATAAGTTTTAAAAGTTTGTGTGTCAGTTAAAGTAGCAGTTGTGCACGTAATTACGGATAACAACAGGATCAGTTTCGGGATAAAATGAGATTATGAGTTAATATGGCTGAAAAATACGAGCTATATTTCATTGACTGATTTTCTAACGACTCAAGTTTTTCAATCTCCACTTCCAGAAAAATATCTGTAACTTCGATTAGCATTTCAGCCTTCAGAGTTGAGCTATTTTGCAGCAAAATATCGATGCGATCCACCCCGGCTACGGGTTCTTGTCGGAACGATCCGACTTCGCGAAAGCCTGTCAGAGCGCCGGAATCGTGTTCATCGGCCCGAGTCCCGACGTTATGGCGCGGATGGGTGATAAGGTTTGCTCGCTCTTTGAGTTTGTTTTCGTATGATAATGATCGAAACTGTTCGCTTTGGTTGGTTATGAACATTCTCTGTAAGATGTTCAGATCGTGAGAGTTTCGAGGAGTTGAAAAATAAGGAAAACGTGAACCGCGAAAAACATGTGAACAATTGACGATGAACCTTGTATTGTTCAAACATTTTTGATTAAAATGAGAAAAAAAAACCGTTGAATGAGGAAAAAAACTGTAAGAAATAAGCAAAACCTACAAAAATAAGCACAGTGAACAGCAGTGATTTATAAAATTTCTAAAAGGCACGTTTAAGAAAATAAAAAAATTTCGTTTTTTTGAAGTCAGTCCATATTTTGACGATCAGAAAATTTTTCGAATTTCCAAAAAACAAAAAAATGATTTAATTTCGTTCTTGATAACTATTGAAAATCGTCAGAATAGATCACTCCCTTCAAAGAAGTCACAGGAAAGAAATATTCTTTCAATGATTCAAAGCCTAATTTTGAATAAGTGATTGATTGATTTTCAGGTGGCAGCTCGACAAGCAGCGATCGAGGCGGGAGTTCAAGTCGTGCCAGGCACTCCAGGACCCATCACGACGGCCGCCGAAGCCGTCGAGTTCGCCAAGCAGTACGGCACGCCGATCATTCTGAAGGCGGCCTACGGGGGTGGCGGACGTGGCATGCGTCGCGTCAACAAAATAGAAGACGTCGAGGAGTCGTTCAGAAGAGCCTTTTCTGAGGCACAGTCGGCGTTCGGCGACGGCAGTCTCTTCGTTGAGAAATTCGTCGAGAGGCCAAGACACATCGAAGTTCAGCTTTTGGGTTCGTTCTGAGGGTTCTAACAAATTTTTTTTTGAACGAACTTTGAAGAATGTGAGAAAATTCAGGAGACAACTACGGGAACATTGTCCACCTGTTTGAACGTGACTGCTCGGTGCAGCGACGTCATCAGAAAGTCGTCGAGATCGCCCCAGCTCCGGCCCTTCCTTCAGGAGTCCGCGAGAAGATCCTTGCAGACGCTCTTCGCCTCGCTCGGCACGTCGGATACCAGAACGCCGGTTCGGATGCCACTCGTATTTGTACTTGATTTATGAAAATATCAGCAAGTCTCAAAAAAGGAACTGATTCACGTCTAGAAAAAGAAGGGCCATGATTTTTTGTGTTCAAATCTCTTCCTAGTTTTTTGAAAATCTCTACCATACGGAGAGCCCGCTGAATCGACGTAAACGTTTGACTGACTATAGGGAGCAAACATGAGCGAAACCTGTTCTTCTAAAAAGTTTCCTGTTGACATTCATTTCATAAAAGTTTTCACATAACCGGCTTTACTCTTGAAGTTGATAATTTTTTAGGAACCGTCGAGTTTCTTGTCGACCAGAAGGGCAATTACTATTTCATTGAGGTCAATGCTCGTCTCCAAGTTGAACACACTGTTACTGAAGAAATCACGGGGTTAGGAACTATTTCCAGAAAAAATGTCAATTCAACTTCAGCGTGGACCTTGTGCAAGCGCAGATCAGAATCGCTGAAGGCAAATCTTTGGACGCTCTGAAACTCCAACAGGAAGGGATTCATACAAACGGATCGGCGATCCAGTGTCGCGTGACGACTGAAGATCCCGCCAAGGGATTTCAACCTGATTCTGGACGTATCGAGGTTAGTTTTCATGGCGAAAATAAATTTTGAGCTTGAAAATTTCAAACAAAAGGGCTGTCATTTTACTTTAAAAAAATGAGGCTCGTTCAGATTATTAACTTCAAAAAAGTGCGCGGATTTAAGGAGAGATTGAATTTTTTTTTTCAAAGTTTGACTTTTACTGAAAATACTCATATACTGTTCAAGGTGTTCCGCTCCGGCGAAGGTATGGGAATCCGGTTGGACTCGGCTTCTGCCTTTGCCGGTTCAATAATCTCGCCTCACTACGACTCCCTGATGGTCAAAGTGATCGCATCGGCCAGAAACCATCCAAATGCAGCCGCCAAAATGATCCGCGCCCTGAAAGAGTTCAGAATCCGTGGAGTCAAGGCAATCTGGCTTTTCCATATAGTTTTCAATCAGATTCGCTCAGACCAACATTCCATTTTTGCTCAATGTCCTGCGACAGCCTTCGTTCCTCGACGCCTCTGTCGACACCTACTTCATCGACGAACATCCAGAGCTTTTCCAGTTCAAACCGAGTCAGAACAGAGCGCAAAAGCTTCTCAGCTACCTTGGAGAAGTTCAGGTGATAGTCAATGATTCCCATTTTGAACTTACATAGAAGAAAATAGTTTGAATAGTATGAAGACTATGAAACTCGGCAATGAGAAGCGCTAGCTCGAAAGGGTACCTTGCAGGTGAATGGTCCAGCGACTCCTCTCGCAACAGACTTGAAGCCGGCCCATGTGACGCCTCCAGTACCGAAAATCAGAGCGGGTAGGTTATATCCGATCCAAGACAGCTTCATCAAACTTCTTTCTTATAACAACCTGACAAGGGAACTCTTATTCGCGAATCGAGTTCAAACTTTTGTTTGTGGTTTATAGACCGGATCAGGATATTTCATAACAAGAGAGATTATCTGCTGAACCCGATAAGGTACCGAGAGAATGCTTAATGGAATAGGGAAGATTAGGCTGGAACGTTTTTAGAATATAAACCGCTTCTCTCTAACTTTTGGCTGGATAAACGTTTTTGGTGTTTCTTGTAGCCGAATCATTTAAGGCAATTTTATTAAAAGATAAGCAGTATCTTGAATATTTTCAACTCTAGTTTGTCCATTTTCAACAATATTTTTCTCGGTACCTAATCGATTTTAGGAGATAATTTTTCTTTTGTTCAAATATCCTAATCTGGTTTTCTGAGCGACCAAAGTTTAAACTAAGTCCGCGTAAAAACCTTTTACGAATCGAATTACGATTCGAGGATTTCGAATAATTTGTATTCGGTTTGAGGTTCAAAACCACCGATGGGACTTCGTCAGGTTCTGGTTAAAGAAGGTCCTGAAGCCTTCGCTAAGGCAGTCCGAAAAGCTCCAGGATGCATGATCACCGACACTACTTTCCGGTATCTCTTCGATCTTTTCTCCTTCGAAATCTCTGTACCTCAGAGATGCCCACCAGTCTTTGTTGGCCACAAGGGTCCGCACATACGACCTGGCCAAAATTTCGCCTTTCATCTCCCATTCTTTCCCTCAGCTTTTCTCTCTGGAAAATTGGGGAGGTAAGATTTTGATAGTGATCTTGAAATTGTTCAAGTAAACAAATTTTAGTGGATCGATAAGCCTAAGTAATACTTCAGAACTGCTTTTTAATTGTTCCTGTCCGAAATATACATCAAAAAAGGTGGGAAATTGAAGGAGCGACCTTCGACGTGTCGATGAGATTCTTGCACGAATGCCCCTGGGAACGGCTCCGAACTCTCCGCGAACTCATTCCCAACATTCCTTTCCAATGTCTTTTGCGAGGAGCCAACGCCGTCGGCTACAGTAACTACCCCGATAACGTCATCGACAAGTTGCAATACATTTTTTTCGAGTCAAAAAGTCCTTGAAGGTTCTGCGAGCTGTCGGTGAAGAACGGAATGGACATTTTCCGAGTTTTCGACTCGTTGAACTACTTGCCGAATCTTTTCGTTGGCATGGAGGCGGCCGGTAAAGCTGGAGGAGTGGTAAGGAATTTTCAGAGCGAAGGGAAAACTCTGGAAAAAAAAACCTCAAAAATGTTTTTGAGCTAGTATTCAACTCATTGGTGTGGTTTCTTTCGTTGCTATTTTTGTGGATCAGAGACCAATTTTGAATTGTTTTTCCAACAGTTATCTGTAAGTTCAAATGAAAGGTTTTCTTATTACCTGCGCAAGCTTTCGTTTTTGGAGATAAACTTTCAATTTTCTCGTTCGACCCAACCAATTGAGCAATGTGTGTCGAGAATAAATATAAAACGTGCATTCAGAATTTTACTTTTTCATCTTTCAAAAGAAAAATTTAGAGCATTTCTCAGCAACTTTATCTAGGCGCGGTATTTCATCAAAAAAAAAAACGTTTTAAAAAAAACGACCATAATGCAGGATATGAAGAGAGAAGCAAAATGAATTTGAGTTAGAGTGAGTTCCATTTTAGTCACTTCTTTCGATTCAAGAAGTTAACTTTGAATTTTACGAATAATTTCTCGTTTGTTTGACATATCTTATAGAATGATTTAAAATATGGAAATTAAACTGTGTTTCAGGTCGAAGCGGCGATTTCTTACACCGGCGACGTTTCTGATCGTTCGCGCACCCAGTACAACCTCCAGTACTACCTCGACCTCGCCGAGCAGCTCGTCAAAGCTCAGACTCACATTTTGGCCATCAAAGTATCGAGAAAAATATATTCAATTGAATTTCTTTGTTTTCAGGACATGGCCGGAGTTTTGAAACCCGAAGCAGCCAAGATTCTGATCGGATCTCTGCGCGAGAAGTTCCCAGACATTCCGATCCACATCCACACGCACGACACGGCCGGTGCCGGCGTGGCCACCATGTTGGAGTGCGCCAAGGCCGGGGCCGACGTCGTCGACGCCGCCGTCGACAGCATGAGCGGCATGACCAGCCAGCCGAGCATGGGCGCCATCGTCGCTTGTCTCCAAGGAACCCCTCACGACACAGGTTTTCCTCGTTTCCCCTAGATCCTTCCAACTGCATGGCTTGAGGACTGAGCCTCGATGAGATCTCTAAGTACTCGGCCTACTGGGAGTCCTGTCGACAGCTCTACGCGCCTTTCGAGTGTGCCACGACGATGAAGAGCGGCAACGCCGACGTCTACAAACATGAGATTCCTGGCGGACAGTACACCAATCTGCAGTTCCAAGTATCTTTCGTTGTGATTTGGGGCGTGGTTTCAGCCGTAGCATCTATTTCTAAACTTATCTACTTAAATCGATAAATCAAATAATCCGTTCACTTTGCTCTGAAAGGAAGGTCTATATAGATTATGAAATAGAGTTGAAATCAGGTGAAACAAACGAAAATATATTGAATTTCAACTCTTTTTCTTTAACTTTGAATATTGAGAAAATATGAATTCAAAGTTACTTTCATTTTAAAAAAATTCTGTGTGATTTTTTTAGCTTTTTTTTCTTTTGTTGAGACGATCGTTGGGCTTCAAAACCATACTGTAGGATTAATTTCGAGCTGTGGCCTAAAAAAATGGGCGCTGGAGTATTCTTTTTCTCTTTTATTCATTCAACTATTGGTTACAACGAAACGGGATTCCTTTAAAAAAGGCTCAAATATTTGAAATATTTTCTGGAAAAGTCTTCTGAAATTCAGGCGTTCTCCCTTGGACTTGGCCCAAAGTTCGACGAGGTCAAGAAGATGTACCGAGAGGCGAACCTCGCTCTTGGAGATATCATCAAGGTAGAGCAGTGTTTCTCTTTTTTCAAAACATCATTTCGATTTTGAAGGTCACGCCGTCGTCCAAGATCGTCGGAGACTTGGCTCAGTTCATGGTCCAGAACAACCTGACTCGCGAAACTCTCATTGACCGTGCCGAAGATCTCTCTTTCCCGAAAAGTGTGGTTGACTTCATGCAGGTCTGCGGTATACTCCTCCAGAGACTGAAATGAGGGATCTCAGGGCAACATCGGACAGCCCCCTTATGGATTCCCGGAGCCTCTGAGAACGAAGGTCCTGCGAGGAAAGCCGAAGGTCGACCACAGACCCGGAGAGAAGGTCCCTCCGAAGGACATGGACGCCGCCAAGAACGACTTGGAAGACCGATTCGGCCGACCTCTGCGGTATCTGAACGAGAGAGATTTCATCTTCGCGTTACAACAAGAAAAAGATAATAACTGAGTCGACGAAAATCTGGAAATTTGAGCACAAAATATGCAAATTTAAAACAAAGAAAAGTTGAAACTTTATGAAATTCCCCCAGAATAACCTTGCAAACGCCTGCTAGTCGGAAAAAAAAATTAACGAATTGAGATAATAATCTCTTTTTTGAGGATAAGCTTTTTTTTGTTTTCGAAACGAAAAGAGCCCCATTCATCTTAATAAATAAGAGTTATCTCCAAAAATGCTTAAATATGACCTACGCCGCAAGAAAAACGGAAAGGTCGTCGTAGATCTGATCTGTCAGGCATATGAAAACCGTTCTCGAGAAAGGAACAAAAAGAAATGTTTTTTCGAATAAAAAAAGCGGCTATCATAGTTCTTGCGCCTTTTTTTGATAGAAAATAGCAAACTGTATTCCAAAGCCAATTAGTCTGACTGACTGGCTGAAATCCAGAAATCAAAAGAAAAAATGATTTTATTCTCTTTCACTGAAGATCTTGTTCCAGTTTTCGTCTTTAAAAAAATACAGTAGTTTTATGGAATCTGAAGAAGAAAGAGTAAATGAACGAATTGAATGAAATATCACACTGTCAACCCATTTTGATTGTACTTTTCGAATTATCATCGCCAACTTAGTGTTGACAAATGTAGATTGCAGCGACGAAGACGTGATGTCGCACGCGATGTTCCCGACAGTCTTCGAAGACTTCGAACGATTCCGCCAGCAGTACGGACCCGTGGACAAGCTTCCCACGCGGATCTTCCTCACTGGACTCGACATTGCCGAAGAAGTCGACGTGAGATGTGCCTCTCAACTACATTGGAGACTTTCTCACGTCTTCAGGTCGAAATCGAGAGTGGCAAGACGCTGGCTATCCAGCTCCTGGCCACAGGAAAGCTCAACAGTCGAGGAGAACGCGAGGTTTTCTTCGACCTCAACGGTCAGATGAGAAGCATCTACGTCCAGGACAAGGAGGCCAGCAAGGTTTGCGGCTTGAAAAAAGAAGGAAAAGAAATTGACTTATAGGAGATCGTCACGAGACCCAAGGCTCTTCCTGGAGTTCGCGGCTCGATTGGCGCGCCAATGCCCGGTGATGTCCTCGAGCTCAAAGTTAAGGAAGGCGACAAGGCGAGTTTAACCGAAGAATTATCCTAAAAAATTAAGGAAGTTGCGCAGAAATCTTCTACGATTTCTCACCTTGAAGTTTTCCTAGAAAACTGTTTAGAATTCATTAACTTTTTTTTTACAGAAACGAAACAGAATTGAGGTTTTTTTTTAAATTTTAAATTAGCATTGACATTCGGAAATACGGATAACTCGAGATTTTTGGAATCACGAATTTCATTTTTGGTTTGTGACGGTTCAGTGAAGAACTGGTCTATGGGGACTTTCCTGAAATTAACAAATTGAAATTCAAGCTGCGGAAATCGAGAGGATACAAAATTGGGGAGTAAAGCTTGTCTCTACAGAATTATCCGATATTTAAAAACTTTTATCCTTTTCTGTGCGAAAAAAGGATTAATTCTGACACTTTTTGGGAGGAAGCCGTATATTAGGTCATACAACCACAACCTTTTTTTGTTGAATGAAATTTCGATGTCTCTTTTTTTCCATACGTGAATTGGTGTCCGATTCACGCGGCAGTCTTTTCAGATCTTTGCAGTTTTTCTTCTCAATTTCTAATAAAAATGCATCATTGCAGGTAACACCAAAGCAGCCGTTGTTCGTGTTGTCGGCGATGAAAATGGAGATGGTGATCGATTCTCCGATCGCAGGAACCGTCAAGAAAATCCACGCCGCACAGGGAACCAAATGCTCCGCGGGCGACCTCGTCGTCGAAGTCGAACCTTGAATTCCCCAAATGCTCCCCAATTCCTGTAGCAAGTCTCTTACTAATTGATTTTGTAAATACTTCATCCCCAGAGATTTTTTTTCTTATTGCGTTCCCTACTTTTTTTCTACTTCGGGTTTTTGACTATTATAAAAAAATTGCCCTAAACTTTTTTTGAAATTTACAAGCACAGACCTCGACCCGTCTGTACTATCCATAATAGTTCACACTCGCACTGAAATCGAAGAATTTTGCTATTCATCGACGTCGAGAAGTCTGTTCTCAAAAAATTTCTACGACAGAGCGTTTAGGAAAAATTCACGAGAAGAAAATTATTTTAGTCATAATAAACAGTCAATTTCGCTTTCTTGCGCGTCGCTTTTTATGCAAATTTTAGCGCTTAGGACTCGGCTTTTTGAATATGTCAGCCGAAGTTTAAATAAGGCCTTTGAGAAGCAATGAACTGGGATGGGGTTCTTAGAAATTCCCATTCTGAGGCAACCTGAAAAAAAGAAGTTCTCTCAAGCGAAATCAGGTTTTCATGTTCGTTTTTCGGTTTGAATTTTATATGATTTTTTTTTTTGGAAAATTTTTTTAAAACGTGTAATCTAGCCTTTCTTTCGCTTCAGTTCGCTCATTTTCGATGGTGTATTTGGTTTTTGCTGAAATCTGAACTGCGTTTAGGATGAATTCCGGAGCCGAGTCGAGCAAGCTGTTTGCCGGCATCCGTTTCCGCAGACGAGCCGCTTCTGCTTAGCCTTTCAAGCACTCCGCCCTCGCTGGCCAGCCCGGCGTCCTCAGTTCTCAGAAATGCTCTCCCAGATGGATGTTCCTCAACTTCTTTCTGTAAATGTAAGTTCTTTTATTAACTTATTTCATTTAATTCCAGGTTCCAGGATTGAGGAGTGGCTAAAAAAGCTAGAAAAAACGTTTTTCTCATAGGGTATTCGAAATTTGATAGAACTTGTCGCGAACACCTTAAAAATAGTTGTTTTTGCGGTTGTTCAATGGATTTGTTTCCTAATGAGACCTGTTTTATAAGATTTATCGAAAAAGGATTTTTTAAGTTCACTAAAAGTTTTGATCCATCGAGACTATAAATCAAAACTTTTTATTTGTAACTCCGTTCTTTAAATTCTATTTGGTTCTGTTCGAAAAATCCTTACGTATCGTGATTATTTCACACTCCAAAATGACACCGAAAACTCCTCTTCGCCTCGAGACCTTTTTGTGCATGGTCAACCCTCCTTGAAACACAAAAGGCAGGATATTTCACCGTACTATTATAAAAAAAAATCAAACTTTTTAATTCAAACCTCTTTCCCGTTATTATGTTCATGTTAGGATTTCCAGAAACGTGTTCATAAATAATTTCGATTCCATTTTTATATCTTGAAAATTATCAACGATTTTTTAAGCTTCGACGTACTTTTGCGCCGGACAAATCTGTAACGATAAAATAACATAATTCAACGATTTTGGGAATGTGACACGCATTTGAAGGCACATCCCAGATATTTTCTGAACAGCTTAAATGTCTTTCGGCCACATTAGAAAAAAAAAGCTTTTCTTTTCATCCCGACGCATTTTTCATGCCATGAAAACTTTTTTTCGAGGTCTTTTGCCCAACCGAAAAGCTCAAAAACTCCTCACGTGAAAATTTGTCACGGCGGCTACATTTTTCATTCATACAAAAAGCTTTTCTTCTGAAAAATGAGGTATGACAAGTACTTTACCACAAAATATGTACCTCTCTTGGGCACGTCGGCTGATTTCTTGGACGAATTGAAAGCAGCTGACTTCATATTCATTCAAATGTTCCTATTTTCGAGAAAAATGATCAAAAAAGAGATTAACCAAAAAGACAAAAGGAAACGGAAAAACATATGAAAGGGGAAAAGATCTTTTATTTTACTTTACCAGAGGATGTATGAGCATGCCGAGAAAAGTTGTTCATTGATTGAAAATTTTAATTTTTGCCAAAAGATCGCAAAAATTCAAAACACGCGGGAATTATTGTCACATCACTATTTTTTTCCATTTCTGAGTTTTCTTTTTTTTTGATTTCCAAGATTATTCACTGACCAGGAGCTATTTCTTCTCAGAGATCTATATTCTTCTTTTCTGAATTTTCCGCCCGAATGCACTGTCAATGATCGAGAAATAAGCTCACAAGAGCCTTTGATTCGAACTCTGGTTTTTTTGCTTCCTCAATGAGACGACTTGGGGGCAGTTGGACTTGTCTGAATGGAAAATGCAAATGTGCTGCGGCCTGAATGCGGCAATTAGTCCGCTGGGCTTGGAAACTGACCCCGGAACTTTTGGAACGTCGTCACGATTTTTCTGAAACTTGTTCGCTTCCCCTACATCTTGAAATTCCGAAAAGGGTTTGAGGAACTTCGAATCGAGTTTTCAGCAGATTTGAAAATTCTTGCTCAGCGAAAAGAGGTTTTTGACAAATAATAATGATAATTTATTCAAAGACACGTGGGACATTAACTATTTTGATCTGTGTAGATATACATTTTCTTTTTTTGAAATGAAAAAATGTTTATCAGGCAGGGATATTGAAACAGTTTGAAAGTAATCATTGTAGAGCAATCTTTTAAACTTGTTATTAAGGTGGGGCTTTTGTAGGTTTATAAGGCGCTAACGAACTTTTTTTTTTCTTATACTTCACAAATTCTTGTTTAGGCGTTCGGAAAAGTAGAGTCAATCCTTATAAAATTATCAAGCCCCCTTTTCGAACTTCTTCCTCAGTCTTACGCCCTAGAAACAGATTTTTTCGCCGTTCCCAACGTACTTCCGCGTTAATAGCTTTTTTTTTTCTTTCTTTTAACGACGTGAATTTATTACTTTCCTTTTCTGGAATTCTTTTTGGAATCTTGAAGGTTTCTCATTCTTTTGAAAGGCGGTTCAGAAGTCCTGACCTGCCTTTCACATAGTTCTAGAATTAATAAATCAGAGTTCTTTTTGAGAAAAGTCAGCCTCGACGAAGAGACTCATAAAAGAGAAGCTTAGCGGGTGAACGCTAATCCGGATTTGAGTTCAGTTAGTTCACGAAGATCTTCGAGATAGCGTTGCACATTTTTTGAAAAAAAAAGGCAGATGAGATTCAGTTTCGAGTCGGCCGGTCACTGTGATAAGAAATAGCTTTTCAATAAAGTTTTTATCCTCTTTTTTTTAGTTTTGAGATCATAAGAAATATTTGAGAAAGGTTTTTAAGATGAATAAAAAGTTTTCCCGTTATTTTTCAATAAGTTCATACTTTTAAAACGGAACAGCAAAGAAAAAACTTTGGATTTTACAACCAAATCGTTCTTGTATGCAGGGAACAGTTCTATTCCAGAAAATTAAAACAGTGACATTAAAAAAGGATTTTAGTCAAGCCTTGTGAAATGTCAGAAGATTTAGAACTTTGAAAACTTGAAGAGACGAAATTTCGAACTTAGGGAAACGTGTTAGTGACATTGTTTCTTAGAACACCAGAAATGGACAAAAAATTTTTTTTAACAAGTAAATCGCTCACTGAGATTTTTGAACGTTAAAAGTTTTAGCTTTTCGAAAGCTTACTGGTTTTTTTTTTGTAATTTGTACTTTTAAGGGCTACGATCCGAACTCCCTTCGACTTTTTCCGCTTGTCTAGCCTTCACGGAAAACTATCTTCGTGATATTTGAAAGCAACAAGATGTATAAGAGATAACGCTCTTTTTTCGAAAACAAAGGCCAATTTTCTGGGAATGAGGGAGAAAAAGCTCACCTGAGGAGACAGGTTATTCCTGTGGCAACGCAATATTTTAATTGAAATCCAATTGGAGCCGCTCGTTGTCCATCTCAGGACGTTATGGCTGCGTGGCGTTTTGTTTCGGGACAACAAACAAGCCATTTGCTCGGCCGGCTTCTCGACTTATTCATTCCTTCCGTTCTTTTTTCGCCTCAGGAATGCGGCTCCATTTTCGGGCAGTCATTCCATTTTCAGCCATGCCTTTCTACGAGTTCTATCCCGAATCCTTTCCTCAAAATGGAATTCTTCTTTTTCAGAAAGCCGTTTTAAGTACATATTTTCGTGTATAAGGCGTGTGTGCCGAAATTTGATTGAGTCCTTTTGAGTGGGGGCGGTAAACCTTCTTTGAGTATAAATAAATGCGATGGAAACAACAACTTTTTGTCTATTTTTAGAGGTTCTTTTTGGAAAGTATTCTCTCTTTTTTTATGATTTCCTAGGCATAATTTGCTTCAAAAGCCATTCTAAATTACCAAGTGTTTCAGGTTTTAACAATTGAACAAAGAAAAAAACAGTTCAAAAACGATAATATTTCCATAGGGATTTTCTTTGGCAGATTTCCAGTCTCTGTTTATGTCTTTCCTCTTTTTATATCTTTTAAAAAACTGTGCAACAATGTTTCATCACAAAACTGTTGCGAAGTCTGATTTTCGAACTTATTCTTTTATACGGTCTGATACATTTCAATTCATCTTTTCTTAGTCCAACAATGAGTCAACTAAATTTTAAGCGGAAATCGGAGAAAACCTGACGGAAAGACGTTCTTTTTTCAATACCGAGCAGGAAATAGATGTTCTTTTTCTTTTTGTGGGCTCAATTAAGTCAAAGCGTTTTGATAAAGTTATATTTCAAAACATGTACTTTTTTTTAATTTTCAGTTGGAACCAGACTTTTACTCATTTTTAGTTTCTAACCACAGGTTGCCGTGTTATGAAACCATTTCAAAAGTCGTTTGAAAAAAAAAAAAACAATAACTTTTGCACCATGGAAACCTACCGTAAGGAAAACAAGACAGAAATTGGAAAAAGTTCATGCTCAGTTTCTACGACGCCATTCGAATTCTCCTTTCTTACTATTACCGAGTAACGCTTCTATAAAGTTGGTCCAAACGTTTCCTTCTCTTGCTTTCAACTTTTCAGAAAAGGTTCAAGTTTTCCTCAACTGTTTCAGCCGCTTTGTCATTTCTTTTTAACTCGGGAGAAAACACGTAAAATTTAATGCTGAAAAAAAGCATTTAGAGTCAGTTTTGACCAGAAACGCTTCCACGGCTTATTAATAAAAAAAATGTCAAAAAGACGAGCAAACCTGATTTTCTATTAAAGTCGGAGAAGTTCAAAAGCTTTCATTTTGAGAATAAAAAAGTTTGATTAGAACAAATATTTATATCTTACTAGTAAGTTACAGAGAAATGAATTATTCTATTCTCCTGAATTTTTATCAAATTTGAAACTTTTTATTTGTGCACATCAAAAATAGAACTTATACCCACACAGGTCAAAAAAATATAAGAGATACAAAGTAGTTTTTTAAGCAAATACATGTGGCTTCACGTTTCGCAAGCGAGGTTTAAAAGTCGCGGAGCACGTGCACTTGTAAGGGTTCTGGGCGAGTTGCCAGCCCTTCGGAGACGTTTATTATTTGTCGGACGGCTCACGTGCTTCATCCCGACCGATTCCATTGCCATTTTCCACTAAAGGTCTTGAAATCGACGATTAAAAGCCTCATTAAATGGCTGCAAACTTTGAACTTCCCTTCGTTTCTCTACTCAGGAGAGATTAAAAATAGAAAAGAGAGTTCTTTTAGGTCAATGAACAAAATGAACCGTTAAATAGTAAATTTCTCGAATATCGTAATAGTTTTTATCGAAATTTCGTTTTTTGCTGCGAAAATAAATAAACTTGTAGTATATCTGAAAAGATAGCATCAACTGCATTAAGCACAGTCCGTTTTTTCGAATCACCTTTCGGATTTTTCATGGAACTCATGTTTCGAGAGAGTTGTTTAGTGTCAGAAGTATGTTTCTGTTTTACTAACCGTTCATTTTTCCTTGAACAGTACGTAGTTTGATTTTCAAAAGTGAGTGCGAAGAACTACGGATCTGATCGAAATTTGAGAAAAAAAAAAGAAAAAAAGCTGGGATAGTTTCGAGATTTCCTTATCGTCTCACGAGGGATTATTCGACGTTTTCATCAACTCAAAAGCATATTCGCTTCATTCCGAGGCACAGATGAGCCCCTAATCGGCTGCCTCCCCCATCCAAACGCTTTGCCACTTTTCTTTTTCTTTTTCTTGCCCATGTCAAAGTCCTACTCATTTCTCGCAACTTTTTTCAAATTAGCTTTTCTTGCAACACGTTTTTTCGCACTACTGGGCTTAATTTTTGAACGCGAAACTTTTTTCTTCGTAGGATTAAGAGAACTTTTTTGAGGAGATCAGAAGTTTTTCGCTACAGAAGCCAGAAAAGGACAAGTCAATCATTTTGTTTGTTATGGAAGAGGGCGGTCTATTTATGAGAAAAATAGTCGTTCAGTTTTTGAAGAGAATATCTTGAGAAAAAGAGCTGTTCTGATCAGAAAATTTGGTCAAAGGAACCATTATGAATGAAGGAGAACTACCTATTCCATTTGTTATGGATGGCTTCGGTGTGTACTTGAATTGACGTTTTTTGCGTAGATTATTGAGAAGAAAAAAGACTCGTTTGAAATAACAAAAATTTCCGTTTCAGGAACCATTAAGAATGAAGGGAAATTTCCCGCTTTATTTATATATCTATAGAAGAGAAATGGCCCCAATTTCTCTGAGAAATAATCGTTGGTTTTTGGAAATTCTTTGGTCCTGTTAGGCGCAGGCTTGCGACCGTGAGGTCGCGAGACTGCGCCATTTGGGGTTAGGTTGAGACTTGGGCTCAACCTCATTATCCAAAAGATTTAGTTGATTTCAGCCAAAATAAAGAAAGAGTCAAAACACTCGAAGTTACTTTTGCTGAAAAGAAAGCCACTGAAAACGGTCGTTTTTGGCGTGGACGAAGGCGTGGGCGGCTCCTCGAAAATGGAAATTCAATACGTTTGCGGCGACATTTCCCCTATCATTATTGCTATTATTAAGAAATGCGATATGTGCAAATTTTTGACAACTCCATATACTCCTCCTCTTCAAAATTTGCAATTCCAAGATCTTTCCGTTAAAATTTTTTTTGCAATTTCCATTAATAGTAACAGCTTTCCTTGGTATTTTGAATAACATGTAAAATTTGAAAATGCAGCATTTCTCTCGAGCATAGAAATTATTTCCTATTTTCCCTCATTTTTTTCTTATCATTTTTTTATTTTGGTATATTTTTGAACCGAAAAATAGACTTTTTTCGAGACAGCTATATCATTTTCTCTCTTTCGAAATGCTGCTGGGGATTTTTGATATTTTGAAGAACAGCTGAAACTCGAAAAGCTAGCATTTCTCTCGAGCCTAGAAATTACTTCCTATTCTTCTTATTTTTACTCCACTTTTTCACTATTTTTTTTTCCTATGAAATTCCTATTTTCAGCACAAAAGCAGCATGCAGGCAAATGGCTCGCCCGTCATCAACGGCGACAGTCGTCGCAGTAGTATGGTTAGTTGAAAGTTTGGTCAAAACTTGGCTTATCGTCGTTTTTCGAATGGAATAATTGGGAGTGAAAAGAAATTAGGAAAAAAAAGTTAAAGTTATTCGAGAAATCTGGACGCAAATTGTTTTGCATTGTTTTGGGCATGTTTGAGCAAAGAAATATGCTGCGAAAAATCCTGGAAAAGGAGGTTTTTGCCCCGCACAACTTTTTTTGGATACTTCGAGATTTCCTCTTTTTTCTAGTGTTTAAAAAAAGTCGTTACTCGTATATATACAGTTTCTACAGTTTTTCCAAGTCAAAGTGAAAGTTGAAGATAAAAAAGTCAGCTTGAAATTTGAAAAAAAAAATGAGAATTTCCTCAGATGTCACGTTTAATAGATAATTACATCTTTTTTCTATTTTCTTCCTTTTACAAAACAATTATCGCTAATAGGCGTGTGAGTGAGTTTTCTTCAGAAATCTACAGCGAAATCCTAAATTATTCACGTACACACTATAATTTGTCGCTTTTTCGGGAGAGTCTTCTTATTCGGACACGTTTCGAGAATTTTCCTCTTTTTTTGTTCTCAAATTCTAATCAAAACCTACAGAAATATTCTGTCGAAAAGGAAAACTATTCACTATGCGTTAACCTAGATCACTTCTGAAGTAGAAGAAGAAAAAGTGATCGACTTTCATACTGTTATCCTCGGAATGAATCTTTATTTGTTTTCATTTTTAATATGTAAAGTAGAACTATCTTCTAAAAAGTCCTTCACTTTGCAGGTCGACGCATGCGGACGATTTTGCAGCCAGCCAATCAGCGGCTCCCCCGAGGTTCTCTCTTTTTTTCGTTGTTTTTCTCATTATTTGATCTCTTAAACTGCCCTTACCTCCCTTCACGTGCAAAGTAACACGAATTTTTTTCGGTCAAAAAATTTTGTTTTCACGAGAACTACTGTACTTTTCGATCGTCTCGTGTTTGACATGGCATCATTTGACTTCGTGAACACTTATTTTGAGATGAAAAGTTGAAAGGTTTGAGAGACCCAAAACCTTTCTGGAAAATTTTCTAAATTTTGGAATTAATTAAAACATCATTCAAAAAAATTATTCAATGTATTTACAACACAGAGTTTCAAAAAATTTTAACAATATCGCTTTTTTGACTCGTTATAGCCGTTTACGGCAGGGAAAAACAGAAGTTAAGAAAAACATTTACTCCTGACACCTCTGTAACGCAAACCGGACGCGGTCCGGACGTTTCTGAGCATTCACAATGATCCTTTTAGTGACGTAAGCACTCTTAAATGATCACTTGAAAGGCTCAGAAAAGTCGGTGGCGCGTCCGGTTTGCAGAGGTCCGAATCATTGCGACTGTGCACTGGCGCATGCTTTCTCTAAACTAATGCACTTTTTAAAATTGGTTAAAATAATAGCTTTTTTGAAAATGCTTTTTGCAGCTTCGCTATAATTTTTTTTAAATGTATACTGGTCCACAAAATTCTCTTCAGCTCCTCGTCGGCCTCTGCTTCGACGAGAAACACGAATCGGTGAACGTCTCCGTGGACAAGGCGTCGTCATTGTCGCAAGGCGGAAGTCCTCTCGACACCTATCTGAAGGTGGTGACGGTCGACGAAAACGAGGCCGACGTGGGCCATCAGAAATCCGAAACGACGAAGGGAACCTCTGAGCCCGTCTTCAACTACCGCTGCAACATCAAGGTGCTCGAAATGAACGACCTGAGCGAAACTGAGGCTGTTGTAGTTGTCCCACGACGCCGTCGAGAACAGGACAGTCCGGATCGAGGTGTGGAGCGTGTCGGGAATCCTGCGGCGGAAGCACTTGATCGGAATCGTCGCCGTCGGCCTCAACTCTTCTTCCGCCGACGCACAGGAACACTGGCAACAAATGATCCAGGTACTGTACCTTCAAAAAATTTTTCTGGGATATTTTGAAGCCACAAGAACTTTCAGTAGATTATCGCTTTTCAAAAAGCTTTTTACTTACTTTAAAGTAAATCATTCTCAAAAATAATAAGGACAATGTTGAGACGAAAAAACACTTACTTAGATAATTAGTAAATAAGTACTTAGATGATCCATCTTCGCTTTCGACCTTTTATCGATCGAAGCGTGGACCACACGTTTTGAAAAAAACACATGAAGTTTAATTCACTAAATTCTCTGAAATGGGGCGCATAAAGGCCGCTATAACTTTTTCTCTGACCTACGCTATTCCGTCGTTTTCTCGCAGCTAGGTGGGTTTTTCTTTTGGGCATCGCCCGTCAAAGTTTTCTTTATCATTGGAGAATAAAAAGAGCTGAGAATTTCTTTTGAGGCTTTTCATATTTTTTCTAGGCGTTTTGAGATTATTTGCATTCTAACTTTAAAGGTAAAGCACTTTTTTGTATGTTGGTTCTAATATAAAAAAGTTTTTTGACTCTGTTGAAGTCATTTTTCTTAGTTGGAGTTCATAAGAGAAGCTTTCCTGTATAATCTACGATATGAGGTTTTTTTCGAAAAAAATTATTCAAAAAAATTGATTCATATTTTTAATCGAAACAAAAAGTTTTTAAACGTTACAACAATTATTCAGCCCTTGCTCATATTTTCAAATGTTTAACTGTTTGCCAATATTTGTTGACCTCATTTGTGTCGGCCAAAAACATTTTCATAGATCTCAAATGTTCTTTTGCTATTTTGCACAGCAAAGAATTTGAAAAGTCACAAACATCGGAAATTGTGTTTTCAGAGCGCTGGAATCACCGTCTCCAAGTGGCATCCAGTCCAACCGGCAAACTCGTAGATCTTTTTGCAACGCTCACTTTTTCCCCAATAAATAAACCGCCTCATTTTCTCTTCCTATTGTTCTTCCTTTCACAGAGAAAAGATGTTTTCGAGGGTGTGTCATGCTGTTCTTCCTCTGTTTCAAAATACTGAATTCGGTTTGTAGATGGAAAGCTATTTATAAACGATTATGTTTATGAAACTCGTCTAGTAACATCAGTCTGGAAAATTACCTTGAGATGGAGTGGGAAAACAAGCAAACAGGACTCGACTTTGTACACGTGTTTTGAAGGTTGTACGAAAAAATACAAGAGCAATTAGACTCGTAATATTAAGAAGAAGAAGAAGAAAAAAGAGAAGATGACAAACGATGTGTTAGATATGGAAGTGAATACGCGTTGAGATGCAAGTATTTGTACATTTCTTGGGGCAGACAACGGTTACTGTAGCTTCTCTAACAATTGGTTGGGGTGGTGAATGGCGCTAAGATATGATTAACATGATGGATTTGGTTATTAATCAGTGTCGTTCGCAGGCTACAGTAACCCCGACGTCTGGATGACAGAGCGATTTTTAAATATGAAGTGGAGCCGGAATTCAGTTGGTTGGCGGCAGAAGAACTGCGGCCGGATGAGAGGCTACGTATTCAGGAAGTTCAAAGTCGTCTCTTTCGTGCCCCTCCAACTCGCCGACTTTGAAGTTGGCCAGCATCATGCGAGCCTTCGTGGAATGGCCGACGTCTTCGAAGGCTTGAGTCGCGTCACAGCCAGCCTGCAAACGGAGAAGTTAGTTTGGAGCCTTTTGAGAGGGTCGAACTCACGAATTCAAGGAGGATCTCGAAGCCGCCAGGGTGTCGACCGAGGAAGGGCGTAATGTCGTAGACGACGTTGGCAACGATGATCCAGCAGTCGTCCTCAGTACAGTGCATGGAGACCTCGCAGCGGGAGTAAACTTGAGCCGACATTTTGTGTAGTTTGCTCTGAAATCGGAGACTGTTGCTTCTGGTTTTAGATGCCTTTTTTCAACGGATAGCGTTCGCGAGCAAGTTTTTTGTAGGGGGAAGGTTTTTGAGAGTCCGATGCTTACTTTTTTTATTTACTTATTGAAGTTTGTATTCTAATTGGATATATTTTGAGGAGCTAAAAAAAATTCAGTCTGTTTTTTTAAAGTTAAATTTCACTAGAGTCAGTATTTTCAAACTCTCAAAAAAGGGTCTCAAAAAAAGGATCGAAGCTTCAAGGGTCTCAAAAAAAGGATCGAAGCTTTTTCGGACAGGACAGGGTCAAATAGTGACCACTCAATGGAGTGAATAAATATGGGAGACCAATAAATCGGCAAAGTTTTTTGTCGCCACGCTGTTGAAAGGACCGAGAAACGAGAGAGAAGCGAAGACAAGGGTGCGGTTATATAGGGCTGGCCCTGTCGTTGGGTGGATTCACACGAGCGGAGAGACATCGGAGACGCAGCTTCAGAAGCGGTACACGTCCATTTCGTCGACAGCCGACGTCTTCTCTCCCACGTGCACCGAAGAGACCTCCCCTCGACCCAATCGATACCTCTTACGGCGTCTGATCGGTTCGTTGGGTCTATCGGCCTCGGCTATCAGTGTGAATGGACCGCGAAACACGCTACCACCTCCGCGGCGTCTTCTGAAGTCGACGACGCACGTGAATCGGGGTGATTCCCTTCGCGCCGATTGTTTGCTTCCTATCACTAATATTGCGCTTTGAACGACGATTCTGAGTGAGATTGTTTGCGAGGAAGTTGTATAGAAAACATGTAAATGGGGTCAAAAAATAACGAACTTTTTAATTTACTATAACTTTTTGAAGTTTCTTTTCGACGAAACTTATCAGAAGTAATCCGCTTCCAACAGTTTTTCAAAGCAAAAAAAGTATTTGAGTTTTTTTTGTCAGTTTTAAGAATTCGAAAGTCTTCTAATGCTGTTAGATGATGAAAATTAGAAAAAAAGACGTTCTGAAGAAATGTTAAGACCGAAATCAAAGGAAAAAGACAAGAATTTTTTTGGGCACACAGAAATTCACAAAGTTGGGCTTTCTATCTTCATTCTACTCTATTCACAATTCATTTCCATTAGCTGTCAAGCTTCGATTCATTCTTCAAATGATCCTTTGATCCGGACTGATTTTAAATCTCTTACTTCCGAATTCCTCCCTTTACAAAGCTCATCAATCGATATGTATCCGTCGACATCAAGGACGTTGTATGATATATTTGCGGCGATTCGGTTGGGAAAAAAACGGGCGAAAAAAGGGTTGATATCCGAAAGTTGCGGCACGAGATCTTTGGGAAACGACGCGTGGAGACGTCGCATCGAATCGACCCATCAGACGTCTTCGAAGCACTCTTCTGTTCCACCTTACGGTGGGAATCACCACGTTTCGTTTCTTTTCTCTTTATCGAGAGGTTCGACACTTTGTACCGTCGATTCTTTAAGAACGAAAGGGTTGAAAGGTCCTAAAAATTTAGATTCGGAACCAAAGTTGGAGGAAAATCACGCTTCCCACAGAAAAAATAAAAATATTAAAATTTTAAAAAGTTGAAAACTCATGTTAGAATAAAATTTGATTTGTAACTTGAAGAATTATTTCTGAAAGTTTGTCGTCAGCCGTCGTCAAGCATGCACTGTTCCAGTCATTCAAAAAAATATGAAAGCTTTAAAAATGTTTTGATTTACTGGACCGCTCTCAAAGAGTAAACGTTCTTTAAAAACGTGAAGTTTTTTTTCTAAACAGTGGTTGAGTCTACACGAAAATTGTTTTCTTGTTGAACTCATTTCATAGGCTCAGAAAATAATGAAAACTTTTTCCTGAGGAAGCTTCAAATTTCATAATGGCTAAACCTCTTCAGTGTTTTTCAATATTTTCCAGCTTGAATTAACTGAAAAAAAATTTAAACCCCTTTGTGGAAAACTTAACTAGTTTATATCCCTCCAAAACACTCAATTCCAGCTGCGCAATTCTTTTTTTCTAGCAAAATAATGACAATTATCGAAAAAAAGTGTTTGATTATTTTCCTTTCGAAAAAAGCCTGCAAAGTTTTCGAAAAAACGACACGTGAAACGTTTGCAAGCCGATCCAAAGTCCGATTTTATTGACGAAAATATGTTTGCAGTCCGACCGCGTGTCTGAAGTCGGACGCACGTTTTCTTGGGTCTCCTCAGAAGACGTTGAGAGAGATTCTAGTCTGTTCACGTGCCTCTTCTGTTGTTCGCATTCTTGTTCCGCCGCCTCCACCGCTCTTACCAAACTATTCCTTCATTCATTCATTCATTTCCTTTTTTTTTGCAAAAAGGCCGGAAATTCGCCGAATTCCGACTGTTTGGAGTTCTCCGTTGCAACAGTTCCACGATGGTCGTCAATAAGGAGAATGAATCAGAAATATTTTAGTACTTCGAAACTGGCCAAAAGGTTCTCTGAACCCCTCAATATAACTGTCTTCTTTTCGTTTGAACTTTCGAATTTTTCAAAACACTTTGGTCCAGAAGGAAATGACGTTGGAAACAAAAAAGAGTCCGAAGTTCGGAAGTCACACTTCTACCAGCTGATCAAGGACGATCATATCATGTTTTCTGACGGAAAACCATGTCGAACTTCTAAAGAACATTATCATTTGATAAGGTTGATGTCAAGTTTTCTTAGGAGGAAATGACGCCTCTAACCGAAATTTGCAGTCAAAAAATTGGAAAAAAGATCAACGGCAATTTGAACAAAAATCGAGAAAAACATTCTTTGTTGTGGCGGTATCGCCGCCCAAAACAATTCGTGACTTGCACCGATTGGGAAATTTTTTAACCCATGCGATTTATGGTCTAGTGGAATGCAAAGAAAGGAAATGTAACTATTTTTATGGGTCTAATTTACCAACCGCCAGGTAAAATGACCTTGTTAGGACCAAAAGAAAATATTTATAGTTTGGTAGCGCTCTTGAGGTACTGTATTACAGTAATATTCAAATCAGAAAATAAAAAACAAAACAAAAGATTAGGGTATTAAAATCAAAACATTAATGGATGGAAAAATCTAAAATAATTTAATTTTCAATCGACGAATAATTCATGATGATCTCAAAGCCCCAATTTCGAGCATTTTTACTTGCGTTGTTTTAAAAAGTCGAAAAAATTTCGATTTATTGGTAGAAATGGCAAAAAAAAGAATGGCTCCGTAAAATGTATTATTCTCAACTTTTTAGGTGTGGCAAAATCTTTGATTTAGGAGCCCATCTTCGGGCTCACAAGTGTCCTTGTTCAGCTTTCGACTCGCACGATGTTGGATTGAAAGTAGCAGAGGAAAGAGTTGGGTAGTTTGATGTGTGGACGAACTTCGAAGGCGTCCGTTTGACGAAAAGCGAGAGCGACAGACGAGACAGAAGACGTCCGTCACTTCCACGCCATCGACAGTTGCGAAAAGTAGACTTTGGCCTCTTCGTCCGCCTGAATTCCCTCTTTTTTCTTGCAGACTGATATGATTCCTTCTTTTTTCTTTTTTCTTCGCACTTACTTACTTACACTTTTACTTTCACTTATTAGACGGGTTTCTGCCCTTGATAAGAGGACTGTCAAACTCAAATCGAACTTATATTTCACTATAGTTATGGACAGCCAGTGATTTCATGTGTTTTTGGGGAGTTTAAGAACTACTCGATGTTTTTTTTTTTTGAAACATTTATTAAATTAATTATCATTCAAAGGATCAGTTAATGGGAGGGATAATATTATTAGAGAGAAAAGCGTTGAATAAGCTCTAGTTGAATCGGCGAAATTTGGTTGGAAAAATCAAATTTCAATAAATGAATTTCAGTAAGTAGTTTCCGAAGCAAATTTCCAATCATTGATATCATTTCTTATTTTGCAAAAGTTAAAGATTTTCCTCCAATATGAATGAAAAAAAGCCTCGAAAATTGAAATAAACCGTCACAACCGTTATAACTTCTGATAAATTTGGCTTTTTAAAAAATTTTCTCAAAATTCAAACCGGCTCGACGCTGAATTTTTTTTTTAACATTCAGTTTTATGATTTTTCTCATGAAAAAACTTTTGTCGATTCCTTCTTCTGAAACAAAAGTTTTTCTTTCTCCAAATTGAAAGACCAAGTAAATCAGAGGCTTTTTTTTTGAAGTTTCTGCAGACAGTTCGAACAGTGCGAACCGTTGAAACCATCCATAAATCATCGAGTGAATGGACTAAAAGATAAGATATTTCCACAATGGCGAGACGCGCCATTTTCCAGTCAGCGTAAATTCGAGCGGTTCAAAAGACCAGCCCCCCTTCTCTAGTCTGCTTGGGAGAGAGAGACGCAGATCGAGTTCAAAGTTGCTCCATTTTCCCAGGGTGTACCCAAAACGAACCGATTGTCCGACTTGAACAGTTTTGCCGCGGAAGTCGCGGAAGGAGATGGAGCGCTGCGAGGAGTTGGGCCTCACGCTGGCTCTTCGCTTCGCCAAATTAAGTCCTCAACTTCGGAACTTTTTCTAGGCACAAAATTTTGAACGAACTAATTTTCCGTCCGCATGATGTGAAAAGTCGATTGGCGTCGAGAGTCAAGAAAAGGAGAAGCCCCGACAAAAGCAGACTCGTCGACGCCACGATCACGTCGAAGATGAACCTGACAAGAAGGAGATTTCATTCGAAAGTTCTGATTTCATTGAGAAAAATCCAAAAAAAAAAAATCATATCCCGATCTATCAAAGTGTATAATTTCCTAGCTTTGAAAATTAATCCCGAAAATTAGGTTTTTCCAAATCTTTGTGATTTCAACTGTTTTTAGGAACCCAATTCTCAAAAAATAGCTGTGATACTCACTATCTTCACCCACAACGTTTAAGAATTTCTGATTAAATAGGTCTCCAATTTATTTGAATTCTCACCCGTTGACTATGGCTGTCCATTCGTCCCCAATCCTAATCGCACTTGAAAACCTCAATAAAAATATACTCGATACTCCGAAAAGCACGATTCCCGTGATGAAAACTGGTAGAAAAACTTTTGACATCCGCACATTTTCTCTCATCTGAAAAAGTAATAATTTTGCTGAGTTCTTATTGGGAATAACAAGGCCATAATGATGAAACAGCATAAATCCTCATTAAAAATATTTTATTTCTACTCACCTGATAATTTCGCGAAATATTTGTCCAGCGATGTTTTTCCAACATCGAAACGTTTCGAAAATAGACATAAGCAGTCGCCTGAATGATTCTTCACCTTTTTGTTTCCGACACAAAAACCCACTATTATGGATACCGAGCCGAAGAGCACCATGACGGTGACGTTGATTTCCCTTCCACTTGACCAGTTGTACTTCGAATAAAGTAGGAAAACAGCGAGCGGATACTGAAGTTCAATGTCTACCTTGAACAAAAAATACGAAAAGTACCGTTAGGAAGGAAGCAAAAAGAACAAAGCCAAAGCTGGAACCGTGCTCATAACTTTGCGACTGCCAAGTAGCCACTAGCCTTTCGGCGGATATGACAAAAAGATGAGCGGCCACTGGAATCACATGTGAGACTGGAAGTATGTTTAAATTCCTACCAACATTTTGAAGCAACGTCCTGATGTACATGAAGACGTCCATCGTGACGACTTCAACTTGTTTGTACTCGCAGATGAGCCACGCCGTCCGACAGACGCTTGTCCCAAAACACGCCGAAATGTAGCTCAAAATGATCACCTGAAGTGAATAATTGACTAATAAAAGCCCTTTGTTCGAAATTTAACCTTCAAGTTCCTGTGTATCAGAGAAGCCGAGAAAATAACCGGCAAAAGTAGCAGAATACACAAAATATGCAGCGCGTGTACAGGGCACTCCAAAATTAGGAATAATTCATAAACTATACGGACTTCGCCGGGTTTTCTCATATGATAGGAACCTAAAAACATCTGCACTGAAGAGGATTTCCGATGGTAATTCATTTCTAAATGAAAATTGTTGCGATTTAGTTTCAATAAAACGCATGTTTGTGTACAAAAGAGCAGACCACACATATTTTTCGTTGATATTTTTAAACCAAAAAATGAGTAATTTGAAAAGAAAAAGTCACCAATTGGCTCTTCTTCGATAGAGGGCTCTTTCATGTTGGAAAACGATTATAGTTAGAAAATAGGCTGGAACAGTTGAATTTCGACGAATGGAAATGCGTTCAAATCTGAGCGAGTGAAGTAATTTCCTGAAAACCCACAAATATAATTTGTTTTTCTGATTGTTTACTGGGCGAAGAACGTTCGAGCAGAAAAGGCAGAGTTAAAAATGGAAAAAAAAAACATCTGCCGCTGAGACATTTATGGAGAATCATCTAAAATCTGAACTTTCCTATGAAAACTTCAAAAAATGCTCTTGCTGTAGCTACAAAATTGCACGTTTCAGGTTGTCAAGGTAGTTTGATATAAAGCTACTAATCAGACCACCAAGATCATTCCAAAAAACTCGCGTCTTCCATTTCAAATCTTTCTATCATTGTGATAATTATATGTTATTAACTTTGCATGCGATTTCCTTCGAAAGAGCGATCCCAAGAAAGAAGAAAATCACGAAAAAAAAAAACTGATTCCAGTTCCTAATAACGCCATTTTCTGAAGTGGTCAACAAAAACAACCGCGTTTTCGCCTCACGAGGAAACTTTTGAAAATCTCGACCGGTTTCGATCAAAAAGCTATATGTGGTTCGTGATATCAAGATGTTGACTGATTTGTGCAAAATCAATGTTTTTGGGGCAAACCCTCGAGGTTCTACATCATTTGATTTCCAAAAAGTGAACATTTGAAAGTCAAGTCGAAACATAAAGTTTTGATTAAAATGAAGCAAGCGCGAATGTCTCTCAAAAGCCAGAGGGACTAGACCAGGTGTACTTTTGATGATTAAGTTTGAGTGAACTCGTACACAATTAGATAAATGAACAATTCAACCATAACTCGTGCTCAAAAGTAAAAAAAAACGGTTTTCCCAGAACTGATAAAGGCTGAAAATAAATGTTTAGACTTCTTATTCGATTAACTTGTGTACTTCGTTCATGACAAATGAATTAACTCGTTAAAAATGTAACCAAAGAAAATAGTTCGAGTGTAATGAAGAATAATATCTTTTTGCTACGTTGCAGAGGAAATTTCAAAATCTGAAAAATGAAAAAGTCACACTGAGAGATTTTTTTTCTTCTTTTCCTATCCTTCTCTAAACACCTATAAAGCTACATCCCGCTATATAATTTCCCAAATTGAAGGCTAACAACGACTTCGTGTATAACAACTGGATACAGAAAACCTGCGACATTTAACCTCTTCCATAATTCTGATGAGAATGTAGAGGCGTCAAAAAATGTCACTTGACCTTTATCCTTTTCCAGTTGCTTTTTAAAAAAAATTCAACTTGTTTAAACGCTGGATTTAGCCAAAATATGGAATAATTCATCGCGAAAACAGTCTCAGAACGATTTCTAAAAAATGAGGTTTTACAAGTCCTACATTACTCAAAGTGTCAATTTGAATCTGGTTTCTTGAAGGTTAATATTCACTCCAAGGCCTGTAAGAAACCGCTACAAAGCGGTTATAGTCTGTTCAGATTTTGAATGTCAAGTCGTCGCTCAAGTCCCGCCCATAATGGTGCGATAAACCAATCAGAGAGCGAGCCATCCACAGAGTGTTTTTGAATGACGTCATTGCACTTGACATTAAAAATCTGAACAGACTATACGCGTCGACTTTGAAGTGCGAACATCGGAATATCCAGAGGTGAAGAAAAACAAGTATACGTTCGTTTTGTGTAAATTCATCTTAATTTCTCTAAATGTTTCATATAGGGATGTATTACTTGAAAATGTTTCAATACTTTACCCTTCTAAGCTTTCTCAAAAAGATTTTATTCTAACATCTAGCGCCAAAAACACAACGAAAAACAATCGTCTGGGTATTCCTTTTTTTCATGTTACAACGTTCACATGAGAGGCCCGTGGACGTCGATTTCGTCGCCGTCTTCGGGTGCAAAGGGGGAATCCCCAACAGAAGACGTCACTTTCGCCTTCTTTCGACGTCCTCAGATGCCACGTGCGTCGCACGACAGATAATTAATGGTATCAGGTTTTTTCAATAAATCGTTCTGATACCAAGGAAAAAATCCTTTGACTACCATAAAATAAAACAAAGAGTATCTCCCAATTTTTCCAGGCATCATTTGTCTACCTTATCATCAATATTTCATTGCAGTGTAATTCCTAGTCGAACTCGTTTTTCATAGATACTGCGCCATTGTGTTACAACAGCGCCTTTTTGAATTCGTCTCGTTTTTTCTGCTTCCATTCTTCGTCGCCTGAACAATCGAATCGAGTTGTTCTTTCAAGAAAGGGAAACACCTTGAGCGATGATCTTCAGCGAAAAAAATTGAAAAGAAAAAGTAAAATAACCAGGTAGATTTATTTTGAGCTGTCCTTAAAAATTGAAAAATCAAATTTTTTGGTGTAATTTTAAAAAAAAAACATGAAAATTTTCAAAATCAAGAGTTCAAAAAAGACGTAATCGGGAGGGGGACATAATCATTATGTCATTATTCTCAAAGTCCTCAGAGGGATAATCGTCATACCATCGTTTGACATATGACTCATATGAAAGACGAAGGATCATAGATATGACCCTTCAATATACCTCCGGGAGTACCGTGATACCCTTTCTGGAATCATTTATGAAACTTCGAAAAATTGCAAAAAAAAATTTATTAACGAAACATTTTAGTTGTTTCTTTCGTGAAATTTGAAATTTTTATGGAAAGGTTTTTCTCAATTAAAAATTTTTTTCTTTGAAAAAGTTATTTAAAAATTTCTTCTTTTTGTTACACTCAAAGAACAAGATCAAACAATGGAGTCATTAATATCCATTCTTTCAGTTCGGAAACGGTGAAGATTTATTATCTTTTTACTAAATTCTCTTCTTCAACGCTTCGAACAAAATGACGCCTTCGGACCGAAATTCAAGAACACTTTGGCGATTCTTGAATTTTTTTCTAACCTATGAACAACGATGAGATTTGAAAGGTATGAGTCAAACAACCGTTGTGTGATTTTTGCATTGTGTTGCAAAACAAATTTTCTAATTAAATTATCAATCGTCAGAAATATCAGAAATCACTCTTAATTCAAAGGCCTTTAGAGGATTATTTTTTGCAGTTTGAAGTTCATCATCATCATCAATATTTATTGGTTGTTTTAGTCAGATGGTATCGACTAGGCGGTAAAAAAATTGCTCTTTTGAGCGGCACTAACACCGCCTTTGGCGAAAAAGAAGTCAAAACGTGTAGTCGAATGATTTGAAAGCATGGTCTTACGGTCCTTCGCCTCGTTCTTCCACAAGTAGATCTTTCAGTTTTGCGGGTACGGGCACGGCGGGGATGGTAGGGCTCGGGCACGGACGCCGTGTACACTCTAGGGTAGCCTCGGCCGACTGAGAGAGCTACCACTTAGAGTGAAGAAAATACACGGAATCGGAAGTTGATAGCTAAAGGTTCCGCTCATTCTTTTTTTTTAAAGTTTTTTAACTAAATTTATAACATGACGCCATTCACTTCGTCAGACTTTGTTTGAGCATATTAAATGGGGTTTCGAACTGAAAAATATTCTGGATGACGAGTTCAAAGAGCGAAGTCTTGTTTCGAATGAAATTGAGAAGATCAGAAAAGAAACGATCGCAATCGGATTCCTCTTTTCGAAGAAAAATAAAGAAGAGACCTTTAGACCTTAATCAATGGTCTCAAAACTGTTATCAATATATCCGGTCCGTCGGTGATCTTCTAGTTTTTTTTTTCTTTCTTCTTTCTTTTGCAAACTTTGAAGAGAACGTAAACATCTCTTGGCAAATAAGACCTTATCTTTAACTTTTAGGGATTTGAAAAAAGAAGTTGAGGATCCAAGATCGAAACGGAAGAAATAGTCCACAATAGCCATGAAAATGCATATCAAACCATGTGGCTTTACTTTTTCAAACAAGGAAATGAAGCGATTTAATCACACTTTCAAATAATTGAAACAGGTGAAATTCCATGGAAAAGATTGGTTTTTTGAATAGAAATTTTGAAGTAGAAAAAAAAGTTTGACGTTTGCTATTTCATGCCTGAAACTATTGAATCATCATTTTCATAATCATTATCAAAATTCACCGATGGATCTCAATCGGAACGGTTCGAATTGGTTTTGAGGGCTGAAAACAAAAAGAATAAAATTCTCGAGGTCAAAAAAAACCTTCCGCAGAATATTCAACTTTCCGGATACTGGAAGAAGCGCTGCGAACGGTAGTAAATTCCGTCGGAGCTAAAATCATTTCTCAGGATAATCATCAAGAGTTGGGAATGGACTTATCACTATCGACTTGCTCGCGTCCATTCGGATGTTCATGGCAAGTTTTTCCGGTTCGCTCGCCAAAACCATCGTCTCGCGGATGTCGATCTCGTCCAGCTTCAATTTACAAATTTGGTAGGGTGAACTGGAATATTATAACTTGGTGGTGAAAAAAATGAAGAAAAAATAATTAAATTTGTTGCGTAATCAACTTTATTTTATCCTACGAGAATAGTAGAAAAAATTGGAAAAAAAAATAGGAACTCAAGACTTTACAAGAGAATTCGTTTGGATAACTCCTTTCAATACCAAAGTTAAGATATACTTGGAAATATAGTTGATTATCAGTAGAAAGCACAAAAAGGCTCCCAAACATGCTGGTATCTACGGAAACCTCTTCTCTTGGTGGTCATCTTGAAAATCACCTCAAAATAGGAGCAACTACTCATGGCCGTCAGATCTACGAAGCTTTCGTCGCTGAACGGCGTGACATCCAAAGAAAGTTCCTGAAAAGAGCTTTCAGTCCAAACCGCATCCTTTTAACACCTTCATAAGTTTTCGGAGGACTCTCTCTCCAGCAACATGACACGGGAAAACTTCTCCGTTTGATATGGATCTCCTTAAATATACACTAAACTGGGCCCTCAAGATCCCCTTACATTCTTTTGTTGCGACTAATTTTGATTGTACGCGGTTCTGCTGCATGCAAAGATCCAGTCTCTTTGACGTTCCCTTCGAAGATCACAACCAATCTGAAAGTGAGGTGGTTCGAGATTGAGCCAGGCAGACTTTTCGTGTCAAACTTTGTCTTGGTTGGTATAATATCTCCTTTCTGAGCATTGCGAATGAGCTTCGGCGAGAGAAGAAGCTTCGTCTGAAGGACGTCGAAACCAAGAACCCTCAGCTCAGGACAGTGAGAGAGTAGCCACTGAAGGGAAAATTGCGTAGTTTCCGAATGGTTCAGACAAACCTGAATGACGAGAAGTTGTTGAGAAATGGGTAACGGGTATGCCGGATCGGTACCGGCCTCGCGGAGCCAATCCAGGGCTAGCTGATCTCGACAAAGACCCGTTCTCACCCGCGTCGTCCTGTCTTTCTCATCCTGAAAGGTACTTTATAGATATTGACCGCAACTGTGCAACTACATTAGGAAAATTGGAATGAAAATCCAACAAGAAGATAATTTCTCTGAATCTTTTAGAAATAACTGAAAACTGACTGCGGAGAGGAACTTGATGGCTAGTTTGGAAAAATCTTTCAAGTTTTCCAGAAACACGATAATTGTTTCAAATAATAGAGAGCTTTCTCAGCTGGATACTCTGAGCAACTTCATTGCTTCATTTTGTGAAACGAAGACGGTTCCGGACGATTTTCATTATATTCAAGAGTTGTCAAGACAAAAAGGAAACCTCAATCTCGCCAAAAAGTTCTTCTAAAATGTCTTCAAAAGTAATTATTCCAACGACCTTGTACCTTAAAAAAATGATATTGCTTTTTTAACACTCTATGAACCTCATATGAACATACTTGACCACAGCGCAAATGTGAAAAGCTCCAGCTCGCATTTGTTGCATCAAATTGGCCACTTTCATCTCCGCCGTTGCGAATTTCAACTGAACACATTTCAAAGAATTGGCCAAAGATATTTTGAGCAGAGAAAGATGAACAAGAACGAACTTTTTAGGAAATTATCTGAGTTAGGCCATCTGAATAAGAGACGCAGACCTGCTCTGCGCCATTTGGTTTTACGCTGATTTTGATGTTTGGAATTCGTTTGAGAAAGTTTATAAGCAATAAAAATATCATTTCTGCAAACGATGTGTAAATGGAATGTTATCCTCCGTTGCTTCGTGCACATTTTTAGTTTTGGAGATGTGAACTTTCAAAGTTAAAAAATATCGGCTTCAGAACTGTTTCTGGGTAAATTTCAAAAAATTCATAGCTTGAAATATAGAAGTTTGCGTAATGAGAGATTATGGTGAGTCTTTTTCTGGACCTCCAAAGAAAGTCCGAAACAATCTCCGAGCTTCACACTAAGATCTCCCTCGTTAGTTAAAAGATAACTCATTTCTTGACAGACTAATCAAAAAAAAAACCTGAACAGTCCGTTTATCGAGCTTTTCCACGATTTCAGCGACGGTGGGCGCGTGGTGCAGGTCGAGGCAGATCAGATCCTTCACATTCAGGACCATCACGATGTAGTCTTTGTGCTTTTTGTAGACCGGGATCCGCGTGAAGCCGCGCTCGACGATGGCAATCAGCGTCTGTTTCGTCGTTTTCCTTCAGGAGAAAAAAGGTACTTTCAGACCGGCAGATCCAGCTTCTGACTGCTCGACAGAGTGAAGACGTTGGCGATCGGCGTCATCACGTGCTCCACACTTTTCTCCGTGAAAACCACAGCCCTTTGCAGAATACCTCAAAGTCAGTCTTTCCAGTTTTGTTTTTTTTTCTCCGAGTTTCACCGGCTTCCGTTGGGTTTAGGTCCTTTGACATGTTTTTGAATATGTTCATTCGCTCCTCTTCTGTTAAAACTTGTCTAACCTAAAGGGTCATTTTTCCTTTTGGTTCATTAAAAGTTAGCTGACATCACGGCCCAATAAATAGTCAATAACTCTGGAAAGTGGCCAAGAAACAACTGCAGTCGTGGCTATTATAAACATGGTGATGAACCAAGTCGACGAGGCGAGAACCAACCCGATCCTGCTGTTGCAGATTACCTGAACTTTTTCTTGCACCAAAAATGCGGGTGAAAACTAAAGTCCAAGGCTGTCGAAACCTTGAAAAAATGTTTCCAAAAGAACAGATTCATTTGAAATCATTCTAAAACTGAGCCTGTTGTAATATCACCATTGTTCGCATCAATAAATTAGAATTTCTGCTTATTTTATTATTAAAAATTGTTTGAAACTATTCTAACCAAGCAAATGTATATGAGCTTTCAATTTTCCAAAAAACAAATTAACAGACCTGAGGTAGCATTTCCGCAAATATGAAAAGCAAAGCTGTGGGGATCACCAGTGAATAAAGTTCGCCAAACTGGAAATGATTGTTGAATGAAAATTTGGAACGTTTCCTCAAAGATTGAGTATTTTAAAGCGCAGGGTTTTCACGTTCCCTTCAAAAGCCTGAATTTAGGTCTTTAATTAAAGTGGCTTTAAAGTCTTTTCGAGTCTATAAATTCTTCTTTGAAAATTTCAGCTACCAAAGCTTTCTCAAAGTATTCGTCGATCCTTTTGCAGATGAAGAGGGTGAAGACGACGTTGTGGACGGTGCTGAACGTCGAAAGCGAGCAGACGAGCAGATTCGACAATCGCCTGAGTGGCAGCATCCGATTGGCCCGAGACTGAGATCGGCATAAGGAGAAGGACTAGTTTTAGACTTTACCTTGAAAGGTTCTTGGCTTTGAGACATCAGAGTCAAGTCCTTCAAGGAGTGGGTCATGTAGACTATCATCATTCCCGAACAGTAGCCACTGGCTGCCTGCAACTTTTGAATGAACCCCAGAAATGTAGGTAGAAACCACCAAACAGTAAATGCACAACAAAAAGAACAACGTGTCGAAGGGATGCGTTTTGGTCTGCTCGAAGACGTGCAGAAACTGGAGTATTTCGCATTTTTCCCTTTCAATATGTCCATTCATTGGGCACCTTGTAAGACGTGACGTTCAAATTGTAGTTACAGAGGCGAAACGAAGGATGGTCGGAAAAATCCAAGCCGCCAGTCACTTCCAGCAAAATGTGTCTGGGATTTAAATGATCACAAGATGATGGAAATGAAGTTACTTTGGGTAGCTGCTGAGCGGAGTCACTGTTTTCGACTTTTTCTTACCGTCCTGGTCCGATCTGTTCCAGTCCTGTAAATGTTCAAGATAGAAAAAGGGTCAAAAAGGCAATTGAGTTTTTCCTGGAAAGTTGTACCTCACAACGGTCGGCAGAGGTGAAGTAATAGCCGTCGCGTGGAAGGTCGAGGCCGAAGACGCGGACGTAGAAAGTCTTGCTCCGAACGAGAGGCCTCGTGTTGTCTTTGGGATCGTCGGCTCTTTCCCGGACGCCAGAGATGTCGAGGCTGAATCTTCGCTCTGCTTCTCCTTTCCGGCTGGACTCACCTCAGAATCAGCGGCGTCAGAATCGTCGACAGCCGCAGGAGCGCGACGGCTCTCATGCGAAGCCCCGACTGAACCGATTTCCGACTCCAGAAACCAGAAATGGTTTTCAAAATCTTATTTCACGCTAACAAAAGTTTTTGCAAAACATTGAGTGATACTTTATTTTGAAATGATTCCATTTTTAGCTTTTGTTTTTGACTGCTCTCGGATGAAATGCGATAAATTCATTGAAAAAATGAAAAAGATGCAAAAAATGTATACGTGCCCACTTTTCTCGAATTTGTTGGTGAGGTAGAAGTGGCAAATGTAAAACCGATTTTTTTTTTTTTTGGCGGAGCTGTCATTCTGAAATGGAACCACTGCGAAGAAAAAAAAGCTCTCGAGAAAATTAATTTAGACGAGGTCTTCAGTCTACAGTGTTTCCGAATGATTCCAGGCGAGAACGCATATAAAAGAACCAAAAAAGACGAAGACGTGAGGTCAATGTGTGCGTGAAAACGAGCAGCGCTTCGTATTTCGACGAGATCGATCTGACGATGCGACCGATCTTCCTCTTGTTGGTCGCCTCTTTCGCGGTTCGTTCCTCAACCTCAATGTCTTGAGTCGATTCTACCTTCAGGTTTGCTACGCCCAACAAAACCAACAGGCGGGCGCCGTAAACTGGCTTCCGGCGCCACAGAAACTTCCGGCGAAGCCTGCCAACCATGAGTTTTACGTCAGTCCTGCAGATCCATCTGTTTTTAGAGTTTCTTCGGGTTACAGAAAGGCTACAACGACTATCAGAGAATGTTGCTGACGCCCAACGGCATTTTGTACGTCGTCCAGCTTTTGCAGGTCTTCTGACGTCACTTCTTCTATGTCTAACATGATCCTTTTTCAGGAGAAAACGAGCAGCATGATTAAGATATCTGATCCTGCGCGTAGGGCTGAGATTTTCGGCTACATGTACGAGGTGCGTATTACTTCTTTTTGTTTCAACGGAAGATATTTCAGCTCCTCGAGTGGGGACCACAGGGTCCTCCTGGCGGTTTCAGCATCAAGAGTTCGATCAAGGGAGTTCCGGTGGCGGTCAAGCCCGGAACAGGAAAGCGCCATCGCCGTAACGAGGTTCCATTTTGTTTGTCGGAAAAGAGTTTCACGTAAGATGAACCACGTTCGTCAAGATTCGGGCGATATCTTAGTCTTATCCCCGGAATCTCGCCGTCATATAAGTCTGTGTGCCACCACTCGAAATTTATCCGAACGACATTCCGCTGTTCCGCTGCGTGCGTTCGCGATGCGTCTTTCGAATCTAGGTCACGCTTTCAATTGATTGTTATTGCTGTGAGAGCAAATGAAAGTAGAGTACCTTAATAAAAGAAAAAAAAAAATTAAAGCGCGACCAAGGTTCGCAAAAAGGCGCAGCGGCACAACGGAATGTTGTTCGGTAAATTTCCAAGTCGTGATACACAGGCTACACGGCGGTTTATCTTGCGTGTACCTCATCATTGAAAAATTTAATTCGCTGTTTTTCGTAGCTTTGTTTTAGCAAGTCCTTGGATTACCATATCAAAAATTCTTTTTTCTGGAACTTTTTTTTCAGCCTCACATCCACGCTCGCTTGGTTTTCCGCAAGAAGAAGGTCGTCGCCGAAGACGGCACCACCGCCTAAGTGGAACAATTCGACAAAACTCGCTACCTTTTTCTTTATTCCTCACTCACCACTCTTGATAAAGCTGGCTGCAGCGCCTGTTTCGTTTTGCACAGAAAACGTGAAAAGTCTTATAAGATTTGTAAAAGTTGTTCCGGAATAAACGTTGTGGGAATTTTGAAAGAGAGAGAGAGATTTCTAACAGTAAAAAGCCGACAGAAATCTTTAATTGCCTAAAGAAATGATAAAAAAAATGTGTAATAAAAACGAATTAGTTTTCCTTTTCCATATCGACTTTTACCAATTTTTGGAACTTTTGAAGCCACTGCACAAACATCGAAAAAAAAAATCATTTTTCAGAGTTGAATAAAGTATGTTTACGGCACGATTGATTATTATTATCTCATTTCATCACGTCAACTTTTATGGGATAATATTCCGACGCCCGTCGGCCCTGGACAAGCTGGGCGCCGTACTGTTCCAACATGGTGAAGCAGTTTATTCGCTGGTACTACCAACGGGCCCACATTATTTCTTAACTGCCACGCCGTGACTTATTGGACAACGATTGTGGACCGTAACCCGCGCCGACGACAAACTCTTCGATTTTACCATGCTTCAGCAGAGATTTTCTTCATCTTACTCTGACGACTGATTAAATTGAATTGAATTGAATTGACGGCACAATTATTGGGGTGACGCAGTTTGATTTATTTATAATGGGCCAATTATCAAAAAAATAAACTGCCCTTTTTCTTAAAATTGTGTTAACTGAGACTGGTTCAGTAGTTCTTGACAGGATTAGCGAAACAGTGAGCAAGAAGAGGTTGAGACGTAACTCTAATATCTTTTCACCCAACGGAAAGCATTCAGATGTGCCGTCGAGCTGTGAAATCAAAATTTCTGTTTGCTCGAAGCGTGTCAAATAAACTCATTTTCTAGAGAATTCTGTCAATCTTTTAATTTTTCCGATGTGAGATCGAGTAGTCATTTCGTCCTGATGGTCGTATCGAAGTCGAAATGGCTAGGGTGAGTCCTACTAGGATGACCCAATCAATCCTGGGTGAAGGAAAAGCGAATGCTACCCGAGAGAATTCATCGATCAAGCCGATATCGCCTACCTTATCATGGACAAGGCGGCAAGAATTGAGACTTCCCTCAATAAAATGAACAAGGTTCAAGTTGAAATAACGGGCCTTTCAGCAGCTCTGTCATATCAATGCGTTTGAATGGCGAGAGTATTAAAAATCTGATGAGCCTCCATACGTATTTTTCAGGAGTATCTGGCTTGCGGGGATAAGAATGACTGGACCAAGGCTTCCAAAGTGTTCGCCAGCTACGCCGACAGCGTCAAAGTAAATATAGAAAATTTAGATCCAACTTTTGAAATTGCTGACGAAATTCAGAAAACTGACGCTGGCCTTTGGCGCGAGGCATCAAATTGTTTTGCTCAGTTGGCCGAGAAAAACCGGGAATATGCCAACCAAGTAATCAATGAAACGCTTAGTGTTTTGCACACATTTAACAATGTTTGACAAATCTTTCAAACTGGAAACATGAGGACTTTTAGACTCACTGCAAGGATATAAGCGTGCAAATGGTGCGGCTGAAAGATTTGCGTAAAGAGTCGAGTACGAAGAAAAAGAAGGCGGCCAAAGACGAAAGCCAGGCTCCGAATGTCAGATGAATCAACTATTATGGGGTTCAAACAAGGTTTTCAGGCCGCAATAGCTGAAGACGCCTTCCGCAGATACGTGGAAGAGATGAAAACGAACGTAGCCAAGTTCATTGAAAAGGCCGAGGAACTCTCGAAATTGTTCGATTCATTCGCAGTTGTGGAAAAGAACTACGCTGATTCTGCCAAAGATCTTTTCAAATTTGTAAGAATTCGAAATTTTTTTGAAAATTAGTAAAATTCGATTTTTAGGTCGAAGGAGCTCCTCAAAAGTCAACGCGTACCACAAAAAAGAAGGCTCAGTCCGCTGAAAAAGCTAGTGTAAGTTGAATACCTTGCACCTTTTTTGATTCAAATGTTTAAGGCTGAGAAAGCGAAGGCCAAATCGTCTGCTGAAAAATAATTTCCGACAAAACAATAAAAAAAGTTCCCACCGAAGGATTTTTTTTTTCAAAAACAGATTTTACTAAAACACTCGGACATTGGTAACGCGAAACGGACAAGCTCCGAACGTTTCTGAGCATTCCTAGTGACCACTTCGGTAGCGTCAGTTGACGGTCAGAGAAAGAGTTGGGGCGATCTTTATGCGCCATATTTCAGAGACGCCATAATGGATAAATGACGAAAGTTTGCACACGCAGTGCATGCACGAAACAGCGGACCTGACGCTGTTTCCGTTCTTTCCATTTTGAAATATTTCTTTAAAAAAATTTTTTTATACATTTAAATGTATAAAAAAATTATATAAAAAAATTTATATAAAAATTATAGAATTCTATAGAAATTCCTCTACATTTTGTTTTTTTACATTTTTTTGAACTTTTTTTCCAAAAATTTAAATTTAAACTCTCATCACCTTCACAAATGTTTCTCAGGGTCAACGATTCTTCAAATCTACTCGTTTTTTTCTGCTTTGCGAATACTGTTCAGTAATATCGCTGGAATTGCAATTTTCATTTGTTTCATTTTAATAAGTTTCTGCTTTTAATTTTGAGCTGCTAACGTTCTAATCAAATTCAAGTGGATATTTTTTTGAATGAATCCAATAAGTTCCTATTTCTATGAAGAACTGGCCTGGCTCAAAAACCGACCAAAAGTGGTTTCGAATTGAAAATTCATGGATAAGACCTCGTTGCTTCACCATAGTTGCAAAGACGGCTCTTGTTTCATGTTCTATTCGGCTTTTTATTGTTTTTTTCTTTTGGCTAAATTGGGAAATGAATCAATGCTCCCATGATCGAGAGTACTGAATGAAATATATTTTAAAAAAACTTCCGATTTTTTTGTTTTTTTTGGTTTTTGTTCAATCTTCTGACAAAAAAATTCGTGTTTTCGTTTTTTACTTATCGAAATATTTTTATGTGTTTTTCTTTTTAGTTCTTCCAGTTTTTCATCATGACAGAAGTTTATGAACTCGAAATATCAACCAATGCTACGGATATGCCGTTTGAGAAGAAGTTTCCAGGACTTCTCACTTTAAAAGAGCTTAAGGTAAAGTTTTAATATATCAGTGGTACTCTTCATCTTTTTAATAGAAGAAACTGGAACTCGTCGTCGGCGCAGAATCAGAGAAAATGGAAATCAAGTTGCACAATTCTGAAGGAGAATTTGTTTCCCTGCTGTCCGACGATTCTCGAACTCTCAAAGATTTAGGCGTCCGAGATGGTATTATTTTATTTTATTTTTTGAATAAAATTGATTTTCAGGCATGAAATTACACGCTGTCGACAAGACGGGCAGAAACGAAGAGTTGCGAGATGACAGCATGGTGGAGAAGTATGAAATGAGCGACGACAAGTACGATCAGCGAGAAAGTTTTCGGAAAAGTCTCAGGATAATAGGAATTGGGAACTTCCAGACAGCGTCCGTGCCTGGAAGAAGAAGCTGATGGAGCAAAGCGGCGCGGCTCAGGAGAAGCCGGCGAATGCGGCCGAAGAAAAGAATAAGGAAGCTGCGAAAAACATCAAGGTACGTGAATTTAGCCAAGGTACGTGAATCTAAACATCAAGGTACGTGAATTTAGCCTTCAAAGCTGTGAAATAGTAAAATTTCATTTCAAATAAAAAAAGAAAAATGCAGTTCAAAGACATTAAAGAATGATTTACTTCTTCTTTTCATACATAAGAAAAAGGTTTTTCTTGAGGCGTTTCATTAAAATTTTAGGTTTTGGCTGAGGTTAGGTTTTTGACAAAATTAAGAAAAGGTATCAAATATTCAAAAAAAAAAAAACTAATAAGTTAGCGCTTGGAAAAGTAAAAATGATACTTAAGAATTTGGTTTCTTGACATTGAACATATTTTTCTCACTGTTTTCGTTTTTTTCATTTTTTTTGTATTTGTTAAAAAAACATATTATTGGTGTACTTAATCAAACATTCTAGGTTGGAGATCGTTGCGAAGTCAGGATACAATCTCAAACGGCTCGGCGAGGAGAAGTCGCATTCATAGGAACAACCAAGTTCAAGGTTATTCTTGTTGAAAATCTCAGCATTTTCAAAGTTTTTGACAAAATATATTAATATTCAGGAAGGAATTTGGGTCGGCGTCAAATACGACGAGCCAGTTGGAAAGAACGATGGCTCGGTTGCTGGCGTCAAGTGAGTTGTTTTTATATTGTTTCTTTTTGAAAAAATAGAATGATTAGACCCCGAGTCTTTAATGAAAGAAAGGAAAAATTTATGGCCGGCATTTCAACTTTTTCGAAGTTCTCGTCTCTTAATCAACCTATGACTGTTTCAGAGTTCAAAAAAATTAAGAGAAACATATGCAATTTTTTTGAATTTTCTTTTTAAATAGAAAATTTTAAAAAAATTAACAGTTTTTTCTTTATTTCGTTGATAAATAAATACCTCCTTTGGTAAAGGATTCAACGGAAATTTGAAATCCGAATGTTCAGAATTTTTCTAGTCGTCTGTTTTAGTAGCTGTTCTTTAATGGGGCTAATTTCAACCGATTCCATTCTTTCCTGATCGGTCAATTTACAATCCTGATTGGATACTTCCAACCGAACTCTAGGAAAATTTCCTATTCATCTTATCAATCGGTCAAACCATAAATCGACTGGATCCCGCTCCAGCCTTTTGCGCGGGAAAAAAAAAATTCGGAAATGAACTGAAGTAGGCCTCACTTTTCAGAGGGTCGGAAATTTTCTAGAATTCGGTGGGAAATATAAGATTTGGAAATAATGAGTTAGGTTGAAAGTACACCCTTCAATTTGAACAGACTTAGAACTTAAAGACTTATTGAACTGAAAAGTTTAAACTGAATGTGAAAAAAATCTTTTTTTGATCTAATTTCATGACTTTTTAAGGTACTTTGATTGTTACGAGAAGTACGGCGGGTTCGTGAGGCCGACTGATGTCTTTGTCGGCGACTTCCCCGAGTTGGCAATCGATGAAATTTAAATATTTTAACCATCCTTTCTGTGATAAGTTTGCATTGCTTCCATCATATTTTTATTTCATCATTATTGCACGCGTTCTCCTTATAATTCAGCCTGTAAACGAATTACCCGATTTTTAGTGATCTCTTGGGTACACCGGTTTTTCTTTTCAAATCGCTATTGCTTCATCTGAATAAAAGTCCGTTCACTCAAAGTTTCGTTTTATGGGTTTGTGAAAAGATGGCCGCGGATGAAATGGTCTGTGAAGTAGGGCTGGACTCTTTTTCGCATCTTCGATGGGAGTTCCGAGACGGTTTTACACCTCATTCTTCGCATCTTCAAACACTCTAGCCTGTCCACGCTGTCTTTTCTCTTAACTTCATTTTTTGCTCAACCTGTAAAGTAAAATGACAAGTCAGACAGTTCAAGTCGTGTGCTAAAAATATAGAAAAAAAAAATCTAATCTTTTTCAAGTTGTCCCTGCAAAGGTTTTTCTCAAAATTTTGAAAAGCGAGGTTTCTTCGAATTTTACTTAAAACATGCTGCATAAAAGAGCTTCGAATGACTCGTCGTAGAATTAGAAGATGACGAATCAAGCTATTTTTCGGCTAATTCGCCTTGAACCCACTTCAGTGAGTAATGTCAAAAGCGGAACGGTTATGTTGGAAGGGAAAAGCCGCGAAGAACAAGCCGAAGGGCGGTCCGACCGATTCCATACGAAGCCTTCTCATTTCGCGACATGTTGATCCGTCTTTCCTTACTCTGTTCAGCTTTCTTCCTTCGAGGTTTGAATAGAACGTGAGATGTAGATTTGTGGTTCTATGCTTCAGTCCAATCAGCAAGGGCTTGAGACAATAGAAAATAATTAATGAGGGTCTTTGCATTATTAGAAAAAATAGCTCGTTGAAGCAGAGGTTAAATCTGTAATTTCTTTTGTGAGATGATCACTAAAAAAATCTCAAATTTTTTTAAAAATTAAATTAACAGCGACAATCATTTCTCAACATTGATCTTGACAGATTTTCGAATTTCTTTGAATCGTTTAAAACATTCAGAAGCTGTCGCAAGTCCTTGTTCTGTGAGTTGTATGCGGGATTTGCTCGACGTCTGGGAGCGAGTTCGGCAAAACGAACCTTACGCTGCCAACTTCACTTTACCGGTTTGAAATAGTTATTTAATGAAATTGGAAAGAAAATCTATCCCATTTTCTGTTTATAATTTAGTGGTCAAAGTGATCCGCGAAATTCGAATAAACCGCCGGAGATGGAAGAAGATAACTAAAATTTAGAGAGAGAGAGAGATAAAATTTGTATTTCGCCAAAACTTGAACGCGGCTCAGTTTGAAGGGAAAAACTCTATAGAAAGGCAAATTTACTCAAATTTAAGTTCTATATTACTCGCTTTTCGACTTCTCAGTAGTTTTTTTTTCTATTTTTCGAAACCTTGAAATCCGTCTTTCGATGTTCGGATTTTCTCACTACGGCACTTGTAAGAAACATGCCATGTCTCCCGCGCCTGGCTACATGGAATTTCGAAAATTGTCGCCGCTGGGACATAACTGGTCGCACGAGGCGAGGCATGTTCAAAACCAGCCGTGCTTCCGAAAAAGTAGGTTAGCGCCACGGGTATCTCCCGGCGATAAGGAGAGTTGGAAGAAGCGATTGAACAGAAAAAAGGAATGAATAAAGCCCGCAAATATATTCATGGAATATGTATCCGCCGAGACGTTTTGCAGGTGCCGTTCTATGGACAATCCTCGCTGTTGGCGCTGTGTGACGCCTACCAAAAGGCCGACGAATCGTGTCGTCTTTCTGTGTGGGTGTTTCCACTGTGTTTTGGAAGAAAGGAAGGTGTAAAGAAAACGAAACTATGAATCATTAGAGTAAGAGATAGTAAGATTTGGTCAACATCTGGCTAGCACTGATGCTCATAAGCTCATCTTCGTTGCTTTATTCTCTAATAACATAAATTCTGCCAACTTTCTGCGCCTTCGAAAATAATTATTTTCTCACTCATTTCATGGCAAGCTTGGGATGAATTGCTATATAGGCGTCTTAACCTCTTTTTCGCACTATTTCATTGATTGTATCAAGCACTGAGTGAAGTATTGAAAATTCGAATAGTGAAAAATGTTGATAATTATAGTTTTTCTACAGCATGATAATTCCAAAATAGGCTAAAAACTGTGTTTCTAGAGATAAATCCTGTCAAAGTTTTGAATAAAAGTTCATGCAATACAGATGTGAGTCGAAACTGGCCAACTTTGCGAATCGACATCTCGGCTTCGTTTGTGGGCCATTTGCGTCCATATTTTTCGGTTTGAACTGCCTTTGATTCTCAACCACTTTGATCCTTTTGAAGAAAACATCGAGTGTATTTCCGAAGTAGTGAAGAGTGATAAGACTTGCACAGAATTGATCATCGGAAGCCCGAATCCACTTGACTCTGAAGGTATGACAACGTTGAAATGAAGAAATTGAAATGATTTGTAGTGGATAAATGCAAAGAAGTGGACGGATTCGCCGAGTGCGTCGAAGGAAATCTCCAGTCGGAATGTGGTGTCGAAGTCCGTTCCCTTGTCCTCAAAGCCATCGAAAATTACGGCTGCGGTCAACGTTTTGGTGATTTTTCAATCTCGAAGAGTCATTTTGTGAATAGAAAAAATTAGATATGGAACGAGTTGATAGTACAATGGCGAAGGTCAACATTTCCGGAAAATATCATCGGTCTGCATCGAGAAGTTCGCTTTCTCATTTTAGATTCAATAAATCAAAATTTTTCAGGCTTTATCGAAGAACGACTTAAAAAGCCCAAGCTGAAATTCGAAGAAAGTTCCGTAATTTTCTCATGTTTAGACCAACTTTCGAAAATTGCAGTTGAAAATAACGATATAACGTCTGAAGGTATTTTGGAGACCCTGGAAGCAGAAGCTGAAAAAGAATCAAGGGGCGAGAGCAGCGGAATTGAAGAATCTTCGGGGGAAATGACAGTTTCTGAATCAATACAGGTTCGATGTTGGGTTGAATTATCAATTAGTTGGTTGATTTTCCAGTCTGGATCCATGTGCGACGAGGACCTGCAAATGAAGGTTAAAAAAAGTAAAAAAGAAATAAGACAAGTGATTATAACTGGGCAGGCGATGTCGTGCGCAGTTCCTTTGCTCAGGACGTGGTCGGCCATTAAAGAAAATCGAAAAGAAGCTTCCGAGGTAACGAAGAAAATCCAAGTTTTGAGTGAATATTTTCTCCAGATGTTCTTTCCCACATTCAAGTACACTCGATTTGAAATTCTGGAGTTGTGCGACGGCTACACTAACTACGTCACGTGTGCACCGAAATCACAGCTTTGCATTGAAGAAAAAATGGCGAGATTTGAATTCAAGAATGGGGATTTTGAATTCAATTTTTCCAGATCCGTTTCACGGAGGAGCATTTGGGATTTGCTTGTGCTGCGGAGAATATTGCGCAGTTCATGCGTTCACACGAGTGCATTTCGAGCCTCGAATTGAGCGCCACAGCTACTTGCAACCGTTTCCTCGTTGGAGACCTTGTTCCTGGCGAAGCATATGCGGTTAGCTCGATTTTTGAAATCGGAAGTCTTTTCTGATTAAAGAGAGTATGAAGCACGGGAAAAGTCCAGAGGGACCTAAAAAAAAATCTTCGAAAAATGGCTTCACAGGCACCTTTTTGACCTTATTAGTCGAAGAAAAATGCAGAAAAAAGGATACGTTGTTCGTGAGTTTGAAATTTTATTTCGGGTTATTTAGAAAAATGAAGTGATTTCGGAAGTAGCACGTGGAACATGATGATTTTCGAAAAAAAAAAAAGCCAGCTTGCCCGAGATATATCAAGTTGGAGAAAAAAAAAGGTCCAGTAAAGGTTAAAAAAATATATTTTACAGGTAAAATGCATCAAAATGAGTCGTCACGTGAAATGCATGAAGCCGCTGATCGAGCAACGGTGTGGCCTTGTAACGCTCCAGATTTTTCTTGAAACAGTTCGGTTTTTTGGTTGTTCAGCCTGACGAATTTCATGACAGATATGTAATCACTAATATAGGCATTGTTGGAATAAATTTATTATCAAACAAGAACAATGAGTTAAGAAGGGACATTGGGGATGGAAACAGGTTCCCTGAATGCTCGGTCGCGGACCTTCGCCAAAGCGTACAGAACAGTCCGACAGGCTTGGATCCCAATAGAGGCCGCTCGAGTCAGCAACCGAGAAACGTCGGTTCTTGTCTCGCCGTACATACTTTTCAGCTTGGCTCGATTGGCCGCGTCGCGAACCATTGATTCTTTGAGTTGGGCCATCTGGGAAAAATTAGCTGGTACTTGGGAGAGAGCTTGGGCACAACACACAGCTTCTAGTAGTTGTTTCTGATTCTGCTCTTGGTTCAATTCGAAAACCTCCAGGTCTTGCTCAATCTGGTCGAGGATAGCGTTGTACTTTTTGAACCACGCCTCCGAATGTTTTGCCACTGTCGTTATTTTCACCTGGCTTTCCTGAGTTTCGGAATAATTACACCACAATCTAGCAATCACCACCTCAACATGTTGTAAAGCTTTCATTAGATTAGTTTTTAGAATAATATCAGGATCTTCCACTTCTTCATCTTTACCCCTAGCAGATCTAAAACAAAGGTTCGAGATGAAATGAAAAGTAAGAAGAACTCTTCGTCAACAGTTTCATCGATGATCTCGGCACTGATTTTCGAAGCGAAGTTAGATTTATTTTTTGATCTGGAAAATTATGCATAACATGTCTACGGCTACCTGAAGAAACAAACTTTTTCGCTCTTGCTTTCTTTTTACTTGTTCTGAAACAAAAGAAGACATCATCAAAAGGGTTCGAGTACAAACGCTTTTTGAGCCGATTGAGTCGCCTCTTTTTTCAATTTGATCTTGAAACTAGCATAAATTGAACAGTCGAACAAAGCAAAACCTCTTCGAGTTGTTTCAAACGTTTCTTCTGCGGATTCGCCTTGGCCTCGTCCGCATTGTTGTCCGCCATATTCCATATAAAATGAACAAAACTCACGTCTTTTTATTACGTTCGAGATAAATTACAAAAAAAAAAATTTAAACTTCTAAAAGCGATGGTGAAAATAGCCTATGTCAGAAAAATCAATATTTAAGTAACATGGGGGAAAAAATTCGAAAACTAAAAACGGAGACAATATGCTAATAATAAGAAGTAAAAAAAAGAGAGACGAAAAAGCACACTAATAGACGATCCGGTGCAAACATGATAAAAAAAAGTGAAAAAAAAATTGAGAAAGAAAAAAAATGCAAAATTAATAATCAACTCAATTTATCGATTTAAAAACAATTATTGTAGTCAGAACGGAAAATGCAATCTCGGAACTTCGAAAAGAAGTTTTTAAAAAATGGGAATCAAACTCGGAAGGCTTTTCTAGTCTTATTTTTGTTCAGCAAAACATGAAAGAAAACTAGAGAATAAAGAATTCGAAAACTAAATAATGAACTGTGCTGAACCTTCTGAAAATGGTTCAGTAAAAAGATCAAAAATTTTATAAACAATTGGTAAATAAAAAAAGTAAGCCAATAAGTATAGGAGATACGGTTCAAAAAAACATTAAGGGAGATGTTTCTTGTTTTTTTTTCTCAATGCTCAGTGGAGAAACAAATAAATTATCAAAAGTTAATATATTTCCCCTTAGACACAAGGACTGTCCCAAATTTTTTTTGTACGAGAAATTCAGTCAAAGAAGAACATTAATTGGTACAAAAGGTGGAAAGACAATCTTTGAATGAAAATCATTGATGAGGAAGATTTCCAGTGAGGTTGATAACATTGCGAGGAATGGCTGAAGATTTGGAAGATCCGCTGACCATCGGGGCGACGTCGGGATACGTAGCGTAGGTTGGTGGGTAGAAGGCGTTGGTCGGCTGCATGTAGGCGTAGGAGTTGAAGGCCATCTGGGGGTCGAGTTGTGGGTAGTACTCTGGGAAGGCGTAGTTTGGAGCGACGTTGCAATCCACTTGCATCAGCGACGGGATATTGGAACAGTTGTTGCGTTGCTGACGTTGTCCGCTGCCTTGACTCTTCGATTGGGAAGGCTTTTCCAGTGTCGGCTTCTCCATCACTCTGACGCTCCTTGAGGCCAGCTCCACCCGTGAAGAAGACGACATTCTGCCATTTGTGGAGCTTTCCGGGGTGAGAAAACGAACGAAATTCTCCTAAAAAGGAGAGTTGTCGATTAAAATCAGCCTATTCACCACTGGCTTAAGAAGAAAATATCTGCATCGATTTGAAGCCGATTTGTACGTCAAGATATTCAATAGAACGCTGTCCATGCGCCTTCAACAACAGTTAATTTCTAATCACTTTCATAATGCTTTCTTGAATTTTTTCTTTCTTTTACCTAGCAATAATTTTGTTTATCTGAATGAATTCTACCTTAATGTCTACAGATCCAAGCCTGAAGCTAGATGTAGCCATTATGAGTTTCAACTACAAAAAAATATACTAATTACAAGTTTAAAAGCAGATGAACAGCGGGCTAAGAGAAGCCTTGAAGCGCAAATCGGTTTCATTACTTGGCGTACTTTCTCTCTCAAATCAGCGATGATTAAATTTAACAACTTTTTCCAAATTCTCCGAAAATTGAACAATAAAACATAGGGTGGGGTGTTTGGGAACGTGGAACAACACTCGAAAAAATAAGGGTCCAGTTTGGTTAAAAAAAACGTTTGGAACTATTGAAAAAAAATCCCATAAAGTCAAACAGAGCAGTGAACAGGCAAAATAAAAATTCCTAGGTTATCTATGGAATTTCTTAGGAACAATTGAGTGGAAACTTGGGGGTCTTGGAATAGTATCTCAAAGGCTTGATTGCTGTTTTTTTTTTATTATGCAAGAATCGTGTGATCTTCAAACCCTTGATTAATTAAGACGCTTAAAGCACAGGAAAATAAAGTTATCGAGAGAAAAAGTTCTCTGAAACTTGTAGAAAACCTAAAAAGTTTCAGCTCATAGTGAAATACTCTTACAAACACTGATGATAAATCCAAGAGGGAAATCGATTGCTAATGTCATTTAAATAACGCGTAGTTTACACAAATAATAACAAAGATCACCTAGGAGTAGTTTAAATAAAACCCAAAAATAATTTTTAGAAAAAAATTCAAGAGGAGTCGGACAATCATTGAAAGTAATCACGAAACATGAATCTTTGCAAAAAATCAACAAAAAAAAAAACTCACCACCGTCTGCTTTTCGATCGACCAAAATTTGGCACATTTCTCACTTGCGTCTTTTAAGAACCGTTCCGTGTTGTCTGATAAAACAAATTGAAAGGTTGAAATAAATTTAATTAGTACTTTTACTGCTCGAGGCGCATTTGGACACTTCCGAGCACAACCGCTTCAGTATACCGGCGAGGAAAATAGGGAGATGCTCAAAATATAAGTTATTGATGACAATTAGGTGAAGGAAAACCTCATACTCGTACATCCACAAGTTGACATCGCTAGGAACGATTCCCAGGTCGATTACCCTACGCATCAATTCTTCGACGGCCTTCCGTTCGGCCATTCTTTGAGAAATTCAATAAGGATATTTTTTGGAAAGCAGTCAATTTCAATAATAGTTTCAAGGCGAAATGCTATTTTCAGTCCTTCTCAGGTCATTGAAAAGAGAATATGAAATCTCAAGATTTTCTTCAATTTTCAGCACCTTCACAAAACTTCGCTACAAACCTTATTTGATAAATTTGAAACGATCGTATTATTATCTTCATTTTAATTCAGAAATATATACTTTTTGAAAATAAAAACGAAAGATGTCCTAGAAAGCTTATGTCAAAATTTGAATAAGCGGTCAAAAATGGGTGCTTTTTTAAAGATACTTTTATACAGACCTGTGACCTTTGATTATTCTTTTCATTTAACCGAGAATGAAAAAATGGAACTCTTGATTTTCGATTCCTTCGACGATGACATTGAAGCAAGAGCTGGGCAACCAGTCGAGAGCTGCACGAGCACACCAATCTGCATGAAAACATTCTTCACAACAAGAGTCAGCCAGAAAAGAAAACCTCCCGGTTTAGACGTCTCCGAGTGATATTCTATCTGAAAATTAGTGCCCATCGCGGACGAAATTTCGCTGAGAAACATTTGGTTCCGCTCAAATATTTTCTTGGTCTTGTCAATCCTGAAAACATGAAAGATAGGTTAGGGTCGCAGTGTATGTAAATATTTTCAAAAGTTCTTCCAAGTCTCATAAAAAATTTTTCTCGTCGCAGTTCTTTTGTCATTTTTTCTCCTTCATTACAAAAATTATTCCTGCGACCTACTTAATACATTTCAAAAAATCAAGATGAAATAAAGAACGTTTTAGAAATACTGCAACTGGGAAAAAGGTATGAAAGCTTCAAGAGCGCTAATTAAAAACGAACTTTTCCACTTTGCCTCTTCCATCTCTTTCTCTTTCTTTCGATTCCTTGCCGGTATTTCGACTGCTCCTTGAAGTGCTGCTGGTTTCTTTCCTTTTGGAGGAACTTCTCTCGTCTTTCTTCCTTTTCTCCTCGGCGTCTCTCATTCGCCTGTACTCTTCTTCTCGTCTCTTCGAATAATCCAGGTGAGTTTCTTGATAGGAACTTTCTTTGGGTGGCCGTCGGTCGTCGCGGCTTTTCCGAGACCGTTCTTCTTCGTCTCTGCGATCTCTTGAGCCGCGACTTCTCCTTCTTTCACGCGAGTCGCGGCGGCGATAGTCACGACTGGATCTTTCTTTTCGCTTTTCGCGATCACGGTCGGAGCGCCTGCTGCTGCGTTCTTCATGGTCGCTATATCTATCTCGAGAAGAACTGGAATCTTCGCTTTCACTGCGAAACTCTCGAACCCTGAAACATTTTATGTAAATTGCAAATATTTGATTAGGAAAAATGAAATACTTACGTTCCGTCATTGCCATAATCAAGGTCGTCCAGCGTCTGTTCGGGAGAAAAACTTGGATAAACAGGGATGGGATCAACGCTGAACGTCTCTTTATTCAAAAATAGTTTAGGTGGGCTAGCTGGTCTGACGAATTCAGTTGACATCGAGGGCATTTCCGCATACCTTAATAATATAATTTTATTTTTTTCTTGCAGGAAAAAAACCGCATGGATTCCTCGTAATACAATTCTTGGGCTCTTTCTCTATGATGCTCTGGCGAACGAGATCTACGGTAATAACGGCTGTGTGAAGGACTGCGGCTCCTACTTCTGTTTGACCTGCTTCTTCTCGAGATCTCTTCGAACTGAGCTCTTTCCATTCGAGCATACATGTTATCTTGCTAAAAACGCTTTTTTAAAAACTAAGTTCTAGTTTCTATCTTCTTTCACGCTTTGAAAAAAAGAGTTATTTAATACTGAGATTAAAAACATGTCCAACCTGTGAAATCCCGGCCAACTGCGCATCTAGAGCTTGAATTTGAGCTTCTATCTCCAATATGCGTCTCTGTTTGGCCAGGTCTTCTTCCATTCGTGAGGATCCTTGACGATAGCCTGAGTAGCGATCCGATGCACTGTTCAAGCGTTCACGCATTTTCACCTTAAAACTATTAAATTATTATACACTAATGAAACGGAGTTGATTACGGAAAAATTTGGAAAGAAAGTGGGGAAATGTGAATTGCACGAGAACTTGGCGTGGCATTTAGTAAAGTACCGCGTGCTGTTTGCATAAAGGAGCACATCTCAGCTGGCAAGTCTAATCCGCTTTATTATTTTTTTCTACCACTCAAAGTTAGCAGCTTACTTTCTGCACAACATTGCTCTGATGAGCAAAAATATTTCGTTGTACTCAATTTGGCTATTAATTCTTCATTTCCTCACAACTGCTTCATCGAAGGGAATATATTTCGTTGAAGAGAAAAACGATCAAACTTATGCGGAACAAATCTCTGGGTCCGTTAACTTCAAATGTTAGATTAAACAAGTTCTCTTTTCGTTACAGAAACGTAAAAAAGCAGGTAAGCAATCAAATCTTGGAGATTCTCGATCTGGAAGACCACGAATCCACCGCATCACGCTATGAAAGCCCGGTTGCTTCGTCTTTCATGCAAAATCTTTACTCAGAGATGGAAGAGTCGGAGAACAAGTTGTTTATTGTGAATTAATGGAATAAAGAACAAAATTCAGCTTACGAGTTCCAAGTAAAGCTCAAGACTGGTTCAATGCCGATAAAGTCGTTTCGATTACACCGATAGGTAATTAAAAAATTTTTTTTTACGAATTTTTTTAATATTTTTTTTAGATATCTCAAAACAGACGAAAAAGTTCAAGCTGAAGTTTGCTCTTGAGGATTTTCCAGACGCCAATGAAAACACTCTTCTGGCTGCTCAACTGCGGATACACGTTGAGATTTCAGATAGTTTGAGTTCTAGAATCAGCTACATGTCGGGGTCTTCTGAGTATGCTTTTTCAAATTAGGCTTAAAATTTCGATTTTTTCAGCGATGTTCAAGTTGCCACAGTTTCCAAAACCGATCCAACAGCTGTTTTCAATTTCACGTCGAGCCTCGAAAAATGGCTGGAGAAGCGTGACAAAACCGTTATTGAACTGACCGTCGAAGATGGTTTGGAAGAATAATTCCTGGTTTCGAAAAAATTTTTAGGACACACAACGTCTATCGACGCTTTCATAGTCTCCTCTTTCCGTGACAACGGCTTTCGGCAGCCAAAAAGACGGTAGTAACTGGAGAGATGATTTAAATTGGCTTTTTCAAAAGTTTCAGGTCCAGACGTGCTGCTTCAACAACCCCAATCAGTCGTCCTCCAGGGACTTCCAGAAAAATTCAACCCCTCATCGAACACGATGGTTTTATGTAATCGAAAATTTCTCTCAAAGTGAATTTCAGGGTCAACGAGTTGCAAGAAGCAGGGGATGTACGTGGATTTCGAGGCTCTCGGCTGGAAAGTCAGTTTTCTTTTTAATTCAATTGGAGTATCTTCGTTCAAATAGTGCCCAATTTTGAGAGATGTCAGAAAAGTTGAGCATCTTTGAAATCGGTGGGAGTGCAAAAAGCTACTTACACCAATAATACTTCATTTTCAGGATTGGGTGATCGCTCCACAAGGTTTCAAGGCGTACTATTGCGCTGGAGCTTGTACCTTTCCTCTTCATCACACTATGAACGCCACTTCACACGCGATTGTTCAGGCTTTGGTAATACTTTGTGTTCTTTCCCGTCGAAACACCTCTTCAGGAATAGCTATCCAGAAAAAAAGGCCAAAAAGCTGGAGGAAGGAAGGATAGAGTTTCAGTGGAGGCTACAAAAAACACTAGACAATTAAAAGCTTTCTGTGACTTTTTAAAAGCTTTCTGTGACAATATCAGAATACATTACATACAATTTTTTAAAGAGGACTGGACAGGCTAAGAAGGTTTGATTATTCTTGTTTTCGTTTCGCGAATTTCCATAATTGTTTTCAAAAACTTTTCTTTTCTGATAAATCATAGTAGCCAACCTGCGCAATTATCTTAAGTCGATCTCAAAAACTTCATCCAGATCTTCAAAAAATGTTTGAAAGAGCTGATCGCACTTTACTATAAATTTTCACAATTATGACCTAAACTGCCAGAAAAATCAACTTCAGGTTCACGCTGTACGGCCGAATGCAGCGAAAGAAGCAAAATGCGCTCCGGCGCAACTTCTCCCGATGAAAATTCTCTTCGTTGATAACAAGAAGAATGTCCACATAAAAAGGTACCGCGACATGGTCGTCCAGGAGTGCGGCTGCCACTGAGCTCTGTGTGAAAATAATTGATTTTTAAAGTCGCTTTACGTTCCTTCAGTTTTCTTAATTCTTTCTAATCTCACTTTGTAGTCATTCATGCGGGTTCTGACCGTGCTGTTGAATTTGCAGGCTAAAATTGCTCTATTTAGTTTCATTCCCGGTGCTAATGATTCCAAACCAAATCCGCTGCTTTAATGTCCATAAAAGGTGCTGAAATAAGAGATTTATTTTTGTTAAAGCTTGTGAAGAGAACACTGTACACTTGAGATAGATGGCTATGATATCGGAAAAAAAAACTATTTCATTTCGTCGGGTGTTTTGGCACGTCTCCAAGCCGCCGGAGTGATCAGAACGATTACCATGGCGCTGTAGATGATCATCGTCATCATGCAGACGTTCGCCACGTACTCCATCCGATTCTTGCAACTCAGAGTTCCGAAACACGATCTTAAACATGTTATTGGTCTCAAAATGGCTTTTAAAACATAAATTCACTTACTTTTGAGCTTTACAAGTAATTAGACCTATGAATTAAAATTTCAGAGTCTAAAAAAGAAACTGTGAAGTTAATTCGCTTTTTGAATATTCAAAAGAAAAAAAGTGGAGTGAAACGAGAAAAAATTGAAATAGTGGGCCGTTGGAAGATATCAATGCGACCTAACAGCCGTCCAAAGTCTGGAAAAGAAAGTCATTCGACTTTTTTGGTTGAGAACTTTCTCAAATTCGGCCTGAACGCTCCTTGATGTACCTGAAGGAGATTCTGCAAGTCATTATTTCTTAAAAACTGGTAGGTTGTGCAGACTGAAACTTCCAGAATTTTCCTCCGGTAGTTCAAGAAATGTTCTGACCAATTTTCAGGTAATTATCAACGCAAAGTTAAATAGCCTTCTTTGTAATAAAACGGAAGTAAATTCTATCAAAATCTTTACAAAAATTGAGAAGTTACTTAAGATAATCATGAACTACTTTTGAAAACTTTTTGGTTAATAATATCGAACTCGAGAAGATTCAATCTTAGTCCTAGAGAAAAGCTGAAGTCGTGAATGAACCAATGAAATTTGAGCTTCTTTCAAATCAAGAAAGGGGGAAACTGACACTCCGCCCCAGTTGACGACTTGGACGAAGCCGACGATGCACTGACAGGTGGCGATGGCAAGACAAGCCGCGCCGACGAGCCTGTGCACCGGAAGCATTCTGGCGCGGGTCTTCAGAGGCGCGCAGGGCAACAAGAACGTCATCAGGCCGAAGGTGTACTGCGTCGCGTAGATGAACAACACCGAGAGACCAATCCAGCTGTGGATGCTCGAAAAGTGCGGGTTTTTCTGGAAAAAATTTCTTATCTGCGGATCTTCAAAAAATACATCTGGGCTTGAAAATTTTTTTTGGAAAATAAAATTGCACTCATTCTGAGGCTTTGAAGTTGCCTCAGAATGAGTGACAGAATCAGCGTGAAACACTACATCTAGTAAGCCTAGTCTCATTTAGTCCCATTGTGAGCTGATAGTGAGACTATCCCTTACTGAGATATGAAATCTTTTTATTTTCGGTCATACTGCGCTCCGGAATCCGTTTCATAAAAAATTGACTCAGGTATTCGACATACTTTTATTAACAGCCTCAAACTTTTATTCATCCGAGTTCAGTCTGTTCGCAAATCCCTTTTAAAGAGTTCACAGTCTTGCACGACAAGAACTCACGCTTTAGAAAGACTTTTCACTTTGATACATGTATAAAACCTGTCAATGCTTTAAAAAAGATAAAAAAATGAGCCGGGACTTTTGAACAGAGTTTTACGTCTATTAAGTGAAACGGAGAAACTGAAGCCTTTTCAACTTGTGCAAAATTTTAAGAAAAGTTTTCTAATTTTACTCAATCCTTGGTTGATTGATGGTCTACCATCAACAAAGAAAAGAAAAAGAAGTACTCTTTCGGATTTGTTGAGAATCCAAACTCTATATTTAAAAAAAACATGGTTACTTAAAAATGACAGTCATCGGAGTAAACTGACTGACCGAGGCATTTTTCGTGAGAATAATAACGGCGAAAGCAGTGGCCGACATCCCGATTACCACAGTGTGAAGAGCCGCATGAATCAATTTTGACAGAATTTTGACGTTGTAACGATATACCCGGTAAGCTAACAATGCTGGAAATATCCAAGCTTCATAAAGCGGCATTTTTTTCAAACCTTCGCCCTGCAAAAAGACAAAAGCGACGGCCATGAGAAGGCCATGGAGCTGGTCGCCGCCGGACCCTCCCGACGCTTTCCTCGGCCAGGCCGCTCCATCGCCAAAGGAATTCATAAAAAACGCTGGAAACTTGTTTGTGAGAACCGGAATGATGAAAGATTTACCTAACAACAAAACCATAGAAAATCCAAAGAAATGGGTCACACCGAGAAGAAACTCGAAGTAACGGAGGCCATCACGCGTCAAGGTTGAGGTTGAAGATGAAGACATCCTCTATCTTCATAAAACTGAAAAATTCGAAGAATTCCTGACTGACACAAAATGATTGACTCAGAAGGTTCGAAGAAAACGAGCAAAACGTACAGACGGGACGTGTCGGCCAGATAAGGAATGGCACGCCTTGGCTGAGTCCGACTATCAGTGTTTGCCTCTTTTCTTTGTTGTTTCTGGACTCCCTCATTTTTTCGTCTTTTTTTAAAACCTGAGTCATTTTTGAATGAGCAATTTTATGGTGTTGGAAAAAAAAAATCCAAATTTCATTAGATCAACATTTTTATTTATTTTTCCGGTTTGGGTCCTCCTTCGAGAGTTTTTCCTCAGTTCCACCTAGTTTCTAATTCTTGTTTTATAGTGTCACTTTTTTTACTCTTCATAGTTTTTTTTTTCCAAATTTTAAACCCGACGATTTTCAAAAAATTATATTTTTTCAGCCGAGCTTGATCGAAAAATTTACTGTTTTTCGCTTACACCTGTTTCGCTTTATCCTTAAGAAGTCACACAAAAAAGAAATTGAATCTTGAATCAGTATCTTTTTCTTTTTCTTTTCAAACGAAGATTCAATTTTTTTTCTGAAGTTGAATCGTTCTTCATGTTTTGCTCTCATTTAAAATTTACTGTTTTCGCTTACACCTGTTTCGCTTTATCCTTAAGAAGTCACACAAAAAGAAATTGAATCTTGAATCAGTATCTTTTCTTTTCTTTTCAAACGAAGATTCAATTTTTTTTCTGAAGTTGAATCGTTCTTCATGTTTTGCTCTCATTTAAAGATAATAAAGAACTTTTTGAAAGTTATTCTTTTCAAGTACAAAAAGGCCGACAGCAAGTATCATTCAGTTTTCTAAGTTATAAATCGAGAATTGAACTCAAAACGTTTCAAAAATTTCAACTTTGATTCAATTTTCCATATTCTCTGCGCTTGAAACACGATTTTCCATGATAGGATAGACTACAGTGTGGCCGATAGTTGGTATCGTCCTCCAGTCTCCAGAAGAACGATTTCCAATGGCGCGGCGTATTCTTTCCTATCTTTACTACATTATTCTGTCAAAACTTGGCCCAAGAGATATTCGGAAGTTGATTTGGCGAACCAGAAAGATTCGTCTCATCGTTTCTAACCGAGGAAAAGGGCATGGGTAGGCTTCTCCCACTAACACAAAAAACAGCCATGTTCAGGGTTCTAAATGTTCCGTCTGTTCTTTGCTTCACAAAAGGGCTGTTACCGAATCAGCTGGTTAGAGTTTCCTTCAATCACAAGGACAGATATGGTAAAAAAAAACGTTGACTTTAGTTTGAAACGAACCTTTGAAGTTCTCAGGACAGTCCAACTTAACTGAACGTATCCTCAAACTCGAGATCGACAACCGACTGTCCTCCGACGAAGTTAGTCTATCCAGAACCGACGCTTTCAACGTCTTTGGCCACCAGCCAATCTATGATGTTAAAGTACAGGTTTCATATATTTTTCAGTTTGAACAATTTTCAATCATTTCCAGGACATCGTTCCCACATCAGCTTTGCGAATAGAGAAACTGTCGGTTGCTGAAAATATCAAACTGGCGAGGATCCAACAAAGCGAAACGAAGCCGCCGACTTTGGAGTTTAATCAACTTCGTCAACTTCTTTCCAAGCAGAGGTTCGATATGAAAAAAAATAACCAAAATATTTTTACAGTATTTTACACAATCATGACGTTATTTGCATTCGTAACACTAACCGCCAAAATTCTCAACAAATGCCGCAATTTTATAGGGTTCGTCATTCTTCTTTTTTTTTTTAATTTAGGAGCTGAGTCATTTATTTTCATTTCTTCTAGCATGAGTCGAAAAACAGGATTTCCACAGGTAGACTGTGACCCCTCGCCATGCCTAGTCGACCAAACTACAAGCGTTTACGAAACGGCCGAAGTTAATGGATTTTGTCCATTCGGCGGCTTCACAAGCCCTTTTTACTTGCACCCGAGTCTCAAGGACATCGTCGATCGTTTGACGAGCATTTACAATGCTTACAAAGAAGTTCATTTTTCGAAAAGTCTCAAATCGAAGTAACCATTAAGAAAAACGAAACTGTGCTCCAGCTTTTTTTAACGGGAGCTGCTGGAAATGGGAAAAGACTGGCGGCTAAGCTTTTTGCTGCGTCCACACATCGAAGCTTCGTCGAAGGAGATGCCTACGACGTCTGTGCCGACGTCATCTCTCAAACTGAAGCCAAAATCAAAAATTTATTTGAAAAAGGTTATTAAAGAGGGAAATATTTTCTTAAAAAATACAATTCAGCCGAAAAAACGCAGCCTTGTGTCCTATACGTCGGCAACGCCAACGTCTTAGGATATGATTCAACTTCGGGCGTAGGTGAACTCTTTGTCTGCCTAAATTTCTTTCTTCAGTCACTAATAAAATCCAATAAAACATATATGTAATCTACTAGGCGGTGAACAAGCAAAAAGCATGGTCTTAGGGTCCTTTGCCTCGTTCTTCTGCAAGTAGTTCATCCCTTTGTTCCTTGACGAGATCAGAAGTAGCGGATATGGTGAGCGAGGTTCTCTGGAAGAAAACCCGGATACCGTGCTCTAAGTGGAAGCCTCGAAATTAGCCCCTTTGAGCGAAGATTTTACACGGAATCATCCTTCATAACATCAGAAAAAACTTCAAAACCACTGACTGATACAATAAGTAAGATATTCTTTCAAAAATAACAGAACATGGCGACACTAAATATTTTCTTTTCTTTCTTTGAAGTCAACTCAGCGATGAATTAATTTTACCTATATATAGATTGTTACAGATCAGAGGGTGCTCAATTTTTTCTGCGAGCAAGCCGAAGAAAGGCCACAAATCACGGTGGTCCTCTCCTGCGATAGTGATATGGTGGGTTAGTCAAAAAAAATTTTCTAAAAATTTTTTTTAGTTGAAACAAACACCGGAATCAGTGAAATCAATCGGTCTCTACACGCTCGCCATTCCACATATGGACGAAGAAGACCGATTTTTGTGGGTCAGACAATTTATTCCAGAGAACCTCGCTCATTTCGTGGTTCAGAAAACATCGGTTTGCAAATCGCACTAAAACTTGGAGAAAACTTGTAATTCAGGGCTTTTCGCTATCCGAGATGCTGGAGCTGGTCAAAAACATTAAATACAAGCAGACGAAAAGCAAAAAAGATGCACCTGAGCAGGAATTCGCGGAGTGGGCAATAGACCAACGAAACGCCAACTTTGCAGATGCCATAGGAGCTCCCAAGGTTTTTTTCACTTCTCGAAAATTTAATGGAATTTCATCATAGATCCCCAACGTGTTTTGGGACGACGTTGGAGGATTGGAAGAAGCAAAGCAGACAGTCGTGGAGAGCATTCAAGCCAACATGTATGGGTCGCAAGGACTCAAACGGTCTGGAATAATCCTGCACGGAGCTCCTGGCTGTGGAAAAACTCTCATAGCCAAAGCGGTCGCCACAGAATTCAAAGTAGCTTTTCTCAGCGTGAAAGGACCCGAGCTTCTCAACAAATACGTTGGGCAAAGTGAAGAAAACTTGCGAAAAGGTTAGAACAAAAACTTCACCTCGAAGGACTTCTATTACAGTTTTTGAAAGAGCCCGTCAAGCATCACCTTGCATAATCTTTTTCGACGAGATCGATTCCCTGGCTCCGAATCGTGGAAAAAATGGAGATTCTGGCGGTGTGATCGACAGGTTCCTAAGAATACACGATAAAACCCGAACAAGATAGTTTAAGGATCGTCTCTCAACTTCTGTCTGAGCTCGACAAGCTTCACAATTCGTCAAAGACTAAGGTTTTTGTGATGGGAGCTACCAACAGACCAGATCTTTTGGATTCATCTCTTCTCACGCCCGGAAGGTTTTTGAACATCGTTACGTGACAAGATATTGATCAAGTTAGGTTCGACAAACTAGTCGAGATTACACCTGGTCGAGATTTCTCGACGCGAACCAAAATATTGGAGGCCGTTGCTCGGAAAGTGAGACTGCATGAGGATGTAGATCTTACAGAAATTGTAAGTTATTTGGATAAATTTCATAACGGTGAAAACTGATTTTCAAGGCAAAAGCTTGCGATGAAGAAATGTCCGGAGCTCAGCTCTCAGCTCTGGTTTCAAACGCCGCAATGCGAGCAATCATTGAAAGAGTAAGTGATAACTTATTCGAAAATCCAAGGCGACTTTTCAGGTTCAACAGATTGAGAGCGGACAACTTCAGTCAAAAACTGGCGAACTGCGTCTTACGCAAAAACACTTGCTGAGATCTTTGCATGAAATGACCGAGAAGTCAATAAAATCAATTTAAAATCCTAGTCATTTATTTTTAAAGCGACAACCTAAAAATTCAACAAAAAGGTACATGCAAAACAACTAACGATAATTATTTCGAAGGCAAATGTTGTGGTCCCTCGGAAATTTTCTTCGGATCTCGCTGCTCCATTTCTTTCAGAGAGCCCTCAAACAAAAAAGTTGATTCATCGAAAGAAGGGTCGAATATACGTTATAAAGCTTTGGTTTCGAATTCGGGTTCAAAGAATCGATGACGTAGGCCAGAAGGGCTGCTTGGACGCCGGCGTTGCAACTCGTCACGACTTCTTGTCCGTCAACCATTCCATTCGATTTCAACCCTAAAATTATCATTCTTACTCCGATATTAGTGAAAAACTTACAAGAAAAAAGTTCGTCTTCGTTTTTAAGCGTTTTGTTCTGGTTGAAAAGCTCTGCTGCAGGAGCGTTTTTAAATCCAGCGATCCTTGAACCATTAACTTCTGGAATATTTACCTATGTTTGCGCTCATAATCAAAAACAAACTCCAAGGGTCAAGACCAGTGTCTTCGGTTCCGTTAAACTGGCCACGGGACCGAGAATCCAAGAAGTTCACCTCAGAAAGTAGAAATAAAATGACAATTACATGCTAAAACTGACCTCGGAGGTTTTTTCAATGTATTGCTTTCCATTTTCATCTTTTTGGGTAAGGTGATCGAAATCAACTAGGTGATCTCTGAAGCTGTCTTTTGCCGGAAAGTTGCCTGACTGAACAGAGGTCTCACAAGAAAATTCACAGAAAACTAACTGGAAGTTGAAGATCTTCGGTGGATACTTCGAATTTATGTTGCCTCCAGGTATCAAAGCCGCCGTCGACCAAAGAAACCTTGTCATGTCCATAAGACTTCAATATCAGAATTGACAGTTCTATCCACTATAAATTGCTACCTTGAACAGCCAGGCTGCTTTCGATGCAAAAAGCATTCCACCCAGCGGTCCGCGACCATAGAATACTAAATGTTCGCCAGAATTTAGTCCAATCAACTGTAATTAAACTATGAAACTGAGCTTCGAAAACTTAATTTTACTCACTTGAGCATATTTCTCAAAAATCTCAGGAGGATAATGTGTGAAACGTTCGTACTTTGACGGATACATTGCATAATCGAAGTCGAAATGAACTGCTTCAGGAATATGACCAGATAAGTAAAGTAATCGAGAACTGAACTTTCCTCAGAATAAAACTAAGTAGAAATCTGAAAACCTACTTGCTTGGAGTAGATAAAGCCTTTTCAAACTTTCCGTAGTGTTTTTTCTTGAATTCTTGCCAATCTGATCGAGGAGCCACAGCAAACGAACAGTCCAACAGTCTGACACCCTCCTTGTTGAAAACACCTTTTCTGAGAAGGTTTCTAACTGTTTTGACGTCGATAATCTTTTTTAAACTCATCTGCAACAATATTTTATGAATAAATATACAAGATCCTAGGAAATCTACATAAATGGAAAAGAGTAAAATGAATTGGAAAAAATGAAAAAAATTGAAACGATGAGCTTTAAGTAAGTCTGCCCCATGGCCAAAAGAAAAATATTTCAAAATTTCGAGATTTTTGTTTACTCGCTTGTTTTTCAAGTTTCTGGAGCTGTTTTCTACACAGTTGGGTTTCATAATAAGTGAAGAGTTAGTTCGATTAAAGATGAATGCTTTGACACGGCTCACCGGGCTACGGATAACACCCAAGGTTGTTTTTTCTAGTTCCTTCTCAACTTTATCATTTTCAAGAGGCTTCTAATTGGAGCTACTTTTGGAGGAAGCGCAATCGTAACTTACAACTCGATAGACAATTTACAGGATCTCAAACAAATTGGAATAATCCGATTCGGAAGAGCAGCCTTTGCGGTAAATTGAGTTATTGATGTTCACTCCATAAATTTGAAGACTCTTACTCTAGGTCGGCAGTATAGTTGTGGACTACAAAAGCTCTCTTCGAGGCTTAGTTGAGCCATCAGAAGAGTACACCAAGACGATGAAATATTGCCACGAGAGAAGTGCTCGAAAACTCCTCGATTTGGCGTGTGTCAATGGCGGAGTCTTCATTAAGGTTCTTTTGGTTTTCTTCCAATAAATAATGAATTTTTTGAGGTAGGACAGCACTTAGCATCTTTGGAATACTTGATTCCGTTGGAATACACGGATACTCTCCAAGTCTTGACTTCAAGAGCTCCACAAGCGTCGAAAGAAGACGTCGAGTTTGTGATTGAAACTGAACTAGGCTCAAAGGTCAACATTCTAATGGTGTAATAAATCCATCATGACTTTTTTAGTCCAACGAAATATTTTCCGACTTTTCTGATAAACCTGTCGGCGCAGCTAGTTTGGCGCAAGTTCACTCTGCCCGGCTCAAGGTTTATTTTCCATTATCAAGTGTCTCTCAACTGAAAGTTTCAGAGCACGGGGCAAAAAGTTGCTGTGAAAGTGCAACATAGAAGAGTGTTAAAGAACAGTAGGACAGATATCAGTACTATGCAGGTTGATATTATTTCTTTGTTTGTAATTGTTCAAATTCTCAGTTTCTCGTTAAAGTAGCTGACGCAATATTCCCCGAATTCAAACTCATGTGGTTGGTTGAAGAAGTGAAAAAGGTATTTTTCCATTTTGAAACTTTTTTGAAACTTTTTTTTTGAGAACTTGCCGAATGAACTCGATTTTCTTCATGAAGCAAAAAATGCCGAAGAAGCCGCCCGTCGATTTAAACATTTAAGATACCTGAAGGTCTTTTTTTCTGTTTTTTCGAGTTATTTTCAAATGTTTTCAGATCCCAAAAATATTCTACGAATACAGTACGAAGCGGGTCTTAACAATGGAATTCTGCGAAGGGGCTCACATCGACGACTTGGAGTACATGCAGAAGCATTCCATCAACACTAGAGACGTGGGATTTTCGGTTTTCTATAGATCAATCGCTACAACTTCTGATGATTGTTATAACGACCCTTTATGAGAATAATTGCTCTCCGAAATGAGTTATAATTGTTAGATTTAAGAATTTTTTTATGTTCCTCTGAAAATTTTCAATCCCGTTCGTTAAACAAGCATATGAGTTAAGGAAAATTATTTTTAGGGCTTCAAGAACTTCAATCTGGAAAGCGTAGCTTTTTTCTAGTTTTTTTCTGAATACCTTAAAAAGCTTTTCTTCGTACCAAATTGACGGAAATAATTTCGCTCATTTGAAAATGTTCAAACCCATTAGTTAAACACGTGTACAAGACAAAAAATTTTTTGAAGGTGTGCACAAAAATCGGAAGGATGATCTCGGAGATGATTTTCCTGCAAGGTTATTTGCACTCGGATCCGCATCCTGGAAATGTTTTGGTCCTTCACAAAGGCAAAGGAAAGTTCGAGATCGTACTACTCGACCACGGCTTGTACTTGGTCAGTTGAAAGGAAAGAATGAGCAAATGAAGTATAACATATTCCTGATTTTCAAAAATAGTGTGCTCAAGGAGTTACTTATAAAAGTGAATCAATAAAATTAAAATGAATCATAAGCAACGAGTGAAAAATGAAACTTATTTAGAAATAAAATTATGTTTGATCTTCTAATTAGAACTCTCTTGTACAAACCTTTCAAATTCACAGTTTTTTCTCAGTTTTGAAAAAATTTTGCAAATGTAAAAAAGCTCCGGATAAGGTTATGAATAGTTGCAATAGAAAGTTGTTATTATAAGTTTTCAAACGATCGATTCAGAACATCAGCGATCACATCCGCAAACTGTACACCGATTTGTGGCTCTCTATTATGAAGCCGGACCTCGAAGGAATGAAGGTTGAGTTCTTCCGAGCGAATATATGTATACCTTTGTTCAGAGAGTAGCCAATCAAATGGGCGTCGGAGAATTGTACGGCCTTTTCGCCTGCATCGTCACCAGAAGGTCGTGGAAGTCGGTAACTGAGGGCATCGTCAAATCCAAGTTGGATGCGAGCGAAGTAACAACAAAAAAATCTTGATTGAAAGTTGAAAGTTTATTTTTTCAGACGGATGAACTTCGAATGTACGCCGCGTCGTTGATCCCGCAGATCAGTGAAGTTGGTTTATTATATTTATATTCAGGACCTTTCTAAAAACATTTTCCTGTCATCTTCTTTTCGTTAAAAGCATATCTTCTGTATGGAAGCCCTCTTCATGTTGAGATAAAAAGATAAACACTTTTTAACGTATAGACTTTCAAAAGTTCAGCCTTTTCTAATGAAAAAAAAAAAACTTTATCTTAGGTCCTGGCACGAATGCCTCGGGAAATGTTGCTCATTCTGAAAACAAACGATCTGATGAGGAACTTGGAGCAGAAACTGGGAACCGCAGGAACCAATGACACTCATATTGAGGTTTTTTTTTAATCGAAAATAAAAGCAGAATAAAAGGGATTAGATGAGCCGTTGCGTGGTCCGCTCTTCCTACGAGTTGGCCTACCAAAGAGCGAATTCCCGATTTGTCAAGATCGCAACTTTTTGCGCCATGTACTGGGCCTTGTTTAAAATCCGAATATATCACATCTACCTTTCAATGTATTTTTCACTCTCTGCTGCCTGAATTTATTTTTAATCACTTCTTTTTTAGTTTTTTTTTTTAGATATCCCGAACAGTTGGCCTTTGCAATCACTAATCTCAGACTTCTATTGCCTTGTACTAAGTCCTCTGTGATATTTTTTGTTGTCTCGCTAGATTTTACATAGATTCTACTTCGCTCAATTTTCTCTCGGGTTTTTCATTTCTTGTAGCATTGACTTGTTTCGGTTTGCCATTGATAAAATTGTTCAAAGCTTTAGTGGAAGCACGGGAGAACGAAAATTAAAGGGCGGCAAGACGAATGACTTGGCGTTCGGTCCGTGGGCAATCCCTGAAGGCGTCACTTGCAGATGATGCAGTGGATCCTCTCGGCACGATACCGTACTCCACTACGATGACGTCGTTTTTTGGCGCTCCATACTGAAAAAGTTTCCGGCGTCTCTGAGAGATTAAAATCATTTTTAATTATAAAAAAAACCCCAAACATCTTTTGCTCTGTGAATATGTAGTTCACAAAAGACAGCGAAATTTTCAAATCAGCTCGCAGCGCATATTTCTGGGCAGTCTTGGTTCATTTTTTTCCATTTGAAATTGTTAGTCCAGTTTCAATTTTTGGTATTTATATTTCACGCCTGGCTAAGGTTCGTTTTTCAAACCTATAATCACTATTCCATTATCCAATTTTTCGCGGACGTTCTCTCATGTTCTCAACTCAATTCGAAGCAATTTGATGGAAGACGAACCTTCCTGGTGATTTCGAGATCGAAGTTGGCGTTGGCCTCGAGAAATCCGTAAGTGGAGTTGACGGTGTAGTTGGGATCCGAACTGAGAACTTTGAACACGATCCGCTCGACGCCGGTGTTGTTCATCTCCGTGTGAAAAGAACCGCCTTCTGCGGGCAGATGAATGTTCGTGTTAGCTAAGCGGAGCATCGAGAAATGAGCTTCTTTCTTCACGAAAACGTCAAGTTTTTTTGTTGTTGAAATTCCAAATTTCTAAAACGCAAAGAAAAAGGAGAGTTTGAGTTTAGTTCTAACAAACATGATTGAATTATAATTTCAGTTTGAAGAATTAATACAGAACAGATTAATTCACAAAAAAATTAGTTAAATTTTTTTTCTTGAATATATGTAGTCTGTACAGATTTTGAACTTTCAAAGCCTATTACCATCCAAAATCTGAACAGACTATATCTCTTGGAGTGTTATTTCAGGTTTTGTCTGAGCCTTTCAAAATTTCAGAAAATAGTTTTGATTATACACTCACTCATAATTTATACTGTACTGTTTAATGGTTTGCCTCTTTCAAGTTATGTATAACCGTTTTTGATTTTTTTTTTTTCGTTTATAACTTTCAATAAGGACCTTAACTTATGAACTGTTGTAATCTATGAGACACTTTCGATTCATACATTTTTTTCCTCAAAAAATTATTTCGGCAAAAAAACTCGCTCATAATTTAACAACAAGGCAAAATAAAAAAAAAATTTTTAAATTCATTTTCAGTTTCACGGCTTCTCTCGGGAATTGAGATAGCTAGGAAGGGAATCCATGATCGTCGTGATAAGCACGCTGGGAAACGAGAGGCGGATACTCAGCAACCTACTTTTGAGGCCGCGACACCAACTTGTTTCCGAGATTCGGTCGCGTATAAAAGCGGCACGACGTGGAGTCGCAGTCGGTACACAGCGATGAGTGTGACGAAGGCGACCGCGGGGGCGCTTTTCCTCTCCTCGGCGACTCTCATCCTCTCCCTCTACGCCATCTTCGCCATCTACTCCGACGTCCAGGCCATCTGGGGGCAGCTCGACCGCGAGATGGACCAGTTCAAGGTCCCTCTTTGTTTCGATTTCGTCAAATGTTTTCCAAACCTAGCTCTGGTCACTTAATCCCTGCTGGTGCACTTTTATTGAGTTTTCACTTTTGTGGTGTTCGCTAAGTAGTCATTTCATTCACAAGAAAAAGAATGTTTACTGACAAAACTTTCGCTTTTGACTTTCCTGTGAGTGTTAAATTTGAAGATTTAGTTGATTCGTAACTATTTTCAAGTACTTAAAATTCAGCGCAGAAAATTTGTCAAAAAAGACACAGATATTGATTAAATTTTGATTGGAAACTGTTGAATAACTTCTCTAACAATTTATTTTTGTTATCAGAGATTAAAAGATGGTTTTTCAAAAACCTTCCTTCTTTCTTTCCAACCGTTGGTTCGAAAATTTGAAGTCAGTTGAACTCACTTTTCTCAGGTGACGACCGACGACCTATGGTCGCAGATGCTGGGTCTCGGCGCGGCGACGCCTTCGACTCGCCAGCGACGTCAAGGAAAGGAGCAGTACGGCAACTACGAGGCTCAGGGCGTCAATCCAGGCCCAACCTGCAGTCCGTCTCCTTTCCAGTCAAACAAAATGAAATCTTTCTTGTTTTCAGGTTGCTCGTCTGGCAATGGGAACGACGACGCTCTCGGCACTGGCGGATGTCCTTCTGGACCTCCAGGACCTCAAGGAAACCCAGGAGCGGACGGTGTTCCTGGCCACGACGGAATCGACGGAATCAACGGAGAGGTTTGTTTTTCATAACTCAGTTCCCTCCAAAGAATGCCTTCCCAGGACGCTGAAGACTGGCAGAACATGCCATTCATGGGCTGCATCACATGCATGCCCGGTAAGCCTGGAGCTCAAGGAGAGCGCGGAAAGCCTGGAATGCGAGGAATGCGCGGTCCGAGAGGAACTGGCGGAGCTCCAGGAATCGACGGATTCCCTGGACCTCCCGGAGAGATGGGACCACCTGGACCTCCAGGAGACGACGGAAAGCCCGGATCCAATGGAGACAAGGGGCAGGACACCGAGCAGCTCATCGCACGAAAGGTTAGCAGAGCAAAGAATTTTACTGAATCTTTAAAAAAAAATTCAAAAGAGTGTTATCAGCCGAGAGAGCTCAAGTACAGGATTTGTAAAGAGGCTAGTGGAACACTCAGATCAAGTTTTGTCGAATCATATGTTACAATTTGAGCTTTTCCGTTGTATTCAGCCTCAAATACTTCTAGATGAAATGAAAAGCTTGATTAGCCTCGAAAAGACTAAAACAATAATCCTCCAGAAGCTTGAAATGACTCTTACAAACTGTTCCTTTCCTTTCGAACCGTTTTTAATCTAACCAAAACTGAATTCCAGGGACCACGAGGACCACCAGGAGACATCGGACCAGCCGGAGACGAAGGAGAACATGGAAAGGATGGTCCAATTGGAGAGCAAGGACCACCCGGACCAGACGGCGTCAGCGGATTCCAAGGTCCTGGCGGAAGCCCAGGAGACGAAGGTGGCCAGGGTATGCCTGGAAAGGTCGGAGCCGACGCCGCCTACTGTCCATGCCCAGATCGTAACGCTCCAAAGGTAATTCAATCCAATTTAAATTCATCAATCTATTCAGCTTCTCAGAGGGTTTTGATAGATTTTATCTCAAAATTGGGCGGATCGAAAAAAAATTTCCTAGTCATTAAGTTGAATCAAACTCCAGAAAATTAATTTTTTATCACATTATTTAGCGTTGAATAGCTAATTCGGTTGACTTCACCTTACTTAGTCTTATTTTCCATCTTTTTACTAATGTGATCTATTTCTCAGGACAACGCTGGAGCCGGCTCCTACGCTTCGGCTCCTGGAGCCAATCCAAGCGGAGCTAACGCCCCTAGCGCCAGCTATTCTGCTGGAACCGGAGGCTATTCCGGTGGCACCGGCCATGCCGCTTCCAACTATGGACGCAAATAAGCTATTTTTCATTTTTTCCACTATTTCATTCATTTATTCCACATATATCACCAAACGAGCGAGTTGAGTTGAATCATTGTTGTTGAGTTGACACCAAATGTAAATATGTTCAAAGTCGAATAAAAATTTCGCAGCACCTATCTATTCACACATATTTGACCAGCAGAGAATATGCTTCTTCTTGCAAGTTCGTTTCGGCGTTCGAGATGAACAGCAGAACCTGGAAATGGGAAATTGTTGGAACTGATTATTGAGATTACCTAATAATGAGTAAAGAATTATTCACTAAAGTCTCAGCGTTTTTCAAAAAACGGGAGATTTTCAATTTATTAAATTTGAGGACCTCAAAAAATCGAAGATTTCTCCTGTAGGAAGAGTAGAAGCATGAAGGTTAACAGTTCTTAAAAAAGTTAACAACTTCCAGAAACTGCCATATTATTTTAAACTTATTAGAGAAGTAAAATAGAAAAAAAGCAAAGCATTAAATAATTTTGACATAGAGGCAATCCTTATCAATTCACTTTCAAAGGAAAAAATATCTGCCTACAAACAAAACTGACCTCCACATTGATTGGACGATGAGAGATCTTCACGAAGAAGACGTCAAGCATGAACTGTTCCAGAGGCTTCAGATTGACGACGTCATCAGCGAGTCGCACGACGTCAGGTCGCGACGTCGACAGCTGGAAAGTACGCGGCATCGCGTACGCATTCTTTATGACAATTTTCTGAAAAACAAGGTGACGTTGCATCCGTAATTCGATCCAGGTACCTTGTTAGTGACGTCATCCGAGGCGATCGGCACCTCGACAACAAACTTTTGCGTGACCCGCGGAAGCTGGGCGTCGGCGAATACGAGAAAAGAGCCGGCGACCCTCGCCGTCGACTCGTCCACCACAGTCACCACTTGCTCAGCCCTACCTATAACCTTTTTTCTGAAATACTAGTAATTTCTAACACCCAATAAAGTTATGATCATCTTTCGAACTCTTAAAAAATCTTTCAGAATTTTATTCCTTTCTCTGCCTAGCCATGCTTAGGAAAATGCGAAATCAAAAGGAAAAACTACGAAAATGTTTTATTTGTAAAAATCATCGACCTTAGAGATATGTATCATTTGGGAAATTAAAATCGCCTAAGATTTTTTTACCTGCCTAAATATGATTCTCAGGCTCTGAAAGTCAAAAAAAAGCTTGCTTTTCATGAAGATCACCGTAATCTCAATTGGTTTCTTTTTCTTTTCATTTTCATTGCAGATCTTTATTTTTGTCAATTTTAAAAGCACTTTGAACACCCTGTAATCACGAGATGTTCAAAAACGATGGAACAAAATTAAAAATAAACATGTACCAGTTCTAGCTTTGAACAACAATCGTTCCCTCTCCAGAATGGTCAGCGAATAAAAAAATATTGATAATATTTGTCCTCTAAACAGGCGGTTTTTTCAGAAAAAGAGGAACTTCCAGCATTTTTCCAACTCATAAAGTTATAAATGAGTCGGAAATACTCATAAAGTAGAGCTTTAGCTGCGTAATTACAACTAAACGACGCAGTCGTGAAACTCGATCTGAGCAGGACGGAACGCTATCAATTGAGTTCAATCTTCGAATATATTTCCGGAAAATGTCTGCTTTTCTTTCGTTTCTTATCTCAGCTACACGATTTTTGGAATGTTTGTAGTCTGTTCAACTACACCACGCATTTCGATAAACCGTATTTTAAATAGGGACGCGCGTCAAACAGTTTCCGGTCGACGATAACGCTTCTTCGTCGGAACAAACTCGACTGGTTATTTTGCTATAAAAGAGCTTTGCATTTCAACTTCTTTCAGATTCCTCCTCTCGGAAAGCAATGAAGACCATCGAATGGCTGTGGCTCTGGTCCCTGTTCTTTTCCGTTTTGGTCTGCAGAGCCAGAAAGCTCGAGTTTGTCCAGGCGCTGTGGCGCCACGGCGATCGCGCTCCACTGCACCTACCGTATCCAAAAGACCTTTATACAGAGGAATTTTGGCCTCGCGGATGGGGTCAGTTAACTGGGGTGAGATCCCTCAAGAGATTTTGAGACTGTTTGAACGCACTTCAGGTCGGAATGCAGCAATTGCATGAGCTCGGCTCGCATTTCCGACAAAGTTACGTTTCCACTAATTTTGTCAACCAAACCTTCTCAACCAAGCAGGTTCTATTGGAAGTCTAGACTCCACGATATAGACTTTAGGTATATCTGCGATCTTCGGATTCAGACCGTGCTTTGGTCTCAGCTCAAGCTTTTTTGTACGGGTTTTATCCGGCTGTCGGAAACTTCGCTTGGGCTCGAAACACAGATTGGCAACCAATTCCAGTTCATGCTAGTACTCCAGGCGAGCCTGACATTGTGAGGATCACGCATGAAAGTTCTGAAGAAAAGCTACTTTCAGCTAACAAAAGCGACGTCGATCGCCTGCAAGAACTACGACGACACTACGGATGCTGGAGACGCTCGCGACGCCGAAATATACAACGTCCAGTACAAGGAACTCTTCGAGGCTCTATCCGTTGGAACGGGAATCGCTAACTTCTCCTACCTCAATATCAACGGCATTTTCGACATTCAGAGAGAGGTCAACTTACTTTCTTGAAGTGAACTTAGGAAGAGATATTAGAAAGTTCATCATTTCTCGGAAAAATAGTACTCTACGCGATATTTATGTGAAAAATATGTAAAATTTTAATGGGAGAAAGTATAAAAATTCTAAATCAATGAAAAATCAAATAAAATGAGCTGATATGAACACATAATTATAACTATATTTCGGATTATGCTGAAGCATTAATCTTAGCCTTACATATCAAAATCTCACTTTCAGTTTTTTTTTAATTTTCAATTTTAGTAAATGTCATTTCACTCCTATTTTTACTATATTAACTCCCAAAGCGTTCTATTATTTTATTTTTTTGAATAAAATTTCTAGTTACTGCACAACATGACGACATTGCAACCAGAATGGGTCTACCACGTCTGGCCGCAATACGAGAATCGTACAACCATGGAAATCATCACAGAACTGCGGACGATTCGGATGAATAATCTTTTTGCTACCGCTAATCAGGCCAAGGTGCTCCTCTCCGTAATTCCAAACCTTTTATATCTACAGCTCATGGGCGGATATTTGCTCAATACTTGGATACAGCAAGCCGAAACAGTTAGCCGTGGTGAAATGTCCGAGAAAATGCTGCTATATTCTTCGGTTCTTATTAAACGTGTTCGAAAAATCATCAAAATGTCAGCACGACGGGGTTTTGCTTTCTCTTCTCAACGCTGTCGGTGCCGGCAATTCTGAGATGGTTCCCTACGCCGCAGCTCTTATCATGCATGTCTACTCCGACAACGGAGATTATTTCGCCGAGGTATAACATTTTTCACTTAAAAGGAAACTCAATGAACTTCAGAGATCTTCGAAATTCGCTCAAAATTTCCTTGAAACATCCAAAAAAAATCTCTTTCTGCACAAGTTCCTAAATTTTTCTAAAATGAGCAGAGCAAAGTAAAAATTGATTTCGAAAGTACATTTTTTGATATTATTTAAGTTGCGCTGGCTCAGATTTTCTTAACCTTCATTATTATCATAGAAGAGTATTGGGTTGCCTTTGAAAAAGTTCTGAAATTTTTACAAAAAATAATTCTTATTTGAAATTGGAACTAAATATTGTAGCTTTTCTACCGCAACGAAACTAAAAGACCACCTTATCGCCTAAGAATGTCCGGTTGTCCCGACCCTTGCCGAGTTTCGGAATTGGCTTCCGGCTATTCGCAAACCACTATAACTAGCCTTGATCAAATGCTACAGGTTCAACTATTTTTTTTCGTAAATTTGTAAAAAAAAAAAGAAATTTCAGCTTTGCGGGAACTCTTCAAAATCAAGGATATATTCTTTTACAACTCCTATTTTATTATTTTTCACCTTTCAATACTTTTTCAAATAAACTGTGACACCACCGGTGCTGTACCAAGAATCACACATCGAAAAGCCCCCGCCATCTTCAACAACACAAAAAAAAGATAGCAGTTGGCACTAACCTGGCTGAAGCGGCAAAAAGTGCAACTGGAAGTTCTGGGTTGTTTGGTTTGAAATCGTCGCCGAACTGGGACATCGGATCGATGGCGAAGATGTGTGGACTCGCAGAAGGCCTGTCACCTCTTCCAGTTTCTCTCTGGAAGCATCATTTTCGAATGAAATTGATAAGAAACGGTGAAGTTTTTTGAAAGTCGATAAACCTAAAATTAGAAAGAGATATTCCAGAAAAACACGAGTAAAAAAATACATTCATATAGGAGTTTTTTTTTATTTAATTTTGAAATCAAGATTAAAATTTACTTTATTGAAGCTATTCCAGCGATTTCGTATTATTTAAAAATATCATTATGAAAAATTTTTTTCTATGAGAGCAAAGTTTAACACCACACGATTTTTGTTCTGACTGGGCTGTTATTTTTCCAGAAAAATGGGAAATTCTTTTTTTAAGTTTTAAAGAAGTTCTTCTTATATAATATCCAAGTACAGCTATGAATTTTCAGTTCTGAAAGTCCCACTGTTTCTTTTAGTTTCCGAGTCATATGACTTGAAGATAAACCATTCCCAAATTAAATCTAAAACGGTCAACCTGAAATTGCGGATGCCAACTCGTTTGCCACGAGTACCGCCTGATCAAAAGCCTTGGATCTTTCTGAAAGAATGTTGGCAAAAAACGAGCCAGGTGTTGCCGGAGACCATGTGTTTTATTTTTGTTTTCTTGCCGACGGCGGCAGTTGCACACGCCCTCGGAGCCACTTTACCCGATTCCTGTCGTGTTCAGTTGCCTTTGCTTTTTATCGAGCGTCAAATTGTTTCACTTATACTGCTAGAAGTCATATTCATTCAGGATGACCGACTACGCGTTGGTCAGGTCGAGGAGCACGGCTCTCGCCAGAGCTCGGTCCTGCGAGCCTTCCTCTTCGCTTTATGTTCGTTTCTTAAATTTTTTTTTGTTTTGAAAATGATGAAAAAAATCTCCTGGAAAGTTAGATTATCTAAACATATACATTTCCTTGAAAAACTTTTGAAAAACTTTTGTAGTAGACCCTTTACAGTTTTAATATAAAAAAATTGTTAAAATCGGTTTTGGATGAGTACAAAAAAATCTGCCATTCTCCTGCTTCATTTTGTATCCTTATCAGTGTCCTAAACTTATTTACAAAATAGTCTAAAACATATTAATCCCAAAGAAAAACAAGAATAAAAAGCTCAAAACTTGAATCCGTCTCTGCTTAACGTTGAAAAAAGCTTCGATTTTATTTGATGGCAGAGAATCTAAAAACAATAGCGAGAATAGTTTAAAGCAGCAACCCCCGCAGCTGCTCTCCGACCTTTTCTCTGCCAATAAATGATTGGCAAACGTCACGTGTTAGGAAAACTTTGAGTCATTCTATGAAAACTCTGAAAAAGTTTCACTAAGACAATTTATTTAATGAAAATATTGGAAATTAAGTTATTTTTAAAAGAAAAAAGATTTCTTGTGTTTGAGAATCGCCAAACACATTTTTGTTTTTGAGTAATGGGTTTTTGTTATATAAATTGTGAATACGGCATGTGAATACTTCTGTGATTGAGGATTCATACTTCTCATTTTTTGGAAAAAAAATTATAAAGAAGTTCAAGAACAATTTTAGTTGACGCGTACTCGGTCCGTGCCTGACCTGACGTCGTACTTCAGAAGTTCGGATCGCTACCGTCCCCAGTGGCACACCGTCTGGCAGTCGACTCCTTATCGCTGGCGCCGCGATTGGGACTTGGTATAATTTTTGAAACAGCTCAACCCCTCGCGGTTGTGTCGCGGTCGAAACTAGAGTTTCAAAGGTTTTACTCGAAGTTTCTTTTGAACAAAGTAGCTTTTAGGGACATCTTTTCTAGTCACTGCTCTGCAGCCGCTACGCATCGAACCGCTCCCTGAGCGTCAAGTCTAATCTTAAAAACTTTAATTGATTCAGTACGACGACTACTGGTACGACAAGTATTACTACTTCTCTCCTCTTTACAGCACCTACACGCCCAGCCGCCGTTACTACTACAGGTACAATGAAATTTTTATCAAAGTATTGGAACCAAACAAAAATCTAGTGACTATCTGCCCAATCCTTACTACTGGCGTCCGTACTCGAGCTACTGGACTCGCTACAAGGGATACTGGTGATTTTTGAGTTGAACTTCGAAAAAGGAACATCCTTAATAGGTAGGGGGCGCAAAGCCCCGCCCCTTCACGCCACCAAAATGACGATTTTTTTGTTGCAAAAACGGTTTTGAGGCGTTTATACTAGCTAAAGTCCCATCTTAAAAAATCAACTATTTCTGTAAACCTATGTAATCGACAACGCTCTACAAGACTGAATATTTTTAAAACTATGTATTTTTCAAAAATAAGCGAAAAAGTAAGATTTAACACGAAAAAAACTGACAAGTTTCACAAAATCGTCGCGTTTCAGAAAACCAAGTGAGGAACGCTTCTAAATTTTAAGTATGTTATACATTAACACTTTCTTTATTTTTTGAGTGAAAATGAAAAAAAATCTACCGACGCGAAAAAAATATTAAAGCTTGTAAAGTGACACCAAACTTTGAAGCTGAAATGCGAAAAAATTTCAGCGACATGGTATACTTTTTATTTGGTTTAAAAACTAACAGTGTGTCCAAGAATAAAAAAATTCAAAATGAAAAATAATTATTGGGACAGCGAGTCAAATTATATTTGAGTTTTTACCAAAACCTCCTTTTTTTCGCCTGCCTCGTTGACGCATGAGAGAATAGGATCGCGTCTATATTTTTTTGATTATGTTATTAAGCGTTCAAAACTCTATCAATGAAAAAATTATGAAAAAATCGATCGACGCGAAAAAAATAACGGCTTTGAAAAACCTCGAAAAAAATGGCAATTTTTTGAAATTTCGGAAGATTTCGTGCAAGTGTCCGTAGCAGTGTTTGCGTCAAACACACCGATGCGCCCTTTTAAATGTCGCAGGAGCCGTTTTTCGGAGTCAAATTGCACTTTTTCCTGTTTTATTTCGAAATAACATTATTTTTCATTTTTTCTTTTTTCCAAATCGAATGATAATAATTTTTCTGAGTAGAAAAAAGAAAAATAAGCTGAAAAATCCTTTTGACCTTTTTTCTAGGTAGTTTTTTGATATTTCATCAAAACTTCTTATGAGGATTGTACAAAAGATTCATACCAAAACATGAGGCTCAGTTCGGACAACCTCTCAGAACAGAAAACCGATTTAAAAACGGTCCAGAAACGCGCAAAAACATTTAAAAAGAAAGCGTGCGGCAGCGGGTAAACCGTGAGATTTTGCCTCCAGTTGTACGCCGCGCGCGCTCGTTTTTTGGCCATAACTTTTTTCTTAGTGAACCTTTTTTCAAAAACTAAACGGATTATGAAAATGGACAGTCTCCCCTATCGAACAATGTGAAAAACATATTTTTTGAATCATTCTGAAGAAATGGCTTGCGGACCCTATTAATAGGTACGACTACGACTACCCATCGTACTACCGCCGCTACACGGACTCTGCTTTCAATCGCTACCTGACCTCGACCTACACGCCCTACAGGTATCAATCAATCCAAGCCAACCACCGTAACCTCGGCGCCTGCAGATCTTACCTTTTGGACTCGCTCTCGACGTCCCTCGGCCGCGGACTCGGCATGTATAAGGCAGGTAGGTTCATTTTTTTCCCAAGAGCTCACGGAAACTTTTTCTTATCTGTCTAAAATTTCCCTGGTCCCTTTATCGGTCGAAGTGTAGAGAATAAGAAGTTTTTCTTCTGTTGTTCTTGATAAGAAATAAAATTTATTCGAACGAATAAATCTTTGAAAAATTTTCGATGACTATTCAATATAGGGTGTAAAAATCTTTAAATACCCAGTCTGTAAAATCTCTTAATTTTTGAGAAAGAAGCTTCGAAATTCCAGCCCCTTTTCCTAATCTCATAAAATTTTGAGTAAGCTGTTCAGGTTGAAAAACTTCATCTAACATGTGTTCAAACATTTCGGCCGACTTAGAAAGAAAGTTCTCAACTTATTCTACACCTCGACCCCCGTAGAAATTTATAGAACTTTTAGAAATCGTTTCCATTGAAAAATGAAGAAGTTCAGGCAGCTCTTTATGGTACTACTAACCCGTTTTCTCCTCTTTACCTCTACACTAGATATTAAGCTTTCGAGGTTAGGAACTTTTCTCTTTGATTAGAGTGTAGTTTTCATCCCAATCGATCAATAATCCCTGAGCACCTTGAATTTTGCAGGTCTGATCCCCTACCGCACGCTCGACACCTACTGGTTGACGCCTTCTTACTGGGACCGGAGGTTCAAGGATTGGCGAGAGCTTTACTGCACCACCAAGGATCTCTACCTGCCTTCCACCTACGACCGCAAGACTCGCCAATACTTTGCCCAATGGTCCTAAGCTTCTTCTCTATGTTTAGTTACGATCGACCTTATTTCTTTGTACTTAATGTTTGGATATATTTGCTCGAGATAATAAAGCGTACAGCAGAGAAATTGTGAGACTTTACAGAAATGCAGATTTCTTCAAAAAAAAAAACAGAAAATTTATATTTTCGATTTTTTTAAACCGAAACACAGCTCGTAAGTTTGCTGTGATTGTATCAAAAATAGATCACAGAAAACTTACGAGCTGAGTTTCGAATAATTTTAAAGTTTTGAAAAAAATAATTTTAGTCACTAAATGAACTGTTTTTCAACGTTTTTTTTTATTGGAAAACATTTTTTTTATATTTGTACATACTTGCACGCGACAAGGCGCATAGTCAACATCGAAAAAAACGCTCACAAAAAAGAAAGGAAACTCATCATTTTTTGTTAAGATCCTCTACAATTTTATTTTATCCTGGACTCACCTACTCAAAATAAAAAATATTGAAGTAAGAACTACAAAACCCACAAATATTTTGTTTTTTTTTTCAGCATAGATAAAAAAAATCTAAATTTTGAAATGAAAAAAAAACGCACTTTTGCAAAGAGATGCTTGTCTTGGTAATTTGACCAACGGTTCCTCGAAAATCGACTCGCATCATGGCGAAAATCGTGAACCGCCACGTGGCCAACAATCTGAAATGTTCAGTAACTCTGATTCCTTTGTTTCAACGACTGAATTACCTGCTTTCATACATGTCGCTATAAAGGAATACTAAGAATGTATGTTGCTCGCCAGGATCTCCAGAATAAGCCTAAAAACTAAATTAATGAAGGAGTGTGAGAGAATTTATTCTTTAATTCACTGAGCATCTTCAAAAAAAGGAAACCACTCAAAAAACGGGGGAAAAAAATTTGATGTAAATTATAGTTCACAGCGTTTTTGAAATACAAAACCGTTTGTTGCCTCACCCAAGCTCGTTACTGTATGTCGATGAACAAAGATGAAAGAAAACTTGCCGACACGTTCAAAATCTGATGAAGCCCGACGTTGCGATGAGAGGCCTTGACGGAGGGATCATTGCAGCGGACGGAGGCGACGCGACGATTCCCAGGAAGACTTGGGACTTGGACCGCGCGCTCGAAGTTGGTCCTCGCCTCGCCGACAAACACGAAGCTGTGCTGCAGGCAGTGGGATCTGTTCCGAACGTGGAGGTCGAGGATGGAGAACGGCTCTTTCGAGTCCCATCGACGGAATATCACCTTGAAATGACGTCATTTCTCTTATTGAATGCAAAACGTTTTCGAAAGGTGAGGTGTATTTAAAATTTTAAATTTTAAAAAATGATCAGATGTTAATTGAAAACTGAAGTAAGGGCCAACAGCTTGAAACCAAAAAATTGGAATTTAAGAATAAAATTGCGAAATCAAATAAAAGTAAAGTTGAGAGAAAACTTTCAAATTTTTTGGCGACCCTTGCTCTATAACATAGTGAAACGCGTAAACCGTCTCGAGTCGGAGACAGAAAATTTATATCAAGCTTCTCATAAGCCGACAAAAGGGGCTTCATCGCATCAGCTCTTTCTCTGACGCACGCTATTTCGTTGGAGGGGACGAAGAAATAGCACATGTCAGAGAAAGAGTTGCGGCGCCACTGACGGGATCAAGCTCGAATCGGAGACCTTTTTGTTCCCCAAAGACTATTTCGGTAAATTATACGAAGGAATTCAAAATGGAGTAGATTTTCATTAACAAAAAAAAAGTAAAATGGAAACCTTTGTCGCGAAAAGCTCATGCTCATTTGAGTTTTTGAAAGCGTTGTACAAAAATGGGACAAAGATCGTCTCACGAGGTTTGAGATAAACCTGGAAAAATTATGATTATATATTTCAAATCATGAAAAGACGACCTCAATTTGATTACCAACTTGTCGGAACATTCCTTTTTCCATGGGCGTCTGCAATTTGTGGGCTTTTTTGTTGAACTCCCATTCGTCTACAGAAAATATTACTCTGAATTCGGACTTGATGGATCTTATTCGAAACTAGAAAAAATCAACCTCAAGGCAGGATCATCCATTTCTATAACACAACTAATCGGCTCAGCGAACGTGTTTTCAAGAGGAAACTCGAAGAAAACTTGCTCTCCCAGAGATGGCTGGATCTCGTGTCGAACCGTTATTCCTATGAGACGATGAAAATGAAAAAATAGCTTCAAAAACCTTTGAAGACGGTTTCTAATAATCTAGTTGCCTTGCTTTCATAACGAAGCTTCTTGAACGCCTCAAGTTCCTCTTCGAAAATAAACTTTTCATGCGACTTCTGAAAATGTTTCGAATCGAAAAAGTTCCTCTTCCCATGTACCTGAGACAGGGAAAGAGGCTGTCTTTTGAGGTTCTGCCATTGCCGAAGTCGGTCGTTGGTTTCTTCGTTGAAAATTTCTTCGTATCGTTGTTGAACATCCAGTCTGGATGTTGCTTATTTGCTGAAAAAGGGAAAAGAAAAACCTCTGAGCAGCCAGGAATCTCTGCAAAGAAGAGTCCTGAACGGCGCTGAGTGGCTTGGCTAGAATTCTGTAGGAGTGCGGACCTTCGTCCTGCCACTTCAGAAGACGTCGACTCACCGTCGCCGTTGTACGGCTTCTCACCGAATCTGAAAAAACCATGTTTTGTGGATTGAATGTACGGAGCAAACTGTCATCGATGTTCTGTTAGTGAAGCCTATTTTCAGGACAAAGATTTTCAAAAACCTCCAACAGTGGAATCTGATGATTCAAAGAGCAAAGACTGTCTTCAGGTCACAACTTGTTCCATTTCGCTCGAAACTGACTGTAAATTACGGACCTCAACAACATACCGTAACCGAGGCTAATAGCCAGCTGAACGAAACAAAAGCAAAAAAAAATCAACGTGAAAATTGTTTGCGCTTGGTCAGATTTTGACACACCGCAAACACAAACAAGAAAACAATCGCCGTAAACCGGGAAATCCAGCAACGTCCGTCATTGGAGCATGCTCGTGGATCGTATAAAACGGATAGGCCGAAGAACAGCAGACCATCAGCCATGGCATTCAAAGCTTTCTGCACCCTCCTCCTGCTCCTTGTCGCCTACTCTCAGGTTTTACCCTTTCTCCGTCTTCGGCACTTCAAGTCGAAGTTTTCCAGGCTTTACCTATCCGAGATGATAAATCGACCGAACTGGCGTTGACAGAAGCTCCAACGGCCCCAGCAACGACCGCCATAGACACTCTTGGAGAAGAAGGAGGCCGTGTCAAGCGTCAAGGCGGATGTGGCTGTGGATGCGGGTGCTGCTGTTGCCGTCCCAGGTAAAATGAATCGGATCAAAAACTTGAGCTTTGAGCTCCTGATTACTGTATACGGGTATTTTTTTTTTGGAAAAATTTCCTCAAGCATTTTTTACTTCTTTTTTATAGTTAGGTTTTCTCTATGGAGTACTGACTAAAGTACGATTTCCGGTAACAAACGGATTTCTGAAGGAAATTAGAATCATATGATGCATTTATTTTCTGCTGATTCTGATCATGTTCTGAGATAAACTTCCTAGAGGCTTTTGAAGACTGTATTTTCGCTCAAAAATTTTTTTTTTTTCTGAAAACAGATTTTTTCAATCAATATCACGTATCAATAAATGAGTTTTTTTTTCTAAAAAGTGATTTTTTTTCAAGTTTGAGAGAACAAAATTTTTTTCAAAACTTATACATTTTGAACTGATCGGGTTTAATATTCGGAATGAGCGTGAAAATCACATTATGTGATCCCGTTCACACTCAACAAAAAAAATCAGTGAATTCAGAACATGGCACAACTGATTGAGGTCTTGGTGTTCATCAAAAACCAGGATCCGTGCCTTTTTTCGCAATCGAATGAGCTTCCAGATGCTGTTGTTGCTGTAGAAGGTGCTGCACTTGCTGTCGGACCTGTTGCTGTACCTGTTGCCGTCCTTGCTGCTGCTGCTGTCGTCCCTGCTGTCAGTCGTCTTTGGAATCATCTAATCTACCAGGAAATCTCTAGGCGGATGCTGTGGAGGTTGTGGATGCTGCGGATGCGGCGGTGGAGGACGCAAACGAAGAAGTCTCCAGGTCTTGAAGATCAAGCTCGCCGACCAGATTGAGCGCCAGAACCGGTAAGGAAAAGCTACCAACTCCACAATGAGACACTAAATTCCAGCCAAGCCGCCCTGGCTATCACCGGCGAAGAGGCTCAACTTCCAGAAGTCGGAGTAACTTCTGCCGTTGTCGTTCCTGAAGAAGAGCCAACAACGACGGAATGGCCAGCGCCGGTCTACGAACTCGTGACTGAAACGTCGGCCTAGACCCCACCGCCACTATTTAATTATTTCAATTAATTATTTTTACCAAAATAAAATAATGAAACACTGCTCACCGAGTTGTAAAGTCGAAGGATGCCCGATATTGGCGATTCGGAGATACAGAACTCCATTTGAAGACGTTGTTGAGGGACGTGAAGAGTCGAAAACCGGACAGGCCACGTAAGACTGTACGGCTTCTTTTCCTCGTCTAAGAAGCGACTGAACAAAAAAATCATATTATCCGTCTTGAAAAGTCTAACTATCTGTTCCTAATCTCTCGCCGGTAATCTCCGTTACAAGGGCAATGAAAAGAAAGCGTTTTTTTTCTTAAAATTTTTCATTTGGCAGGTCAAATTCGATAAACTATATATAGTAAGTATACAGAAAGTATATGTTGGCCGACTGCTATCAAAAACAGACATATTTGCCAATGAGCCTAATTCTGAAATATTTATTATATTCAAACTTTTTTATCTTACCTGCTGCTGTATTCTGCAGGCAGAAAAACACTTCAACAGTCCAAAAAATAAATAAATAAATAAAGACCTTATAAAACTTTTTTTTCACTAGTTGCTCATAAAAAACTAAAATAAAATATGTTTCAGTAAATTCATTTAAGGCAGACGTATTCAAAGACTTCATTGGATCTTTTTCATCTGCGAAACAATTCGAGCGATTACCGGAAAGTGAATGCAAAAAGGTATATTTTTCTTCGAAGATTCCGTGTTACGAAAAAAGTACCCTCAGAGGAATAATCGCAGCTCCAACGTAAATGAGAGATTCTGCGTCCCAGGCGTCGACGACGACGTGGCAATGAGCCAAATACGCGATTATGTCGTCCTTGTCGTCCTCACTCTCCCGCTCGATTATGTATTTGATCTGGATAGAAGTTTGAAACTTGTCACAGACTTTGGATACCAGAAATCCAGGAGAATCTTCGATGATTTTGCCGTTTCTATCCAATCTCCTCAACACGTTGGCCTCAGGTTTGTCTCCTCCCGAGAGAATCATTCTGAAATCACATTAAACTTCGTTTTAGAGCTATCCAGTTTCTAAGTCCAAGAATGTTCAAGAATGTCCAAGAATCTAAAAATCAATCGATTCGAGAGAAAAATCGAATCTCAAATTTGGATTTTGGAAATCTTGGAACCCCACAAAATTGCGAGAGATGGATAAAAACGTGACTTCTCCACGAAAATTTTCAATTTTTTTAGAGGGTGCTTTGAAACAGTAAGTTCATTGAAAAACTGACGCTTCAGTTGAAAGCTGTTGAAAACGATAGAACTGCATCGAGAAGAAAAGCTTGGCAAAGGATGTGGGTTGCAATCCCCGATTACTGAAAAAAGTCATAAAAATTTTCTACTTTAATTTTTTTAACTTTTTGTAGGCCAGGAATTGGAAGATGATCTCATTGCAGTCAAGCCGGTCATTTCTTTCCACGTCGAAACTCAGAAGAGGATTTTCCGTGACGTCACAAACAGTTGGAGATTCTCCGTGTCGGTCTTTCACGGCGCCAAACTGAACAAAAATTCTCCTGAACAAAACTTTTTCGAAATAATCACATTCTCTTTGGAGACGATTGCTTGGACGGCCCTTGGGATGTTGCTGATCCTGAGAGGGAACCTTTTTTTGGATTTACAAAAAGTTCAACCTCGTTTCTTCCAGAGGGATCCTGCTAGTGGTTGGGGCAGTATTCTCACAATAAAGCGGTTCTGCGACGATTTCTTCTTCAATGAACGTTTCGATGGCTTGGAGGGCTTCTTTCGAAGCTTCTCTGGCGCTTTGGATCTTCAGAAAACGTTCCAAACAAAGACGAAAAAATTTACTCACAGCGATTGGATCGTTCCTCGGGGTTAGCATCGGCATTCGGTTTTCTTCTTCTTTCCGTTCTTTTTCTTCTGTTTCTTTTCGTCTGCTCCATTCTTCTTCTTGCCTTCTTCTTTCTTCCTCTCTTCGAATCCTTCTGATCTCTTCTTCCTCCAGCTGACGTCGGTACTCCTCCTCCTCCATCTGTTGCAATCTCTGTCTTCTGATCATCTCCCTTTGCTCCTCTCCATGGTCTCTTTGAGTGGATATTCCGCTCTCCGGTCTCTGAAATAGAAAAGTTGCACTTGATCAGTTAAATTTGAAGGCAAGTCCAAAGAAATGGTCCAATCTCAAATAACTCATAATAAAATATTCTGCTGCTTCTTTCATCTCTAAGTCAATTTTTCTACAAAGTGGAAGCTCTAGTTTAAACATTTTGCGGCCTGATCTGAACGACAATTTAGAGAAAGAAGTTATATTCTACAATTTTCCAAAAATTTACGAATACCACTAAATGAAATTTTTGAAAACCTGTTTAAAAACATTGAATAAACTTCAGATTCTGCTTGGCGTTCTTAGAAAGAGAACATCCGATTGAACTCTTTCAAGCCAATCGATTAATTTTCTTTCTTTTGCTGCCATTTTTCCTTTTTTCTTTGTTTCTCACTACTTCAAAGATTACAGAGAAAAAAAAACCACTGACCAACTGATCGACGAAAAAGTTGAAATACATCGTTATTCTAGGAGCGCTTTCGGTGAATACACTGTCGTCGCGGCGGAACAAGTGCAGAAGATTTTTGAAACAAAGCGCGTACTCCGGATTCGGACGAGGGCCGCCGATCAAGGGAACTTAAAATGTTGTTCTTTTTCTCAAAAAAAAATGATTGAAAATACCGCTGGTTTGAACTTGCGTTGGCAGACTTCCTTTTGAGCAAGGTTTCCAGGCTCCCCAACCAATCAGAATCGGTTGAGAGCATTGAGTCTGAAAACTTCTTTTTTCTGGGAAACTTTGAATGAGCGACTGACATCATTCTCGACGGTGAACAGATACTCCAAACTGAACACAATAACTAATCTTGAGTCTTCGCAAAATTTTGGTAAGGAGACTCGGGAATTCAAATACAGCGTGCTGGCTTCATTCCTGTACATTAGAAACGAGCTAAAAGTGAATTGGAAAATGCTCCAACTTGAGGTCGTTGCTGCTCAGAGCTCTTCTTTTCCTGAGCAAGGAGTTGGAAGAGAACAGATTTTGATTTGAACAGCTCAGGCTCAAGGACAAGGGCTCCGACAGGTAACAGTAGCCGTTGTGAACTCCAATCTATCAAACGACTTTTAGAACTTTTTTTCTGAGAGTCCAACCTTCAGCCTCCGCTCAATCACAGCCACTTTCCTTTTCACACCGACATTGAACGGCAAATTGTCCTTTTGAGCTCGATCCTTTGTTATCTGAAGAGCATAGAGATTTCTCTTAAAATATGAATTACGAGATACCTCTTCAATGATGACTTGTTCGATTTTGTTAGCATTGAACCCAAATGAAATGGAAATCTCATCAAGAGAAGCTGCGATCTGTGGAATGGGATGAGGCGACGCCAGTTGCGCTTCCTCTGAGTCTCCGTAGAGCCCCGGGACTTCTTGTTTGCTTCCAATCAGACAAAATTCAGGAAAGTAGTCGATCACCTTGATATATCCTCTTTGACTGATATGAACAGAAAGAAAGAAAATTTAGATTAAGTGCAATTCTTTTTGAAACATTCTTTTAGCGAGGTTTTAATCCAAAACTTCATGAGAAAATGATTTTTTCCGCTTATGTGACGCGAACTGCGCAACCAATCCTAATTTTCCTAAAAGTTTTTTTTTATTTCTTACTAACGGCCACTATTGTTTTTTTTTTCGATCAACTATAATTATTTCACAGTCTTTAAATCTTGATTTTATGAATACACATAGTATGTCCTACGTATAGTAATGCGACGCAAGTCCTACGTATGCGTCGCATACGTAGGACTTGTAGGTTATTATAAATAGACTGAAACTCTATAAGAAAGTTTTAATTCTTCAATATTCGTTATAATTGTAGGAAACGTACTCGTAGCAAGCTGGGGTGAGAAAAGAGCTGACACTCGATGACGCCCTTTTTCACAGACTTGAACGACTTGGTAAAAGTCAACACTTTTGGCGTTCCTCCATACAATTCCACGCTGGAACCTTCTTCTTTCAATCAGAATGCAAAAATTGAGCTACAGTTTCAAATTGATCTCTGCGGGGATTTGACGGTACTGCAACATCGGCTCGTTCGAGTTCTGAACTTTCATCGAAGTCCAGCCAACGCTTCTCGTCGAGTTGCCGTTTTTGTTGTTCTCCACGATTTCCAACACCAAACTGATTTCTTCATCCACCCTTGGACAATGGAAGAAAACTTCCTAAATTAGTATTGATAGAAAGAACTTCTTCAGTTCAAAGAAGGAACTTTGAACTGATCACCTCATTAAAATGACACTGGCCATTTTTTGGAACGACCCAAGCAGAATGAAACGGTTTTCCGAACATTTGGCACGTTCGTGCATCGAAAAAGAAAGTGTGGAAGCGGTAGTTCGAGTCCGCGTTCAACTTGAATTAAAAAACTGAATTAGATACGATAAATTTGCTCACCTCGCTCAAATTCAGGCTTCCGAAGATCAAAGCATAGCCCTCAGTTTCGGCCGACGATGGAATTTGTCTTTTGACGTCGACGCCTCGTTTTGACAAAAAGTCCATATACCATTCATTGGCCGGCGTCATCCGGGATTCAGGAGAGAAAATACGCATTTTTTGCCGGTAAGCTTTTCGTAATGCAACGCGCTCCGGTTACTGGTTCCCATAGCGACCAAATGCAGCTAAATTGTGAGCCGCTCCTGATTTTTTGTTGGGGCTTTTCTGATGGAAGGCTCGGCTCATTCAGTGAGCGTCTATTAAATATTCCTTCTATAGAACGTTTCATAGAGAACTGACTCGACAGTTCAAGACGATCATGTTCAACACGGCGGAGTGACCCTAAAAGGGAGGAGCCAAGCTGCAATACAACGTTGAATCTGTGCCCATCGTTTGCACAATGGGCGGAGCATCTTGCATTCCCGTTTTACGCCCGCGGAGGTGCGTCACCTTTTTTAAAATTCAGTCGAATTCAAAACTTATTTCCGAATTTCTATTTTTTTTTTTTTGCACGCTTTTATTTTTTGTTGGACCACCCGATTACGCACATGAAAAAAATCTTGATTCATCGCAACTTAAAACTTTTTCCTCGTCTCCTTATTAATCTCTCTCAACAATTAATATTTACTATTTAGAAAATGGTGGTTAAACCTGGAACGCACCAAGTGTTCAACATAGATCATGTCAAGTCAAAAGCTGTCTATAATCTGATAACTCAATTGATACACGAGGTGATATATGAATAAAACCTAGTGTAATTTAAAAAAAAAATTGAAACAGGTAACCAATATAACCGAAACATTTCCTCTGGAAAAGGGTCAAACCGCTGAGGATCTCGTTTTGGCCGTTGAGAAAAGCACTGGCCGTTTTTTGCATTTTGGCGATCAGGCAATAGCGACTGTTCCGGTAACTCAAGAAAATCATCATGTAATCGATGACCTTAGAAGAGCTCTCGATGCTGTTCAGGATACAGGTTTGTAAAAAAAAGCCTCAATTGAAAATATTTTCATTTAAAGGTCAAAAGATGTTGGAAACTGGTAGAAACTTTGTCCGCGACTCGACTTCTTCTCAGAAAAGAGCAACGGCCATTGGAGTTGGCAGACAGTTTTTGAATGTAACTTTGAAGTGGAAATTCGCGAAAAACATTATATTTCAGGCTGTCGCTTACTTTCTTATCATTGCCGATGCGACTGACGTTCAGATCATTGTAGAGAAGCTTGAAAATGTTAGTTTTTTGAAGGGAAAAAAAGGATAATTTTTCCTTTAAGGTTCGAGATTTGATGAATAGCCTGGCAAAAGCTGAATCCAAGGCCGAAGTAGAAGAAATTTATCGAATTCTTACAGCTCAAATTGAGGATTTGGATATCACAATCAGGTTTTTTTTTTACTTTTTTTTTGTTTTCATACGGTTTTGTTAGGAAAAGAATTGCTGATTTGATCGAACAAAGCCAAAAAGACAATCTTTTGGCGGCTCGAAGCGTTTTGCGCTGCACGGCTCCATTAGTCTACGCCTCCACCAAGGTTTTGGAATTCTAATTTTTCAAATTTTGGATATAAAACGAATATTTGAAGGCTTACGTACGTCATCCCGAACAAGATGAATCTCGAAGGAATCGAGATTATTCTCACAGAGAAATGCTCGACGCACTCGATCTGATGGCCAGAATGCTTCGAGGTCAGTTGGGAATCTCTTTCTCTCAAACTTTTGTGGAAATCAAAACTTTTATTGAGTTTCATTCTATTTCTGCGAATTAATTTTGTTTTTTCCAATCAGTATAGACTTTTTATTTAATTTCTATGATACGACTTTTTGAAACCTTTCTCTGTGTTCATTATCTAATTTTATGCATTGACTTCCACCATCTCTTTTGGAAAAAGTGGGAACTCTGTTTTATGTCTTTAATTTTTTTAGCTTTATTTTTTCATTATGTAACTCTCGAATATACTTTTTAACTTCTGTTTTTTTGGGTAGCTTTTCTCAAATGTTTGTGATTTGTATCTTGACTTTGTCGTAATTAATTTTTAACACTTCATAAAAATCGAAATGTCAATTTTTTTTTTCAATAGTTTTTTTTCCAGGAGAAGAGCCGGAAGGTTCTTTTGCCTCTCACGGAAGAATCGGCGACCTCGTCAATGAAATAGATTTGTTCCAGGTTTCTCATTACTTATTTTTGTCTAGAAATTCTGTTCTCTGAAGATGCGAGTGGAAATGGATCCCCAGTCGTATAGAAGAGAAGTCCACCGACCGGAATTGGAAGAGTTGGCCGAAAGAATCGTCAGTGGCTCTGCCGCCATCGCCGACGCTGGTTAACTTTCATATTTACTATTGAGAAAATTGATCCCAACCGGTTATATTCGGAAGAAAATATATTTATTTAAAGATTCAACTCGAGAATCGCGGAAACAGAAAATCGTTGCGGAGTGCAATAATTTGCGACAAGCGCTCCAAGAACTTCTCACCGAGTACGAGAAAAGCGTATGTTCATTTTGATTTTTAAATTTTCATTTCTAGTTTCTTTCTCACTCACATTCTTTGCTTGTCTTTCAACTTTTAAACTTTGGGATTTGAGTTTCCGCTCTCCAAAGAAATTCGAAAAATACTTTCTCTTTCTTTATCCCGATAGTTTTTGATTGCAGAGTAAAAAGTTTTTTTTTTCAAATGCATGGTTTATTTCGAAATTTTACTCACTACTTTATTTGTAGCGTTATAATTCAAATTTCTGGATTCTAAGATTTTTTAAAAGTAAGCACTTGAATTGAAAGCACCTAGTTGTTGAGGACATATTTACTTAAATTTTTTTGAGAAAAATGCGGTTCTTGATCGAAAAAAATATTTACTTTTTATTTTATTTTTTTGTTGCTATATATAACCACCATGAATATTGTATTTGTTTCATTACTTTTTTTGGAAACAGTGAGTTATCCGAACTGAACTGAATTGTCTGCAAGTCAGTTTTCTGTATTTTACCATCCTTGCAATATATGTAACTTGTAGAATAGTTTCCTGTTTTCGTTGAACAATCAAATAAAAAAAGATCGGTAATTGAGATAGTTTTGATGATGTTAAATTTCCCTGGTTTAGAAAAAAAGAGTGAATTGGTTTTTATTATTTTTATTGTCTTTTGAACACCTAAAAGGTAATCCATTGAAATCCTGTCTCTCTTGAATAGGCCACTGATTTTTTTGTTCTGTCGCCCGTTTGTGCAATTATGTCTCGCGCATTCATAATTGTCCGGTGGGTCGATCGGGGCCAACGACATTGGTTATGGAACGTTCGCTATTTACCACTGACTCACTGCCATTGATGCCATCTAATCTCCGCGAGGAGGCCCTCTTCCCCCTCTCTTGTGCGCCCAAAAGTCGAATTCTCACTGCTCACAGGGCGGTCAGAGCCTGAGCCAGCTTTTTGGTTTTCAAAAAATCTCAAAGAAAAGTTGTTCCTTCAAAAAAACATGTCAGTGACATGATGCAAAATTGTTTTTCTTTTTTTCTATATAAAAATTATGAATTTTTTTATATAAAATTATGAACACTGTTTTAAAATTATATTTCAATTTACCGCTAGATGAAAAGACAAAAATATAAGCATTTTTATGAGTTTTTTGTTCAGGAATCTTAGCTTTGAAAGTGATATAATATTAAAACTTGCGCGTAACTTTTTTGTAGGTCTGAGTCAGTCAAAACTTCGTGACTTTTTGTGTATATTTCACGAGAAATCTTGCAATTCTCTGCTTTTTTTGGTCAGTTCTCTAAGAGGGGGGCCGGCCAGTGGACAATGCGCAGGCACTTGAGAATTCTCCTCGCGGGCTTTTCCGCGTTTTTCCCACATGACCTGAAAATTGGATTTGGCGGATCCCTAATGAATTTTTGCGGTTGGAAGCCCAGTGTTCAGTATAAGTATTTGAAGAGAGGACGTTATGATGAGAACGACGACATCCCGCTGGGAATCGCCGAGGTTCATCGCAAAGCAAAGGACTTGCGAAGGTGGGTGAGAACCGAGAAAGGGAAAGTTTAGAATTGAAGAGTTGGGAAGGAAAAAACGGAAAGTTAAAAGGTCTCCAAACTATTTCCAATGAACTCTCTCAGTTTGAAAAAAGGCCTTCATCAGCTGCAAAATGTGCGCTCAGGGTTTAAAACCAGCGGTAAAGAAGGGAGGGAAGACAAGAGAAAAATGGAATAAGTTAAGAATTTTACAGTTTTGGACTTTATGGCTTTGGTCGACAAGATCAAAAAATGAATGTAGTCTTTGTTTCGAAGTGAGAAATTCACTAGAAAGAAATCAAGAGGATGAGAAGGAATTGTAAAAAAAGTTCTTTTTCTCGCTTTTCAAAACTGATATGAATTCAATCAATTTTTCGTTTTTTTCAATTTCTCGTTTTTCATGTAAGTTCAAACGTTGGTTTTTATTGTATAAGATCCAATTTCTTTTTTTGTTAGTTGTTTTTTTTCTATTTCGACAAAAGTCCCTTCGAAAAAAAGTAGCAGGAAGGAAAAAGATGCACTTCCTCGTTTTTTTTTTTTGACGTTAATTCGTTCAGACACTTGCGTCGAGCCGTCGTTGATCACATCAGCGACGCTTTTCTGGACACAAAGACGCCCTTGATGCTGCTCATCGAGGTGGCCAAGTGCGGCGATCCGGAAGATACCCAACACAAGGCTCATCTTTTCCGCCAACACGCCAGCAAACTCATTGCGGTACCTTGAAAGGAAAAGGTGTGAAATCACGAAACGACTGCAGGTGTCGCGGTTGGCGTGCAAAATGTCGAGCGATACGGAAGGCGTCAGCGTGATTCTGCATACCGCTGAACAACTCGAAAAGTTGGCCCCTGAGGTCGGTTCGAAAGAAGTTTATAGAAGAGTCATTTCTCGCATATCAGACTTTACAAAACATGGCTTGAAAGTTGTGGTGGTGTATAAGTCTCAAAAAACTTGTCAGAGAAAGTCCAGCTTGGTAAAATGAACCGATATTGTGAGAAAATTTCAACTGAACGGTTCATATAATTCTGAAAACTTTAATTTTTGTTTGCAACGCTCCAAAACTTTCAAGTTAATTTTCTCTGCTCACTTCAAAACGTTTTCGATAAGAAAAATTCTTTGTAATCTTTGATCGTGTGAAAGTTTCAGGAAACTGTTCTCAACTAGCCCATTTCAGGTTGTCAATGCAGCTTATTTGCTGTGTGCTCGGCCGGACAGCAAAACTGCTCAGGAGAACATGGAAGCGTTCAGGAAACTCTGGTTCGACAGGGTACTTCAATCGGACATCTCTGAACAAGAGGAATTTCTGAACTTCAGGTCAACCTCCTGACCATGGCCATTGATGGTATAACTACACTTGACGATTTTCTCGCCGTCAGCGAGGCTCATATCGTAGAAGATTGCAACGAAGGCATCCAGGGAATCACGGTATTTTTTCTTTTGAAGTTTCTGGATACGCCGTGTTTCAAGGCGCATGCATCGTCGCCGGAAATGAATCTGAAGAATTGCCAAAGGGTCGACTGTGCCGCGGGAGCCATCCGCGGGCGCGCCCTCCGCGTCTGTGCCGTCGTCGACGCCGAAATGGACTTTTTGCAGCCCTCCGAGTACACAGAAAACGCCAAAAATGCTGTTCGGATACTGCGAGACAACCGTAATTTGTTTTTCTATATTATAAAAAAGAAAAAAAAACCTACAAACAATTTTAAAAGTTTCATCATTTATTTGTGCTAATTTTAGCATGGTGTCAATTTTTGAGTAAGAAAAGTTTAAGCTGTTGAAAGATATTCATATTATTTTTAAATCACTTTCTGAAATAGAAGATATATTACAAACCCCTACAAGAAAAACTTTGGAATTTTAGAAAAAAAATCTTTTTGACTAATCATTTGAGAAAAAACAAAATTCTTGTGTAAGTATGTTTACCGAAAATAAAAAAATGTCTTGTCAAGCGCTTATTTTTGACCTGAAAAGGAAAGTAATTTTACTTTATGGTTGGGAATTTCTTAAAAACTGGCCAGAACTCTCCTTGAGGCACCAAAATAAGGTCCTCAAAGTCTCACCCTGCACAACTTTCTCTTTTTTTGAGAAATAAGATCTCAAAGCCCAAAAATATCTCATTTTACCGGATTACGAAGGTTTTCTTTGAATTTGAGGAGCCCTTTCTCTGAAACTAGGATATTGTGCAGACTGAGACTTTCAGGAACTTCATCTGGTACAGCAAGGAGTTATCCGGCCAATTTCCAGGAAATTCTGAACCGCAAGTAAAATGACCTTCCTTTTAAAGTTCCTTTGATTAACTTTTAAAATATGGGTTTCCTTCCATGATCCATGAAGCATAAACTTTCTTCATAAGTTTACGAAATCCTGGTCTTTTTCAGGAGTCATGGAGTTCTCGGCAAGAGCTGGCGATCTGGTGGACCGACAGCAAGCGATGGGTCTCGGCTGGGACGCTACTCAGAAGTACGGACTCCAGTGAAAGACAGTATTGCAAAGATTTTGTTCAAGAGATGAAGAAATGAACGAGTTCATCAACGCTTGCACACTTGTCCACGAGGCCGTCAAGGGCATCCGAAATGCGCTTCTCATGAACCGAAACATGCAGGACGTCGACTCGGACAACGAGTACGAGGAGGACGGCCAGACCGCGGCCGACACCATGAGCAAGGCCAGTTTTCATCTCCGTTTCGGATTGTATGATTAGAACCCTTCGGAGAGGACTTCGGAAAGATAAAAGCATAATGCCCAGAAATAAATAACATTCAATCGAGAAAATGAGAAAGCTCCACACTGTGTCTAATATTTTCCGTTAACCCATCAGGGTTTCATCAATATGTCAAAGAGATCGAAAAAAATGATTTTTAAAAATCTTTTTCAGATATCTGACCAGGAAAATCAACAGAGGTTGATGCGAAGGCTACCGGAGGAAGACAAGAAAAAGATCCAGGCGCAGATTGATATTTTCAAGGTAAATAAAGCATAATAAAAGTCTCCAGTGTTGGAAATCCCGGTATCATTTTTATTTTGAAAAAATCTTTCTGATGTATTGTGGTAGAAAGAGAATCGTACAGCTTGATAACGAAATATATTCAAAAAATATTTATAATAAAAAGAGGAAGTAGAATTATTCCCTAACCGGTAAATTTGCTCGTGAGGGCTTATAAAAATGGCCTATCTCGCTCTTATATTTCTTGCTAAAGCTATGTCTCTTTAATTGTATCACATGTTGCTCCATGTGTCTGAGAGAAATGATTATTGAATGTAGAACTTGAAAAAACCTTCTTTTTTTGTTTTCTCTCAAGATTATGAGCTCAGAAGAAATTAAAGCAAACCTTTCAGGTGGCACAAACGAGATTCGAGAAAGAAGTCGCCAAATGGGACGAAACTGGCAACGACATCATAGTGTTGGCCAAACACATGTGCATGATCATGATGAACATGACCGACTTCACCCGGTTCGTTCTTTTGTTTTTGAGTGCAACCAACTGGATTGTGAGCTTTCCATGACATTTTATTTTTTCTGTAAGTGTTCGTGAATGCCCCACACGTCGATTCTCGACAAACTAAACAATTCTTGTAAGCTGCAACAATGGCAGGGCGATAATTAGCCTTTTGTTCTAGAAAAGATCTTGAGTTTGAAGAAACGACAGAGGAGCACATAGTTGATCGATTAATTTCTAATTCTAAAAAAATCGTATGAGGGGGTCTCGAGAAGTAGTCAGTGTGGAATCGCTTTTCTTACCCCTAGAAGTTAGAATTCATATGATATCCAGAGATTATAGAGAAAGAAAGAGCATCTAAAGTCCTTTTAACTGTAGGGAATTAGACGGAACTTCAGAGAAACAAAGAAACATGTGAAATCGCTATTCTGAACTCGAAGCTAGACGGCGCAGAAGATGGAAGAAAATTTTTTTTTCTTAAACATTTTATTTATTTAATATTACGCCTTCACATCGATAGCTTTGAAATCACATAGCTTCTCTTGAGTTTTTTTTTTGTCGGAATACAGTTTTTTTCCTTGTTTTTCCTTTCTCCCGAGAAAGAAAGTAACGGACTTTGATGCCGGCAATGTTTGACGAATTGCATGTGATACATTTTTTGGACATTTTTCTTCAACTTGTTTTTGAACTTTGTTCCATTCAACATATTTTGACTGAACAGTCCAAAGACACACATTTTCGACTTCCGGTGTAAGGTTTGAAGTATTCAGCGGATGTGGACCATTGAAAACAACGATGGACGTGATTCGCTCGGCGCAGGAAATATCCGTCGCCGGTTCTAAGGTTAAAACTTGCTCTTGAAGGCTGTCGATGATCTCTGGATTGTTCAGCTGAACGCTTTGGCCAAACAAATCGGAGATGAAAGCGTCGATTCGCAGTCGAAAAACGATCTGATGGCCTACCTCTCGCAGATCACTTTGTACTGCCAGCAGCTGAACATTTGCAGCAAGGTTGGAAAAATTGGGAAAATAAAAAAATGTTCTCTTACAATATTCAATCTTTAGCAGCTGAGGCAAAACGTATTTTTTTTTAGCAGAAATGGTTTTTTCAACTGATGAATTAATATAGCCAAGTTTTTGTGCAGTTAACTCAAAAATCTGTTTTGAATGGCAACTGTGTTAAGAATTAAAGCAGAATGGGATCAAAAAAGTAGCTATTATAAGATGAATGTCGAAAAATAGTTTGGAAAACATTCAGAAGAAAAAAGAAGTCTAGATAAGCCGCTCAAAAACGTTATCAACCCCTGCTTTCTGTGTAATGAGTAGCATTTTTCTCCATGAAAACGATTTATATACGTCAAGTTTGGTCTAACCATTAAAATATCACACTTTACGTAAAGTGAGACCACACAGATTAGTGGATCGTATTGTCTAACTGGGAAGTTGTTCAGGTGAAAGCCGACGTGCAGCAGGTCGGCAACGAGTTGGTCGTGTCTGGCTTGGATTCGGCCATGTCTCTCATTCAGACGGCCAGAAATCTCCTGGGCGCTGTAGTGCAGACCGTTAAGGCCGCCTACATTGCCAGTACCAAGGTAATCGCCGTTCTGAGGCTTTTGAGAAGCTTTTTTCAAAAAAAAAAAAGAAAAACTATGCAGTGCTCTTTTTTGGGTACCGTTTTACCTCTCTAAAGGTGACTCGTGAGTGAGCGAGATCGGTCAGGTACAAAACGTTTTATGAAGCTTATTTTCAAGCATCTTCACTTTTTCAAAGCTTCCACATATTCCATCGTTTTGTGTTGGAATCAAGGTTTCTATATGAGAATAGTTTCTGTATATTCATGTTTTATGTTATCGAAAAAATAGTCATCACGAACAATCAGTGCCGAAAATCTGCAGAATGACATTTTTTATAAATGATGAGACAACTTTCTTCGAATTTCTAGGTTTACTTATTCAGAAGAAAAAATTACGTTATAAAATGTTGACTTGAGAAAATTTTCATTTTTACTACTTTTTCTCAGGTTTTTTTTTTTCTTCGATCTAGCTTTTTTCATTTTCACTTCTTTTTTCATCTCTTCTGAAATAACTCGGGAACAAATTTGGTTGAAAACAGTGTGCTCAACGGGAACGGGCTCTGGTCGAGTCGGCTATGGCCCTGGGGGCAACTCATTCAGCCATCGACTACAACGAAAACGACGGAACTTTTTGCCCTGAAACGGGAATCGGTGAGAGATCGTCGGTCGGTCATCGTCGTTGTCCGTTTTTTTCTCGTGCCTCTTTTTGATTTCCGCCGAAACGCATCCAAATCGTCTTAGGCCGTGTACTTTGGTTCTTCTTTGTGTTGGTGTGTATGCAAGCGTTGCTGACGTCGTCGCGTCGTGATCGATTCGTTTCCTGATCTGAACCGATTATTAGTTCTCATCAGTTTTAATCTAGATCAGTGGGTGAGCATTATTTTGCGTCAGAGGAAATGAACCGAAAAAAATTGCGTAAATTCGTGCAATTGATTTTGGGAAATCTTGATGACGTATTAAAGTGAATTCGAAAAACAAAAACTTGATACCTGAGTGAATATTTTAGTTCGGAAAGTTTTTTTTTTTGACAGACGTCCATCTGTCTAAACGACCAAGAGGGTGTTTCCTCTCATGTTTCGCTGCTGATTCATTTTTCGCACTTCTTGATTTTTCTTCGATGACATTCTTTTCCTTTTTGAAATCGCGTGATTGATTCATTGGTTTTGTGAACTTTTGTATCATAGGAATTCGAAAAATTTAAATCACAAAGATGATTTCAGCTTGCTTTGAAAAGGTGTATTGGAGATGTATGTAGTTGATCAGTTTATTCATTTTCACATTAACCATATAAGAATATTACATTCCTTGTTTTTATATTTGTGGTTTGCTGTGATAAGTGTTGTTTCAAAAAATGGAGGTATGCATTTTTAAAGACTCTGGTTAGATAACCTGCACCAGGTCGTAATTCTCGCCATTTCAGTGTAGTTTGCTGTGGAACTTCTCGTTGTGATTATTGATGTAGTGGTTTCTGACTCTTGATAATCGAGACAATAATATAATTTTTCAGTTTCGTCGAGCTAACTCGAGCAGCGTCCGCGTCGAGTGGCGGATGGCTCCGCCGCGAAAGCAGCCTCTCGTCCGGCCTCAGAAAAATAACGCCATCATTCGGTTCGTTTCTCTCTGAAACGAACAAGTAGCAACCTTTCTTTTCTTTCAACTTGAATTAGCCTTCATGAACGAGAACGTCTGTTCCGGAAACGTTTATCTGAAAAATTCAATTCTTTCAAGCCTTTTTCTTTCACTTGTGGGAGTTAAATCTTTTGTAGTTGAGCTCAGTCGTCTCTTAAAATTAATGGAATGGAAAAATTTGCTACAAAGATGAGCTGGATAATACAGCTTTCTAATCAATGAAGAGCTTTTCGGAAGTTGTTATGAAATCCTTATGTGTAGGCCTAAGTGCGGAGTCCCTGGGGCGGGGGCTCGTGAATAAATCTCATCGGATATCGAGGCCAACCGAATATTTTTCAGTCGAGCCAGCGAACGTCGTCCTTTGCCGCCGGCGAAAGCGTTGGCCGAGTTCACGATGCGTCGCTAAATCATTTTACTTGCCTTTTCATTTCAATTACTGAAGATACGGTTCTGAAGAATTATATAGTCTTTCTTAAGAAATTTTCTGAAACTTACTCACAAAGCGCAAGTGGAAGTAGCTCAGCAATAATTGAAATTTTGAAAAAATGGAAGATAAGTTTAAAGAAGATGTTCTCAATTTTTCCAAATCAAGTCACAGGTCTTTTCTTTATATTTTTTTCTGCCTTTATGATATCTTGAAAAATGAAAGAGATCTCTTTGCTTATTTTTCAAATTTGAAGCACCCTTTGAGTGAAACCCGCATTTATTATCGACAAATAGCAGTTTGATTTTTAGAAATTAACTTTGTGAATTGCGAAATTTTCACGTTTTGAGTCCATAAGGAGGTTTGAAGACTTTTAAAATTTTAATGATGGGCTTTCAAAGTGAACTCTAGTATTTTTTTCGAATGGTTGAAATAATTGGCAAAGTTCGACTCATCTCCACTGGACCGTGTCTTAAGTAAAACTAGTGCAACTTTTTCATATTTTCCTCATTTCCTTCGGCTTCCTCGTCATCACACATTCAGTTCAGTTTGGTGTGTCTTTCACGCCCGCCCTTTGTTTCTCATTTCTCCTTCTTTTTTTTTTGACCACCATTTTCCTCTCGAAAACCTGTGAATTTTACATTGCCACCATTGTTTTCGATCGTATTTGTTCTTATGTTCACCCATCTCCCATTGTAAATAGCTTTTCTTGTACGCCGTGGCTGCATTGATTAAGATGTTCATTAACGCTTTGATTAATAATAATAATAATAATTCAAATACAAATAAAAATATCTCATTGATCCGAGGCCTTCCCCCCACGTCATGCATTTGATCACAACGAACTTTTTCTACATCATTCACTTCCTACCCACATTACTTATTTATTCTGATAATTTATTCTCTTTTTTCATGTACTGATGCACATAATAACGGATATTATTCGCCAGAATCGAAATAAATTGTTGTTGTAAGGTCGGCCCTTCGGTGCAGCGGAAATTGGACAAGGAGGCCGAAAACCGCCGCCTCATCATCGGAGTCCCATCACGTCACTTTTCATCTTCGCTGCTCCTCCGAAAAAAACGTCCTCTCCTTGAATTTTCATGGAAAAACTCTTTTTCTTGCATCGTTTGAGCCCTTCAAACGGTCATTAATCACTGTTTGACGTTGTTCCCGCGGATTGGCTTTTGCTCTGAAAACCAATGTGTTATACATATAACAGGTTTTCTAGACTCATGATTTCAAAACGAAATCCGAAAAAAAGGTGTCAATTATTAGATAGTGCATTTGTTGAATAGTCTTCAACTGTCGTCTTTTTGCTGTTTTCTTCGTAATTTTGGTCTAGACTACAAAGGATCACATAGAGAGCTGGAGAATCCTAGTAAATGAGAACCTGACCAAATTCTACAGAAGTTTAAATTTTAAGGATTTACCAAGATTTCAACGAAGAAAATTTTGAATCTTTCTCAAAATTGGTAGTCCGTTCTAATTAGCCATGGAGCGTACATTTTCTCAGGTATTTCTCGCGGCATTTTTCCATCGAAGATTCATGAGAAGTCTCGTGACTGAATTGATCAGTCCTAATCTATTCAATTATACACGGAGCGCAAAAGTCGCATCAACCAAGTATTTTTGCGGCTCTTCTTTTTCCCAATTCTTCTGTCGTATATGATTCAATCAGTCTGTCCTCCATTAGCAATGGAGCGCACGTGATTAATGACTAAAAAAAAATGTTGCCTTGAAGGTTTTCCGTCATAGTAAGGAATACTAAGTAAGCTTTTCAATTGAATCAATCATATCTGCTCTTTTAAACTTGCAATGGAGCGCACATTCCGCATTGTACAACCATATTTGTAGTTATTTTCCACGGTTCTTCGCCTCATATCCATCTGAGGTCTCTTGAAGCGAATCACAAGATCCACTTCGACACGGCCATCTGGAAAGGAAGATTGGGGTGTTTGGCGGGACTCCTCACTCTATACGATTCTCCGCATGTTCCTCCGATCCATCAGTTTCTCGTCGGTTTACGCTGCGACGACGGCGGCAAAAAATGCTCCACGTGCAAATCGGCTCGCTTGTTTCCGGAGAATATTTGTTCTGCAATGGAACCTTCTCGCTTCCAAAAAACATGTCACCCTCGCGAGATGAATAAATAATCAAACATGCAAAGTACGTCCTTTTTCTGCAATTTCTCTTCCCCGCTATACACTGGATTCACGGCGTCTTGCTGAGTTAAACGAGAATTTCGAAAAAAAAAATCCTCGAGCAGGCGTATCCTAGTGAGGATTAAGACAGTACACAAAGTTGCGCAGACTTTTTCATTTGGGTTTAGGCTGAGTTGGAAAAACTTGAATTATCCCGGAATATTTCGAAACAAAATAAAGTTTGGTCAAAACCGTTTTTTCAACACCTTTTTTCTGACTTAAAATGTACTGATCATTTTGAAAACTTTGGCGTCATTCTGAACCCATTTTATTCCTTTTTTTAACTTCTGGCCCAATGTTTAACTTTTTATGCTTCTTCTTTCTTTTCGACCTTTCAAAATAAATTTTCAGAGTTATTAGCTCTAGAAGTGCCACTCGAGTCCACCTTCACGGAAAAAAACTGGTCTAATAACCATTTTTGAATTTTTCAAAAGCTTTAACACTATATAATTTCAGTTTGAACCAAAAGGCTTCAATTAAATGCACAATCTTTTCATTTGAGTACCTTATATGAATAAAATGCGAATTTTTCAAGTGTCACTATTTGGCGCGCAAAAAAAAAAATAAATTTGAGCTGAATCATGATTTGACTCACTAAATACCTGTGTCTTCTCATTGAAAAAGAATACCAAATTAAAATTTTTTACTCAAACGCCGGTACCTCCGCTTTCCTGTGCAAAGTTCGAAAACTTGATATTTGCGTTTTTTCTCGGATTCGTTTGGAATTTTCTTTAACCGAAGATAAACTTACAATGGTAAATTCGCAATCCAAAAAAAGGCTATAAATATTTGATCTTCATTTCCACGTCGCTATTTTTAGTTTACGCGTTGTAACAAGGAATCTTCGCGTGAAAAAAAAAACTCAGTTGGCAAGATCCGCTTTTTTTCCATCCATTTTTACCTCTTGAAGCAACAAACTTTCAAACGAAGCTACTTTGCTGATTGGAAAATTTTCGCCGATGTTTACCTAGTTGCTGGGAAAGTAACCTTTTTCTGCAGCTCAAATTACATCTGTTCTTCTGAAGTTGAAATGAGAAAGAGCTACCAAATCCACTTTACAAAGCCTAAGTAGTTTTTTCTAAGAATCTTCAGCCGAAAAATTGTTCGACTCAAGCATTCGGAAGAAATTTCGATTTTGCAAGTTTTTGACTTTGCAGAGTTGTTTTTGGTATTCGATTAGAACCAATTGCAGAAATTTAAATGAAGTCAGGTTCAATTTTTCTTCTGAGTGAATAACAAAGGTTCGGCTCCCAACTTGCGTTGAAAGTCATAAAAACTCACGGAAAAGACAAAGAACATTAAAACGAGCTAGGAATTTCAATAGGTGGAAAAGTTTGTGGGAACTGACTTTTGGATGATCGATGTAAAAATATTGTCATTTTTGTTCACTGTTGCGTTGATTTCTAATGTTTTTCTTCAAATTGACTTCAACATTTTTCCTTTAGTTTCAAGATAACCTAGTTTGGTCTCATGCTTGTGTAATTTTTGATGAGACTTGATTGAATTTTTTTTAAATCCAAGAAAATTTATCAAAAATGAAAGAAAATAATATTCAGGATTAAAAAAACAGAACAAAAATGAGAAAATTTTAAAAAAAAAGAAGACAATGTTTCGCACTATTCTCCATGGAGCGCACGAGGTCAAATTCGGAGAATTTTTTTCTTCTTTTTATTTGTTGTTTTATCTTCTCCCTTTGCATTTTATCTGATTCGAGTACGTGCTCAAAAAGTTTGACTTGGTTATAATCAACTATGAAAATAGTTTTTATAGGTTTTATGAAATTTCCTGTTCCCGCATTGAACCTTTAAAACATGTTTTTCTGTTTAATTCATTGGGACCCTCTTCCAAGCTGCAAATTCGAAACGGTGTTTCTTCTCTTTTCTCTCGCCGAAAGAGTTTAGCCACCCCCACTCTCCCCCATACGAGCACGTGGACCCAGGGTCACATTCGGCTCCTCTCCTTTTGGTTTTGTTTTTCTCCCAACAGCTTTACGATTTTGACCAGGAATGGAAGCAGTAGTTTTCGTATCTTTCATTAAAACACACTTTTTTTCTAGAATATTTTCTTCTGCTGTTGTAGAATGACTATTCCTTCATCGTTTGTCTACATCTATCATGAAACATTTACAGTTTCCCGGGAAATATTCTCTCACTTTTCGAATTTGTTCATTCAAGTCTTCACAGAAGGTGTTAGAGTCAAAAACATATCGCGATATGGCTTCGAAAATAAGAGAACGTTCACTTCGGGTCCCGCGATTCCATCGAAAAGTTAAAAAAAAATTTGGCGTATTTCGAAGAACCTAATGAAGTTGCCAATTACTGAAAGCGACATTTCTCTTTCGTTAAATGTTTGATTCATTATAAATTTTTCGCATTTCAATTTTGAAAATGAGGCTATATTTGACTCAATTTTTGATTATGTTTGTTTTGCATCATCTCTCCGGTTTCATAAAAATATAACCTCCCATGGTCGTCCATACAGCAAAAAAACAGGACTGTGGATAAATATAAATAAACTTCGGGAGTTTTTTTGTTTGGAGTTTTTCAATGTTTTTGAGCGAGGTTTATAACCTCTTTTCCAGGGTTGCTTAATAGTCTTGTTCGATGTTTTTTAATCTCATATTTTATCTCCCGGAAATTTCTTACTGTATTCAGTCACCAAATAGCACTTTTGTCCTCCTCAAACGCGCTCGCGTCAGAAAAAGGTGTAAACGAGAAGAATTAGCCGCGTTTGCCACGTTCGCTCGGACCCCAATTAGCCGCGGGATCTGTTTCCCTCAATCCGCCTTTATTTTTCTGTTTTTACGTTTTTCGACTGACGTCTGCACTTCAGAATATCCCATCCATTCGTCATAGTCGTCAGATTTTTCTATTTCCATTTCCTTCCGCAACTTGGGGTTTAAATATCGGAATCGACTGAAGAGACGGCGTATTCTGTGATTTCGGGCTTTAAAATTTATGATTTTCATGTTTTGCGAATTTTAGGTTACTTAAATCTGGCCTTGTACTCATTTTTTTTCAATTCATGAAAATATCATCTGTTTAACTGGATTTTTTTTTTCATTTTTTGATTCGCCTCAAATTATTTGGATGTTTTCGCTTGTAGAAATTTTTCTGGCTCTTATTTAGCGCTTTATAATTCAATAATTAATATTTTCTCATTTTCTTACTTATAATTCTCAAAGTCTTTTTGAATTTTTTTAGATCATTGATCTTTTGGAAAAAAACATTTTTATATGATATTTTCTGACGCGCTCAGAACTTTAGAACGGTCAAAAGTTCAAAAAGAGGGCGTTCCGAGAACTTTGGCAAACGTTTCTATGTTCTTTTGAACATCTCAAAGATTATTGGACCGATCATACTGTAGGTTTCTGACCATTACACGGAATTCCTGCAAAACCAAATAAGAATTGATCAAGAGGAACTTTTTGTTCGGACCAAAGTCGACCTCGATGGAACGGAAACGGTGGCGCGATTCAGAAGTCTCACTTCCGGCGCTATTTTCGTCGCCACAGAACCTGTCGGTCTTTTTTGTCCCCCTCTCAGACGGCCTCCTCCATTTCTTTGCTTGTCGTATCAGCGGGTTGATTTGCTGATTTGGCCTGGCTGATTATTTTTCTTTCGAGTCATTTCGCGCCACTACATTTCTCGTGTGAGCCTGCACACTTCTCATTTGCAGCTTTAATTTCGTTTTGTTTTGAGAAAAATAGTTCTATATTTTTTTGAAATATTTTTTTGTTATCTTTAATAGCGTCGTTCTAACTTTAAAAAAACTCTTAAGGTTTTTTTCCAAGTTTAAAAAGTTTCTTAATTTCTTTTTACTTTTTCAATATGTTATCAAAAAAACTTTTTTTGAAGGTTTTCAAACCTGTAATTTGGTTGAGTTATATTCCCAGAAGTTTTTTTCTTCGTTTTAACTCGAATTGAATTCTCACAAATTTGTGGCATTCAAGGTGTACTGTTGGGACATGTTTTCGCTTTTAGCTGCTATAAATTCGAACCCAAGATAACTAATTGGCTACAATTTTTCCAATCTCTTCATTTTCTTCGAATTCTCCAATAATAATATAGTGTTGAAGCTTCTTCCATTCATTTCCAAAAGACCTCCTTTTTCTGACAGTGTTGACTTTTGCCCCTGTTTTCTATTGTTTCTTTTTTCCACCGTTTTTTCTCACTTTCTTGCTTTGCTCGACTTTATTGTTTGCTCTCTTTTTTTTCTTCGTGTGCAACGTTTTTTTTTGAGAACCAAATTCCGACCGACGGTGCTATAAGTCATACCGTTTTCATTCGTATTTCGCAACTTTCAGTGATTTATTTTCTTCACAACGCTTTTTTTATATCACAACACATTAGGGAAAATATTGATCATACCAGGCTGTGTTTTTCTGGAGCGTTGAAAATGTTTCTTGTGTTCATAAATGTGCCGGCCAGTGATAATTACCTTATCAAAGACACCGAGGCATCCGGACCCACACAAAACCGAAAGTTTCACAAATCACGTAGACATGACTTATAGTTGATCTGGACGTCATCGTGACCAGGACAAAAGGCATGCGAATACGATAACGATACCGATTTTTGAGCCGCCATGCAATTTTTCATTTTTTGCATGAAACGCAGAAATTATACAATCTCTTGTTTTTTTTCAAACTTGAAAGGTTCCAACCTAATGGAAAGGTTTTGAAGGGCCTCTAAATTTTTGCATAATTGATTTATATCTTACTCACTACGAAAAGGTTTACAAAAAAAGAAAAAAAAAGTTGAATTGAAAGTTTGAATTCACGTCCCGTCTCCATGGAATGCACTAGCTTCATTCTTCGCATTCATTTGTATTTCCTCATTTTTCGCTTCATTTTTTTTTCTCTACCCGTGAATGTAAATTTTTCACTAATCGCCTTCTAAGAAGTTCGCAGTCCAAATCAACACTGGAACTCTCGTCAATATTCTTCGGAATTTTTTCTCTGGACTTTTGCAAAATGTTGGTGAATCAACTACATCTTACCTGAGAACGAGAAAAGATCAAAAACTGATCACTCGAGTCTCCGCCCACCTTTTCTCAAACGGCAAACTAGTTTTCGCCCTCTCGGAAAGAAAAAACAACTGTTCAATCGCGGGACCGTTTATTCTGTTGTCCGGTCGTCTCAAACTACAAATGATTCTGCAGATGCTGGACTTGGCGATACGGAAGCTTTTCACGAAGCTCCATGTCTCCGGCGAGGTCAAGAAGCACCAGCAGAGACGAACGGACAGCAAAAAGCGCCGAAATTGCTTCCCCGACAATGTTTGGTAAGCAAGTTTCTTATCGCAATAGAAATGAGCTGATCGGCAATCTCCAGTTTCAAGTCAATCAATCGGTTTCAACAAATTCCCGTATTGTATATGGTTGACCTTTTTTTAAGAATGATGAAAATGATTAGGAAGCTCAAACTTTGGAGCTTTTGAAGTTAGGATCTCGCACGTTATCAATAAATCAAAATTATTTATTTATTTTTATTCAACTTTTGAAGCTCGGATGCGTAAGAATATTTTATAATCAAGTTAAGAGCAAGAAAAAAGGGATAAAGTTCGCAAAAAAAGCAAGAGGCCACTTTTTCTATTTACCAAACAAGTTTTTCTTTGTAAATAAGGGAATCCAATAAAAACGAGAAGAAAAATTAATACGATTGTTAAAACTAGCATGTATCGATCGGTAAGTATTTGAGAGAGATGTTTTTTTCCTAAAACCAGCTCCCGAAAATTGAGTTATCTCATCAACAGTAAAATATAATGACGTTTTTTTGTTGAAGAAGTTCTTTGAAAAAGTTCTGAAAAATATCTCTAAAAAAAGTTATGTCATCTGCAGAGACACCGCTATCTAAAAATAGCAACTCGTGGGGTGGTCGATCATTGAATATTTGGAAAAGTTGTTGATTTGCTAAAAATATCGAGAAAGATAGGATGGGTCATCTTCAAAGGTGACGCTAAAAATAGACCTCTGCAGTATTTCTCGAACACAGTTTACGATCTCAGTTCATCGCTTTCCTTATCAAAACGTGTCCCGAATTCCAGCAGAGAGACTTTACAGCTAAAGTTACGAACACTAATTCCAGGAGCAAAATCCTCGATGAGCTGTCCCCTTTCGAACAAGCAAGGATGCGTGCCGTCAACACCAAGCTTCGGAATCTGGTCGACGAACGACGTCGTCGGATTCTCTACCTCGACGTGCTGCGGATGGACGTCGGCCAGCTTCTGGCTCCTGCCGTCGCCGACGACGGAGAGTTCTTCCGTCATCCCGCAGGACGACTAGTCCTCCACATCGAGTCGCGCTCCGCTCTCATCGTCGTTGACGCTCATTGGACGACTCGCGACGCCGTCCGAACTCTCGGAGCCGTCCGACACTTTGGCGCCTTCGCTCGCACCGTCACTCTTGACGCCTCCGTCGCCGAACTTTGCGTCGCCGGCCAGATCACCAACGACATTGCTCATTGGTTCGTCTTCCAAGCCGCCGCCGGCACTTCGGATCCAGTTTGTCCTTCGCAGGTTGGTTGTGCTCAGAAAGATCAACTGATCAGAGCGAAAAGTTGGACTCTGATCAGGTCGCTGTAAAGGTCAATAAGAGCTCGAGCCGGGGTGCAGCTGTTTGTGGCCTTTCTCACTGATTTCTCTTGTGGTGTTATTTTTGGTATATCTCAGGATCATGAGTTCAAATAACTTCGGAGGAAAAGTTTAGGACAGGAGCGAAAAATCATCGCTGTTTTCAAAATGAATTTCCTTCAAGGCTATTGATGAGAAGATTGAGAGTCAGTATATTTTCAGATGCCAAGTTGGATTCCTGATAAATCGAGAATCCGTGCCGTCCGTGCCGTAGAAGAAGATCACGTCGCGGCGCTCAGAGAATGGAATCCCAGAACTCAAGTTCTTCCTTTCGGACCCCTCTTCCCTTACGCCAAGGAGGTTCGTTTCAACTTCCATATCGAAAAATGAATAAATGAAGTGTTGAAAAAAACCACACAAGAACCAAAAAATAAATAAATACTCACAAATAAGCAAACAGATTTTCAATATCCGGTTCGACGCATTATTTCTATTTATCTTCTCTGTAAGCGTAGCTCCTTAAAAAAATAAGTTTGATCTCACTTGGGACCTCAAAAATACAAACTTTTTCTGAAATATTGGATTACGGAACGAAAATGACCCGTTCTTACACAAAAACCGCTTGCCGAGGTTCAAGTTTCTCGACAAGGTTCAAGTTAACAACAGGATTTTAATGAGAAATTCCACATTTTAGTGTATTTCGCCACTTTTTGTAACCTTTTTTGATAAGGTTTTAGATTATCACAAAATGCTGGAAGAAACAAAAAAATGAAAGTTACTTATAGGAATATTCCAAAGTGTATTATTTTCATTATTTTTAGTTTGCGAGTTGTTCAAAAAGGCTTCGGGAAATTCTTTTGAACTTTGCCCATTCGATTTTTATCCGTTAGGTTGAGATATAATTACAAAAAATTCTTCCCTCACGATATTTGGACAATAATTCAGCTCAAATATTTTGTTCTTTTCAGTTGACGCTTCGGTCTTCAATACCACAACTGCGTCGTCTGAGACGATTCTTCGTCTACAGGTGCCCTCCGAAATACCTGTTCGATCCTTGCGCGCTGAACCTCTTGCGCGTGACGATCAGCAACGGCGCAGGCCGACGGAAACAGTCGCCGACCTCTCTGAAACTGCGACCCTTCTATCGCTGGGCCAACACCGCCAAGCTCGGACCGCGATTCGCCGTACAGTTCTCTTAGGAACTATCCTACTAACAACTAAGCATTTTGCTAGGCTTTTTCCTCTTGATTCATAATATTCTTCTCTCTTTCTTTCTTATTTTTATCACCTTCTGATTGGTCTGCATTTGAACGGGTAACCACCAGACAATAAAACAAAGCAACAAATCACATTCGGGAAAACTCAAATTGTACATATGTATTGGAACGTTGGTTGATATGTAATAAAGCTTCAAACGTTTTGGACAAAAATACACATGAAAAACACCCTAAACGAAGAAATGACACAAGTTAACCCGAGAAAAGAGAACTTCCAAATGAGATCAACGGTGAAAAATGGACAGAAAAAGTATTAGCGATAGGAAGAGGAAGAAAAAAAGTTAGGAACCTCGATCAGTTAACAATGGGAAAGAACAGTTATCGACTGATGTGAGATACTGAAAATGTTCTTGAAATCAAAAGTTCATTCAAATTAGGCTTAGAAGATTTTTCAAAGTAAAAAATTGAATTTTTATAAAATGTTGTTGCTCAGAAACTTTTTTCGAGTGTTTAAAAGCGGGTAAATGTTACAATTTCCAAAAAATAAGACGAATCTTCGTCTCGAGACCTACATGAAGTGTGTCTCATGCGCCTTTGAACACTCCAACAAGGATTTTGGAAGATACTATGAATTCTTTTTTTCGGAAAAAAATCTTAATTTCAAAAAGTTTTGTATTAAAAAAACAGCTCAAAAATATCTCAAGTAGACCAATTTTTTTCGGAAAAATATATGAGCCATCAAGATTTTATCAATCATTTTGTGATTGAATTCAGTTCCTTAAGGAATTCGCCAATCAGAAAAATACAAATTGAAATATTTTTTTAAAGGATATTCTGATGACATCAAAACTTTGGGACATAAATTAATAATCTTTCCTAATTCTCTTGGGTTCCATTGGAAATATCGGTACTCATGTAGATATGCGATGGAGATGAGAGGTGACTGTGGAATCGCGATTGATTCGAATCAAGGAGGAGCGCTGCTCCAACGACGAAGATCGGAGCTCGTAGTCGTAGATCACAGACAAGGAGAACTTCTTCCGACAGTCCGAAATGACTCCTTTCCGGATGACGCTGCTGGAAAAGAAGCTTTGAGAAAGCTGCCCTTGGATGGTGGAAAACCTGAAGAAGAGGTAAAGCAGAGGGTTGACGAAGGAGTTGGTGGCGAAGACCACCATCACGGCCCAGTTCATCCATTTGCCGTGTTTTGAGCTCTGCGAGATGAAGATCTGAAGTTGAGAAGCTAATTGAAGGAGCATGGCACACTGTTGCAACCTGTCCCACCACGAAGAGTACGGTGTTGATGATGCAAGGCACCAGAAGACGAGTTTCGATGCTCAGCTGCCGTTGAGCGGCGTAAGAAGCCGCGCAAACCGGGGATCGGGTGTATTTCGATCGGAGCTCTGCAAAGGGTCCAATTATGTTTTTCTTTCTGAAAAATGTTTGTCATGCTTTTACCCAAAGACCCTTTGTTTCCTTATTCATATTTCACTTCTAAGTTTTCACTCTTAATTCAACTAGAGTTCGTGCAAAATCTTGTCTGATATGAGCCGTTCCGAGGCCGGTTTTCCCGATTTTCCTTTTCCTCCAAGCTGGGCCTTTGTCTGTGCATGTGCCTTTAATATAACCGAAAAAATTTTAAAAAAAAATTAAGGCAAACAAAAAGAGAAAAGCCGCGCTCATCGAAGCGAAGGGTTCTGTAGCTCAGAAGAAGATAAAGTCGTGACAAGCTGGCTGTAGAAGAAAGGCTATTTCATATTTAAAAGAGAGTGCAGAGAAATCAAACTCTTTCAAGTTGTGGCTAACTATTATTCGTTTTGAATCTCATTGAAAACCGCAAAGATGCTTCCTCAAAGTTTTAAACTTTTCTTTAAGTTGAAACGTCTATTAAAATTAAAAATTCAAGAGTCAAACACAGTCATTCAGAAATGCGAGATCGGCTCGAAAACCGTTTTTCTTCGTCCCGATTTCCTCTATCCAGGCCACAAAATGCAGGTAAATATTAACTTCCACGCTCAAACCTCGAAAAAGCATCGGAAAAACAAGAGAAACGAAACTTGAGACAACTGACCGAGATTTCGGTTGCGCTGACGCTTGAAGAGGACCCCGAGGGCGGCCGCGTACAAAGGGAACGGCAGGACCATCAGAATCACGTTGCAGACCATGTAGTAGGCATTGGTCCCGCGGGCCTCGTACCTGAAGACGTTCGGATGAGCTCGTGACGTCATGTAGTCAAACCTCTCCCAGTCCGAATCCATCCCGTACTTGCTTGGGCTGTAGTAGAGCGGCTCGAACCAGTCAAACTGAACACTTTTTAAAATCTATCAAGTTCAAAGAAAGATCAAAATAAATTCCATGTTCTCGAGCTTTCTGAAATTCTGCTCTAGAGGAGGAATTATAAAACCCTTTTTAAATTTTCGATTCTTTCCTAGAGAATTGAGAAAGTATGTAAGCTTGGAAAAACGGCCAATCCGGAAGTTCAGACTTCATTTTGCTAGAAGCTGAAAAAAAGTGGAAAGAAGGTCAGCAAATTTTAAAAATATGGCTAAATTTATGAAGTCCGTCTTTTTTTACCTTTTGACAACTTTTTTTTGCATCGATATAGTTTTTTGCAATTTCGAAATTTTCTACTCAATTATATACTCCTGGGGGAGTTTCTCGATTAATAATTAGAATGTTTTCGCGTTTGAAATTGTGGGGTACAATGTATATCAATGATTAGAAATGAAAAAATAAACGGATAATTAGATGATGTTCAAGTTGATGTTGGTTCTGAGAAAGTAAAGTAGAGAAGGACCAAGAACCGACCTGATGTTCCACCAAGGATTGGAGAAGTCCGGCGAACCAAGGAAGAGCACAAATGGTGACGCAGGTACCGTAGGGCAAGGTGCGGAACCAGTTGGGCCATTGGACGGCCGCGAGTCGGGACCACGCGATCACTGTGTAGTGGTACACCATCGCCCACCTCAAAACATCGAATGGATCAAGAGCGTCTACCCGTGCAATCAAGACGACACTACTCTATTATTTCTCCACAACTACACAAAAGGAAGCCAGTTGAATCGAGTCAGAAGGGTTACAGGGATGCTTTGAAATGGGTGTCATTCCCACTGAGATCCTTTTCTCCTTCGAAATTTTCCGTTTCCGAAAGAAATTCTTCAATAAAAGAATCATCATGATTTTTCACCCTAAAAGTTTGGTTTCTTACTTTCAAACTTGTTCGTCAAACATGATGTAGACTACAACTTTTTTTTTTGATTTAGGCAGAGATAATTGAAAAAAATTGTTAAATCCATAAATTAGAGAAAAATAATGAATTCCTTGAAAAAGAAAAAAATTTTTAAGTTTCACCGTCTCCAAGCCTGATTAATTTAATTGAAACATTTAATGAAAAACGACAAATGTATTCAAAAATCCTGAAAAAAATAATTTGATTTTATCTTTGTCTGGAGATTTGAGAACAACGGAGATCAGTTTTCTGGCCGAACTTTGGTTCGAACCTCCTTAATTGAGTCCTAATCCGATGAGGCAAAACCTAACCATGTGAAGTCGAGGTAGATGTGGACGTGCCACCGCCAAGATTCGGCGATAATCTCATTCTGCGTCAAGATGACGATGCCTGGCCAGATGCCGAACTGCAATCATATTCTCACTCAACTCAACTCTTTTTTTCTTTTTTTTTCCAGTGATCTCCGGGAACCGTCGGAAAAAGCACAGTGCGCAACGGCGCCGTCAGTTTGTTTATGCAAATTGCGCTTTCGGTTCGAGTTTCAAGGCCAGAGGCGAATGAAAGAACGTCAGAAGCAGGAACGGGGATTCCCTTACAAGGGATGGACGGAAGAAATGACCTCAGAGGCCAGAAACAGACCTGGAACATGAGGAGGACGTCTGTGAAGGCCTGGGAGATGAGGAAACGGAAGCCGACGATTTCCGACGCCATGTGCCACATCGAACACGTTATCAACAAGTACAGGGCGATGCCGGTGACGCCGAAAACAAAGAGGAAGAGGCCGGCGGCCGCGTCGGACACGTCCATCCCGAGCCCAGGCTGCAAGTCAGAAATCCGTTTATGGAGGGAATATGAACACAAAAAAGGACTATTCGAAATGACGCGACCGCTCCTGACTTTTCTAAAGGTTTGCGAGTCTTTGTCTCCAAAAGATTTTTTGAGTTCGAAGAATCTTGATGAGAACTTTCCCGTGGAAAGCCTTTGCAAAGCGATTTTTGCAGATTCATGAAAGATCTTTGCGACTTTTCTTGTGGGAAAAGACCACATCTTGTGCTAATTGGGATACTGTGAGCTCTCTTGTTTCGCGTAAAACTTTGCAAATGGTTCTTTGAACCTTCCGTGGAAATTCAGTAGGCGAGTGAATTGTGAGAAAATCTAGCGATGAATCGACTATATTTAATAGGTGTTGGAGTATGTCCAAAAACTTGAGTGTTTGAAGGAGTTCATATAAAAGTTTCAAAAAAGTTATCAAGGCGAAGAGCGAATATTCGTTATACGGGCTCGTTTTCGCAGGAAGTATTTTTGAACAGACTATACACGACGAGAGCGAAAAAAGAACGGAAAGAATGAATCTAGCTCTGGTTGAAACTCGACTCTCGTCGAAACTTTTCCAAAAAGCATGAAGTTCAGAGTTGGCAAATAATGGAAGTATTCAAATTCATTCATGAAAGAGATAGCTTGCAAAATGGAACATTGATACAGAGTGCAAACAAAACAGAGCAGTGAAAAATATAATCATTTAGCTTCTGAAATAAATCAGAGAGAATGAAAATGAATGAAACGTAAAAATAAAGTTACAGAAAGTCCTTGGAGCAACAAAAAAAAGATGCTGGAAGTGTTCTTGAAGTTGTTCAGACAATAACGAGTTCTGCTTGATCTAAAAGAATAATGACGAGAAACAAAAAACCAAAAAAGTACGAGAAATAAGGGAAAAACTCACCCAATCGATGAAACTCTAAATTTTGCAAGTTGAATCGAAAAAGAGCTTTTGAAAAGTCCTTAAATAAATCATTTGAAATTGCTTGAGTCATATTCCGTTCTCATTAAAAATTTAGAAAGCGAAAAAATTCCAGCAAAATTCATGAACAAATAAAAAAGCAGGAAAAGGGCTGGAATGTACTATCAGAAGGAGCCCCCGCTATGAGGAACCAATGAATAATGTAATAGGATTTCGTGTAATGTTTGACCAAGGGAAGCATTAGCCAAACCGCCCAGGAAAGCCAATACTCAAGAACGCGAAGAATTAACTTTGCCTCCTTTTTGTTTGAGTTTTGATGTTCGAATGGATTGAGTTCGAACTTTGAGGGCCGTTTTGAACTTACTGATGATACAAATGACACCCAAGTATCGAGTATGGCACAAGTCAACAAGAAAAGTATAATTGGAAATAATGATAGGTTCCTGGACGCACTTATTTCTGATTTTTGATCAAGAAAAAAAATGAAAGTTTGTCAGAAAATGATGAAAACATCCGGATATTACTTTTGACCAAAGCTTGACACCCGTGTTTGTTCCAGCAAATGAACAACTCATTATGAGAAGAAATTTGCATAGTGAGACGATTTCAAAAACTTCAGGGTTTATCCAAACAAGGCAGACACAGGAGAAACGATGAAAATCAATTCAAAGTAGTTTTAAATTTGGTCGATCGAATCTGAAAGCATATGTCGGTCGAACAAAAAAAAAATCAATTCGGAAATTAAAATAAATGGGAAGCTATTCAAAACTTGCAGCCGTTGAGCTAGAAAGTAAGTTTTCAATTCATCTTGAGCAAAAAAGATCGATAGTTATTGAAAATCTCTTAAAGCTATCTTATGAGTACAAAAACGCTGTTCTAGAGAGAAATTCCGTCGATAACCGAAGTAGGATGAGGTCAAAAAAAAGGACAAAGTTGGACAGGGAAAAAAGTGTGAAACTATTCCGCAAAAATCAAAGGACTTATAGAAATTCTCGTCAGACAAGTTTCAAAAGATCATTAGTTAGTTCCTAATAAACCCAAATTATCTTCAGAAAACGTCAGATACATTGCTTTGAATAGAGGACCACAATTATCTTACATGACGAATAATTTGAATTGCAAACTACATATTTTCTCTTACATTGCATAAGAATCTTTGATTTTTCTTGTTTAACTTCGTTTTCTCGCGAGGTATCATAACAGACTTTCTAGAAATTGAATTATAAGTTATCGGCCTCTGAATTGGGCTAGATACCGAAAAAAGAGACCAATTCGAGCAAGAAATTTTACGGATTCTGAAGATTCAAGTGTTTGTCGAAGGCCTCAATATCCTCTTTATTAAGAGCAAAAAAGTTGGGTTGCAACGAAAAAATGATAATAAGCCGTATGAGCCTTGTTCGTAACACGTGCTACTCAGAGATTTGCCGGAAAAAAGATAATTAAAACGAGAAAATAACAAGTTGCGAGAAAATCCAAAGTGAACAATCACAACTCTAAGAAATCATGACGTTGTTTTTGATACATCGAGGTTGGAATTCTAATCAGTAGAAATCGAAAAAAAAAACCTATTATTAATATTTTTAGTTTCGAATTTCTGCGCGGAACGGACTGAACATGGACGGCGAAATGGACCAGCAATGCTATATGAAAATAAAATTTTGTCCTTGAATTTTTTTTTCTGTTTTTTCCTGAACTAGTTCGATTATTTCCTCAGTACTCCATTATGGAATGTTCGATAAAATTCTAGAAAACAGCCATTAAAAAAACTAAACATGAATTCAAAACCAAATATTATTTCAAACTGCCTTTTTTACATCACTATTCGGCTTTTTTTGATTCTACGTTTTGATCCGTGCCAGAAGTAGTACAGGCTTCTGTTCAAGCTCCGGTAGACTTTTGGATCGCAAATAAAGATCCAAAAATTTCCCTTTTTTGTTCAAATGTAAACTCTATCTAATACTGGTCTATGAGAGACAACCCGGAACATGAACTTTTTAGAAGAAAAAAAAACGCCAAACTAAATTTTACTAGCGAGGGAACCCAAACAGATTGGGTCGGAGTTACGACGAGGCTTACAAATGCGTGAGAGAAAAAAGTGAAATCTTCCAGACTCTTGGAAAATCAAAATTGAAGCGCAAAACTTATAATTTATGGAACCAGAAAAATTGGCGTGGATGTGCAGATTGAAAAGGAGCCAGGGATAAATAATGGCATCCAAAAAAGGGCTCAAAAGTTTGGTTGAAAGATTCAATCCCATGCACAAATAGAATGCGCCCCTCCAAGTTTCACGACTTCCGCTCTCCTATTTTCTGACGGCTCGCCGTATTTCTATTTTTGCTGAAACGTACACATGATCGTTCAACGTATTCAAGTCAACTGAAGAATTTAAAAATTAAAAGTTTGACAAAAAATGTCTTTTTCGATATCTTTCAGAAAAATTACAATAGTAAACTGAGAATCTTAAAACTATCTATTCAGAAACAGAGAAATCGGCAAGAATTGTCGCATTAGTTTCCTTTTTTCAAGAAATACAAGGTTTGATCTTCACACAGTAATCGCCACGCGACCGCAACGCATTGATTCATTACAAGTTCGACAAGAAAGAGAAGAACGTCGGCCACACGTTCAGCCTGGACTTGTACTCAAACTGATTGATCCCCAGCAAGGTTCGATTCGTATTATCGAACTTTGAGAATTATTACATTCTTTGTAAAATATTTGTGATTATATCAAGCTGCCGATTTGACTCAAAAACAAAATAAAATCTTCAAAAAGCCTCATTTCCCCCTCAAATTGCAAGAAAGAGGTCATGCAAAAGGAGGAAAAAAGAGTTGCAGAAGTCTAAGTGAATCTGGAGGATCGAGAGTTGACGTCATTGAAGAACGAAACATACGGCGAGGACTGGAAATAAGGAGCCACGCCTCTCCGAACGAATCAACGTTATTTCGACAACTGAAGATCGTATGTCCTGGAGGCAAATCCCGATGGAGGATGGAAAGCGCTCGACGGAAACACAAAGACCGCGGGAAAAAAGGTCCAAGACTTCATTCAGATAATGGTTCACGTCGTTGATTCACCAACCGCTTTTTATAAGGTCACGTGAAAAATTAATAAAAGTTCTGAGGCAGCGACTACTCTTCCGTGTCAGTCTAGATCACGGCTTGATTCTCTGATTTGAGTAACTTTTGAGAAGAGCTGAATTAAATCCTTTCCGCTCAGTTTTTATTCAGAACTCAAGAATGTGAACTGGACAAGGCAATAAAAAAACTTTTTAATCTATTTTTAACAAAGATGAAACCGTGAGATCTCAACAATCAGACTCTGTGGACCATGTACGTTTCAATAAATGTTTATTGTCGAATCCTCATTATCTTTTTTCTATTGCACAATGTATCAAATTTTAGTTTGATTACTGTGTTTTCTAATCAGCGGAGCTTAAAGTAATTTTTTGATTAAAAGAATAAAAGTTTCCAATCAAATATAATTATTCCTGTTACGATTTGAAAAAATAAAAACTAAAAAACTAACTCAAAACAAATTCAAATCTTCCGCTATATCCATTGATTTATCTTCAAAACCAAAACAACGGAAACTGGTGTAACAGGTTTCGAAGCAAAAGTCTGTTTCAAAAAGTTTTTTTAAAGCTCGATGATCGGATGAACCCCTTAAAGTTTGCAAGGACTTTCAAGTTTTTTAAACACTTTTTCGAGAATCATTTGATTTTGGACAGCGTTGAAAACGTCTTCAAAACTTTCAAAGGAAAGTAGAACCAAAATTCTCGAATGATAAAAAACCACTTTGAAGAATGATTGTTGGATGAGATCAAAAAAAGATAAGAAGAGATGATCTGCAAGTTCTGGGAATCTTCCAAGAATATCCGGATTTTCTCAATACTCTAAACGTTGAGATGTTTGAAAATATGTTTTATGGTCAGCTACAATCCACTGAAGCTCTAACGTTACACTATGAACGGCAAACATAATATTATCCCACACCAGTAAATCCAAAAAAAAAGAACTTGATTCTAAACAATTTCTGACATTAAGGCAGCGGAATTTTTCTCATGCGG